TTTGAAGTGCGGGATATGACGAGATTCGAGATAATCAATCGTCCCTCGTATTCTCGCCTTTTTCGGCGTGGAATAGTGTGATTGGCGATTCATTTTGGCAGCGATGGCAGGAGGAGGGGCGGGAAGTAGGGTGTCTGAATCGGTGGGGGGATTCCGATTTTGGAGTGCCCTTTTTTTTGTCCATGTGGAGGCGGGGTAAGGTATTCTAAGGGTTAGGGTCTACGGCGCGTACGCACATGGCACGTCAGGGTTTCATGAGGTAACCTCTTCTAGGCGAAGAGCTGGACAGAGCTAAGGTTTGCATGATGGGACGCTGGGAATTTCGACTCCCAGCTCGTGTACGTCCGTATTGTTTTCATAAACAACAGCTTTAGAGCGCTTGGGCTGATTGTAGCGGCTGTTGAGGTACGTACCTTACCGGTCCATCAAACTCAACGCGTCGAGAAAGTGGGGCAAGTCACGTAATTAAACAATTGAAGCGCGTCCGAAGTCTGGGGAGCTGTGTTTTGTGCCATTTGCTCGCTCCTTCTTTACAAGTTCGACTTCGAATCCAACCTTGTTGAACTATGCCCAGTCTCTTAACAAACGCCCATTTGATGACTTGACGAATTGATACATCATATTCATCCTTCTGTCCATCTCCAAAATCCGTTTGTTCATCACGTCGTCCGCCCAGCCTCAGCAATGCCCGCCGCTACTCTACCCCAGAAGCGGGTGTTCGGTGAGGCATCGAGCGCGCGTCGCAACATCGTCGCCACTCCCATCTCCTCGAAAAAGCGGCGTCTAGATGAGCCATCCTCCTCTCCTGCAGTCCGCCTCGGCAGCTCCCAGAATGACGGCAGGGGCAAACTGGCCTCAAGCCAGCAAAAGAGTACCTTTGAGAGCGAAGTGCTCGAGCGCATGAGCCAGGACATCTCGGATCTCAAGCAGAGCAATGCAGAGAAGGACCAGATTTGGGATCGACCACCTGTACCCCGGCATTTCGACCCAGCGAAGCACAGTCTCTGTTTCCAGGCCATCGAAGCTGAGGAGGGTACCGTTGCTGGCGGCCAAGCGACAGTGAAACTATTTGGTGTTACCGACAATGGAAACTCTGTGCTGCTGCATGTGAAGGACTTCAAACACTATCTCTACGTCGCTGCTCCAGTGTCCTTCACGGCCGAGGACTGCCCCAAGTTCAAGGCCTATCTCGAAACACAACTCGCCATGCACCAAGCCGTCATCCATTCCGTCACCCTCACCATGCGAGAAAATATATATGGCTTTCAGGGCAACATCCAGAACCCCTACCTCAAGATCACCGTCACAGACCCAAAGTTCATCAACAAGGTCCGCACCTTGATCGAACGGGGCGATGCCAATTGGAAGGGCATGTGGAAGAGCGCCGACGGCACCATCATGACCTATGACAACATCCAGTACCTGCTCCGGTTCATGGTGGACTGCTCGGTATGATTGGCACAAGTGCAAGCTGCGGGGAAGGAGGCTGACAGTGAGCGCAGATTGCCGGCATGGCTTGGGTTGAGGCACCGGCGGGCCGATATGCCCTCATGACCGACAAGCAGTCCAATTGCCAGATCGAAGCTCAGATGAGCTACAGAGACCTGATCGCCCACAAGCCCACCGGCGAGTGGTCCAAGATGGCTCCCCTGAGAATCCTTTCCTTCGATATCGAGTGCGCGGGCCGCAAAGGCATCTTCCCTGAGGCCAACCACGACTCCGTTATCCAAATCGCCAACATCGTCACCAAGTATGGGGACAAAAAGCCATTCGTGCGGAACGTGTTTTGTTTGGATACCACCAGTCCCATCGTGGCCACTCAGATCATCTCCTTTGACAAGGAAGAGGATATGCTCAAGGCGTGGAGGGATTTCCTTCAGAGGGTCGACCCGGACATCATCATTGGCTACAACATTGCCAACTTCGATTTTCCTTATCTGCTTGACCGAGCCAAGCACCTGAAGGTTCACGGTTTCGAGTACTGGTCCCGCACATACGTCAAGTCTGTGTCAAAGGAGACCAACTTTTCCAGCAAGCAGATGGGCAACCGTGACACCAAGGCCACCAATACCAATGGACGTCTCCAGCTCGACCTTTTGCAGTTGATCCAGCGTGACCATCAACTACGGAGTTATACCCTGAACTCAGTCTGCTCTCATTTCCTCGGCGAGCAGAAGGAAGACGTGCATCACTCCATGATCACCGAACTTTTCGAAGGCACCCCCGAATCCAGGCGTCGGCTGGCCTTGTACTGCCTCAAGGATGCCTACCTCCCTCAGCGATTGATGGACAAACTATCGTGCCTCGAAAACTACACCGAAATGGCAAGAGTCACAGGCGTCCCCTTCAACTTCTTGCTCGCAAGAGGCCAACAGGTCAAGTTCTTGAGCCAACTCTGCCGGAAGGCTCTGGAGCAAAAGCTGGTCATTCCCAACGTCAGGTCAGAGTCGTCCGAGGAGCAGTACGAAGGTGCCACCGTCATTGAGCCTACCAGAGGCTACTATGACGTGCCAATTGCCACGCTGGATTTTGCTTCGCTGTACCCGAGTATCATCCAAGCACACAACCTCTGTTACACGACCCTCATCAAGAAGAAGGATGTTGAAAAGTGGAATCTGAAGAAGGAAGAGGACTACATTGTCACACCCAACGGGGACATGTTTGTCACCACCAAGCAGAGGAAAGGCCTGCTGGCCCAGATCTTGGAGGAGTTGCTCGCAGCTCGAAAACAAGCAAAGCGGGAGTTGGCTGCTGAGACGGATCCCTTCAAAAAGGCGGTGCTGAACGGTCGGCAGCTGGCCTTGAAAATTAGCGCCAACTCTGTCTACGGTTTGACAGGTGCGACGAACGGCAAGCTTCCCTGCCTTGAGATTGCCAGCAGCACCACAGCTTTTGGTCGTCAGATGATTGAGAAGACAAAGCAGGAAGTCGAGCAGAGGTACTGCATCGCAAACGGCTACTCCCACGATGCCCAGGTCATCTACGGTGATACCGATTCCGTCATGGTCAAGTTCGGTACCAAGGACCTGGCGGAAGCCATGAAGCTCGGGGAGGATGCCTCGCAATTCGTCTCGAGCAAGTTCATCAAGCCCATCAAGCTCGAATTCGAGAAGGTCTATTTCCCCTATCTTCTCATCAACAAAAAGCGTTACGCAGGGCTGTACTGGACCAAACCGGAGAAGTACGATAAGATGGATACCAAGGGTATTGAGACGGTCAGGCGTGACAACTGTCTCCTGGTGCAAACTGTCATTGAAAAGGTCCTCAGGATGATTCTAATCGACCAGGATGTGCCGGGCGCGCAAGAGTATGCCAACCCATTCCGGCTGTTGCTGAACACTAAATGCTGACCGTCGTAGATACGTCAAGGACACTATCGCGGACCTTCTGCAAAACAAGATCGACATGTCCAAGCTGGTCATCACCAAGGCCCTGACCAAGGACGACTACGCCGCAAAGCAAGCTCACGTCGAACTAGCACAGCGGATGAAGAAGCGAGACGCCGGGTCGGCGCCAGGCCTCGGCGACCGTGTGGCCTACGTCATGGTCAAGGGCGCCGCGGGCTCCAAGAATTTTGAGCGCTCCGAGGACCCCATCTACGTGCTTGAGCACAACGTCCCCATCGACACCAAGTACTACCTCGACAACCAGCTGGCCAAGCCGCTGGGCCGCATCTTCGAGCCCATCCTCGGCGAGACCAAGGCCAAGTCGCTGCTCACGGGCGACCACACGCGCTCCATCTCAGTCGCAGCCCCGACCATCGGCGGGCTCATGAAGTTTGCCAAGAAGACGCAGACTTGTATGGGCTGCAAGAAGCCGTTGACGGGCAAGGATGAGAGCCAGGGCGCCGTGTGCGCCGACGACGCGCCGCGTGTTGGGGAGCTCTACAAGAAGACGCTCGACAAGGTGTCGGACCTCGAGGTCCGGTTCGGCCGGCTGTGGACGCAGTGCCAGCGCTGCCAGGGCAGCATGCACTGCGAGGTCATCTGCAGCAGCAAGGACTGCCCCATCTTTTACATGCGCATGAAGGCAAAGAAGGATCTGGAGGATGCGAATAAGGAGTTGGCGAGGTTTGATTTTGACCAGGCTGCTATCTGGTAGTGGGCGGCCGACAGCTTGTGTGATCCGGTAACGAGAAGGAGGCTACGGCGTTTGGGGGACGGCATATATATCATGGGTTAGGATTGGATTTGTTGGTGAGTATGGGTATTTGGTGACTTGACTGGTGAATATCTTTAGTCCGTGTCTATTTCATGAAGTTCTATGACTGTTTAGGTCTATTCCTCGTCCGAGAACTTGAAAGGCGAACGCTCTACGGTAGGTCATATTGCTTGTTTGAACTCAGAATCAACTTCCCCTTGGATTGTTGCCTTTGGCTCGAGGATGATAGGCTATCTAAGCCATCTAACTCTGGCACTTGGTCCAGCCAAATGTTTAAGCATCGTTGTCTAAGCAAAATGTGCCACCCTGTCGTGAGACAGTTTATCGGAAACATATTGACCCCTAAACCGAGCAAACACAATGCACTCCGACGACACCCTCACCTCGTTTCCGAAATTACAAAACACGACAAGGGTATCCCGCCAAACTCTATCCACTCAAACAACCATTTGCAAAATCCCTAACCTTCCTTTCTTCGTACACTCACATCAATACAACAACTCGCCACCGTGAACCATGGCCTTGAACCGATCCTCGGGCTCCTCGAACCGGTACGCCTCCCCCCGCGTCACCCGATCAACCTCCTCCCTCACAAACGGGTACACATCCTTCCACGCGTTGCGCCCCATCCAGCCGTCCAGGTGGCCATACCCGGGCACGACGCGGCGCCTGTACTCTCCGTCCTCGAAGGCGTCACAGAGCGTCTCGTAGGTGCGCTCCGTCGCCTCGGGCGACAGCACCGCGTTGTCGCGGCCGACAAACAGCATGACGGGAATGCCGCGGAGCCGCTCGATGTTCTCGGGTGTTGTAAGCGGCTCGCAGAGCGGCGCGTTGGTCATGACGTGGCCCTCGTAGCCCATCTTCATGAGCAAACCCAGCAGACGCATGTTGACGCCGCCAAAGAAGCGGTCGATCTGCCGGTGTGTGGCCTCGTTGAGATTGGCGTGGTTCCAGCACCGGCCAAAGACGAGCGAGGTGCGGTGGCAGGCTGCGTTGTTGCACATCTCCTTGCGCGCCTGCGGGTACAGGCGGAGGATCTGGTTCAGGGCTTGCTGCACTAGGGTGTCGTTGTGCGAGGTGCTGCACGAAAACCAGCTGCCGGCGAAGAGCGAGTAGAGCTTGTCCATCGGGATCGGGCCAGCCGTGACCTTGGCCATATTGGCGGGGCCCCAGACGGGGTTGAAAAAGACCTGCGAGCAGGTGATGCCGAGGATCCAGGAGGTAGGGATGGTGCCGTCGAGGAGGCCTGATGCAAAGGCTACGCTGCCCATGCAGTGGGCGATGGTGTAGATCTTGGCGGGGCCGTGGACAGAGCGGATGTGCTCGAGGCAGGCACGCAGGTCGAGGCGCGCGTCGTAGGTCGTCCACATGTTGCCGGCGATCATGGTCTGGCTGATGCGGTGGACCGTGACGAAGACGCGGTAGCCGGCGCGCGTGAAGTAGTTGACGGCGTTGTAGGGGATGGTGGGGAGGGCGAAGATCTGGTGGTCGACCGAGGCGCCGGGAATCATGAACAGGTTGCGGACGTTTTGGGGGTCGTTGCCGGGGACGTGGGTGGGTTCCCAGATGTGCATGCGCGAGCACACACTGTCCGAGGCGACGATCTCGACGGACTGGTCGGGTGGTGTGTGGTTGATGAAGCCGCTGAAGGTCTTGGTGGGATACTGGAGAGCGGTAAGGGGCGAGAGGAAGAGAGAGAGTGACTTGCGGGTGAAGTAGGTCAAGAACCCGGCAGCGCTGAGGGCTTTCCTGACCAGGTTGCTCCCCGTGGGCGTCATAGTGTTGATCTGCGAGAGGAAGTCGGCCAGCTGGATGTGCATCATGCCCTTGGCGATAACGGCTCCTCGCCTCCAGGCTTCTTCGTCGTCGAGATCGGCACACATGCCGGGCACATGCTCGCTGACTGTCACGTACAAGGTGCTGGTGGCTCGCCAAAACTGCAAGGGAGCCAAAGCGACAGACGAGTCGACTACCTTGTAGCCGTGGAAGTGCAGCTTCCTGCCGTTGATGCCCGTCATGTCAAAGTCGTACGTCAAATTACGGGTGCCAGGGGCCTTGTTGTTAAGGATGAAGAGATTGAACTCTCCCCGCTGCACCATGAACGGCGACCCGGGGATGGTTGGACAGACGAACGTGCCCGTCAGCATGCCGCGATGCTGCGAATGCTTGATCAGCTCCTTGGTGTCAAACGCCTGAACGCTCAGGAAGAAGCGGGCGCTCTCGCACAGAGACTTGGCCGTGCGGTGGGCGAGCTCATATGTCTCGCGGTTGTCCTCGGTGAGGTTCCGGTCGTGATGGATGAAGCCGGACATGACTTCGGTGAAGCCAATGCCACTCGCGCTGAGCTCTGAGGCCGCGCGGATGACATTGTTGGCCACGATAATGCTCTCCTGTTCCTCCACGGCTTTGACCTGCTCACGCTTCACTCTGGGTCGGTGGCGTCGAGGGACATGATGAGGCTCGCCGAGCAGGTTCAGGATGCCGTTCTTCTCCTGGCTGATGGTGAGACCCTTGGACGCCGCGTATGCCTCGACAGAGCGCTCAGCCAGCGCAGCGATCGTAGCAAAGGGGTTGGCGCCAAGAGCCGTGGGGATCACCGAGCCATCCGTAACAATCAGCCCATCGTGGGTCTCACTGCCCTCTCCAGTAAAGACTTGGCCCACGTGGTTGGTTACACCAGTGTTACCCGTGTTGTCTCGGGCCATGCTCGCTCCCCTGAATCAAGGTTAGACTATGCTCCAGCATGGTAGCACAAAAAAGGGGCAATGGAGGGGAGGTTACATACCCGATGGGATGAACCGTAACCTGCTGGCCCAGCAGCTCGTAAAAGGGGCTCTGTACGAGGGTGCCGCCAACAACCTCAGTTGCCCGTCTCAGCAGCTCATTCAGCTTCTTGACGTGATGACTTCGTGCAACGCCGAGGAACTCGAGCACGGGCTTGTCGTCTTCGAGGGTCAAGACAGCTTGGTTGCCTGTGATGATGGTCAGCATGGAAATCCGGGAACAGAGTCTTGAATGGTCTTACTGTCGTGAGACATGACCAGATAGACCTGCGTCCTCTCCACAGCTCCGCTTTTGAAGTACGGGCCCAAGAACCGGCTGCCGTAGCGTGCGAGCGCAGCCTGCGCCCTTTCAACAATGGTTTCATTTTTGGGTTCTTTCTTGCCGGGCATGAAATCCAGCATCGCCTGGAGGAAGTGGGACAGGGCCTGAGGAACGGCCCCTTCCTCCAGAACGAACCCGTCAAGGGGGTTGTCGTTGCCCTCCCGGCAGTCAATGACGCTGGTGATGGTTGGCCCGATGGGGTTGTATGGCGACGGAGTTTCCCGCCCAATGGCGTTGGCCGTCTCATCGGTGTTGTAACCAAATGCCAGCATGTCGCCGTTCCCGCTCATGTTCTGGCCGACCATGTCGCTCATCTCAAGCCCCATTGCCTTGCTCCGTAGGAGAATCTCGGTCGTGGCAATGGCGCCCGCGCCGAGGAAGACGGCGTTCTTGGCGTGCACCCACATCAGATCGCCATGGAGGTTGGCTTTGAACAGGCCCCTATTCCTCCCGTGCCAGGCAAAGTAGACGCGATAGCCCTCGCCGTTCTTGATCTTCTCGATGTAGCGCACCTCGCACTCGCAGAAGATCTCGGCGCCCCAGTTCCAGGCGTCGGCAATGTACGTGACGAGCGTGGTGTTCTTGGAGCCGTCATTGACGCCTGTTGCGTCCTGGCCCGAAAGCGACGAAGGCGACATCTCGACGCCGCAGCTATTGGGCCCGTTGCTGAAGCGCGTCGTCTGCCGCACCTTCTTGAACTTGTGTCCCAGGTTCAAGAGCTCGGCCTGTTTCTGCAGCAGTTTCGCCTTGGGAAGCTCCGGCCACTCAGCCGGATACTCCTGTGGCTCGAGTACCGCGGCCACCTTTTCGTAATCTGCAGCGCGTCAGCGAACTCACTCGTCCCAGACTACCCGTCAGGACTTACACTTGTCCAAACCGTCCACATTATCCCTGATCTCCGGCGGCCAGGCCTTCATGGCCAGCGTCTCCTTATCCGCCTCCATGAACACATTGGCGTTGATCAAACTCGTCCCACCAAGCCCTATAACAAACGCATCCACAGTCAGCGTCATCATCTCCTTTTTCCTCTCTTCCCGCTTTTTTTCCATCAACAGACAGACAGAAACGGGCATGAGACTCACCATTCCCCACAACCGCACTCTGCCCCCTCCCAAGGATCAAATGAAACAAGCCGGTCGGATCCCCACCCTCGACCAGCTTGCCCTTCAACCAGCTCGGCGCCAGCGTGCCGGAATAGTGCAGCTCCTTAAACGCGTCGACGGTGCCCGAGGGGTACTCGCCGGGCCACTTCTCGCGGCCCCTCTCGAGCAGACAGACCGACTGCCCCGTCCTCGCCATGCGCGAGGCCGCGACGCCGCCGCCGTAGCCCGAGCCGATGACGACCACGTCGTAGGCGCTGCGGAGCAGCTCGACCGGCTTGGAGAGGCGCGGGAAGGCCTGGGCTTCTTGCCGGCCGTCGGTGTAGGTGCGGACTTTGGAGCCGGGGCGGTTGTTGTGCCTTGTTGTTGGGGAGGAGGAGGAGGAGGAGGATGGGAGGTCGTCATGGTCGTGGCGGACCCCGGGGACGGGGTAGGATCCTGGGAGCGGGCGGGAGTCTTTGCGATTGAGGTCCGGGGTGGAGGGGGTTGCTTGGGAAGTGGTGTAGGAAGTTGTTATGAAGCTAGAGGCCGAGCCAGGGATGGGGCTGGAGTCTGAGCATGAGGAGACGCTTGGGTCTGGAGACGCCGGGCGTGCGTTGTGGAAGGGGTTGTTGGTGTTGTTGGGGTTTGCGGCGCCGTTCAGGATGCCCATGGGGTTGGTGTTGCCGTTCAGCGACGGGGTAAGGGGAGGCGAGAGGGGCCCATTGACCTGCAATGACCCTGTCGGATTGGATGTTGATGACTTGCCCATTGTGTCGGCTTGAAGGTAGGTAGGCTCGAGTACGTTGCGCCAGAGCAGCTTGGATACCTTGACTGAACTGGTGTAAGGTTTCACTGAGGAGATGTTAAAAGATGACACAAGACCGAGTCAAGGCGATGGGACTGAGAGGGAAACCACTATAAGTTAACCAGAGGATGTGCTCCCTATCAATACAGATGGGTTCATTCGGGACTGCGGAATGGAGTGTCTCGGAGCCCCAGAGGAAAGCTCCACGGCTCGGGGGTGTCATCTTGAAAAACCCGAGCCTCGTCCGCAAGACGATGGTGAGACTATGAATATCACATGGTAGTTTGACCTTTCTGGGTCAAGCGCTCCCGAACCATGGCCTAGGCAGTTGAATAACGGTGCGGACCTACCCACCCTTTCTGCTTGTTCGCCATGTGGGGAGGACAACAAGAGAGCTAGCCGCTCGTTCTGGAGCGTGCCATTTTTCAAACTCGATCCCGGCGCAGTCCTCAGCTGCGGTCAGTCTCGCCGGGGCAAAAATAATTCAAGGGAGTACTGCACTGCCATTGGCCAAGATACCGCAGCCAAGGACATGTCCGTGAGAGGGTGGTAGTCCGAGGAGAGGGTGGTGGAGTAACCGTCAGCACGGGTCGGCCAAGGCCACAGTTTCCGGAAACCACAGCCACGAGACACCCTTGTTTTGGTATCACCGAGCCCTAACTGCCATGATCGATCGTCAATCGAAGAGTTTGCTGCCTTGGGGCGTGTGTAAGCCGAGCATGCGATCAGGACGTCTTGGATGTTATACGATCCATGAGGTGTCGGCAGAAGAGGAGTTGGAGTCAATGAGGGCGCCACTGCCGCCGGACACTCGGCACGTATGGAGGAGCCTTGCGAGGAACAATAGCTCTCACATGTGATCGACCATTTACTCCTTCGCCGGTTGCATGCAGCCACAAGGGGTCAACAGGTCAAGGTGGCTGACCGACGACTCGATGCTGTGAATTGCGGCGACCTGATCACCCGAAGAAAGTTCCATTTTCATCAGAAGCCAGGGTCTCAAGCGTGCTGACGGCGCTGACTATTGGGTGGAAAACGAAGGGAGGGTGCCAGCCCTGATAGGCTGTGGTCGAGATCCAGGGGCAGCCAATCCGCGGGGGAGCGCAAATCGTGACCGTTCCCTTCGCGGGGAGGTGGGGGAGGGGGTGCGTAAAGGCTGTGCAAGAAGTTAACTGACCTCCGAGACCTGGAACCCGGGTGCCTTGCGGCGTCGAATATGTACTCAGGACCCATGCAAGGGACTCAACGGGAAGTGCTGATGAGCCGACCCGGACAATGAGGTCGGCCCCCGACCCTTCAGCCCTGGCCACGGGTCACCCACCATTCACGGGTCAGCCCGCCGCCAAACCACGGCGCCCACCAGTGTGGAACTCGGTTGGCGCCATCAACAAAGGGCACTGCCCTGGCTCCTCCCGATTCCGCCCTCGCGTGCCGGGCCGTGTCGCGCACTACCGCGTTGTTTTCGTACCGTGGGGTTTGCGACGCGGGGAAGACGATCCATCGCACTTCCCACGAAGGTCAGTCAATCCAAACTCCAAATGCCCCAAACCGTCTCCTGGCCCTTGGAAGCGGAGCCATCTCCGGCTCAGCGCTTCTTGGCAGAATCTGGGACGTGTGCTTGGTTACTCCCTGAGGAAGGCGCTGGTCGGCTGAACAAAAGCTGAGGAATGCGTTGAAAGCGGCGGCGGTCCTTGGGTTCCCAGCGGCTGGGACTGTTACGTGTGGTAATTGAAAGCTTAAAAAAGGACCTGGTGCCACGGAGTACAGCAGTTCGTTGAACGTTTGGTACGGAGGTAGACTGACAGTAAACTTCCGATGCTGTGGCCGAACCCTTGCTTGGCTGATTGGAGGGCAACGTTGAACTGTGCAAGCCAAGGTCCTGAGGTACGGGAGAAGAGGATGTTTCCGAACTTTGTACGACATTCGTGTGACAAGTGACATTATTGGAACAATCCTGTCGGTATCAAGTCGAAACCGAATGTCGTTTTTCGTGATGATCAACTTAGCCTGGAACCATGCGGTGACAAGGGCCTGTGTAACCGTTACCCAAGAGGCACCCGTCTATCCGCGGAAGGAACATGCCGCTGCGCATACGGATTGAATATTGGAAGCTACGGAGTATCAGAGCGGAAGCGGGGAGGGGCGTATATTCCAGGTTGGTATTCCGATGCCAGATACCAAAATCTCGCCTTCGCTTGTGATTGGTTCTTGAGACATTCATTTGATATTGTATTTGATATTGTGAAAGCAATCGCTCCTCTATACAGGTAGACCCAGGAAATACCCCTTCCCTTCCGCTTGCCGGTTGACCCAGGGAATCATGTCGTAGAACTCGTGCGACCCAACTCCATCCATAAACGCCAATGAGGACCATAAGGAAAAGCACACCTCACTCCCTCGACGAGGCTGATGCCGCCCGTCCCCTTCACCACCAGTCGCCGTGGTCGCGCATGGCCTCGGCGACCTTGACGAAGCCAGCAATGTTGCTGCCAGCGACCAAGCTGGGAAGCTCGCCCTCGCTGCTCTCGACGTACTCCTTGGCCGTGTTGAGGCCGAGGTAAAAGGCGTTCTTCATGATGTCCTTAAGCTTCTGGTCGACCTCGTCCTTAGTCCACGCGAGACGCTGACTGTTCTGTGACATCTCGAGGCCCGACACGGCGACGCCGCCGCAGTTGGCAGCCTTGCCCGGGGCGTACCAGATGGCCTCGCCCTTCTTCTGCCGCCGCTCGTTCTCAAACACCTCGATGGCCTCGAGCGTGCAGCCCATGTTGGAGCCCTCGGCGATGAAGCGGGTGCCGCCGGCCACCAGGGCCAGCGCCTCCTCTTTGTTGACCTCGTTCTGCGTCGCGCACGGAAGGGCGATGTCGACGTGGCCGACGTGGACCCACGGGCGGGCGCCCTCAATGTACTGGAGCTTGCCCTTGGGCGTGTACTCGGCCAGCGCCTGACGCTTGGCCTTGAGCTGCATGATGGCCTCAATGTCCTCGACCGTGACGAAGCCATCATCGACCGCCACGAGCGAGCCCTTGGAGTCGGAAAGCGAGACGACGGTGGCGCCGAGCTCGATGCACTTGAGCGCGGCGTACTGCGCAACGTTGCCGGAACCCGAGATGGCGACACGCTTGCCTTCGTAGGTGCCGGCACCAGCGAGCTCAAGCATGTGGCCGACGTAGTACACGAGGCCGTACCCGGTGGCCTCGGGCCGGATGAGCGAGCCGCCCCAGTCGAGGCCCTTGCCGGTTAGGACACCCTCGAACTTGTTGCGCTCACGCCGGTAGGCACCGAACATGTAGCCGATCTCGCGGCCACCCACGCCAATGTCGCCGGCGGGGACGTCGGTGTCGGCGCCAATGTGCCTGGAGAGCTCGCGCATGAAGGAGACGCAGAATCGCCGGATCTCGGCGTCACTCTTCCCTTTGGGGTCGAAGTCGGATCCACCCTTGCCACCGCCCATCATCACTGGTGTCCCCACCACATGTCAGCAAAGTGCTTCTCAGTCCCCGTTTGTCTTGCATTGGGCTGAAACTTACGGCCAGTAAGCGCATTCTTGAAGATCTGCTCAAACCCGAGGAATTTCAGACTAGAGATTTGTTAGCCTGAGGCCTTCCTCTTTTCTTCTTCCTGTCTCCCAATTTCCTTACATGGAGAGGTTGACGGAGGGGTGCAGACGCAGGCCACCCTTGTAGGGGCCGAGAGCCGAGTTGAACTGAACACGGTAGCCCCGGTTGACTTGAAGGTTGCCGGCATCATCTTCCCAGACCACGCGAAACTGGATAACACGCTCGGGGATCGAGGCAACCTTGAGCGCGGTGCGGTACTCGGGGTTCTTTTGGAAGAGCGTGCTGTTCTCCAGCGTAAGGGCGAGCTCCTTGTACGCCTGCTCAAACTCCGGCTCAGAAGGAAGTTGCGACATTGTGACGGGTGATCGGTTGAATTTCAGAGAAGTCTTGGACGGTCTTGTCGGGTTCGAAGAGAATCGCCCGGGATATCACACACGTCGACTGACCTACACTGCGAACTGCGAAAGTGATGAGGGAACGAAAGGGTGAGGATGTGTGAGGCGGGAAAGGGACCAGATTATATACAAGAGCGTCTGGCTACATGGTGGGGGGCTGCAAGGAGGCGACGGCTGGTATGAGACGACACGAGGGAACCATGCTCGCCGGCTCCGAGAACAGGCCGTCCGAAAAAGGAGGCCATAATTGTGGTTATGGTTGGGGCTTCCCCAGCTCGTAGCTCCGTTTCAAATCCCGCTCGACTTCGATTGGGCGCGTCGAACCATGAGAGGCGGCGAAGCCGCGAAGTCGACTGCATACCCACACGAGATGTTCCCTGTCCGGGACGAGTGGCCACGTCTTGGCGATGGTTTGGCCTCGAGCCGCGCCGGTTTTCGCTCCCCTCTGGAACACGGCACACAGTTCATCCCACGCCCGGCACCACGGAACACCTGGCCCGGTTGTGTATCTGCTCTGCTGCTGTAGGGGTGATCATCCTCTCGCCACTGACGGATTGACCGAGATATATCATTGACAATGTGCTATCCACATGGTCTGCTTATCGATAACGTTAATCGCGTGTGCCACTGATGTTCGGCGACGACATTCATGATTTTGGAGCACCATGACTTTCTCGGCATGCTCGCGTGCCTTTACCTGTCAGCGGCGATGTGAGTGGCCGCTCGCTGTTTGGGGTCGTGCTTGACAACATCCCTTCGCGTATTCGCGGAAATCCATTGGTTGCCCTCAGCAATGAATTGATTGACCTTTTGGCGAAGTAATGAGCGCACCTCAGGCGGAGCGCCTTGTCAGGGTCGTTTCTCTGACAAAGTCGTCCGGTCTGTTTTCGCTCGTCTCCGACTTCGCATCGTAACTTGCAGCGCAGTTGCAGCCCCTCGTCTCCGAATCATCCCGGATCTGGCAAGTGTGAGCATGGGTGCCCCCAAGCTTTCCCTCCACCTCGACGCCGCTGGGTACGTGGGCGAGGTGGGTTGGGCCTGTCCTTAAGTTTCCGATCATCCACCTCGATATTCCCTTATCTTGAGTTGCTAAAGGCAACTGGTAATTATTGGCCAACAATGTCGTTGATAGGCAAGTCGAATCGGTCCGTTGACTCGGTTCGTTGCTTTCGGCCTTCAACCCTATCGACGCAGCGTGTTGTTCGGTCCCTCTTCACAGAACCATGTCTCTCCCAGCGTGGACACACAAATCGCTCAACTCGTTGGATATCGACCGCGATGCCGGCTTCCTAAGGTAAGCGGAAAACAACATTCGATCGACTTGATGCCAAAGTCGAATTCCACTGTTGAGCGCATGCGACATCCAACACTGCGGTTCACGTTGGTCATCAGGTGGGGTCGATGTAACCGTGGGAAGTTTCCTTCATCGGTCGAGAACGTACCGAGTGGGGCCAGGAGTTGGCAGACATCACAGAGATTCCCATCCAACGACCTCTAGAGCACATGGGAAACCTCTGGGCCTTAAGTAATTTTCGCATCTCTCACATGCTTCTCACAAGGGACATCCGATCTGATGTCTTTGTCCTACGCCTTGATAACAGACTGCCGTCGCACTACGCCCGCATGCGACACGGTCCGCGTGTTACCCAACCACCCGTTTCGGGTGATAACCGAAGCAACACGCGGCGCCGAGATGCAGGGTCCTTGACGCTAGATAACCTTATCTTGAAAACTTCCGAGATTGTGGAACCCACGGCGGCTCATCAATGGCGAGTGCAGTTCGTGGGCAAGGAGGCAATGGACCTCGCCCCTGGCCTTGCCATCCACGGTCCTGGTTTTCTCGGCTCCTTCGAAAAGATCCAGTTCGGACCGTGGCATACGAATGGAGAAGATCTGTCAACGACGGGCACTGCACACTATAAACGCATGCCAGGTGTTGTATGTTATTTGTCGCGTGGGTGCCAAGGGTACTTACTGTGGAAGGTTGGTGATGAGACCAACACGGGGGCTTCCCCTGTCGTGGATCGGGTGTCGGATATGCAAGACATCGGCTAGACCAAAGGCTAGTAATGTACAGGTGTAATCGGGGATGGGATCCCGTAAGTGGCTAGGGCGTGTGCTACAGACCGTGCTGTCTGTCCGACGTTCTGGAGCGTGCGAAGGCCGGCACGTTGATGTTCGGGATTCCCGTCTTGCGGTTTGCCGGCACAGACCGGGCTGGGTCGGGTTAATGCGGGTGTATGGAGAAGATGCTCGACCTCCAATCATGAGGACATCCCAGGCCTGAGTCGAGTCCTCTGTATCTAATCCTGACATATATGTCGGACAGTTCCCTGGTGGTCCGATCTTCTATAAGAGCGTTGGCAAGGGTTTGTCAGTAGCATGGAATATGGGGTATCAAGTCAAGTGGAACATTCAACAATTCGCCCTGCATAGCTGAAACCTGCAGTAACTACAAATTTCTGAATCTTAGTGCCATGTAAGATGATAGCCATTCAAGATTCTTGTGACAATACCAAAATTAGGTCATACATGCAGGGTAAATCACCATTTTCCTTCCCCAAACATAGCGGGTATCTCCCAGCAATCTCGCCCCCAGTTGATAGAACGGAATAAAGAAACAAGAAGAGAAGTTGAGAAAGAAAGGCGGCTGATAGGGATGGAAAGGAAAAAGAAGCCGTTTCCGCAACACCACTTGATCCACCAGGGTCATCAACAACATGTGTTGAAGGTCCGGAGTATATACAGAAAGGTATTATCTTAGGAGGGGTGGGATACTCCCCGCTAACAAGCGACTTTCAACGAGAGAAATGAACAGAAAATCCTATGGTAAGTGAGGTAGGGAAGAAAAGTGTCTCTTTCAGGGCTGGTCTGATCTGGATAGGTACCCGTGAATGTATGGCCCTCAAGGCAGGCTTACACGTTTTCATGGTTACTCCCGTTCGGGTTCCAACTCATTCGGAGGCTCACTTGAATCCATAACCACACCATCACTCCGAACACCCCACACCCTTCTTGTACTTTAAGAAACCAAACTCTCTTACGAGACCTGCATCACCATGGGCCCAGCCACGATGATATCATCGGTCAGCACGCCATTCAGCGGGCCGGCGCTCGCCAGGTTGACATAGGTGATGCCGGCGATGCCCTGGGGTACGACGCAGCCGGCGGCCGGGTCAAAGGTGGTGAAGAGCGTGCCGCCGGGGACGCCGCCGGTTGTGAAGGCGCAGTGGGTGGCGCCGGCGGCGGCCTCGCTCTGCAGCTGCACCGTGGTGCCCGCGGCAACGGCCTGGGCGCTCTGCCCCGTGGCCATGGCCAGCGTCGGGAAAGCCGTCAGCACCAGGTTGCTGCCCTCGGGGCAGCTCGAGATGAAGGGGGCGGCGAGAGAAAAGACTTGTTTCGGCGAGAGGGGCGTGTCGAAGGCCTGCGGCACGGCGACGGCGGCGCTGGCGGTGCGGACAAAGGTCTGGTGGCGGGCCTCGACGGTCAGGATGGAGCCGGCGGTGGTGAGGATGGAGCCGTCCGAGACGAGGGCTGCCGCGCCGAGGTAGGCCGAGACGCCGACATTTTCGAGCACGGCGGCGGTTGCGACCATGCCGGCGGCGTCGGTGAAGCCGAAGTTGTAGGTGCAGGGCTGGACGGGCTGGACGCCGGCTTGGGCGATGGCGCCTTGGAGGAGGATGACGTGTTCCTCTTCTGTCTTTCCGATCTTCAGGAGGTCCTCGATCTGTCGCTGTTGAAGACCGAGCGCTTGGAAGTCGGTTGCGGGGAACTGTGCGAATCCTTGCTGGTAAAAGGTCGCTTCGAGCCACTCAAGCGTGAGGGCACTGGAGGCGAGAGGTCAGTGGGAAGCTCGAAATTGGGAAGACAGCTTTGTTTCTTACAATTGCAGGATGTCGATATCGGTGAGACCCAGGGCGGCAGCCGCAGCGTTTTGACGCTTTGCGTGCTCGTACATCTTCATCTGAGCCCTGCTCAACTTGGGAACGGCTGGTAGTGCCGTTGAAAGAGCCGCAAGCCCCGCGACGGCCGCCCCGAGGGTCTTCTTGATGGAAGGCATGTTGGCGATGTGGATGCTGACTAAGCTCTACTGATCCCTTTCTTTTGTTTCTTTTCCCTTCCTCTCGTCCCAGGTTCCCTGGTCGGCCAAAGCAGGTGAGTGTCGGAATAAGAGCAAGACCAGCCTGGCTGAAGAATCGAAATCCTGCCTGAGGGTCGCCTATTAAAAAGTCTTAAGATGGTAGAAGAGGTGTGTACTGGAAGAGGACCGGACTGAAAGAGGGACAGACTGAGCTGCTTGAAGGAGAGTGAAAGCAGACCAGCGCTTTGGGCGAGAAGAGTGATCAAGAAAGCGACAAGATGTGGTGGGATGAAGGAGGGAACAAGACAGGTATCCCAGCATGTGTGCAAGTGGGAAACGGCCATGAATAAAGACGACCTGCTGGGATGGCCCTCTCCCGAAGCTAAGCAGTGGCGGCTGTTGACTGTTCCGGCATCCGCATCACCTCATGGTGAACCCCTCCCGCGGGCGTCCAGACAAGGAAGGGGAGTCAGGAACCAGCAGTCGCTAGAATAATGCGGCCAGGGTAAGTGTGTGCCGCGTCTCTCATGGCTAGCGCTCAGGGCGTTCCCAAAGCCCCCGACAAGGTGGTGCCGATTCATCAAGCTCTGGGTTTCCAAGCCAGGCCGTCTATAGAAGGGGGTGATATGTGCAGCGCCAAGAGGAACTTCAGATGGTAAGGCCAAGAATACGGAGTAGGGACGTCGTCGTGTTTCGTTTCCTCGTTGCTGCCCTGCTGCAGCCGCCATGATAAAGTCATACCACCCCTTCCGCGTTCGTGCAGCGCCGGCATGAGGCTGAAGGGCACCAATCGGACCAACGCTGGACATGTTTAAGGTTGCGATGAAAAAGTTGTTGAAGCAGCGAGGTCGATGCAAGGTTTAGGTAGCCCCTGCTCTGGGGAATCAAGCGAGCGGGTCCGCTGCAGAGACTTTGATTGGCCACTGAGGGGGCAAAACGCCAAGGTGCTCCAGGGGCCTGCACGGTTCCCACGCTGCGACAGTGGCGCCCACGATGCCCGTCTCAGCCATGTTTCAATCAGACGGAGCGCATCAACACCGAGGGCTCGGAAAGGTCTCGGTGGTGCACTTGCGACAACAACAATCTGCCTTCCGGTCAATCTTCCAAAAACTTCTAGAGGCTGGAAACTTGAATATCTCTGTTTCAACAGCCTGGGAGGCTGGAATTGGGTGTTGAGCAACTAGCGTGGGCGATGTTGAGTCTTGAAGCTCTATCTGGAGACCAGATCTAGCCTTGAACAATTTGTATTGCGAGAGGAGACATTCTCGGTCTGGGACGGGGATACCCTTTGCCTCACAATCGCCATCCATTTCATCAGGACTCGGGAACAGATTCGCCCGCATAATCCCGGTTGATCATGATATTTGCCGGCGTGGACGGAAGCTTGTCTCCTGGATCAGCAAGCTCCTGGCACGTTGTGTGACCGGCACAGGGCTGTTTCCCGCCCTGGGGCCTGACTGTCTTTTAGAACCCGAGATCCGGTGCTCAGAGGTCTAGTTAACTAGGTAGGTTTGGAAACTGCAGGTGTGTTGCAGCTCATCCATCCTCCCGTCCCTTCACGACGGGCGGGAATGCAGGTACCAATGGAATTGTCTGGAATAACCCCCCGTAAATTTCGTGACTTCACTGTAAGTCTCCTAGCGGGGTGCCATATCGACTGCTCTGGCTGCTCTGGAATCCAAGACCCAGTCCTGCTGAGTTGTTATCTCACCATGAATTGAAAGACACCGTTCAACCGGCTGCAGCGCCAGTATAACTCCGACCAGCAAGCCATCAACCCACGCGGCACGCTGTATCTTGACAAACACCGATGCCGAAGGTAACCTAAGGTACTGTACTTTGACTATTAGATGGCTGCCTTATGTGTTCTGCCCTCCTCCTTCCTCTCTCCCCTCTCTCTGTCTCCTTCCGCCCGTCTGCTGTCTGTCTCCCCTTTTGATGACCCGCTAACAGCATTGCCCGAATTACTACCGTCCTTGCAACACCGACGCCCCATCTTCGATCAGCCCCATACTTCGATGAATGCACCGAGCTACCGCACTGCCATACAGAGAACTATACCATCTTTGGAGCTGGAACCCTCATTAGGGCGTCCTCCCCGTGTATCAATCTTTCACTCCATGCTGCTGCCACCTTTCAGCTATTACCCCTTGTCGCCAAAACTCTACGTCTTCTTTCCTGCGTCTTGGGAGACTCGCTTGTGAGTCAATTGTTTCACGCCGTCCGCTGCGATCTGGGCCCCACATACGAAAAGGGCCTGGCTTAAAGTGCGTATGGGTTCAGAGACCGGATGGTCAAGCACCTGCGAGCTTGTCAGCTGGGTTCTATTCCTCGAGAAGAAAAGCAATTCAGATCCACGTACGGCGGGCTCTTGGTGAGATCCGTCTTCAGAATGACCGGCACCCGCGTCATCTCCGTCACATCTTGGATGTAATCGCCGCCCTCCTCCCTCAACTTGAACAGCTTCAGGTACTTCTCCTTGCTGGTCAGCCGCGTTTCCGGCACGTCGCCTGTCGGTACCTTGGAATCTGACCGCGTGCGGTGGAGATTGCCGGCTGTATCCGCCGAAGTTCGTGTCGGCGACCCAGGAACGCTCTGCGTCGGCCGCTCCGCCAGCGACGCTCCTGCCATAGCCTCCGTGATGTCCGACGCGTTGTCTGACGCGTTCTCTTCGTCGTCGTCGAACAGCGCATCAACGTCGTCCGTCGAGATGGTGCCCGTCTCCGTCTGCTTCCTGGTCGCCTCCTCGCGCTCCTTCTTGACCCTCTCGGCCTCTTCAGCCTGGCGGGCCGCAGCCAGCGCACTGGAGAAACGCTGGGACATGGCAGTTTTGGGGCGCTCGTCTTCGGGCACATAAGCCGAGCTGGGCACGCCCTTCTCCCAGTAGAGCTCCAGAATCCGCTTCTCCTTCCTGAACTCGGCCTTCTTCAACGGCAGTTGGTCGCAGTGCACTCGCTTCTCAAAGCCCCACTCGGGGATGATGACATCGAATGCCGATTCATACACGCAGATAACGATGCCCTCGCTGATTAAGTCGCCGTTGACTTCCTGGCGCTTCTTGTCCATCGCACGGCAGGCCTCAATATGAACGCTCTGCTCCTGGGCGTTCTGGGCCGACTCCTTTTTGGTGTTGCAAGCCTCAACCGTCTTGACCAGGTTCTCCAAATCCTCGTTGTACTCAATTTTGCCTTCGGAAAGCACCGACTCCAGTTGCCGGTGGACCAGAATATCTGCATAGCGCCTGGTCGGGCTGGTGAAGTGGGTGTAGAGCGGCAGGTTGAGTGAGTAGTGCGGCCAGAGATGCTTGGCCGTCTTGCCGGCAACGAAATACTTGGCTCGCTGCATTGATTTGAGCAGCAGCACCTCCATGCCCTTTCTGATCTCGGCATCCTCGACTCGGAAGAGGCTGCTCTGGAGTGTGCCACTGCTCGAAGGATCAATTTCGTAGCCAAGCGCCGTCATGCGCTCCACAAAAGTCTGGAGGCGGCGTGAATTCGGCGCTGCCTGCCTGCGCAAGAGAGCCTTCTCGGGGAGTGCACGGGATAAGCGTTGAGCGACATATGCGTTGGCCTTGTGCATGAGTTCCTCAACCAGCTCCGTTGCGGGCGTCGTGTCAAAGATGTTGTGCTCTACGGGGATATTCTCGTCGTCCAACTGCTGCAGGAGGCGGAGAGGGGCAATGGGCTCCCCGCCAGCGCCGAGACGTGCCTCTCGGAATTTCTGAGTTAAAACCTACAAAACTGTTAGGAAGTGCCCTGCCGTATAACCAGTCCGAGACTTACGTTGAGCATCTGGATGTCCTCCGCCTCGGCAACATCATGATTAAATCCGGCAACGCCGGATAGGGCCTCATCCATTTGCGCGAGAGACAGCTTGCCGCCGCTCTTGACGATGCCCTTGCCAATCCAGGTATCCCCTTCGGCAATAGCGCCAGTGTGCGGGTTGACGTGGAAAACAACGCTGACCGTCAGTCGATCTTGGTCGGGGGTCAGCGAACAAACCTCCCCCGACACCTTCGGCGGAAGCATGGCACAAAATCTGTTGACGAGCTGAACCGCAGTGCCCCGCTTCTTTGCCTCGCGGTCAAGGAGCGAGTTTGGCTTGACAAAATGCGTGACATCCGGGACATGGATGCCGATTTCGATCTTGCCGTCGGGCAGGGACTTGACGTGGACGCCGTTTCCGAGCTCGGCCGAGCCGTTCAAGTCTAGAGTGAAGACCTTCTCATTACGGAAGTCTCGGCGGGCCGCCATGGCAGCCTCATCCTCTTTGGCAATCGTCCAGTCCTGGAGACCCACACTGCGCAGGACGGCATCGGCAAACTCGTCCGACGAAAAGTTGTTGTCACGAAGCAGCGCATCCGTCTCGACCTTGAGATCGCCCATCTTGCCAAGCTTCTCAACCAGAGTGCCAAACGGATGCAGAGAGGTAATGGGCCAGCGCTTGATGCAGGCCACGAAGATCTGGTCTGCATAATCCTGGTGCTTCTCAACGAAGTCGCGCGGAGCCTGCTCCGTGGGGATCGCAATCAACGGAACCCGCTTATCAGTCGGCTTGAACCACACGATCTTGGGCTTTTCCTGCGCGCGGGACTCTTGGTGCCGTGACATGCTCCCATCACGCGCAGCCCGCTCGGCCTCCTGCTTCTCCTTTGTCGCCTGGCTGCTGGGCCGAAGCAGACCCAGGGTACCCGAGAACATCTGTCCCGCCACTCGCTCAATGACGGCGACGATGTGCCCGGCGTACAGAGGCTTCTGCTCATCGCTAATTTCTTCCTCCTCAACAAGAAGCAGGCTCTGACCCTCAACTTCAACATCATCGTTCTTCTTTTGAGTGGGACGTTGCCTCAAACTGCCGCGCCGGCGAATTCCGCCTTCACCATTGCCATTGTCGTCGCCGTTACCACCGCCCTGGCTAGTGCCAGCGGTAGACCCGGAACGCGTGTCAGTGATGTCCTTGCGCTTCTTCTTCTCTTCCTTCTCGCGCTTTTGGGACCACACTTCATCGACATCAAGGAGTTCAACCGCAACCAGATCTCCTTCGAGAGCGCGATTGCGGTCCTTGCTACCGCAGATGAAGATGTCAGCGTCAAGCAGGCCATCCTGGGTCGAGACGTAGGCGTCGCTCCGATTCTTCTTGTTGACGCGAAGAATGCCAGAGACGAGCTGTCCATCGCCCAGGAGAGCAGGAAGAGTGGCCTGCGGCAGGTATGGGGTGAAAAGCGTCTTGCGCTGCTGTTGCTGCTGCTGAGGTTGCTGGCCAGCCATATGAGGAGCGTGCTGGCTTGCCCCGAGCCCGGCCATGTGCTGGCCGTTCATGGAGGCAACCTGGAGAGCCTGAAGCTGGTTGAGCTGCATGGGGTTCAGCTGCTGGCCGGCGTAGATGTTGGGGATCATCATTTGGCCAGGGAGCTGCATCAGCTGAGGCTGGCCTGGGTACTGGAAGGCCCCGAGGTTGGAGATGGACTGGTGGCTGATGGAGCTTCGACTACGGTGGCCCGGCTGGAATCCCTGATTCTGACCGGCGCCGGCCGTCTGGTCCTGGCCCTGGTTCTGGCTTTGAGTCCGCCAGTTGCTGTCAAAGTTTCGAGACGAAGTGCGGGCATGGCCGCCGCCGCCACCACGGCGGGGGAAGTCGCCGCCAAGGCCTCCACGGCCATTCGCGCCAACAGCCATGCTTTGGCTCCGACCATGACCGCCACGTCCGCCGCGGAAGGACGGGACGGGCGCCGGCTGACTTTCCGCCGCGGGCTGTGTGGGGACAGCACCCTGGGCCTCGTTCTCCTGCTTTTCGGCGGAGCTCGTGGCACCAGGGGCCGGGAACTGGAAGCCGGATGTGGTGCGTTTCTGCTGGGCGATTTCAGCGGCCTTTTTGGCATCGGCCAGGGCCAAGGAGTGACGTCTCTGATGTCCGCCGCCAGCACCGCCGCCACCTCGGCCACCACGACCGCCAGCATTGTCCCTGCCTTGTCCCTGCGAATTGTCAAAGCTGCCAAAGGCGGAACCGGACGCGCCAGACGACGGTGCCGGAGGTGGGCCCATGCCCATGTTGGGGACCGCCGACTGATTACGGCGATGTGACAGGGGTTGTGTTGGCGCCGCCAGGGACACGTTTTGCTGCGGAAGCGGAGTCGGGAACTGGAAGCCGGCTTGCGGCGACATGTTGGACATTGCAGCCTGGAGAGGATTGAAGGCCTGGCCCGGCAACATGCCCATCTGCTGATAGGTAGCTTGAAGCTGCTGCTGCTGCTGCTGCAACAGCTCAATCTGTTGCTGGATGGCCAGCTGCTCCACTGCGTGGAGAAATTCGGGTTAGCATTCATGTTGCACACATGCAGAGGGAAAGGGGGTAAAGCAACAACGCCCGAGGCTGATACCCGACAGGGCGAGGAACAGCGATTGCGGACAAAGTTGACGAGAGCAAGCAGAGCAGAAAGGAGTGGTTTGATCAAGAATGGCAAACAGCAACTTACTACCAGGATTCGCAAACATACTCATCAATGGGGTTAGCTCCGACGGGCTCCTGCGATGGGCGATGTGCAGCCGGCGGCCAGCAGGACCGGGGACACCTCCAGGCTGAGGCTGCTGTTGGTGCTGATGCTGCTGCTGCTGCTGATCCATGGCGGCGATTGGTGTTCGCAAGCGGCAGGGAAGGCAAGCAGAAGCAGGTCGATCAGATCGAGATGGATGCACGTCGAGTGCGACACACAATTTGGTCGGATACGTTTGCGGGCAGCAGTGGATAGGAGCCGGGTCGGGTGTCTCGTCTACCGGACCGGGATATCGAGTTTGGCTGTTGCTGTTGGGGGTTCAGATTGCGGATCGCGGACAATTACCTGGTACGTGCTGAAAGCTTTCGAGCCCAAGGGGGTTAATGAAAGATCGAATAGAGCCGAGAGGGAGTGGCGGGCTTGATGGCGATGGCTACTTAGATGCCAGAAGCCTGAAAGGGGAGAAACTTGTGGTTGGAAGGAGGGTGCAAGTGAGGAGGAGAAACCCCAAGGTCGATGATGACGATTGAAAGCAGCGGGTGGGATGTGCAGCAGAGCAGAGCAGGAACCAGACGTGAGCGAAGGCTCCGTGCTCCAGTGCCCCAAGCAACGCTAGCCTGCTACCAAAAAGGGATGGATTAGGGCGTGGGTCATGGTCCCGCACACGAGTGAAGCTCGGGCCACCGCGAGGGGCTTTGCTGCGCCGAATTAGCCCCTAAGGTGTCTCCGTCGTTAGGGGTTTTCTTGCGATGGGGGTTTACAGGGGACGAAACTGAACAAGAAAGTCTCATTGTATGATACGGGATCCAGAGTTTAGGCCAAATTTTTTAGTGGATAGGTTAGTCCCACAGTTTGGGCAGCAAGGCGCGCGGTTGGCTTACACAAGAACATTGCGATGGTCTGTCAAGTCGATGGTTATGTTGGAAAGCTTGAGGGTCTCCTCCGCTTATAACCTCTCCCAAAGCCTAATCCAAGTACATACGACCATATCCACAAGAATATACGGGATCCCGTCCGCTCTCCCCTAGTCAAACTTGTGAGAGCCAGATTAGTAGTTGGGTCGGTGACGACCAGCGAATCCCTGGTGTTGTATGTTTTTTTCTTGCCCACCAAAGGGGTCGTGTTGGATGGCACCTTAGTCAGCAGTCTTGCGTCTTTGGACCTAAAAGGTCAACTGCTTGTATCTCATCCTCAAGACTCTCTGTACGAGCCTTGCTCTTGAATCGGTGCTTCCTATTCAACATTGCCGTCTGCTCTACGTGACTAACAACATGAGAATGCCAAACAAACAGCCCCGAAAACCACGCCAGCAAGTAAAGGTACAGATAGCAAGATACTGCAGTATTCGATGCTATGCCCGCCTGAAGCGCATCAGAGAAACGGGAAGACAGGAGCCACCCTTCCTCAGCCCTCCAGCATTACATCCATATGATACAAGCGTCCGTCGCGCCGTCGAGGCCATCCGTCAATCATCCATCCATCCAGTCATGTAAATCATCCAGTCATATCCGGCCCCTTCATAAATCCCAACCGGGCAATCAGAGAAGGGCAGAGAACCGGAAAGACAAACCCCATCCACCCATTCGACACAGTGAGCGTACGCAAGCCAGACATAACCAGGGTATGACATCATAACCCATCCATTGAGATCCCGACAATTGCCCGTGGAAAGCAGGCACGCTCACCACATAAGACACTCCTCTCATCATACTCCCTAAACACCTTCCACTCAACACCAGCCGCTCTTTTACACCTCTAGCTGCCGCTCGCCCCTGAGGCCGCTGCTTCGACATCCGACTGAAGACAGATCAAGCGCCAGCCAAAACCGCCCACCGGGCTCTCAACCCGTCAGTCCAGCGCGCATACAACAGATCCGACAGCGCCTTGCAGTGCTCCATGCCCGGCACGGCCGGCCGGCCGGGGAACTTTGCCTCGAGCGCCGCCATTTTTTCCCTTTCTCTATCCTTCTCTGCTCTATCCCTATCCCGTTCCCGGTCCTTGTCAGGCGAACCCCTGCCGTCAAGGGAGACAGGCTGCGGGAGCATGCTCCCTCGCCTGCGGTGATGGCTCATCAGGTGGGGATTCTCCTGACTGAGGATGAGCTTGGTGGGGCTTGACGAGGTGGATGTTGGCGGGGTGCATGCGAGGGTGGTGGCGGTGGAGGGTCGGGATCCTTTGATCAGGACTGTTCCCTGGGTGGTGCCGTCGTTGGGTGGTTTAGATGACGGCTCGGAGTTATCGTTGTTGTTGCTCTTCGTGCTGGGCTGGTGCTGCTGCGGGAGGAAGGTGTTGTTCAGTTTGGTGTCCTGGGAGATGGTCGAGACGAGGTTGCGGAGGAGGTGGTATGCACCTTCCGGGTCGACTGCATCGAGGTAGGCGAAGGCGTCGGATAGTCTTGCAAGGGCATCTCGCTTGGAGGAGGCGGCTGTTTGCGCGTGGAGCTCGTCGAGACACGGCTCGAGCGCTTTGTTGTAGAGTCGGCGGCCCAGCATGGCTTCTTTACTGTTCGGTTCAACCGGGGAGTGGTATGCTGGCGGCGCGTGGTTCTCGTTGGCAAACTCGGGCGGAGAAGAGCCCAGGAGGCCCGAGTTAAAGCCATCGGACGGCACGCGACGGAAGAGACGCATGGTGGATCCGGAGTTGCCAAACGACATGTCGGGTTGAAGAGGGCGCTTCGGGCCAAGCGATGGGCGAGGGGAACCGTTGGAGACGTGACGGCGGATCGAGTTCTGGCGCGAGCTCCGGCGAGAGGCGGTCGATGGCTGCCGCCGACCTGTCGCTTTCCGCACCGTCCCCGGCGTATTAGGCTGGAGGGGCCCGTCCTTGAGATCCAACTTACGCATTGCGTCCTCAACCGGAAAAACAGACGACGGTTTCCTGGACCGAACAGTCCCTCTCCTCGGCACGATTGATTTAACCGTATCGAACACCCACTCGTCGGCCTCGTCCTTGGGAGAGATGGTGTGTAGGGTCTCCTGGTAGTAGACCGGGTGTTTGAGTTGGTCCGCCCTGGCGTCGGCATTTCGTTTTCGCTGTATCAACTCCTGCAGGGCTTCCACTTTCCCGGCTGAGCGAATGAAGCGATGTTTCAAAAGCTCCTTTGCGGTCGGTCGGAGGTCAGGGTCCTTGACCAGGCATTGGGTGACAAAGTCCTTGAACTCCTTGCTGAATTTCCCCTCCAGCCTGGGAGGCGGGTTCTTTGGGATGTGGAAGAGAACCTTCATGGGATGGAGGCTAGCATGTGGAGGTTCGCCCATGGCCAGTTCGATGGCCGAGATACCAAGCGACCAGATGTCGGCTTTGAAGTCGTAGCCCGCCTGCTGGATCACTTCCGGGGCCATCCAGAAAGGCGTGCCGACAAATGTGTTCCGTTGCGACTTCATGTAGGTCAACTGTGCAGCGACGCCGAAGTCTGCCAGTTTGACCTTGCCTGTCTCGGACAAGAGCACATTCGCGGCCTTGATGTCGCGGTGAATCTTTCCTTCCGAGTGCAGGTATTCGAGGCCAAACAACAGCTCCCGGCAGATGATGGCGATTTGGACCTCGTTGAAGACACCTGATTTCAGCTGCGCGGCCGTCAGCACCAGCTCAACAGAGGATCACATCGCGCCGCAAGGGACATACCAGATCGAGGCAGGATCCGCCGCCCAGGTACTCCATGACGATCCACAACTTGTGTCCGCGCAAGAAGCTGGCCTTGTACTGCGTGACATAGCTGCTGGCGCATGTGCTGAGCACCGAGATCTCCTGTTGGATTTCTTGGATATCGTCCTCGCTTGATTCGAGATCGATCTGTCACAATGGATCAGCGATCAGAGCTTGTTCGGACTGCGAAGATGTTCGAGGTTGCACTTACGTGCTTGATGGCGACTGTCTCCCCCGTCGCCTTGTCGATGCCCTTGTACACGACACCAAAGCTGCCACCTGCAAAGACGTATCGTTAGCCTATTCCTGCGAGCGAAGTAGATGCGCCCATGGTCGCGACTCACGCCCAAGTTCTTCCAGCACCTGGTAGCGACTTGCGACGCCTTCGCCATCCATATTGCTGTCTTTGCTGTTGCGGTCGGGGAGGCGGGATAGAGCAGGCGTGACCGAATACACTAAAGACGATGGACTGGACGAACGGTGGAGACAATGGAGAAGAGGAGGGGCCGCCAAGTTAGCCGAGCGGAGGGCGACCTGGAGGTGGCCTGCTGCCTCGACAGTGACCGTGGAGGAGTGGTGAAGCTGGCGATGGGTTCCTGGGTGTGGACGGTACCGGAATCGATTTCGGGACAGGCGTGGTGGCCTGGTCGGGTGCTCTTAAGACTGAACTTGTCCGCTCTTGCAGGGTGTTATGGTTGTCTGGGTGCTGGGATGAGCACGGGCCATTGTTTACTTTGGATGACGGTGGGGAGCCGAGTTCACCGCTCTCTCTCGAAGAGGACTAAGGCTGACGTCCGAGTAGACATTGAAGCCGTGAGAGGAGTGGTTTTCATTCCACTTGAAATTGTGGGAGCATGCTTCCTCTGATCAATCGATAACCGTGATGCATGCTACGGGAATCGGAAATATCCATGGCAAGACACTTGTCGATGCGACTGCTGCCTTGATGAGACACCAAAACCTGCTGCCAGCGCATTCAGTTGCTCCCGCTCCCTCAGGCGTCGGTCCCTCCAGGCTGCATGAGGAGCGCTCGAGCCAATTGGACGAACTCGACACTCAGCCGGCAAGCAGGGCAGGCAGAAGCCGATTGGATAAATCCTGGGACGCCGCTTACGGTAGGTGGGGTCAATGACGGTGTTGCCCTGGCAACTGTTGTGGGCGCGAAGGGAGCTTGACCTGGTAGCTGCCTCGTGCCTGCTACTTAGTGCTTGCAAACAACAATTCGCAAATGCTCGCCAGCTGGTATGTTAACATTGAAACCAGCCGATTGCCGACTGTCCTTTGTTTTCCCTGATTCCCACTCCCAGAGAACTGTGGGGGCAACCAGGCCAACCCCTTCAATTGCAACGACACTGCCGGAGCTCCCTGTCGCCCATCTCGCTTGAGCTTGGATGGCTCCTGTCTTGCAACTCCACATTCGTTTGCCGAGCCCTTCGACGAGACCCGGTGCGGTCATAGCCCGACTTTTATTGTCTCGGGACAGTGGCGCCGTCATTCCGCGACAAAGCGACCTTGACGTATAGAGACAAAGAAAGGGTTTTGAACACCGAACACAACAATGGTTCCGGCACCGCCGCCGCTGCCGACGCGCTTTCCGTGCTGGGTGCGAGCAGTGTACTCATGGGGAGGAGAGGTGCGTCTTGCTTACCGCCTGGTCTCTGTTTGCTTATGCTGACAGCACTGGCAACACAGTCGAAGCGAGACCTCGGGTTCATCGAAGGCGACCTCATCGAATGCCTGAATGCGGGCGACGGCTCATGGTGGACAGGCAGGCTGTGGCGTGACCGAAGAGCAGTCGGCCTGTTTCCCTCCAACTTCGTCGAAGTGCTGCCAGACAGCTTCCGCCCCACTACCCGAGGAACCAGCCCTCTTCCTAAAAGCAATACCCCGAGCCCGAAGAGCACTCCTCAAAAATCCAGGACTTTCCGGAAGCCGTTTGAGGCCTACGCCAAAGCTCCGCACTACACGACAGCCAAGACTCCCGAGACGTATAAAGATGGTGTTCGACCACGTGAAGTAGCCGAGACATCGAGGGAAATCGCAGTTCGATCTCGCGAGCCTTCGGCCAATTCATTCGATCACACAACCGCAGCTCCTGCTGGTGATCCTGGACCAGGGCTTCCTTCGCGAGTTCCTAGTCATCTTGGGCGAGATGTTTCTCCTGCTAGAGCTCCGAGTTTCGTTGGCCGGGAACCCTCCCCTTCGCAGGCTCCGCTTTACGTTGGCCGAGATCATTCACCTGCCCAAACTCTCAGCCATGCCAGCAGGGATCCTTCACCCTCCGGAGTATCCAGTTATATCGGCAGGGATCCTTCTCCCTCACGAGTTCCTAGTTTTGGCTCCAGGGCACCATCCCCTGCACCGTCATACATACCCTACCGGCCTCCGCAGTCCCGTCAGCATGCCTACCATCTCAGCTTGGAAAGGGTGGACTCCTACCGGCCTGCCTCGCCGAGAGGCGATTCACCCCCTCCACCCCCGCCTCCGCCGCACCGTTCGCGACTTGCTAAACATGGGGCTCATGCCTCATACGACGAGGGTTACTACGGAGGCTTGTCAAGAGAGCCGTCTGCCCTGTCCAGGGAAGCTTCTATTCCGTCGTATGGGTACAAGCCACAACAACATTCGAATGCATCATACGAGCCCGTAGCCCCGGGCTATCACACTCCCAGGATGCCCTCGCCGTGCCCGCCTTCCCCTGGAGGATTGACGCCCTCCCCATTGAGAGAGGCCATGGACGACGTGATGGAGCAACTCGACGCGCTAGGGGCTGGCAGAGAAGCTGAGCCGCCGGAACCGGCGTTGGACCCTTGGTCACCAGAATCATTTGACATGGTACATCATCTCTCGAGGAAGAAGCGAGACCAACAACAGCGCCCCCAAACGGCCACGGGCATCCCACTTCATGTGGACGAAGGGTATGAGACATACAGCGGGAGTGCTGAATCCTCACAAGAGCCCACCCCGCAAGACAGTTACCAACAGCAGCTGCCCCAACTCAGCAATTATGTGGAGAGGATGGAGTCCAGGCTAAGAATCATGCACCAACAAAACTCAAGCGTGGACGATGTGGACGAACCGCCGTCTCCACCTCCGAAACGCGGCCAGATCTTTGAGCGACCCAAGTCGTCGATGGACATACATGCGCAGTCGGAGCAGAAACTGCGGCAAAAGAAATCGGCGTACGAAATTAGTCGTCAGGTCCTCAATCGCACATTCACCACAAAGACCAACTCGACAAATAGCTCGTCAGCGACCCAGAGCACGGATCGCAGTTTGATGAGCGGTGTGTCGGCGGGAGGGATCAGTGCCACAAGTGCCGGCAGCCTGGCGAGAAAGAACCGGGGCAGGGCTCAGAGTGCTCTCGCCATGCGGGATCTTGACCCAGATCGGCCAGAGACGCCCTTCACCGGCGTCACATACCACAGCAGCCACGCGTCCGGCGAGCAGAGGTCCAAGTCACAAATGGGGTTTCATGACGACCCCATGGCTGCAGTAGGAGGACTGGTGCAACCAAAGCCGAAGAAGCAAAACTTTATCAAGCGAATTCTCGAATCTGCCAAGACAGGCGTGGCCAGCTCCAGGGGTAGCATCGCAACTGCCAGCTCTGCTCAGCCGGCTTCTTCAGGCCGGTCAACCCCCGCTCTAACCTCTCTCTCCGGACCGCTTTTTAGCAAGGCGGGGCGAGAACCCGGCAGAGAGATGGGAATGGGCAGTGGCGTGGATTGGGTTCAGGTGCGGCGCGATGTTAACCGATCCAACTCGCTGAGCCAGAACGAGCTCCTCGACAGGAAGGAGAGGTGTCAGATGTTAGACTACCCTGCGCTAGACCCAGTTGACGAGTTGTATAACAGCATCGACGGCGATGAGGGAGCCGATGGAATGCCGGTGGCTGAACCAATAAACTATCACGCCATCAACTTGAGTCAAGTGGACAAGAACACTCGGTTCCTCGCCAATCTTCCTCCGACCACCACACCGATTACGCTGGCCACAACGTATGTTTGTCGGCCATATCGCAGCGATGTCCAGCGCCTTCGCTCAATCTTCACTTGGGTATCTGAGAAGATCTGCTGGGAGGAGGATTTTGACGGGCCCATCGATACGCGGAGGGTGATTCAGACGAAGCGAGCATGCGCCGAGGAATATGCGACTCTAGTGTTGGAGATGTGCACTGCGGTCGGGTTGACGTGCGAGGTCGTCCGCGGATACCTCAAGGCTCCAGGGGAAATTCCGGATGTCAACATTATGCCTCGGTCCAATCACTGGTGGAATGCCGTGTTGGTGGATAACGAGTGGCGGATGATGGACTGCTGCCTCGCTAGCCCGTCGAATCCGCGGAGAATATTGTACTCGAGCTACAACTCCTCGTCCGCCGACCCCTGGTGGTTCCTGGCCCGTCCCACCGAGATCTGCTGGACGCATATCCCCGAACACCACGAGCAGCAACACATGTGCCCGCCGGTTGCCCACGACATTCTCCTCAATCTGCCCTGCGCCTGCCCGCCATATTTCAAGAACGGTCTCCAAATGATCGACTACAACACGTCGCTCACTCGGATCGAGGATTTAGAGATGGTGCACATCAAATTCAGCGTCCCGGCTGATATCGAGGTGGCTGCAGAAGTTGAGGTACGTAGTTATGCTCGCGACGCAGATGGCGACTGCTTCGAGTCGGGCGACACGGTCAAGAAGCGGGCTCTCGCCCAAGCAGAGTGGTTCAACGGCATCAAGCGTTACACAGTCAAGGCGCTCCTCCCCGGCGACGAAGGCACCGGCGTCTTGAAAGTGTATGCCGGCAAACGGGGCCTGATGCACAGCATCAAGGACATCCCGCACCCGCTCGCCTTTGCCCTGCCCGTCATCCACACGGGCGAGAACCCGCCGTACGAGTTTGTTACGCGCCACCCAACCCCCCACGCGCAGCGCCACGATATCTATGTCGTCCAGCCGCAATGCCAGCGTCTCGCGCTCAACAATACCTTTGTTTTCGCCATCCGTCAGCACCCCAGCTCGCTGGGCGCATCGCCCACGACCCCCTCCTCCAACCCGGGCAACACTAGCCCGATTCCCTTTGTTCGCCCCGGCAGTGCCATGAGCATGACGAGCTCGAGCGCGGCCGGCTCCAACCCGAGCACGGTGGCGAGCGGCAGTGGCGGCAGCAGCAGCAATGCGAAGAAGCCTGCCAAGCTGGCGATTCAGACGCCTGGCGGCAAGATCCTCCGGTTGATGCGCAAGGAGGAGCGGCGCGGGATCGGCGGTGTGCTCGGCAGTGGCGGACGGGGTCCGATGTCCCCCACTTCTGGGCCGCTGCTGGGCGACGAAGAGGCGGGCGACGGCGGCGTGTGGGAGACTATCATCAAGTGCTCCGAGAGGGGCGTTTGGCGCGGGCTGGTGCTTGCTGATCGGACGGCGAGGTGGTGCGTTTTTGCGGAGTGGGTTTGTGAGGGGTGAGGCTTCAGGATATTGCACCCCTTTCGCTTGTTTAACTTGCCGTTTATTCTGTTACGGTTGATCTATTGCGAGATCATGTTGGATTTTAAAGCTTTTCTGCTGTGTGGATAATGGCTGGACCTGTCCCAAAAACGGCGTATGTGTACGGATATGGAGAAAGGGATTTTGTTGTTATGTTTTGTCAGTGATTCACTTTGCGGTTCACTAGCCGGCCGGGTTTGCATCCAAGGGCGTTCTAATTTGGTGGTCGACATGGGTGGGATTTGTTGGCCGGTGTTCGGTGAAGATCGGAGGAAAGGAATGAATGGGAGCAGGGTCGAGAGCAGGTGTACAAGTATTGCATGGAAGGGCATAGGAAATTATGGTCTCCTTAACGATTTGCGCGTTCCATGTCATGTTCTTGGACAATACAACTTTCTCGACCCGTGCTGCGGATATGGACCTAGCAGTTGCTGTCGGGCCAGGGCAGCGAGCCATTTTTCAACCAGCTTGAGCTCAGAAAGCAAGACGAAGCCGTCTTGCGCTTTACCTGTCCTAGGTATCTTGCATGCTTGCGGCAGACGTGCTCGATGTCTGCCACGGACTCTCAACAGACTTAGTCGCCAGCTAATTCAGCCAATAGAATACGGATAGGGCGTACATCAGGATGAGGATCTACAGATCGTATCGCTTGTTCAACGCTGCAACGCGGAGGCAAGGCTGCCCGGAAAACCGGGGGCTGAGCAAGCCGGGCTTCGTGGCTTGAAGCTTTAAGGTAAGTACAATTGCGTCTCTACTTCCCCTTCCTTAGCTTGATGCTTCTTTCTAGGTTTATACATCCACATGCATTTCACAGCTCACCGCTCTTTACCATCAGAGACACTGGTGAAGTTGCCGGCATGCCGTCAGCTTCCAACAAGCGGCAGACGCCTCAACATCCTAACGCCCCAGCCCGAAGCGTCGGCAACACGAAGGTCCGCAGAATCATGAACGTATTCCTAATACACCGAACAAGCAAACACCAGAGTCTGCGAGCCTCTCAGACAAGTTGTGTCTCCAATGCAACAAAATTGACTTCGAGAGCATCTTCAGCATAGCCATCATCAACAGGAGACAGTGGAAATGGCGCTACAAGGCCATTTCCCTAGAACACATTGGCCTCGAAGCAAATGTGCTCTCTGTCAATTTTTCTAACAAAACTCGAAAACACGGTAGTTACCGAGATGATTTTACTCGAACATACAACCTTCGCATGCTTCGCGCAAAGGGATTGCTCGGCGCCCGAGGTATATTCGCCGTGGCAGCACGGATGAACTCGCAGGAGTTGGCCATGGAGTTATCTGATGCGAGTGATGGATTCTTTGCACGCCGGCTACAGCCCAGGATAGAAGTCTCTCTCACTCTGGAATGGCTGGCCTCTCGCGACAGGCACCACACAGCAGTACACAGCTCGACCGCCAGTCCCGCAGGGTTTCCGCGTCATAGACTGCTCTGCAGGCGCGAACCTGCCTGTGGCGTGGGAGGACGTGGCGCATGCCAAGAAGTATGTGACGCTCAGTTATGTATGGGAAGGAGATCAGGACGAAACTGCCTGCCCCGAAGGCCACATTCCAGACCCGCCACCCAGGACCATCGATGATCCCATCTCCCTGACGAGGAGTCTCGGATACCGGTATCTCTGGGTAGGCCGGTACTGCAAACCGCGGGACAACGCCAAAGTCGAACACCTACAGATTCAGAGCAAGGACGTCATCTATCAGCATTCTGCCCTCCCTATCATCGCTGCCGCAGGGGAGAATCCTCTTTACGGACTCCTTGGCGTTGGAAGAACCCCAAGAAAAGTCCAGGACTTGGTAACCATCGGGTCGCGAACTCTGGCGTGGGTACCATCCATCAAGAACGAGATCCTGCGATCGAAATGGAACGGCCGCGGTTGGACGTACCAAGAAGGCCTACTCGCCCGAAGGAAGCTTGTGTTTACAGACTCGCAGGTATACTTTTTAGTGTAACGCAATGCATCGCCTGGAGAGCATCCAGGCGCCTCTCAAGACTTTGCACATCCCAAACATGGCCCGGATGCGGGATCCGATCGACATGTCCCGGGTCTTCCCTCACCGCACATTGGCAAACAGCCATCCATGCTGGCCACAGGATCAACGAGTATATTAGGCAGTCTCTAACATTCGCTGCTAACATTCTCGATGCTTCAGGGGTTTTCTGCATGCCTACGAACGCCAGTTCTTCGCCACCAAAAGGCTTCTTGCCGGCATCCCTTGTCAATAGGACCCGATATCTCTCTCCTGACCGCCCTGGTCAAGGGTCTATCATGGCACTGGAAGTACTTCTACGATGACTAGAGAGCCTTTCGAGCCTTATGGACAGCGAAAGGACGACCAGGGTTTCCGAGTTGGACGTGGCTGGGCTGGAAGGTGTCAAACAACGTTCACTTTTGTGGGGGATACTGTTTAGAGCACATACTCGCCGACGACAGTATGGAGTACGCCGACGGACAGTTGCTGTCCTGGACTGCCAACCAGGATTGGATCTTCGCTTGGGATCGGGCCCGCTGTCTGCCTGTCGTACTCCGCATCCGTGGCTTGGCCCTGGACGTCGGCGTCTCCGCAGAGGGCCGGTTATTGACGGGTCCGAGGGGACCTCTCCCAACGGGTCAAGACTTCTACTACAGCGATCGAGAAAGTTGGCGCATTTTTGTGGCATATACGTTGCGTGCTTATCCCGCCTCGACCTTTCCCCCCCCCAAAAAAAAAAAAACAACAACAACCATGTTTAGTTTACCCTGCTAGCGTTGGGATTGGACGACTACAGAGATAAGAGTGATCGACACAGGCGGAGCCATCGTGTTCCTGGCATTGCATAAGCCGGTAGCATTCCCACACTTTGAGCGCGTTGGTATTACGAAGATGACATCAGATGCGTATTTGAAGTCCGTTTTGCTGATGCGCAGAGACGTTGGGGGAACAAAGGGGTCAGGCTAGGATAGAATGCGGAGTTGGGGGCTTCCCTCTGTTGCTGTTGGCAGGAGACTGCGCTGTTTCTCACAATGCTGACGACAAAGCACCGTAGGAGATGCGGGCAAGATCAACGATGGAATCTCGACGTCACTTCCCGCCTGAGAATCAGCAGGCTGCCAGTCGGAGAGACCAGAGCAGCTGTTGATGGTGCTGTCTGTCCGGCCACGGCATGCTGCTGACGAAACTGTTGTGTTGGGCGCGGACAGGTTGCTATTGATGTCGAGGACACAATGGGGGGGTTTAGGGCCATCCTGTCCCAATCAAAGAAAAAAGGGGTTGAGGTCGCCAGAGCGACGGTGGAAAGCTGGGTCTTCCAATCCAGAGCCCCTTCCTGGTCGCTCTTGTCGGTCAGGTTGGCTTGGAGCAGCAAGCATGAGTCTCATCGGAAGGTCAGAACCCAAGGGGCGATGTCTAGTACCTGTCATCTTAGACCGGTCCATCCTAGTTGCTTGTGAACAAGACACAAGTTCTTACGGTGGGAGCTGCAGTTGAGGTTGACGATGAGATATAGGTGAGGCGAGAGAGGTCACGGCCTTTGCTGTTAGACCAAAGATACTTCCAGCAAAGTCGACGAGAGGGCGCCCGGATTCTCAACTGACTTATGTTAGCTTGTACGATTGCCGTAGTACCCAATGACGGAATAACATATAACTTGCAACATAAGAGGAGCCAATTGCTGGAGTAAGGTAGGGAGTTGTAGACTGGCTTCAAATGTTAGTGGCACAGTGCAGTACAGTACGAGCGTTTTGCGTTTTGTCCAATGGTAGCAAGTTGCCGTGTTTCCTTGCTTCCATCATCACTCCTCTCACCCTTGTCGCACGCTATTAAGCCGAGGCGTGTTATCCACCTACGATTTGTGTGGTGAGTCGTTGGCTTCCTGAAAAGGGCGCGGACTTCCGGATTGTCTCCCAAAATAATTCATTCCTCATCATCCTTTCAGGCTTTGAGGAGTTAGCATCACTTCTCACTCTCACATCTCACCTCAACACCTCAACACCTCAGCCGGCCCTACATATCCACCATGGCCACCCCCGCACCCCCCACCATCAAAACCAGTAACCTAACCTATACCTTCCAAGACCAATCCACCGGCGTCTCCAACATCACCCTCTCCCTGCCCCCGCGCTCGCGCACGCTCCTGATCGGCGCCAACGGCGCCGGCAAAACCACCCTCCTCCGCCTGCTCGCGGGCAAGCGCCTCGCGCCCCCGGACACCATCCGCGTGTCGGGCGTGGACCCGTTCAAGGAAGGGCTTGAGGGCGTGACCTATCTCGGGCTGGAATGGGTGCTCAACGCGATCGTGCGCACCGACATCGGCGTGGGCGAGCTGCTCAAGTCGGTCGGCGGGGACGTGTACCCGGAGCGACGGGACGAGCTGGTGTCGGTGTTGGACATTGACACGGCGTGGCGCATGCACGCCGTGTCGGACGGCGAACGGCGGCGGGTGCAGCTGGCCATGGGCCTGATCCGGCCGTGGACGGTGTTGTTGCTGGATGAGATCACGGTCGACCTGGACGTGTGGAGCCGGGCGCAGTTTTTGGGCTTCTTGAGGAGGGAGACAGAGAGCCGGGAGTGCACGATTGTGTACGCGACGCATATCCTGGATAACCTGGCCGGGTGGCCGACGCATCTTGTGCATATGCACCTGGGCACGGTGAAAGGTTGGGGCCCGGCTGAGGAGATGCTCAAGGAGGTCGAGGAGAAGAGCGGGGAGGAGGGCCCGTTGGGGGCGACGGGGAATAGTCGGTTGGGGGAGCTGGTTTTGAGGTGGCTGAGGGATGATTTGCGGGAGAGAGGGCCGCGGAGCCAGCATAAACGCGGCCCAGAGGGCTGGTCCTACACCGTGACGGGCCTTGGGGGCTATGGATTTGAGCCCAAGGGGCCAAGTGAGGAGAACTGAGTGTACTCCGAGGATGCATTGCGACGGTTGATCTCTGGATATTGGTGGGAGGCGTAGATGGCTTTAACATGATACCCAAGCTGCATTTAACATGGGGTGGCGAGACGATACAAAAGTTTGGCAACAGTTACATTTACGGATCTTCAACCGACAGACAGACAGCCAAAGTCAACATGGTTGTTAACTTTCCCTTGAGGATACTTCAACTGATAGATGGACAGCCGATGTCAACATGGCTGTCAGATTTGCATTCACGATGCCTTCAACTACTAGATACACAGCCAATGTCAGCACGGCTCTCAGAAGGATTTCACCAAAGTAGGGTATCTTCATAACAAAGCCCCTGCTCCTTCAGTGCTGCCTCGTGCTCATGAGCTTTTTCATGGTGTTGTACATCAGGTTGGGAATGCCCGGAAACCCCTTCGCCTCCATATATGCCAGCACGCCAGACCTGTACTCCTGCCACGACAGCCTCAAGCCTCCCCTATGAGCGAGCTGTCCCAGCGAAGCCTCCGTCACGGGCCCAGCGTGTCTGGTCCGGATGGTCGCCATCTCGGCGTCTTCCAACTCGCGAACATGCGAAATGGACTGCAGACACAGCAACGGAGAGTGCGACAAGCCAAACGCCGTCGCAAGACCCAAGTCCGGGTCGACAGCGGAGAGGTACGACCCGAGCGACGCCTGGGCCTGCTGCGTGATGCGGCACCCTTGGGCGTTGGCGTCGGTCGTGGAAAAGGCGCGGCCCCGCCACAGGCAATTGCAGAGATCCATCAGGAAGCCATTGAACACGTTGATCTGGTCCCGCTCGCGCCGTGTCAGCCCCCGCGACACCGCCGGGGACATGACGGCCTCCCAGGCGCGCTTGTACGTGGTGAGGATGCCGCACAGCCGGGATACCACGGCGAGCGAGGGACTGAAGTACAGGAGGTACACGAGTAGAGGAGGCGGTATGGTGATGTCGATGTGCTCGATGAGCTTCGGCTTGGAGTAGAGCGTTGCCGCGGCTTCGTAGAAGTCGATGATATCTAGGAAAGTCCCAACTGTTGGCGAGGTTTGGGTTAGAGTCAGTGTGAGCTGGTTGACATAACCGATAAGGTTGGGAACTGTGTCTGCAGGGAGGGCATCGAGGCGCTCTGCAGCTTCCATGGTAATTGTCCACCGCCGAAGAAGAAGCGTGTAAAATCTCAGAAGCGAGACTTGGGAGGATGGCGTGTTATCCAGCATCGACTGCTCCAACACTCGGAGGATTCTGTACAGTTCTGCACCTATTAGCGGTGGCCTACAAGGAAGGGGATGTGGAAACACGTACCCTCGAACTTCATCACCGGAGCGAAACTCAGAGTCTCGACGACCACATCCCGCTTTTTTGAGCCGTCCCAAACTTCCAGAAACTGTGCGAAGAAGGTGAGTAGTAGAGGGGATAATGACTGCGACGGGTCAGATCAGTCAACTGAGGCCATCGATCTACTGCACTGACATTGGTGGCAACTGCATAGTCGTGGATGACCTCCAGTATGTCTAGAAAGATGTCGGAATCCGCATCTCCGCTTGCGACATCGCCCAAACAGGCCATTAGCCAGTTGCTGATGCGGGAGAACCCCTCGGCATCTGGCCGGAGGAGCAACAGCTTTTGCAGAAGGGGGTCCGCCAAGACGGCCACGAGCTGGGTAGGCAGCTCAATCTTCTCGAGCTTCTTGACAAAGGACTCGGCGTTGTCTATCTCTTCCAAGGTGACGGAGCTCTTGTGACAGTCAATTTACTGGCACCTAAATTTAGGGCAGGAGGCGTTACCTCTTGGGCATGCATAGTATGGACAGTAGGAAACAGATGTTTTGTCCCCTTCAACCGCCGACCTAGGTCATGACTGACAGCAAAGCCATTTCTGATGGCAGGGTCCGCTTCACGCTCAGAGCGCTGCTTCTGGATCTCGTCGAGTCTTGCCCGCCATTGAGGATCTGGATGCTATAAAGGTTCAGCGATGGAACGTTCGGGGTCCAAGAGAAGGGTTTATACCTTGAAGGATGCAGCTCGTCCCTTTGTGATGTCACCGACAATAACCTCTGGGTAGTAGTTCTTGAATACGCGGAGAAGGCCCGTCAGATTGGGGTCCCCGCTCGTCTGCCGGGACAGGTTGAGTCTGTTTCCGGTCCGTTAGCGTAGTCGCAGACAGTTAACTGATATAAGCGCACTTACATGGCCTGTATCCGGAATGGCCTCACATGCTTGCGCCTCGTCACCAGCGCCAGGAGATGACACAGTTGTGGCCTGTGAGAAGGTGAGCTCGGTCGCAGGGGCGCCGTCTGGACTCGGTCTCACCTGATAGCGGCTGTATCGAGCAAATTGAACAGCACGCCATACGCCTGCGACAGAACGGCCGAATTCTCCAGCAAGTGGTACACCATCACAAGCCATCGGAGGAACAGGGCCTGGAGGTAGAGCGAGGGCTTGAGCTGGCCGTGGCCCAGGGCGCCTAGAAATCGCAAGACGACCTCATCGCTGACCTTTCCCGACGGGTACAGGTTTCGGACAATAGCACCGAGGCTGGCTTGGTCGAGAAAGTTGCGGATGGTCAGCAGGTCTACGAGGCGGGCGAGCTCGTCGGGAAGGGCTCCCGTCTCGTAAAGCGTCGCGGTCGTTTTCTCGATCGTTGACTTGATGCCTGTCTTGCGGCGCTTTGCAGGCACCGTTGAGGCTGCGTGAACCGTCAGCAAGTCTCGCTTCATTTCTGCTGAAGACGTCAAGATGAGATGCTTGCCCGTCTCGAGATCTTCAATGAGACCATCAAGGTTATCGAAGACTTGGCCGCCTGGCGACGACATTGTACTTTATTTTATTTATCAGTGCGCTTTAACTGAGCTCTCAACAAAATTTCTCATTCATTTCGGCTTGTCTGTCCGTAAACCTGTGTAATTGCTCCCCGTCCAAACACGTCGCTGAATCGCGCCGCGCTTGGTCATGCATAGAATGGTTTACGGGACTCCTTCGTGTGTAATGATGGAATCACATGATAAATACCAAGTGGGGACCTCCGACGCCATGTGAATGATGTGATCGATCTCAAGACGTATATGGGCTGTACGAGGCTGCTTCACAAGCCCAATCGAGCCTAGTCCTCACAATAAGCTTTCGGAAATATATTACGGATCCGTACGGCCAGTACAACTATGTGGTGTAAATACGAACTTGGCCATTTCGTTACTGTATTGGTAGGCTTTCCGTTCTCGGCTGCCAGAGCTTTCAATGCCGAACGAGGCGTGGCTTCCTAGATCTCCAGAAGACCTTATCTACACTAAGGTATTTCCTTACCTTCCCTAGGTAGCATGAGATTTACGCACAGTTGCCTGCGCAACAATTGGGGAATGCAGGAGCTACCGGGCACGGCCAGCGCTTCCAGAGTTCAGTCAGGGCCCGCACTGGAACACTTGCAACGATCCCCTGGCTGTGTAACCACTCCCGCATCAAAACCTGAACCATCTTCAAACCCACAATTGCTTCGCTCCCTTGTCAACGTCAACCCATGCAGGAGCTGTGTGCAGACTCGGCCTCCATTTCACGCCCGCTTCCCCGTCTGACAGTTTGACCGTTGTCGGCCCCCACGCATGGAACCTTCAACATCGGGCGCACCGAAGCCGCCCCTTACCTATTCTTTGCCTCGTCCTCGGCCAGGACTGGACAAACTTCAGCCTTGTCAGACAATCCACTTTCAATGCGATAAGTGACAGCACAATGTCTTCGACGCCACGGCCAACGAATCACACTTCAAGGAGCGCAGCACGGTATAGTTATTATGCTTCCAAAATCTCGATGCGAAGACCAGTGTCTTTCTGTGTAACCACTCCCTCTCTGCGGGCGAGCGGTTCGGATTGACCTTCGGCTTACTGACACACCATCCCCACATGCGTTTTGAAGATCTGAACTCAGATGTATTTACAAGTACTCCAACAATAACAGGGGACGGTCCCCTTGTCAACTCGACATCATACACCAGGCTTCCGTCACATGAATGAAACCCTAGAGTTCTGGGCCATCCCCAAACACCGAAGACAGGGAATGAGCACGGAACCGCTGACAACAATGGGTCCCAACGCATTATCCGCGCGCTCTTTTGTGATACCCCAGCTGCTTCTTGGGAGCACACAGGAACTACAGCCTAGTGATGATGGGCCAATGACGCTGGCGGGCGAGATGCACCGCTCATGCCAGTGACAAAACTCTGCCTGGTTGCTCATTTTATTTGACACCTAATCCCTAGTGCGGCATTGCTCCATGTTTGAGCACGTTGCTGCAGCATGGCATTTGTCTCAAGTCGTCCTGACGCCGTGGTTGCAAATCACCGCTGGCCTCTAAGTCGCGGCTGCAAGAAGCCTGACAGGCTGTGAACAGCAGCGGTATTGCTTACTTTCCACTTCCGGCCCTATGGTTCCGCCGTCATACCGCAACCCACGTCGGAAGAGTCTGGTTCGGGCGGAATAAGAGACAGAGGCCAAACCGGCTGAGTCGAGAAGTCCTCGCGTTCCACACGCACTTTCAGGCCGACTCGCAACACTGTTAATCTGCTCTGCTACACAAGCTTGCTTCTGACCATTGCCGGGACGACTCTGGCTCTGGGAGACTGGCGCACCCCTCCGACTTCTCCACGGCTCCTATTGGCTCGGAGCCCGCGTCCTGGGAAAAAGGTCGAGCGAATCCTTCCGCTGCCTCGCCGTACCACTTCAGTTGACTACCAGTTGGGACTTTCGGCAGCTGGACTAAGGAGCCTATAAACACCCACCGAGCGCCAGCCACTGGGGTCCGACGTACTGGTGCTGCTTCAATCTTGGACCTTGAGGTTGGAGCTCACGAGCCTGACCACTAGCATCTCGCATCCCGGTTGCCACTCCTACGGTGTGCGTACAGGAACAAACCACTTGAAGTTGGATGGGGCTTTGTGTGACGGTTCTGCCCCGATACGGCGACGCAGTGTCAGATCTGGGTTGCATCGGGGCGTGATTGTAAGTGAGTGGAAATGTTCTCCTCATGGTCCAAGCAGCGGTCATGAGTACGGCCCTCTCTCCCTCCCCTCTCTAACCCAACTCTCACTAACCAGCCAAGCAGAAACATACCTTCTAATGGACTCTTCGGGCCTTCTCACCACTAAGGCTGGCTCAAGGGAAATCCTTCCTCGTCCTGCCCCGACTCCTATTCTGGGAATGGACCCCACAACCCGGCGAAGAGTGACATGCGTACAAGACTCGCAATCTTGCATTCCACTCTCATACCAGCTCAAGGATGGCGACATTATCCTGCTTCTCACTCCCGCAGTCGTGCCCGAGATGAGCCCACTAAACCGCGATGCAAACAAGCCGCCTAGCGACCCCTTTGAGCCCTTAGGCAAGGCTCTGGCTAAGCACCATTCCTGGGTTCGCCATGTCCCCTATCTGCCGCGCAATGGAATCACCGGCACACATGTGGTGCACATTAGGCTAGCTGCCGCTGTGGTCTTTGTCATTTCGGGTCCTCCGCATCATGGACAACCCTCGCAAGCGAATCTAGCCGAAATCGTACGAACTCTTTGCGAGAACCGACCTCAGATTATTTTGACCTGCTGCGCCGTACAAGAACTGGGGCCTCTCGAGAAGTCCTTCCCTACGGTGATTGAGGTACCCGGCTTTGCTCCTTCGGATCTGGAGGCTGCCGCCAATGTCCTGTTCCAGGAGACACGGAGATCGCGCCCTAGGTCTCCCAATAATATCCAGAAAAGCCTCGTCACTGCGCCAAGAGCCTGGGCCGTTGAGGTCTGGGACGCAAATCGCGATGTGACCGAGATCCTCGATTTATGGTGTCGGTGTTTTCCAGAACCCTTTCGCCTCGGCCGCTATCAGTTCCAGTCAATCCTTCGCCGCGACGGTTATGCGATGCATTACGTAGTTCGCGAGCCTGGAGGTTCGCAGGTCCTCGGCTTCTGCGCGACCTACACCATCTATGCCGACAGTGGCGGTGAGCGTCTGCTTGGTTCCCTGGCAGCGCTTTTAGTGCACCCCTCATACCGTCGACGGGGGATCGGCACAAGTCTCCATGACCATGCCCTGCGCCAGCTCACTAAGACACGCGGGGTCTGTCGTCTGCAACTTGGGAGCACTTTCCCGAGACTTTTCTACGGGCTGCCAGTCGACTCGCCTTTTGAGTCCTGGTTTGAGCACCGCGGATGGCCGATAAAACCTCACTCTGCTGCTAACCTTTCAGGACATGAGGTCTGCGACTGGCTCTTGACATTCAAGGATTGGCCGTCGACGGGCTTGGTCCCATTTCACCTCGCCTTTCGGCCATGCGAGCTTACCGAGTTCGATATGGTCCTGGACTTTGTCGACAAGGAGTCGAGGAGAAAGGACAACATGGGGTGGTACGACCAGTACGCCAAGCTGGCAAACACAATGAATATTCACGACATTATCCTCGGCCTTGAAGGAGACACGATCGTTGCAACGGCCCTGACGTACTTCAAGGGCACCGGGAGTCCGGCAGCCGAGGATCTTCCGTGGGCGAACACGGTCACGGATCAGGTTGGCGGGGTGACGTGCATCTGTGTGAGCGGTGAGTCGCGCCACCGAAGCCCCCCGATTACACCCGAAGAAATGCTGACTGTCATGGCTCAGATACAGTACCAAATACTGCAAAGAAGCGAGATGCTGTCTTGATTAGGCTTCTCAACAGCTGCATTCGTCGTCTGAGAGAGCAGGGGATGACCAAGCTCTTCATTGACGCGGTCAAAGGGGGTGATGAGGGTTTCCAATCCATGGGTGAGCATCTTCTCTGGGCGCTATAAGCGGATGAACACCCCTGACCCGGCAACAGGCTTTCAAAAGTGGGCTAGATACAGAGACGTCTGGAGGAATGTCTAAGGACAGGCGCATCGGCACTCTTGGCGCAGATGCCTTCGCAGTTTTACCCCAAAACCCACCCACGCTGTCAGATCGACCAGAGTTCGCCCAAGCGGCATGCATTGAGGCCCAAGATACGTCTCTGAGAGCGCCATCTGATAGTCACTCGTGCTAATTGTGCACCACCAGCGAGCACTCCTTACAACCCCAACCTCGGTCCAATTCTTCAGGGTCACTGGAGCGAACTGTCAGACTCACCGGATTTCCCTGTTCGTAAGGAGCAGGTGTCAGATACGTGCGCAGAGGGTTCATTTTGCTTCATATTCGTTTATCGCACATGTACCAGCATGGGACATAATAACCAGCCCAATTGATGCTCAGCCTTACGATACTCGGAGTCCGACATGGACCCAGGCTTTCGGCTTTGCTCCGCCATTGGACGACACTGTCAGACGCCTGAATATCGATCACCCTCTCAGTCAGCGGGGCTTGTACAATGGCACACCGAAAACAGGCATAAGGTACCGTGTAACAGTCGCGGTGGTCTGGTGCGAACATCCAACGCCCAGCAATCGCAGCCCGGCGGTCTGCAAGTCCAATTCCGTCGCCAGCCTCAGTCCGTCTGAGGACTGTAGAACGTATTCTACTCGAGTCTAGTCTCTCCAAGCCATGCCTCGCAAAACACAGCCCGCAGCTCGATACCGTACCCAACTCCTAGCAAGGTCCGGGGCATGACGGCTGGGTTCGGATCTGTCACAGCTCTCCGCTTATCGGTAGATCTTTTGGGGTTTGCTGAAGGAAGGATACGGTTAGTGATCCGACAGGGTCTCGGTGGCCGTCTCCCCAGTCGTTCCATGTTTGTTGACGCCTGACACGGAGCTTATTGAGCGATCCTGGTATGAATAATCATTGCATCGCACGGCCACGCGTCAGGTCACCAGCGACGAGAATGACACGGACAAGGTTCTGTCCATACCATGGCCAGAGGCAAAATGTTCAGAGAAAAGATGACGAACTTTGCAGATGAAAAATAAACCACCAACTCCACCCACGCATATGCCAACCGTCCTGCATGCCTACCGGATCGAGCGGCACAGCATTCAAGTTCCAACAACCCCTTCCCAGGCTAAGGAATTGCCTGCCTCCGATCCCGCAGTGACCCTTCCAATCCCACTGTGGGCTTGACACGCAGGAGAAGCCACTCACCCACGATGCGCCGCACGGACTCGCTGGTGTGCTCTCTCCCGCTGGGTGATATGCATGGCCGCAGCACCTACATAGGTAAACAACGGCAGTAAAGGTCCCGGGGATAGAACTGCTGCGTTTCTGGCGAGTCTGCGGGGGCTCCAAACTCCGGTTCTGGACGTCCGCTCACATGCTTAGTAGGAGGTGGACAGGCCTTGGGTTCTTGTTTCCTCTTTTTGGCCCCCAACCACGCCCTCTCCATTACAACCATGTGTCCACATCTAGCCTGGCCAACACGCATACATAAGGATTGCGTGACTACCTACTGCAGCACAGGCAGGAGAGACTGCAGAATCGCAGGGAAGACAAGGCCGTGGCGGAGAGGGCTGTGGGAAGATAGGGGGTTGGGGGCATGAACCATGGTTAGAGAGAGGTACGGGTTGCCGGATGTGGAAATATCTTACTTCACATGTGTGAGGTTTCCCAAATGCCGTTTACATTTAGCGCCGTGTTCACCACGAGGCGATCCATGATGACGGTTGCACAGTCATACATACGGCGAATAAACATTCAGGTACATTACGACCTTTTGTTCGGTATTATGCTGCGCAACCGTTGGCTTGTTGTTTTTTTGATCTCGTAGCAGCTCCAATGGCCGCTCATCAACTGGCGTTTGAGTGGTTTGCGAGTGTTTCTTCGTATTTGTCTCACGGAATGAGTAAGACGACGAGATGCGGCTATGTATGTCGATATTGGGTTGCGGGCAGCTTACTCTTTTTGGGAACAAGGTTCTTATAATTCATATCTCGAACTCGAAACCTCCGCGCGTGTCAGTGACAAGGGAGATGTCGAAGTCCGGAGGATGCTTTGTTGAGGGGGAAGGGGAACCAGCTCTTAGTCTTCGGCACCTCCTGTATGTATGAAGGGGTATGCCATCTGGCACATACATGCGGTGGCGTGCTCAGAGGTTCCCGCGTCGTCCAGCAGAAATTCTGACCCAGTACTCCTGCTCAAGAGGTGGGCTGCTGCCTACCCTAATGATGGACCATGGGGTGCGCGGCTCATTGGTTCCTCTGTCATCGCAAGATGTCTATTTAAGACGAGCTCAGCTTGCTCCTTCTGACTCCTCCTAGCTTGCTATAGGGCGTCAACATGAAGTGGATGGCATTGCTCTCTCGGCTGGGACAACAGTACCATCTTTTATGAAATCGGTGCAGGCTTATGTCAGGCCACGGCCCAAGCACAGCACTCAAGGGCACCTGGGGCTGGGATGTCGTCTTCAGTTCCCCTGAACATACAATACAGCCTAACATTTACAGCGCAGAGATCACAGGTGTGCATACATCACCCAACAGGCAGCGCTACCAGAAAGCTTTCATCGTTTTTCATACGCCAGTCCATTGCCGGGTTGTCAGGTAGGAAGGACTACCCAACCAACACCCAACTCCCAACACCAACCCATTGCTCTTCGCATCCCACTACTCCATCCAGCTCCGATTTTTGGCCCCAATCCTGCAGAGAAGAGAAAGAAAAACCCCAGAAACCAAACCCAACGGGATCAAAACAGCTTAAGTCCACTTCGAAAAGTCCACCGAGTCAACCAACGCCTCGGCCGTACTGGGCTGCAACACCTCCGTGTTCTCCGTCGTCACCGTCGACAACATGCTCGAGCGGTGCGATTGCTCGCCGCTCGTGGCGCTAGTGAAGAAGGTCGCAACCGACGCCCGCCTCAGGCTGCTGAAGCTGTCGCGCATGCCCGTAAGCCGCGGGCTCGTGATTCCTCCGACCCCGGCAGCGTTTACATCGGTGCCGGGGCCGCCTCCTCCGCCTGCTGCTACTGCTGCGCCTCCTCCTGGTCCGGACATTCCCTGACCAGCAGGCTGCTGCTGGTGGTGGTACTGGTGGTGATGGGCACCGTGGCCGCCGCCGCCGCTGCTCACGACCGACAGCACGGAGCCTGTTGTTGCACCCGGTACCGGTGTAGCGATGGCTCCCGGCGGCGGGGAGGGCGTGACGCCCTGGCCTCGAGATGGACGGTATTTCATGCGCAGCACATTGATCTGGCGGAGGCGCTCACGCCACGAGGACACGTGCTCGCCGGTATCACTATTGGCCCAGACGAGGGAGAAGACCGAGGCGTTGAGCGCGAGCAGCCGGACAAAGCTGGGCAGCGCCTTGAGACTGATCATTTTCGGTTCGGCGCACGGAGAGATCTCCGGGAAACCCTCCTTGCTCATGACCTGCACCATGCAGAAGCGCGAAGTGCCCTCCTCCTGGGTCATCCGGGAGGCGACGAAGGGGAGGTGCGGCGTAGGCGTGATGATAATGTAGACGTAATTGAACTGAGAGGGAAATGTATCAAACTTGAAGGGCATGCCCGAGTCGTTCCAGACAATGCTGACATAGTCATTGCCGATATGCCGCTTCTTCATGATGCATTGCGGGTCAGTTTCGAGGTTGGTGGGCATCTGGGTGGTTATGTGGAACACAATCTCGGTGACACGGTCCCGCCAACAGTAGGTGTATTTCCCGTCGAGGTCGTTTTCGCGGTCAAGGCCTTGCGTGTTGAAGGTGGCTCCCTTCAACTTCGTCAGCGGCCCCAAGCCTCTGAGGAACTGGTGATAATCAGGGCTGCCCGCTGTGTTGGCTAGGATCTCTGGCTCGCTCGTCTGCCCTTCTTTGATGTAGATGACACCCACTTTGTGGCCGTCTACCGGAGAGTTGCGATCAAAGTTTCGGATGGCCCGGTCGACGAAGTCGTCATCTGGAAGGAGGATGGGCCGGATGCTCGGATCATACAACTGCGGCATAGGGGCCAGCAGCTGCATCAGAAGGTGGCTCGGGAATATGGTGAGGCCGTGCTGGAAGCGGCCGTCCCACGCCGCAGCGTCCGAGCCATCAGGCGCGGGTAGGTTCGGCATCGGCGTGAACTCGACACGGAGTGCATATGAAGACGTGCCAGAGGGATAGCGACGTGTGATTTCGGCCCAGCTTGATTCCCTCGCCTGCCGAATCGTGAGGATGCTGTTTCCGATAATCCAGCGCTTCGTCTGGATTTCGCCAAAGTACTGTTCCTTGAAGAGAGGATCTTGGACAGAGTCGGCGGCATCGGAGAAGGCCACGCGCTGCATGAAGTCGAGCGTGATCTGCGCATGCTCCTCGGTATTCGCACTCCCATCAACATCGGTAAAGAGGTTTTTGGTAATCCAGCCAATCTGCGTCGGCCGGTCGGGCAGCTTGACGGCAAGGAACCAGAAGGTGATGACATGGTACGCAAGGGCATAGACATATTGAGGGAGGTCGTCAGCGGCGGGATGCTGGCCAAGAATCTCGGGTTGATTCGCGACGCCGCCACTGGGCATTGCCACGTCGCTCGAGATGCTGCCGCGCATCGCCAGCTTCTTCTCGCGAACGTATTGCAGATATCTGAAACAGATGCCAAAGACAATACGGTAATCATCCTCGCGGAAGTTGGAGTACAGCGAGGGCAGGCGGCTGAGGCAGGCCAGGAACTCGAGTATGTGCATGGCCACGAACGGCTGGGTAATGACCTGCGACATCCTTTGCAGGATGGTGAGCAGGGACTTGCTCACCGACATGGGCAGCTCGTGACAGCACATCGAGAGCGCGTGGATGCACGTTTTCGCTGTCTTGTCCGATATCCCGTACATAAACGTCCTGACAAGCTCATCCTCATCCACCTTCTGGAAATGGTGGTGGTAGCTGACGATCATGATGAGCGAGTGAAATAAACAGTTGGCAACGTCGGTACGGCGAAGACCTGACGAGTGCGGTGGCTCCTGAAAGCTGTTTGTTCGGACCATCTCGCAAAGCAAACGTCGCAATTCCTGGATGTGGGAGATGGCGTCCCTGAAGATCGAATGGTTGCTCAGTTGGAGGGGGAGGTGGACCAGTATGAAGCTGTACACCTCCCAATCGCATCCCTGGTGGAAGAGACTTATGAGTGCCTCTAACCAAGGGATCATATCCAAGAGCATCGTCAGGTTCTCGGGCTTAGCCGTTCCGCTCTGATCCCGCTTGTGAGAAACGAGAAGAGGACTGGGGCTACCGGGAGGGGACGCGGGCAGAGCGTCGGCGTCAGGGACCGACCAGAGCCGCTGGCCCTGATGAGTGCCAGGTTTAGGGGTAGATGCCGACCGGGCTGGAACCCCGCGTTCGACTGTCTGGCCCTGGCTGAATGATATGCCGCGGGTCGGCCTTCCAGCGTGTTCTGCCCTTGACAACCTAGGAGGCTGCGACGCGTCCTCTGCCAGTTTGCGCGCGAGAGACGCCTCGGTCCTGTACAGGCTCCCGGCCAGCGCGTCGTTCTGAACCAAGGCCGTGAGGTAGACGTGATGCTCAAAGTCCGCCCGGAGGCGAAATAACATCTTCATGGCTGTCAGCCGAGCGTCGACTTCGCACGAATTCGATCGCGCAATATGGACAAGCGCCGTGTATGCCTTGATTGCCTTTGGACCATTGTGATTCATCATTTGAATGAATATCTGAACGTAGCCTTTGCTGACCACGTTGGAGAGGCTCTGGTTCGCGAAGTGAACCGTTTGGCTTCGATGGGCTGATGGGCCGACTCTGTGGGGAGCCAACCCAGACAGCGGCGGCCTGGACATGTCCTTGGAAATCACGGCCTTGAAAGCATCCAGGATATCATCGAAAAGGCGGTCGCCTGCCGTCTCAGCCACTTCGACTAAGAAGGCCACCGTTTCCTGTAGCACGTGACTATCGTCTTCTACGCGTAGCCCCCCAAGCACCCGCCGGACAAGTTCGATGACCGATTCCTCATCGACGAGGCCCTCTGCCAGATAAAGAAAATTGTACACCTCAACGATAACTTCCAGAGCACGCAGTCGAGTCAGCGGATCCCTACTCCGGTTGAGATAGAAGCGCTCCATGACGAGTTTGAGATTGTCTTCCCAGCCCACTTCTGATGGGAAACAAGCCCGAGACTCTCGGAGGTGTGCGACAACGAGGGCTGCTGCGGAGTCTGGGAGGACTTGGTGGACCGCGGCGAGAAAACCCATGCACTCCTCCCGCTGCGGAAAATCGGGGTTGTTGTGGGTGAGCAATGTCTCTATCCGGTTGACCAGATTTTTCAACTGCAGGGCCACGCCGTCCTCCGGCTCCCTTTCGTCCTTAACGACTGTAGGCAGGGAAGAAGGGCTGGCGTCCACATTAGGGGACGGATGGAAGGCCTTCTTTGCACACTGCGCAGCGACGGCAAAAATTGGCGACCAATGCTCTTCCAGAAGCATGGCATTGATGTTGCCCTCGCGCCCATTAAACATCGAATTGACCAGCTTGAGGATTTCGGTCGCTATTCTTGTGGAACTGCTCTTTGCAACTGTCGATAGCCCGTCGACGAGCAGTGCCAAGGGGACCGTTGGATAGCCCTTCTCGGAGGACTTGGAGAGGAGTTTCTTCAGAACCGAGAGTGCGCCACGGACCTCCCTGACTGCATCCTTATCCGGGGAGGTGGAATATGCTCGCAAAAGGTCCAGCAAGATCCTAACAGTTGACTGGCCATGGTGGGACCTGCAGATGACGGATATGGTGTGCCATGAGTCTTTTTGTAAGCTGGGGACCAAGCAGTGAATCGAGCTGAGAACTTGTATGCAGTCCTTGAGCTTGTCGGTTGGAATGGTGCCAAATGTGACCACAGTATCAACGACGTTGATGCAGGCTCTCAGGTCATCTTCCACGCTCGTATTCATGCATATCTTGAGGAGGATATCCATCAAACTCCCGACCACCGAGTCCGTGGCGAATTTGAAGTTGAATTTGATGACATCCTTCAGCAACGCGAACATGCGAGACAAGTTCTTGTCCTCGCCCGATGACAGGGTAATCCCTTTCGAGGCCTTGCCAGTCCCACGGGAGGCCTGTCTGCGGGCAGTCTTCGCAGCGTTGTATGTCTCTTGTAACCATTGGGTCAGGAGCGGGAAGATGTCGTAATAGAATCCCGAAATATTGCGGCCCCGGTTTGTCAGATCCTCGAGGGCAGCCAGTTGAAGGTAGAAGTCGTCGGGTGGAGCAGGAGCGGTCAGTGTGCGAAAATACTCGCGCCGCTCGAGCTCGGTCGACGCTGGGTATTTGATACATTCTGTGAGAAGCTCCCAGGCAACTTGTCGGGCGTTTGCCGGCTTGTCTGGGTCAATCAGGTCTTTTGCAGCATGCCAGATATCGCGGACCTGTAAAGCCCCAGTCAGAACAGCTTGGGTGAAGAGACACGGAAGAAGGGGGAAAGGGAGGCTCCGCCCGTACGGGATTGAGAGGGAAATCGGCAATTACATAACGGAGCGAGTTCGCAGCAGCAACCCGCTCCGCTAGCTGGCCATTCTTCAACTGTCCAAACAGTTCAGCCTGCTCGGGGGGAAGCCCGTGGAAGGCCGACGACGGAGAAGCGGCATCTAGTCGGTCTGCGAAAGCCTGAGAACCGGCGATCGGGGCGAAGGGTTGTTGGAGAACAGGAGGGGATTTCGTCAGCTTTCCACCGCCCGTGAGCCCCTTGAAGACGCCGGCAAGACCACCGGCGGCCTTCGTCTCCTGCGGTTGTGGTTCCTCTCCCGGCGAGGGCGACATGGGTCGCTGATCCTCCGAGGCCGAGTGGCCTAGAGAAGCTAACCGCCGGAGCATATTAGCAAGTGGCTCATGGGTGATCGAAGCCAAGCAAAAGTACAATAGAAGAGTGAAAGAGTTGAGTTGATGTTTGGCAGCTCAGGCCGAGAGACCAGATGGAAGAGGTTTCGACATGCAGGAGCTTGCAGGAACCTGCAGCAGCCGCATATGCAGCGCAACTCGACAGGCCCCGTTCAATCGGTCCAATTGATCAAAAGCCGGAACGTAGCAGAGACTCTGGTAAGTGGTTACCCGGGACATAGGACACAATGTGTAACGCAAAGCAGCTGGAGCCGAACCTGCGCATGAACACGGGGATAACTCCAGGGTGGAAAGGCGGGATGGCGCAGAAAGAGACGTGGGCAGACAAGACATGTGAGATGCGAGACTTGAGAGATCACTTACACGCAAGAGTACTGGTCGCATACAAGGGGTGTGAAGCCCCAATATCAGGCAGAAAGGCAGGAGTGCCCCCAAAACTTGCAATCGTTGGTCAATTACCACCACCACACGACGCTTCTGTCGGACGAAGCGGGAGGATGGTGGGATTATGGCGCAGGTGAGGGGAAGAGCGAGCTTCAGGTTTCCCGCCTACCTAATGAAGGCACACACACCACTGCCTTCGGCGCGTGTGGGATGATTGCACACTGGCTGTTCTAGCTGATGATGGATCTTCTCGTTTTTGATCGGTATTCGTGTGTTCGGTCGGTTCCTGCTGTCTGCCCTGTCGATCGCCGAGTCAGGTGCATGCATGAGTATAGGCGCAGTAGGCACGGGAGAGAAAAAGCCAGTGGTAGTGTTGTGTATCAAGCCTCTCGGTCTGTATCGACCAACCACGAGAACAGCATGACGAAGTGTCAAATTCGGGGCCAAGGGGAGGAGAGGCAACGGGAGTGGGTCCTGGACCTGAGCAGCTGACACTATTGGCTCGCCCCAAGCCATTCCCCGTCGGCGCTGATGGAAAAAGGTTATTGTAAACAAACGTCTCAATCGTGGAAGTTGGATCATTTGGGATGGAAAAGAGCGGCTTCGGAATTAAACCGGAATGACCGTGAAACTTGAAGATGGAGAGCGTGAAAGGCAAGGCAGGTGCACCCCAAACTCTGGATGGTCTGTGTGCACGTCACTTTCGTGGGGGTTTGTGTTCAAACCTGAAGCGAGCAGCCGAAAAGGGAAGAGATGATAGAAGAAGTGCAACCTACTATGTAGAATAGGTAGCAGGAATCTATTTTTTGGAGAGACTAAGGTAATCACGGTAGAGCATTGCATCTACCTCAAACTACTATTCAAGTCATGAGTTAGTACGTTAAGCAAGATAAGATAGACTTCAGGTTCCAAGTTAAGTGGTTAACAGAGTGAGCTGTTCTGTACGCTTTAATGATAAGGTAAGGTACTGTAAGATAACGTTGACGTTATGGTATGCTTGGGATTGACGGGAGGTGCCGCAGCTGAGCCCCACTGACCCCTCTGTTTGCTTGTTCTGCTTCTAGAAGGGACGGAATCTACCAATAGCTCTAGCAACCGGAATCATTTTCTTGGTGTTTTGTTTTGCTCAGTTAGCACAGAACCATCGAGTTGCTCATCGCCACTCCGACGTCCTAGGAAGACCTGCCCATCATGGCCTCCACCTTGGAGCATCTAGCGAAGCTGCTCAGCGACACCCTGGATGCGCAACAACACCGTAAAGGCAAGCTTGGATTCTCCCGAGGCCCATCCACAACCACCCCGCCATGACTTTGGTGTCTTGAACTTGGAACACCACCTGCATATCGGTGACTCATGACTGACGGCAGTGTTGCTGCAGCCGAGAATTCCCTCAAAGAAGAGGCGAAGAAGCACAACTACTCGCTCTCGCTCCTGACCATTGTGAGCACCGCCGCTCAGCCCCTCAAAACCCGCCTTGCCGCCGCCCTCGCATTCAAGAACTTCATCCGCCATAACTATGTGGTACGTACGACAACGGTGCAGACGCCGGAACATGCCGGAGCTCTGACTCTGTTTTAGGACGAAGAGGGCAACTACAAGCTTCCCCTGGACGAGGTGCAGACAATCAAGAAGGAGCTCGTCGGTCTCATGATCTCTTCTCCACCCTCAATACAGACCCAGCTCGGCGAGGCCATCAGCATCATTGCCGATTCCGATTTCTGGGAGCGCTGGGACACACTGACCAAGGTATGCTTCGAGGCGTTTCGCACTCGCCTATGCTGCTGGACCATAACTGATCTGCTTACCTAGGACCTGGTCGACCGTCTCTCCAATACCGATTACAAAGTCACAAACGGCGTGTTGGAGGTTGCACATTCCATCTTCGTGCGATGGCGGCCGCTATTTCAGTCCAACGAGCTCAACAGAGAAGTCCTGCATGTCGTGGGGACATTTGGCGAGCCCTTCATTCAGATGCTGAGCGTAAGGAGACCTCCTGGTGGCGGCCCCAACGAACACAAACCACTGACTGGAAGTGGTGTAGATTGCGGATCAGCAAATCGAGGCAAACAAAGACAATGCCGACGCACTCAAGGGCTGGCTTGACACCATGAGTCTGTTGACAAGGATCCTGTACGACCTCTCATGTCAGGACATTCCGCCCGTCATTGAGACCCACCTGCAACCCATCACGGTTCTCCTCCACAAGTACATGAGCTACACGATTCCCATCTTTGATGACGAGGAAGACGAGGCCACGCCGCTCGAGACGCTCAAGGCCGATATTTGCGATGCTCTTCAGCTATTCACCAACAAGTACGACGACGATTTTGGCCAGTACGTTCAAGATTTCACAAACAACGTCTGGAATGTGCTGTCAAGTGTCGGACCTGAGAAGAGGTACGATATCCTCACAAGCAAGGCGCTGCAGTTTCTGACGGCCGTGGCCTCGGTCCGCCGCCATGCCGAAATCTTCAACGACGAACAAATCTTGGGCACCATCGTGGAGAAGGTAATTCTTCCCAACGTGGCGCTGAGGGAGTCAGATATCGAGATGTTTGAGGATGAGCCTATCGAGTTCATCCGGCGGGATCTCGAGGGCTCCGACACTGACTCGCGCAGGCGAGCGGCCACCGACTTCCTGCGAAAGCTGCTCGAGAATTTCGAGGTGCTCGTCACACAGGTAGTTTTCGGGTACATCAACCACTACCTTGCGGCTGGTAAGACGGATTGGAAGGCAAAGGATACGGCCGTTTACCTATTTCTCGCCATTGCCGCGAAGGGCGCCGTTACCGCGGCCCACGGAGTCAAGACGGTCAATAGCTATGTCAATGTTGTTGAGTTCTTCGAGCAAAACATCGCTGCGGACCTCCTCTCGGAAACCACCGAGCCGATTGCGAAGGTCGATGCCATCAAGTACCTGTACACATTTCGGAGCCAGCTCAACAAGGCTCAGTGGGCGAGCGCCATTCAACCTCTGATTCAGAATCTGGCCTCGTCCAATTACGTCGTCTACACCTATGCCGCTATTGCCGTCGAGAGAGTCCTTTTCTTGACCGACGAGCAGGGACAGCACTTGTTCCCGAGGAACGATATTCAGCCGTATGCTCGGGATTTGTTGGAGCATCTGTTTGCCCTGGTCGAGAAAGATACATCTGCTGTCAAGCTTCAGGAGAATGAGTTCCTGATGAGGTGCATCATGAGGGTGTTGATTGTCATGAAGGAAGGCATCCTCGAGTGTGGTGCAGAGAGCGTCCTCAATCACCTGATCAGCATCACAAATGTGATCAAGGAGAACCCCAGCAACCCGCGCTTCTACTACTACCACTTTGAGGCAATCGGAGCCCTCGTAAGGTACGAATTTTCCCGTCTCTACCAGAATTCGAATATTTTGTGTCTAATCTTCAAGCAGGTATTGCAGCAACTCCCCCAAGTTGGACATGCTTCCTCGGCTGTGGGTGCCGTTTGCTGCCATCCTTTCCGAGGATGTCTCTGGTCAGTGTTCCCAATCGTTCATTCGCCGGAGTATTTCTAACGGTTCACGTAGAGTTCATTCCCTTCGTCTTCCAGATATTTTCCATGCTCCTTGAGCTCAACCCCTCGAATCAAGTGCCTGGTGATTTCAAGATGCTTATCGAGGTCGTTCTGGCCCCGAGCCCGTGGGAGACGAGAGGCAATGTACCGCCCTTGTCCAGATTCATTGCGGCTATCATTCCCAAGGCGGCGGAGGAAATCAAGGCTGAAAAGAAACTGGAGCCCTTCCTCGCCATCTTCCAGCGCCTGCTGGCCGGGAAGAAGACGGACCAGAACGCCTTCGATATCCTCGAGGCAATCGTTGGCACATTCCCTGGGTACGTATTGCAGTTTCCGCGAATTTCTCTTGCGAGCGGCATTTGACAGGTGCTAGGGATGTTTTGGACCCGTACTTCGGGACCATCCTCACGCTCATCTTTACCAAGCTGCAGACGAGCCCAACCGACTCATACAAGAGCCGCGTGGCCCGCCTGTACCACCTCGTTTCGGCTCGAGCCGGTGAAGCTAAGATGGGCGCCGACTACTTTATTGCGCACGCCGAGGCCATCCAACAGAACGTCTTCACTCCCTTCTACCTCACCGTCATCCTTCCCACGACGGGTCAGTTCGCCCGCCCCGTCGACCGCAAGCTCGGTGTTATCTCATACACCAAGACGCTGTGCGAGTCAAAGCAATTTGCCGAGCGCTATCAGAAGGGCTGGGGCTTCACATGCAACAATCTGCTCGACCTGCTGAAGAACCCGCCGCGTGTGGCTGCCGGGTTTGGTGACGAGATTGTCAACGAGGCGGATGTCGACGACATTGGCTTTGGCGTAGGGTTTACGCCGCTGAACACGTGCAAGCGTGGTGCGCGCGACGACTTCCCGGAACTCGTTGAGGTGGACAAGTGGGTGAGCCAGTACCTGAAGGAGGCGAACCAGCGGCATGGCGGGGCAATTGCCAGCTTCGTGGAGCAGCGGCTGTCGCCCGAGGCGAAGGCCGCTTTGGCATCGTACCTTGTTTGAGAGGGCAAGGGTCGTTGGTGGGTGGCTCATGAACGGTGCTGTGAGCATCAGCAGTATTCGTGTGTCAGATGGAACATAGACGTGGGTTGCTACGAAAGGAAGAAGGATTTTTCGCCGATGGTATGTCTAGCTGAATGCTTTGGGTTCCGGCCCTCAAAATGACTTTGGTGGATTACCGCCCGTGGCGTTGGGAGACATGGGATGACTGTCATGGAATGCACTTGTCTGCGTTAGATGATGTTGGGAAAATCTGAACTTTATCATTCAAGCACGCATCCCCTTTTGTTCTGTTGTCATTACTCAGTTGCCATTGCTGAGTGCCAGGGGCGGCTTAGGGGTTTGAGGCGCCAGCGGGTGTCAGGTCTCCAACGAACCTCCGACTGACTGTCCCAGGCATTTGCAGTCGGCGGGTCAGTTCCCAGCTAACGTTGACTCTTCCTCTACACGGATACGTGTTCCATGTGCGGATCAAGCTCGAGTTCTTAACGCCAGTCGTTGTGTGGTGGAGTGAAGTTCCCTTCACTTTTCCAGCGCCTCTGAAACTGCCCAGATAGCACTAGTCACTGAACTATCGCGAAAGTGCGCCGGTGCGGCCCTTCTTCAGAGGTCTGATCCCAGGGAGATGGATCGATTCCTCCGCCACCGATGCTCTGTCTCCACAGCTCTTTCAGCCGCAGCTCCATCCGCTGAAATCCCAGCCGCACTTCCATATACCTTTCATGTTGGACGATGCCTGGTATTCGCCGCGTTCTTGGTTTCTAGCAGGTGATCGCCCGGTACTGCTAATTTTTACTGTATAGTACAGTACCTATCGGCGGAACACCGTCGCTACTTTGACGTCGGCCCACCCCATTTCGGAGCTTCGAACCCACCTGTCCGCTTGGCCGGTAGAAGGATCGGCGATTTTTGGGGCCCCGGTACGGGGTGGTTGGCGCTTTGGAGTGTAGAATTGAGGACTAACCTCTCCTCTCATCGGTGCAGTTCGACTGCGCTAATGCGTCCAAGGCTGCGCTGGCCTTGTTTTTCACCGGTAGCATTATCTGGGTAGTTAGTGGTGGCCGTGCGCGGAAGATCCCGCGAACCATTGCTGACTCGGAAGCCAAGAGAGCAGATCAAACAAAAGACATCCACACTGTTGTTGCCGACCGAGCGGGACCGACAGTGCCACCCCAACCCAATTTGAGCTCGGACCCTATCAATCCTCAAGCTCCGTGGAGCCGAGGCTCTCATTGTCTCGTGGAGTCGGGGCGGGGACGGATTTCTGGACCATTTCATCCAAATTGTTGCGCAGAAGTTGCTCAGCCGAGTGAGCAGCAAATGGTTGGAATATATCAAGCTTGAACGGATGGTGAAGACAGAAGAAGGTGCCGCATGGAGCATACCCGAAGCTGTAGCGCCAAGCCGGCCATTCTTCAGATCACACCACCTCAAGATCCAGGGCTCGGCGGCTGGCGTGAAAGATGACAGGAGGCTAACGACGCAAGAGCCAGGTGTGCATGGGTCTCTGACCCTGACTGCATTCTTCCGGCAATCATCTGAACTTCTGAAGATGCACCTGTGAGTGTAACGTTAGGGTTGACTTTGGCGTTTGTCTAAATGTAGTGTGTATTGTACTTGCACAATATAAAGCGCGAGAAGCACTGATTACACATAAGTCGCGCTTTACAGCTACTCATTACCAACCGAATGAAAAAGGTTAATTCTTCTCTCTCCTCTTCGAAATCATTACCAAGTTATTAACGGGGCGCGGCATCTCGCAAACTGTACATTTAAGCCGCTCGACGGCGATCCTAACGACGGCGCTGGATACGGTGGTCCCTTGCATGACCTGCCGCTGCTCTGAACTTTGCTTGCATAGAGGCGTGTGTCTCAGACGCAAAACATCAGAAAAGAAATTCATGCCAGGGGGCAAACGAGATGTGTGCCTGCCAGATACGTTATTCCCCCGGCTCAATATGCCGTGATTTATTCAGCGAGTTCCCGTGTGTGCATGTTGACGGTCTGGATATCCCCCTTTCTCCCGTCTGCCGAGGTGGATGGGTGTGGCCGTCAAGGACTCTCTCACGAGTGCCGCCAGTTCACAGGACACGCTGAGTGTCTGTGTACTTCGTGCCGAGTTGCCGACCTCAACCAGTCGCGTTTTCTGTGCACAAGAACGAAGCGTCTCATGCCTGTCTCCGCTCTCATCTGAGCCGCATGTAGTGTAGTCACCGCCTAAAAGAAACCAACAGCGGATCAGAACTGCACCGTCAACTTTGTCCTAAACGGGCCGAGCGCACACGCCGTCTTGGCCGGTGGCGTCGACCGTCAACCGCTCCGGTGTATTACCTGGTAGTTCGCTGCAGAGTGCGCTGAAAGAGGAAGGTTATGGGGCCCCCCCATTTGAGCAATGCAGGAGTCGGCCAGAGGGAAGATGTATAGACTCGGCCCAGATCAAGCAGCACAACGCGGCTCGAATGCGGCAGCGGAATAAAGCACCCGACGGGACACTGTGAGCGGATCGCACGGGCACAAGAAAAAGAAAATCTTGAAGTCTGCGCGCCGTTTCATCAGGACGGGCCGACATCACACCCCAACAAGATCTACATCGAGAGCCGAACTGGAAAGGAATCCCACTGATGAAGATGGCAGGGGTTGAGCAAGTCTGCAAAGGTCCAAACAGCTCCAGAAAGTTGGTTTGTTGCTCAGGCCATCTGCAAAACTTCGATACGGTACCTAGAAGCGGGGCTTATTTGTGGCGGCAGCAACCCCTCTTCTATCTGCAAAGGGAGTTTACAGTGACTGATGATGCTCCTCACTGAACTACTTGACAGCACGGCAGATCCGGCGTGGGAGGCTGAGCGAGTCGTGTCTTATCGGTTCGTGTCACTCGAAGCTGGTTGATGGAGGATCACCTAGAAGCACCATCGGGTACCTGAATGAAAACGCGGTCAGCCGTCGACCAGACAAACTCCCCTGATGACCCGGCCCCCTGCTGGACATGTGGAGGTGGACCGTGTTCCCATCCTGCTGCCGCCGTGTCTCCCGTGCGGGAACCGGGGGTCAATCAGACCGGGGATCAAAAGCAGGGTTACATATTTTGATCTTTGCCTCTCTGGCGGTCGGGCCAACACCAAGCCGGGCACGCACCAATACGGATTAGATGGCCCGGTGCTCCACGAGATCATCAGAGCTGCGGCTTGTGTTCCATTCCCAATGCATGGTCGGCCACATGGTTTTAAACCAGGGGATGAAGGCTCTGGGCTGCGTTGCCGTGAGCATGCAGCTGTTTTGAACAACATGATTGCAGACAGTCCTGCAGCACACCGAGCCAGGCTCCATACCAAACGGCAAGAAACAGACAGGCTTAGTTATCGAACCTGCTGTGAATAAGAGCGGTAGTGGAGAGGATGATTTTTACATTGGTACGGACTTTTGGCAACACTAACACATGCTACATTGTCATACGAGGGCTCTTTCCGTCAACGAAGACAAAAGCGGAGGATAATTGTTCGGACCTCAGACCTCTTGGAGGAATGCGACACTATTGTGCTGCGTGGGGGGCTCGCCTCAATTATCCATCCTCGTTGCCCTGGACCGACAGGCTCCGAAACAAGGAGACTCGGAGGGACGCAAGAACAGCAGTGGGTTACGATGCAGAGTCGCATTGGACACCCAAAAACCCTTCTACATGAATTCTTATCTCCCTCTCCTTTTGCATGCACCTGACTGGAATATCTAGCAGGTGAAAAGGTCAAGTGCATCAACTTGAACCCGTCAGCAACCTGGAAACAATGTAGTGAGAAGTACCTTAAAGTACCTTGCAGTAAGATATCTGTCCTTTGATACCGTACGCTACTTCCGTACGGATAACGAGGCTCGATGCATTCCCCAGCTCCACATGTTCGATTAGCGATCAAACAGGGGTTGTTGTGGATTGACTTCCACTTCCAATATGGCTCACGTTTCCCATTCATCACGCAGAATTTTGAGAAATTGCAAACGGCTCTTGACACTTGAAGTGAGAAGAATACCTTATAGATGAGGAGTCCGGCCCCAAGGCTCAGGGTAGCTCGAAACAAGGCCTCTACAGTTCCTATACACAGTGAACTTGAACTTCACAATCTATGCGGAAAGACCTGAAACAGGATGGGAGAGTTACACGGTGGGGAGCCGTCATTCTTCAAAGCCAGGAACTGGCCGATTTTCAAGCAAAGAATGTCCCTGCAAATAAGCGAAAAAGCTGAACATAAGCTCTGCACAAAATGGAGCCCAAGCTCCAAGCAAAAACTGCAGAAAGGAAATGATACGTGAACTACCTCTGTAGTGTCCCATCAATCCAGGGAAGAGCATCGAGAGTCCCGAAGATTGCAGGTCAAGTCTGTAATGCGATGAATCGCAACCCAATGGAAATGAAGCAGTTGCGAATCACCTCCACTTCACCTTTCCAACTTCGTTTGCTGCCCCTGGGTACTTGTCCCCAAGCTCCCCATCTCACGAAGCTCTAGCGCATGTCGTTTCTGGAAAAGAAGCTCTTGGCTCAACTTAGCGCGAGTGCAACCCCAGTCCCCCATCCACATGCCATTTGCATGCCTGGCAGCAGGGGGCGTTTTTAATAATCTCGCTCCACGCCTTTCCCGGGCGCCGAGCGTCCCATCTCCTGTCACTTGGAGCCCGGTTTTGGCTTCTCTTGTCGATCGTCTCCCGTTTCTAATACTCTCTCGGGAAGGAGCAGCTGTGGCCTGCGGCTGAGACTTGAAGGGACCGTCTTTCTGTTTTTCTCCTGAGAGGACGTTGCTCGATTTTCTCAACCTGAAGAGGCAACTTTCGACAAAGGAAAACGGCTCCTCGTCTTTTCCTCCGCCCCCCTCGTTCTTTCATCATGCAACTTCTTTAATGGCTAATACACTCACTTCACGCCCGAAACCCTCACCCTTACCAGGGCTCTCCCTCCGATCCCCTCTATCCTTTGGTCGACGAGACAGCATAGCAACAACCATGGAGGGGCTTCTCAGTGTGCCCCCTGACCGAGGCACCATCATCGGCAGAGCCGTATGGAAGGTGCCTAGCCCACGTTCATAATCTCGTCCCTCGAGCAAGCATTGACCGGTTACCAGATGCGCTATGTCGTTGTAGGCGGCGCAAGCCGCGAGCAGATGCAGCTCGCACCAATCAACCGCAACGCCCAGTCCAACCGCATTTCGACGCCGATGGAACTGTCGAGGATGTCTGCTGAGGGCGTGTTCCTCTCCATCTACAAGTCAAAAGTAAGTGGTCCCTCTCTCGCCGCCCCCGAATGTTGAGCCCCGCGCCATGACCAGCGGTTCTAACATATGGATCAAATCAGGAGGACACAGAACCGATACAGCAGCACTCAATCAACTCTATCGCCGACTGTCAGGTCCAGATGCTGGCGCACCGCAAGCAAGGCCCAGTCCTTCCAACCTTGGTTATCAATGTTTTGCCAGATCCTTCTTTGGACAAGGCCAGGAAGCGACGCTCGAGTAGAACGGCCGGCTTTAGTTCTCCGAGAGATACAGGCCCGATCACGCTCTTGTTCCGACCCGGAGACGAGCATCAGAGCCTCCAGGACTGGGCCCGCTGCATCCAACACCTCATCCAGCCCCATATCCCGGACCGAGCACCCCTGAGTCCGTTAACACCAGCTTCGCCGACCTTTATCAATCCCTTCGCTCCTCGGTCGAGGGACGCCGCCGACACGCAGAGACCGGGTAGTGGGTATGGCTCGCGGCCGGGAATTTTCAAGAATCCCAGTCAGCCACCCTCGGTCCGGGATCGGCCCGTGACATTCTCGGATTCACCGAGTCTGCGTTCAAAACGGAGCGACCTCTCGTCACAAACCAGCTCATTGACGCAGTCTCACATGGGTTACCAAAATTACACCACGATGGTGCCCGCCGACCTCCCGTCCCCGGCCACTACAATTGGGGAATACCAAGGGGAATTCATTGAGGGTTGGACTTCGGCGCAGGGTAGGTCGTCAGCGCTCAACTCGCCCATGAGGGGCCGTGACAGCGTCAGTTCCCAGGCGCCGACTTCGCTGCCGCCAATACCGGATTCCAACTCACCCTCAGGACCGCGGGAAACGATTCTCGATAGAGCATTTCAAATGCGTTGCATACCAGGGTCAGAACGCGAAGTTCCTGGGGAGGAGAAGCTGAGTTCCTTGGCACGGTTTGACGCCTTGATGAGGGAAATGGACGAGAAGAGGAGGCAACGGGAAGCTGCGGAGGCCAGGGAAAGACCGCAGGCTGGAGTAACGACATCGGCGAAAGCGGAATTGCCCGAGTCAAGAAGCGCTTTCGATGACGACGGCTCGGATTCCGATTTGGAGGAGGAAGAAGATGACAGCGACGAGATCGTAGAAGAAGCAGATGTTGAGGACGAGTTTCCTGCATCAACACCAGCTCAGCGGGCTCTGGATTATATTGCCGGCAGATACGAAGCTACCCAGCGGCGTCGACCTGCATCATCACGAGCACATGGCTTCCGATCCACGCCCAGCTACAACCACGATGCGTTCATGGCGCTGTCGAGCAGTGGGCCTTCTCAAACGCGGCCCCAGACGGGCTACTCCAAGCACCGGAGTCGGCCAGGGATGGCCCAGAGAACGCACAGCCAGCCACACCTGGCGACGATACTGGCCTCATCAACACCCCTCGACGTGGCAAGGGATTCCGAGGAAAGCAACGGGTTCAGTTTCACGCCAGGGTCACCATCAGCCCTGCACCGCAGCTCGACCGAAAAGCGAGCCTCGACATCGAGCGCCAAGCGCCTCAGCTTTACCGAGTTCACCAGGCGGCTAAGCAGCACAAGCAGTTTGCTTCTCATGCAGACAAACGCCAGCGGCCCCGCTAGCAGCCGGGCGAGCAACAGCGATATGGACCTACAACAGCAGCTGCCGTCGTCACAGTCGCCTCAACATCTACACCACCTGCATCCCAGGGCGGGTCCGCCGGCGTCGCTTCAGCACCAGCAGCCGCCGCAGTCTCCGCCGCAGACGGGTGATCGCGAACGGTGCGCCTGGCGGGGCAGCTGTGTGTTTGGCGCCGGCGAGGGTGGCTTCATGTGACCGCGGCTGTACGAGAAATAATGATACCGTTCCTGCTGCCGGTGCATTAGAGCACGGTTGACGGTTCCCTCGGCTGAAAGCTTGACAGTCTTTACTTTTGGGAGCATTTTCGGAATTAGACACCATCCAGCGTCTGGTTGATTTACCTGCACCAGCTCTAGCCGTTCGCAAAAGCTGAACGCATTTCGGCGTTCAGTTTCGTAGTCAGTATCTTGACCTATTCCCAGCGTCTCTCAAGAGCTCACTTGCCTGGCATTGCCGGCAACACCAACCCAGTTTTACGAAAACCCTCCTCCCTCGATTGTCCCGACGAACTCATTCTTGTGACGACGGGCTCATGACCGAGACGTTTATCTACATGCAAAGGGGCATCTGGCGTTAATACGTAATTCACCACTTGGTGGTCTGAAACTTACCATCTGGTCGAATGAAGTCTGTACCTGCATAACAGTTTCTACCCTTTTTTATCATTCTCTCAACTGCAATAATTCTCATGTTGTTTCACATATACCTTACTCACCTACCCTTTATGGTCATCAAGCATACTTGGTATTTTCACACAAGCTGCAGTGGGATGCCCCCTTGGCGCGATGCGAGAAGCTCTCTGCATGTATGGACATACACACGTTAGATATGTGATATGACAAAGCAGACACAAACACACAGACACAGACGATCCTGTTGCACGCATTCACGTATACAGGCGGACTTGTTCTCATCATATCGCACGCTTGGATCCAGCCCAATGGAACCCATCCTAGCCCGGCAGGGAGGTGCAACGAGGTTTGGGATCTGCTTGGAACGGGGCGCCAACACATTCAAAACATCAGAGCAGTAGTATGGCGGGGCATCTCGTGGATGTACACCGACTAGGCAAGATCACCAGTTGCCATCCTCGCAAAGATGAAGGGAATGGTTGCGACGTACGAGAGCAAGGATGTATACTGCCTCGACTGCTTTCATGTGACCTTCTCCGGAGTGTATAACGGGCAGAACGAGCTTTGACATTGGAGCTCGCTGCAAAAAGTGCAGTACCACGGTTAACCGTAAGCTGTTCTGTAGACAAGCATCGAATGGCTCATATGAAACTGCCAACACAGCCCAGGAGACGTTCTTGGGTCCAATAATCATAGCGGCAGGTGTTGTCGCTCGGGAGGACGCCGTTGTATGTAGCCGCGATGAACCATTTTCGCTGGATCCAGAAATGAACTGCAGCGGAATAACGGAGTAACGTTAAGGTGCAAGCTCCAAAGCCTGACACCCCAACCGGGGATAACCGTAGCTTGAGACACCAATTTTGATGCCCTTGATTGAGAGCCGAAGGCTGAAGGAACAAGCCAGGGGTTCGAGTGCGTTCAAACCATTGGCAGCCACGGCAGCAACAGTTGCACAGCACGAAGTTAGAGCGGTGGAGCTGAGTGCTGACTGGGTCAGTACTAATCAGATCACTGCCGCCCAGGGAAAGGACAGCCTATCGATGGATGCGTCCATGAGGTTGGCCGTTGACAAACCTTCAGATGTGGACAGCTCTCGGTGTAACCCTGGGGGGAGGGGGATGTCCGGGAAGCATTCGAGTGAACATGTTCCACGCCAGATATTATCAGCCAACCAAATTCCGTAGCCTTACCATCACCCTACGCAACGCATATCAAGAGAGCCATATACCAATAAAGCACTGCTCATTTATTTTAGAATATATCAGAAAGTTATAACTAATAGTTTTACTGTTTTCTCAAGTATTACTAGAGTCGTAGACGATTATATTCATAAGGAATTCTCTAGTTATTCCTAGGCGAAAGTTTAATTCCTTATATGTTCGGGCAGGCTCGTGCTAACTCGCGCTTGTTAATCTATAGTACCTTGCTATACTTGTCCTGTTTGACTCCCTTGTGAGTATTTGAGTATAGCGATTGGCAATACGTAGCGAAAAACATATCTGAGACTTATGCTCTATTTGGTTAGCTATTGGGTAGGTAGCCTGTGCGCTCACTTGTCTTTCTCACGTCGCAGATGCGCATTCTGTATATTCTCCCCCTTCTAATTAGCAGCATTGAGTCAGCATTTGCAGTGCTCCTATCACGAGTCGTGACAGTATAAGTGTGACGGGCACCACCCAAGGTCTGGTCAGCTCGCACATACAAGATCGATATTGCTACAACGAGAGCAAGAGCTAGATGACAGGAATGGGCGTGCCACCAGACCTTAAGTACTGGAGCAGAGGCCTATGCGTAAGCATGACCATACACTGACCCCATGACGTATGCATAACCGCAAGCATATGACATAACCTTGAGAACAGGAACGGGGAATCCCGTGACAATAAGATTCATATGCGCAACTCCTAATTCGACTAAATGGTTCGAACTACAGTTCCTCTTTTAAGGATATAACGCAGTGGTCAGTTGCGCCTACTCGTGACAGCACCAATGCTTCGCCTTGATGCTACTTGTTTCTCACATAATAATTACTCAGATTTATGATTCAGTTAACGTTAACTAAGTAGTCAATAGAATTACATTCTCTTTTTCTAACATGATCTGTCACGGCGATTGCGCCGTGCCTGCTAGGACCCACGGGTGGAACCCGGCATGTGGAAAGCACGGGCCCCTGTGGGTTAAATATTCTGCACCTCGCTGCCGCGAGATCTGTTCGTAGCTCCTCGAGCTACGTCTTGACAATCAAGCCTGCCCGTACCTGACGGAATAGAGCTTAGACTGTAGTTTAGCCCGAATACAATTGTCATTGGATTGTGCGCCTGTCCCCCCGTGACATGATCTCTTATATTAAAAGTATGATATAACTACTAATTTCCTTCAAGTCTAAGTATTTTATAAATTATAAAAAATAGCATATATTATAGTAGTGCTATAGGAAATACACTAAGATATTATATAATATTTAGAGTATGTAAAAATAGATAGGAGCTTAGAATATAATGTCCTCAAAAGATAGTATATTGTAGCCAAAATTATACTCTGCTTGTCACGGCGATTGCGCCGCGCCTGCCAGGACCCACGGGTGGGGCCCGGCGTATGGGAAGCACGGGCCCCTGCGGGTTGAAGATCCTGCACCTCGCTGCCGCAAGTTCTGTTCGTAGCTCCTTGAGCTACGTCTTGACAATCAAGCCTGCCCGTACCTGACGGAATAGAGCCCAGACTGTAGCTTAGCCCGAATACAACTGCCATTGGACTATCAGCCTGTCCCACCCGTGACACTGCTCAATATTGTTAGAGAGGCGCCTGATCCAATTGATTGCATGAGGCAATTGCGTGAAGGTGCTCCTATTCGTAGGGTCAACAACCTCAACGCCAGGTCGGTTTGGGAATATGGTGACTCGAAGGCTTCCCCGGACCCCGTCCCCTCTATGGAGGTGCCAGTGTATGGTGGACCTGCTGGGCTGTACCAGGACATGCTTGCCTGGGCCTGTCACGGGGAGGGACCACCTGCCAGTGCGTTTCCTTCTTGGCAGCGTCAACAGGTGCTCATTCTCCGATCTGCACCTCCCGTCGTTATCTCCCTTCGACCTGAAACCATATCCATCCACCTTTGGAGTGCGGCTATTGAATCAACTTTCGCTGATGAAACTGAGAGTCTGACATAAGGTACCTTTTGAAGAACCCACTACATTTGACCTCGACCTCTCAATTTCTGCCTTCATCTTTCCCTAAGCATCTGCCATAAAGACACCGAACCTCATTCCGTGGCATGCTAGACCCTGCTTCCACAGTGCGCACGGCCCAGACCTAGCTCAACGCATCCCCCGTTTCATACCGACGATTATGACGGATCTGAAAGCTCTACCTGCCCCTTCGTAAGCTGCCAGCAACTCAGCCGGAGCTTGCATCCAGCAGCGGATCTTGCACTATCGACTCCGCTGTTCGCTTCTCACTTTCTCGCTGGAATCGCCATTGCCGCTAGCACACGACCTCGCCCTTGCCTCCTAATCTTCTGCGGGAACGGACATCGCTCCCGCAGAACCGAAGTTGATCACGGTGGCAGACCAAACCCCCAGGCAAGCTTCCATCTATAACCCTCCCGTCTCCAACACATCGCCTGCCGTACCGACCTCAGCGTCCCCGGACGCCACTCCGAATATCCAAGCACATAGCTCGCCGCAACTCCCTCCGCTGCGAGCCCAGAACCCGACGTCCTCCGTGTCCAGCCATCCCTCGCCCGCCTGGTCGGGCTCCCGAGACACAACCGTGCCGTCCTCGTCCCTACCCGGGCCACAAATACTCGGTCGAAGGCTAAGGGCCGAGTTTGAAGAAGGAGAGGAGGGAGGAGCACAACACCACGCATCAAACACCACAGCCTCCGCATCGACCCATAAGCGAGCCCGCCGCGAAACCATGCTGATGGAGATCGATAAGGGCGAGCCATCCAGCCGAGATCCGCGAGTGGTGTCTAACGGATCCCGCCCTACCGGGGAGCACCCGCTGCCAGGCTCGAGCAAAACACAAAAGGCGCCGTCCGAGACCATGCGTGGCGCTCGACCTAATGGGGCAGCTGTGGGTGTGCAGCAAGAGACCTACTTTGGCCATGACCGGGAGGAGATCACACGCATTCTGATACAGGCGTTGGGTGACTTGGGCTACCATGCCGCGGCAGAAAACGTTGCGGAGGAGAGCGGCTTCCAGGTCGAGAGCCCAGACGTGGTGGCCTTTCGGCAGGCTGTGCTGAGCGGCGCTTGGAGCAGGGCGGAGGAGTTGCTCTGCGGTAAGGGTGCTAGGGCCTCCGGCCAGGGGTCAGATAACGGCGGGCTTGTGCTTGCTCCGGGAGCGGATCGCAACATCATGAGGTTTCGGCTTAGGCAGCAGAAGTTCCTCGAGCTCCTGGAGCAGCGAGAAACTGGCCGGGCATTAGCTGTCCTGCGGAACGAGCTCACGCCGTTGTGCCAGGAGCAGCACCAAACGCTCCATTTCCTTTCGAGACTACTTATGTGTCAAGATACCGAGGATCTCAGGAGTAAGGCTAGCTGGGATGGCGCAAGTGGCCGGTCCAGGCAGGTATTGTTGGCGCAGCTTTCAGGTTAGTGCAGACTTCCCAATATCCGCGTGTATTGTCATACCCGTAGCTGACGGTTTCTTCTAGGGTCCATTTCCCCCTCGGTCATGCTCCCAGAGCGGCGCTTGGCTGTTCTCCTGGAGGACCTGAAACGCAGTCAGGTGGACAGGTGTCTTTACCACACATCCACCGAGTCCCCTTCGCTCTGCGTGGACCATCTTTGCGATAGAAGCCGTTTCCCCTCAGAAATGCTGGACGAGTTATCCAATCCGGCGCTGGAGTCGTCCAAGAAACCTGACGAGGTCTGGCAGGTCCGCTTCTCGCCCGATGGCAGGCGCTTGGCCACTTGTGGGACGGATGAGACGGTCAGCATTTGGGACGCTGAGCACTTGGCCCTGATGCATCGGTTGCATGGGCATCTCAAGGGCGAGATTGGCAATCTCGCGTGGGGCCCGGACAGCAGGTTACTGGTCACTTGCGGCTTTGACCGCAGCGCAAGGCTCTGGAACACCGATGTGAGTGACATCCTTCTCTCACGTCTAGGGCTGACCTTGGGTGAATGCTAATCAAGTGCTGGACGGCAGACTGGAGAGTGTTTGAGGACCATCGGCGGTTTTGAGGAGCCCGTGAGCAGCTGCGTATGGGCAGCCGACGGCCAAACGTTCATCACCGGGTCTTTCGACAAGAAGAAGTCCATCTGCCAGTGGAACATGCACGGGGAGTGCGTCCATTCGTGGACCAGAGCGCACAGGACGGAGGATCTTGTGCTTTCTCGCGACCAGCGCTGGCTGGTAGCCATGGACGAGCAATGCAATCTGCACGTCTACGATTTCGTCGCCAGGAAGCACGTCTACGACTGGGCGCTTAATGCGCGGCCTACTTCGCTCAGCATCAGCCGCGACTCGAGGTGTCTCCTCATAAATAAAGCAGACAATGAGGCCGTCCTGCTGGATATTGAGACGCATGAGACTGTGCAGAAGTACACGGGGCAGACGGGCGGTAACTACACCATCAGGAGCGATTTTGGTGGCGCGAATGAAAATTTTGTCATTTGTGGCAGCGAAGGTAAGAAATACCGCTACACGTTGGCCCGACGGGATGACGATTCTTGATGCTAACAGGCTATAGATGGCCACGTCTACATCTGGCACAAGCTGACGGGATTACTCGTTCAGAGGCTTGAGGCTCACCACGCGAGCTGCAACGCAGTCGCCTGGAACCCAACGGACCCGTGTATGTTCGCCACTGCTGGCGACGACGGGAGGGTCAGAATGTAAGTGCTGCCTAGCGCTGGCTGACCAAGCTAAGTCCAAGTTGCTGACGCCTCATGCCACTAGTTGGTCAAACAGGGAGCGAGCCAAGGCTCTGGCGGCGACGGGGCGGCACCCTAACGGCACGTCGCGCACATCGAGTAACGGCAGCCTGCGCTCGGATCCGATGCGGGCTTGACGTGGACACGAGGCGTAGAGAAGAGATGTGAATGGGATCATAATGGCGTCTTTCATTACAATATTGCAATGGCATTGATTGGAATACAGGACATCGCATGGGGCGGCGAATTTGGAGATACGGGCTGATGCATTGTTTTTATCGAGCGCAGAGTCAACCGCTCGTTTCACTACTTGCTTCTCTCTTCCTTCTGGCTGGCTTGAAGACAGGGCGGGGGTCAAGCGGATAACCAGGGGAGATGGTCATCAGGAACGGGAGGAGTAGAACATCGGGCATGGTTTGGGATGCTGGGTTGTAGGGTCTTCCCCTATCGTTATGCAGCTATTGGATTCAACACTTCGCTAGATGCTGAGGCTATGGACAGGTGATGCGACTGGGCATGATCAGAGCAGGACGCAAGTGCCCGCTCTCGGGGGCTCTCAGGGAGCAGGGTAATTCGCAAGGTGGTGGAGGCTTTATCAGCATCGACTTGGACCCTGACTTTCAGCCTTCCAGGCGGTGGCAAAGGGCACAAGACGTTGAAAGGGTCGTCGAATTGCCGATTCTTTGAAGCGGAAATAAAACAATAGCAAGACATAAACACACTCTTGAGTATGCACAATGCAAAAGTCCCGTTCTCCTCCCACGTAGATTTGTGGGTGGGACTGAGCCGCAAGCCGCCGCGTCACTTTTCAAGCACCAGATGACGAATGTCGAGTGTGGCCATGGCAAGAGGGTTGGAACATGGGGGTGTGGTCCAGAATCCTTGGCTGTTTCGAACAGACTGTAGCAAGGTATTCGGCTTTGAATTGTGCAATTTGTATGATCGGTCCATAGTAAAGGGGGCGATGTGACAGCCTCTCTTCTCAAGGATGGTCATGACATCCATTATTTTGGAGTCTGGAATTTCGAGCAGTACCTTAAATTGGAGAGTGGTTGCATTGATGGATGTCACGTGCAGCACCCCCTGCGGCAAATTGGCTCTGGGGTTGCACTGTGCACGGACGGGACGTCGCGACGCAAGTGGGTCCCCACGTAAGTCGATCTGGAAGACTGGACCGGCTGGACACTTTGCGACTCAAATCGTCAAGAGTTTCCCGCCATCCCAATCCTACACGCAGTCACCACTGTGTTAAAGATACACAACGCGGCGCCGCTTGCTTCAGCCCGACTCCCGAGAGCTATTGAAGAGTTTTACGGCTTTCCCACAATCATCACATCGAACGCTTTCACCCTCTGCGACTCCTACGCATTGTCGACCCGCCTTCGCTCCACTCTTGCCCCCCGATCAAGGGCTCCTGTATCCAGCAACAACCACCGACAACCACGCATTTCCCCTATACGTATCGCAGTTATGACGGCCGACACCCCTTCAGCGTCGCTCGCACAGCCAGGCGGCATCTCTGACCCGGGGCTCATTAAGTACGCACGCTTTCATCACTACAATTTTTAGGCGTTCCGCGTCAGGCATTAACATGTGCCCCGCACAGGCTTGTCAACAAACTTCAAGACGTCTTCACCACCGTTGGCGTCAACAACCCCATCGATCTGCCCCAAATAGTAGTAGTAGGTAGCCAGTCGAGCGGAAAGAGTTCAGTATTAGAAAACATTGTCGGCCGCGACTTGTGAGTCCCTCTCCCCGGCGTCCAGTACCCACCACGGTTGCGTTTCCCACTTTCACCGCCTAACCTGCCCACTCGAACACAGCCTCCCTCGTGGCTCCGGCATCGTCACTCGCCGGCCCCTCGTCCTCCAGCTCATCAACCGGCCAGGCCAGCCGCAGACCAACGGGCTTGAGAAGGAGATTACCGACAGCACCGATAAGGCGGCCAACATCGAGGAGTGGGGCGAGTTCCTGCACATTCCCGGCCAGAAGTTCTACGACTTCAACAAGATCCGCGATGAGATCAGCAGGGAGACAGAGGCCAAAGTCGGTCGGAACGCCGGCATCTCGCCCGCCCCGATCAACTTGCGCATCTACTCGCCCAACGTCCTCAACCTCACCCTGGTCGATCTCCCCGGTCTGACACGAGTCCCCGTAGGTGACCAGCCGCGCGATATCGAGAGGCAGATTCGCGACATGATTCTCAAGTACATCCAAAAATCGAACGCCATTATCCTTGCTGTGACAGCTGCCAACATCGATCTGGCGAACTCGGACGGCCTCAAATTGGCCAGGGAGGTGGACCCCGAGGGCCAGCGGACCATCGGCGTGCTCACAAAGGTCGATCTGATGGACGAGGGCACCGACGTGGTTGATATTCTGGCTGGGCGCATCATTCCCTTGCGGCTGGGCTACGTGCCGGTTGTGAACCGCGGGCAAAGGGACATCGACAACAAGAAGCCCATTAACGCGGCGCTCGAGGCCGAGAAGAACTTTTTCGAGAACCATAAGGCATACCGGAACAAGAGCTCGTATTGCGGCACACCCTACCTCGCCCGCAAGCTCAATCTCATCCTCATGATGCACATCAAGCAGACCTTGCCAGACATCAAGGCTCGCATCTCTAGCTCGCTACAAAAGTATACGCAGGAACTTGAATCCCTGGGCCCGTCTATGCTTGGCAATAGCGCCAACATTGTCCTCAACATCATCACCGAGTTCACCAATGAATGGCGTTCCGTGCTTGACGGCAACAATACGGAGCTGTCGAGCACCGAGCTGTCCGGGGGAGCGAGGATCAGCTTCGTCTTTCACGAGTTGTACTCGAACGGCGTCAAGGCCTTGGACCCCTTTGACCAGGTCAAGGACGTCGACATCCGCACTATCCTGTACAACTCGTCCGGCTCTTCCCCCGCGCTGTTCGTCGGCACTACTGCCTTCGAGGTGATTGTCAAGCAGCAGATCAAGCGGCTCGAGGAGCCCAGCTTGAAGTGCGCGTCGCTTGTATACGACGAGCTGGTGCGCATCCTGACGCAGCTCCTCAGCAAGCAGCTGTACCGGCGGTATCCGCAGCTCAAGGAGAAGATCCACGCCGTAGTGATCTCGTTCTTCAAGAAGGCCATGGAGCCGACGAATAAGCTGGTGCGCGACCTGGTGTCGATGGAGGCGTGCTACATCAACACAGCGCATCCCGATTTCCTCAACGGCCACCGCGCCATGGCCATCGTCAACGAGAAACACAACCCGTCGCGGCCCGTCCAGGTCGACCCCAAGACGGGCAAGCCGCTGGCCGGGACGCCCGCGAGAGCCGCCAGCCCGACACTAGTGGCGGGCGATGCCGAGACGTCCAACACGGGTTTCTTTGGCAGCTTCTTTGCGGCGAAGAACAAGAAGAAGGCTGCGGCCATGGAGCCCCCCCCGCCGACTCTCAAGGCGTCGGGGACACTGTCCGAGAGGGAGGGCATTGAAGTCGAGGTTATCAGTACGCATCCCCTCCACTTAACGTTCCTATCAACCTATATCTTGGGTACCATCGGGCTGACATTGTGCTCTTGCAGAACTGCTCATCTCATCTTACTACAACATTGTCAAGCGCACCATGATTGACATGGTCCCCAAGGCCATCATGCTGAATCTCGTCAGGTACGTAAACCCTCCCTTCTCCTTAACGTAGGGGATTCATGTTGCTGCTGGATGCTAATAAGTGTGTATGTGTAGCTTCACAAAGGACGAGATGCAAAAGGAACTGCTCGAGAATATGTACCGCCAGAGCGAGCTCGACGACCTGCTCAAGGAGAGCGATTATACCATTCGCCGCCGGAAGGAGTGCCAGCAAATGGTGGACTCGTTGACCCGGGCGAGCGAGATCGTTAGCCAGGTGCAGTGAGATGCTGGGCTTCCTCTCTGTCTCTTTTAAAGTCAGGGCTGTCTTGTTTGGCGAGGTGTTGCTGGTGGTCTTGGTGGTGGTGGTGCCGGGCCGGGTTGGAGGGGGGGCGGGGGTGGGGCAAGCATGTTTGTCAGTCTGTCTGCGTATCCATAAATGGGACGGGCTGAGATGAGCGTGCTCTGGAGGTGCATGTCGTGGCGAGGAGAAGGGTTTGGTGTTGCGAGTAATAATGGTGATGACGATGGATCGGGATTGGAAGGGAGGCAGAGGGGATTTGTTGTAGAGTGGTCCTCGCACTTGTATCTTGCTCCTTGTTCCCTTTTCGATACGATACCATGGTAGATTATGGAGATGATTCTGTTTTCTTGTTTCCTCCGCCGGGCTTCGTCTGTGGTTGCAGGGTGGGCTGCATGGATTATGAGAGAGTGAGGGTGGAGACTGATAACCGTGGTTTGAAGCAGTGAAGGGTCCAGAATGGGAGAATTTTTTGTTATTGTTGGAGATGATGTCGTGCTGATTGATGTCGTGCTGGTTGATGTCGTGCTGGTTGATGTCGTGCTGGTTGATGTCGTGCTGGTTGCTGGTCAGTTTTTGTTTGACTTGATGGCCTCCTGTAATGTTGTTCCATTCCACGCTTATCACAATGCATCCTCGGCCGACTTCATCTCGACGAAAATGCAACATCATCTCCTTATGGCGGTGTAACGAGCTGTCGGTCAACGTTCCCGGCGATTCAGCTCAGGGGCGGCAGCTTGCCCATACCCAAAAGGCCTGTCTCCCAGCTTTGGTCCCGGTTCCGATTGAAGCAAACCCTTTTCCACAGAAAGTTGTGCAGACTTTCGGTGAGCATGTCAGCCACAGATCGGATTGGCGGTGAGAAAGGAAAGTTACCGGTACGCCTCGCCTCTTCTCTTCCTCGATGTTGCCTATCAATAGTTGTTGCTTTTTCTTCCCCCACGCGGCACGTCGCGCCCAAATCTTGGAACCATGTTCAGCCCATCTCCAGAGGCTGAGCTCCTCCCCAGGGCGATGAGCCCGAGAAAGTTGCCATGCGGCAGCAAGTGTGTGATCGGATAGACTTGTTATGCATGGCACCTGCGAGCGCAATCATGTTGAGCTTGCCATGGCGCCGGGTCTTCCAGACTGCTGCTGCCGGCAGCGCTATCCGTGATGGAAAGAAGCAATCAAAACTGGGTTGTGCAAGCCTCTGTGGGACGGGGAAGTCCGATCTGGCACACCCGGTGTGCAAGGCGAAGAGGGAAAATTTAAGACAGATGGCATTCACGCGGGGAAAAAGAAGGAGAGGACTCGGTTCTCCTCGCTTCCGACAACAGATACGGCCAGTTGGACATCCTCTGAAGGCTGAAAAGGCTGTTCGTTGACTACCTGAGCGCATCGCCGTCTTCAGCGCAATCTGATCTCCTACAGGTCGTACGACGCCAAAGACTTGGCCTCACATAAGGCACCGAGTCCGAATACGGCAAACATGGCTCAAAACTCACGAGATGATTCACCGGATCCTCCGCCCAACCCACCTCCAAGTCCAGCATGAGAACATGGTACACTGTCACGGCTAGAACGAGCATTTGTATGTTCTCCGATCCATTCCTTCTTTGATACCTCAGGGGGGTGGTCGGCTGATCTTGTCGAGGGGTTCAGTCTTGCATTCCTGGAACACCAAGTCGAGAGCGCGGTTTTGGAGCCAAAGCTGCGTCGAAATCGACAATTCACTGTGCGGCGGACGAGTGTGTATGATAGAGAGTATCAAACTTGGCTCTTTTGTTCTGGAGTAAAGCTAGAAGCATTTCTTGGGAAGGGTTAGATATGTCCACTGAGACAGGCTGCTACCCAGCCGCCGGTCATCACAACTTGGCCTTGTTCTTCAACACCAAACCGCCTTCGCTAACGTCAAACTGATCGCCTTTCGACCAGTCTAACCACTCTTTCAGCGTTTCTTCCCCTCCATGCCCCGGCTCAAGAGTATATCCGTCGTACCCCTTCCCTTCAATCCCCTTCCCCTGACCGTGACTAGCGTCCGCGGCATTCTTCCACACAGCCAAACAAGGCGTCGCCCTCAAGGCAACCGCCGGCCTCTGGTCACCCTCCATCCTCCCGCCCCCTTCCATCTCCCCATACTCATAAACCGGCGTACAGCACGCGTCGGTCCCCTCAAACACCCGCTCCCACTCATCCCTCGTTTTGCTCTTGAACACCCCCTCCATAACCCTCCTCAACTCAGGCCACTGGTCCCTATCATACCGCCGCCCATCCTCCCACCCTTGCCCCGCCAACCCCAGTCCCATAACCAGCTCAGCAAAAAACTGCGGTTCCAAAGCCCCGACCGCCATCCACCTCCCGTCCTTGGTCTCATAGGCATCATACCAAGGACACCCCGAATCAAGCAAGTTCTCGCCCCTCTCCCGATCCCACACCGGCGTCCTCCGCGCAAACCGCGCAAAGCTAGCGAGATACGACACTCCATCCACCATATTCGCCTCCACCACCTGGCCCCGCCCAGTCCTCGCCCTCGCCAGCAGCGCCATCAAGATCCCCTGGAACAGCACGGCCCCGCCGCCGGCAAAGTCGCCCAGCAGATTTCCCGGAGGGGTAGGCGGCTGCCCCTTGCGGCCCAGCAGGGCCAGGACGCCCGATACGGCCAGGTAGTTGATGTCGTGCCCCGCCATAGACGCGAATCGGCCGTCGCGGCGGAAACCCGTCAGGCGGGCATACACCAAGCGGCCGTTGAGCGGGCACAGGTCGGCGGGGCCGAGGCCCAGTTTCTCTAGCACGCCCGGCCGGTAGGGGTCGATGAGCACGTCGGCTTGGGCCACGAGGGCGCGGATGAGGGAGACGCCGGCAGGGTCTTTAAGGTTGACTGCGATGGAGCGCTTGCGGCGGGTTAGGAGGTCCGCTGCGGGAGGGGTGGAGGATTGGGATGGGGGGCGATCGATCCGGAGGACTGAGGCGCCTGCGTCGGCGAGGAGGAGGCCTGCGAAGGGACCTGGATGATGATTAGTTTCATATGAAGGTGTAAGGGATAAGGGAAGCGTTCACCTGGAGCAAGGCCGGCGAATTCTAGGACTTTGATGCCGGTCAGGGGCGGTTGGCCGGCCATGGTGCGGTGTAGGCTTGATACGGTGGGAACATACTAGAAGATATTCCAGAAGTTGTTCATGGGGGGAAAAAGTATCAACCAGCGGCCCTCGTGTTAATTTGCCCCGGCGATCTCTCTTTGATGCAGTCTGTCCGAAACCGGTGATGCCTGCCGGAGGGCATGGCCCCGCAAGCCCGTCTTGAGCCGAGGTTCCCAGCCCCGCCCTGGTCTGAAGTATGGGAATTCGGATTTGCGGTGTGAGATTCAGCAGTCCAAGGTATGTATCTTTGAGAGTACTCGACACCAAGGTCGGTATCTAGAACTGTCAGCTGTTGCATGGTTTGTGTGCAGTGAGAGGGTCCTCGTGATTAGGGTGAGCCCGTGGCGCACACGAGATGACCGCGCGATGCGTTTTCACAAACATGGTCGTCCGACGACTTGAGTGACATTGCCAGAGACGAGCGTCTCAATGTCTTCATACCATGATAATAGCGTGACCAACTCGTCCCACACCTTCTTCTGCACTTCCTTGCCCTTCTCGGAGAGCACGAACGGGCTTGGGTCGTCCACTTTGCCGCTGTCGACGTACTTTCCGTGGCTTTCCCGTCCCCCAGCGACCGCAGCCATCAGCGCTCTCGAACCCTCCTCGCTCGTGCGGCCAATGCAAAGTTTGGCAACGGACAACAAGAACTGGCCGATAGTGTGGATGTCCCTGAACAGGCTGGATTCGCATAGCCCAGGGTTTGCCGTGTTGACCACAATGGGGCTGGATCCAGCACTGGCGGCGTCAAGGCGCTCGGCCAACTCCTGCACCAGGAGGATATCAAGCAATTTGGTAGTCCCATAGCGGTCGTGCATAGCGCGGCCAGGGCGAAAGGACTCAAAAATCCTCGGCTGGTCCTTTTCAACAAACTTGGTCTGCCAGCGGTTCTGTTAGCAATGAGCCAGAGTGAGACGAGGAGTCTACCCACAAAAAAGTGCGCCTCACTCGCCACCACCGTAACAGCCGGTTCAACGTTCCACCTCGCCGCTGTGCTCCTCATCAACGGCAGCAACATAAGCACCATCAGAAAATTTGTGATGACATTGACAAGCACCTGCATTTCATACCCCTCGGCCATCTTGGGAGAGCCAATGCTGAGTACGGCGGCGTTCGCCAGCAGGACGTCCAGCCTGTCGAGCTCCTTATCCGCGCGTCGGCAAAACGCTCGCACGCTGTCGAAGGAGCAGAGGTCAAGCGGCCATACCTCTAGTATTGTAGAGGACGGGGTGAGTGTCCGCTCAATATCGGCCTTGGCGGCCTCGCCGCGCTCCGTGTTTCGGCAGGCGAGGATCACGCGCGCGGCGCCTAGGCGGGCGAAGTGCCGTGCCGATTCAAGACCCAGGCCTCCGTTGGCGCCCGTGACGATAACGGTGCGGCCAGCGTACGAGGTTATGGGGACAGGGATGGATCGAAATTGGCGCTTGAAGAAGTGCACGGCAATGGCGAGGCTGGAAGGGTAAGTGGGTGCTGTGGTTCAAGGGGGTGGATATAGCTTACAGATTGGACATTCTTAATGAATGTCAGAGCCAGTGTCAGAAGCAAGAACGCTCGATTTGATAAAGGTGGTTGTGATGAGAGACTCGAGGGTGATGTAGAAACGACCTCGGGAAAGACTTGGATTTATCGCCAAGACATGCCCAAACACGGTCGTTGAAGCCTTGCCATCCAGTCCGGCGCGGAGCAAGAAACAAGCATTCCGCCGAGGATGCGAGTGATCAGACTTTCAGAACCAAGCTGAGAACCAGAAAGAGACCGAGGTTGATCATCAAGCAGGAAAGAGCCGTTCAGAGTTTGCCAACGGGAATGGAATGCGATGTAAGTCTGCTAAAACCCTAACCCTTTGTCTAACCAATGCAAGTTACATCATTGGTAACTAATCGCCATAAAAAGTCGCGATAACTCGACATCGGCAACATCTTGATTTCGCAAACCATCTCTATCCCCCGTGAAACTCAACTGCGTCCCAACATGTTGTCAAGAACAGTTTTCTCGAGGGTAGGTAGAGACTCTATGCGCATTCGACTTTTTACATAATAACTAACTTCATACCTCCAGGCAGTCCGGCAAACAGCCTTCTCTGCAATCCGCCCCGCCGCCACTCCAGTTGCCCCCTCGCCCTTCCTGCTCTCACTCGCTGCCCAGCGCCGCCTCATCTCCGATGCCGTCCGCCAGGCCATTGACAAGGCCGTCGCATCAGCGCCAGTAGTCCTCTTCATGAAGGGCACGCCTGAGACGCCCCAGTGCGGCTTCTCTCGCGCCAGCATCCAGGTGCTGGGGTTGCAGGGCGTAAACCCGGAGAAGTTTGCCGCATATAATGTGCTGGAGGACCAAGAGTTGAGGCATGGTATGTGTCGCCACCTCTGTTGGGATCACGTTGGTACGAGTGACTAACAGAGCGGATTGTGTGCAGGAATCAAGGAATACTCAGACTGGCCGACCATTCCGCAGCTGTACGTCGACAAGGAATTCGTCGGCGGCTGCGACATCATCATCTCCATGCACCAAAACGGGGAGTTGGCGAAGCTGCTGGAGGAGAAGGGCGTGTTGGTGAAAGAAGGGGAGCAGGCTGAGGGCGAGACGAAGGAGTAAAGAGACACGACTGCTGCGCAGCTGTATACTACTACGACGATACCACGGCGTCTTAGAACTGTAACATGTTCTTTTCTTGCTCCATCTTCCCGCACGCTAACACATCTGAAGACACACCAATCACGCCGGATACGCCGCCCCGTCCCCGCGCATATCACTCCCCGCCGACCACAATCCCGTTCCATCCACCTCGTCCACCGTCCACCGTATGATCTGCCCTCTCCCAAACATCTGCCTCCCCTTGCCACCCCACCTGCCCAAGACTTCCACCCTATGGCCCAGCTCCCTCAACCCCCTGATCGTCTCCGCAGGCATTCCCTCCTCGACGTACACCGTCCGGTCAAACACCTCGCCGACATCCGCCATCCCCGCGCCGATACACACCCTCGGCGCGTCGAGAGCCTGCTGCGGACTCAACCCGCCGACCAGCTGGCCCAGCAGCACCTGCACGTGGCCCTGCGGCTGCATGAACCCGCCCATGACGCCAAACACGCTGTGCAGCGAGCCGTCGGCGAGGTTGGTCACGAGGCCCGGGATGATGGTGTGGTAGGGCCGCTTGCGCGGGGCGAGGGCGTTGGGGTGGTTGGGGTCGAGGCTGAAGTTTGCGCCGCGGTTCTGGAGGGTGAAGCCGCATCCGCGCGGCACCACGGCCGTGCCGAAGCCGGCATAGTTTGAATTGATAAAGGATATAGCGTTTCCTTGGCTGTCGGACACGGCGAAGTAGACTGTGTCACTGGACCGGAGCGCCGGCGAGGGGAAGGGATCGCCGTGCCGGAGGATGTCGCTTGCGCGGGAGGGGTCGAAGAGCGCGGCGCGCGAGGCGAGGTAGGGCTGGGATATGAGGGAGGCTGTGGGGACCGTCGTGGTGGACGGGTCGGTTACGAACCAACCTGCGTCAGCAAACGCTATGCGCAGAGATTCGATAATTGCGTGGAGGTAGGGGGCCGTGTTGTGGTCGGCGGCTGTGAACGTTGGGATTCTCTGTTGGGCTTCGAGCTCTTGGATGATGCCGAGGGCCATCAGCGCGACGATCCCCTGACCGTTAGGCGGGTGCTCCCAGAGCTCGACGCCGCCGTTGGCCGAGGAGCCATTGCCTTGGCCGCGAAATTTGAGCGAGATGGGGTCGACGGGCTCGCTGCCGGTTTCGAGGTGGTGTTGCAGATCCGCCAGCTCGAGGTGGCCTCCCCGGTCTCGAACCACCTTGACGATCTCTTCGGCGATGCGCCCAGAGTAGAAACCCTTCTTCCCTTCTGTCGCGAGGGTGCGGAAAGTGCGGGCTAGGTTGGGGAGCTTGATGGTATCTCCCGCTTTCGGCGCGCGGACACCATCAGGGGCGGACGGATCGGCTTTGAGCATCTCGGCAAAGTTGGGGGACGCCTTGCGCAGGAGCGCCTCGCCACGTTGCCACTGGAAAACGGTCAGTCATGGAGTATATTCACCGGTTCGGGCTTGCGGTGTGAAACCCACAAAGAAGGCGGTGTCCTCAGACACAGGAAACCCCTTCTCGCCAAGCTCGACCGCGGGCGCCAGAATTTGCTCGAGGCTCAGCTTGCCGCTGCCGAAGCGCTGGACCGCGTCGACCCATCCGGCAGCGGCACCCGGGACAGTCACAGCGTGGACGCTCATCATGGGAATGTCACCGATGACGTCGTCGGCCAGCCCGAGGCTCTTGCGGATCGTCTCGACCGTGCACTTGGCGCCTGACCGCCCGGAACCGTTCAGGGCTGATACGGTGCGCGTTTTGGCATCGTAGTAGAGGCAGAACATGTCCCCGCCGATGCCTGTTGACGTGGGTTCCGTCATGTTGAGGCCGGCAGCTGGCGCTGTTAGGATGGACGAACGATTAATTCAGGTGTTTCGCCAACGTACCTACTGCCACGGCGGCATCCTGTGTAGGAGTTAGCTTCTCTCAAAGCGGTTGGGAATGTCCAAGGCGACCACTTACGGCAGCATTGCCGCCGGCATTGAGAATATCAATGCCGCACTTTGCTGCTAGGGGCTGGGTGCATGCCACGATGCCCTTGGTACTGTGCACGACACTCCTCCGGCTGGGCCATTTCATGAACTCGCCAGACGGCGGCGGATACACGGACGACGTAGGGAGGGGCATGATGAGTCTCGGGGAGTGTGTGAAAGATCGTCTGATCACAGCAGTCAAAGAAGTTCGAGGACGGCAGACAACCCGGAGGTAGACGTGGCCGTATATATATGGTCCTGTCTTCATCGTAGGGGTCCATCCTCTGCTGTATCATTGCCCTCCGATATCCGCCCATTTACATACTTGTGCAAGCGGCCCGGTACAGTACCATTGACCCATCCCCCTCTTTCTGATCCGCAGGTTGGTACCCTGTGGAGACGGCGGGGAAGCCGAGAGCCGGGCCTGGTAGCCTGGGGAGGTTCCAACTTACATACAACCACGTAAAAAGCCGGGCACCTGCCGAATGAGGCACTGAGAGAACCGGCGTCTAAGTACGCCTTTTTCGTTACGGTTTCGGAAGGAACATAGCAGCAGTTCAAACGATTCGGATCTGTTTCTGTTTAACACCCGTAATTCTCCGCTGCTTCGCCCTTTTCGTCACTCGCTCCCATCCAGATAGTCGAGCTGAGAGAGCCAGCGAAGCACTTGGGCTACAATGACAACCTCCAGGCATACGTCAATGAGCGTTTTGAGAAGTCCATGCTGATATTGGATATCTGTCTGAGCTTCGAAAGCCCATCCTCGGTACCTTCCCTCTTCCCCATTTCCATCAAGTCGCTCGCAGGTCCGCAACCAGCCGCTTCCCCTCCCCCTCCCAAGTCTCGGCGTCATGAACCACCTCCCGTCCCGTCTCCTTCAGCGCAGCATCCACCCACTCCTTCAACAGCTCTAGCTCCATCATCCTCGCCACATACCCCTTAGCCTCCTCCCCCAGCCTATCCAGCGCCCCGAGGTACGTCTGGAACCTCAACACGACGGGCGCATAAAACGCATCCACAGCCGTGAACTCCTTCCCGGCCAGGAAGGGCCCGCCAAACCGCCTCAGCCCCTCGGACCAGAGCTCGTCGATCCGCGCCAGGTCCTTGACCAGCGCCTCGTTGAACGCGGCCGGGCCCAGCTCGACCCGCACGCCGACGTTCATGCCCATCTCCTGCCGCATCGTCGTGAACGAGGCGTGCATCTCGGCGACGGCCGAGCGCGCCCAGGCGCGGGCGACCTTGTTCGTGGGGTAGACGGTCTTGTCCGGGTGTTCCTCGGCGAGGAACTCGACTATGGCGATGGATTCCCAGAGGATGAGTTTCTCCTCTTCAGAAGACGCGGTGTCTGGGAGGACATGCAGCACCGGCATGTGCGCTAAGGGGGAGAATTCTTTCCAGTCTACGGGAGATGATGGTCAATCAAACTTGTTGTTTCTAGGCACGCAACCGTCCAGGGGGGCCAACATTAAATCGTCTGTTGGAAGGGATACGTACGCGGCTGACGATACGAGCCATTGATGAGCGGGGCGAACTCCTCGACGAAAGGAATGCCCAGCTGGCGCATGAGCAGCCATGGCCGGAGGGACCAGGACGAATAGTTTCTGGCGGTTATGTAAAGATGGTAAGACATTTTGGTTCTCTGCTTCGCAATTATGGATTCAGAATGGGTTGTTGTGGTTGTGAGCTTCGGCGATGGGTATGGAGGATGTGAGTCACACGTGAATCGGGTAGATGAAGTAGACGGGAAATATGTTTGCGTCGAGGAGAAGAGACATCAATATAAAACTCCGAGCTTGGGAGAGACGGTGATCAGATTGTGTGTCGCTCACATAAACTACGCCCGCACAGGTGTCTCGTATAGGCAGCTCGGTGGTCACGCCTTTTGGTTGACCGGCTCCGCCGAGGACGGCATCGGCTCGGCGCATACAGGACAAGCTTCTCGCTGTCAAGTGGAGCCAAGAAACGTATCTGCAATACTCCGTAATCACAAACCCCTGGGCCGTGACCCGTGACTGTAACGCCAGTCTATTCTCTTTGACCCGCGCGAGAACGCTAAATATCACGCCAGAATGGATGGATGTTGCCAGGACGCCGAATAAACTCCTCACCTACACCGTAGCAGAGGGTCCTGCCGCCTTTGCCGCCGCTTGCTCCGCCTTCTCCTTGGCCTTCTGGGCCTTCTTAGCTTCCGCTTGTCTCATCTTCTCCAGCTTCTTCAGCTGGTTCTTGGTCATCTTTCCCTCCCCATCGGCCGGCGACTCGTCGGCATCCCCATTCTCGACCTTGGGTATAACTATGGGCGCCCGGGGGTTACCTCCCCACTTCAGTGGCCGCGTCTCCATGAACAGCTTGACCGTCTCGTCGTCCACTTTGGCTCTCCTGTCCTGGAAAGCGGCCACATACCTCTGCAGCTCCCTGATGCAGATGGCCTTCAACTCGCCCGTCAGCATCTCCCCGGTCTCGTACGCTACTTTGATCCTCTCGAGCTCCTCATCGTCCTCCAAGAAAAATCGGAGGTATTGGAAGGCAACATCGACGCTGGTGTCGCCCCCAAGCTGCCGGTGCTCTTCCTCTGAAACCTTGCCGCCCGAGAAGGCGTGCTTGTTTATCTTGTTCTTGATCTGGTTGGGAGTGTCTCTCATGAAGATGGCAGACTCGTCGATGGATGCCGACATCTTCGTGCCCGGCCCCTGGAGGGCTGGCAGAAAGAGGGCATGGATGAGAGACGGCTTGGCATAGGGCTTGCCCTGGTATTTTAGCCTTGCTGATACATCCCGTGTCATGCGAAAGTATGGATCTTGATCAATGGCGCACGGAATGAGCGCCGGTATCCCAACCGTCTCCTTCTCATCCTCCCCAAATATGTGCGGGAATGAGGAGGCCCAGCTGGTTGCGCCTTGAATGCTGCCAAAATGAATCCGGCCAATGTTGCTGCTCTCGTTGAAGCCGAAGATGGCACGGGCCTGGTTGAGAGTGATGTGCTTGGACAGGCGGACGATATTCCTGTAAAAGGCACCGCCGACGTAGTCAAAGTCGGAGAAGATGAACGTCTTGGCTGGGTCGAACCCAATGGCGATGATGTCCTTGGCATTGCTGTTGCAGTACCCTTGGACCTCTTCGATGGTCTTCTTTTCTGAGAATAGGTACTTCTCGTCGTCCGTCAGCATGATGATGAGTGGTACATCAAAAGTATCCTGGAGCCACTTTGTGAATTCGAATGGAATCGTGTGGCCGACATGGACGCTGTCTGAAGACGGCCCGCGGCCGGTGTACAAGAAGAAGGGTTCGCCGCGCTCGTAGCGGTCGAGGATGAGCTCAAGGTCTCTGTGAGAGAACACGATGCCTCTCCGGAGAAAGTGGTGCGGGCGCTTGCCGGTCACACGTTCCAAGCGGGCGAGCAGCTCGTCGTCGATCTTCTTTGTGCCGAACTCGTCAACCAGCTTGTTGTAGTCGATGGCCTTGACCACACCATTCTCGTCGACTTCACCTTGCACCTGGTATAGCAAAGAGAGAGCTTCAGTATATGCTATACAAACATGTCGGATCTTGAGCGCAAGAGACAAACATTGTAAGGGTCAACTGTCTGCTTTTGCTGCTTCTGGACAGGCTCGGAATTGGATGGCTCGTCGTGAGCCGTGGCGTCGACTTTTGTCGCCATATTTGAAATGCTGGTTTGGTCGTAAGTTGATCAAAGAGCTGCGGCGAGATATACTCGACTCCAAGGCGAGGTACTGCTTTCGTGTGTGAGTCAATGGCTTGCAGCGAAGTGTTTAAAACTGCCAGAATGTATGCTAAATAGTGGGGGAGGGGCGCTCCGGCTTCGAAGGTCTGGGCATTGCAGTAATCCAGAGGGCGGAAGCAGGCGGCAAAATTCATGCCTGCCAAAGAATATCCATGACCAGCGTCTTGGGAGCAACTGCATAGCTAATGCGACAGTCCAGGGTTCTCATTGTTCTGCGCTAAGTAGCAGGTAATGTTGCCTGCCACGCGACATCACCAGGAGTCCTGCGACTATGTTGGCGGCACCATGGGTGTGCCGAAGCTGTGCGCGGTCCCTGAGACACGCCAGCATTTTTCAGTTTGTTCGGAGAGCTAGCACAGGTATTTCTCTCTTGCCGGCCTTGGGGTCCTATTCTTCCAACTGACTGTCGATGTGGACCAGAAACTCCAGTCAGACTCCCACCTGCTCTGCTCGAGCGGGCCCGAAGGCTCACCGCCGAGCACGATCAATTGACCTCAACCTTGGAGAAGGACTTCGACGCGAAGAAGGCGAAACGCGCCGGCGAGATCTCGCGCATCGCCGACGCCCTTAGACAGTTCGAAAAGGCAAAGGCCGCTCTCAGCGAGCTCCATGGCTTGCTCGAGTCTGATGATGCCGAGATGCGGGAATTGGCGAGGGATGACCTCGAGGCCACAAATGCTCAGCTCGTCGAGTCGAGCCATAACCTTTCGGCGGCCCTGACGCCCAAGCACCCGTTCGCCGACATGCCCTGCCTGCTCGAGATCCGGCCTGGCCCTGGAGGCACAGAGGGACGCTTCTTCGCCGACACCCTCTTCCACATGTACAAAGCATACTGCTCGAACAAGGGCTACCGCACCCGCGTCGTACAGTACGAGGCTTCGGACAGTGACGGTCAGACAGGGTCCGAGGGGGAGATTGCTCTGCAGGAAGCCGTGCTGGAAGTCCAGGAACCGGGGGCATACGCCATCTTCCGCGGCGAGGCAGGCATGCACCGGGTGCAACGGGTCCCCGCTACCGAAGCAAAAGGCCGCACTCACACGAGTGCTGTCGCGGTGTGGGTGCTTCCGTCGTTCCCGGAAAACGGCACATCAGAATCCGAAGCCGACTGGGAGAATCCGGAAAGCGACTTCTACATCGACCCGACCGAGGTGCGCAGTGAGACGATGCGGGCACGCGGTGCTGGCGGGCAGCATGTCAACAAGACCGAGTCGGCCATCCGGCTGACCCACATCCCCACCGGTACGACGGTTAGCATGCAGGACTCGCGGTCCCAGCAGCGCAACCGTGAGTATGCGTGGCGGCTGTTGCGTTCAAGAATTGCCCAGCAACGGCGCGAGGCGAGGGAGGAGATGGCCCGTCAGATGCGCAGCAGTGTGCTGGCTAATTCGCAGATTACGCGGGGAGACAAAATCAGGACCTATCAGTACCAGCAGGACCGGTGTACTGACCACCGGAGCGGGTTGGATGCTCACAACTTGCCGGATGTGCTCAGGGGAGGGGAAACCTTGGGCAAGATCATGGACAGCGTGCAGACGTGGCTGATCAACAAAGACATTGAGGCACTCATTTCCGAAGAGGAGGCTTCTGCTGCCGTTGCTTCTCGGGAAAAGGGCAAGTGAGTTCTCTCCTCTTGTGTATTATGAGCCTTGTACATGTATCAGAGACAGGTAGATGGCATAGATCGAATACCCAGCTAGATCGCGAGGACTCTCCGGACGCACCACTACTCCACACGTCAACATTAGCTCCGGCATATCTCGAGCTCTCACCGAGCTCTGACAAACTTGCAAGTATTCGAGAACCTCGACTCTAACTCATCAATCGCTCTACGGATACGGAGTACGGATCCGTACAGCAGGCGGAGTCGCTACCGGCCAACTCGCATCCATGCCCTTCAACCCCCAAATTCCATGACCCAATCAAACCCTGAGTTTTCTCTTACACCTCCCTAATCGGGACAGCCCCAGTTGTATCCTTGGAAGCACTTTTCTGAGGCACCTTCTCAACCTTGTCTAGCTGCCACATATACGATCGGCAACTGTATAGGACCGTTCCACTCCACGTTCTACCGGTCAGGGCTCGATCCAAGGTCTCTCCCTGTCTTACTCTGCTGTGGGAGACAACGTTACAGCGTTACACAGCTTTGTCAATTGCTTCGAGCCGCCCTGGAATGTTGCGGTCGCTCAAGAAGGCTCGCTCACGTCTAATTCTGGCCCCCTAAACCGCACCCATCGCTTCCCACATGCTTTACCTGAACCTGAAAGTCTCAATAGATCGACGGGCGAATCCCGCCACTCGGCTCCCATCCTTATCTCCCACCATGACCGGAATTTGCGGCAGTCCTTGACGATAACTTCCCGGACGGGTAGGTACAGAGGTTACGGTGCCATTTCGCATGCTGTCCCTTGATCTAGAATCGGCTGACGTCCTGCTTCTCATTGGGCGTGACACCATCCCCCTTTCTATTACCATGTTCGCGATGTCCTTGTCAGCAGGGTAAGGGACAGGTTCGTGGGTATTTGGGGTATCTTCTTTGGTAGGATTGGGTGCACAACAGAGATAGACGGGCTCATCTGGGATGGCACTATTCGCCTTCCCTTTTGAACGGAGATAGGATGGAAGAAATACCGGTAGTTGCGCTTCTCCTCGGTGGAAGGAGCTCTAATGAGAAGGGCTATGACCACTATAAATCCCGACTCCGTCTCATTCAGACTGTCGTGTCCGAAAATTCCAACGAGACACTCACGACGGATTCCGTGCTTGAGACCAGTCTTGGTTGGAAAGATGCTCTGGGCAAAGCTCGTTTCATGTATCATACTATCTGGCACGGCGGAGGCAGTTGGCAGGAGCATAGCACATGCGGGAAAACGCCATGTCGAACATGATGCGAATAGAGCAAAGCCCGTCAGTTCCGAAACTGAATATCACAGTCGACTTCTTGACCGAGAAAAGAAGGGCCACAAGTTTCTGACGGAAAAGACCACAAGTAAGCACCCTTTGCACAGCCTAATCGGCCGCGATATACTGATGATTTCGGTTAGAATTCGCTGTTGACGGAAAGGAGATCCCGGATGTCGACTTCGACGTTGGCGAGTCTTATTCGGGGCTACTGCCTATTAGCAGCGATCCTAACGACGAGAATTATTTGTTCTTCTGGTTCTTTCCGTCAACGAACGCGGCGGCAGAGAAAGAGATTGTCATCTGGTTGAACGGTGGCGTGTGTTTCCTGATGAAGACTGTTCCATGGCGTGCAACTGACCGAAAGACAGCCCGGGTGTTCGGCCTTTGAAGGCCTGCTTCAGGAGAACGGGCCTTTCCTGTGGCAGTATGGCACTTACAAGCCGGTCAAAAACCCCTGGAGCTGGCACACCTTGACCAACATCGTCTATGTCGAACAACCTGTCGGCACGGGCTTTACAACGGGCACACCAACCATCACGAACGAGGAGGAGCTTGCCGCCCAATTCATGGGGTTCTGGAAGAATTTTATTGACACCTTTGACATGCATGGCTACAAGGTGTACATCACTGGAGAATCCTATGCGTAAGTCCATCCGCCTCCTAAGTCTGAACCAGAACCACCCCTAACCTCTGCAGTGGCTACTACTGCCCCTATATCGCCAACGCCATGCTCGACGCCGAGGACAAGACGTATTTCGACATGTCCGGCATGACCATCTACAACCCCAGCCTAACGTATGACGAGATCCAAGAGCCGATTCCCGTAGTCCAGTTCACCGAGTACTGGCCTGGCCTCTTCCCCTTCAACGACACCTTCCGCGCCGATATCAAGCGTCGCGAGAAGCAGTGCGGTTACGCCGACTACCTGGCCGAGTACCTGGTCTACCCGCCCAAGGGCCCTCTTCCAAGCCGTCTGCCAGGCACCCACAAGAACGGCACGACCCGCGACGAGTGCTGGAACATCTACTGGGACATATTCGACGCCATCATGCTCCTCAACCCGTGCTTCGACATTTACCAAGTAGCCACGACCTGCCCCTTGCTCTGGGACGTCCTCGGCTTCCCGGGTTCCATGCCCTACCTGCCCGAGGGCGCGAGCATCTACTTCGACCGGCTCGACGTGAAGCGCGCAATCCACGCGCCCGAGAACATCACCTGGGAGGAGTGCTCTTCCGACCCGGTCTTCGTCAACGATACCGACACGTCCCTCCCCTCGAGCCTCTCGGTCCTCCCGCGCGTCATCGACGCGACGCAAAACGTCATCATCGGGCACAGCGCGCTCGACATGATCCTCCTGGCCAACGGCACGCTGCTGGCGATCCAGAACATGACGTGGGGTGGCAAGCGCGGCTTCCAGCACCGGCCGGACCAGCCGTTCTACGTCCCGCACAACAACATGACAACGCTCTCGACGCTGGCGGCGGCCGGCGTGTTTGGGAGTCTGCTGTCGGAGCGCGGGCTGACGTACGTGGGCATAGATCTGGCGGGGCATATGGTTCCTCAGTACGCGCCGTCGGCGGCATACCGGCATGTCGAGTACATGCTGGGCAGGGTGGATTGCATGAACTGCACCAAACCCTTCACGACTGACACGGGCACGCCGCAGCCGCAGGGTCCGTTGGGCAAGGGGACGGCGCCGCAGGGGTGGAGTAATCGAAGAAGGGAGAACCGTGGAGGCCGAGGAAGTAGCTAGGATGCAGATACAAGGACAGCACAGGGACTGTACACAAGACAGTAAGGAACAAGCTGCAAATTGAAGGCCAATGACGACTGTGAGCCCCAGTACATACTTGTCCATCTCTCCTCCGCTTTTTCCTTCCTCAGGCCCTGGCCAAGACCAGGCCCCAAAAGCCACCACTATCATACACACAAAGCACAAAGAGTGGAACCAGGCAAAAGCCTTCCTCTTCCAGGCCTTCCAGGTAGTTTTGTTTTCCGCCCTCCCGCCCTTTGGTGGTCATGAGCGTAACCCCTTCGTAAAACATCCGATGATATCAAAACAGGTATCCGATACGCCGTGCTACAGAGTTATAAAACAAGGTAAAGGGGTAAATGTACAACACGGGAGCCAGCTAGAGGCCGATTTCCCAAGGAAAGCCCGTCTCAGTAAGGTGAGGGGGAAATGGTGAGATTCAGACAAGTGTGGGAAAATAAATGACTCCGGTCAGCCGAAACGCATTTGATGGCGTGAGCAGAGGACGGGAGTGTTGGTGGCATGTGAGACCGAGGCGCTGCTCCCGGACTGGAAGTGCAGCGGTGTAGAGCCAGACCAGAACCGGAAACTGCAACGGCGAGCATCGCTCAATGAGCAGCGGCCTCCGGGCCCCTCTGACTGGCCATCTTCCTCAACTCCAGAACCCCCATGATTCCCGTCTGCCGCAGCCGCTCAAGAATGATGCGCATGCCCTCGCGGCTTTTTCCGAGCTGGTCCTGCGTCTTGGTCGACGCAAGCGTCTCGATGCTCCGCTGGATGCCCCTCGCGCCCAGCCGCGCAAAGAAGCCGCCGCCGCTATCGCTCGCGGCCGCCTCCGCCTGCGCCTGCGCCTGGCCCAGCCGGTCACGGATACGCTCGCCCAACCGCGAGCGAAAGACGACCCTCGTTTCGACGTCCGTGCTGTTATCGGCCGCGCGCTGCGCATGTGGTGCCTTGGGCATGGCGTAGAGCTGCCGCTCGACGACGGACAGCACGCCGACAAAGTTGAGGTTGCGGCTCTCGGTCGCCATCCACCCCTCGCGCATGTCGACGATGCTGGTCTCGAGTATGTACGAGGCTTTGTCCGACGTGCCGCCCGTCAAGCTGGCCGGGAGCAGCTTCATAACGGCGGGCGGTAAGCGCGACTTCTTGAGGTGGATGCGCGTCGTGTGCAGGCGGCCTGTGTCAGGGTCGAGGTGCGACGAGATGGTGTCGGTGCTGAGGACATGGCTGGCGAAGGGGTTCAGCTGGGGGGAGCAGTAGCGGAGAAAGAATGCGAGCGTGACGGTCGGGAATGGATGCGAGTAGGTGTGATTGGTGGTGTGTGTGAGCACCATTGTGGGATCGGTTCTCGTTCTGATAGTTTTGGGGAAAGTGTATGTGGCGTGTGTTGAGCTCAAGGTCAAAGCTAATTGCGGGCGGGCGTCGGTTTCGATGAGTGTGGTTTGCTTATACTGTCATAGAACACAGGCTCGGAGGCAAGCTTGAACCTCGTGGCTTCGACGCGGGGTGGCGGGAGGGAAGGGGGTACCGCCAAAGGTCGAGTTACACGGGGTTCAGACGGGCTAGATTCGGGCGGACTGAGATGGTCGAAGCTTGGATTGCGCAGTAGTGGTTTGTGTGAGGGCAGCTCACGGTCGGAAAGGATATAAGCCAGACATTGAAGATGGGGTATCCGAGAGCAAGACGTTGAACTGTCTTCGCTCAAGATTTCTTCCTCGGATAAAAAAGGCCTTTTTCTGAGCTCCGGCGAAAAGGTTCGCTGGGGTGCCCCCGAATTGGAAAGCGAGAATGGCTGTGGCAGTTGGGAGAGGGGGAGAATGACGGGTACTAGTGAATTGGGGTTTGGGGAGATGGTTTGGAGGAAGAGGGTGGCCAAAGGCGGACAGTCGGGGACGGGATTGGTGACGATCATCGGCTCATCGTCCAAGCTCCTGCAGCACTTTTGGCTGCCCCCAAGTGGCCGCTGTATCGCGGAGATGGGGAAACCTTTCCAGCCAAGCGTCATCCTCACGTGGTCAGCATCCGGGACTACCAGGCGTAACAGAACGAAAGCTCTCGTCTCACGAGTGCAATTCTAGATTCCTGTATCAGTTATAAAAGGCCCTGGAAACGCTTCAATGATGCTATGAAAAGCTCATCTTTGCTGAAGCCTCATGTCTAGAAAGTGTTATGACCTCTAAAGCTAGACGCCCTCCTGTCCTTTGATAGTGGTCGACGTCCCGCCCGGCCCAAGTGGGGCCGGAGCTTCTCTGAGGTTCCCTTGCTGCCTGAGATCATGTCAAATCATACATCAGGCAAAAGTTTGGCTTAGTCATCCAACGGAGCACGGACCCGGGTAGTTATTTCAACAGTCTCCCAACCTTCGAACATACCAACCAACACTCTCTTTCTCATTTTCTCCCTTTCCTCCACACCACATTCGACTCCTATCGCCGTCACTCTGCCATCGTGTCTGCAGGAGTAATCATCTCGTGAGATATCCCCAACGGTCGCGTTAGATGCGGTCCGTTTGAACTTTACCCTGGCCTTTTCGGTCGAGGACAACAAAGAGCGACCGACCCGGAGACACTGAGCGACGCAACAGCTGCAGCCTGATCTATCGCAGACTGGACATACAGAGTATTGCCTCCTCCTGCGCAGGTCTCGACCGGCTGGATTTACTCCCGCAATAACTTGGGCTTCGCACTAACAGGTGTTTCTGAATTGCTGGCCGTGGAGGTGGTGCTATTCAGGCGGGGAATCATTTGCGATTCTCTATTCACCAAGTTTCTCAATAGGCGGCCAGAGTCTTGCGTGGGGTCTTTGTACTTTCTTTCCCTATTCTTGCTTAACGTCCTTTCATAAAGCGCTTTCTGTCTCCTTGAGAACAATCAGAATTGACTGCATCCCTCTGACGTTAAGAAGAGACGAGCACAATACGTGTGTGTCGTGGGAACTTCTGCAAGAGTTTAAGTCGCATATCCCCATTCACCCTGTGCGAAACAGTCCTCAAAAACACCTGATTCAAGGACAGCCCCTTTGTTACGGCCGCGCCGCTTCTTGCGACAAACAACAACAACCAGTGCGCCTTCAGCGTTACATTGGTAGAGCGAACTCTCGACGCCAACCAGCATGGCTTCCTCGGTTTTCTTCAAGTTCAAGTCACAAAAAGAGCCCACGCGTGTCGGGTTCGACGGGACAGGCATATCTGTCTTTGAGCTGAAGCGTGAAATCATCTTACGGAGCGGGCTCGGCGATGGGACCGACTTCGACCTTGTCATCTGCGCCGATGAGGGCATGAAGGAGGGTATGTATCTTACCTGGTTCCGAGCTCGCAGTAAACATATATGCAGTATACTGACACCAAAGCAGTGTACGATGATGACACGACAATCATTCCGCGGTCCACCACCGTCATTGCGCGACGTATGCCGCCCAAGATTCCCGGGCGGGGAGGTGCTGCTCGCTATGTCTCCGGCAAGATGCCCGTTCACGCAAAGAACTCGTCGCGGAGAGAACAGATTGTCAAGCCTGTCGCCAAGACTCAGTCCAACACACTCGCCCAACTAAGCAGCGCCATGACAGAGGAGGAAAAGATGGCGGCAGTCTTTCAGGCACAAACCGAAAACTTCACCGCCCGCGAGGAAGAGATGGCCACGTATGTGCCTCGATCTCTCAACGGAAGCCCATGTACTGACATGTTGTTGCAGGCAACAATACGTGGCCAAGGGAGGTCCCAAGAAACCGGCCAACGTTCCCGACCATGACCCTCCCCAGGGCTACATATGCTATCGCTGCGGAGAGAAGGGTCACTGGATTCAGCTGTGTCCAACCAACGACAACCCGGAGTACGACAACCGCCCCCGCGTCAAGAGAACCACTGGCATCCCGCGATCATTCCTCAAGACAGTGGATAAAGCGACAGCGCTTGGCCAGAACTCCGATGGCGACGACTCCAAGACTCCCTCTGGCATCATGGTCAATGCTGATGGAGAGTTTGTGATTGCCGAACCTGACAAGGCATCCTGGGAGCAATTTCAGGCCAAGGCGAAGGTGAACCCCTCTGCGGCAAAGGCTGCCGCCGAGGAGGACAAGGAAGTCCGGGAGCGGGGCTTGGAGTGCCCCGTCGACAAGAAAATGTTCATAGAGCCAATGAAGACTCCGTGTTGTGAGAAGACGTATTGCAATGATTGCATCACTAATGCTCTCATTGAGAGCGACTTCGTCTGCCCGGCCTGCAAGTCGGATGGCGTGCTGATCGACGATCTCAAACCGGACAAAGAGGCTGTCAAGAAGATTGAGGCATATCTTGGCGAGAAGGATGGTAGAACGAAGGAGGAGTTCAAAATCCCCGAGAGTCCTGCCGCGGCGAAGCCTCAGGAAGCCGCGGACGGGAATGGAGAGGACAGAAAGGCCGACGCAAAACAAGCCAAGTCAAAATCGCCATCACCTTTACCCACAGCGCCAGCTACGACCCAACCAGGCCAGACATCCACTCCAACATTGCGAAGCGCCTCGTCAACACCCGCCGGTGGCGAGCAGGCCCAGCCTTCCAAGAAGCGGCCCGCAGAGGACGCTTTGGAGAACCCCAAGATTCCCAAGGCGCCGAAAGCGATGCAAAAGGCACAGGAAGCACAGCAGCAAAATATGATGCCAATGATGGGCGGCATTCCCATGATGTATCCCGGCATGCCCATGATGCCTGGCAACTACATGCCCCCAATGGGCGGCCTGCCCAACATGAACATGGGCATGATGAATCCCATGATAAACCCCATGATGGCCGGCTACAGCGGTATCAACAACATGGCCGGTCCCGGCGGGTTCAACGGAACTTGGGCCGGCCCAGGAGGCCCCGGCAACATGATGGGCGGCGGCGGGCCCATGAACGGGATGGGTATGGGCATGGAGATGGGGTTGGGCACGGGCACGGGCACGGGCACGGGCGGCGGGTACGGTCACCAGCAGCAGCAACACCAACAGCAATTCCATGGCCAACAGCAGCAGTATTTCGGCCAGCACAAGAATTTCTCGTACCAGGCTGCTAGTGGTGGTGGTGAGGAGGATGACGCGTACTTCCGCAAGCCTGTCAACCCGCACCGGCACCAGAACCGGCAGCGCAGAGTCCGACCGAGCGATTACAGGGAGCTTTGAAAAAAGAGACGTAGCCCGGCGCCTGAATCTATGTGAGAGGGGGGTGTGGGGGGGTGGGTTGGTTCTCTGAGCGTTACTTACTCGCCCGCTTTCCGCCCCGACTTATTACACCATTTCTCGCTGCGTACATACTCGACACATCGCTGGCAATTCGACAACCAACCAACCATCACACCACCACGTGCGTACCGTACGATTTCAGGTCTGGCCACTCTGTTGTCAGACATCGTCGGGACAGACGCGCAGTATATATATGGATATACAGATGACTCGCTGGGCGGGATGATCCCCTGTGAATGGGGGTTTATTTGCCCTCGCTGTTCATCAGAAAGAGGCTGTTGTCGCCACTGTGACATAAGTTGGGTCATGACTACTTCATGCTCGCCGTTCTATGGACACATCAACCAATCTCGGTGCATCTCTGGCGTTGAAGGGAGTCTTCGATAGGCGTTTGGAAGATGGGATTCTTTTTCCGGGGTTTGGTCACTGAGAAAATGCGGATGGACAGACGCCGGACGGGCACTTGGGTGGAAGGGAACGGATGTTGGGGCGAGCGTTTACTTGACTTTTACGCGAGTATCATGGACTGGATTTAATCCGCCACGGCTTAAGGGTGGCTTCTATTTCTGTGTATAAGTATGGCATATCAGTTCCGCCGGCTGGTGGCGGAGGCGGGAATTGAACCCCATCAACCCGAGTCCTGAACCTGCTGTTGATATCAACGTCTCTGTCTCTGTCTGTCTCTGTTTCTGTGATCCCATGTCTAGCGCCTTACCGCCCCTACTCCTCTAAAATGCATGAACGTGCCGTTGTAACGTACGAAAGGTCTCATCTATAACTAGCGCCGACGCAGGAGGGTATCTACAGCCTGCCGTGTGTCGCTTGAATCCGCCTCGGTCAGGTAAACGCCCATATTGCAACTCGCTTCAGTACCATCCCTTATCCCTTCTCTACGCCACCCCTTTCACAACCGTTCCTACGAAGGTGGGACAAAAGGCTTGACCAACATCTCGCTGAACTTCTCCAGCCTCTCCTTCCCCCTGACCTCCTCAACCAGCAGCGGCATCTTGACGACATTGAACTCATCGTACAGCTCCTCAATCTGATCGAGGTACTTCTTTTGCATGCGGCGGCGAGCGGTGCACTGCTCGCAGTCGGACCCGGGCTTGGGGAACAGCAGCTGATTGACGACAATGCTGTGCGTGTCGATGCCGTAGCTGGCCAGCTCCTGAATCATGCGCTCCGTCTCGTACAGCGACAGGAACTCGGGGATGCAGACGCACACAAAGGTGGTCAGCCGCTCGTCCTTGAACTGCGCGTTGACTTCGGAGATGGTGGCGCGCAGCGTCTCGAGCTTCTCCATCATCTCGTTCAGGTTCTGCCCGTTAGGCAGCGTCCCGTTGCTGCCGAGGAAGCCATTGAGGAGCGGGCCGTACTGGTTGGAGAGCTGCGACACCTTGGCGAGGGCCTTTTCGAGAACCGAGGGGAACTGCAGGAAGCGCAGCGTGTGGCCGGTCGGTGCCGTGTCGAAGATGATGGTTTCGTAGGAGAGCGACTTGACTTGTTTGAGAACCTCGGCGAAGGACATGGCTTCGTCAATGCCGGGTATCTGTGGGTGGGCGATCAGCTAAGCGCACAACTACCGAGGAGGGGTACAGTCTCAACCCACCGCAAATGCCAGATCTTGCATCATTCCCCCCATGCCGCCCATATCCCCCATGCCGGCATCCCCTTCGCCCTGACCCGCCAGCAGATCCTGGATGCTCCCATTAGGATCGATCTCCATGGCGCTCAGGTTGTCGAAGCCGTCGACGAGACGGGCCTCTTTGCCGAACTTTTGGCTGAAGGCGTCGCTCAGGTTGTGGGCCGGATCGGTCGAGATGAGCAGCACGGAGCGGCGAACCTTGGCAAGCTGGATGGCGAGCGAGCACGACGTCGTTGTCTTGCCCACGCCGCCCTTGCCGCCGACAAAGATCCACCGCAGCGACCGCTGGTCGAGAATCGACTGCAGCGTCGGCTCCATGGCGTCCCCATCGTCGACATTTACGAGCGTGGCCGACATGTTGATGGGTAAGGGTCTCTGTGGCCAGTTGAACAGGAGTGCGTTGAGTTGCGGGGTTGTCGATTTGTAGGCAAAGAAGAAGACGAGGGTTGGTTGAACTGTGTATACTAGTCTTGACAAGCCAAAGCAAGGAGACAACCAGTTTAAGCGTTCTGCGCGGCAACTCTGTTCAACTTCAGTCTGGAACCAAGTCGAAACGCGAAGTCACTTTCAGGGTTCGGATAGAGGTCTCTGGGCCCGAGGGGCAACGTCACTGGGAAATTGGTGGAGTACAGCGACCTGGGGGTTCTTAGAGGAGCTTGGCACGCAGAGGCTGAACTTCAATTCAGGCCGACAGTGGCAACAAATCTCAGGTTTCCATCTCCAACTCATATTCCATAAGGTACCGTATGCACTCTCTCGATGTGGACTCCTCCACTCTGTTCCATCCACCAATAGGACCTTCCAGCCTCTGCTTCGTCCATGCTGCCCACCTCAGGCACATACCCCAGATTGAATAAGTACATACGGTAGTTCAGCGGGACACCTCAGCTGAAGGGACGCGAGTCCCAAGACCTTGGAAGTTGAGCCTGTGTTGTCTCCAGCGCCGCCTTCAGGAAGGTCAATAAATGAGCTATTTTCTCATGGCGGCTTCTTGTTATACTGCTACAGTTGTTGACCGCTTCTTAGCAGCTCAGGATACGTCTTCATCACGGACAGCGGCAGACACCGATGCGGCCGATGTGGCGGGGCTGAGCGGGAGTGGGTGTCAAGTGGCCCCCAAGCAAGTCACTGCTACCCATCAGGTTGCAGATCGCATCGCAGCCGCAGGCAGCCGTAAAACGGCCGATTTACACTTATAAAACCTAGCTCCCTCTAACTACTCCCTAATGCTGTTATCCTTTGTCACTTTCTTTTGACAAGGTTGGTGCTTGTTCAGCTTGGAGTGTCAGAAGACTTCAGTGGTTCCCTCAGCCTCATCCCTATCGCGACAACCCCACCATCACACCAACAACGCCAGCCCCGTCGTCACCGCAAAGGAGAGCGACAACGCATTGTCTTGAAAGTGAGTCAAGAGCCTTGTCTACCAGCATTGCGAGTTTTGCATCGAAAACCGTCTTGTGCAGCCCGCCTCACTTCAGCACATTTTCCTCCCCCTAACAAACACCCCGATCTTCCCAACTCCAAAAACCCAACTTACACCCCGCAACACCAGGAACAACCATCACCAACTCCCAAACCCACAAATTCAACCACAATAAAACGGAAGCCCACCATGTCCGCCGAAACAAGAGACCGCATAACTTGCCACGTGCTCGACACAACCCTCGGCAAGCCCGCACGCGGCGTGCGCGTCAAGCTAGACCTCGTCTCAACCACCACGCCCTCCCCCACCAACAACAACAACCATACCTCATCCTCCTCCTCCTCCATTGCGACGGCCGCCGCCCCCGCCGCCCCCTCAACCACCAACCCCGTAGTCTTCGAGTCCCACACCGACGAAGACGGCCGCATCAAGGCTTGGCTGCCCTACTCGAGCCCGACCTCGTCCGGCGAGGTCCCCGTTTACACGCTCGAGGACGTGCTGGGGTCTATCCACGCCAGCGGCGGCGGCGAGTCGCGCTGGACGCTGCGGTTCGACAGCGCGGGCTACTTTGGCGGGGCTGACAAAACCTTCTACCCCGAGGTCGATGTGACCTTTACAGTGCGCGAGGGGGAGCGTTATCACGTCCCGCTGTTGCTGGCGCCGTATGGGTATAGTACGTACCGGGGAAGTTGAAGACGCTGAGGGAACGGGGATTTTGTATGAGGAAGTGGGAAGAGAAGGGGGGAAGGTCGGCGGGCGGTTGTGATGAACGAACGGGTGAAAGGGCCGAAAACGCTGCGTTTGCAGCGACATTGGGAGTGATAGCGGTTGGATGTCGGGCCATGATTTGAATGCCGTTCTTTTCAAATACTCGGTACGATACGTGCGCTGAGGATGGCGCGGTGGTGCTTGTGTCTTTTTCGCGCCAGAAAGTATCTTTGCTACGGATTCGCGCAGCTCGGTCCCGCGTTTTGTTCTCGGGCTCGTATTACCTGTAGAAATCCATGCTATTCATTTATAGCCCATGGAGGGCTTGCTCGTGATGTAGGCTGTAGGTTGCCGAACGTGGCTCTTGTTCCATACATTCTGCTGTGTCCAATCCTGTAGGACCGAGGTATGCCGTGAAGCTAATCAACCTGTAGCGAATGACTAATCCTCCCTGTATACCAACTAAAGCAACGCCATGCCCCTTTGACCTAGGAATACCCAACCCGCCCAGTTGTCGTTGTCATCATGATTTTCCGCCGCCCCCCCCCCCCCAATCCCCAGATTATGCAATTAAGCCTAACACTCCTCGCCCGCGGATGCGTTGTGAATGCCCAAGTCGCTTCTCATGGTATGCTTTGAAAGCCCATAGCAGAACCCACCAGCAACTCCCATCATCTGGCGGCTGGCTCGCCTACCTATGGATGAGCCGGCTCATGAAGCTGCTTCGGTGCCGCCGGTGTCCTCGACGGCCCCGCACCGCATCTCGTGGTAGGGTCTTGGCCTGATCAAACTCCTTCCCATTCCGCAGCGGCGACTCCGGATCCCTGCTGCTCATGCCGTCCGACGACTCATAAATATCGGCGTCCTTGGACAACAGACACCCATCGAGACTGGGAAGTTCGCCCGTCCGCAGTGAGTTGATGGCGAGCCGGCCGAGCGCGGAAAGGGTCCCTTCCTCCACGGATCCGTTGAAAGTCTGGTCGCTAAACGTGGAGGACCGACTACCAGACTGCTGGGTCATGAACGACATTCGGTATCTAATGAGGGCCCGTGCCGGGTTCACGTCTTCCTCGGTGATGCAGGCATCGGGGCTGAGATTCGCTTCGGGGTGTGGTAGTGTTGTATTCCGACCTGCAAGCTAAATGAGCTAATATGCCAAAATGCCAGTGCCGGACCTCTACTTACTGCCGCAAAACGACTCTGGGAACCCCGTGTCCCTGTGTCGAAGCGACATCTGCGTTGGGCTCTGGGGAATCGGCACCATGTATTCTGATGTGCTGTACCTCGAGGGAGTCCGCCGGAACCTCGGTCTGCGCATTTTGAAACTTTAGTAGGGAATTCTTGAGTCCCTCTAAATTCTCGTCTTGTATCCTCCAACCGCGAGAACAATCTCGCCAGCAGCTGCTCGGAAGCTGCCTTGACTGATGAGCCAGAAGAGTCGACACCCGCTCTGCTGGTGCCAGAAATATAGTCCAGGAACTGCGAGTAACCGGGATAAACCAAGTGCAGCGTCGACAAGTTCAGAATGACAATGACAACGAAACAGTCAAGATCAGCGGGATACTCCAGGTAGTCCCTCAGCGTGAGAAGGGAAGTATTACACTGATTGCCGGTTTGGTAAGGAGACGCGAAAAGGGCAGGGGGAAAAGGAGGCTCAGAGTGTTGATGGTTTGCACGGGGTCTTATGCCCTGCCCCAAAAAAGGCCCATTGTTCAACTTGAACTGCGCCCGAAATATGGCCGCCGCTGGGCGACCGAGAGTCGTACGCGGAGACTTGGAGCCATGCTTTGAAGCTTCAACGCGCTGGGTTCTGAGGCTTGCAAGGCCCCCTACTGTGCACTTGCCGGCTCGATTGCGTGGCACTGGTCTCGGGTTGGCCAAGCGAGGGTGAACTGGTGGACGAGAGGCCGTTTCCGCTCACCTTGGTTGACTTGAATTGTGGGGCAAGCTCCACGCGGTCAAGGAATCAGGCGCGCGGCAGGCCGAGCAGCGCTGGCCAACCGATGATCAGGCGGCTGGCGTCTCGTTACTGGCGGAGAAAGGGCTGCTTTGACTCGGCGACTAAATGAAATAGTGACGGTCTGTGCCGCGTTAGAGAACGGTCTTTTGTAGGGATAGAACCAGCAGACAATAGAAAGAAGAGGTCCATGGACAGGATCTTGAGGGGAGGGTGGCCGACTTTTAGATATCGAGTGACAGATCCCCCGCTTCCGCACAAGAACAACTTGCTGAATTCGCCGCTGCTGGCGCCCGGCCTGAGCCGAAACACTCTACCTTCTGTGGGCAAGAACCAGGATCCTGTCGAGCTGAGCCATTGGTGGCGGGCAGCTGCTGAGATGCAGCATGCATCAGCGCCAATGACGAACGTGAGGTCCTTCCAGGGTCTCCTCCCGGCGGAAGGGTTTAGCGATTTGCCCGGGATGCCAACGCCCGCCTGCCATCAGATTCCGGACGTCGACCGAATACCGCTTGCTCTTGACATAGTAAGTGCGAGTTTGAAGACGGCGTGATCGTCCTGGCCTCGAACGGACCGTATCGGGGGCCGGCCAACCCTCCCACTCCATCGGGCTTCAAGCTCCAGTTGTGAATCGGAACTGGTTTGTATGAACCAATGTGACTGCGAAGTGCCACTTCTGTCACGCGGAAACCTGCTATCAACTCGGTTCCATTCTCAGGCGGCATTATATTCACCGCTGGGCGTCATAGCGGGGATGATCAGCTCTCAAAAGGGTGTTGAGCGTTCTTCCAGTCCAATCGAGTGAGCTGCATGTCTCAGTACGAGCAGCAATTCCGGATCAGACTGTTGCCATATTTCGGTCGTCGCTCTCGGATGCACCTCGAGGTCGGAGCTTACCCCCCGGGCTTGATGACCATACAAACCTGAAGCCTCTCTAATTACCGTGGCTTGAGACAAGCATTGACAAGCGGAAGATTTGGGCACGAATTGCCCCAAACTTCGGAAGTGGAAGCGGAGGGCAAGCGATGCATGGAGGCCAAAAGCATCTAGCGGGGTTCTTTCCGTTTTCTGGAACTGCACCCCAGCTGTGCTGCGGAGATGGTCTGTGCCTCCCCATTGTGAATCCGCCCCAGTTCAGCGCCTGAGTTGGCGCACGAGCCACTTCTCGAAGACCCCAGATTCTTGAGGCGATGTGGCACATTTGGTAAAGCCAAGCCTCAGGGGATTGACAGCTCTCCAATTTGGATACGCGACACAACTTCCCAACCTTCTTGCAATCTCCAACGCAAGCAGAACTTGCCGCGTGACATTCCCCCCAACCGGCGCACAGACGAATCTCTTCTGTACTTTCTTTTGATATCACTTCGCCTTTCACATCCAGCACAATGGCCGACCAGGTGCAAGAGATCCTCGAGGTGCCGCGCGAGTTTTTGAAGGACGGCATCCAGTTCATCAACCGGGCGCAGAAGCGTATGCCTCCTCCCAGCCAAGTGATACAGCAAAAACCAGACTCTTCTGACAATGAAACTGCATCCCAAACAGCCGACCGCCGCGAATTCATCAAGATCTCCCAGGCCGTGGGCGTTGGTTTCCTGGGTACGTGAAACTCAAGCCAACCCCCTTCCTCTGTCGAATGGCCACACACTAACAGACGTCCGCAATAGTCATGGGCGCAGTCGGATACTTCGTCAAGCTCAGTACGGCCTTTCCTAACCCAGCAGACCCCCTTCCCTTATCTTGCTGTCCCGTTTCGAAAACCCTACGCCACAACCCTTCCTTGACCATCCTCCAGCTGAACCTAATACCGAATGGAATATGGACTAACGAATATTTCCTCAAGTCCACGTCCCCCTGAACAACATCCTTGTCGGTGGCGCATAACCTCTCTATAACAAATTCAATTTGGAGTGTTGGACAGGGCAGTTGGCAGTTCACACAGAGTAGCCGTGACAAAAGGACCAAGGGAGACGAGTACGAACAAAAGAAAGCGGAGCGATGATTAACAGTCACCACCTGTCCCTTTTCTCGACGTTATCCCCGACGAGCCAGCACGGCCTCCGGAGCAGACGAGGAAAACGCATATGGGATGTATGAGGTTCTGCCTTGAGATTACCTAAAGGGAAGATGGAAGGTTACGATGAGGATAGCCATGAGCTCAAAGCTACGGGAACATACAAGCGGCGATCAGGAGGGAGGGAGTGAGGGAGGAGCGCGAGATATCCCGAATGGCGGTTGAACAAGCTGGCGGTATCATAATTCCCATTGCCGCCGTGGCAAGTGTAGAAGAGTGGGCTTCTGTGTTTTCTTGGCAAATGGATTTCATGCTTACTGAAACTTTACTATTTCCCTCCAAGGCACCAAGTGTACCTCTGCAGTCGATTACACAAGGGTCCCGGGCCATGGTCCAGCCTTTTTGTGGTTATGTTTCGCATCATGTCGCATGCAACACAGGAGAGCAAGTTCTTGAGATTTCGGGTCGTTTAGCGACGCAAGTCGTTAGGGCTGCCCTGGCATGCCGGATGTACTTCAAGAGAGGCCGTTCCCGTTCATCAAGATGCAGCGGTAATATAAGGCGCAGCCCAAGCGATCATCCACACATTCTTTGCTCACTCGACTACAGCCTCCTCTCGACCCTGGCATCCTATCGCCTGGACTTCAGGTACTCGGCCGCCTGGTCCCAAGCGGAGCGGTCGACGGCAGGCATATCCTTAGCGCCCAGAGTCTTGACGCCCGCGTGGAGTGCCCCGAAGAAGTTGCAGGCAACATCCAAGTCGTCGGCAAACGACACGGCAAACGGCACATACACCCCCGGGAATTGCTTCAACTTCTGCTCCTTGTTAGGGTCATTCGGGATGAGGTCGTCGAGATACGTCTTGACGGCAATGCCCAGGGCGACATCCGGATCGTAGAGAAAGGGGAGCCTACAAACAAGGTTAAAGCTCTTTCAGACCATGGGGAAAACAGTGCACACGTGGGGAAGAAACATACTCATGGCTCAGGTCCCAGCCGTCCTCCCGGTTTCGCTTTGCCTGTGCATACATGAACATGGAGGCCAGAATGGCCTCGATTAGGTCACGGTCAGCCGACCGCACCTCGGACACAAGGGAGCGGAAGGCCAGCAGATTCTTGCTGAGGGGCCCAGTGTATCCGTTCGCTTGGTGTCTTAACTTCAGCAGGCTTGCGCATCGGCTAATGAGGAGCAGGCTCGCTTGGTCTGTTTCAGAGCCGTTTAAGGGAAGGCCGCGCAGCTCGTCATGAGGATTCCTAGCGTTGAGGAGCTCGAAGCGGATCAACTCGAAGGCGACCAAAACTGACTCGTAGAGATGCGGGAAGTCGGGGTACTTCCTGACCGTCGGCTCGATCGCAGACAGGGCAGCGGCCAACGCAGAGCCCCAGCCGGTCAGTTCATGCCGGTCATCCACGTAACCCCGAATGTGCAGGAACCTCCAGAGGCAGATGGATTTGATAAGGGCAGCGGACTCAACACCCTTCAATTTCTCCTTGGGGGACAGAGTCGCCGCGACAAACTTTGGGTTCTTCAGGGCCAAAACCTCAGAGAGGATCGAGCCATGGACGAACTGGCCAAGATTGTCTGTGATCTGCGGTTCCCGAAGGTTCCAACTGGCGACTTGCGGGGCAAAGTTGGCCTTGGCCTCGTGGCGGTCCCAGACAGTAGAGGAAAAGTTGCGATCATACCAAACCTTCATGCTGATATTCTTATATCCGATGCCGCGATTCAGACGTGGAATCACAAGGCTTAGGGCAGCCTCTTTGATTCGGGCCGATTGAGTTGTGACCAGCTTCCTGTACTCGTCTGAAGCGACTCCATCAAGCGTCGGCAGAACCTGCAACTGGCCATGAGTGATCCACGTGAGGATCCGGGGTCCAATCAAGCCCGTGTTGAGGTAGTGAAACAGCTCAGAGGGGAGTTGGAGGCCGAGGTACTCGTGGTTATCGTTGGTCAGGTGCTCGTAGTCGTGGACCTTGACCTCACCATTTTCGGCGATGTATACAAAGTGGTCGACGGCCATGCGGGCCTTGCGGTATTTGTCCAGCCAGTCCGGGTCTTGGGTCTTGAGAATGTCGTGGAAGCTGGTGCAGACGAGAGTCACCGACTTCTCCGCGGTGCGCAGCATATTAACCGCGTCAGCCACTGTGTGAGGTTGCGTCTTGATGATGGTCTGGTCGGCCAGGGGTGGGAAGGACAGGAGGAAAGACGTCCCGGTCATCAGAAAGGCGTCGATAAACAGAGACTCGCTGACATTCAGTGTCTTGAGGATGTGCTTCTTGGAAACGGCGTAGACTAGATTGTTGTCCCAGTCAATGGTGCGGATGACGCAGTCCCGAACAGGGTACAACAGGAGCTCGGCCGGACCCATGATGCCGGCACACTGATCCGAGTCGCACATCTCAAAGTATGCCATCTGGTCAAGGTCAGAGGCTGTTTGAACCTTAAAGACGCAAAGGAGGGCTTACCTGGGCAGCGGCGTTGAAGGGAGGAACCAGGAAGTGTAGGCCACGCTGCTTCAAGATGGACTGCAGAAGGGGATAGAGAGCCCGGGTGGGAAAGGCACCTTTCCAAGCAGTCAGCCAGGCCCAGCACAATCAGTACTGAAGTCCACCACATACTAGTACTCTGACCAAAGGCTGACACAGCTTCGTCGGCCCGCCCATTGAAGTACAGATCCCACGAGATGTCGGTTTTGAGACAATTCGCTAGGCCGCGCTTTACTGCCGTCTCATCCTGGCCGGCTATGGACTGGCCGTCGAAGATGAAGAAAGGGGTGATCCTATGAGCCTGCCACTGGTCCAATTCACTCTCAATGCGACCCTGGATCCCGGTCAGGCCGCCGAGAGCCGGGAGGAGAGGCTCGTTGCCTGGGAGAACATCGAGGTGAAGCTGGAGGTAATAGGTGGCGTCGACGGCGATGGCACAGTTTTCGAGTTCGCTCAGAGGGTGGGCCCTAAAGGTGAGACGAGCGTCAGCGCCTTGGACTCGGTCACAAGGAAGGTATGGGAGGTTGGATTACGTACACTGCCTGGTTGTAGATGAAGGGATCCCCGATGAGGTCTTCCATGTTTCCGTTAGCGTCGATCGTGTCAAGAGGCGTCCAGCAGCGAGGCGGGCAGAAATCGTGTCTGGATTCAGGAAGAATCGTGCGCGCCCCCTCAGCTCGTTGCAGTCCGAGACCCCAGCACCGAGTCGCCAGTTCCTGTGCACAGCAGGGGCGGTCACTCCGAGGCAGGCCTTCCCGTCCGGCTGTCCCAAATGCGCCCCAAGAACACAAAAAATCGTCGGTGGAAGGAAGTTGTCGAGGTGCTTGTCAGGTTCTCGGAGGGCCGCCAGTTTCAAACGTAACCAGGACCCGCGGTACGGGTGCAACAAAGATGCGTTGGCACCGCTTTTCGTCGCAAGTCGCTGAACTGGTCACCAGGCACAAGAATTGGCCCACGAGGGTGCCGAAGTCGCTAGGCCGTGCTGGCGCGGGGCAATGACTAGGAGAGCTCCAGAAGGCAGAAGAAAGGAAGGATCGGAAGAGAGAAGAGACTTGAATAGACAACTTACTCGGCATGGTGAAGGCACTACCGATGAGGGGTCCACAACAATCGCGGCAAGCTCTCTCTCCCACGCGGCTGGCACCTTGAAGCTGGGGTTCCCTTTCCGCCGCCTTGTGAGGACCAGACCAGAAACGGCACAACCACCACACCTGCACAGAAACACGAAATCGCGATTGGGCCCAGGCGACCGGAAAGCAGGTACAAATTGATTGAAGAGGCCAAAAGAAGTGAATTAGGTGGAAAAGGGGTATGCTGTGTTCAATGAGTGACTGGGAGTTTGTCAACCGCAAGCACTGGCCATCATCAGGCCACACGTTCGAATGGGGGAACTCTGTGAGGAAGAAGTCGAGCTAAATGAGGCTCTCTCAGAGGGACCAGCACGTTCAATCTTTGGCTATGGAAACTTTGGTGAGGGTGGCTCGAGCTTCAAAATACAGTGTGGATGTATTTATACACTGTAACATGCACTGTACTCTAATGTGGCAGTGCGTGGCGGTGACTTAGACAGGTTGTGGCTGATTCCACACCCAAATCAAGTGATTTGAGAAGACCAACAGGCAGGATTCAGATGGCATTAGAGGGTGTCAAAGGTACCAGTGCATACAAGGCCATCTTGGATGCGGAGTTTCAAACATAAAACCTGCAAGAAGCGACGGCGTTCATGTTCGATGAAGTTAGCCACTGAGTGGCTTGAGTTTGGTCGTGCAATTTGTGCACACAAATAGTTCCCTGCCTTTTCTAAGATAAACCGATTAAAGGAAGAGAGAAGCTTGGTTGCAGAAGATAGTAGGGGAAGAACAAAGCCAATAAGTTGCTGTAATCTTGGGAATCGACCAGACTGAGGTAGCACAGTGGCACCGTATGATGATACTCTCAACTGACATGTTCCAAACATGTTCTAACTGATTTGTCTGAAATGCAAGGAGCCTGGGCTTGTGATGCTGTATAGAAACCATCCTTGCACCACATCCGCACTTCCCATGGCCAAGGTTTAGGAGATGTGGATCCTCCAGCCCACTGGACAGCCGACTGGAGTAGCTCCGGTGATACACCCATGAGAAACTGCATATCTTCAGCAGGACATTGGCAGCTCGCACTTCTCCTTGCACTGCCCATCGTGAGGGAGGCACGGAGCGAAGTCTGGTTTCAATCATCGCCTTGAGTGAGTCAGTCTCGCAGCACTTCCCTCGGACACAACCCCCCATCCTCCACGAGCTTAAAACTCGGGCATGCTGCTCAGCAGTGGTGATCGTAATCAAGAGGTGTACACCCAAACACGCTTCAGGCGTCATGAAGAGTTGATAGGCATCCACTTCGTATACGCCATGAATCTCTTCAGGATAGTATCATCAGAAAATGGAGACGGCCTTAGTGTACCTGAATGCTTCTCCAGGGTTGGGGGTTGACCTGGGCGTCGATCGAGTCCAAACCGAACAGGCGGCTCAGTTTGCTAGCCTGCGGTGTTGCAGACTAGGTCGAAACTCAAGGCCGAGGAGGTGATAGTGCAGACTTGGAAACAAGAGATTTGAGGATCGTGCCATGACTGAGCAAAACGAGCATGCAGCGGAGGGCCTGGTCTCAGTATTGAAAGTAGCAGCGGAAGGTGTCTGGCTTCGTCGTAACGAGAGTTCTTGTCTGCTGTCACTGGCCCAACATCAACACCGTGACCTGAAGGAGAAGGGATGATAAATACCGAGATGGAACGAACCGCCCAATCGCAGTTTCGCACTGCTGAGATGCCGTCGGACCCCATTGTCGACCGCTTGGACACGGCACCGCACTGCACCTCCGACAAATTGTCCATCCCAGACCGAAGTGCCGTCCTCAAGCTGAAAGTTCTGTGCATGGCTCTGACTAACACACTGGAAAACCCTCCATATGAGGACGCCCCAATGTGCCAAAGCTGGAGAAGCCGAGAGATGTTCTTTGCAGCAGTGCTGATGAGAGCGGTGTACCTTGAGACTTGAAGTGGTAGCCTGGAGTGTGGCCAATGAACCCGATGGAGGGGAGAACTTTTGTTTCTACCCAATGCCGGCGTCTAACCCACGCCAAGCATTCCGGTATCCCCCGGCAGCCCTAGCGGCTAAGTTATCTGATCATTAACAACCTAATATCGAACAAGTGGCGGCGGGGTGGTTTTCAGGGAGCAGTCTGTCCGGCCCCTCGGTTTCAGGATGCTGGACCGCACCACGTGGCGGAAGACTACCCGGCAGTCGCACCCCCTTTTCCTTTGGTGTAAGCCGGTTCCATCTCGTGTTCTCCCAGCTGGAGGTCTCGGATAAGTAAATAAGCGGCAAAGCAGTTCCGCCAAAGTGCGCAGCAGGTTCTGTTATTATGGTCTTTGGGACAATCCTTGAGCGACACGAAAGGTCCGGAGCCTACTCCGTACAAACAGGCTGAAACAAAGGCACATAATCGCCGTTGCGTCGTGGTATAGGTATTGTACAGTACATACCTAAAGTTCAGGAAACGGGCGGCGGGCACTAAGGTTAAACCCGCATCTCACAGGGAGGGAGCCCGTCCCATCGTTGCCCCCATGGCTCGGTAACGCTTCCCGTCATGGTGCTCAGCCTGTGCCGCTTTGATGGATCCTGCCGGTGCAAGGGCATGTTGAGGGTGCGAGAAGTCCTGGTAAGCAATCGTGGCATCGTAACAAGGTCGAGTGGGATTGAATTGGACGAGGAGCGTCAACTGGTCGTGTCCTCCAAAAGACACCACGCTGCTCATGACTCGTAATGGAAGCGATGTGAATTGGTCAATGATGTCGCCGACGGCATCGTCCGATCCATGCTCCGTTGCCTGGGGCGCGGCATGCAGTGCCGTGATGCATGGGCCTTGTTGGGCAATCTGCACCTTGATCAAGCTACAGTACAGTACATATATACTCCGTACACGCCAGCGGGGCGGCCAGGAACCGAGTGATCGGTCCATCCCCTCCCAGATTGCCTGAGACTTGGCGCAGGTTTTGGGAAGCTTAACGGCCCGAAGAGCACGTCACATTGGGACACCATAGCCCCATTGGATACCTCCTCCTTCGGAGTTTAGGTTGCAAGAGCGCGCGCGGATTCGTTGAGTGTAGGGTCTGGGGCAAATTGCTGTACATACGGGGAACCTGCTCACCAAATCGGTCAAGACTCGACTGATCCTATCGTGCGAGGAAAAAGGTCTAGTTGGCTACCGACACGCGCTGGCAGTTTGCTGCGGATCCTCGCGAAAGTGTTCGCTATCACTTGGCGCGGAAGACCGGACGGGCTGTGCTGTGTGAAGTTCCTAACCTGCATGCCGTAGCTAAATCCGGAACCGACCGACCTTCTGTATCGTCAACGCGGGTGAGATTCGTGCTAACAAGACGTGAACCCATACGAAGCGACTTGAAGCGTCGAAAGCCTTCTGTTGCACGAAAAAGACGTCGAAAACGTGATGCCTAGACTTCGGCACTTTGCTATGTCAGCAAAACCAGAACACGAGCCCGGATTGGCGGGAAGGATCCAGCTCTGCCCTCTCAAGTTGCTGCAAGCAAGGGGCTCCAGCCTTGGAGACTGTGCAACCTCAGCTGGTGCTGACACAGGCGACCAGGCATCAACATTGGTCCCGGTAACCCAACTCAGCCCTACGAGAGTGACGACGCACTTGGTGCCAGATCCAAGTCCGGCCGCCGCCCGCCATGCCTTCTCTTTGCGGCTGTCGGCCGTTCATTTCCACTTTGATACTCGCGCCTGCGGACCCCACACCATGTGCAGGATGACCAAACGCTTGGATCTGGCGGCTCGGCGGCACTGCATCTGTCACCCTTTTGCGGATGTCGATGTTGAACGCATTGGTGATTCCGTAATTCCACGAGGGAAAACAGTTCCTGCTCGACCCACACCGGTTGAGTTGTCTCCAACGGAACCCGGATCCATGTTCCAGGGTCCGAGTCACCCTTTGGAGGGCATCTGGTGTCTTTGGTAAGATCCAGACTCCCAAGACACCCCGGCCGACGCTGAGCACATGGGCCTTATGTCATCCGGTATTTTTGGCGGCCCTGAAGCATCGCCGCTCACGCCGACATGGTATCTTGGAAGGGGATTGGTGATGAGCCGTTGCACGGGACGGGGTTGAAACAACTTGTCGATAGTCTATATAAGACTTCGTTGATGCCCAGGTTGAGGACCTATTTTTCATCGTCAGCATCAACAACACCTTCAGCAACACACATCAACAAGACAAACAAAGCAACTTAACCTCCTTCGCATCAACAGACTTAACCAACACCCACTCAAACACGCAGAGTTACCACAACAACCCCAGTTTCACATCTTAATCGCTATGGCTGCCACCGCTTTCTTCGCCACCACGTCGTTCGTCAACTATGGCCGCTCCGGTTACAACAAGTGAGTATTCCCCCCAGCGAGACGTCTCGCCAGCCGGGCACTGACACCGAAAATCAGGGGCAACTCGGATGACGACGAGGAGGAGAACAAGCTTCGCGATTACGGCCGCTCCGGCTACAACAAGTGAGTAATGGTTCCGCATCCCATTCTCGGAAGACATGGAGGCTAACGCTCAAAAAAGGGATGACAAGGATGATGAGGAGGACAAGCAACACTAGAGCTTCCTTGAGTTCGAGTGCTACTTTTTCCTTTCGCTGTATCGATTCTTGAATATTCTTCCGGCGCATTAGGACGACTTTGGATGACTTGTACGACTATCACGCATTTGACGGACGGGTGCCAGCCTTCTTGGTGGTGTGACTACGCTCCGAGGCTCAAGGGACGACAGACGACTGTATCATGACTTTCTAGACACGGGATAGACGGCGCGATGAGGGCATGGTTGGATGGTTCGAATTTCCCTTGTACAACTATTGTTACACGTTCATTTGCCAACACAGAACCTGGAGTCTTACGTTAGCAGAGTTGCCACAGGTAATATGCACTGCATGACATTACTTTTCGAAGATGACTCCCAAAACGTCTTCGACATCCCCGGATTCGCCACGCCCAGTGATGGAGGCCAATCGAAGAGCGGCAAGTCGCAAGTGCTCTGCCGCGAGGACGACATCCGGCTCGGCATACGGATCAGTTTTTCGGGCCTCAGCCATGAAATCTCCGAGGTGGCGTTCGCACTCGGCAAGCAGTTGACTCTGTCGTTCGGTCACACCAAGAAGATGTTGCAGATCATCCGGCAGGGAAGTCAGATGCGAGAATGACTCGGCGAGTTTCTCGGTGAGTGCGTGTATGCCGCCCGCGTCTGTCAGCCCTGCAGCAGGTGGTGACACCGCAGCCTTGCAGGATATGGCGAGCGGTTTCGTATCGCGCAGTCCGCCGATATCCGCCAATGCCGAAGCTTTGAATTCTTGGATAAGCCGCTCGAGTGACTCTGGGCTCACCAGGTCAGTCTTGTTCACCGCAACAAGACATTGCTGTGCTCCGGCTGCCAATTGTAGCGTCTCCGCATCGTAGCTTATGCGGTAGGCACCAGATTCCGCCATCTCAACAGATGCCAAGACAATGATGACATCTGAATCCAACGCCTTCTGTCGCGCTCTCCGGATGCCCTCCTCTTCGATGGCACCGATGGTAGAAGCTGTAGGATGGTCGGAATGACTAATAGATCCCGACGACTTCGTCCGAATTCCAGCGGTATCTGCGAACGAACAGAGGTACCCGCGAATATCAAGACTTGCCTCAACAACGTCTCTGGTGGTTCCCGCTTCGGCTGAAACGATCGATGCCTCGCGGCCAACGATCTGGTTCATTAACGAGCTTTTCCCGGCGTTTGGGGGGCCGAGGAGTGCAATCCGGATTCCATTCCGAAGCATCTCGCTTCGTTGACTACCAAGTTTGTGAAGCTGGATGGAATGCAGGATGTCGCCAACCAGCCTGGTGACGTTTGTGAGGAGCTCGGCGGGCGACTCATCGAAGTGCTGGTCCTCTGAGAAGTCGATGAGCGCCTCAATTTCTCCGCGGGCGAGCAACAGCTGCTCGCGCCAACTGTCGTATGTCTTTCCGAGAACGCCCGAGTTGCCTCGCACAGCCGCCCGTCGTTGATGCTCAGTCTCGGCAGCAAGTGTGTCACCTAGGGACTCGACCTGGGCGAGATCCAGGCGGCCATTCAGAAAGGCGCGCCGCGTGAACTCGCCCGGCTCAGCGTAGCGTACGGTTCCTGCCGAGGAGCATTTCCGGACCGCGGAGAGGACGGCCTTCACAGTCGCAGGGCCTCCATGGACGTGAAGCTCAAGCACATCTTCACCAGTCACTGTTTTGGGACTGGGGAAGTAGAGTACGAGGGCATCCGAGTCCACGATATTTGCCCCAGATGCGTCGGCCGACCCCGGCTCGAGCAGTGTTCTCACCGCGGCATACCTGGGCTTGGGTGGAGCCTTGGATGGACACAAGCCTCTGTAAACCTTCTAAGCATGTCAGTGATGGAGATGAAAGGGAGAGAGAGATAAGGGAAAAAGGAAAAAAAATGGCCAAAGAGAGAAGAGGTTGTAAGTAGCATACATCAAGACAACCAGGCCCAGAGATGCGAATCACGGCAATACCTGCCCTACCCGAGCCAGACGATAGGGCATAGATTGTGTCGTTTTTCGGGAGGATGGGATCATGGATGCTGGGAAGACCACTGCACACACTTTCGTGGACGCGACGGTAGAAAGAGGGCCACTGCCGGCTTTGAAGAGAAGCCAAAGCAGTTTTGAACTTCCCCAAGCGCTGGGCTGATGCTCGCCTCAGCGCATAACGGAACATTGACTTTACACGCAAACCACTTGGAGGCTGAAGCAAGTGAGTGTGTCGACACGTTAGAAACAATCGCTCGAATGAGGAAAGGAATGTAACGTACGAGCTTGTGTGGAGTCACTCAAGACAAATCAAATGCGAGTTTGGAGGTGCGATAAGATAAGTAATTTCAAGTCCCCAGATTTTTTTCGATCTTGCCGCCCCTCCAAGACCGAACGATCACTGTGAGAATCTGACGCTTTTCCAGCAACAATTTCATTATACACATCGAACCGAGTTTCGTCTACACATCCACTGGCAGGATTCACCATGTCTGACGAAATTGTCTGGCAGATCATTAACCGTAAGCAATTCATCGAGCTCAGAAAGATCGCCGCTAACCTCCACCGCAGAACAGTTCTGTGCTTTCAAGCTCAAGTATGCCTTGCGCTCCTGCCAATCTCGTCGTGTTGAATCTTCTAACCTGATCCAGGACAACAAAAGGAAATAATTTTTGCAGAAATGAATATTCAGTGCGTTGCCTGCCAAGCAGTTGTCGCAGCCTCGGCTAACAGTACAACCAGGTCAGCGGTCTGTGCAACAGGCAAAGTTGCCCTCTCGCCAACAGTCGGTATGCCACCGTGAGGACGTCGCCGAAAGGGACAATCTATCTTTACATCAAGACTGTACGTTTTCAAAGCGGTTATAATGCCTCAACCTTGCTGACCCAGGTTTGCTTTCACAGATCGAACGATCGCACATGCCGTCGAAATGGTGGGAGAAAATCAAGCTCTCCAAGAACTATCAACAAGCCCTCCAACAAATCGAGGAACGGCTCCAGTACTTCCCGAAATTTCTCCTCCACAAATGCAAGCAACGCCTCACACGGCTGGTCCAAGTGGCGACCCGCATGCGCAGGATAGCGGCGGAGGAGGCTAGGCTAGGCGAAACGCTCGTACCGAAGATGGCGCCCAAGATCAAGCACCGCGAGGAGGCCAGAGAACGCAAGGCGTTGGCGGCGGCAAAACTGGAGCGGACGATCGAGAGAGAACTGCTCGAGAGATTGCGGCAAGGCGCCTACGGTGACATGCCGCTCAACTGCAACGCCAACATCTGGAAGAAGGTTCTGAATGCTCTCGAGGCGGAAGGCGAGGGTGTGCGGGACAAGGACATGGACAAGGGCATCGAGGACGAGGAAGCGGAGTCTGGGGCGGAGTCTGAAAAAGAAATGGAAGAGGAGGATGAGGAGGAGGCCGGCGCGGTCGAGTATGTTTCGGACTTTGACGAGAGCGACGAAGAGCTGGCCGACATCGAGGATTGGTTGGGCAGCGAGGAGGACGACGATGAAGAGGATGAGGACGATGAGGATAGCGAGGAGGATGTCAAGAAGAAGACAAAGGCGGGCGACAAGCGGAAGAGAGGCCGGGCAGTCAAGCCCACGGCGCGGAAACGGAAGGAGTTGGAGCTGGAGCACGAAACAGCGGACAGGGAAAAGCTGCTTGCATTCTAGTTCGTCTGGGGTTTCGGCGCATAGGTTTGCCTGTCATCGAAATCGACGGGAGCATGGGGCTGTAATATTGTACGGTGTAAGGGCTCAGTTTGACATGTCATCTTCATTGGCATCCGTCGGTTGTTCATGGGCATTATGCGGACCTCGTCAGCCTGGAGAGACATCACTCGCCCAGTACATCAGCATCAAACCGGTAAATAGGTGATTGCCTGAGCTCAGACATGGCTGACCGTCAGGGCCCCAAGACGGGGTTGGCCGGACTTATCGTCATAACTGATTTTCCAACCGCACTACGGTTTCGAGAGAGACAGCCGAGCAATACCAACCATGGCTCCCTCAAGAATCCAGGTCTAGCGAAGCACTGCCTTCCGATGCCTTCCTCTCTCCCAAAAATCTCCGCCCAGCCTCTTCCCTATTCTTTTTCCACGATCCCCCCGCAAAGTCAACCGCAAGCAACATGCTGTCGAGAGTAATCGCCGTCTGGCGTTGCGCGGCTACTGCCTGTGACAGGTGAACAACGTTCTTGATCTGCCGCCCATTCAGTTCCCGCTGCGCCAGCTTCTCAATCTCTTCCTCCCCCGCCGCCACCTGGACGTCAGTATCTTGCTTTATTTTGTTCAGGAAGGCCGTCCAAATGGCCTTGCGCGCAGACGCGTCGAGGGCCCCGTATTCGAAACAAAAGTGAACACGGCTCTGGAACGCCTCGTTGAAGCTGTCGAGCCTGTTGGTCGTCAGCAGCAGGATGCACTGGTAGTATTCAAGGTGGCGGAGAAAGATGGACGTGATGGCGTTTTGGGCCAGGTTGTCGTCGCCACGCTCGGCCAGAAACACGTCGGCCTTGTCGAGCAGCACCACAGCGTTCCACGTTTCGGCGAGCTCCAGGAACCTGACCAGCTGCGTTTGCACCGAGGTCGCGCTGTCGCCCAGCTCGCTCGGGCTGATCATGCACAGCGGCCGGTGCGCAATCTCGGCGACTGCCTCGGCCGTGAGCGTTTTGCCGGCCCCGGGCGGGCCAGAGAGCAGCCCGACGAGGCCCTTGCCCTTGTCGCGGACGAAGTCGTCGAAGCGGCTGCTGCCCGCTCTGCCGTGGTGGCGCACCAGGTCGCGGATAAAGTCTTTGCGCTCTGCGCTAAGAACGAGCGAGTTGACAATGTCCTCACCCCAGTGGACCGCCTCCAGCTTGGTGGCCACGAAGGCACCTAGAACAGCTTCGTTGTTAGGAGGGAAGCGCCAGACGGATCGGTTTGGCCTCAGGAGAATTGGAATCCATGTAAATTGACGGGTGAGTAAGGTTGATGAACGTACCTCAGGTTTTGTTACCGAAACTGAGCCGTAACACAGTGGGTTCATGAGGAGCAGTTGAGACTCAGTCAGGGCGGGTATATTTACGGGCGTCGAAATAACCGGGATGACGTGGTTGTTTGGTACGATTCTGTCAAATGCGACGGGGTCAATCATGACACGGCCGTGAGACTGCCGTCAGTTGCCCCTTGTCAGTACCCGTCGTTCATGAGTGAGCGGGTTGCGGCGTACGTTGAACCTGTCGAACTTCCACTCCTTTCCCTCGAGTCTGTCGACAAGACCATGGCCTTTGTACTCTTGCAACTCTCGTCCCCATAAGCTCAGAGCCTTTTGGCGCTGCTGATGAATTTCGCAGCGGCTTCCAGCTGGAAAACGCGGTCTTGATCTGGAGTCTCCCGAGACTTTTCCTCTTCCAACCTCCGGCCCAGCATCGGAAACGCATGATAAAGAAGTCTGAGTTTGTCTCCCTCCTAAAGAGGATGAGCAAGATCCGGCGTTTTGGAAGCTGGAAGGAAAGGAAAAGGGGGTTGAGGAGTGACTTGAAAGCACTCACGAGCTCAGTTGTTTGGGAAATGAAATATCCACGACATGACGATACTCATCGGATAGCGCCTCGCGTATATGGTCTCCCCGGATGTCCACGACGTAGCGGCCTTCAAAGGTTTTATTGGTGCTGATGCGGCGAGCCACGCTAATCACATACTTCCGAAATTTGTCCTTCCGCGCTCGAGGAGGCATGGTCTTGACGAAACGAACTTTCTGTTCCGCCTATGGTGGTCGTGTAGTGTGAGAACTAGGGGCTTGTCGCGTTCACCGGGTGCCGTTCCAGGAGGGCTTACTTGTCCCAGCTGTGATGTATTAGTTATGGCTTGAATAGGCGTTTACACGGTACCTCATCGTACAGCTGGTCCACGTAGATGATCTTTTGACGCTTCTCCTCCGCCACATTCCTCTCCGCTTCAGTCCCACACTGTAGGTCTTTTCTGGTCACAGAGAGCCCTGAGGTGTCAGCTTCCGTGAGGTCAGGAGGCATTGTGACAGCTGGCGGAGGCATCCGGTTCTTCAATGCTGTCTGTTTCTCTTTGCTTCTTGCACACTGGACCCTGGAATCGCAAGTCTTGGTATCATGCCGCTTCATGAGATGCCTAGGTGAGCAGAGCCTGGGAGAATGTGTTTATCATGGTTAAGACAGTTCGTGAGGCGTGTCTCCTCCATTCATCATGTCGCTGTAGCCCAGCTCACGGAGGTAGGCTTGCCAGCGGCAGTCAGTGTGAGCTCGGTCACATTATAGGGCTGCATTGAGACACAATCTGTTCCTAGCTGCCCTCACAGCAGCTGCCGTGGCGTAAACGGATTAGTACTGCAGTAGTTGCCTTGGCCAGTCGTCAGACTGTGCGATAAGAATGCCAAAACGAGGGAACTGACAGCCGAGCTGAGCGAAGTGATACCAACGAGGAGCCACGAGACTTCATTAACGCCCCAAGAGTGCATGATGCCGCTTACCCTTGGTAAGCACACCAAAGTTCAGGATTGCGGGCACCTATGAGGGGAACGGTTTTGACTTCATGGCCAGCGCATAACAAAGCCTGAGGGGCCTGGGTAAGTTTTCAGGTTAGCTGAGGTACTGAGGTATTGAGGGTTATCGAAACTCTCAAGCCACACCCGCCTGGCTGACATACATGTGCAGCCTTCTCCAGCTCGCAGATGCTGTTCTCTCCATACCTACGTTCTTGAGTTCCTCAACCCCAGCCCTGTCCTGTTCAGAGCGATGGGTCACGGTATACCAGTGTCTGATTATTGAACCGGCCGGCCGTGGCAAGAATCGACATGCTCCGGCATCCAGCTTCTGCCTGTCTATGGCCCGGCCAGACCGAGGGGCGTGGCTACAGCCGCCCTGCGCGAGACAGGTTGTTCAAGACCAAATATCTCCACCAGAACCAGCCAGCCCAGCAAGAGGATGACGAGGAGGTCGAAGATGAAGACGAAGGATGACTGGACACAAGATGTCGATGAAGATGGGTGCGGGTACTGCGACGACAACCAGGTGGTCAAGCGCAAGGAGCGCGGAGCTGCGCGTCAGGTCACCGTACACTACGGAACGATTACGTCGGACAATTGCGTTATGAGAGATGCTGAGGCGAGGGATAGGCATGCGAAGGACAAGAAGCTCAAGGTGATGTGCTTCGAGATGGAGGCCGCCGGACTGATGAACAGTCTTCCGTGTCTGGTGACTAGGGGAATATACGACTACTCGGACACTCACAAAAACGACGAGTGGCACAACTACGCGGCCTTGGCAGCGGTTGTGTATGTGAGGGAGCTGCTCCTTGTCCTGAGAGGACAGAAGGTGACGGGCATGCCTTCGTGGGCAAAGGAAGCGCAGCATAGTAAGTACCTTAGAGCATGATCATCAGATCGGACGGATGCAGAGATCTCAAATCCCATCGCCTTTTGGGAAACTCCATGTCTGACCAGCTCCTTCCCTGTTCAAGTCAGGCAGCAACTCCACGACATCAAACAGAACCAGGGAGGCAGGTGCTCTCCACGACCTTTCCTGCGTCCCCTTTTGCTATTCTGAGCCGTCGCTGATTGGACCGTACATCAATCAATGGTGCCGCCTGCTGCAGGCCCAGCCGTCTGACTTCTTCCGCGGCGAAATTGACCGTTGTTTTTGGGGAGCTTTGGGGCCGAAGAGCTTCCTCTCTAACCACTGTAGAGGTGGTCATAGCCAGAGCCGCTACGTCAGCTTCGAGTTCAATCGGGCCGGAAGCGAGCCACACACGCAGCACCGAGACTGTGTCCAGGCTCACACCGTCTCAGAGGATGGAAGACGTCTATCGGTCGCGTATATTCGTACCGAGGAGTAGGTGGTGTCCCAATACAACAGAGATGGATGCTGACCATGTTGCCGACGAGTCCCAGGGACCAACAGGAACATGTTGTTGTCGAACAGTGGGCTTCGGGTGGCAGAAACAGTCCCATAGCCAGCTCGACTACGAGCTTGCCGCTTCCGGCTACTGAGACTTCCCTGTCACGCTACATCTGCACAGTCCAGAAATCTCAAGCCGATGCCGCTTCTTTCCGAGACTGACTCGGTGGTGTCTCCGACTGCCGTTGCTCTCTGGCTCGAGGGTCCGCTGCTCAGATTAGGATCCAAACTGTTTATCAAGACAGGTCCCGATAGTGTTGGCCAAGAGGAGCATTACCGTGAGATCATGGACAAGCGTATCGGCGAATTATTAGAGGAGGGTTGCCTCCGGGAACGCTTCCTGGTAGTATACCGCCGCCGCGTCCGGCGAACCCATTGCCCAGTGGATGACCCGCCGCGACAAGCGAGCGACTCTGACGACGACTCTGACTCTGACGATTCTGACTCCGACAACTCCTCTAATGATGACGGTGAAGACGGCTCTGAAGCGGGTTCGTCTGATTCCTCATCTGGGTGCTATCGCGCCGATGACGAATCGTCTGTTCCCTGGAGTCACATAGTATGTCCTCAGCAACGGAATCATGGAGTGAAGACAGCGTAGAAGATTCGTTGAGCGATGGAATCGCAATTGAAGAGCCTCCCCAGTCTGACGACAACGACATTGCCGATGGCATATCCGAAGACCTCGACAATTCCGATTTCGATATCAACTCTCCTTGACCATTGGATCGGACGACCGTCAAGACGAGCAATTGGTGGCCTCGCTGATGCTTTCGGATGTTCTAGGTCCATCATCCGATAATTCGGGCTTCGACCGTGTTGTATCCATGGACAAGATGCTTCGAATTGAGGCCGCCCCAGTAAATCCCAAACCCGAAGGCACCGTCCGGATTCGACGGCTGAGAACCCTTCGCGTCTCATACGATGTGTGTGACAAGACTTGCTACTGGCAACACCGCTGGTACCACTGCCGAGAATGCGACGACGGCGATTATGACCTATGCAACCGATGCCAGCGCAAAGGAGAATGGTGCTATAATTCGGCGCACCAGCTCTACTGGATCCTTAAAGGACAGCTAGTCGGAGTTGTGTCGAGACGAGACTTCAAGCCCAGGCAGGAGCTTGATGTATATCGGACGGATGCGAGTGGGAATACAAGTGCTGTATTTCACGTCAGAAGGAACAACCCTGTCCTCCTCCACGACTCTCCGCCGGTTGTCCATCCAAAACACATCCTCGTCGTGTGGGCGTTGAGCGGCTCCTGTTTACTGTTCTGCGACACTGGGCAGAACAAATGCTTCGAACAGAGGATCATGACCCCCGAGATGAGGAGAGGTAAGTGAATCCGCTGGAAGGGACATTACAGAGATAAGAAGATGATGGCACTAACCGCATCGCGCTTCCATATCCCATAGCCCTGCCGATCTGTATAAGCCTTTCGTTCTCTGAGTGTGGGAACGTACTGCGGGTGGCTATCATCGACGCTGTCGCAGAGAGGAGGAACAGACAGAGGGAAAGAGTATCGCAAAAGCTCGCCTTTGTCTGAACCTGCACGTCATCGTCCTCCAACTCTCGCCGACGCAGCCAGCTCGAAATCCACCCAGGCCGTTAGCAACGGCGCCGAGCTGTCGGCTGGGATGCTCGTTTGCTCGGCCTTTTGTACCGACGTGCCATTCGCCTTCACCTGGCGCCCGCACGAGCTGTATCTGACCATTAGCGACGACCGTCTTCGCGTGTACCAGGTCATTTTCCCTAGGGTACAGGCGCCTTCCACCAGTACAAATTCCGCCGAGCAGAGAACGAACGAGCTGCGCCGGACGTTCACGGACGTGACGCCAGAAAACAAACCTTCGGCGCTCTTCAATATCCGGGTGCCACGGGAGACCATACTGCTGCCGCGCTCGTCGCGCAATCGCGCCGTGCAGTTCTTTCCAGCCGAGGAGCCCTGCGGTAATGCAGCGGTCATCGTTGGGCCCCGCTACGGCCCCACCCCGGCACCTCCTATCGGCGTCTACCTGAGACCTGTCGACCTCGGCGGCTGGGTTATTGTGGAGGAGAGCGGAGCGGGGGAGACGGTGTTGTATGAGTCGGAGACGAAGTTAGAAGGACGGTTCCCGGAGATGTGGGATAAGAGTGACTGGATCTTTGCCCCTTGTGACGGCAACTAAGTTTGTTGGTGCGGTCTGCAGGGCGACGTGTCAGGCGTCCCAGGCGGGCATCTTCGGGAGCTGTCGCTGAGACTGGGACCGAGAAGCATGGCATGAGCTCTTGAAGGAGATGGGCTTCGTGCTTGTCTTGACGCTTACTGTCGCGCGTGATATACTGATTTGTTGAAAGAAATGAATCTCGGTAAGATACATTCGAGCAGACTAGGTCCTTGGTTGGCAGGGCTGTGTATGATGTCTGGTCCTCCTTAGAGAAGGGTGTGTGCTGGGTTGCCCATCTCGCCAACCCCAGCGACAACGGTGTACTTGAAGACTGGAAAGTCCACTAAAAAAAATGTAGGGCTGGATGACCGGATCCATGATGGCGTGCAATGTCTGGTGCTTGGCTTATCCCCTCCACAGAGTACCGCTTCATGGAATTGAGAGCGACATTTTGAGAAAGTCGTCTTTTACCGATTCTTGTAAAGTTACGATACTTACGAGTTTGTTCATCGTAAATTAGCGTACCGGCTAGCCTTCCGAGTGGGGCAGCTTGAAACCATTTTGATGCGAGCAGCTGGTGTCGCAGCTCTTGTCTCAAACCATCGAGACTCTCCAACATCTCGGCGCCCAGGCAATCCACATTGTTGAGTCGCACGCCGCCTGCGACACCATATATACCGCCGTATTCTAGGTACTAAGCACATAAAGATCATTCGACATACGACCGCCATCTCTCTTCAAACGCTTACCCCGCCCCGACCGCCTTGTCCCCCGTCGATCGATAAGAGCCGCAATCCGCCGCAGGCACCCCAATCAACCCAACCATCCTGCCGATTTCTTGAACTAACGAATCGCCAACTCAAATAACCAAAATCATAGACTTTCACTGACTGGGAATTTCCACCCGCTCACCATGGCGTCGTGGTACAAGGACTTGCTCACCAACGCCTCGTCCTACACCACCAAGCTCCAGCGCACCTACTTTGGCGGCGAGTCCGACGGCGAAACGGAAGACGACACGCTTGTTTGCCGCGTCCTGCGCGCCTACTACTCGGAAAAGGGCCAGCCGCTGCCGGGCTGGCTGCCGCCGGACCCGAAGGTGCCGCCGCCGCAGCAGCCCGTGTTCGCCTCGCAGCCACAGCCGCAACTGGGGGCCAGGTATGGTCAACAAGGAGGAGGTGGGCAACAGGTTGGGGGGCTGAGTAGTTTGTGGGGGGACAATAGCGGTAGCCAGCAGAGGCAGGGGCAGCCGGGGCAGTTCGTGAACAGTAGGAATCCGTTCGCTGGTGGTGGTGTTGATGGACAGCGGCCGGGGATGGGCGGGCAGAGGACGGGAAGTTTGCCTGGCGGCGGGAGGGGTGACGCGGTCAGTAGTCCGGCGGGCGGCGGGCGGTCGAGCGCGCAGGAAATGCTGAAGCAGAGGCTCTGGGGCGGTGCGAGGACGGCGAGTCCCAATTCGGGGGGCCCGTTCCAGCCGCCTGTTCAGCAACAGCAGCAGCAGCAGCCGCCGGCGTCGGCGCAGCAGTCTGGGAATCGATGGGGTTGGGGGAGCGGCGGGAATAGCGGGGGCGGCGGTGATGTTGGGTATGGAGCCCAGCCCGGGAGACGCAACGACCGACCTGTTATGAGCGCGAATGCGCCGTGGGCGGATGGAGGGTTTGACTATCCGGGCGGAGGAGGAGGAGGAGACAGTAGGGGGCAGGGGGGTGGCAGGGCCTACGGGCTACCGAGCGGGCCTAGAGGGGGATTGCCCAGCGGGCCGCGACCAAGATGACGAGTTGGATGAGCTGGAAAGGAAAGTTGGGTACTGGCTGCCCTCGTCGGCACTGGGACGAGTGGATGGGGTGAGGGTGCAGTTTGAGGTCTGACAAACTGCCTTAGTCGCACCAATGTTAAACACCAGGATCGCTCATCCAGCTGTTGGGTCGTCGTACGACTTCGCGAAACGCCAGGCGTCCTTTGCTGGACAATACAGAGTGTCATTCACTTCCATCGATGATTACCAGTGAGGTTCCAGGCCGATAGCGCCAGGATCAAAGCATTGACGTGCGGTCGCAAATACCTCGGCGCTCAAATACCTTAGTCTCGTGTCTGGCTGGCTCTGGTAGGGACCTTGACACGGAGGGGTTGCAGGATAAATGCGCCTACCATCAGTCGACTTTGTCCAGGCGGCGGTGTGTGAGATGGTCTCCAAGGAGACATCACAGTAGAGTGTGTTTGCCTCTCGTGGCTCCTCGGAAGATGACGACAAGTCTTGTCGGTACGCGCGTCGAAGGCGAACTGAATCTGGTATACCGTACAGGTACTTATTTAACGGCGCTTATTTTGCAGGGGACTCCTGTACTACTACCTCTCGGTCCTTGGCTACCCCTCCAAAGCCGCCATCAACCGCGGGGCTGACCATTGCTTCCTGCCTTGCACGGGCAGCTTTAAGGACCAGCTGACGCCGACATACCACCCGCGACAGGCATGCCCTTCAAAATCACTGTACCATTTGACAGATGCCAGTGTGACTCTGCCGGCTAGCTCAACCAGTTCCCACCATCTCTCAACTCTCCGGAGGTAAGATAGGTTGCAGCAGCAACGGCGACGAGAACAATGACACGCATCACACGCATGACGTCGTCGTCGTTAAATCGGGAGCCTTCTTCGACCTCGCAACAGAACACAACAGCAACCCCATCCTCGTCTTTTTCCACTATCTCCCACCAGCTCCGTCCCGCCTCGCCCGCAGGCAGCTTCTACGCCATGAGTGACGACGAGGAAGGCGACTACAATACCATCACCCACACCGAATCCGGCCGCGGCGTCAAGCTGCTCTTCTCCAAGTCCAAAGTCTACGTCCATCCGACCCCCTCTGCCCGAGACAACATCCCCGGCTACATCGCCCTCCTCCAGCAGAAGCACCCCTTTCCGTCCAGCACCACCGCCATCAACAACGATGACCGCCCAACCTCGTCCTCATCCGCCCACTCCCGGCCGGCCGTCTCCGATCTCCTCCTCGCCTGGGTCCCCGAATCCCAGCTCGGCGACGCCGCTTCCATCTACGTCAAGGTAGACCTCAGCGTCGACACGGACTCGCCCCCGAAACAGTCCTACCTCGTCCCGCCCCCGCCCACCGTCACGAGCCACACGCCGGGCTCCGCCGTCGGCCACTACGCCTTCGCCATCCCCGTCTCGGCCGTCTATTCGCTGCTCATCCGCCCGCCGAGCGTCGGGTGGTGGTACGGCAGCGTCATCATCAACTCGCGCGCCGGCGACTCGTTCCCGCCGCTGTTCTTTCATGACAACGAGTGCCAGAGCACGATGCTGCAGAAAAGGAGGCGGGCGCGGGACAGGTTTGACCCGTTTGAGGAGGGCGGGGAGATGTTCTGGGGCGGGGACGAGGTGCTGCGGTGGTTGAAGCGGTATGTGACTGTTGAGAGGAGCGTGGTCGAGCCGAATGTGTACCTGGTGGAGCCGACGGAGGAGGATAGTCTGGCGTTTGGCGGGAAGGGGTCAAACGTCAAGACTGTGGTGGGTGGTGGGGGGAAGGGCGTCGGTGTGCCCGGTGCATCGAGGGCTTCGGGGCCTGCGTCCGGGAACAGGGATGGCGGGATGGACCCGTTCATGAGGTTTGTCAAGGAGACCGGGTGGAACATAATGGAGAAGTTCAGCAAGGTGACAACGTTCACGCGGCAGGCCGCGCAAGACGTGTTGGATAACCCTCGCGTGCCGCCGCAGGTAAGGAATTTGCTGCGGAACCCCGAGGTGCAGACCCTGCAGGACGAGTTTGACAGCGCCCGCATCTACCTCGCCCGTTGGGCTATGGGCATTGCCGAGCAGAGCGAGCGCGACCGGAACCAAAGGATATGGACCGCCCGGGAGGTTATGGAGTTGGAGGACACGGACGTGGGAGAGTTTGAGCTACTTGATAGCACGAGCAGCCTGACGCTGGAGCAGCTCCGGAAACCAGTTACGCTCAAGGAGTGGAGGAGCTTCTTTGATCCTCGGACTGGGCGGCTATCAGTCACAGTGGATGAGGTGAAGGAGCGCATATTTCATGGCGGGTTAGACCCTGAAGATGGGGTGCGCAAAGAGGCCTGGCTGTTTCTTCTTGGCGTCTATGACTGGTACAGCACGAGCGACGAGCGGAAAGCTCAGGTTGCTTCCCTCAGGGACGCCTACATTAAACTCAAGGGTGCCTGGTGGGAGCGGCAGATCGACAGGGGCGGAGAAGGGGAGGAGGGCGAGTGGTGGCGGGAACAGCGGGGACGAATTGGTAAGGCTCCGTCTCCTGAACCACTTCCAACGCCTGGTTCTGACCCCCTCTCAGAGAAAGACGTTCACCGCACCGATCGCAACGTTCCCATCTTCGCAGGCGAGGACATCCCCCACCCTGACCCAGACTCCCCTTTCGCTAGCGTCGGCACCAACGTGCACATGGAGCAGATGAAGGACATGCTGCTCACCTATAACGAATACAACCGCGACTTGGGCTACGTCCAGGGTATGTCGGACTTGCTCGCACCGATCTATGCGGTGCTGCAGGACGATGCCATGGCCTTTTGGGCCTTCAAGTGCTTCATGGACCGCATGGAGCGCAACTTCCTGCGTGACCAGTCGGGTATGCGCGCGCAGCTGCGCGCCCTTGACCACCTCGTTCAGTTCATGGACCCCAAGCTGTACGCGCACCTCGATTCGGCCGAGAGCACAAACTTTTTCTTCTTCTTCCGCATGCTGCTCGTGTGGTACAAGCGCGAGTTTGACTGGATGCATGTCCTGCACTTGTGGGAGGTGCTCTGGACGGATTACCTGAGCAGCAGCTTCCACTTGTTCGTGGCGCTGGCCATCTTGGAGAAGCATCGAGATGTGATCATGACCCATCTCAAGCACTTTGATGAAGTGTTGAAATACGGTACGGGCCATCTTCTCTCTTCCCTCTCAAATCTTGCCAACGACCTGCATTATTGACTGACCACTGACTGATGCAGTCAACGAACTCTCGTGCACCATCGACCTCGACTCGACCCTTATCCGTGCCGAAGCGCTCCTCAAGCGCTTCCAGCGCCTTGTGGACACGATCGACAAGAAGGGGAACTTCCCTGCCCCGAGACCGCGCCTAGGGCAGCTGTCTGAGTCGAGCTCGTCCGTTCCACCGGCCCAGGGAACTGGGAAAGGCAACGGAAAGGCGCCAACACAACCGCAGCAGCCCGAGAAGGTTATTACTCCTGAACTTAGGCGGTTGCTGAGCAGGCAAGTGGAGGTGTTGCCGAGGAAGGAGTTGGTGAAAAAAGGAGATGGTTTGGGGAAAGGAAGCATGGTGGCTTGAGATTCGTTTGTGATGCGTTGAGGGGGGCGTATGACGAAAAGCAACATTACGGGACGGACTACATGAAGGAAACCGGAGGGCTTATTCGTTTACGATCACGCCATCATAATCTCCGCGGCCTTTTGGCACCTCCAGATGGCCAGGAGAAACCGGTGATGCAAGACTCCATCTCGATAGGGGTGACAGATACGTTTGCATTTGACAGATAATGTTCTCCTGAAAAGCATGGTAGCACTACAGCTCATCCCTCACATAACCCGCTTTGCCCTCGAGGTCCTCCATGGCCATGATCTTCACCACCAAACTGGTCCAGCCAGTAAAGTGCTGCGTGCGCTGGCCCTTGCCCGTCTCCGGGTTGTACTGCTCCCACGCGAATCCCGTCTCCTCCCAGCTCTTGTACACCGTGTCCACGATGTTCTTCCGGAGCCGCGAGTACAAATCCCTCGCTGTCTCCTTGTGCGGGCCCTCCAGGGTTGCGACGTTCTATTATCTTAGTCAGTTCGACATTCATGTTGAGTTGGAAAATAAAAATTGGGACAACGTACATAGAGCTGCACAATTCCCAGATAGTTAATGTTGATCCACACCGGGCTGCGCCAGTAATTTTCCTTTGTCCCGTACAGCTCGTCACGCTTGCTCAGACTACGCAGGCCGTGCGGGCTCCACAGCTCCTCCTCGTCGCCCATCAGCTGCAGCAATCTGCCCAGCTTGGGGCTGTCGGGCCGTAGCAGCCCCATCAGGAAGGGGAACAGCGAGATGTAGCCCTTGTGGCAGACCAGCTTGTTCTCTTCGAACTCGTCGACGGTGGCGTCGCAGTAGCATCCGTCCTTCTCGGACCAATGTAGGTCGTCCAGGTTGCGCTCAATGGCTGTGAGGATCTTTTTGTATCCATCCGCGTCCTCGGCGTGGCCCAGCGCGTCGGCGACGTTGGCGAGCGACTTGGACATGACTCCAACCCACGACAGCAGGTCGACGTGCAGCTCGCCCGGGTGCGGCGGCTGCGGGCGCGGGTAGTCGTCCAGCCCGCTCGTCAGGCAGTGCGTAACGGTGCGGCCGCGCCAGCGGTAGGCTTCCTTGGCGGAGTAGGCCTCGCGGTCGTACGACTTGACATCGCCGGCTTGCGTCTTGCGGAACCAGTTAAACTGGCGCTGCAGGAGAGGGTAGAGGCGGCGGAGGTGTTGGAGCCCGACCTCAGGATTGTTGAGGGACGCGGTGGCGAGTGTTTCATCTTGGGAGAGGTGCTCCAGGCCGGCCGGCAGGGTACCGTTGGTCTTGCGGAGCTTGTCAACGAAGACGTCTATGATGAAAAAAAGGGTCGGCGGGTTAGCGTAGTGTGGGTATTGAGTCTGGAACTCGGCGGGCACTTTGCTGCGGGCTTCAGCGCCGAGGATCTGCTCACGGGCGATCCAGCCGTCTTCGTCTATAAGGTTGAACCAGCTCCTGACAATTTCCAGGGTGAGATCCATGTCCCAGTCGGCGATGGGAAGCAGGTGGAAGCCTTCGTCCCACAGGAAGCCTCGGGGAAAGAAAGGCCGCGAGGGAATGCTCGTGAACAGCTCGTACGGGCCTTCCAAGCCCTGCTGGTTGCGGGCTCGTGCTTCGGCGGCTTCCTCCCAGAAGCCTTCGTTCTCCTCATCATACTCAGGCGCATAGGAGCGGTCCACGACCGAATGTCCGTAGAAGTAGCCGATGCCTCCGATCAAATTGGAGAACATGCTCCTGCCAAACTTCTTGTAATTTTCGGCGTTGAACGGTGGCTTCAGGGGGAACACGCGCGAGAAGCGCTCGCTAAAGGACTCGGTGGCCTCTTTGACTTCCCTTGTGATATCATCACTCGTGAGCTCCTTGCCGGCGGACTCGCTCGAAAAGATAACCTCAAACTCAAAATCACCCTCAAATACCTTCTGCACAATATGGACATTTCCGGTGCCCGGGCGGTTGGCGAGCTGGTAGACCTGCCATGGGGGCGGAGGGTCGACGGCGTCGTATTTGTTCTCGACCAGCCAATCCACGCCCTCCTTGAGTTGCTTGAACAGAATAGGCTTCGCCTGCCAGATGTGCTCCTCAGGATAGATCAATGATTGGACGACGGTCTGGCCTGGTCCGCGGATTGTCGAGAGGTCGTGGTCGCTCTGGGGCTGGACTCCCCTGCCTTTCGTGATGACAAGCTTGTAGTTGCCGAGCGTCTCAGAGTGCCCTGTGAGTGTGACGTCGCCTTCGTATCCGAACTCATCATCAGGGGGCGAGGCCTGGAGCACCGAGCTCTCCCCTTCCTGCGTGACGTAGATAACGACAATCGTCTTCTGCTCCTTAAGCGCATCCTTATTAAGAACACCCTTGATCCTCGCCGCCCAGTTGCCGCCGTGCGCGCCGCCGGGGACCTTGACGAAGGAGGTGGTCAGATCGATGTGGTTCTCGATGTCGTGTATCGTTTGGATGCCGCCGCGCCTGGGGTCATATTCCTCCCAACCGTACCCCTTCATGCCTTCATTTTGTTCGCACGTGTACCGTATTGCTGCATTCCAGCTCAGGTCAGACCAAAAAGTAAAAAGACAAGTCGTAGCTCGGGGAACGAACAGGTCTGGAAATCCGAGTATGTCTCGACCTTGCCCCACATCAAGCCGGTCATCAGGCTCTTGGGTATCCTGGGGCGCACGCCAAAGTAGAGGTTGGGTCTGTAGGGCCCCCATAGCAAGCTCTGGTTGTTCTGGAGGCCGATCTCGCTGTGGAGGTTGAATTCGCCGTCGTCAGCTGCAAGGCCCAGCCCAGCGAAGAGGGCATTGAGCCAAAAAAACACGAGCATGGAGCTCAATTGGCGGCCCTCCGCCATGCTATGCTTCCTTCAAGTTTCGTCTACAAAAGTGCAGGCAGCTTATGGCTTCATGGTGGCCTCACGAAAAGAGCGAGGCGGCGGACCATCAGGAAGGAATGATTCCCATGACAGTTGTGGATTTCGAACACGTTCACAGCTCCAGCTTGGGGTCCATAAATGTCTTGGCATCGCATCTTGGCCGATCTGCAGGGGAGCGCGGGACAGCGTGGGGAAAGCGGCTCATGGACCAGACTCGGGCCACATCTTTCGCTCTGCAAGAACCGGCACCTCTCTACCTGCTACACGTATAGACACGGGTACTACGATGACGGACAGACCTGGAAAAGAACCTAGGGGGCCGCATGCTCGTCGTTTCTCAAAGATCTTGGCATCTGATTGTTTCATACTCTTTGTGAGTTGTGGAATTGGGAACAAGATTATGAGAAGACGGGGACGGAACGAGGGGCGAGGGTGGAGGGGGGAGGCGCTTATAGGATTTTGTGCCTTCCTTTCTTCCATGCTACGCCGAAAGCTCCTTCCCATCAGACATTAACGGTCAGTTTCTGGGAAAGCACGGCGCGTGAGTCACATGATCCCGCCTGCCCACTTGGATGAGTAGGGAGCCTCTTCCAAGCCATGCGCCCGTCCGGCAGGCCACATGTGGGAAATCTGAACACTGACGTGGTCTTCCAAGCTGTAACGAAATGGTGCCAAATTATGTAGTTGAATGGATACGCTGGTTCGTACGCCCATCTCAGAATGAGTGAGATAGGTTGGGAGACGATAACCCGAGCCTCAGCAAGGCGGGGTGTATCCTCGTGTAGCCCAGTTTTCGCCAATAAGCCAGCGACATACTTGGGATTGTCCTCAAGACCGTCAGAGAATCAACTGCCGAAATTTGCAACCCCGATGTTGCTGTTTATGGCAAGGCTCCTGCAGTAGTCAGGGGCACAGCGCGGGAACATGCAAAATGGAGAGGCGCATAAACAGTAGGCCCCGTTTCTCTTGGGGATTCTGCCTTGACTGCGCAGTTGCAATGGTCGCTTGGCGAGTAAGTGGCTTGTGGTGTGCAATGAAGTGCAGCAAAAAAGTCTAACCTGCTCTGGGGTCACTGGAAGACGGCCAATATGTGTCTCTCTGCATCTGGCACGCGCATCGACCGGCCATAGACGAGTAGTGAAACCAGCATAAGCTCGGACGAACATTCTCATAAGGGCAGATGTAGGACAGCTGCTGCCAGCGTATCGTACAGCCTACAGCTGCCATGGAGGCTTGCCGTCGGGCTTAGCCGAACATTCTGTGCATCGTTCCATGGATCAAGGCAGCTGCAGGGTATCAGGAATGATGTTCCAAGGCGCGGCCTGCGATGCGATTGGATTGGCGGCCTGGTAAGCTCATCAGCGAGGTTTCGACCATTGTGACATCTCCCAGGAGGTTACGCTCGAGGGCTGATTCCCACAGCCTTGCGTTCCTGATTTCAAGAGCGCTGTGTACGGAGGTATGTGCATCCTGTGTGAAGGGAGTTAGTTTCCTCGGCAGAGGCTGACTGCCCCCGTGTTCAGTAATCACAAAACCTTATCGATCAGATCGACGCTTTTCCTGGAGACGGTTAGCCGGCGTTGATCCGCCACACAGCACTGACAGCAGCGGGGTATGTCAAAGCTTCGTTAACCACTTCGTGGCCTTCAATTCTGCTGTTGGGTTTGCAAAATAACCCATCGGCAGACAACTGCTCTGCGTCCGACGAGCTGAAGTTGACAGCGGTCACTTCACGGTGGCTGTATCTATCCGCCTGCCTTATTTCGGAGAGACAAAACTGCAGGCTTGCCCTGCCCCTGGCTACTGCAAACCGGCGAAACGGCAAGCTGTTCACTGACTGGGAGGGGGGCCGGGGCAATTGCTTCGGTGTTTGCGGGGACCGGTCGGTTCTAAGGTTGACGTTGACCTGAACCTGGGCACGGCTGCGGCTCCCCTGGCTGGGCCGAACTAATAAACATTCGGTACCAAAAGTGCATGTCATGCTTCTATGACACAGCCAGACTGTGGTAGTGGAATGGCGGTGGCTGTGCGACCCTCCGATAGTACTGTACTGTGTAATCTTGGCTAAATGCCCATGTTGCTTCTCTGGAGCAAGCAGTATCCCGCTAGACGGGACCGTGTCACGTTTTCTCGCGTAGCAGACGCACGCGTGCGGCACACGACGCGGCGCAGGCATCGGTCTGCGAGGAACATACGTACCGAAGGGCATGCCGAGATGGCCGTCACAACTCAGAACCTGGACAAGAATCGACCCGACTCCGAGGTTGATGGAGACACACCGCGACGTCAGTGACCTACTGTACTCCTGCAGCTTGAACGAGTCACACTCGTCATAGAACTTGACGGAAGCTCCGGCACCCTTATTGGGCTTGGCCCGTCTTGCCACTTGCGCAACTTACACGTACCTCTGGAGGCTGGCATCACAGGCATTCACTATTGGTGCAGAAACCAGAGATCTTTTGTGGTGATGCTGCGTCACCAGCTCGCTTCGCTCGGAAATCCTCGTCGCTGACCCAAATTCTCGGAAGGCTGAAAGACTGTGTCGTTACATCGAACCTGCGCCAAGCCCATTGCTGGGCTCCCCGGCTGCACTAGCTTGTTTCTGTAACATGTCGCAGACAAGGCGCGATTAGAAATTCGTCCAGCTGAGCCAAATTCTGGGAGCGTGGGATAGGGTAGCCGGTAGGCAGCAAGGCGACACATCAAGACCAACCTGGAGAGACTGTGGAGAGACAGGTTGGAGGTGGCAGAAGCACGTCTCAGTTTCGTAACAACACCAGAACGTGACTGTAAATCAAAGACGAGCAAAGCAAAAAAGCAGAATGCCACCCGACACCCTGAGCTCTTTCTGCACCATACCCCACCCTAACCCCAGGAAATGAAATAGGAGAATTCTCAACAACACGGGGTATATAAAACGAAAGAAGAGAGTCGGAAGACAAGAAAACCCAAACAAGAAGCAAGAACAAGAGAAAGAGATGGACCGCACCCAGATTGCAGACGAGTAGCCAAAAGAAGAAAAGAAAAGGAGCAGAGTCAAACGCGTTCCATCCCCAGATCCTCTTGCATATGCCACATCGTCCCCATTTTTCGCGGCCTCATGAGACCTCGTTTCCCAACCAACCAAGGGCAAGAAAGAAGCACAGCCCCAGACAGACCAGACAGAAAGCAAAGAAAAAGGGAAACGGGGGAAGGAGAAAGACTTTCCAACAGCCGACTTGTCTCGGTGCAAAGAAGCCAAGAGGGCAAATCCTTCCCTTTCGAAGACACAAGCCTTGCCCAATGTCTCAGCGAAAAGCCCAACCCAGGCAGTGTCTTTTTGGTCGGCCTCTTCGCCTCTGCAAATTCCCACTCATCAGTTTTCCTCCTCCAAACCTTCTCAGAGGTAACGGGGAAAAACTTACCCGCCATATCAAATTACATCCCATGCGACCCATCCCCCGGCCCCGCGGCATCATAATCGTAGTACCCTCCCCCATAGGGAGAATGAGTAGAGTGCGAGTGCGAGTCGTAGCCGTACATATCCATATCCATATCCGCCGCGTCCGGCCCAGGATGCGCCGCATACCCGTAAGGGTTCATGTGATAGAGCGCCTGGTCCACGGGCGCGGGACCGGGCGTGTGGATGACGCTGCTGCCCGTGTGCCCGCTGTGGTGGCTGTGGGTGTGCTGGCCCGCGCTCGCCGAGGAATGCCCGCGGGCCACGACATGGCGCATGCTGATGCCGCCCCAGGGCAGGCCCGAGAGGTTGCCGCCGTCGTCGAGGGCAAAGTCTTCTGGATCTGGGATCTGGTAGGCCGAGCCGGCGTACTGTTGGTTCTGCGCGTCCCGGGCGGCACGATCCTTTTGCTCGCGCGCTTTCTCTCCTGGTTTCCGCGAGTTAGAGACTGTGGCTGGAGTGGTGAAGGTTTGATGGGTGGGGTTGGCTTGGTGGTGAAGGACGTACTGAACTTGCGCTGGGCGATCCGGTTCTGGATGCGTCGCCTCTCATCAGGCTCGGTCACCTCTGTCCAGTCGTCCGTCTTCTTAGTTGTTTTGGACGATGAAGAGGACTTGTCTTTCCTAGACGAGGAGGAGGCGTGTTTGGAAGTTCTCGACGACATTCTGGATGGTTCCTTTTCTGTGTCTGAGCCCGACTGGATGGTTGTGGTCTTGCTCCCCTTCCGCTTGTTGCGGCTCTTCCCCGAGTCGAGCGAGGAAGGAGGAGGAAGTTTGCTTTGTCTCGGAGTGGATTGGTGACGGATGTTGTACCCAGCGTCGTCCGACTCGTCTTGTGAGTCGTAGGAATGTACGTATGCTTGGTCTTCAGGGAGTTGGTATGTGGACATTTCAGGTAGGAGAAAAAGGGGAAAGAAGAGGCTCACAGGCCGGGGAGTCTGCTGCTTCTTGTATGCTTCTGAGCTTCTCGTTTCCAGTCCGGGAAAGCTGCTCGAGCTTGGTTCTGCTTCTAGTCCTGGTGGCGTCCACTCGAGAAGCTGCGATCACTTATATAGCGCCCCGATCAAGGATGAGAGGAGGGTAAGATGTCGAGATGTTGCCTTCTCAAGAAGTCCACCGACGACAGGTTACCGAAGATGGAAGTGACAAGGGGCTTAGCGTTGAAGCTGCTGTCGAGAGGTGTTCGTAAGGTGGAAGGCCGTCGTTTGCGGCGTAGACGTGACACCGATGAGAGAGATGAGTCGGAGAGTCGGCGAAGAATGACGGGCAAAGCTCCACGCTGCCATATAAGACGGGCAATCCCGAACGCGGAGAGCTGGATCAGTGCCGGTGAGAGAAGACATCCATGCAGGGCCAGGAAGCGGACGACCGGTCCGGGGGTGGTTGCAGTCTCTGGCCCTACGGGTCTCGTCGTGAAGAGAGTCGTAGGTACAGCGCGTTGTACATAGTGACCAGTACACATACATTCTTCCAGGGTAATCGACCGGGCTTAGTCGAGTGGAGACGGGTGCGCTTGCGGCGCACCCGCCATTGAGCCATGGCACACGGGAGCAGGGGGTAACGGTTGATGGCCGCGTGTGGCCGTCAAGGGTCGTGACTCCATCTGGGACACCACTGGGGCGGGAGTAGAGGGCCAAGGGGAGGGGGGGTTCGAAAGCCAGCGAGTGGACGTGGCGCTTCAGCGGGAGATGAAGAGTTTCCTCACCCCACTATCCGTACCTTGGGCCACACCTTCTCTCAACCCCAGTCTACTCCCAAGGTTCCAATGTCGAGAACTCGCTCATCCCCAGATATCGTTATGTGCCTCATGCCCACCGACATGCACCCGCATGCGGAACGAAATTGGCAGGATATCGGCAGCTGCAGTTCGTAGGGCGGACCCAGCCTCACACGCGATGCAACTCTGTCACCGCATAACGTTATGTCATGGCCGATGTCCGGATCGGCAATGATTTACCTCAGGTAACCCATGTTAAGCACCGGTTGTACGTACATTATACACCAGTCCATGGATACAGAACATGGATGGTTGTTCTTCTGCTTCGACAACGCGAGGAATACGGCAAACCCTGTCCGCGGGATCAGGGGGCCAGCACTTGCTTGGCTCGCCTGGGCGGGAACAAGGCGATGGTGAAGAGGTCCATAGAGGAATAATGAGAGACAAAAATAAAAATAAGATATTCTGCCAAGCCAGTCAGTCGTTGCTCAGTCCCATGTCCTTCACACGAATAGCCATGTGTGCTACCTATGACGGAGCCCTGGGGTTTTCGAGACTATAGCAGAGCCGCCATGCTGGTTGAGGGCAAAGTAACATGGGACGGGATCCTGGGGGGCATGTGGAGGGGTGCGGCGCATGGCTGATCAGTGGTCGGCATTTTTGGTGGAGACGGAAGGATTGCAAGCTGTCCCAGCTTGGCATGGTGTGAATGCGCCGCGATCTCGGTCGTCAAGCTGGGCTGCTGCAGAATTCGAGGTGTAGTGTAACTTCGATAGGGCTGAGCTCGATGGTATTGAGCGTGTGTGAAGCATGGAGGACGACGAATTGCGCAGCTATTCTTACAAGTTTGTCCAAACCACAAGGGTACTCGATGTTGGCAGGCGAGAAACAGGCCCAAAACAGTTGCATTGAGTCGGTCGAGCCTTGTTTCGCAAGGTTTCGCTTTCATCCGAATAATAAGGGTCCATCTCATGTTGCTGATTCTCGCTCGAGTGTAAGAGTGGGGTTTCTTACCCTTTAGAGTTACAGTGGAACTTTGGCCTCCCTGTCTGAAAGTTTTAATTGTAGGCCCGGTGGGAGAGACCCCAGAGAGCTAGAATAAGAACGACATTCCTGGGCGAAACGCGAACACCCTCGCACCTCGGGCCAGTCGTTCCGCCGATCGGGGCGCCGATACACCGTTTGTGTCTAACTACAACTCATGTCGGGTTTGAAGGCCCCTCTCGAGCTGGTCAGAATCGGCAAAGGCTTTCTCGCAGAACTCCATTTTCTTGTTCTTTTTATCAGGTATCGAGAGTGTCGGCAGACTGCGTTACCAGGTCGTATCTCAGCCCTATGCCTTGTGGCCTCGTCCTTCGACATGGTCACCCACAAATTTCTAACCTTGCGGCCCGTGGGTGCTCTCCTCTTCCGTCTTCTGGCTGAGAACAAAATCTGCACGTTATCCCAGCAAACGAATCTCATATCTGGTTCACGCTTGGCGTCATCGCTTGCTCGTCGCCATTCCCATCTTCCATGCTCCAAGGAATAAGCTTAAAGCATCGCCGTAGCCAATTATAGTGACTTCACATCATGTCAGTACCGTATATTCAATGTAAGCTATTGAGGTGTTGTATTGACGGTATGGTTTGTAACGAAAGGTCGCTGTCCATGGGATGTGTCTCCCCAGAATTGGCACCGCGGTCCACTTTCTATGTCATAAAGTTATTTTTAACTGGGGCCCGACGACATGGTCCCTCAACCCAATGCTGCGAGCTTGATGGGAGTGTGTATCCGGCAGGCGGACCGTCGTATTTCAGCTGAAAGCTGTTGATACCAATGAGATGCTTCAATCAGATGTTGATCACACGTCTGTTTCCTGAATTAGATTCTTGTGCTACGTTTGAAGCGGCGCTGGGCCAGCTTCATGATGGACAGCGCAATAGACATCCACTTTCACATACGCTCGACAATTCTGAGAGCTGACGGAATTTTCTGTGCTGATTTGGGACTACCGACTACGCAGGCTGAGGCAGGTAGTATGACCGTCACAAGCTGTTTGTTGTCTTGGTAATTGATCCCACCCTCAAGCAATCGTTATGCTGGTGGAGACTGTTAAATATTGTTTTGAAGTGGATTGGGTGCTTTGAAGGCAGAAAGACATCAACACCTGGATCCAAGGATTGACCGTTCGCAAAGCCGTAAGTGTAGAATGAGAGATTTCTGCCATCCAAGGATGAGTACTAGACGTGAGTCCTTAACATCTCAGACCCCAGAGTCCAGAAGTTGAACCTGTCGATGGCACTAACTTGATCCCAAGCGACATCTTGATAAGCGATGGCTCTATCACACCCAAGCGCCCCGTCAACCTACCGCAGTACAAACTTATCAACTACTGCCTACAAATTGATCAACTGCCGTTCTTCATGCGGTTTTTGAGTATAACTGGTGCATTAACTCTTGTGACGTCTGATTGAAGGGAAGCTTGAGGCGGTTGTTTGAACAGAGCGACACTAAGCCGATTTCAGTAAAGCTGTGTCTAAATTTAAATGTGGAAGTGTGCGTCCGATGGATCTTGACAAGGTTAGAGACAGCGAATGATTGCGGTTTTTGTGACAACTCGCCTGCCCACCGCCATTATCATAATCGCGAACAGCCGAGTGCGAGGAGAGCGACGCCTGTTCACGAATCTGGAAGGTGCTCAATCTTCCCCTTGCCTAGTGCGGCGAACGTCCCGTCTTCTTGAAGCGGGGTCTGAGCGCATGGAACTTCACGCCGAGTGTCGGTCCACCCCGAAAGTACCATAGCTCCCCCTCGCCGCCAGAGAAAGAATCGTCGTCGGAAATCCTCCTTCATGCTGGTGGGATCGTCGCAAGCCGAAAGTCCATACAGGTGTTGACTGGCGATCTGCCTTGCCAAGCGTGAGGCGCACAGCGATGCAGCCCCGCCTGAAGCGTTCAACGGTTGTGGCGGCAGCCTTCCGGGGGACGACGCCGCCGCATACTGGTGAGAACCGTCTACCGTGCCGCAGGCTCCCAAAACAACCTCATGTCCAAATGCGCCAGGGACTGGGCGTCGAGACTGGACATGGGGTTCAGGCACCGCCCACTCAAAAATGTTATCCTGATTTAGATCGGGTCTTTCAGCCGCAGGTTATCTTTAGCGAACTTTGCCGTTCGCATGCATCAGACGGCGTTCAAATCCTGGCCCGGTCCGCATCCTGGTGCTCGTCGTCAGTAGCTCGGTCAAGAATGGCGGCGGGCTCACAGGCTCGACGATGCAGTGAGCTAGAAGTCGCCTCAGCAGGCTTTCCGCAGTCTTCCTCCAAACCCAGCGTCGCTTGTCCCGGCCGAAACAGCTCTCTGTACCCAAGAACGCATCGGCGCAAGCATCGTTGTCTGCCGGCGCCCGGCCTCCCAGTCTTTCATCCCCGGCCGGCTTGTTGATGGAAATAGAACTCCCAGTGCACTGATCCCCATTGCCGGGGTGATCTGCCGTGCCTTTGACCATGCGGGCAAACATTGATTCGATTCCCAAGTTCCCTTTCACGGATCTTGGTGCCGTGATGCCGTCGTCCCATCATTCAAGACCATTTCCAGAACTGTCCTTCCCAATACTCTGACACCGTAGATCCGGTCGGTGTTGTCGGACAAGACCGAAGTTCCGAGGACTTTCCAACCCCGGGACCTGCCAAGACGCGCCGTTGAGTGACCAAAGATAGCACTCACTCAACTCGATTCGTTCATCCTGGCTTGTTGCTGCAGGGTGAATGATAGGTTTTCGCTGCACCCCAAGGCGTCGAACTGGACATGTCGAGGTCCACACTGTATCTCGAACCAGAGATCGTTGTGTTGAGTGGAAGCATTTGCTCGGCTTCCAGCCAGTGAATCATCGCGCTTCCATGGTTCTGCACCGTGTGAGTGATCGTGCAACAGCGTGCCAAAGCGTCCCATGCCGGAGTCTGGATGGAGTTCGCAAGTGCTGCGCTAACATGCCGCCTTTGGGTGGAAGTGAAGTGTTGCGCTTTGCCGGCCCCATTTGGTTGAGCGTCGGTCCAGGCAGCAGGTATCGACCAGGGTACGCAGCGAATGATGGTTAGTGAACATGCAAGCAAGCAAGCATCCCAATCCGGACGGGAGGGAGAACTGAGATCGATGATGATGGTTGCCAGCTGCGATACCAGCGTCTAAATCTTCGTCTGCTCTTGCGTACGCCAGCCAGCCATGGGAGCAAGCCATTATTATTTCTCGGGAATCCGGCGCTTCTCGCTGCTGCCTGCTTGTCGGATGCATTATGGGCGTTGCTCAGCCTTCGCCTGGCGGCCAAGGATTCCCACCATGTGTCGTGTCTGCACAACGCCGCGAATTGGTGTTTCAAAACATGGGACAAGCCGCGTCGATTCGTCTGAATTGTCCGCCTCAATTGACAGAAAAGTTGTGACTTTCAAAGTCTCCAGATCTTTGGGTCGAAGCACGCTTTTTGTCCCTGACGCTTGCAGCGGGAGGAAGCCTTCCCGGACAATTAGTCAATGCTGACAACACAGCCCAATTGGGTAATCCTGGCTGCTGACGCACCTTCAGCCATCCAACCTGGAAGGTCACAGTTAAAGAGGTCCTCATTTGGGATACAGTTATTAGACGGGCACAGGGAACATAACACTGACATGACAAAGTCATGTTGGGTAGCCATATTTGACAGAATAATTATATCCCTAAGGTATTGTAGCTGGGACGGCGTTTGGTTTTACATCACTTCTCACTCACATGTACCGTAACAAGGTTTGTGCTCGGTTTGGGATTCACATTTCATGTCCCCAAGTCTCAGATAGATAGATGTTGAGGCAAATACATACATTTAATGTACAAATTCCACAAGGAGTACGCCCGCTCTCACGGCACAGAACTATTTATCTAGCACAACACCCATGATACGCGTGGTAACCCGCTCGTAAGAGTGTTAGGCCGCTAATAGTAGCCCTGGGCTTCCCTAAGCGCCTTGCGCTCGGCGACGCGCCTCTTGAAGCGAATTTCGTCCCGTCTCCGTTCACCACCATCCACCTTGTGCCCTCTCCTGTCCTCCCACATGCCCTCCGTCACCGTAAGCCGTGCGCCACCGAATTTCATAGGCAGGGCGTAGGGGCCGACAATGGTGCGGACCCCCTTGACCGTGAAACCCTTAACCCGAACCATATCCGAGGGCGATAGTTCCGAGACCTTCTTTCCGGAGGGGACGTTGACCACGCGCCTCAACCGAAGTAGCGGCGACTTATCCTCTTCCAGGACCTTTAACTCCGCCTTACCGTCCTCGACGAACTTGAGGTCACCGCCAATTCCAAATTTGCCTTCCCTGAACCGCTGCCTCCACCTCAACAAGTATCGCCTCGTCCGTGGCGGCTCGATGCCGAGTTCTCTGAGCTGATCGGATGTCAGGGTAAAGAGGGCGTCCCAGGTGGGAAACTTGGATGCGTGTTGCTTGAGGCCGCGGCCGATGACGGTGAGGAAGGTCTCGACATCGGGGACGAGGGGGATCGGCGCCGGGACCGAGGGGAGTTGCGGTTGCGTGCTCTTAGACGCCCATCGTACTTGCGCCCTGAGCCCCGCGGTAGCGATGGATGGGACAGCGCAGGGCCGAAACAGGAGCCCCAGGGCGGACTGTATCCGGAGGGACTTCATCTGTGCTGCCGAAAAGAGTCAGCGGTTGCCGGCAGAGGCCAATTGACCCGAGTGTCAAGACAGAAAAAAAGAAAAAGAAAAGAAAATTATAAGGGCTGTACCAAGCTCACCTATCGAAGAGATTCCTCTCGCAACTGAAGGCGGTCGTGGGGCATGTCAAGTCGATACCAAATCGACTTCGGCCGTTCAAGTTAGACAACGCGTTCGTCACGGCCCGGCATGTCCAAGGGTCAGAAAGTTTTCGCAGCCGCAGAAACTCCGGGCGGGAGCAGGGGCTCGAGCGAGATGGTGGGGCCGTTCGTGGGCAGGAGGCTTCCCCCGAGATTCTCAACCAATCACCTTGCCGCAGCCGCTTGATGGCAGGGGTACTGATTGATCGTGTAAGCCGCAGCTCTTATACTCGATAACTCCCACCCCTTCCACCTCACTCTTCCATCAAAGTTTCAATCTCCAGTCTTTCCGGACTTCATTTCCCATTTCTTATCCACAGTTACCACAGTCCCATAAAGCGCTTCTTGGCCCAGGGACTGTTCATCAACCAAAGCAACCACGGTCCATGAACTTCCAGCGGCCTTAGTCCAAGTCTCAAGATATCCATCCACTGGGTGTTCCCTGAGCCTCAAACTGTTAAGCAACAACCTTCCACCGCATTTTCAGCACCTGCTACCCGGCTAACCTTCCAGACTGTGCTTCGCGAAAGGTCTCACGAACGACCGCGCAAGCCAGCTCAGCGCGGACGCAATGCCTCGGATAAAAGCAAAGCGCACTGCGAAGCCCCCAGAGGTCGGCTATAGTACTGAAGCTGACGATATTGCCGCCTTCTTGAAATGGCTTCATCAGCAAGCGCAACAAACGGATCCGGAAATCTTGACACCTCCGTTAAAGCGAGCCAGGACTGCCGCAGTTCGGGACTCGATATGCGTCGCCCGCGAGCATCTAACCGTCACTTGCCCGGGGACTGCCACAACACAAGAGGCTCTGGCCATCACCCGCAGAAACGTCGGGGAGATTCTCTCTATTCGATTGTCTGAGCCAGCTTCTGGAGAATCGGACCATGGCACCTGGGCCCTACGCCTTTCGCCCCGTGCAAGATACCGCGGTCCTGGTTTTTCGGTCTGCAGTTCTGTGGATGGGGACGTTCTTACCACGTCGTTAAAGGCTGCTCTGAACGTGGCAGAGATTCAGGCGTTTGATTCGGGCGAAGAGGGTTGTATCTGGGCTGCAGTGCATATCTCGGTACGACAAGAACTGCCGTCCATTCAGCTGGACCTATCCATCGAAGTGAAATGGAACGAGAGCACGACCATCCGGGGCAACGACCGGCTGAATTCGAGTTCCCAGCAGCTTCTGCGCGATATAGTCCTCGGGACCTGGTACCCAGAGTTACATCTGCGCGGCTCCAGAGCCACTCAACCCTCATGGTCCCCTCAAGATTTCTACGAAGCCGCATGTATCCCTGATAAGCAAAGCCTGGACGCAGAGGTTTCGGGCATGGAAATTCCAAGGTTAGAGGCAACCCTGTATCCCTTCCAGCGCCGGGCGGTTCAGTGGCTGCTACGGCGGGAAGGCGTGGAGTGGCGCCAGGACCCTCAAACCCGCCAGGGGGGAATCCGGCCACACATTGCCGCGGCGTCACCAGACCCTCCCGTTTCCTTTGCGCAAGCCAAGGACTCCGACGGGAATGCCATTTATGTCAGCCCTCTAGTGGGTGCTGCGACGAGAGATCCATCCATGTTCCGATCACTTCAGGATCTTAGTGGAGGCATCCTCGCCGAGGAGATGGGGCTTGGGAAGACTCTGGAGATCATCGCACTGATACTTCTGCACCCCCGGCCCGAAGGCCCCGTCATGGTTTTTGATCCTTTTCTGGGGCGGGAGCTATTGGCTACCTCAGCAACGCTTATTGTCGCCCCGTCTTCCCTTCTTGATCAGTGGCTTTCCGAGCTCAACCGCCATGTCCCGAGTCTCAAAGTCATATTCTATCCTGGGATCAAGAAACTGGCCAAACTGAAGGATGGGAGTAACCTCTCCGCTGAGCACCTCGCCCAGCACAACGTGGTGGTTACTACCTATGAGGTTCTTAGGACCGAAATATGGGCCGCATCCGACGAGCCCGCACGCTTCATGCGCAACCAGAAGCAGTACGAGCGGGTCAGATCTCCTCTTGTCCAGCTCTCCTGGTGGAGGGTGTGTATCGACGAAGCTCAGATGGTCGAGAATTGGACGAATAACGCCGCGCAGCTTGCTCGGAGAATTCCCCGTGTCAATGCCTGGGGCGTCACTGGCACGCCAGTCAAGGACGACGTCCAAAAAGGTGAGAACGACATCCCCATTACCACAATGTAAAGCTGATCCGGATGGCCTAGATCTCCGTGGCCTGCTTCTCTTTCTCCGCTATGAGCCCTACGCCTCCGACACCAGAATCTGGAACTTCCTTACTACTTTTGACAAGGAGTCGTTCCGGAGGATTTTCAACTCGATGTCGATGCGCCACAGCAAGAGCCTTGTCAGAAATGAGATTGCGATCCCGCCTCAGAAACGCTATGTTATCACCATGCCCTTTACCGCGGTGGAAGAGCAGCACTACCAGAGCTTGTTCGAGGAACTTGCTGAAACATGCGGCTTAGACGCCCGAGGAAACCCGCTACAGGACAACTGGGATCCCGAGGATCCTGCCGTTCAGAGCGCAATGCGTCTGGCTCTTGACCGGCTCCGGCAGACCGTACTGCATCCCGAAGTAGGGTTCCGGAATCGGCGGGCACTCGGGCAGAAGGCGGGGCCCATGAGGACGGTCGCAGAAGTCCTGGACGCCATGATCGAGCAAACTGATGGTGCGATGAGGACCGACCAACGCAACCTGCTCTCGGCGAGGTTATTGAGAGGACAGATCCTTGCCTGCCAAAAACGAGAGCAAGACGCCTTAGGCGTTTGGCAAGAGGTTCTGGCGAGAGCCACGGACTGGGTGGATGAATGTCGAGCGCAGCTGGGCCATGAGATGCAAGACGCTCGCAAAGCCAAAACAGGCGAGATTCGAGATGCAACTGAAGATGGGGAGGAAGGAGATCTCGAGGCCACCGTGCCGCCACGGGTCGGCGAGGCGAGACGTCGGCTGCGGTCGGCCCTGGAGATCCAACACACCGCAGTCTTCTTCTGTGGCAATGGATACTTCTCCATCAAGTCGAACGAGGACATCACCGTACCCGACTCGGAAGAGTTCAAACGGTTGGAGAAGCTAGAGGTTGAAGCATACGACTGTGCCAAAGACATCCGAAAAGAGATCCTTAGGGAGGTCCGTTTCCCTTCTATGCATTAAGGGACCCTCTGGTCCAGGACTTGGCTAACAGTGTTACACAGAGTCACGGCAAGGCAAGTAGACTGATGGAGCGGTTACAGACGGCCGCTTCACAGCGGGCCTTTGCCGTCATACCTGAGTTCAAATCCATTGAGAAGAAGGGTATCGAGAGCCGCAGAATCGCCGATTATATTGAAGAAATCGGCGTCGCATTGGATGAACAGGCCGCTGAGATTGACGAATGGCGAGAGCATGCCATACAGCTTCTGCTGAAGCCCTTGGTTGACGAAGACAACGACGACATTACGGGCGAAGAATACGAGCAATCGACCAAGCTTCAGGACGAGATCTTGGTTTATCTCCAGGTACTGCGGACAGCACTTGCAGACAGACACGCCGCGATCACTGGACAGAAGAACTTCTTGGTGGAACATGAGACAAAGACAGCGGCTCGAATGGCCGCTGCAGGAGAGGGACCGTTTCCGGAGAAGCTTCTCGAGCTCCTCAAGGTTCGAGAGACTATCAGACCGCCCTTTGTCGAAGGGGACCCCATGACCTCTTTGCGAGGACTTGTGTCAGAACTGCGGGCTCTATCCGCCAAGCTCCGGAATGAAGCCGCGACGGGGAGCCCGAGAGCCGCAAACGAGCTTGCCGTTGTCTCAGACTTGCTCAAGTCGACACTCAGTTACCAGTCGGAACAGACAAAGGCGGAATTGGCCATGGAAAAGGAGATTGAGCGTTTTATGGACACCCTAAACGCTCGGATTGACTTCTACCGACAATTACAGGAGGTCTCCGATATGGTGGCCGAGTACGAGGGCTCACTGGAGGCTGAAGCGCTGGATGTCGCTTTGCAAACGGTCCAACGACAAGAAGGGGCTCTGCAGACGAAATCAGCTGCCGTGAAAGCCAAACACCGCTACCGTGAGTGCTTGTCAGAACCTAACATTGGGTAATGTGGCTGACAGTTGGCAGTTGTACACCTCAAGGAGGCAGAATCCAGCTCGGAAGAGCAACGGATGTGTGTAATCTGCCAGTCAACTTTCACAATCGGCGTCTTGACGGTCTGCGGGCACCAGTTCTGCAAGGAATGCATCACACTGTGGTTCCGAGTGCACCGCACATGTCCCGTGTGCAAGAGGCATCTGCACCAGACGGATCTCCATGACATCCTGCTGAAGCCGCAGGAACTCAAAGTGCATTCAGAGACGCACCAGAGGAGCGACAACACATCGAATCAGACACAGACAGCATCCTCCAAAAACCTGTCAACCATCTACACGGAGTTCAACGCCGAACAGCTAGCCGAGATCAAGGACACGGAACTTGACGGGCCCAGTTTCACGACGAAAGTGGACACACTGATACGCCATCTGCTGTGGCTGAGACAGTCAGATCCGGGTGCCAAGTCGATCGTGTTCTCCCAGTACAAGGAGTTCCTGGAAGTGTTGGGACTGGCGTTCCGGCGGCACCGCATCGGGTACACGTCGTTTGACAAGGCGCACGGCATCACCAATTTCAAGGAGGACCCGGGTACTGAAGTTTTCCTTTTGCACGCACGAGCTCACGCCAGCGGGCTGAACCTGGTGAACGCCAGCCACGTGTTCCTGTGCGAGCCTCTCCTCAACACGGCGCTGGAGCTGCAGGCCATAGCACGTGTCGACCGCATCGGGCAGCAGCACGAGACGACGGTGTGGCTGTACATTGTCGACGGCACGGTCGAGGAGTCCATCTACGAATTGTCGGTGCAGAGGCGGATGGAGCACATGGGGCGCAACTTGAGCCTCAACAAGAGCAAGTCGAAGGAGTCGACGCCGGAGCTGCTGGATGCGAAGCTGGACGAGGCGAATGCGCTCGAGATGCAGCAGGCGCACCTGTCGAAGCTGATGGGCAAGGACGGGATCTTGGGCGAGGCGGTGGATAATGATGACTTGTGGACGTGTCTGTTTGGACGCCGGCATCTGAGACAGGCGCAGGAAGATAATCAGCCTGTGAATGCGGCGACGATGCGGTTTTTGGCTGCTGAGGCGGCGGAGAATAGGACAACCGAGGGATGAGCAGGAGATGAGTCTATATATGCTCGATTTCTGTTTTATGACCATACTAATGATGATTTATCTGGTGAAAAATGAAAAAAGATTATTATCATTCAAAAGTCTTGGCAAGATAGAGCGGTTTGAGTTACACAGTTACGTCAATAAGCTATGTTGCAAGCTCAGGGGCATTGTGGAAATGTTGTTAAGGTCGCTCGTCGACAGGGGGCACCAACTGCTAAGTCCCTGCCAAGGTAAGAGTCAAAGGTAACGAGTACGGTAAGATACATTGTAGTTTACCACTCCCCTACGGAGCACCCATTGCCCAACGCGCATCTGAGATGCAGATTCATGTAAGCTTGAACTTGGCACTGCCCAGCAACTCTTCTTCAACACATGTTTCCTACCACAACCCTTCCCGCCCAACAATGCCATGACGACGCGACGAGTCGAGACAACACAACCCACTCAAATCTACAACCGACCCGCTCCAACATCTGTTATATCAAACCAAGCAGAATTACCTTCGTAGCCGACCATGTCCATCTCGGCAAGAAGAGCGGCACCCGCCGCCTCGAAAACCACCGGCCCCAGCATCCTCCAGACCCTCCAGGCGACCCAGATGATCGAGACCAAGCCCGTTCTCCCAGCCGGTTTGTCTTCCCTCTCCACGCCGAGTCTGCTCTTCCACCTCCTTGGGGGTTATCCCACATCGCACATCCAAACGGAGGATAGAAAAAACCCAAAATCATCAAACGGAATAATATAAGGGACTACTAACTGGGGCGGCCGGTAGAGATTCTCTCCACAATTCTCGACTACCTGCCCGTGGCCGACCAGATGCGCTTCGCCCGCGCCTCGCACCGCATGCGCGAGATGGTCTACGACGACACCCGGTGGGTCGCCCGGCTCAGGAGTATGGGTTGCTGGGACGAGGCGGAGGCGAGGAGAAGGTTTGAGGTGGTCATGCGGCGGCGAGCCGCTTCGGGGGGTGCTGCTGGCAGGGGGATCGGGCCCGGCTCTGCTGCTGGGGGTGGTGCCGGTGCCGGTGCCGGTGCCGGTGCTGGTGCTGCGGGAGGGGGTGGGAGTAGTGGTGGTGGTGGCGGTGGCGGTGGTCATCACAGGGGGGAGAGTCTACTGTTTGATGCTGGGTTGGAGGAAGAGAGGAGGAGGAAGCTGGAGCAGCAACAGCACCAGCAACAGCACCAGCAGCAGGTGGCGGAGGTCAGGAATGGGTTCGAGACGATAAAGGTGGGCGGCACGGTGCAGACAACACTGCAGGACCCGTCGACAGATCCTGAGGCGCTGCTGCGCGTGATCAAGAACGCGCGGAGTGTGAGAGGCCACGCGAGGCAGGAGTACGCCAAGATCTATGGTGCCCTGGCGCCCTTCTACTTTGATCTCGTCCGCGCCAAAAGTCACACGGATCCACTGGTCTTCAAGGTATTTCGCGACCCGGAGCGACAAGCGCAGATGCTGGCGAACCTGAGGGCGTTTGCCAAGAGCGACTGGGCGCAAGGCGCGCACAAGAGGGTGGAGAAGGTCGAGACCATGACGAGCATCTTTGAGAGCGCCGTGCTCCGCGAGTTTGAGCAGGGGTATGAGTTTTGGGACGTGGACGGTAGGATGAACAAGTATGCCCACGTGCTGGCGATGCTGAACGGCAGCAACGCCGCGGTGGAGCTGTTCATCCAGAAGCACCCCATCTTCACGGACCGCGAGGTGCTGGCCAACTCAATGGACTGCGTCAATATGGCCATGGCGGATAGCATTACGCTGGAGCCATCAAGACACTTCTTCGAGATGCTCACGCGCAAGGTCAACGAGCAGGCCGGGGTCATCGAGCGCATCTTCCCGAAGCCGGGACAGGTGTTTTGGGCGTTTGTGGACAAGGTCAGAGAGGATACCATCACGGAATATGTTACTCCGTTGTTTGACGAGACACACGAGCGGAGCATACCGTCATATCTGAGAGCTGTCTCGGGCATCTTCGAGCAGACACTGCAATTCCTGCGTACCTTGACACCGCCCAAAGGGGCCGAGATATCGCAGGAGGCCAAGGCCAAGGAGATGGCGCTCAAGGTGTTTGAGCCACATCTCGACCTGTACCTGCAGGACGAAATCGACGAATTCACTCGGCAAGCCGAGCGGGAGGTGGGAGAGTGGGAAAAGAAACTGTCGGAGCAGGAGGCCAGCGCCGAGTCCTTCTACATGGGCAGCTTCACCAACCGGCAGGCTGACAAGAAGGATTTCTTGACAACTTTCAAAAAGGTCGTCATGATGCCTGTCACGGTGCTTCCAACAAGCTTTGCGCTGCCGGGCCTGCCGCTGGGATCACCATTTGCGAGCAGCAAGCCGGCCAGCACAAATGGCGGCAATGCACTACAGACCCCGAGCCAGCAGGGGTCTCGTTCGCAATCTCCCGCCCCGCCCACTCCGGCGGCGGGCGACCGCAGCAGCAGCCCGATGCCTGGGAAGGCACCAACCGACGAGCTGGCAGCCAAGGCAGCGCTCATGACGTCCAGGCTAGAGGGGATCAAATCCCTGTTCAGCATTGAGGTGGCGCTGAGCCTGGTGCATGCCGCGAAGGCCAGCCTCGGGCGCGTTGCTGTGTTCATCCAGCTCGGCGGACAAGCAGGCGGCGAGGCGCGTGAGCAGTGCGAGGCCATCTTCATCGCGTTGCTGCGCATCCTGGGCAACGGGCATGTCAAGCCGGGATTCGACAAGGCCGTGGCCCACTTGTCGCAGTACAATCCCCGGGAGGTCAGCGAGCATGACCGCGGTGGCGTGGCGCCGCTCGTCACCTTCATCGAGCTGGTCAACGTAGGCGATCTCATCTCACAGATGATAGACGTCTTTTACGAGCAGCAGCTGGCCGGGCCCAAGATTGCGGACCGCAACGACTTCCTGGACCCGGCGGGGTTGGCAAAGAAGAAATTTGAGCAGATGCTCGACGAGAGCGTCGCCGCTGGCCTTAATAAGGGCATCGACGTGCTCATGGACGAGGTAGAATATATCTGCGCAACAACACAGCTGCCGACCGACTACAACCCGGGCGCCGGCGCCACCCCTGACGCAGCATCCTCCTCGGCATCATCATCGTTCGAAAAGCACGCCTCCAGAATCGACATGGACATTGGTCCGACGTGCACAGCGCAGCGCATCCGCGACCTCGTGGCGTCGCACACGTCCATGCTGGTCGGCAGCACCGACAAGTCGATGCTGGACGTGTTTAACGGCGAGGTCGGGCTGCGGCTCTTCACCGCCGTGTGCAAGCATTTGAAGCGGCAGCGCATCAGCACCGAGGGCGCCATCAAGCTCATTGCCGACATGAACCTGTACTTTGAGTACATCCGCACGCTCAAGAACCAGGACCTGCTGGCCTACTTCAAGGCGCTTCGCGAGCTCAGTCAGATCTATCTGATTGATGCGCGGCATGCCAAGGAGATGGCGACCATCATCGCGGATGGGGACCGGTTCGGGGGGATCTTCCGCGCCGAGGAGGTGTACGAGTATGCCGAAAGACGGGCGGATTGGTATCAGGTGAGAAAAGACGTCGAGAGGGCCATGTATGGATTGGAGTGTTGCCTTATGTAGGGCGATGCGGGAGATACAAAACTGTCACATACGCCGGGTTGGGGCTAGAGAAAACGGCAAGAGTTTTGAGTAGAGCGAATGATATCCCTTGCAGACCTTTTCGTGGTATCTCCGTGTGCTAAGAGCAGGATGCTCTTGTTTTATGCCCCCTTTACGAACCCTACCCCCTAACGCCGACCTCATGCCCTCATAACGCCAAACTGTGATGAAATCAAGACTCCTCTCCTACTTGGCCTGCCCAAAATCCAACTTCCTCGCCACCTTGGCTCCCCGGTTGTTGGTCTCGTCGTCAAGTATTCCATTCCGCCTCTTCAGATCCGCCCCCATTTTCTCCTCTCCGCCCGACTTCCGAGGGAGGTCCTCCTTCCTCGTCGGCTTCGGGTCGGTCCTCCACCACCTGTGCTCGAGCATCTCTCTCGCCGTGATGCGCTTCTTGGGGTCCAGCGCCACTGTCCGCACAAGCAGATCCACGCCGTCGGCGCCGACCGCGCCAAAGCGCCCCATGTACGCCTCCTTTCCCCACACCGGCACCACCTCGCTCGGGACGGTGTACTCCCTCAACTGCGTCACGCCGGGCCAGTTATCCTCGGTCGGCGTGCCGATTTGCTTGCAAATCAGCGCTATCTGCTCGACCTCGGTGTTTCCCGCCAGAAACGGCGCGCGGATGATGAGCTCGGCAAATACCATGCCCACGGACCAGATGTCCACGGCGCCGCCGTAGTGCCGCGCGCCAAACAGCAGCTCGGGGGGGCGATACCAGCGCGTGATGACGTTGGCCGTCATGCGCCTTCCGGGGTCGGCGAACGAGCGCGCCAGGCCGAAATCGGCCAGCTTGACCTCGCCGTCGGCGGCGATCAGCAGGTTGTTGGGCTTGATGTCGCGGTGCAACACAAAGTTGTCGTGGCAGAACCACACGGCGCGCGTCAGCATGCCCATCCAGGCCTTGATGTCGCCAGCGCCATAGCGCACGCGGTCGACGTCGCGGATTAGCATCTCGAGGTCGCCCAGCGGCAGGTACTCGAGCACGAGGTTCAGGTTCTGGTCCTTGGAGCTGAAGACGGAGAGGAGCGAGATGATGTTGGGGTGTTGCAGCTCGCGCAGGTACTTGAGCTCGCGCACGGCGTCGGGCGCCATGCCGTCTTGGTACTGCTGCTGGACCTTGATCTTCTTGATGGCGACGAGCGTGGAGGGGTCGTGCCGCACGTGGCCCAGGTACACGTTGGCGTAGGTGCCCTCGCCGAGTTTCTTGCCCTTGACGTATTTGCGCTTTTCGTCCTCGTTGAGCTGCTCGATCGGGTCGAGCGTCATGGCGGCACCGTCTCCTGGGGCCGATCGGGCTGCGGGGGGGTAGCGCGGGGTGCCATTGCCGTTGGACGACGGGACCGCCGAGGTCTGTCGTTTGAAGGGCGACGAAATCGGCCGGGAGGGTTTGAATGCGTCCGAGGTAGGCGCCACGAGAGGGGAGACGGCCATGTTGACGGTCGTCTCGTTGGCCTCGTCGCTGACTAGGAGTAACTGACTTTTGAACGTTGAAAGAAGGTTGGAGCTCTGGGTTGATAATGGATCCAGGATACCTGGTAAGGTTACCGTTATACTAAGTACAGTACGGATAGAACATTTGACGGCACGGGTTCGACTGAGCCTAGCTTATCACTGAACTGCCCCACAGCTCTAGGCTCTTAAGCCCGATGATCTCCGGATTTTGCCCGGTGACCTGGGGATGGCCGACACCCAACTCACGATAAATTATACCACGTGAAGCTCCGTGGTGAACATATCAGGTCTTTCGAGCAGCGGACACTGGTGACCGACTCGTTCGGGCGATTGGCTTCCGACCACATAACGATTCGTCTCAACTCTTTCAGACCAAAGAGGTTCATGGAATGTGCGTCGAGACAGACTCGAGGTGATGGCTTAGAAGCCAAAGTCGAGCACAACCTCAACAGACGGGTTCCATATTACCCTCGGATCGATCAGAATGATTCCCTAAACCATACTCCTGACGTCCTACACCAGGCACGAGGGAAAACGCCGGGGTAGGTGAGGACTCGTATGAGTCTTCGTGTTAGGGTTTGGTTTATGATTGTCACCCGAGCGAGCTTCGACATCCGGGGGCATCGAAATGCGAGTGCGCGGTGATGGAAAGGCCGGAGATACACGCATTAACACCGATTGGTCATGGCTCTGCAACGCAGCTCAAAGTGTTCCTTGACAACTTGGGCCGAGCTGCTTCACTCCTCATGAGCTGCCATGGACGCTTCCAGCTCCCAAGACCCCTCAGGACATCGCTTCCATGTTTCAAGTGGCCAAAGTCCTGAGAGAACGGACAACGGCACTCATCGGACCATTCCCTTGGAGCCAACCAGGATTTAGATGCCCAGTCCCTCCATCACGAACAATGAGCTCGGCCAACATGGACATCACCAAAAAACAATCCAGCGGGCCCTCGTTCGGCTGGCAACTCCTCCGCCAAAAGCCCCTCGCCGACCCAACATCACCCCTCACAGGCAAAACAATTCTCATCACGGGCGCCAACTCAGGCCTCGGCCTCGCCGCAGCAACCAAACTCGCCCGTCTCGGCCCCTCCCGCCTGATCCTCGCGGTGCGCAACCTCGACTCGGGCCGTGCTGCACAGCGCAACATCCAGGCCCAACTCAGACTCCACCTCGCCCAGAACAACAACATCAAACCCGAACCCGACATGGATGTTTGGGTCTTCGACCTCGCCTCGTACACGACTATCGCCGCCCTCGCGCGGCGCGCGTCCGCCGAGCTTGACCGCCTCGACGTGGCCGTGCTGAATGCCGGCGTGTACGAGGTCGGCTACGGCGTGTCGGCCAACAAGTGGGAGCGCACGCTGCAGGTGAACACGCTGGGGACGGCGCTCCTGGGCGTGTTGTTGCTGCCCCTTCTAAGGCGAGTGCGGGAGCGAGACGGCTACGGGGTGCGGGTGGGGCGTCGGTGTTGGAAGTCGTGGCATCGCGGCGGGCGGAGGCGGTGCGGTGGACGCAGGAGGTGAGGGATGGGAAGGGAGGCGTGTTGGAGGCGGCGAATGCGGTATGGGAGGAGGGGTATGAGCCCAGTGAGCAGTATCGAATGTCCAAGTTTCTGCTGATGGCTGTGGTCAAGAAGATGGCTGCGTTGGTAGATGAGTCTGAGGTCACCGTCACGGCTGTGTGCCCGGGGGGTGTTGCGACGAACCTGAGTCGCGGATGGACTGGTGTTGTCGCTGCGGTTGTCAAGACGCTGGTGAACACTTTGATTATGCGGACGCCCGAGTATGCGGCGCGGAGCGTAGTCAGTGGCGTATCGCTGGGGCCAGAAGCCAGCGGGAGGTTGTGGTATGACGATGAATTGCACGAGTAAGTCCGACATGACCGTTGCCACACTAATGTTTGCAGCAACTTAACGAGCACGTCCAGGCTGTCCTTTCTTGCTGGTGAAGATGGCGAGAGACTAGGCGACAAGATCTGGGCCGAGGTTATTGATGCCCTGCAACGAGAAGTACCAGAAGTGGGCGAGGTCTTGAGAACGTTACGAGCATCCGAGACGATATGAGTGTACGTTCATTGTAGCCCCGTCCGTGAGCCAGACATCGGCTTTTAACCTTTGCCATTGTGGTTGCTTGGCTCAGCTGAAGGTAGCACCTATTGCCTTGGCAATTGACACATGTTGATACACAGTTGATATAGCGTCGTGATCTACCGAGTCTCGACCATTGAGGAGAGTCTTGCGTTGTGTTACGTTGTGTTATGAAACGTATGGTACCTACAGCAGCAACAGAACGGTGTTGCTTGGAGGACTCCCCTCAATGACGCTAGCAAACACTCTGTAACACCTTCGCGGTCACCACACCACATCGCAGTGGGAACCCACCGGTCCTGGATTCATCTTGTCGGATCTGGTGGGGTTTTGAAGGGGGCTTCGGGTGACTGAGCGTTTACTGTTAAGTTAGTGCCCGTCCCGTCTTTGCCGCGTCTCCTGGCACTTCGGCGCCTCAGTTCCACACATCTCGTTGCCAAATGTCTATCCGTAAAGCAGTAACGCTTCCTCCGCCGGTTCTCTACTTTGTCATGGTTAGCGTCTTTCACCCATTACTGCTTGATGACATAAGTCCGCCTGTACTCGTCGTCGATGGTCTCCAGATAGAACGTCCCAGGCAGCAGCGAGGCGGTGTCGCCAGCCGGCTTGAAAATATTTGCGCCATATGCCTTGGCTCGGAGCGCGCAAGCCTAGATGAAGCAGCCTTGTCACCACCATTTTTCACCTTACTTGCCTCAAGCTGGGAATGTCAAAAACACTCACCTCTTCGTACTCGTCTGGCGTCGCGACATGCCTCTTCTTCAACCTCCCGTCGCCATCAAATCAATCCCCTGCACCATCTCGCTTAGATCCTCATGGTTCTGATACTAAACGGCGCGCTAGCGTGCCGCTGCCGTAGCTGAACAAGCCAATCGTCTTGCCCCGTGCCGCGGCCAGGTCGATGTTACTGATGAGGCTGATGGGCTACCGACAATATCAGTTGTGAATTTACCTATTCGGAAATGTCCCGAGGTGCTTTCGGGAGCAAATGCGCTGCCTGGGGGAGCAGGATGTCTCCTGAATGAAGACAGTCATAAAGCGGTATAAGACAGTCACCAAAAAAAGGAAGAGTGTCCTTAGCGAGCAGTACAGGCTGCTGGTGTACATGTTGCCGCAGCGCGACGTCGCCGCGATGCACGGCTCGACCCGCTCGCGGAATCGGTCTCGCGTCAGCGCCACGAGCACTTTTTCCAGCTCCTTGCTTCCGCAGCGACTCCGGATAGGTCAGCTTGCGTAGCGAGGTGGGGATGCCTGCCCACGCGGCGTCGTTGTCGTTGTTGGGGTATGATGCGAGGCAGTCGTTGTATTGGAGCCGGCCGTAGGACTTGCTAACAAGCTTGCAGTTGGGCGAGTGGAAGGCCATGTAGCTGAAGAGGTCGAGGACGCTTTTGAAGGGTTAGGAGGGGGGGAAAGCGATGGATTGTTCGCCGTTGCCTTGGGACGACTTGTTTCTGGCAGTCTCGAGACGTTGTAGAAGGTTCTTGTGGCATTCGTCCAGGGTGCTGGTGTAGCCGCAAGGGACTCGCGGCCGTTGACCACAGGGAATTCGACCCTCATGTCGGGCTTGTAGAAGTCGTAGATGTGGGTCATGTAAGTGCCGTGAAGGGTTGGGTTCAGGGCCAGCGGCGCGTTGGGTCAATGAGCATGGCGACGGCGCCAGCACCGCCGGCGGGCGCGAAGCATGCTGATTGTAGATGGCAATGCCCGAGGTGGGGATGATGGCATCTTGACCGTCCCACGAGCGAGATTCGACCCAGTTGGCGGCGTTGAACAGGGCGTTTTGGTTCCGCCGTAGCATGCGCGAATCGTGTCGATGCCTTCCATGCTCTTGTTGCCCGGGTGTGCAAACAAGGTTGTGAGTACCGACTTGACTGACTTGGCCTTGTCGATGGGCAACTCGGTGCCTACCTTGAGGTGGCCAATGGACCTGGGTTCGATGTTGGACTTGCGAAGCAGCGAAGAGGCAGCCGTCAGCGCTAGGGAGCAGACATCTGCGCGGCTTGGTCAACCCAGAACTCTGGTGCTGTAGTCGTGACATGAAATGGCTCGCGTTGGATGACTCGGTGAGTCCGGCATCGTAGCTGTAGTACCAGTACGTTACTCACCTTCTCTGTCGGTACAGTAACTCATGTACTTGAGACCCAGTCCAACAGTGTATATGCCCGGAGATACGCCTTGGTGCTTGACGAAAAACGACCGGTCCAGGCACTTTGCACTTGTTATCAGACACGTGGATCAAAGCCGCGAGGGACAGGAGAGTGTATTTTCACATGTGCCGGGACATGGATCTCCATGGCCTTGATGCCGACATCTTCGGGTATGCCATGTTGCGGGACCAGTCGGTCTGATTCGAGCTAGGCATATACTGCGGAACGAAACTGGTTCTTGGAGTATGATGGCGAAGTGTTCAGGCCGTGCCAACCATTTGAATGGGAGCATTGTGGAGGGCTTCGGAGTCGGCTTGCCCTGACCGCCGGTCTTCTTTGTCCGGAAGAACCGTATGAGCTCGACATAGGCTAGACCAATAAGCGAGTAGACCTGAGTGCAAAGAGCGTCCCCAACGAACACCAACAAGCATGCTTGCCTTGCAGCTCCGGTCTGCCTTCGGTCCGCTGCGGAAGAGGGAGGTGTCCCATTGATTTATGTACTTGTTATCAATCTCGTTGGGATTGCAGTAGATTCAACACTATTAACCGTCTTCTGTCTTGAGCGGGCCGCCTTCATGGTCAAGGCCAACCTAATTCTGGGCATAAGTTTGGATCGCCTGGCTAACCCCTGAGAAGTGTCAAGACAGCACCAAGCGTCAGAACAATCGTTGTGGACCCCTGCCTATCCTTATTCAGATATTTGTCTTGACGGCACCTACTGTACTCGCTTCGAGGAATTCACCGTGTCTTGGCATGTTCCCCCGTTGCGAGCAGCCGATTTCTTTGGCTGTTGGATGGCTGTTGGCAGAGCGCTGATTCCAGGGTGAGCTGTATGTGGCCTTGGCGATCAGGGTTGGGTATGCATGTCTTGGATCTGTCACGGCTCCTCGACACATCTGCCGTCCCAATTCAAAGTAGCTCCATATATCAGTACCTGGAAACTCACTAGCATCACACGTTCCCAGGCGTGTTACACTTTTTTGAAGCTGGGTTGAGGTGAAGGAGAGCTGCAGCCAAAGGTTGCCTCCTTAACCACATGAGGAAAAGCAGCGGATTTAAGCCGGCTGCGCCCGTGCCAAGGCTAACTAACTGCCAAGCCATTAGGCCTAGGCACTTGTTCAACGTCACAACCGAGCTGACGTCATGCAGCCCGGCAGTTCCAGAGCCAGGTTCTCCGTGGGACCCGTCCGAACCCCGATCATGTCACCATCCCGTGTCGAACCTGAGTGTCATTCAGGCCTACAATGTCTATGACACGCGGCAGTCGTGGCGCCCCGTGGAAGCCAAGGGAGGCTTGTACAGTTTCCGGGCGATTATCATGCTGCTGACATTTCCAGCTTCGACATCGACCATTATTATATGAAGTCTTCTTCGCCCATCTGCTTCTATATGCCGACACGGTCACTCAGCTTTCCAGCTTTGCATCGTCTTCCGAGGCTGCATAGGTTCCTGGCCTAGTCTGGGCCGGCGTACCACTAGCGCACGGCTATTTCTCCCCAGTGCGGTTGGGCCTTGTACTTGTCATGCTCCTACACCTTGTTTTCTCATATTGATTTCATTGAGCGACCAGCTGGCCGATTGAGGGTTTCTCTCACCTCAAAGTCCACTTACCCTTCTCTATCCCAAGTTCCCAACCTTAGCGTCTACCAACAATTGTACGCGCTGGATCCGATTGACTGCCACCTGCAGCCTTCAACGTCGCGTCATCTTGTTTTCAATACTAATATACGTTAAACCATAATATTACCGAAAATGATCCGCCTATCCTACTGGGTATGTCGTGCTCGAAATCATGAGGTTACCGATACACCACAACGCCCCGCTAACATAGCCCCTTACAGCTAGCACCCATCCTCGCGGGCCTGATCTGGCTTGCCACGCTGCTGGCCCTCCTCCTCTACTGGATCGTCTCCGAGGACCGAACCCACTACTCGTCCATGTCGGAGGGCCAAACCATCGCCTACATCAGTGACGTAGGCGCGTCCGACCTCAAGCCGCTCTTCGTCACGGGCTGCGTCCTGACCACGGTGCTGCTCGACGTTTCGTTCGGCGCCGACCGCTGGCTGCGCCACAAGGGCCGCCTGGCGCCCAACACGACGCGCGGCGAGAAGGTGCTCTCCGGGCTGACCATCCTGTTCGCCATCGTCGGGACGGTGGGACTGATCATGCTGAGCATCTTCGACACGGCGCGGTACCCAAAGCAGCACGACATTTTTCTGCTGCTGTTTATTGCGGGCTATGTGCTCTCGGCCGTATTTATCTGCTGGGAGTATCAGCGGTTGGGGACACGTAGGTCCTCCCCTTTTTTTTCTTTATCGGTCTCGGCTAGATTCAGGAGTTGCGTTGCTAACAAAGAGTTGGGAAAAGGTCACCGTCATATCCGAATCCTAGCCGCCTCTTTCTGGATCAAGCTCGTCTTTATCATTGTGGAGGTCTTGCTGGCCGTCGCCTTCGTGGCGATGACCTACACGCAAAACTACAACCCGGCCGCCATCCTGGAATGGGTCGTGGCGTTCGTTTTCTCGGCCTATGTCTTCTCCTTCTACGTCGACCTGTACCCGGCCGCGGCTACCAAGCAGCAGCTGCAGGTCTCGGTGGATGCAAGGAACGGGATGCACATGCACCTGAGTGGCGGCCGGGAGAAGCCGAGACGGGAGTGGGAAGCTGCCGGGGAGATGGAGTCGGCCGGGAGCGACCGGACTTCGAGCACCGGTCTTAACGGGGCTGCGCCGCGGGGTAGGGGCATGGCGAGCAATTTCTGAGGAGCACACTCGCCGGCTCACTTGGGGTGGAGGGACACGATATAAAAGGTTTGTAGAGCGATGGTTTGGCACACGGTTATGGGAGTATTTCGCCGAGAGGTGACAGCTCGTTCACGAGCGCGGAGCATCCTTGCATGGTAGCCAGGCGTTTGGTATTTTGCCTCATATATAAACTGGTAGTCATTGCAAGAGTTATCCATTGTCACATGCCCAAATTCCAATGGAAACATTGGCCGTAGTTGGGCACGGAATATACAGTGTTTGCAAGTTCAGCCGATTCCGCCTATCTTGAATTTCATCTGCCGCAAGATCTCACATCATCCCATACAGACGCTGTTGGCGCCCTAACACCATGCAGATAACCTTGGTATGCGATTGTATTCCAAAAAAACGCCCAGCTTAATGCCGTATGCTTCATGCCTGCCAATGTCATCCATCCAGCCGCTACCGCAAACCAAACGCTGCATCCTCCAAAAACGAACCAGCCGTGCATGCGGCGACCCGTCCATATGTACTTGTATTGTACCAATATATTCCAGATAGCGCACTAAAGGCGATCCAAAGCTAATCACAAAATCTCCGAGAACCTCGACTCCCGAAATGGACTCACCCTCCCCGCCACCACAGCCCTCGGCCGCGGTTTCGCCTGCGCCAGCATCGACGCCGACGCCAACGACCCACCGCCACTCGTCTCGGGCTCGCTCCGCGCCTCGACAAACCTCTCGTTACAGCTGTTGCTGCTACTGACGCTACTCCTTGGGTCGCTGCCGAGGCTGCCTACAGAGCCGACGACAGAAGGGGCTGCTTCGGTCGCCTGCGAGACGTGCAACACGGGCATCTGCTCGACGGGAGGAGGGGGCGTAGTGGACTCGCCATCAGTTGTATTTGTACCCCTTTTGGAGGAAGGCTCGCGGCGGCGGCCGGCGAGAGCTACCTCGCGCATGCTCGAGTTGGCGTCGTGCGGGTTCCTGTCCAGCGAGTCGATTGAGGAGGTGCTGGAGTTTTGTTTGCCCTGCCGTAGACGGGCCAGTGTCACGCCGCCGATGAAGCCATGTTTGGTCTCGTTGGCGTCTTGCTCGCCGTTGGCGGGGGGTGTGCTGCCGGTGGACTTGGCTCGCGGCCGTGGGAAACGCGAGAGGAGCCAGGCGCGGACTTTCCCGGTTGGTGAGGTTGGGCTGTTGTCGTCTGTGTTAGGCGGCTGATCGGCGGCTTCTTTGCCCTTGTGCCTGGGCGGGCGCCTGGAAAAATTGATGGAGAGGGCCCGGACGTGGCCGACTGTCAGTGATCGTTTGTGTGCCGCCTTCGGGCTTGGTTGTTGAAGGGGCCCCTCTGCTTTGGTCCCCACGCTTGTTGTTGGTGGCACAACCTCACTTTCCTTCTGCTTAGCCTCCTGGGCAGCATGCTTCTGCTCTGCCTTAGCGGCTTTTATCTCATCCTTATGTGCTTTAGCCTCGCGTTTGACCTCTGCTTTCCTCACTCGCTCATCCTCTTTCTGTTGGTCTAGTTAGTGGTTAGCAAGGCCCTTAATTGGAACAGAATCAAGTTTCCGTGAGACTTACCCATGAGCTTCTTGTGTATCTTCTGAATCTCTTTCTCCCTCATCTTATCTCGCTCTGCCAACTCCTTGCGCCTCTCCTCCTCCAACTTCTCCTCCTCCTGCCTCACAAGCTCCTTCTCCGCTCTGTCATTGATCTCATCCAACAGCGGCTGGACCTTCTGAGCCGCAATCTTCTTTACCTCGGACCTCTCCATAATTTTGCCGCATCCAATGTCGACCTTGCCGACGTTGTCCTGGCCGATAGCGTCGTACCTCACCCGCGCAGCAACTAAAGCTTGTCTACCCCAGTCATCCAAATTGACCTGCGGCACGCGGCCTGTGTCGGACTGCACTTGTTCATCGATCCGCTGCATCTGAGCCTTGACGTTCCGTTGCGCAGCCGCGACGAGCGCCTCCCGGTCCCGCGCCCTCTTCTCCTTGTCCACCTCGCTTAACCTGCTGTTGAGCAGGGACATTTGGTTGCGAATCCGCTCCGAGCGGCGTTTGTCTTCCAGCAAATCGCCGTCGCTCGAGGAGCGCTTTCTGGTCAACTTGCCCTTGATAGTGCCGAGTTTGCTCCAGTGGAGAGGTGCGGTGCCTGATCCGTAGAACTCCTGGAGACCCCGCTGTTTCTCGTGCTCTTGCTGCAACTTGGCGAGGCGCTCCCTGGCAAGCCGGTATGCTGATTCCTGCAGGCTGTTGTGCACCAGGGCAGGCTGTTCCTCGCTCTGTTGATCCGCCCGGCTCGTCGTGTCACCACAGGGAAAAGACGACGACAGCGCGTGGGCAGGGGCGGAGCTGTCGATCATTCTTTGCTGTGTATCGTACATCTTCTTGGCCATGGCCAGGGCAGAAGCATGCAGCACGTCGGCCCTGTTCTTCTCGTCTGTTTTGGGCTTCACCGGCGGATTGGCGGTGAACATTTCCCTGTCCATGGTGGTATAGGGCACGGCGCCCACCTCGCCAACGGGAGTTGAGTTTGCCCGCATCGTAGGTTGATGGGCAAGAGTTGCGGCACTCAGGGCAGTTGCCCTAGTGGCGCGATCCGTGTTTCTCTCTGTGGATGCTTGAGGCGAGGACGCGGCTCTCGGCCGTGAGCTTGCCAAGGCCCCCAGTGCTGCGCTCATGGAGTCGTGCCTCGAGTGTTGGGGATGTTCAGTGGTTGGTGGCGGTGTCTTGCTCGCCCCGAACGCTAGACTGGCGGCCGTTGATACCCATTGATGGGAAGCAGGCGGGGACGGTGGTTTCCGATGTCGCTGAGCCCAACCAGCAACATCAGCAGCAAGGATGGCATCATGAGACCTAGGCGTGTTGAACTGGTGCCCTCGAGGAGAACCAGGTCCGGCAGCAGCGAAAGTACCAGAAGGAGTGCTCGCCCACCCCAGAGTGGCAGCAGCACTAGCCGCCGCATCACCCGGCTTCAAACCGGGGGATGGGTAGCTTGGGAGGTCTTCGGCGTTGGCGTATCTTAAGGGAGCAAAATGGCCTAGAAATGAATGGTATAAGCGGGACTCTGGGACAGTACGCAGGCATCAAGACATGCAAGTCGGGGAGGATGCGGCTTGCGCGGTTGTCACACATACCCTGCAGATTCATGGGACGTGATGCACCTCCAAGAGATGTTAATGAAGCGGACGCCATGCGTGGCTGAAGTACAGAGTCTGATGCAGCAGAGCTCCGACCAGCAGGCAATAGCACGATATGTTATAAGTAGCAGTATAGGTGGGCTTGCGCGCTTCCGAATCAAGCAAGCAAAGCGTTGTGTTGAGAATAGTGTTATTCGCTGTACAAGATAAATTACCTATTTTTCAGAAAGAGGAAGAACGAGGATGAGAATGGCGCGACAGGCTGCTGGGACAAACGGATGGCGCCGGAGCAAACGGTCACTGATCAATGCTGTGGTTAGCTGCTAGTAACCGAAGACCGGGACACGACAAGGCGAACCAAATGAGAGACCAGGCAATCCGAGGGGATCAGTCAGTGTGATCCGCGCAACAACGGCCAAGTTCTCTGGTTACGGCATTTGGGGTCAACGAGCTGGGGCGGTCCAGACCCAGCCTGCGAGCGATCTTTATTTGAGCCCGTGACCGGTGAACAATAAGCCACTCCGCCGCGTCCCGAGTCGTCTTTTACGGCGCTGCAAGGCATCGTCATTGCTGCCGATGGCTGATCGACGTCATCCCTGTGCTCTTCTGGGAAGGGCCCTGCAGGTCACCTGCAGGCAGCTGAGAGAGCCCCGCCACACGCCCTGCAAGGTTCCATAACAGGAAGGCAGGCGATGTGAGCTTGGCAATAGACCCCTACGTCCGTACTGTGGTAGCATTGAGATCATGACATTTGTACGGAATACTCCGTACTCTGACAATGAATAAATGGGCGTGGGATGGCAAGGGATTAAAACCATATACTGTAGGCTCAAGATAGATGGTTTCTCACATTTGGGACACGTCCTTCGCTTCTCGTAGGCTTCGAATGGAAGTGACCATCGACTTCAGTGTCTTCGGCTGAAGCCCTGCTGCGGGGATCGCATGGACCAAGCGACCCGTGACCCCTCTAGACGGCAAGCCATGTGCTGCACATGACAGACTTCGACGCAGTAAGCTTAGCAGCGGTTTACCACCTAGATGGAGCGCTCGTCCCGGATGGGCGGCAGAGCACCATAACGTTAAACTCGTCGGGGCTTCGCAATCGCCCATTCTCCAAGCTGCCCTGTAAATACAGCTTAAATATCACATTCCGACACTGGCACTCGGCAGGACTCGTATCAGCAAGCGCTGCGGTCCACTCGACACTCAATTCTAGGTCCTTTCGAGGCGATGCTCGTAAAAAGCACGATCATGTCACAAAGCAAACGCCGCATGTCCGGTATCAGAATTCATTGATGTGCGTGCACACATGCCTAATCCATTACGCCGAGGAAAGTACCCGCAACCACAGTCCCGTCCTTCTCAATAAACCCCAGCCTACACCTCGTGCAGCTGCTCCTTGAACGCGGCCGGCACCGGCTTGGGCTTGCCCTCGTCCGCCTTGAGCTCACCCAGCTTCTCCTTGGCGAAAGCAGCCGCGTACGGATTGAGCCGGAGCTGAACCTGCTTGTTCTTGAGCGGGTTCTTCTTCTGGACGGCACCGCGCTTGGTCCGGGCATCGCCCTTGGGAGCACGGAGGACGCTCTGAATCTCGGAGCTGTTGATGAGACGGCTAAGGTCGGCCTGTGCGACGACGTTGGACGGGAGGAAGAAGCCCTTCTTGCTCTCGTAGATGGCATCGAGCTGCTTGATGGCGGCCGAGGTCCAGATTACGAACCGGCCGAGGTGGCCACCAGGGGCGAGCTGGAGGAGGTTAAGGGCATCGACAGGGCACGTCTCCACGCCGGGAATGTTGCGAAAGCCCTTGACGAGGTCCTTGCCGTCAGCCTCGGTGCTGTAAACAACCAGAGGACCACGGCGCTGGCGGTGGCGGCGACCCCTGAGCTTGCCCTTGCCGGCGCGGAGCTTCTTGGACGCCTTGACCTTCTCGACGTCGGGCCCAGCACCAACTGCCTTCAAAAGTCCGAGGGCAGCGGCGGTCTTGGCGACGGCCTCACCAGCGACTGCCGCAGAGTCGACGACGAGAGGAACCTCGGGGACGGTCGCAACCTGGTGGCCGCGGGCCATCAAGAGGGGAGCCACAGCAGAGGCGGCGAGGGCAGAGGCGGTAGCGAAACGCCTGTCGTCCAAGTCAGAATCCAATCTCCTCGAAAGCCCAACGTCCTTGCACGTACTTCTGACCCTGGTTGACCTTGACGTGCCACTTGCGCCAGATTTTGGTAGGAGCGAACATGCGACCGGAGCGACACATGTTACCGAAAGCAGCCTGGCCGGCACGGTGAGTACCACCGCCCGAGACACGGGGAATACGGGCGACAGCGCGACCTGAGTTCGTCCAATATCAGCACTCGCCCAATCCAAAACCAACCTTTTTCCAATTCCGTAATATCCGCAGCCCGCGTCGACGCCCGTCCCTCCTCTTTATTCCACTGTTTACCCATCCAAGCAGAGGCAGCCAGTCGGGATTCCACTCACCAGTGCCCCACGACTCAGCAGAGGTCTGGTGGCCAGCCTTCTCGCTGACAGCATACGGCTGCCTCTTGTTCTTGGCCATGCCGGTGTGGACGTGCTTGACGATATCCGGGCGGATCGGGGCGCTGAAAACTTTGGGAAGGACTTCAGCACCGGCGGCCTTGCCATCGGCGCCGATAATGGTGACGGTCGGTCTCTGAGAGGTCATCTTGTCCAAGTGTCGGGACAAGGTTTCGGCTGCGGCAGCGGCTAAAAATCAGCGATTTGGAATTCCCAGAGTTATGTCGTGGACGAAGGTTCCGAAGCTACAAAGAATGGTAATTCCTCTGTGTTGGGCGTAACTCACTTTGGATTGTTGGGCTGGCCGGTAAGTTGGTCGAAGATCGCAAAGTCGAGGCTCAGCTCCGAAATTTTGCAATATTCCGTCTGCTGTGCTCGTGGGTTCCCGCCAAGCCTATAGACTAGGCCCTAACATTCCGTCAGCTGCCGGCACATCCTGGCAGCCGGCAAATCGTACAATTCAACACCCAGTTGGTTTGTTAGCGTAAACTTACTGTAGGAATAACATCTTATCTTTCTCACTCTTGAACCTTCTTATACTCTTCCTTTCTGCTCTCCTCTTTAGCTTTACCTTTCTCTTTCCTTCTCTCATGTTTTTTGTCTTTTTATGGCATTAGTTTTCTCTTTTCCTTGTTCTTGCATTCCTTGATTTGTTTTATTCCATTGTGTTCAGTGCGGCCATGTACCACGCTAACGGACAAACCAGGGCTGGTTTGTAACTCGTTTCAAACCCCAAAGTTTGCCATGAACGTAACAGAAATCTCGATCAACCTCTTCAGGTCTCGATATCGAACGGATTAACTCAATGCAAGTTTCTCCAGCATCACTGGGAAGTCACAAGTCATTGCTTGACTACATGTCATGTGTGAATCTGCAGCCGGGTATTGTGGTGGGCGGACGAGCTCACCCCAAGCCTGACGGGTTGCAAGCTTGAGATCTCACCCTCCCTGACAATGCTTCTGATCTCCTGGACGTTGAGTCGCAACAATGGAGTCGTATCATCTCCACGGCCATTCCCAACTCGAGGCTCATCCAAACCCGAGCTGCGTGCTACCATACCTCACTCAACATCCCTTTTGGTGTACCACCCCAACCTGGACCTGAACCCAGAACCAAAAGCTCACACATTGCCCGACAACTGCTGCGGATGCGAGCCCGGGCACGGCCCCGTGCACTGCAAGCCGGAGCTGGCCTGGTTCCGGACATTCGAGCACAGCATCTTGGCGGCGCCTCCGTTCTTGGGCCGGATGTCGATGCCCGAGAAGCGCAGGTTCTCGCACGGCGTCGACGCGCTGCAGTGGATCCCAACAGCCACGTTGTACCGACTCGTACCCGTGATGTTCTCCCAGCGGATGTCGCTGATCTTGAGGCGGGAGGAGTCGCAGTTTTGGTACGAGTCTAATTTTCACACAAAGGGGGTTATGTTAGTGATGGACTGAGAGGGATGTGGTGGTGGTAAGTAAGGGTGGGTAGTAGGTATGGAAGACGCACAGATGCACGAGGTGATGTAGATGGGCTGGTTGACGTCTTCAAACTTGATGTTGCGGAAGGTGACGTTGCGGACGTAGCCCGTGCCGGGGTATGTCTTGATCCAGGCCGCGTTGCTCGAGTGGATGGCCGTGATGTTGTCGAAGACGACGTTCTCGACGTAGTCGGGCTGCACGGCGTTGGAGCCGACGCTGCCGAGTGTCATGGCGCCCGATTCGTGGCAGACGATGTTGCTGACATGGACGTTGCTGCTGTTGCCTTTGATCGCGATGCAGTCCTGCGCGTGTCAGTATCACTACCACCTTGGGGGGTGCCTCAGGGAGCCTGACATCACCGCACTTGACGGTCCAGTTCGAGATGGTGATGTCCCTCGAGTTCCAGGTATTTGTCCATCCGTATTGACCGAGCTCTGCCCGTTCGTCGAAAAGGTATGCATGCCGAGGTTGGTCATGGTCACGTTCTGCGAGTGGGCGACGAAGGTGTGCCAGAACTGCGCCATGCGCCTATCTCATCAGGTCAACCCGCCGTTCTTCCCTCCACCACCTCTCCTCACCTCTCTCTATTACTCTCCCGCGGAGTAAAAGAAGGCAATACCCACCACCGAATCCCATCAATTAACACATTCGTCCCCCTCCATATTGTCAAGTTAATCGGCCGCCCATTCAAATTCCCCTGGCCCCTCGCAAGATCAATCCACGCCTGCCCGTTCCCATCGAACAGAGCCTTGCCGAACCCCTTCATCGTGATATCCCTCCCGCCGATCCGCCACGCCGTCTGGCGGCCCGCATAGGTGACACTAAAGCTCCGCTGCCGCCAGTAGCTCAAGTTATCCGCGCTCCAAAGGAACGTGCCATAGATCTCAATGGACACGTTGCGCAGGTCGGCCGTATCCATGACCTGTCGGATGTGGTAGGTCCCCTCGCGGAAGATGATGGTGCCATCCCTGCCGCACTGGGAGAAGGCCGAGAGGATCTGCGACGTGTCGTCCGGGCGGTCCTGGCGCGGCGAGAGCTTCTCAGGGCCTACGGGGGGGACGGCGTCGATGCTGCGGAGTGCGATGGCGGCTGGTGTCGCAGAGATCGGTGTCACGATGCATGTTGAACCCTCCTTGACGACGGCAGTGGAGGCTGGGAGGATGATGGTGCTCAGCACCAGCAGGCTGGATGACCACATATTGGTATGTCTTTTTGACAAGGAAAGCTTACAGTCGAGAAGACGCCTAGCTCACCATATGAGCCAGATCAGGGCGGATAGGTACTTTGAATACTGCAAAAGCAGTACACTTGTTTTCCATCCATGATCCTCTGATAGGTGGGCTTATTCCCTCCGTTTTGCGGTCGCAGACCACTCAAAGACAAGAGTTCAAGGGACGAGCTACGATATTGATATAGGGGTCCGTTGATTGTCTGTGGTCTCTACACACGCTATGTTTGGTCACCCTTGGTGAAAGGACCCTCGGCTGATTCCAACTCGACCTCCTGGGGTGACGTCCCATATCAGCCGGGGAAAACCTGTGCCCCGACCGCTCGGAGAATATCGATATTAATATTAAATCGGCACTTGAACCTTGTTGCCCGGACTCGTTGGCTCAGAACTGAATACCGGACCCAACGTGACAGTTGGATCAAAGTCGGGTAACTGGGAACCCTGGTTTGTTCGTTAGCGTGGCACATAGCGGGGCGCTAGAAATGGATACGATAAAAGAAAGGAACGTAAGAAAAAAGAGAGAACAAGATGGAATGTAAAGAAAGAAAGTAAGAGGAGGAGAAGGAGGAGGAGAAGGAGGAGGAGAAGGAGGAGGAGAAGGAGTAGGAGAAGGAGAAAGAAGAGGGTTAACGTGAAGGACGGTGAGGTGTAATACCTATCATGGAAGTTCGACACCAACAAACAAATTAGGGTTGAATTATATGCTTCCTTAAGTTCACAGAGCCTAGAAACACGAGTGTCCTGTTCTGGCATGTGGTATTATAACTTCGCTCAACAGCCGAGTCTAGTAAGTCGCTGAAGGAACATCCCATACGCACCCATAACGACCTCTACCACGCTCGCTTTAAAACACTACTCTACCTCCCGCAGCTCTTTCGCCAGAGCCCTGAGCTCATCCTGCACTTTGGGGTCCTCCTGGTCCTCCCTCTGCAGCTCGTTGTATCTCGCCTTTACTTGGGCCATCACCCTCATCCTGTGGAGCACGCAGGAGGCGAGGAACTTAAAGTCGTCATGTTGGCACGCCTCCAAAAACACCCGGCGCATACGGTCGCTGTACAACTGGCACGAAGCCACGGGCTTGGTCTGCTTGTACTTATAAAAGTTTCGAGGCAGCTCGCTGCCGTTCTCCTCATCCTCAATCATGGGCCAAACTACTGTGTTGAAGCACTCCTCGCACACGGTGAACTCGGGGACCCGTTCTAGAACGTGCCACTTGCGGTTCGGTATTGGGGTATTGCGCAGGCACTCCTCGTGAAGCGAAATGTCCCTAATGCGATCCACAAGCTCGATGAGGTCGGGGGCCGTCCGGCGACTGAGTGCTAGAGCCGATGTCGCCTTCATTTCATCAAAGTAGTCGTAGAAGCGTTTGCGGTCCGGCGCAAAATACAGTTCGCAGACACCTCTCGTCGGTTCGTGCGAGCCCAGCGGTACGAAGACCCCCGCCAGGTTAGGAAGGAGGACCTCGACCATCTTGGCACAACTGAAGCAGACGTTGAAGGTCTGTATTGGCCTCCTCGAGTTGGGTGCCATCATGCTGTACCAGATGCGAGAAGCGAGCTGGCCTCCGGCGCAGGGCTGCGACCGTGCTGCGACGGATGCTATCCCTTGCAACAGGCGCAGATCCGGATACCGATGCGTTAGGGTCAGAATGTAAGCGATGCGGTACCACGGCGAGGAGCCAAAGTCGCACGTCATGATTTGGTCCCTGGAGCGGAAGATAGCCGGGACAAACAGATGCTGAAACTCGGAATTAGCGAACAGCTCGCCGTAGCAGTCAGAGCACACGGTGAAGTTTTCAGCTCGCTTCAGTGTGAAGAACTGGTCTCTGCTCGATCTGAGTCGAACGGTTACGGGGTGCTTCCATCGGCACTCCGGAAGGCGGGCTAGCGCGTGGCGCGTCACGTCGTCAACTGCGTCACCAGGACGACCGGGCTGAGAGTAAAGCGTGGAGAATTGCGCATCAGAGGTTTCTTGCCGCGCAAGCGACGCTAGTGAGCCGGGTATGGAACGCTCCAGAGTACTTGTTCGAGGAAGCGAGCCTGGGGCGGAAGGCGGGAGCGAGGCAGAGCCGTTAGAAGCGGAGCCAACGCTTGCATCCCGAGAATGCGTTTTTGACTGCGTACTTGTGATCTCCCGAACCGGCCGTCTCGATGACAATGTGCTGGCTGCAGGAGGAGGGGACACGGAGCGCTCGCCAACTCTTCTACTCTTATCGGCGGGGAAGGTTGAGCTCCTCGGGCTCGGTTGCAGTGGGTCATCCGGGATAGAGGCTGGCTTAGCAGCTGCCGAAGGCGGAACTGCAGCTCCGAGTCTCGGATTCGGGCGCCGGGCCTGGTCAGGCGACAGCATCGACGGGTAGTCCGGCTCTACTACGGATCTTTCGGGGTACGGGCGCTCAGACCGGTTGGGGCGCCTTGACTTGTAACTGTCATCGCTCGAGTAGCCGTCTTGCTCTCGGGCTGTGGACCGAGGTGGGCGACTGCGGCTGGGCAACGAACCAGGCATCTCCCGTGCACCACGCGGGTGAGGCGGAGAAGGGCTATCGCGAGCCTTTCTGGGCGGCGAAGTGTTTCTTCCTTGCATGAAGGCAACGCCAGGGGCCATGAAAGCCATAATGTCGTCGGGATCGCCGTAGCCAGGTTGGATGAAAGACCTTGGCCTCTCCGCAGGCAGACTATCGCAATCTGCAGCATTTGTGGAGGACGAGGCGCGCCGGCGAAGAGCCGGGGCCGGCGGGTATTTCCGGGAATGCTGCGGCCGCCTTCTGCCAGACACTTCCACCTCGGCATCCCTCCTCGTTGAGGGGCTACGGCCGGACCTCCTGGTGTCCGAGTAGGCCCGGTCGCGTCTCTTGGACGTGTGCCCTCCGGCGGCGGGGGAAAGAAAGGCGCTGTCAGGCGGTCTGGCACTGGATTTGTCGCGAGCTGACGGGTAATCTTGGTCTTCTTGATGCACGACAGGTTTCTCCCGGTCACGTCGACTGCTTGACCGGCGGATCGAGGGTTCTGGATGTTCGAACTCTGTGTTGAGGCGCGGCAGATCCTGGTGACTCTTCCGCTTTTGAATATCGGGCCTCTCCTTGGGTCGGCCGGAGGTGTCTTCAGGTCGGCCAGCCCTTTCCGTCAAGTCATCCTCTGCTTTCTTATCCTCCTTGCCGCTTCCTCCACTCTCTGCGCCCTTCTCGGGGCTGACAAGCACAAACTTTCGACATGTGTTCGCCTCGTACCGAGCCTGGGTGGTCTTGGGGGCGTCCTGAACAGCTGCGCCCGGCACCACAACGAATCTACGCTCGGGGTTATGCTCGTGTACGGGAAGCAGAAGCGGCTGCTGGTCTATCTCGCCGCGATGTTTGGGATCCTCGTCTGTAGTGGTCGATTCAACAGAGCCAATGTGCTCCTTTGCCAAAGATTCGGCCTCATCTTCGACGCACGGGGGAGGCGGCCGTTTGCTGCGAGATGCCAGTTCTGCTGGTCTGGGAACACCGATGTTTGGTTTTCTGGGTTCGTACGCCCGATGTTGTGGATCGTGACTGCACCAGCCGCCCTGTCAGTTGAATTATTCGGGGAGTCTCTGTGCAACGGTGTGACTTACGAGTTGGGGCTCCGTGAGCGGGCGGTTCTCCATGAACCCGTCTTTAGGAGTGACTCGATGTCGTCTTTCTCAACCATTCTTCTTTAGAGCGGAATCATCTCGGTGTGGTCGAATGGGACGCGAGCACCGCAGCTACGGGGGACCGCGATGTTGGGCGGGGCAGAAAGCTTGATAGTGGTCGATGTTCTGGGCAGTAGTCGTTGAGCTGAAGCCTCGCAATCGACGGAATCCAGTAACGGAGAGATAAGGCAGGACACAGAGATTTGAATCCGGGGTTGCTGGAGAATTCCAAGCTGAGTTTTGTCCCGCCGGTGTTTGAATGAAAGAGAGGTAGCACGTTTCGAGTTGTCCGAGACTGGCACTGGCTGCTGGTAGCGGGGCCCAGGATGCAGAAAACGGTCGCCGAAGTGGCCCAGAGCCAGAGACCAATTGGTCGCAAGCACCGTTTGGCAGGCGTTCGGCTCTTGGGCAAAAGTACCCACGAGGTGCTACGATGTGGTTGTGCGAGATAGCATACAGCAAAAGAGAGATACTGTGTATGTAACGGGTGGTACGAAGTGTCTATTGGGTGTTCGTCTTGTGTTCGGATGACATCGCGGAAGCGGCGGGCATCTCCTGGTTACTCCCCTCCGTGAACCCCACCTCAACCAACACCCGAAGGAGACCGCCGACTTCCTGCGGTATATTGAGGTTTTGCCTCAGCCACGATGCACCCGAGATGGCAATATGAGACCGGAATCAGACATTATGCACGTCAACAACAACTTCATTTCTCTAGGGCTGCAGAAATGGCTTGCAGTTACTAACATGTCGAGGCGGAGTCAGGGACCTGTTGTACCCTTGCTGCTGCTTTGGTGGCCTGGGCTTTTCGGCATGGCCTACAACTAGGGATGTGGAAGGGCATTTTCAAGTGTAAGATTTCAACCAATCTTGAAAACCAATTTCTGTCAAGCCTCGCTTGAAAAAGCTTGGCGAAATGAAAATATGGGTCTCAGCCAGTACCCAGTCAAGTATATCCACGACCACTGAGCAGGTTACTGAGGAAGCCTGTAGTAGCCAACCCTAGCCCTGAGCTACTATTGCCTGCCGAAACAGATATAGTTGAAGTTTCTGATATTGGAAATTTCAACGCCCTGTTTGCATTTTCCACTGAGCGGAGGATTTTTCCGAAACTCCACAGCCCTACCCACGACGACCCAGCCCGGCCAATCCGCACACTGCATGCGAAAGATACGACAAGGCAGACGAGGCAGACGAGGCAGACTAAATTTCCGTACAGGAGTTGTTGCATTCTGCCTAGTGTCCCTGTTACAGTCTAGGTCGCTGGCATAAACTAGGTATCAAGGTAGGTACAGAGTAGTATGTGTGAACATCCATGTCCTCGTTGAAGGAAGCATACAACCCAAATTGCGCGTCTGGCAGCCTTGCTCAGCCTGACCAGACGTATCGACGTCATCGGCATCGACGTGGAGCCGTGGCGAGCTAACCCTTCCGATCTCACATCTGTCATTGATGAGGCTTTGCAATAGTCGAGTTTCACCTTGATTATCAGTGAGCCTGTAGCATATTCAAAGCAACCGGCCTTGCGAGACGGTGCGCCTCATTGACGGCCCAATCTGACACGCTTCTTGTTCGCTCTCAAGTAACACCAGAAGTTGCAACCCCTCTCTTTCGTCTTTCATAGGACGAAGCGTCGAGCTGTCGGGTGTTACCGCAGCCAACTGCAGAATGGCTTGTTTTCCATCCTAGCATAAGGTAACTTCCCAACACGCCCGCGCGAGGCTTTCTTTTTCTCCCTCTCAGGCCTATGCAGATATGTGGGCATTATCGTTGCTAACCGCTATGGCCATCATGCATGCCAGTTGTGACACCTGTCCCACACCCTGAGAGCAGTGGTGGTAATCGGGCGTTTTCAACTAGGTTGTCCAACAGGTTGACAAGTTGCACAAGGGAAGTCTGAAAGCCCCAGCCAAGTGCACACAGTATTGGGCAATCATCAGCTCGCCTGAGGTCCAAGGTCTTTGTCATCGTTAAGAGCGTACTTGGCGCTTGTATCCCCGCTTAATTGATCAAAATATGCTGGATTTGTATGGAGCCCGAGTCAGACCCACCCAAAAAATGGACAAGCCATCGACCACCAGCTGTCGTTCAAGCCTACTTGTCGCGTGCTTCAAGACTGCCGCTTGCAAATGGCAATGAAGATTATAGAGGCAGCGCCGGCTCGCCGGGTGCTGCGATGGCAGTCGACAATGACACGGCCAAGGGGCTGGGTTTGCCACTCCTGCCGGAGCAACGTCGCCGTCGCATCCCGCCGCTTTTTGTCAACACCACCGTCGGCGACCGACAAGCCCTACTATGTCACGACGCCCATCTTCTACGTCAATGCCGGTATGTAATGGAATGGTCTGCCACTTGATTGGCATCTAGTACGCCGGGGATGCTTGGCTTGCTGACAATGCCATATTTCAGCACCACACATTGGGCACATGTACACGACCGTGCTGGCCGACGTGTTCAAGCGATGGCAGACACTGCTAGGGAACCGGGCCTTTCTGTGCACCGGCACTGACGAGCATGGAATGAAAGTGCAGCAAGCAGCCTCCCTAGCCGAGATGGCCCCCAAGCAATTCTGCGACGAGAACGCCGAGAGGTTTAAAGAGCTGGCCCACCTGGCGCGCGTCGACTACGATCGCTTTATCCGCACTACCGACCCCGATCACGTCGAAGCTGTCGAGCATTTTTGGTTCTTGTTGCGGGACAAGGGTCTCATCTACGAGACCAAACATGAGGGCTGGTACAGCGTGAGCGATGAGTGCTTCTACCCAGAGTCCCAGCTCGTCAAGCATCAGGAGGCCTTCACGGGCGCTGTGTACATGGCGTCGGCCGAGACCAAGAGCAAGGTGGAATGGGTCGAGGAGAAGAATTACTGCTTTCGCATGACGGAGCTGAAAGACAGGCTCCTGAAATTCTACGAGAAGAACCCGGAATGGATAGAGCCGGCCTATCGCATGAACGAGGTTGTCCATTGGGTCAAGAACCATCTCGAAGACCTCTCCATCTCGCGGCCCGTCCAGCGGCTGAGCTGGGGCATCCGCGTCCCCGGTGACCCGTCTCAGACCATATATGTCTGGGTTGATGCCCTGATTAACTACCTCACCGCCGCCGGCTTCCCTGACTGGGCGCCTGGGGAGTCGCACAAAGGGGGCTGGCCGGTCGACCTCCATATCGTCGGCAAGGATATCCTTCGGTTCCACTGTGTCTACTGGCCCGCGCTTCTCATGGCGTTGGATCTTCCCCTGCCGAAGAAAGTGCTGGTTCACTCCCACTGGACCTTGAACAAAAGAAAGATGTCCAAGTCGCTTGGGAATGTGGTCAACCCAATTTATGCCATCAACCGATGGGGAGTCGACACAACTCGGTTCTATCTCTTATCAGAGGGCGGCATTGCCGATGACGCGGACTACAACAACAACACGCTCGTCATCAAGTACAAGAAGTTTCTGCAGTGGGGCTTAGGCAACCTGCTCGGTCGCCTCACGAGGCCCAAAGCTTGGAAGCTACGAGACATCATAGTGAACTCGTTCAATGAGAAGGCTGCATCACGCCCCCAGCTCTCCAATACATTGCACCGGGCCGTAGCTGACTTTGAGCACGCGCTGGCCGAGTTCGCGCCTACTGTTGCGGGGCGCATGGAAAAACACAACCCCGTCGGCGCCATCCGCAAAGTCCTGGAGACAGGCACCCAGGTATGTTGAGCTTAGCCGACTTCTCCTAGGGGACCCTCGTCGCTAACCTGTGCCAGTTGAACGAATTCCTATCGCAGACACAGCCCTGGGCTCTGGTGAAGTCGCCGGACCCCACACAAAAGGCTGCAGCTGAAAGGGTACTGTTCCTGGTAGCCGAAGGCTTACGCATCTCCGGCATTCTACTACAGCCGTTTTTACCGGACAAGGCTGCCCAATTGCTTGACATTCTGGGGGTTGCCCCGGACAAGCGGTCCTTTGCCCATACCGTCCTGCGGTGTGACCCGGATTATGGTGTCCCAATGTCGGATCCAGGAAGGAGTCGCCAGGATGGCCTCTTCCCTCCCTTGATTGAGGATTCCGTCATCGAGTTTGGCGGGAATATCAAGGCGAGGAAGAAAGCGACCAGCACGGACGCCATCGTTCAGACGGAGGAATGAAGTGCCGCATACTCCTGTCATCCTTGAAGCGCCGAGTTTGTGGGACTGGTGTACGACTAAACGGCTTGATGTACACCATGTTGGCTCGAGGCTTGAGATACCCTGTCGATATACTGTACTAAAATAGACATCTTTGTCAATTTGATAGATAAAGGGTACAGCGGCATTTAGACAGCGGCAGGAGATGGGCATAACGATGTCCCGGATGGAGCATAACCCCGATAACTCGCTCACTGAATTTGTGTGCAGCGGAGCCTCTGCTCACGCTTTCTCTTACCAACCCGCGCTCTCACCACGATCGAATTACCTTATACAGAATAGGACAGCAAAGTCCGTCGTCACACGGATGATGAGATTGAATGAGTTTGCGGGTATGTCTAACAGCCCTTGAGTATGCCTACTCCCAGAACTGACCAGCTCCGATACAGCTATTTCCACGACAAAAGCGCTCCTCGTGCCTTACGAGCGCCGCCATGTGTTGACATACCATGCCTGGATGGAAGATCCGGTATGCCATATACTTTGTCACATTTTCAAAGCCCACATACTTGTTGATCCTCCAACTCACATTCTGTCAGGCCATCCAAGAAGCGACCGCCTCGGAGCGCCTCTCACTCGAAGAAGAATACGAAAACCAGGGATCCTGGCGCGCCTCGCACGACAAGCTGACCTTTATCATTTGCCAACCTCTTCCACAAGGCGAACATGGCACATCCCTTTGTGCCGGCGAGTCTGATGCCCCTGAGAGGATGGTGGGCGACGTCAACCTCTTCTTGTACCCCTATGAGGATGAGGGCGAGGACCAGCTCCCGTCTGAGACCCTCGATTTCTGCGTCGGTGAAGTCGACATCATGATAGCCGACCAGCAACACCGCGGCAAGGGATTTGGTCGCGCAGCGGTGCAAGCGTTTCTTCAGTACATATATCGCCACCGGGACGAGATCATGCAAGAGTATGCTGAGGACAAGGACGTACGAACGCCGCCGAAGTTGAAGCTGCTCATGGCCAAGATCAACAAGGGAAATGCGAAAAGCATTGCTCTGTTTAAGAGCCTTGGCTTCGCCCAGGAGGGCGAAGTGAATTACTTTGGCGAAGTCAAACTGGTGCTCCCCAGTCGGGTACTTACCCTCCGTCATTCGGGGGGGTTCGCATTGGATCTTCCGGAGGGATACTCAGAGCTGGTCTATTCCAAAGATCAAAATCAAGACGAGAAGCGATAGACCAAGCTGAAAGTAACGCTAATCCAGCCAGCTCAGCCGCCAACGCCGTTTTACTCCCGCCCGTACGTCTCCTTGTACTTCTCAAGGATTTCCCAGCTGATATTCGACCCTCCACATACCACCAGCACAACATTCCTCCTTGCCCACTCCTCGTCGGTCAGGCCCTTCCCCAGATACCGCCTCAAATCCCCGTTGTATGCCGTTGCGACAGTCGCACCGCATGCAACCTCAATCAATATCCGCGCATCATCCAAGAACCTCACACAGGCCATCGCAGCCTCTTGGTCCGTCACCGTCGCACTGATCAATTTATCCGCCCCAGCCGTCTGGGCCCATTCCCACGTCTTTTGCGACACCCTCCGGGCCCCCAGGCTCGTCGCAATCGACGTGATCGCCGGCAGCGTAACCAGCTCCCCGGCCAGCACGCTCGCATACAGGCTCTCGGCCCCCACCGTCTCAACAGCCAACACCTTGGTCCCATCTCGGCCGCCAAGCCGCTTCGCATTCCTCGCTAAACCCTCCATGACCCCATTCAACAACCCCCCGCCCCCAACGTTGCACACAATCCCATCCAACCCGCCGACCCCCTCAAACCTGCCCCCCATCCCGACCCCCATATCCAGCGCAATCTCATCCACCATCGTCGACACGCCGGCCCAGACGTCCGGGTGGTCAAACGGCGGGACGTAGACTTTGGTCAGACCCTCCTCGGGCAGCAGCAGCGTCTCGCGGAGGAACGCGTCGGCCTCGGCCCAGCTGGCGCCCATCTGGACGACATCGGCGCCAAGCTCGCGCAGCTTGGCGATCATGAAGGCCGACGTGGAGGTCGGCACCACGATGGTGGCGGGCTGGCGCAGCGAGATGATGGCCGTGGTCGCGCAGGCCAGGCCGGCGTTGCCTCCCGAGGAGCAGTAGAAGTGGAATTTACTTCCCTCGGGCTGATCCGAGGTGGAAATGGCGCGGAGCATCATGTTGCCTACGCCGCTTTTTTTGGGAGTGGTCAGAAGACGACAGGAGAAAGGGGGAACCTTGGGTGTGGTGGTGAGTTGGGCAAGTAACATACCGTGACTTGAAGGAGCCTGAGGGCTGGGTGTTTTCGAGCTTGAGGTAGATGTTGCATCCTGCCGCGCGGGATATGGGCGGGGAGAAGATGAGGGGCGTCTCGACCCAGGGTTTGGGAGGTTCAGGAGAGAAGGAGCCCATGGTGTCGGTTGACCGTGATAATGTTGGATGGTGTTGGAGGATTCGATGCTGTCGGACAGTGTTGATGAGGACCGAGGTAGGTATTGGCGATTGCTCGACTAGAAGTGAGAATGGGTGTAAGGTCGCGGGAGTGGTCTAGAACGCCAATCAACCTCCGTTGCCACCCCCCTATTTCAATGCCAGAAGACGGCACGGGCGATCAGGAACAGATGAACCGTTAAACCTGCAATTGCCACTTCTCTGGTCGATGCCGCTTCCTGCCGTACGCTGCCGGCAGTCGGTCCAGGTACCTGATCTGCCTTCCAGAAACACGATTTCCTTACCCCAAAATGACAAACGCAAACTCAGACACTGGTCTGGTGATGTCGACTATTACTTAAGAAATAAAGCTTTTTTCACCCATGACCATCACGGACATCAGCTACCACATCAACCCTTTGGCCAGCGGACCAACTCACCTTATCATGCGCAACTACCGCAATGCCGCCCGATTCCGGAAGGTCGGTCTGCGCCGGCGCCCCTGGCATGCAAGATTGACACGTAGGGCGTCGTCGTATCGGGCATTTTGACTCGGTGGATCCATAGGCCGACGGTAAACGACGCCGGGTCGCTGACGGCCGAAAACCGGAGTTACTCAACGACCTGCCGCATTCGATCCACAACAACTCCTCCAGCATCCCGGAAACCCATCGGGCCCTAGCGGAAAGCGCCGAAGTTTCCTCATTGGATCGGATATTGTTACCGATGGGTTGGACGGCGCGTAATTACTCATTGTTGTGATGTCGTGTCGAGGTCCGTCCATTGTTGGAGCTCCATGACCTGGGTACGTAGAGGTGAGGGGACCCAGACTGAGATGGGCTGGCATGCAGTTCCCGGTCTTGATGCCGTTGGATGAAGACTGCCGTAGCATAGGTACTGTACCTTGCAACGGGATGTGTTCCGGCTCCTTTGGGTGGGGTGGGGGGCCAGCGTAGGTAATCTTTGCTCACATGGCTGCCGGAACTCTTGGAGCCAGTCAGCCAATATCACCGCAGCTTCTAACAGACCTGCAAGAAGCAGCTCGCTGTCACAGTTCTGGAAGCTAGAACCGAAAGTACTGTGGTAAGGATCAAGTATTTGAGGGATAATGTCATATCCCAGTGGCACAGTCTGGCCGATATCATCCAAGGAAAGAAGAAGCAATGCGTTTTGCTGGTTCGCTGCAGGATTTCTTACGATGCATGATGCATCGTGAAAGAGAGGTCGGTGCTGACCTAAGACCTGAGGGACCGTCTAATCTCCATGGCAGTTCAAGAAACTAGATGGGAATGGAAGAACCCGAAGATTTGTAAACACGCTAATGAGAAGAATGTTTGCGCCGTCTGCGGTCGAATGGAGTCAACAAAGACTTTGTAATTCTCCTCAATGGTTGACAGTCACAGCAACCTAAAGGCATCCCGGACAGATCAAAGCGGTCGAAAGCTTGGAACGCCGGCCTGAAACGCTCAAAGGTTCCAGTGTTCTTAGCATGTGCTTAAGGAGCTCAGCAAACTTGAATGAACCTGGGCTAAGAACTGAAAGGCCATGGACCCAGGCAAAACGCTGAATCTGAAGTCGTCTGAATATCTTCCAGATTACGTTACCAAAGGAGGTTTCAAAATGGGTTGACTGCTTCGACTTTAGGTAGGTTGCCCTGGAAAGTGCTTCACACAGCGACGGGGAGGCAGGAACGATCTTCCAGGTTTCTTTGCACCATCACATGGACCTTGCAATTCTCGTCGCCTGAAACTCGACCCATTCACCACAGGAAACTTCAAGAGCAAGTGGACCTTCAAGTGGCCCCCCCTTTCATCCGGATGCTTCTGTTTACAGACTACCATCTGGCAAGTAAACACTGCGATCGTCTGCTTCCAGCCAACTCAACCACAGCGCTTCCCCAACCACAATCCTTACAGTCAACACGTTTGAGGGCGGCAATGCTTCAGTTTTCAGTTCTACCATTCCAGGCCTACATCGCATGATTTGCATCTCAGGTCAATCAATCTGACAAACTCTCTCCGTGCCTTCCAACAACATTATCAAGCATCACGCCCTGGAGTTGCCAACACAATAACCAAGCTGCCTTGGTTGTTTCTTGCGCCCAATTTCCTCGGATTTCAAAATTGCCCTTCCAAAGTCCGTTTTCCACCATCCATTTCCTTGTTCTCCTTAGCCTCTCTCCGGGGCAAGGCTGCCTTGGAAGCACGCCCGCCTTGCTATCGCTTTCCACTTCACACACCTAACACAGAGAGACACACACACATTGCGACCATTGCAGTTCGGTCCCCATTGCAGCAGGGTCTAGGGTCAGCAGCAGTCTTTCCTCCTCTTCCCTACCCATGAACCTCAATCTGGGCTTACTGGCAGCCGCTAGCTGCGTCCAAGCCTAGTCATCGGCCAAAGTAAACATATTCCTGATGTCCGAGCATAGCTGACGCTTTCCGGTCCAGATACCAGTCGCCACCTAAAGGCAAGCAGAGCATTGTTGCAGACGATGACCGACATGTCCTAAGGCCGACATCCGCCGTGGAATTGCCCGACACGTTCCAGCTCCTTCCTCAACGGTTCTCACACTGGCAACCAGGCCCAAGATGGCCACTCCGGTCAACCCGTTCCGCACACCCATAGACCGTGGCAAGCGACGCACCTTGCAAGAGATTGCAGCAGCCGCCAAGGGTTCCAATGCCTTCAAGGCGTTCCATAGGCAGTCAAACCAACCTATTACGGGTCATGCAAAGGTCGCAAAATGGCTCTGCGACCAGGGGGATCCCGTACAGGTGAGGGAACCCAACACCCGTCCATCCAGCAGGCGCTCTGCCTTCATTATCTTGGATGATGACGATGAAGCCCCTGGCCAGCGTCCGCACAGCCTACTTCCGCACGCTGGCGCAGTTGCAAAGCTATCCCCTCAAGTGCCCCATACTCCTCTGTCGTCCCGGCACTTCACATCAAAGGGGCTCAAGCGCAACGTGTCCGACTTGGACGACAGTGAAGATGTCATCTACGTCCGGACAAGCCCGGCCCCAAGCACTCCGAGACGGCCGCCGACAACTGAAGCAGTCGTGGACTTGACCAACAGCAACCGCCCGACACGCCAGACGTCTCTTCTTGGCCACCAGGACGACGATGTCATTATCATTGACCCGCCGGCCGCGGAGATTCGTCCTCAACTGCGGCAACTCCTTGGACGGCCCCGAGGTGCTGCAGAAGTCCAGCCTAGGAAGCGACGGAAACGAGCGCATGCTGGGTTGGTACCTGCCCGTGGCATTCTTGAGGGACCAGTGCAACGCAACCTCGAAGCGGTGGTAGAGCGGGTGGCCATATCCCCAGAGCGGATGGCCACACCCGAGGCAGACATGATTGAAGCCTCAACCTCGCTGCGAAGCGTCGAGTCTGTGACTCACTTCTTCACCTTGGCGACCGAGATGCGGGACAAGATTTATCGACACCTGCTTGTCTCAGCCAAGCCAATCGTGGTCCGACGTCTCTGGCAAGAGCTGTGTCGTCCCACCTCTCGCCGTGGTCTTCGTGGCGACGACGTCAACTCTAGCCCCCTCGATCCGAGGATCCTGATTGTGTGCCGCCGCACTGCCGAGGAGGGTACTCGAATTCTATACTCGGAGAACACCTTTCTCTACATGCTGCGAGACCCCGATGTCGTCGAAAATACCGGCAATGGGGTTGTAAGACGGAGCGAGCGGGGCAAAAACCGGAAGGAGGAGGAGCGTTCGTCCAGGAACGTAATCAACCTGAAAAAATACGGCCATCTCATCCGTCACATGGCCATCGAGTTGGAGAGCAACCGCACAGAAATCTCATATGAGAAACTCATGAGTGCCGCTCTCGAAACTTTAGTCCCTGATGCTCCTGGTTCGCCTCGGCTTCCATCCCCACCTCGCCCACCCTGTGGTCCGATCCACCTGCACACCCTAACCATCACCATTTCACCGCTATTCATAACCCAGCGTGCCGCGCGAACCGCTGGGCTGGGCAACCAAGACGCGGTCATTCACGAAGGCCGCTTTCTAAGCATGGTCGGTTTCTTCAGCCGTGGCTCACCGGTCCTCAAAGCACTCCATCGCGTCAACGTCGACTTCCTGCGCATCAAGGTCATTGTCAACTCGAACATTAAGGACGGCCGCGCAGGAGACACAGCCAGTCCATGGGTCGACCTGACTGAGGATGAGGTCGACGGCGACGACGAAGACGACGACGCCGAGGATTCAGACGAATCGGATACCTCCTCTGAGTACCGACCCAAGAAATGGCACTTCGAGACGACAATCGATCTGCGCTGCCTTCCCCCCCATCTAGAGGAGCTCAGCCGGGGATCCCAGCTCTGGGCCAACGATGCCCTGATACAGGAAAAGCGTCGCCAGCAGGGCGCCGAGGCGGAAGAGAAGCTAGTTTCCCTGCGTCGGCACATGGAGCATGCTTGCCTGGATCCCGAGATGGCGCTGCGCGAGAAGTTTTGGGAGGAAACTAGTGCTGCTGAGAGGAGGCGCCGGGCGCAAAGGGCAAAGGAGGAGAGACGGTTCGATGCCGATGCGTATTATGTCGAAGATGAGGGTGGTGATGGTGACGATGGGAGGACTGCGAGGGGAATGAAGTCGTTGATTATCTCTATCGACCGGGTGGGCGATGAGTTGAGGGCCTATCGTCCCTAGGAGGGTTTTGTCCGCCGGGGATTCGAGGCAACACGACAAAAAGGAGATTCCCGAATTGAGTTTGGAATCGGGCGTTGGCATATGCGTTTCAAGCGTCAAGGCGCGGTTTGAGGATGTATTATTAGCAATTGCGGTGGCATTTGCGTTGGCGTTGAGCATCGGGTACGAGAGAGGGTCATTTCCACCGGCATCATGGACACATTCGGGATCTTGATGGGAGGTAATATCGGGGGTTTAGCAACGGAAGGCGATATCTTTCCCAGTCGAGATAGATGGTCGCTTGCCCTGCATTAACTCATTTCATCTCTTTTTAGGTACTCCCCAAGAATCAAGCATTGATTTTCACCTTTGACACGTCCAGCGTCTCGGTGTCCACCAGCACTATCTCCTTGGTCGAGGCGAAGGAGGGCACCAAGATGAGCCGCACCGTCTGCCCCTGGGGGCCCTCGATGAGCTTAGTCCCAAAGGTGGGCTGGCAACCCACAAAGTAGAGATGCGGACACTCCTTCATAACGAAGGGCTCGTCTTCCTGGAACGGGTATGACCCTGTTGAAGTCGTTAGTAGCCCTCAAACGTTTTTCATACCGGATGGAGGTGGTGGAAGGTGATGGGATCTAAGAGCTTACACAGCGTGTCGGGCGCCGTCGGCGCGCTGCATCGCCACCGGCACATGGCCTCCATCATGCCCAGCCGGTCCTCGCTGTCGACGTACTTGCATATGTCGTCCAGGTTCTGCCCGCCTGTGCCCAGCACCCGCCAACCTTCCACCTCGCCCTCCCACGGGTTCGTCACGGGGTCCAACCACCCGGGCTCGGCCGAGCCCGGCACGGGAGCGTAGGTCCGCGCTTTTGGGAACATGGCCAAGTGGATCGGCTGTTGCGGGTAGCTTGCGTTGGCTGGGTCGAAGGTGCCTGGGAGGAGGGTGATGGGGATGGTGGGGAGGAGGGTCGAGAGGAAGGTGTCGAGGAGTTGGGAGGGTAGGGGGTTGTACGAGGACGCGTCGTAGCCGTATTTTTTTTGGGGCTTCTTGCTGTCCGCCGTGGTGCTGGTAGTGGTGGTGAAGCCGGATTCGTGGTCGGAGGGCTTGGCGATAGAGTTGCCTGCTATGATCAAGCGGGAGATGTGGGAGAGCTCGGACTGTGCGGATGGGTCGAGAGCTTCGCCGAGGAGAAATTCCAGGAGGAGGTTGAGCTCCATCGCGTAAGAGGTGTCGGTGCCGGAGAACTCGAGTCCGGAGACGATGGCAATCTTCTTTGAGGGTTGTGAGTCTGTCATATCGACGTCTTCGTCTTTTACTTTTGACTTCTTGATGGCGCCGCTGGAGAAGGGTTTAGAGAGGGACCAGCGCTCGGGCTGAGGAGGAAGGTCGGCGAATTTAAGATCGATAACCTCAAATTCGCCATTGACGTTCTCCGTGCCCATGGCCGCGATGATGCAGCCCGTCACCAGAAAGTAGTCCCTGAGGACGTTGCCGACGAGGCGGATACGACCCGAATCGTCCTCCAACATGATTGACTCGCCACCATTCTCGCAGTAGTATCGGTCGGCTGTGACGGGTGCCGAGATCCAACGCTGGCGAGTGTTAGCCCAGGGCTGTGGTTTACTTCAGTAGCAAAACTTACATCCTTGGACACATCTTCCAAAACACTGGGCTTCAAGGGCATGTCCATGTAGACGGTCCCCGCAACCCAGCACAACTGGCCCTGGCGGACATCCAACACCCGATTCACCTTGGTCGCCGTCTCACCGCCAAGAACGGTGCCCTCCCATGCTGCGCTAGCAACCTCCTCGACTGCGGGCTTGATTTTGGCGAGACGCAAGAAGTATATGTCGGCGAACTGCTGTTGGTACTGGCGGTCTTTTGGCAGGGCGAAGCTGTCGAGGGGCTTGTAGTTTGATTCACTACGTTCCAGCAGATCAGCTGTTTTGTCGCTGCAAATGTATTAGCTACATGCTCATGACCACGTCATAATATGTCGTACAAAGGCTTCTGAAGCAGACTTGTGTCTGCAATCTCGTCAAGAGTTACCATTGTGTGCCGGCCGTTGCAGTCGAGGTTCAATGTGTTGCTGGAGAATTAGTTTACCTCGGTTGAGGTGAACTGTGAGACGCGCTTGACGCGCCTGCAATTCTCTGTCTTGGCATCCCGGCTTCAATTAAACGGGCTGCGTCAGGGTCAGGGGGTCTAATACAGTTACCGCCCGCTAACCGCGGTGCGATAAGATAAGACCGTGGGGCACTTTCAAGCTTTCCGCTGCAGGGACAGAAAAAAAGAAACTCGGATCAAATTGCACCCTTGTGACAGCTACTCTGGACGCCATTCACGCTCGCGCACGCCCGACTACTTCCTGTCCCTTACGCACCCAATTGCGCAGTTTTGTTGAGAACCTTGGTATTAGCCTGCGCAATGGACGAGCCAATGGCTGATGCTCCTGGGCCGCAGGTCAGGGTGACCTTCACAACGACCGAGGCTGATCTTCAGCTCCCCGAGAGCAAGCGACAGCTCCTCGTGCCTGCAGACATCCGCCGCTATGGCCTCTCTCGAGTCCTCAACTCCGAGTCTATGCTCGACACTGGGTCCATCCCATTCGACTTTCTCGTCAACGGCAGCTTCCTGCGGACAAGCCTCGAAGACTACCTCACAAGCAACGGCCTCTCGCTTGAGACGAACCTCACCCTCCAATACGTCCGCAGTTTAATACCGCCCGTATTTGAGGCCAGCTTCGAACATGACGACTGGGTCAGCGCCGTCGATGTCCTCTCCGAGACCTCCCCCTCCGGCCGGTGGTCGGGCGAAAGTTTCCAGCGCGGTCAGGACCGGATCTTGTCCGCTTCCTACGACGGCCTGTTGAGGATATGGAACGCTTCTGGCCAGGTTCTCACAACTTCTCCCTCGGGCAGCCACGGCGGGCACACCGCCAGCATTAAGGCCGCCAAATTCCTCACAAACTCCCAGCTCGCGTCCGCGGGCATGGACCGGACCGTGCGAGTGTGGAAGTACACCGAAACCGACCAGTTCTCCGGCGACCTCAAGCCGACGCTCGAACTCTACGGCCACGTCGGCTCGATCGACTCGCTCGAAGTCGACGGCACATCCAAACGCCTGCTGACAGCCTCGGCCGACGGCGCGATCGGGTTTTGGAGCACGTCCAAAACCTCGGCACCCGAAGCCGACGCCAGCCTCCTCTCCGGCGCACACGCCTCCAAACGGCGCAAACTCACCACCTCCCTGACCGCCGCACAACGCGGGCCGCTCTCGCTCATGCAGATCCACTCAGCCCCAGCCACCGCTGCCGTCTTCGACCCGCGCGACCGCACGGTAGCCTACTCGGCCTCGCAAGACCACACGGTCCGAACTATCGACCTGACCACCAGCAGCGTCGTCACCACGCTCTCCACCTCGCACCCCCTCCTCTTCCTCTGCGCCCTCCCGCGGTCCGGCTCCGCCCCGCTCCTCGCAGCCGGCACGGCCGCGCGGCACATCACGCTGGTTGACCCGCGCGCCAACGCCGCCATGACGTCGGTCATGACGTTGCGCGGACACACCAACAAGGTCGTCAGCCTATCGCCGTCGCCGGACAACGAGTACTCGCTCGTGTCAGGCTCGCACGACGGCACGTGCCGCATCTGGGACCTGCGCAGCGTGCGGCCCGCGACAAAAGACGAGGGCGGCATGGGCGGCGTCAGCGAGCCGGTGTATGTGATTGAGCGCGAGAGCAGGCAGCAGGGTGGGAGCAGCAAGAAGAAGAAGGCCGTTGCGGGCGAGGGGTGCAAGGTGTTTGGGGTCGTGTGGGATCAGGGGTTGGGGATCCTGAGCGGTGGTGAGGATAAGAGGGTGCAGATCAACTCGGGGAGGAACATTTTGGCGCAGTAAGAGAGAGGAAATGGAAGAAGAAAGTGTAGGTAAAGAGGGGCAGATATACCCGGATACTGAATGGATATAAATTGGGATTGAGTATTGCTGTGTAACCAGCATGGTTTCGATGTCAGGACTGAAGGTTCGCCAAGTCGGAGACTGTCCCCGAGTCCAAAAGCCCCTCAAGCATACCCAAGCCCGCCCTCGTGTATCTTCGATTCTACAGAACTCCATTCCACCTCGTATCCTTCCCCTCCGCTTCTCAACAGAGCCATGGCAAGATTTTCACAGACCTAAGCCGCCGTTCCCCCGTCTACTCCATACTTGCACCCTCAATACAGCCATCGGCCAATATTCGATTCCCATGCCAATCTCATATTGGACCTCTCCCCTAATATCCATCTACGACCCAATCATCCCCGTCAGCCCGAATACCAACAAACAGGCCAGTCGTGTGAACTGTGTGGCATTTCGGGGCTTTACACCCTGTGTATCAGACTCTGGTTGCGTTTCCGGGGATGCCTTTGACGCCTCGATGGGGTTTGGACGTCGACGGCATGCCGCAATGTGTGGGGGCCGCAGTAAGGACGGATCTGTCGACGTCGTCTTCCCTTGCGCTCCTCGGCTGCTCGGATGCGTACCTCTCCCAAAATGAAGGGCGGGCGAAGATGAGCCAGAAAAAGGAGGTTTCCACCCCGTTTTTGGAGGTTGTTTGCCCATAGCCAGATTCAAACTAGCGACCTTATTTCCCCCGTGACAAGGTAACCTTTGGAGAAAAAACCTTGTCATTGCTAGTGACACGCTCTACCAACTGAGCCATACGGGCTGGTTGCAGCGCCGTGGAGGTTTTGGTGGTGATGAGGTGGGGTTGCGGTGGAGGTTAGGGCTCGGCCGGCCGATTCTGGCGAGATTGGCTCGATCCTGGCTGGCTGGCTCCGTATGAACGCGAGGGTAACTGGATAAGCGCTGGGGCAAGTCCCTGAACGCTGAAGAACTTGCGGAGCGGTGTGACAAAGATGCCAATAAAGGAGGCGACGAGGGATCGAGATTTGGGTCACGGTGTTCAATCGGGCTGTGGCTGTGATTCGGCTGCCGGAAATGACTTAAAGTGAGTGGATGGTTTGATGCTGGCCTTGATTGAGCGTTTGTCGACAACCAGGGGAGGCGTCGCAGGGGTTGTCTGCTTGCTGAGGTCCGTTGCGGTCCTGGGGCTAGTGCTGCCTGCGAGCACGGCTTTGCCTTTAAGGTCTAGCTGGTCTTCGAGAGCCGGCCCGTCTTCGCAAACCAGTGTGTCTTTGAGGGCTGCTTCATCCTCCGGGGCGAGTTTGCCTTCGGGGCCAGGGTTCTCCTCGAGAACAGCATCAGGATCCGCATCTTGCTCCTCAGTGGTTTCTGGCGGCACGGGTTTGGTGACGGGAATCGGGAGGTTGAGTTCGGCGTGATGGGGGAGCGGCGGAACAGGGTCAAGAGCCTTTCGTTGGTGGTCAAGAACGGCGTATAGTTGCACGGCTGCATAGGCGTCGGATGACGAATCTGTAAATTTGTCAGTCAAGACACCGGTCGTATCCAGGGTGAGTTCGACTCACAGATGATTTGATCCATATTCAGAGACTTCGACCAGTCGCTCGCACGAACATCGTTGCCCTTGAACATGGGCAAACCGAGAATCTCCTTGACCTGGGTAGCCAGGGCAGCCAGCTTCTTATTGATGAGATTATACTCGCCACTCCTGGAGTACTTGACGAGCTTGTAAAGGTGACTTAGTTCGAACTGGCCACGCGTCTTGATACCCAAATAGTCGGACAGGCGTGTACAATCGCCCTTGATCCAAACGCCAACCTTTGTAACGTCGGGATCCTCCAGGATCTTCTTCAGAGAGGGCGCGACCAGAGTGTCCTTCTTGGGATAAGCGGCAATGTGAAAAAGACCGATACGGCTGGGCGAGGCCAGCTGGATGAGGGATACATTACTCCTGGGGCCAAAGGTTTTGACGGCGTTGGGCATCCACTCCAAGTCAAAGCCGAGTACTTTTTCCTTGGCAAAGTACTCCTTGATGACCCTCTCTGTGGTGCGCGAGCTCGTGCAGTAATGGACTTTGACCCTGGTTTCGGGTGCGCCGTCGTTGGCCGGGCCGCGATACAACGTGTAATTCCAGAAAGACTGAGGGGTACCCCCGGAAGCCTGTGCTGCCTCCCGGAAAGTTTTGTCGGGAATCCTGAAGTCGAGAGGCGTGAAGGGAGGTACAGCGGGAACGACATCCTTTGGTTTTGGTTTAGCGGCATCCTCGCCGGGGGCTTGACCCTCCTTGGCCGCGTTGTCGCCCACGACAACCACAGTCGTAGGCGTGGGAACAGTATTGGTGAGGGCGGTCCGAGGCGTAATCAGGGAGGCTGCCACACTGCCGGGAGCTATTTCAAGTCCGTGGCCAGCAGGGGCCTCTTCAGCTGCTTTTCCTGTCAACGATAGCACCGGCGGAAGTACGGCACTTTCCTCGGCGACAACCGCAGCTGGTGCGCTGTGATGCCTCAATGGCGGCAATCGCGGATACACCACATTGCTACCGCCTGCGAAGACGATGCCTCGGCTGACATGCCACACCTGGTTTGCCGATTTCCTAGCAGTCATTCTCGCGAAGCGTCGGTGACTTTGAGATGCAGTTAGTAAGGGCTATTGTAGAGCAATATAATGTTTCCGACGGGCGACTCACAGCAGATTTCGATATGTGCCAGAGGAAGCGAAACGGCGGCAAAAACAAAGCGAACACGGAGATCTAACAACCTTCACCCCACGAGTACACGAATACCTCATGGATCCGGATAATCGAACGGTCACACCACTGAATGAGCGGACTGCGCCATGGCTCGTAAATGTCATGACGCTGGGCAGGGTTAAGAGACCTGACGGACCAGGGAGGTTGCGACGGTAATGTAGGCAGACGCGCTAGCAATAACACGAATGGTCAGGTCCCCGGCTGGCCCACTGTCCAGCCCGACCGGTGACATGCGCACACAACTCTTGGCGATACAGCAACGTAAATTACCGTACTTTACGACCGCCCAGTAACTGAAAGCTCACTCGGCGCTCAAGACAGAGCCATGAATTCCAACCTAACAGAAGCAGCTGAACAGGTTGCCATCTCACCACACATGCACCATGGCTTCTCAGCTTCTTCCTCTCGGTGTGTCAACCCATTACATAACATTCTCTTCCTTGGTTTCTTCAATGCTAACAGGTCACTGCAGAACTCATCGACAAATGTGTCGGGTCGCGCATCTGGGTCATCATGAAGGGTGACAAAGGTACCTTACTCGTCCACACGACAGAGAACCCAAAGCAGTAATTAAAGTAATCCAACTTTTCATGTAGAGTTTGCGGGCACTCTTGTGGGCTTCGATGACTACGTCAGTACGTACTGTCTTTTCGGGGTCTCTCATGACCAGAGCCTCGCTAACATGGTAATAGACATGGTCTTGGAGGACGTGACCGAGTTGTAAGGCCTCCTTGGCTGGCCAGTCATACATAACCCTTGTCTTCTTTTCTATACATGATTGCTGACGATGTCTTTCTTTCAGTGACTACTCAGGGGACCACACCAAGTTGAAGAAGATCCTGCTAAACGGCAACAACATTTGCATGGTGAGTGGCATTTCCGCCCTGTTTTGGGCTTCCAACTCAAGGCTGACATTGACCATAGTTGATTCCGGGAGGAGAGGGTCCAACAGCCGTAGCTGCACCATGAGAAAGACGGGGATGCCGGTTGAAGGTTGCGAAGAGCACTCATGGGAAGTGTACAAGCATATGCGGTCTGGAATGATGGGGAGAAATGGAGGGAGGGAAGGACTGCAAAGGATTCCGTCCGCCGAAATCATGGAGACATCAGCTGCCAGCAGAACATGACAAAACCTGGAACCATGCAGTTTCACTGGATTTGCATGTCCCCAAGCTACACCACCATTTACGCAAAAGATATATAATTTTTCCCACCGAATCTCAATCGTGTCCCTGACAGGAGATTACCGTGTACCACGCTTTCGGAGCCAATACATGCACAATAGCTTGTTTAGCAATCAAATCCGCATAAACCGTCCCAAAACCCTAACGCCAATCCTGAACGCCATCACCTTATATGGAACTGCACGGGTTGGGCAAAACCGTGTGCCTGTCCGCCCATTAGAACCCATTCTGCCCCGATGGGCCAGCGCCGCCGCCGCCGCCAGCAGCAGCGTTCTCGCCCTGGTCCGCGTACTGCCGCAGGGCGAGCTCCTTCTGGAACTCGCGGCCGAGCTGCCCGTACATGGCCACCAGCTGCTTGCAGACGGTGACGAGCGCCTCGCGCGGCGTGACGGTGCCGTCCGTCTGGACGCGGATCAGGACTTCGGGCACATTGGGGTGGCCGACTATAGCGCTACAAGTTAGGTTTGTTAAAGGAGAGAGGGAAAAACAAAGACGAGAAAGTTAACCTACTCTTGTACCCCGCCATCAAAACGTGCGGCGCCATCTTGAGATAAGCGCTAAGGAGGTTGCCCAGCGTGTGGTCTTCTTTGAGGAGCAGAAAATCGGAGCAGTTGGACATGCCTGGTTAGACGGTTTAGTTCTCTACGGTAACGGCGATGCGGGTGGGTGGAATAATTGTCATAAACATACCGCTGACCACTTTCTCGGTAATTTTCTTCTCCCCTTCCTGAAGGACGAAGAGCTCGAACCTGCGATAGATCTCTGAATCAGCCTCTGTTCTTGCTTTAGAACAAAAATCGCTGCAACTGAAGAATCCAACCCGGTCTGCACGTTGTCGTCGTGTCTGGCATTGGTGGAGACCATCTTGACGGAGAATTAAGGCTGGGGCTCGGGTATAGTTGACTGAAGCCTTTGGGCTTGGGAGTGATGCCTCGTGGATGTAATCCACGAAGTCGAGATATTTGATCAGTTGCAGCACAGAGAGCTTGGACCGTCAAAGACCCGTCGCATTGCCTCACTCTGGCCGACAGATGCGCGCCATGACGTGTTGCAGTGCAAAGCCTGTGACCCTCACACGGCACGTCTCTTGACGTTTTTCTCGGGAAGGCGCAACTGCTGAGGCCTTCCTCCTCTTCCTCCTCCTCACCATTGCCTACCAACTATCCTCCTGGCCAGCGCTCAACGGGTATCGAAGTTGAGTTGATCATCGCTGAGCGGCCAATTCGCGTTTTCCCTTCACTCCATCGATGCCTGCGTCGGCCTTGTGCCTGATTCTCCGCCTTGCCCCTGATCAATGGCCTTTCCCCAGAGGCATCTATTCTCTCACTGGAACTTGCACAGAGTGTCGAAAGGGGGAAAGGGATGAAAGGGACAATAGAGGGAGTGTTCACCAACCTGTCTGGAGCGTTCATGGCGGCCACGAAGGGAGCAAGTTATCCAATGGTTTGACTGCAAGAGATGGTGAAAACAAATTTAGAGCGATGGGAAACGCTAATCAAGCTGTGATGGTTGTATGTGATGCAAAAGATGAGAGTTTGATGCCAAGGCACAGGCTCAAGGCACTTAACATAACTTGAAATGTGAACTCGCCGTGTTGCTGGTCCGTGCACGTCACTGACCCTGAACCAAGCAGCAACCGCAAGCATGTGAAGGACCCTGCTTAATCTTTGTTGATTCTGGCGTGACAGATACAAAAGTGTATGTAAAGGTCGTGATAGGGACTAGCTAAACCTTTCCCCCTCAAGAGTGTGTAGTTTGTCGATCTGTCTGTGTCCATGCTCTCTACATATGCCGCCTTGCGAATCTAATGTTCTACTCGCCCAATATAGGTAACCAACCTCAACCATCAATAGAGCAAATCCCCTACTTATTTCGCCAGGCAATGAAACGCCAGCAAGTGCTATGCTCAACGACAGCCATCTCACAAGACAACAAAGACAAAGAACAAGGCATATTGCATGGTATCCAAGTCTCCCCAGCCAAGCCTCCCTACACCATTGCCTGTCTACAGGCCCCTGATATTGCAATGGCTGGGCAACCCTCCGCCACCGGAATCCTTGGCCCAGCTCATCACCGTCAGGCTCGTCGTGTACGCCATGGCCACAAAGCCAAAGATGCACAAAAGAATGTCAGACCACCTGCGAAGGGCACTCTTGGCCACCGCTTTGTAGTGAAGCATAGGCTATGTCACCAGTTGATTAGCAGAGACTTCAGGCAACCGCCACCCACAAGTAGCAGGAAGAGGGCTAGTCCAAAACCTACCGGATAGATATACACCAGAGGGATACACGCAAAGTTGCCCACGAGCGCGACGAACTTGTCCAGGTTATCCGCGCCGCCCCAGGCAATCAGCGCGCACAGCGCCACGACAAAGAAGCGGAAAACATTCTTCTGCCACTTGATGTACGGGTTGTACTTGCCGCTCTTGGTGAACAGCGCGTTCTCCGTGATGCGGATGGCGGGGAAGATCTGCAGCGGGGTCGACAGCAGGATGGCGAGCGAGTAGAGGAACTGGACGCCGTTGACGAGCTTGTCGTCCTGCGGCAGGTTGAGCAGCACCACCGTCTCCGTCTTGGAGCCGTAGGCCGCGTACGAGAAGGCGCCCATGACGGTAAAGAGCGTCGTGATGATGACCATGACTGCGAACATGACCTTGGGAAACTTTTGCGGGTGGCGCATCGACTCCTGAATCGGTATGATCAAGCCGATGCCCTCAAACGTGAAAATGGCGGTGCCGATGAAGAGAGTCCAATCCTTCTGGTTGAACAGGATGATGTCGGCAAGCCCCTGCGTGTTGAGCGTGAGGACGTCGTAATAAAAGAGGTAAGCCAGGCCGATAACGATGAAGGCGTCGGCGATGAGAGCAGTGAAGCCTAGCTTTCCGATGTCGCGGAGGAGCGAAAAAGGCAGGAACACCAACATTTGCATGATGATTAGCCATGTGATGGGAATCAGCGTCTTGCAGTCGGTCACGGCAAGGATGAAGGCTTGCAGGTTCTCGGACGTGAAGACGATGTAGGCCGCGACGAACCCGAGCTGGCTGATGACGATGGAAGCTAGAATCAGGTTCCTCATCCACCTGCCGTAGAGGATACCGCCAATATCACCAAAGGACCCGTCGACCTTTAACCTAGTGGTGACCAGCAGGACGAAGCAGTAGTAACTCAGGGCCGCCACGAAGAGCAGAACCAGATTGCTAAACAGCATGCCGCCATTGAGGTAGGCGCGCGGGAGGAACAAGACACCGGTGCCGACGAAAGACTTGAGGAGGAGCAACGCCGCGCCCATTGGGCTGTTCTGGCCACTCCCTCCGCGCTCTTTCCTCCTCCTCTTGCGCCGCGATGGCGTCAGCAACGCGCTCTCTTCCATTGGCTCCTCCTCTGAGTCCTCGTCATACATGTCACCCTCGCTGCCCGAAGTGAAGTATTCGCCGGGCTTCAGCACCTCGTCGTCTTCCTCGAGCTCTTCGCCGGCAAAGTGACCGTATAGCGTCAAGAACTCGAGGAAGCTGTTGGTAAACAGCTGGGGTTGCGTCTGGCTACTGCCGGAGCCGTGCTCCAGCTCGTCTGGATCCCTGGCAGCCCGCCGGATATAGTTGCGCCGGAAGCCCCCGGGAACCTTGATGTTATTAATATCGAGCTCCTCGGTCTCCGGTTCCGGCCTCGGAACGCTGAAGCTCTTGCTGCGCTGCATCTTGCTCCGCTGGTCCGCCTCTTCTGTCCACTTGTAGATTGGTCGCGTAATATCGCCTCCTTGCAGCTTTAGACTGGAAAATTCGTCGTCGAAGCCGGGCTGCGTCGCGCCAACGGGTTGTTTGCCCTTGGAGCTTTCGCTGACCTTCCTAGATCCATCGTCCAGAGAACCCTCTCCCGGTCGAACCAAATGTCTTTTGATTATCTCGGGATCCTCGTACGCGGCAGCTCCCCATTGTCTCCTCGCATCAAACGAGCCATAGTTTGTTGGCGTCCTGGAGCCCAGGCCATTAACGGGGGCTACGGAGGGCGAGGCTGTTCGGGCATGTGGCGTGCCGAATCGCGGGGGCGACGTTCCAAGCGAGTTGGATAGGGCGGCAGCGAGGGCCGAGACACCGGGACCGGCAACATGCGAGCCGGGGCCGGGGAGAGGCGTCAAGTGGCCGGAACCTGGCCCTTCGCCGACTGGCGGTTGCTGACGACTTGCCGGGGACGAGCCCAAGGCTACGGGGGATGCAAGGCGGGCGGTGAACTCGGCGCGACTGAAAGAACGGCCGCGAAAGGAGCCGGGCGATGCGGACATAGGCTGTATGGGAGGGGGTGAGTCCTTGTTTGAGTTTGACATGATCACTGTCGTAGCCTAGGATCGCTATCGCATGCCTCTGTGGTTGACAATGGGGTATCGAGACCGTCCGACGCGGCAATGCTTTCGAAGTCAAAGAGCAAACGGCCCAGCTTTCGACAAGCGATTCAACAGGAAGAGCGAACGGCAGCGGTAATGGGGGGATTGGACCAGATTCCAATCCAATTCCTTAGGAGGAGTGACAAAGGATCGTAGAAAGGAGAAACCTCGTTGTCGAGGGGGCAGCTGACGATGGATGGCTTGTGACTCGTACCGGCCACTGATAAGGAACGATGTGGTTGGGCGACCTGCTGACAGACCACAATGCCCGTGTTGGCGCTGAGGCTTGGGGATCCACACATTTGGGACTCTGGAAATCTGGTGTAAGCTTACGCTGTTACGGCTTTGGTCATTACAATACGCGAAACTGCATATACAATACGAGTCTTTTCGTGATTACGATCTAAAGGAAAAGAGGGTAACGTTAGTCACAGTAAGAAAACATGAAGAAGGAAGACAAAAAACAAAGACACAGATGATAGCAAAGTTTCAGGATGAGAAAGTAAAAGAAGAATTCGAATGCTCAAATCGCGCGCTAGTACGAACAAACCAGAGCTGGACTGTATTGTGCCTGCCATGGCGATCTGGACGGAGTTACCCCGACTGAAGAATGCTCCAGAATGACGTCTTGTTTTAGGTATCAACCTCTCCAGGTCTTCAACGCCAAACTCGGGAGTCTGGAACAAGCCGCGCAACATTCCTCCCCTCTAAACACTGATTCCTTGGATATATCTAAGTGCACACTTCGAGCCTCGAAATTCTGATTATCCGGTTGCATATCTGCATCGCGGCCAACGTCAAGCCCGTAGCTACCGCTTTGGCTGTCGTAAGGAAGAGTCCCAGACCACACACCCCGCCGGTGTTTTCTCCCTCTCGGCGGAGCTGGCGATTAACGCCCCGCTACTCTCAAAGCGATGCGTGTTGCCGGTGAAGTGGTTGCCCGAGACATCTGAGTGCTGCCTTTGATCCTGAGATCCGAACGGGGTGAGAGGCGGTCACGGCGATATCCTTGTTATTGGGGGGTTTGATAGAGGAATTCATCATCTCTCAACCTGTTGGGCTAATACCTAAATATCCTTCAATGCCTTATTTATAGCTCCGACTGGACGTTCCGGTGACAACGTGGCTTGAAGGACGGAGAGCTGCCCAGTCAACGCCCACCATGGAGCTCGAGGCCTTGAGCAAGAGGAACAAATTGGGGACAGTGTCTGGTGTCTACATACCTGTTTGCCTCAATATCATCAGCATTCTCATGTTCTTAAGATTCGGCTTGATATTAGGCCAAGTAGGGTTACTTGGCATGTTAGGTATGTACAATACCCACCTGGTGTCTAAGGAGGACGTGACTGACTTCGCCAGGCCTCTTGCTCATTGCCTACATTGTCGATTTCGTCACAACCCTCTCGCTTTCAGCCATCGCTTCAAATGGAGAGGTCAAAGGGGGAGGCGCCTATTATTTGATCTCGAGATCCTTGGGCCCCGAGTTCGGCGGCTCTATCGGCCTCTTGTTTTATCTGGCCCAAGTGCTGAACACGGCTCTCAATGTCGTCGGCTTGATTGACTGCTTCAAGCTCAATCTCGGCCATGTCATGCCAGAGGGGTACTGGTGGGACTATCTCTTCGGCACCTTCGCCCTGGCGTTGTGCACTGGCTTGTCCCTTGCCGGGAGCGCAGTCTTTTCCAAGGCGAGCAACGCGCTCTTGGTTGTTTTGACCCTCTCGACCCTCAGCATACCGCTCTCTGCCGTGGCAAGGCCAGCCTTCAGTGATCCGAACAGGGGAATCGAGTTCACGGGAGCCAGCCTGGCAACCCTGAGATCCAACCTGCTCCCTCACACCGGCGCCGCCGAGTTCAGCGGCTTCGAAACCTTCCGAGAGCTGTTTGGCATTCTGTTCCCCGCCACCTCAGGCATCTTCGCGGGAGCATCCATGTCGGGGGATCTGCGCAATCCCAGCAAAGCCATACCAAAAGGCACTCTCTGGGCCATGCTCTCAACCTTCGTTGCCTACCTGCTCGTCATTCTTGCCCTTGCGTCGAGCACATCGCATGCTTCCTTTTTGCAGAACGCAAACATCATACAAGATACAAACGTCTGGCCTCCGATTGTCTTCGCCGGAGAGCTTGCCACTACCTCCTTCTCTGTTTTGATGGGCGTCGTGGCATCTGCCAAGCTCATGCAGGCTCTTGCGAGAGACAAGCTGTTCCCGGGCTTGTCGATATTTGGGAAGGGCACAAGAAGGGCAGATGAGCCGATTGTTGCCATTTTCCTTACGTACATCGCAGCACAGCTGGCAATGTTTGCGAATTTGAACCAGATCGCCACCCTCATATCCATGGGTTATCAGGTAAGAACGTCGCAGACCACCGACCCTGTACGCCAATGTCCTGACCTATGTGATAGATGACCTTTTTTGTCATGAACCTCGCCTGCTTCCTCCTCAAGATAGGGTCCGCCCCCAACTTCCGCCCGGGTTTTAAGTTTTTCAGCTGGCAGACGGCTTTCGCGGGCAGCGTCCTCTCCGCAGCGGCCATGTTCTTCATCGACGAGACATACGCCACCACGGCCGTCTGCCTGCTGGTATTTCTCTTCCTCCTCATCCACTATACTAGTCCACCGAAGCACTGGGGCGACGTCTCCCAAAACTTGATCTACCACCAAGTGAGGAAGTATCTTCTGCGCCTGAAGCCAGAACACATCAAGTTCTGGAGGCCGCAAATCATCCTGCTCATCAACAATCCCAGGAGACAGACTCGATTGATACAGTTCTGCAACTCTCTGAAGAAAGGCGCGCTGTACATACTGGGGCACGTTATTGTCACCGACGACTTTGCAGCTGGCGTCACAGAGGCAAAGCTGCAGCAAGCCGCCTGGACCAAGTACATTTCCGAGTACTCCAGGATCAAGGCCTTTGTACAGTTGACTATGTCTCCTACCATAACATGGGGTGTGAGGAATTTGGTCCTCTCCGCCGGCCTGGGAGGCATGAGACCGAATATCGCCGTCATGGGCTTCTACAATATGGATGAGCTGCGGCGTTCACGGCCGGCTCTGCAGGTACCGGAAGTGCCAGCTTCGCCTGCACCGGTCGAACAGGGCAAGGCGACAAGCGAATCGAAAGTCAGAAGAAGGCGAAGAGGTGACACTTCCTCCCGTATCCTGGAAGGGGTGCTGCCTACCGATGCGATCAAGACAGAGGAAATGATGTCGGTAACCAGCTATGTCACCATTCTCGAAGATCTAGCTTTGCGGTATCGGCTGAATGTCGCCATCGGCAAGGGGTTCGACGCCCTGGAATTGCCGCGGAAAGATGGCAGCAACACAAAGAAGCACATCGACCTGTGGCCTATCCAAATGTCGGCGGCAATCACAGCGGATGGAAAGAATGTGCTCACCACAAACTTCGATACATGTAAGCAACCACATTCAACAGTGTTGCGCTTGGGCTGACCATAAGCAGATACGCTGATTCTTCAGCTGGGATACATACTTCACACTGTCCCAGCATGGAAGATGGCTTACCGTCTACGGGTTATCGTCTTCGTCGAGTACGAGAGCGAGGTCGAGGAAGAACGAGGCCGGGTCAAGGCTCTGCTGGATAAGCTAAGGATCGATGCCCAAGTCCTGGTGTTCTGGCTGGCCTCGGGCAACCTCTCGACCTACGAGACCATCATCCATGGGCACTTCACCAATCCCGAAACCGAGCGTCTCGTCAACGAATGCCTGAAGGGTGAGGCGTGGTGGGAAGATCTACAAGCGTACCGCGTGAGCCGATCCATGACTGAATCACAAGAGTTCGCGTCGTTTGCTCACGTTATGGGTTCCACCTCCGGCAGGCCGGGTCTGTATAACCCGCACACCCGTGCCTCGAACCGCAGTGAGAGAAGGCGCCATAGTCTGGCGCAGCTCACCGAGCTACCAAGGAAACCCTCTATGTCGCAGTTGATCAAATGGGGCGTCAACATGGGAATCCATACGCAGAATCTACCCTTCAACGTCTTTGACCGTTCAGACACAGACCTTGACGGCGAGAGCGATTCGGACAGCGACTCGTCAGATGTTGACGGACACTTCAGTGAAGTTGTTAGCCATTCTGGCGCAGGCGATGAGGCAGCCAAGCGTCCACTTCTACCAACTGTCCGGAGGCGGAGAAGCTTCGCTGATCTCATTGGCCGCGTAGAGAGCCCCACGAAGAATAAGAAGTCAAAGAGGACGTCATCGCCAATGCAAGGCTCGTATGGAACCATGCCGAGCAAGCGCGCGGGTGGTGAGGCGGGCGTGGAACCCGCAAGGCAAAACAGGAACGGATCGGGGCCGCCTCAACCCTTTCGAGGAATTCTTAAGCCAGAACGGCCTCCTTTGTCCAGGCACGGTTCTTCGGCGCCCCGGTTCTCCAGCAACCTGGTTCCTCAGACAACAATCACGAACGAGGACGGCACTGGCCCGAGAATCATGTTTGCCGAAGCAGAGGTACGGACCGAACGGTCTTCGTTTTCCCGGCAGTCATCGTTTGTACGCGCCGCAGGTGGGGAGTTAGCGTCCGGCGAAGAGAGCGGAAGCGACAGGAGAGTTTCGTTTGCTGAGCACGCGGCCGGCGCCAAGTCCCCGGAGAGATCGAGAAGAGGCTCGTTATCCAAAGGGTCCGACAATGGCGGTGATGCCTCGCTCAACATTCCTGCACTGCTGGCTTCCTACGAGCTATCCGAAGACGAAAGCAACAGGAACGGATCGAGTTATTCGACACAGGGGCTGTCACTGTCCTTCAACGACCTCCCTGGCCGGGCTCAGCATTTGATCCTGAACGAGCTCATGCGTCAGAACAGCAGCGACACGACTGTGATGCTGACCACGTTGCCTATTCCACAAGAGAACACGTGCCAGAGCGAGGAGGCAAGCCTGGCGTATTTGTCTGACGTTGAAGTCCTTTGCAACGGCCTCCCTCCTGTGCTCCTAGTATTGAGTAACCACATGACGGTTACTGTGAGCCTCTAGCCTGGGGTTCCTAGGGTTGCGAATGGAATGGATTCGTGGAATCAGAGCCGCCACACTCGTGGGCTGCCGCATTGTTTGGGTATCAAACTCGAGCCGCGTGGAGACAAAGAAAGGTGCCTGTTCGCCACAATGAAACTCGGAATCGGATTGATTCTGGCAAAAAACGAGCATGAGAATCATCCTATGATGAGGATACCCCAATACAAAGAACGAACTTGTTCCTATCCCCTTTTATTCCTATAAAAAGCCCTCAGATACACCCACGCGGCTGCAACCGGTCCCAGTCTTGACGCGACTGCCCTACTTGCAAAGCCGCTTTCTAGTCATTTATCTTCGCAGAGTATTCACGTAGACGATGGCGATACAACCAACAAGTGCAAACACTTCAATCAAGAGCCTTTCGCAGAAGCTCCGGGATCTCGGCCGGTTCAAGCATAAGAACGAAGAGAAACTAGAGGAAGAATTCGAAATCGTCCACACTCCAGACCGGCCTTCCAGGCACATTTCGCCGATTGAGGCGCCTACTGAGGAAGAGTGTGGCGACGAGATTGCAAGGTGGCAGCGCGCCTCACTCAAAGCACGCAGAAGCATGTTTACAAGAGGCCAATATGGGCGGGCGGACATGGTACGTCAGCGTTCTCTGAGGCATCCTCAGGGGCGGATAGAGGATCAGAGAAATGTGAAAGAGTGGCACGCCTTGCAAAAGTTGGGTCTAACGCAGTCAAACCAGCAGGATGGCTCCGCTGTTAACACCGAGAGCGATGACGACGCGGATGAGCATGCCCGGCATCACCTTGCCTCGGATCTGGCACTCGGGAGGGAGGTGGGACGAGGTGGTTGTGGCCAGCAACCGGCACTGCACCACCACCGACCCCTAAAGCCTGTGACACCGAGACAGACAGGGCAAACCGAAGTCGCAAGACAAGAAGTTCCTCAACAAGCACAAGCCACAGCTATAGGGGCTCAACATGGCAGTGACAGAGCGAAGTGCGCAAAGTTCCCGGCTGCCCCCGCCCCTTTATTCTCCGGCACGCCGAGGTCTGCACCGACAAGCCATCCACGAAGCGTCAGTCCGGCGCTGGCAACTGTCGTAGGAGACAGCAGCCTGGCCAGAGCACGGTACACCGGAGGTAAGCATCTCTACACGGACGAGGAGGATGTGGAAAGCCCCGTTGACGTGGAGAAATTAGCGCGCATCGACATATACCGCCGCGGTTCCTGCCCCTTCTGCCGCAAGTTCTTTGGCAACAACCCGCTTCCCCTGTTCTGCCCATACCCTGACTGCAAGAGGGATTTGAGGAAATGTCTGGAGTATCCCAACCGCAGGGAGGTAGAAAAAGCGCCGCCCAGGCTGCGGCAGAGGACCTACTCTTATGCACAGCCGGGGGCTGATGTCAGGACGATGGACCAGGGGATGTCAACCCGCCAACCTGTCCCCAGTCTCACAGTCGAGGCGCCCACGCCCATAGAAGACCAACTATCAACGAGACTCGGCGCTCCTCCATCACCGCCGTCTGCGTCAGTATCAGCACGAAGGCAGAGATCTCCCTCTCCCTATAGAGAGCTCCGCACAATTTGTCCCACACCTTCAGGCTTCTACGACCTAGGCCAGCCCATCCAACCATCGACGCTAGAAAGGCAAAAATACATCGACAAACCTCTCCCCCCACCCCCTATACCACCAGCCCGGTCGGAAAGGAGGCCGCCGCCGCCGCCGCCGCCCCATTTATCGCTGCCCCATTTATCGCCGCCCACATCTCTTTACGAGTCCATCTCGGCACGCCATCAACAGCTGTACAGACCCTCTCAGCAACAGCAGCAGCAGTACATCACCTCCCAGATGAAAGCAACACCGCCCACCCCCAACACCTCATCCCAATCCCACTCCTCCACTCCGCCCGCCTCCCCGTCTCCGTGCTCAAGCAACGCCACAAGCAGCAGCAGCAGCACTCGCACCGATAATACCCCGTCCGGGGCTTCTTCTTCTCGTGCCGTGGGAGATCTGATTTCCACGTCTAAACATCACAATCGCGAGCAACAGCAACACGGCAAGTCCTCGTCAACTGCCACCGCGGCCATGTCCACCTGTGGCACTGCGCATCACTCTCATTCCACATCTTCAAGCAGTGACGACCGAAATGGGGGAAGCAGATTGACGACTCGCAGATCAACCAGGTCAAGGTCGTCGTACACGACGGTAGACGACAGAGAGTTTCTGGCGTGGAAGACGCCGCGAGAGGTGGCGCAGTTTGAGAGGGAGCGGAGGGACAAGGGGGATGATGCTGAGTTATTTATGGATATTATTGGTGAATATGGGGATGGGGATTATCGGGGGAGGGAACTTGGAAGGAAGGGGTTCATTTAGGGGACCTAGATGTCGAGACCATGCTGCCGAGAGACAATGATCGTTGTAACTTTATTCAGTTGCTTATTCATTGTCTACTGTGGGCGATTGGACTTAGTAGACCGCACTTCGTCTGTTCACTCTTCTCCTGTGGCTCTTTCATGGACATGAGAAGTACATCGTACGCCTGTCGTGAACGAGAGGGAGATATGCATAAACCAAGTGATAATCTTCGTAGCAACTGGTGAGCAGGGATACCAATTTAGTCCCGTACTCGCAACTAACCTGAACCTAATATCCTCCGTTTATTGCCAACCCCTTGGCTACACTCGCAAGGACCTAGCCACGCAGTATGAAGAGATACAACGCAGGAATGATGTAGCATACAATATACACAGCCAAGGTTCCATAGCAGAAGCCTAACAGGAAATCCGCCTGCCCGCGTAGCCGCCGCCGCCACTTCTCTTCCTTGCGCTTCAATTCCAAGTGAGACATCTTCAAATCAAAATGGTGTTGAATCTCCGTTCTGAGCTCTTCACTGAGATCCCGGTGGAGATCCCATTTGAGATCCCGTCTGAGATACTGTCTAAGCTGCTCGTCGCTGAAACGTGGTGCGGTTTTGAGAATACGGGCGTACCGGGGTGCTGTGGGAGACTGAAGGAGGAGGGCAGGCGGGCTGATGCTGTGTGTCAGTTCAATACACGAACGGCTGGATTAGAGCAGTGCCTTACGAGAGAAGATACCCACCTGGGCGAGTGAGCGTGGTGGCCGACGGCTGGCCGACAGCGCACAGGCACGAACGACGCGATGCGAGAGCATGGTGTAGTTTTGGTGATAGATGGTGTTGTAGATTGACCACGGAGTTGCCAGAGAAGAAGTGCGAAAAGAAGACTAGATTTGGAAAAACCAGATTGTAGAATGAAGGGAGATGTAGAAAGAAGGATCGTGAGAACACATGAGGCGGAAGGGGGTGCTTAAGGTGAGGTTAGGGAATCTTAAGGCACATGCGGTCAGATAGGTCAACAACCGCATATCTGTGCGTCTTACATCCGTAACTTTACGCCGAGGACAGCTCTATCTACCGCAGGTATTTGAAACCCCAAACTGTCTCTTATGTATTTCTCGTTTGATTGACCTTCGTTACCGTTAGATCTCCCTTGTCCATGCCTTCTAGTTCTAGTAGCCCGCCAGCCTCTAATTTCCTCCTCCACTTTGTGCTCTCATACCGGCCCAGTACCATGGTTAACCTCAGGATGGCCTGGCTGCTCGACGCATGCTCTGCAACATCCTGCCCCATCGATGTAAAGGTCCACCTCCCAAACGCCCAGTTCAGAATGTACCTCTTCCTCGTCTGTGATGAGGCCGGAACCGACATCTCCTCCGAGTTCTTTACTGTCCCCGAAGTGGTAAGGACGGCTTTGATGCGGTACACCTCGTCCTTCGGCGTGCTCTTCAAAAAAGCCATCAGCTTGCCCGCATCCACTACCGCATCCGTCGTTTTCCCCTTCAACTCCACCGACAACACCTCCACCTCAGACTGGTGATGTTCCTTCCCATGCTCATGCCCACACCCATCCCCGTGCTTGCACCCCCTCCCATCAAGATCTGTCTCCTCCACCAACCCCCTCGCCAACCCTCCATCCACCCCAAACACAACCCCAACATCCACCCACCCCTTGTCACTCTTCACCCACGCAACATCCACCTCCAGATCCCCAAGCCGATCCAGCACCTCGTCAAACCTCCTCTCTCCGCACCCCTCCCACTTATTGAACACCACCAAGTCGGTATACCTCGCCTGCAACCGCGCCGTATAGCTCGTATCCTCATACCCCTTCCAATTCTCCACATCGATCACACTAACCACCCCGTCCAGGACATATTCGCCGCCCGTCTCCCTCGCCAGCCGGTTCACCTCGAGCGCCAGCGTCGCGGGGAACGCGCTGCCGCTCGTCTCGATCACAACGCGGTCCGGCGTTACCTTGTCGCGTAGTTCAGACAGGGCCGGGCCCAGCTGGCCGACCAGGTTGCAGCAGATGCAACCGTTGAGGAGCTCGGTGACGCCCGCGATGGCCGACGATGAGGCGAGCTGCGAGTCGATTGCGAGGTCGCCGAATTCGTTCTTGAGGAGGGCCAGTTTGTACGACGGGTTGAGGGCGCGAAGTTGGGGGATGAGGTTGAGGATGAGGGTTGTTTTGCCGGCCCCAAGGAAGCCGGTAATGATCGTAATTGGGATGGGCTTGCGGGATGGGGGATCGGTTTGGGTCATTGTGATAGGTCGCTCGAACAAGTTATATTCCTTGTCTTTCTTTTTTTCCCTGGAAATGAGTGACGGTATGTGCTAGTCAATGATAGTTTTGAATAGGGATCGAGTTGCTCAACAGTACGGAACGGGCGGACTTGAAACGGTGTTGGTTTGGCGGCCTGCGGGCGAATTTTGAAGCCCCGCGGAGTGAAGAGGCGAGGGGCAGAGCTTGGCAGGGGTTCAGAATCAGGTAGCCTCCGTCTTTTGAAATTCTCCGAACGGACCCTATTAGGTTCACGCAACGAGACCCTTCCGCATAACATCCTCCGTGTGAAGGAATGCATATCAGACAAGCACGTAGCCTGCCATGAGCTTGCAGGAACTCATCTGGATCCGTTACAAACAGGCGTAAGACAACCAACCGCATTGAATGTTTTGCTGTGGGAAACGTGCCCTGGGCCATGGCTGGCAACGGTGTCAAATGTCAAGAGACAGACAGCCTGAATCCCTTCAGAATTGTAAAGGCATATCTGGTAGAGTAAGCGACCGGGAAGACAACCTGGAAGAGTCGATGAAAACGGGCAACAGACAGCCGAGTCTTCATCTGGAAGCACGCCTGCTGGAAACGTGTGCCGCGCCTAGTGACGTCACGACACCACGCTTCCTTAACTTACTGACAGTATCCGTAACAGCAGAAAGACGGCGCGTCCCTCCATCCTCAGACAGCCATCGTCCTTCGTCCACAGACTTTGCAACAGAAACTAGATTCTCGAAACAATGGCTCAGCAAGTTGTAACAACCAACAAAAAGAGCCAGTCTAATGGCCCCGATTACAAGGCCATGCTCGATGAGGCCGCTTCTCGGAAGGAGAGCCCTCCGCATGAGGAGGAACAGAGCCCCAGTATTATTGACAAGGGTACGTTCTTTTGGAAACTGCTCAGACATTGCAACAGTCCGCTGATGAAAGTAACAGTCTCACAGTACGTCCCCGCCGTAGGAAAAGTGCTCGGGAAGCAGGAGAAGAAATTAGAGGGTGGCCCGTCGTCGGCAGACACAAATAAACCGGGGCCGCCAGATCGACCTATCCATGACACGCAGATCGAAGAGTTCATCAAGGGCCAACATCAGAGCAAGAAGGTCGTCGGTATAGAGGAACCAACGCAGGAATAGACCATTGCCCATGTCATCCCCAAAATCAAGTGAACCGTCCACACCGCGCAGGCGGCACGGCAGCCCCAGCTGACGTCTAGTTTTCCATGTCCTTGCATCGGGACCTATTACGAGCTGGGAATCCCACCGATGTGTTGTACGACCGTGACGCCGTGAAGGAAACGTCAGTCCGGAGGCAATCAAGTACCCCGTTTTAGATCCGAGCCGCCGGTGGTCAACCCGAACGCGCTTGATCGCGTCAAAATCCAGGTGATCGTGAAGGCTTGTCTCCAATCATTCAGCATTTCACACCCACATGAATACTAGGTGAGAAACTTCCTATCAAGGAGGTCCATCTCCGAAGGAGATCTCATTGAGATCTGGCAACCTGACACCGTGGGATACTAGTGACGGTCGTGGCATCTTCGTGAATACTTTTTGATCTGGAGAAGAAGAAGAGGAAAATCCTAAAAAATCTCGGCCTGCTGTGAAGTTATAGCGATTGATGTGGGGCTACGATTGCTGCAACTGCCTCGATATATGCATGAAGCTTTCCACTTCATGCATATGGGCAGCACTGATAAGCAGCCTTATGTAATCAGGATCCCCGTCTTCAACCGGCGCCGCATCAGCACCAGCAACAAACAATCCATCTATAACAGCACACACCCGCCATGCCCTCAGACGAGTACAGCTCCGTAGCTCGCGGCCCCTTGAAACTCAAAGGCGCCGCGGGCGTGACCAAAAAGAGGAAAAAAAAGGACAAGACTACCGACCTTGAAAAGAACCTCTCCACCAGCGGGGACAAGCCGATCGATTCAACAAAGGACATACCGGACCGCTCCCCAGGAGAAGACAGCGCCGACAAGCCGACGACGTCCGACCGCAACGACTTCGAACACCGGGAGAAGACAGCCGCCCAAAAAGAAGAAGAGGCAGAGGCGTTGAAGACGGAAACAGAACGGCGGTTTGCCGAGGCCAAGCGGAAGAGGGTATGGGCTCTTTCACAGCAATTTTCCTGTTTAACGACATATGGAGCAGGAGCACTGACAGTACTTCCAAACGAAACAGTTAAAAGAACTCGCCGAATCGGGCCGTATCCGGCCGGAGCTTCTCAAAACGCACAAGCAGCGCGTTGAGGAGCTGAACGCACACCTTGCGCGGCTGAGCGAGCACCATGACATGCCCAAGATCGGCCCGGGCTAAACAATATACGACCTCATATCCCGGTGGAAGAGGTTGTTGTGGTGGGGATGGGGATAGCATGGGGAGAGGCAAGCGAGCGAGCCCGCATTCAGGTCGGCGAGACGGTGAACGTCCGGTCATGGTGTTCCAAAACGGACAGACAGAGGGGATTTTCCTATGGCGCAATAAGAGCTTTGCCTTTTGTATATCTTACTCGATACCCGGATCTGTCTCTCAATATCTTATCTCAGATTCTTTGAAGTTCGGTTCTCACTTCTATACCATAACACGCCGATTACCCAGCCTAGCGCGGCCTACCCGTCTATGTACTTGTGTCCTTGCGTATATATATGCCCAGCATGCCGTTTGCTGCCCATAGTCTATCCAATCTCCCATCGTCCTCTTCTCCTCCTGGAATAAATGAATGTGGTGTGACTCGTGATCGTCGTCCCAACCCGGATCCAAATTACAACATACAAGTGCCAACACGCTGTGTGCGTATGATATATAAAGGAGAGACAGTAACACATCCTCGAATAACTCCTAATGAATGCGAGAAGATGTGGGGGCGAAAAGACCAAGACCGACCCGAACCGAGCGCTATGCAGTGGACAAACTCGCTGCAAATAAAACAATGAATGAATGATTGAATCAGCCTGATTCCCGCTCGCTCAGAAAGACGATGTAAATCTGGCTTTCTCCAAATTCGGCTCTCTCCTCCCCAAGACGGTGAACCTTACACCACGATCAACAACATGACAAGCGCCACCGCGCCCGCCAGAATCGAGCCGCTGCTGTGACGGTCCACGGCAGCGTTCTGGAGACTGCCGGGCGCCCTCGTCGAGGTCGCTGATGACCCAGTCTGGTGGGCGGCGTCGCCGGGGACGTAGGTTGTCGCGACGACGGTAACGACGACACCATTGGGGGACGTGCTCGTGAAGGTGCTGACGATCTGCTTGGAGGTCTGAGGCGGCGCCGTGGTGGTGGCGGCGGGAGGCTTGGTCGACGTTGTGAGAGTGGTGTCTGCTGACCCGTTAGTCATGGACCAGCACGGTCGGGTGGGGTGGAGTGGATGGGATGCCGAGAAAGGGGATGAGAACAGAAAAGAAACAAGAAATAAGCAACAGCAACGCGAGGTCCACATACCTCCGGCAGTCGTGGAGGATGGCGGCGTTTGGCGGCTAGTGGACAGAGCTGTCCCCGACCCAGGAAAAGAAGTTGGGGGGAGGGTGGATTCACTTGGACTTGAAGACGTACCAGGGGGTGATGTGGATGGAGAGGAAGTGGATTCACTTGGGCTCGAAGACGTACCAGGGGGCGAGGAGGAAGGAGTAGATGTGGGAGTAGTGCTTGGGCTGCCGCCGGTGCTGGCGGGCGGCACATTGCTGCTGCTCGGCGGCGCAACGCTCGACGTGCTCGCGGTGGGGCCAACCGTCGTCGAGGTCGTGCTGTCCACAGGTGGCACGGATGTCGTAGTCTCTGTCTGCGTCTCCGTCTCTGTCTCCGTCGATGTCGATGTGGACGTCTCTATCTCTGTCACCGTCGGGGTTGGGTTGTCGCCAGAGGTGGTCGAGTTAGGCTCTTGGCGCTTCGCGAGCTGCAAGATGGAAGTCGCGAGAGCCGCGTTCGCCCGGTGGACTTCCTCCATTGCCTTGTGTTCGGATTCAAACACTCCGTCCCTGAACCGACCGGGGAAATACCGATGCAGGAGCTCATGGAGAGACGCCGGCGACGCCGACTTCAGCATATCCGAGAACGATTCTGACGTCGTGGCGTCTGTCTGGCGACCCGTGGCGCCGTCATGGCAATGCACTCGCGGTGAGCCGGCGGAGGCAAGGCCTAAGAGGACCAGCATACACAATAACAAGACCACGATCGTTCGCCGGAGATATGGCATCGTGTTAGCTAGCTTTGGTCGCTGCCAGTTGTCGTTCGTTGACTCTATCCCCGAAGCAGTCTTCTCCCGGGCGTCGAGAGGAAGAAGACGTTCGGAAGCGGGCGAGTTACCGCCTTTGGGGAGGTCCATGGCGAAAGTCGGGCCTCTATCCTATCAGGAGAATAATGCGATGATCCGGATCCTCGGGGAAGCTTGGCTATTTGATGAATATGCAGGCGGAAGATGGCTGCACACTCTGGCTCGGTGCGTGGCTAGACTGCTTGGAGTCAGCGGCGGTCTGGAGGAGCAACTGTTGGGCTGTTTCGGTCGGGAAACAAGATCAAGGTATGTGACAAATCATAGACCTTGAGTTATATGACGAATCAAGCGGTACGACCGTCCAGGTTTTGGAGTAACGTGTTTCGGGAGCTGCAAAGCACAGGAAGTGGGCAAAAACCTGCACGAAAACCTGTTGAGAATAAGAGAGTCGTACCGTTGCCGTGCCCGTCGTCCACCACTGAGTATCCGCCTCGATCACCCGTACAAACATCCACAGTAAGATCTGGCGCGCGATCGTTCGTCTCGGCGTTGGAATGGTTGACCGTGCAAAGTTTCACACTCGCCCATCAAGACTCCGCGAGATTATCAAGCTTCATGAGGAGACTGGACCCAAAGGATCAAATCCTGGTTGCCCACCTGCAGATCGTCTCAGCTAGGATGACGCTGCAGAGACATGGATTCTCAGTCGCTGTCAACGCCAAGACAAGGCATGGCAAAGCTAGCGATAACACATATTTCTGTGGTTCAGCACCGCCTCAAACACCGGTTCTCGACTCGAGAAGTTCGGATATCTAAGGCTTCCTATCTTCCATTTGCCTCCGGTTCAGCCTGTCGGTTCATTCGAATGAAACGCTTTTTGCGGGTCAATGTCGCCTTCCAACTTCGTGTTCCTCTGCAGTCGATGACCAAGACCGATGATCCCAACCACTAGAGTCTGCACAGCCGCCAGCCATTGGCTTTTTGGACGTTTCGCGATTGGCAGCCTGTGGGTGGTCGCCGATGGACCCCACACTGAATCGACAAACTGGCTGGGTGTCAGCGACATCTTGGCATCTGCAGCCCTGGCGCCATTGCTTCTGAATCGCGGAGAGGACCGAGTTGAGAAGCCGCAGCAGTCCATCAGACGAGAATCCGCGATATGTCTTCAACATAGGGCCTACGATTGCGATCCGATCCGTTGTTCTCTATCGGCCGAAGTGGTGCACCTCAACCCAGTCCGTTAAGATTCCTCTTATTGCAATTGCAAAGTGTGGATGCCACTCGTATTGCCGACGTCATCGGTACTGGAACTTCGCTCTTGGAGCTTTGTGCCGAGTACGGATGTCCACGTCAAAAGTTCTGTCCAGGCGCTAATGACGCCACCCTCGTTATTTGATTTCGTCCTTTTCCCGCCCCTCCTTATATTCATTTCCACCTTCTAATTGAATAATTTGCTCAATATGCCATGGTATCCTTTCAATCCACGCCTGGATTTGCTCCTGCGATAAGCTCTTCCAACACTGCTTACACACTCTGATTGCCTCCTGACGGCTTTTCGGTGCTCCCTTCTTTGTTGTGTGCCTCGTCATCCATGGCCAACAAGGCTCGATTGGATTAAGATCGGGTGAGTTCCCTGGCCAGAGCAGTCGTCTAATCTGATGAAGATCATAGACTCTGCCTTGGATATAGTGAGCATGCGATGGTGCCTTGTCTTCTTGGACTATCGTACCAGGGCGATCCTTCTCACATTCTCTCGCGAATGGAAAGAGTTTAGGAAGAAGGATCTTCGTCTGGTAACGATACCAATCAATCCCTCCTTTACCTCCACGCGCAAGTTTTCCATTCTTCTTGTTCCATCTCCACTGAGGTTTCCGACCAGAACGGGTCTCCAAAGATAACCTCCCCAATTTTGTCTCAAGCTCCCACTCGTCCCGTAGAATAGGTTCCAGCTCTTCATTCATCTTCTCGATGTCTCTCTCTGCTTGTTCCTTTTCTTGCTTTGTTTCAGGAAGCCAACAGTGACAGGGACCTTTCTTATCATAGGAGAAACAACCCCAAAACATGAACTCAGAATATCCTTTCCAACGCTCGCGAATAGCACTGCGGGTAAATCTCTCTTCCTTTGTTCTCCAGATCCGATAACCGCCACGGCGATGAAGGAGAACAACAGAAGTTTCATCGGACCATATAACCCGTTTCCAATCCTCAAGGGTCCAGTGTCGATGGGCTAAACACCATTGCAGACGTTCATCTCTCATCTTCTTCGTTAACCCAGGCTTCCTCGTTGGTTTGGTCTTCTTGAAGCCTGCCGCTTTGAGGATCCGTAGGACGGTTGTAGATGAGACTTCGATGCCCTGCAGGCTAAGCGCGCCAGCAAGATCAGCGGCAGTCCTCTCGCGGCCATACCGGTCATGGCGCACCTGGCTGATGATCTTTTCGGTGATCTCAGGGGTTTGCTTAAATGGGCGGCCAGAGCGAGGAGCATCCTCCAGCCATTCATCCTTCAAAAGAAAGGGCCGGTGATTCGGCTCAAATCCACGTTCGATAGCTCGAGCGTAGATACGGTTGATTTGTCGGACAGAAATGCCAGTTTCTTCTGATATCTGAGCAGACGTCTTCCCACCAACTGGAGATCTCAACGTAACAACAAGCGCACGTGTTGCGATATCAGTATTGGGAGCCATTTGGTGATGTTCAAGGGTTGAATGTGCAGGCGGGGGAGCGAGCGGGTCCGGCGTGACCTGCTGAGGGTAGCAGAATAGTATTCAATTAACGAGGGCGGCGTCGTTAGCGCCTGGACAAAACTTTTGACGTGGACGTCCGTACTTGCCAGGAGTATCTTCTGGTGGATCGGTCCATTCTCGACGGAGGTGCGGAGTATGATAAGACACGAGGTTTTCCAAACGACGATGGTCTGAGACGAGGCCATGTCATGACACTATGGTTGGCGCACAACAGCCCGTTCCATGCATCGATCGACAAATTCTCTCAAGCACTTGCTGCGGTCCTGCTGCGTGGTCGAGCGTTTGCTTGTTCGCAGGATCGTTCGTTCCAGAATCCGGAGCCGAATCCATTGGCGGACACTCCGCAAGGAGTTGGGCAACTAGCTCCGTTTGCTAACTTGCTGATGTTATGAATACTATATTGTCGTGTAAGGGTGGAGCGTGGGTGTTGATGAAACAGGGGCGGAGGGACCTCAGGGTTGGGGTTCTTTATGGGATACTGCCTATCCATGAGGTCGACACTGCCTCTCGGGAAGTTAAGACTTCCGTTGACTGAGGAGGCAAACCATGCAATGCTAATGAAAAGTGTTGAGAACAAATGTAAATGACCCGATGAACACTGGAGTGTTGCCGGGCGGTGTTCTCCAAGGTGTGAGGTTTCGCTGCTGTCACGAAAGGAGCGCCAGGGCGAGAGACGCCTTGGCTTTTGCAAACAATAAGCCTCCCTTAGAAGTAGGCTTATATGTAGGCAGCTGTTTCATGCAAATGTTTTCCTCTTTCCTTTGTGCTTCTCCTGGAACGCCTGATTTTGTGTCATCATCGAAACCGCTCAAGGCAGACACTTACCAATCGCGTTTCGTCCCCAGAATACCAATGGAAGCCAAGCCACATCTCGCAGAGCTCTATCGGCGCGCCGTCGCCGACCCCCACTCCATCTCGCGCGCCGAACGTAACGCCATTTGGGGCCACCCACCCCCCGAGGAGGAAGACCGGCTGTGCGTCGCCAAGACGGGCCTCACCCGCGCCGGGCTGGTGGCCAAGGCGGCCGCCCAGCCGGACGAGCTCACGCTGTGCGAAGCCAAGATTATCTGTCATCATCGCGGCGTGAACTTTGATGACAAAGCCGAAGAGGCCGCGCCGATCACTGGCATTGTTGACCGCCTTGATCGGCTCGAGGTGGCGCTGTTGGAGTACATCAGGGTTTGCAAGAAGAAGCCCACGCCGCTGGAGAAGCTCTACAACGAGGCACTGGCGCGATTATGCGCTGTCCGCTCACCTGAGGAAACCACCGCCTTCGCGAATGCCTTGAAGCGAGATTCCGAACTTGCAATGGCTGATTCGGAGGCCAACGAGATGAAGTGGCGAGAACACGAAAAGGCGAGGATCGTAAAGGTCGGCACGCCCTGGATAAGGAAAATGCTTGAAGCTGGTCTGCTTGAGGACGGCGCCGAGTGCTGGGGCTTCGTTGTCTTCCGCACCGGATGCTACCACGGCGAAGAGAACGAGGCCTTGTGGCAGAGGTTCCGCGATCACTTGCTCAAGGTGGCCGAGACATCGGTGCTACACTGGTACAGCGGGCCCGAGCTGTGGCCTTCGCTCCGCATTGTCTTCGTTGAGGACAAGGAGTTAGAGGGTGCCTCGAATGAGCAGCTGCGCATCTGGTTCCGGAAGATGCGTGACAGAGCCGGAGGCGAGCAGCATCTACCTAAGGGGATCAGGACCAACTGCTTCCTCGTTGCCGATGAGGCAGTCATTAAGAGCGAGGCAGCCCAGACGCCATATACACCGAGGTGCAAGTACATGGACGTTCCAGAGTTCGGCGTGGAGATCCTAGACGAGGATCCAGTGGTATATATCCGCGCCGTCGACCCGGATTACGTGTCTCCTGGCAATCCTGCTCCTCCTGCTGAGAGAACCAAAGAGGACACCGCGGACAAGGTCCCTGGAACCCCGACCAGCAGCAACAGTTTGTCGGCTGCTCCGGCATACATGATTGCCATGGCAAAGCAGGTGGAAGAGGAGATGGCCGACTTCAAAGGCGAGGCGACGGTCGCGCTTCCACGCGTCTTTGACTGGCTGCACCGCGCCTGTTTCTTCGCCGAGCGCGGCATCAAGTATACCCAAACGGATGGTCGAGACGGGTGGCACACAATCCATGTGCAAACCAAGAAACCGGAAGCATGGGTCCGCAACTGGTCGGCATGGACGGGCAGCATAAATTATGCAAAGGATCTCAAGCGTTTCCCTATTCCCCCTGAGCTCCTCCGTACCCTCTACCCCGCCCAGCCGCTTCCCCCACCCCCGCCCAGTTCATAGCACATAGGTAGAAAATTGCACATTATGATTTCGCTGAGGCTTGGGCAAGATCAAACAGAGGCGCACTCCTGACTTTTGACTCACTTAAGCCTTAACACAGCACGAATACCCCGCCTCAAACTGGCACGAGTTCCACGTCGAGTCATCCATCACGTCGTATTTGAGCGACGGATTCCATTCCATCAGCTGTTCGTGAGTAACTACCAACGTAAAAAAGAAGTCAGCATCTCCCTCAGATCTACGGGGCAGACTGGCAAGTGGATCTTCCACTTCCCCACATGTTCGCCCTCCACCAGCACGCGTTCGGGCTTCCGTAGCTGACCGGCGGCTCGTCGTCGTAGACGATGTCGTAGCTGGCACAGCCCTCCCTCGTTCGAGGGGCCCGGGGCAGCGAGGGCGGGTCCGTCCACGCCGGGAGCGTGGGCGCGGTCGCCGTTGCCGAGGAGGTACTACTACTGCCCGTGCTGCTGCTGGCCGTGGGCCACGGTATATCGCTCTCGGGCGTCTCCCACGCCGTCGTGAAGCAGCTGCTAGGGGCGCCCGGGTTGAGGCACGGGTTGTCGAAGCTGTGTTTTGTTGGGGGCGTTGGTGCTCGGTGGTTAGCATTGGCCGTGAATAATGAAAGGCTTAGGGCTGTGGTTTGGGGCTCACTATGATGCCGTCGTTGGCTGTGGCGTCGCCGTCGTTGACACAACCCCGGGCGGAGTCAGGCAGATCGCGTAACCAGTCAGGGCACGCAGATTGTTGCACTGAGACTTTAGATCCGGGTTGAGCTCTATAAGCTTGGCGACCGTCAAGCCGTGTTTTTGGGCCACGCTTTGGCACATGTCAATCGGCAAGACCATGTACCTGTTGCACCGCTGCGGGATGCAAATCTCTGTTCCCGCCGCGGGGAAGTCGGGACAGAACATGGGGGGCTTGTTGGAGTAGAGCAGGGAGAATGTGGACACCCGCTTGGCCCAGCTGATGGACTCGCATGTGTCGGACTCCTGGATGGTATATTGGCTTTCACAGGTGTAGGAAGGGACAGGGACCCCATCGGTCGGTGTCGGGACCGGAGCTGTGGTGGTGCCCAGTACGTAGCGGGTCGGCGAGGTCACCGGGTAGGATGTCATTTGGCAACTAGATGTTGGCATTGTTCAATCAGTGACCACGCGTGATTGTGATGGGAGGATCACGTACGAAGAGGTCAGGGAAGAGTAGTCGGCCGCCAGAGCATCCGTGTAGCCCAGCGGCGAGTCCAGAGCGGCCTGGCGCAGTCGAGGGTTGCAGGCCGAGCAGAGGTCGGACAGTGAGGTGCCGTTTTCGGCGCTTGCTTGCTGGGCAAGGAGAGAGAAGCAGCGAGCTCCGGTACTAGCTCACGCGCATCAGCGGTCCGAGAGAGCAGAGACGAACCGAATAGGTATGGCAAGTCAACTCACGTAGTGTCCGTCAGGCACGCCCACTTGTACGTGTGCAGCATCAGGTCGACCGCGTACGTGGCCGGGTAGACATTGTACCCAACCGTGACGGTGTCTGTGCCGCGCAATGGGCGACCTGAAGCTCTCGCAGGGCCTCCAGGCTCGGGGAACACGAGGGGGCAGTGCACATCAACTCCAGCTCGTTGACGCTCGGCAGTTTATTTTGCCAGACCTGCCACAGCATCGGGTCGCATACCACGGCCTCGCTGAACGTTGTACTAGAAGTTTGGTCAGAACAGGGGTTTTCAGGGTCCAGCCATTAGGATAGTGGGAAGGGGACTGGGAGCCTTACGCGCATGACGGTGACAAGTTCGGCGGCGTGTTGAGCAGGCCAGCATAAGACCCATTGGATGACACAAAGATTTGGGCCAAAACAGGGCGAGAGCCAGGTGTTGCCAGGAGCTAAGGGACGATCCTCGTGTCAATACTCACTCCTACTAAGGAGTTATGAGGTATCAGATCATCAGCTCGAGGGGAAGCACTTACAAGAAAGAGGCGAGCAACAGCCGCCATTGTGAGTGAGCAGTAGAGTACCTAGCACTTGGGCTGCTGAAATGTCCTCCAGTTCTCAGTCTTCAGTTGTGGGAGATTGTGAGCACCCAACCTTACTTGCAGTAGACACATCCCGCCTCCTGTCAATGTCCGCAGGGGAGCACTCAAGAGCGACCAGCGACTCGGCTTGGCCCCATGGGCACCCACTGAGAACACCATGCTGGGCAGGTACTGGAGGTACCCTGATGTAGGAGATCCTTGTCGCTTCCTTCCCGAGCTGCCCCTCCCCAGCTGCGGTCCGTCTGTTCCAGTAATCCGTAGACTCAGGTCACCAGCCACATTGTAGGCTGTGGCGCACTGCACCGGGTACTTGTGCCCTGGCAAGGGTCTAGTGTGGCGTTATTTTCGGACCTGGCGAACGTTGACGTGTTGTCGGCCGATGCTGGAAGGTCCCACTTGCATGTGATTGATGATGATTTCGGTTCGAACTTGCAGTGGGAACGGAACTCCTTCAGGCTTCACATCACCTGAATTCAACATGCGGGCATTCCGCAATGCCATCTTCGACTCGCTCATTAGTGAATCTCAACCCGTGACTTGCTAAACAGAAACAGACCGGAAATCTCCTCCGCAATCCCCAATTCCATGCTACCCTAGAACGTCGTCGTCCTCATCGTCGAGCTCTCGACTGGCCATGGCCGTGCCTGAGCATCGCAAACCGCCCACAGCCCCGACCGGCCCTCGCAGCTCTGACAATGGACATGACGAATTGAGGGCCCACTCCCGCTCACCGCATCCCTACCATCGGCTCAAGTCCGAGCTCCTCGAACGCGCCGACCGCATCGCTTCCTGGCCGGCCAACCAAGGGAGTGGCACCGTCGAGGTGTCGGAGGCTTCATTTGTGCACCCATTTCCATCCTTCGCAAGAGATTCTCCGATTGCCAGCGAGAGTGGTTCTGAGGCCGATGACGAGCATATGCTCAAGGGGCTTCCGGCGCCCAAGGCTCGGTTGCATAAGGGTTTAAGGGGCACGAACGAAAGGCTTTCAGGAGCTTCCACACCGTTGTCTTCGCCTCCACTGTTGGAGGAGGAGGGTCAGAAAACTCCCCTTAGCTCCGGTCATGGAGGATACGAGCGTGGCAAGAGGGGCGCAGCCGAGAGGGTCCGCCGGCGCAAGGAGCTCGTCCGGCGGCTGACGGAAGTGATCCTCCTCTTATGGCAGGGGGGATTGGTTGCCTCAAATCCCGAGGTGCAGCCTTTCTTGCGACAGCACTATACAGGTAATCTTCTGCTTATGTAGCATTCTGCCTCAAACTAATCCATACGTTGTAGAGCTGTTGACTGTCGGCCGGCTCTTCTGCATGCTGGCGGCAGTGTACCCCCTGAGACTTGTTGGATGGGCCTATCGCCAGGGCAAACCATCGAAGCTGATACCGATTCACGTCCCGGCGAGTTTTGACCCTGCGCCGCTTCTCTACCCTCCTCTGGTGCCAGTACTTGTATCTCTACTCACTGCCCAGAGCGTCAAGGGTGCCGTGTTGCCGAGTCTGGTCTTCAGCATCTGCACCCTACCGAGGCCGCTGATCCCTAGTGCCAGTTACTCGGAACACCTTAGCTGTGCCCACTGGTTGCTATCGTGCATACCCTTCACACTAGGGAGTTCTGAGGCTGCAACACAAACATCCAGCGAAGACGGAGTTCCCCGGGAGGTTCTAGCCCTGCTCTACCCCTTACACCAGACCTTGTGTCTAATCTTACACCACTTCACGACAACCAGTCTCCTGGTTTCTGAGCTTCAGCTGCTCTCAGTGGCTCTCATAAGCCTCTTTTTACTGGCTACATCTCCCCAAGCTGTGATTCTTAAAGCAGTGCTCTGGGGAGGCGGCCTCAGCCTCCTTGTGCTTTGCGGCCAGGTGATCCAATGGGGTATTTCGCTGGCTCGTGTTCCGAAATGGCGCTTCCGGCAAGATACTCCGACGAAGGGCAGTTTCAGCTACCAGTCGGTACGGCGGTTCTTATCTGCCCGGCGAAGTTGCGCTGGCTCGCAGGCGAGCTGCGGCGGCGACTCAGAGATGGACCATTCTGATGAAGCATGTTTCGGCAGCCTGGACTTGCCACCGGTACCGAAGCATGCCCAAATGGACAGTATAAGCGATGCCGAGCCGATGCCCACCACCTCGACAATATCAGAGACCATCCAGTCCAACCCGCAGGGGCTATCACAACACTCCTTCCGAGGACACACTCTTCCCCTTGCCGGAAAGCTAGACGCCCGCTCCATAACGACTACCCCTTCCGGTCGTCGTAAACGGGCCGCCTCCTCCAGCGTCCGGGCCTTCTTCTCTCTTACTCAAACTCAAGCGACGATCCGGAAGTGGCTTTATGCAGGCTACGTATACCTGTGCATCGTTTTTGTCATCTTCGCCGGAGTCCGGCTTTACGTCCAACGCTATGCGCTCTTAAACAATGAACCCATCGGTTGGGCTCTAGGATACCTCTTCGGCGACATGCCCGAGTTCCGCTTCCAGGTCGTCAAAGCCAACCTTGAGCGCTGGATCTGCCTTCCACCTCGCCCTCCTTCTTCCCCGGACACACCAACCTGCCCCGACCACCACTGCGCCGTTGGCTGGGTCCAGCACACCCGCCAAACCTCACTTGGCGCCGCCAACACCCGCCTCGCGCTGTCCGCCTACTGGCTCCTGATCATCCTCACCGGCCTCGCCATCGTGTTCCGCCTCTCCCCGGTCTACGAGGTCGACACCCGCCGTAAGGTCTTTCACTTCATGATGGTCGCCATGTTCCTCCCGACAACGTACGTCGACCCGTGCTACGTCGCGCTGGCTCTTGCGCTGGTGCTCGCCATTTTCCTCCTGCTCGACCTCCTCCGCGCGAGCCAGCTGCCGCCGCTGTCGAGACCCATCGCGAGGTTCCTCACACCGTATGTCGATGGAAGGGACCTCAGAGGCCCAGTAGTCATCAGTCATATCTTTTTGTTGATTGGCTGTGCCATTCCGCTATGGCTTAGTCTGGCTTCGCTGCCCCGCGGGTCAGTGTCCTCGTTGGAAAAGGGAGAGAGGGAGGAGAGTGCCGGGTGGATGAGGGGCTGGGAAGTACCGACCAGGGAGGTGGCTATGGTTTCCGGGGTGGTGTGTGTTGGGCTGGGGGATGCTGCCGCGTCGCTTGTGGGCAGGAGGTGGGGGCATCGGAAGTGGCTTTGGGGCGGTAGGAAGAGTGTCGAGGGCAGTCTGGCGTTTGCCGGGGCGGTGTTCGCTGGGTTGATGACTGCTGCCGCGTGGTTGAGAATTGGGGGTTGGGCGGTGGTTAGTGCCTCTGGTTCTTCCGGGATTAGGGAGACGGGACTTCGGTCGGGGATGGGTAGCTTGAGGAGTGTGTTTGAGCTTGGAACGGCTTTACCGTGGCTCAGGGCCGAGGTACCCAAGACGGTGATGTGTGCTTCGCTGGCGTCGCTGACGGAGGCCGTGCTGACGGGGGGTAACGATAATGTGGTGGTGCCTGTTGTGCTGTGGGGGTGCGTCAAGAATTTAGGGGTGTAACATGGTGCTGGGTTAGACAGAAAGAATGATGGTATCATGAGGTTGCCAGCATTGATAAAAACAGGAGAACGGGGTTGGCTCAGCCAGCCGCGATGATTTCACACATATCAGATAGAACCTGGCAGACCCGCCGCGTTCCTTCCCGGTCACCTGCGGCCAAAATCAAGGTACATGTAGAAGGGCAACACTCACATTGTCACCGACTCCTCTCATGAGCCTAACACCGAGTTGGCTCAGCGGTATCGAGGGGAGCACCGGTCTGGATTTCAACAACCGAAATCGCCGAGTTCGACTCCCGGCGGGAGAAGTAGAATCTCCTTTGGGGCTTTCGTAGCCAACCACCCCTACTCGACCGGTGCGGGAGTACGGCTGGTTGGTGGTGAGCTTTTGCTAGTCTGATTATCATCAGGTTTCCTTTTCCCTTCCTGTGCGTACCAGTCGTGAAATAGTTGAAGCCTCACACAATATTGATGTCACATCAAGGCGGCGCTCAAGCAGAGGAGCAAGCACTGCTTGGGTCAAATCTCCCAGGGTTCGTGCAGTATACCTGTTGCTTGCCGCTATCATGAAATGCACGCTCGCCTGATTCTCTCCACCCAAATTCACTTGGAAGAAGGCCATAGCCCAAGTTATCCAAGTAACATCACCATCGTCCACTCTAGCCTTCTTGCAAGCAGAGAACAGAAGATACTGCAACACGGAACATCAACATAACAGAAGGCCTACTGGACCCTCATAAAAGCATCATGCAACACATCATACAGATTTCAATATTCAGATCTATCATACACACCGGCAGCTCACTCGTACACCCACTTCACCACACTCTTCGCCCCGCCAGTCGTCTTGCGGTCAAGAATCTCCTCGACCACCTCTTTGACGCCCTGCTTCTGATTTCGCTCCCTGACGAACGCGTCGACGACCTGGTCGCGTGTCATGGTGCCCAGCATAACCTTCTTCTCGACCTGCTCCTCGGTGGGGATGCCAAACTGCGCGTAGGGGTACTCGTCGTAATTTGCGTCGGTCAGCAGGCTCAGCTTGGGCCGGTTGCGCGGCACGAGAAAAAAGTCCTCGGTCAGCTTGGGGCTGTCCTCCGGAGAGACGGCCTCGAGGGATGGGGGCTGCCAGCTCGCGGGCCGCTTCTCGATCAGCAGGGCCGTGACGCCCTCGGTGAAGTCGTGCGAGGCCATGAACTTGGTGGCCATGGCGTGCTCGCGGATGAAGGCGTCGCGGATGTTCCACTTGTGGCCAATGCGCATCTGGCGCAGCGCGACGTGCACGGCGGTCGGCGACCGCTTGTGCAGCGTGGCGAGCGTCTCCTGGGCCCAGGCGTGCGTGGCGCCCTTTTCGTTCTCGAGCGCCCGCAGGATCTCGTCAACCGTGTCGTGGCTGAAGCACCGGTCAATGGCCTTGCGGACCTTGCCGCTGATGAAGATGGGCTCGTCGTGCGGGAGGCCCGTCACGAACTCCTCGATGGTGGCGTCGATGGCTTTGAGGCGGGTCTCCATGTCGTCGTAGTCCCGGAAGCGCAGCTCGGCGAGGCGTGACTCAAGCGTGGGGAGCGACGTTGAGTGCAAGTAGTGGGTGGCGATGCCGGCGTAGAAAACGTTGGCGCCCGTCAGGCGGGAGCTAGTCAGGGCGAGGTAGGTGCCGACGGAGCCCGGCATCCTGGGGAGGAAGAAGGAGGCGCCGACGTCGGGGAAGAAGCCAATTGTTGTCTCGGGCATGGCGAAGACCGTGCGCTCGGTCGCAATCCGGAATGGGGCGTGGATACTGAGCCCGACACCGCCACCCATGGTGATGCCGTCCATGAAGGCGATGTAGGGCTTGTTGAAGGTCGCAACCAGGTGGTCCAGTTGGTATTCCTGCGCAAAGTACTCGGCTGACTTCTTCTGGCCCTCAGGGCCAAGCTTGTTCCATTTTGCCAGCTGGGCGACATCGCCGCCAGCACAGAAAGCCTTGTCCCCCGCGCCCTTCATGACGATGACGTTGGCCATGTCCGACTTGGACCACTCGAGCATGCGCGGGGCGATCTTGCGGATCATGGAGCCATTGAGGGCGTTGAGCTTCTTTGGGCGGTTGAGCTCGATGGACCGGAGGCCGTAGAGACTGTTGAAGAGGACATCTTCGGGCTCGTCGCCGTCTTGTGGTTCGAAGAGGTTGTAGGCTTCTTGTGTGGACATCTGGGCGATGATACGGTTAGTGTCTCGTTCGGATGGTCAGTTGATGCAGACCACAGACTGCGGCATACCAGTCGTTGTGACTGCGGCAGCAGCTTCGCTCTGAGAGGCATGGCGACGAGGGAGATGGACGGCCTTGGTCGTGTGAGGGTGGTGTTAATGCAGGCGCGGCAGGCAGTTCCTGGTGCTGCCAGCGCCGCTCGGCTGGCAATCGACTGGGCGAACATCTAAAAGAAAGGAATGTCTACAGTGTCTGGCGATTTCCCCCCTCGGGCAGTGGACCATTGACCTGACCGAGAATGCGCACCGAGGTCCGAGACGCTGCTGCGGGTGTCTTTTCTCTAACTTCAAAGTCCCGTCCACTGCGATTGGCGAATGCAGCTTTTCCTGAACCGAAGGTGCCCGCGCAAATCGCCGGCCAAGACCCTAATCCGGCAGTGGTCTCGCGCCCGCAGCTGCTGACAACTGTGGCGGGCCGTTAAGCCAGCTCGAGGCCAGGCACAGTTTTGGCCAAAACAGACACAACTAGACGACATGAAGCTTGCGCTTCCACTGCAACCCACAACACTGAATATATTATGTCGTTAAACATCATGGTACTAATGGTAAGGCGACAGTCGATCGCAACGTAGACGATATTCAAATGGTCTATGTCCATTTATGAAGACCATTCAATGGATTTCGTTGTCGCTGTTCGCTCCTCAAACCCGCGCATTCGGTTCGCTCCAGACTCCCGAGCTCCGGAATAATCATGACTGCTCTACTTATCAGCTATTGATGTCCGCCAGCCCCAGGAAGAAGCTGGCAAGACCCCATGCGCCGGGATCAGGCACCTGTTCAAACCCAGAGCCGCCAATGTACACGGTCCGCCCCAGACTCGCCTTCATGCCCTTGGTGCCCTCAGCCGCCGCCTGAGCTGCCTTGGCCGCCTCTTTCACATCCCCCGTGTGCGCCAGAACGTCAACGAAGGGATACAGGGCGTCCACAAGTGTGCGGTCCCCCGGTTGTGCAGGTGTGTACTTGGAGAGGGCATCGCAGCTTTGCTTGAGCGCCGACGCCCAAACCTTAGGAGAGGCCTCGCCGGGTCCCTGGGATCTCAGAGAACCCACGAGAGCATGGAGAAAGATGGCATATATCGCCCCGGATGTTCCGTCCATCTCCTTCTCGACGATGGGCACGATGTTGGTCACGTCCACCACGGCGTCTCCAGACATCGGATGGGATTTGAGACGGTTCAGGATGGCTACATCTGTCAGCAGTGTCTCAGCAAGCCGGACTTGAGACCTCACTCACCTTCGGCGCCCCTCCGCAACCCAATCCCGCAGTCTCCGTCTCCCACGATAGTGTCGTAGCGCGTCACTTCCGGCTCAACGGCCACCACAGTCTCCAAAGCTCGCGTGAGCGCTTGCTGTGCGGTGGCATTGTCCATGGTCAGGCCGCTGGGCTTTATTTTACCCCCTCCTGACGCGTCCTGCTGCCTCGTTGCCGTGTTTTTCTCCTCCCACGTTTGCGTCGAGACCGGTGACGACCAGCCCGTGGCCTCGCAAGGATAGTCAAGCAGCTCAATCATGCTCGCGCTTCCGATGCCCGTATTGACTACGTTTAGCAGCGTGATGCTGAAGCCCAGTCCGTTGAGACTCGTCATGAAGATCCCGCTGAGGATACGAACCGGCCGAATATTGTAGCTCTTCTCTAGCTGTGTCACCACCTCGGTGACGATCCCGCCCATCTCCAGTACGCTGACTCCTCCCAGGTTATTCACCAGCAATACTACCTCGTTCGAGTTGACGTTCACAAACGCCCGGTCCTTGTCGCTCTGGTCCAGCATCTGCGCCAGCATCTTCCTCACCAGCTCCGGCAGCTCAACCTCCTCTCTGCTCGACCCCTGCTCGTTATGAATTCCCATACCGATCTCCACCTCTCTATCCCTTAGATACTCGGTCGCGTTCACATCAGGCTTCGCCCTCCCCGGCACATGGACATGTTCCAAACTGGCGCCGACACTGACCAGATTTTCCGAGACCAACCGAGCCACCTTAGCAACCTCTTTCAACCCCTTACCCTGCGCCGCCAACGCCCCGCTGATCTTATGCACCAACACCGTCCCCGCGATCCCCCTCCGCCCGACCTTGCCCGCCTTGGCCCTCCCAACCCCGACATCATCCCCGACGACAACCATCTCCACCTCGACCCCAGCGGCCCGCGCCGTTTCCACCGCCATCCCAAAGTTCAGCACGTCGCCCGTGTAGTTCATCACCGTGACCAACACCCCTCCCCCTTCCGCGTCATGGTGCTCCACGCGACCCATGATGGCAGCGCGGATCTGCTCGGCGCTGGGGCTCGCAAAGATGGTGCCTGCCACCGCGGCGCTGAGAAGGCCCGGGCCGACCATCCCGGCGAAGGACGGCTCGTGGCCGGACCCGCCTCCCGAGATGATGTGTGTGCGCTGGCTGGCAGGGCCGTACCCCGGGCGGCGGTAGATTATCTTGTTGGCGGCATCGAGGGCGAGGCCCGGGTTGGTGAGGGTTAGGGAGTGAAGAGAGGTGGTGAGGAGGTGAGCTGGGTCGTGGAGGAAGTGTTTTGTGGTCATGGTGAGGGTGGCTGTGGAGGGTTGAGTGAGTGATAGGGTGAGAGAAAGCGAGAGAGGTATGGTGTGTTTAAAGGTATTAGATCACCGGCTGTTGTTAAGTGGATTGAGATGACGAGATGTACATGTGGCTGCTTGTCTCGACCGAGGTTGATGCCGGTAGTGAGATGTAAATCAAACTCAGGTCCGAAGCTAAGGTGTACTTTGGGGATTCTCTTGACGGGACTTTGAGACCTCGGGCTTACCACGGTTTTCGGGAGAGGTTGCCCGATAGCTCTACGGCATTGCTGTTCCAAGGTGGGGGTGAAGTGCGGGGCGGATGAACTGTCCGGCGTGCATGAGCAACTCGAGCATCGGTTTTGTGCGTCTCCAGGTGACCTCCCTCTTGACTTCCGATGAGTGTCAATGCGGCTATGAGAGTGTAGGACATCCCGAGGATTGAACCAACCACCAAGTAACCGAGAGGGAAGTTTGTTATACGCGGTCCAGTTCTCGGTACTGTACGCCAGAGGCCAACGGATAAACCAGAGTGACAGAATGTTACCCTCAAGCCGCAAGCGAGGGGCAACCGCGGGACAGGTATTCCGGCTTAGAATACGTAACTTCAAGTGTGAAATGCATTCCAGTGACCCTTTGAAGCTCCTTAACCACCATACGAAGACCCATTCTTCTCCTGAAAAGCCCCTCTTCATGACTCCAATCCCACCAGACGTACCGTGAATCCAACCCAGCTCTCAAAGCTATATGTGTACGCAAGCATCCAAGCACCGGAACGCCAGATAATGTCATCCCTCACAACGCCGGTCTCATTGAACCAAGCAAAGCCCAACCCATATATCGCCAAGCCGAGCCAACCCGGGCTATATAGAGACAAAGACGCACCCGGCCACCACGCCCAGCGCGATCGCCGACGTGACAAAGCCCGCCGCAACCCGATCACGCAGCGTAATGACACTCTCTCCGGGCTCCTCATGTGCCTTGGCCTCGGGATTCCCCCTGGACGTGCCCCCCGTCTCCGCCGTCACGGGCGCCGCCGCCACCCTGCCTACGAGCGTGTACATGACGGCCGAGAGCGCGTTCATCTGCTCTCCGACGCCGACCGAGCCATCGAACGCGCCCGTCGTCCAGCGGAACCCGCACGCCGTACCGCGGTGTCCGCGGAACGCCGGTGGCGGGGTATCGCCGACGCAGACTTTTGCCGCGGCGGCCGCGTCCGTCTCGAGCAACGGGCGGATCGCGTCGAACGTGTGGGGCGCCATCTGCGTCGTCCCCGCCAGCCAGCGCGTCAGGTAGCCCTTGAAGGAGCGCTGGTCGTTGTTGCAGAAGCCCGAGGGCTCGCAGAGCTGCTCGAACATGATGTTGTTGGTAGGGTCGAAGAAGGTAGCCCGGGCAGCCGTGAGCAGGCCGTCGACGCGCGTGCGCCAGATTGAAGATGCGTTGGTATGGTTGTACATGACGGCCGCGCCGTGCAGGAAGATGCCTGCATTGTAGCTCCACAGGTTGGTGTCCATGTTGTTGCACGTGTTATCGTTGATGTTGATGGTCAAGCCGTCACGGACGTTGTGGTCGACCGTGATGAGGCCTGTGGTTTCTTGCCATTCGAAGATCTTGGTGGCCCACTCCGCATAGGTCTCGTTGCCTGTGTAGCGGGCCAGGCGGGCGGCGATGTTGAAGAAGCAGCCGTTGGAGATGGAGTTTTTGTAGTTGAAGCCGTTATTGAAGGTGAAGATCTGCCACCGAAGACCGCCGCCGCAGCTCGCCTCGTCCCAGCGGGAGGCCCACTGATTAAAAAGGGACTGGGCGAGGGCAAGCCATTGCGGTTGGTCTGCCGGAGGATCAGGTAGCCGGTTCTCAGCTGCGGACATGGCCGCCATCCCCCAGAACCCCTGGTCGTCGTTGCCGAGCGTGCGTGTCTGGTTCCTGGGCATGAAGTCGCCGTTTTCGGTCCCTTGGTGGATGATGGCTTGTGTAGTGATGGCATTATACGAGTCGTCCCCGGTCAGCGCCCAATAGTCGATCAAGGTGCCGAACATGGCGCCTGCTTCCCACCAGAAATATGGGTCGGGAAGATTCCCTGGTGTGTCTCCTGTTCGGTTACCGGTATAATAGCTAACCAAGCCAAAGGCTATTGTGCTCGCGGCAGACTTGACAGAAGCTGTACGAAATATTAGTATGCTTGGTACCGATTTTGTCATTCGGATGGGTGAATCTCTGACCTTGATCTCCAAGAACTAAGTCGATGGCAGCCCCTAATGTCACCAACATACCAAAGGAGGCCAAAAGCTTGAATGACCTCATATTCTAGTAGATGCCGGAAGAATCAACGAATAACGCAGAATACAGATACAGATTAAAATGAACCGAGTTGCAGAGACACAGTCATACTTCTGACAAAAGGCCAGGGGGATATGTTGAACAGCTGTGAGGTCTAGAAAGCGAAGTCCCCTCAATACATTCAACACATCGGTGGTAGGCGGTATGAGGTTAAACGGAACCGCCGGATCGACGTCGTACAAAACTCTAGAGTCGTGATATCAAAGTCGTAAAGAAATGAATGGCACAGCCTCGGAATCAACAAACATAAGGGGTGCGGCCGAGCGCTTGACGAATCGAAGATAAAAAAGAAGAGAAAAAGGGAAGAAAACCTAACGACCGTTGATCATATACCCTGGACCAACAGAAGATCCAAAGTTCAAGTTGGAGAAGAAGCAGGGTAGGATGTGAAGGATGAGTAACAATGGAAGGAGGCGAGAAGGAAACTTCCAACTCTAACCCTGCCGAGAGATACGACAAAGACAACCAAGACACCTGCCATAACTGGCTCAAGCCAAGGGCGCCTGCAATTTCTTGGTGTCCCGGGACGCCCAGGCAACGCTGTCTGGGAGCTCAGAGAGAGAAGAAGGCTGAAACACTTGCAGTTCGAGATGTCGGATGGAACCCCTCATGTCACGGGCCTGTCCAGACAAGATGGGATGCGCTGTTTCTGCCCGCGGATAATCTGGAGAGCTTCCCAGAAACAGAAGGGGTACGTATAGACACTCATAGCGCCAGGTCTTGAAGACGAGCCGACTTTGCATAACGGGTACAGTCTGTACACTCTTGTTTCTGTGGCGAGCCAAGTGTTGATGTTTTGGACGAAGGCGAGAACCTGATACGCCACGGCGCGCGGCTGTTGGAGAACCCCTGTCTCGCTGCGGGCTACTTAGAAGTGCATAAGGGACTTCAGCAGCCCCAAGGGAGAGCTCTCAAAGCTGGAAATTGAGAATAGGAATAAGACGGGGCAGCAGAGGCGAAAGAGATGAAAGAACAATGAGGATGAGAAAGGAAAAAACAAACACAGAAAACGTCTAAGTTACTCTGAAAATTGACGTAGACGCCAAGACACCTGGACCCCTGAATGACCCTTCGCCAGGTCCGGACATTTGGGACGCAGAGCAGTTTTATGATGAGGAAAGCTCGTTTCTATCCAGCAAGAAAAGCTCCTTTTATCTATCCGTCATTATAGCAACTTAATGCCCAAATCATAAGGATTTATGGGGTATCGCAGACCTGATCGTGACAAGACTGGACAAGGCCAACTCAGTGCTTGCAACCATGCTCGCAGGCCTTCTGCTTCTTCTGGGGCCGCTCGGTACCCTCCTCCTCCTCCTCGTCGTCCTCCTCATCATCTTCCCAGTCGTGAGAACCCTCGCTCAAATCATCTTCCTGAGCTTGGACTGCAGCGGTGTGAGCCATCAGATACTTGCAGACGGGGGTACTGCAACTCACTAAAGTACTTCAGCGCCGCGGGCCACAGGTCGTCGGCAATGGCCATGGCGAGCTGGTCACCGGTAGGGAAGATCTCCAAGTCGTCGTCCTCATCATCATCATCCTCCTCCTTGTCGTCCTCCATCTCCTCGTCCTCGTCCTCATCCTTCTTCTTGGCCACCTCCTCGCCAGCCTTCCGCTTCCTCCGCTCCTCCCTCTCTTCCTCAACCGCCGCCTTGCTCTCCTCGGCAGTGACGTACTCGCCAATGTAGCCAAACCACGCAAAGAAGCTGACGCCGCCCATGCCAGTATTTTCCATTTTCTCCTTGAGAGCCTTCTGCTTCTCGGTCAGCTCGACCTTTTTGCTCCTCTCGTCCTTGGCCTCCTGCTTAGGCTTGGCCATCTGCTCGTCATAGACGGCCTTGACGAGGCCGAGCAGCCCGTCGGTCAGGTCCTTGCCCTTCTTCCACCGGATCTCGACGGGCTCGCTGACCAGGCCCGCGAAGCCGTCCTTGCTGTAGCGCCACCAAAACTTCTTCTCCAGCACGGTGTCCTCAAAGTGCTCGTTCTCGGCAAACTCGAAGCGGATAGCCACGCTGCGCGGGTCGCCGTTCTTCTCGTCCTCGTCGAGTTCAAAGCGGCGGACCGAGAGCGACTTGAGCGACGAAAGGAGCACCGCCGAGTCAGATGGCTGGATGTACTCGTCGATGTCCATGGGCGCCTGCTCGAGCACGAGCGGCCAGAAGTTGGGGATCTTGGACACCAGCTCGGCGCGCTTGGCGTACAGCGGCTTGGAGAGGGCATACTGCTGGCGAACTACGCGCCAATTCTTGTCAGACCATGCGAGTTGAAGCTGTCCAGGGCCATGGGACTCACTGATTTCGGTCTCGACGTCGTCAAACTCCTGCTCGAGGTCAGCCAGCTCCTCGTAGCTGACCATGGTTTCTTCGAGAGTGGCGGCCATGTTCTGCTTGTCTATACGGTAAAGCGGATGTATCTTGGTGGCAGAGGTATAGGAAGATCCCAGGAATAGTCAGCGGCTGCGATCCGGTAAAGTACGTAGGATGGAGAAAAAAAAATCTTTCTGATCAACGACTAACACGGGTCAGGTCCTGCCCCATTTGAAATTATGCATGGCTTGGCGTTCACAAACTCTCGATGGTCGGGTAACTGGGGTAAGATGAACGAGGGGCAAGCTCTGCCAAGATATGGACCCTGAGCTTGGCACATATGTTACCTGTGGATCCCTTTGCCTTTGAGACGCAGGTTCAAGGCCGTTAACCAGGCTTTCTGATGTTGAACTTGTTTTGAAACCAGCCCATGGCTTCTAGATGAATGCTGCTACTCCATAAGAGAGCTGGGTAAAGAATTTTTTGATTATTTCGACTTTTCCGAAGCTGGCTAGAAACGACTGTCACCCCGCAACAGGCAGTTGGCTGTAACGTTTGTATTGTACTTGAACGTGAAATTCCAAGCCCCAAAAGATCAGAAGTGTGGAGGGACGATGAGAACCCCCACGGCGGGCAGCGAACTATAAGTCTTCAATCAGCCCTTAGAAACTGCCGCTCCCTTCTGTTCCCAAAGCCGTTGCTGACTTCGAATTGCAACTCGAAGATTCGTCGGATTTTTGCGCGTTACCTATGTCAGCAGCAATCAACAGCCAACTCCCGCCGTCATTTGCAGGATGGAAGTGCCCTTCCGCTATCGGGCCTGGAACCAGAAACAGACAGAATCCTGGCACATCCAGTCTTTATCAGTCCTCACTGAGGAACTGCCGACCGTGCCTTATCTCCTTCACTCGACCACGATGCAGCAACTGCATTGCTCGTTCGATGACGGGAAGCCCGAAGTCGGTGCTGGTCATGGTGCCTGTGCCTGGAATCTTCTTCAAGCGGCTTCCAGCGGCTACCAATGCTTCCCTGTCGAACGATCCGCAATTGGCTTTCTGTTAGCTAACACACCATGAGATCCACGAGCACATGACTGCCGTTTCTCCAGTAGTTTGTTTCCATCTTGTCATCGGTCTGCAAGGGCTCTGGCATCTCAGCTTGCTGGAGTTTTGAAGGTGTTGTTTATTCAAGCATAAGGCATCTCGAACAGGCCAGTACCACGTGCAGAAAGCAACTCGATCCAACCTCCACCGTCCTCAGACCAAATACCATTGTGAACGGTAATAAAGAATTTCAACGACCCACTCGCTGACTGCGATTCCCTATATTGAAATCTGGGAGCGGCTTTGTGGCGTTTGAGAAGCGTCGGGTTCAGGCACTGATTCCCGGGAAGTGTACACTCGTCCAGAATCCATCGTTAACGGCAGGATGGGGGGAGGCCTTCTTGTGGAGGGGCAAAAGCCTAACACCCTCTACCCAGAATCCCGGGTGCTCATTATCATGACGGGCGGGACAATCTGCATGCAGCCTTCTGTCGATGGGCTGATTCCTATGACGGGGTTTCTCGAGAACGCCATGGCACCGCGGCCCTCGTTCAATGACAATTCAACCCCCTCAGGTATGTTTATAGCAGCTGCCACCTGAGGTGCGGGTGTCACGGTGTTGAAGACGTGTTGATATCAGACACGGCAGAGAAGCGCTCTTCCCTTTAGGTGGCTATGGGAAGGTAGAACTTGGCTTCCGCATATTACTCTTACTGACCTTGTCCAGTCAAAATCCATGCCTACAAGAACGGCGTCAAGTTGACACTCGACAGCCTGCGCACTCCCCCAAGTGCCTACTCGCGCCACATCCGCTATGGCATCCTGGAGTTCCAACCCCTCCTCGACTCCAGCTCCATCTCCTCGATGGGCTGGACCGAGATCGCCATGACCATTAAGGAGAACTACCACGTCTTTGATGGCTTCGTCGTCCTCCACGGCACCGACTCGCTTGCCTACACAGCGTCAGCCCTCTCTTTCATGATGTCGGACCTCGGCAAGCCCGTCATCTTGACAGGCTCACAGGCCTCCATATTCGCCCTGCAGTCCGACGCCGTCGACAACCTGTTGGGCTCACTCATCATCGCCGGCACCTTCGTCATCCCCGAGGTTTGCCTCTTCTTCCATCACACTCTCTTCCGCGGCAACCGCACCACCAAGGTATCCGCGTCCGCCTTCGAGGCCTTCGATAGCCCCAACTGCGAGCCGCTCGCCAAGGTGACCTCGCTGGGGGTCGAGGTCAACTGGTCGCTCGTGCGGCGGCCCACGCGCATCGCGGAGTTCGCCGTCACCAAGTATCTCGACACCGCGCACGTGGCGTGCCTGCGCATCTTCCCGGGGATCAAGCCCGAGATGGTGGATTCTGTGCTTAGGGTGCCGAATCTCCGCGGCCTGATCCTCGAGACGTTCGGCATGGGCAACGCGCCCGGCGGCGTAGACGGGAGCCTGACCAAGGTGATCCGGGAGGCCGTCGAGCGCGGCATTGTCGTCGTCAACGTGAGCCAGTGCACCAACGGGTTCGTCTCGCCGTTGTACGCGCCGGGCACCGCGCTCGGCCGGGCGGGTGTCGTATTTGGGCACGACCTGACCACGGAGGCGGCGCTGACGAAGCTATCCTACCTTTTGGCCCTGCCAGGGCTTCGGTATGCCGAAGTCACCGCCAAGATGGCGCATTCCCTGCGCGGCGAGATGACGGAAATGACGACGCCCTCCTTCTCGCATCCGGCGGGCAGCATCGACTCGGCTGTGGGCCGCCTCACCTCAGCGGGCACGCCTCCCCAACTCACCCACACGACCTACCAGTACTGACTTTGAGCCATGCAGAAACGGCCTTTACAGCCCTAGGCTACGCGATCCGCAACGGCGAGCTGCGCACCGTCCGCGAGATCTTGGAGGGAGACGAGTTCAGTCACCAGCTCCTCAAGCGCGCCGACTACGCGGGGAACACTGCGGTGCATCTCGCCGCCGTCGGCCCGGAGCCGCTCATCCTGCGGGACCTGCTCATGCGCGGCGCGAGCGTGCACGCGCGCAACAGGGCAAACAACACGCCGCTGTACCTCGCCGAGAAGATGGGCAACGCCGAGAGCGTGCGCCTGCTGAAAGAGGCGGGTGCGCACCTATGGCTGGATAACGACCTCAAGGGCGAGGGCAGCCGCGTGCCCAGCCGCGGGGTCAGTCGCGCGGTGTCCCCAGTGAGGTCGACTTCTGCGTCGGGTTCGGGATTGGGTTCTTCCCCAACGACGGCGGCGACGGCGATGGCGACTTGTTTAGAAGGTGGAAAGGATGGGATTAGCGGGACTGGGGAGGGGAAGGCTGCGGGTGCTGCTGAGGAGGTTGGTGGACGTGGTGGTGATGAAGTGGAGTTGGTTCAGCCTGAGCTGGCGAGCCGGGCGTTGCTGACGGGGGTTAAAGGGCATATCGTTGGCTGATTTACGGAGCAATTTAAGGTAGTTATAGATGGTATAAATGAAGCTTTGAGGGGCCAAAACTGACACCTCGGTCGGGCGGTAAGTCGTTGGCAGTTCAGTTATTCGGCTGGAGGAGGAGTTACTTGGCAGTTGGCAGTTTGGGCGCGACGCGCATCTGGCTGTGCGCCAGCTGCATAAGGTCGAATCCGGTCATGGTCTTGGTTTCGGCAGTCAATCTCGCATTTGAGGAAATCGGCCTCGCGATGGCAGGTGATGCTGGGAGCCCCGGCGGAGCGCAGAAGTTTCCGAAGAGGCCACCAGATACCTTAACGGCACCCGACTGGAGCCGTGCCTATCCTGTCTTGATGCTCCATTATGTTGATGGCCGAAGCTGTGATGGTGAGTGTGTCCCGTCTCCCCGAGACTGTCCGAGTTGTCTGCTGGGTTCAACGTGATGGTGCCATGTTGAGCGGCCCATTTTGCCCTGTGTGACACATCCCACAGTGTCTTGTATACCCGGCAGATCTTTGATAGGTCTTGTATCTCTCATATGTCGACGCTGTTTTGGTGTTTCGATGTTCAGCTCGGAGGAAGTGCTCCCGCATAGACACGGCATAATCCATTAAGGGTTAGAGTTGAAGCCCTCAGCGGCCGAGCCTGAATGTGATGGTGCGTATCCGTGCATGGGGCTAGGCCTCCAGCTTGTCTCGGGCGTGTTGATATGCTGCATATGGCGATGTTGTTGTGATCTCTGACCCGTGTTTCAGACTGGTCCGGGACCTGGGGTGGTCAGCAGCCACGATTCAGCCATCGTGTGACTGGGGCGTTGAAGCGGGATCCATAACTACCTAAAGATGGTGGGGCAATGGGCTCGGTAAGTACTTGGTATATAACATATCAAGTTAGTCAACATTGCAATGTTGCGTTAAGATCATTGTACCCTTTGTTCTTGCTTCAACTTGAAATGTGTTCCGTATATCAACGCAGCAACCTACAGGTACTTAAAATCACAGCCACAATGGAAGCATGACCATACTCGGCGGCCGCCTCATTTCGCCACGCTTTGAGATCTTAGAAGTATGACAGTCACGTAGATGCACGGTATCAGCCCAAGAAAAAAGAGGATGTCACAGAGTCTTAGCAACTGTTGACTCACTCACAGCCGGCTGGTACTGCCCTCTAGCTGCATGAAGAAAAACACTTCTGGACTGTTCCGGCAGTGCCTGGAGGACTTTGGTTGAACAAATAAGCTACTGGCAGCACAACAAGTTGCACGAACTCGGCGAGTTACGCCGCTGTGTTGGAGCCTCGACCTGCGACCACGATGCTCGACCAACGCTGCACCGAAAATCAATCAATGGTTGGAGCGAGCTACTGTATGAGCTGGTGGCCGACTTGCTGCCCGCCTTCCCATATAACCGCCCTTCTGCGGGCCAGGCGGTTCACATGCAGGCCCAGCTCGCCAACCGCCGACTCCGGACGTGGTCCCCCGTGGCCGTCTCGACGCTCCAGGCCGGTTGCTGGCCCGCCGATGAGAACGGCCTACCTTAGATATGGGGTATCGGCCAGCCCGCTTGCCTGATGACACATGGCCGGCGAGCGTATCATCGCGTTACAGTTTGTTTGTGATGGATGAGTCTTCACAATGCCGGTAGAGATTCAATGAAGGATCATGGGCTGTCCAAGCACTTGACTTAGTAGGACAGACCGACACTCCGTCCTCACCCATCATCCAGGCGACATACTAAGGATATGTGCAGCCGGGAATCTCACACGTCGGACGATAATTTGGTGCGCACAAAGGCAGAAACTTGAGTAGCTGGGAGAACTGTCTACTGCACCCATCCGTCTTTGTCTCAAGTTGCTCGACCTCCAGTGTGCTACAACGCACTAAAAACACCGTTCAACATATTCCCGGCTCTTCGGTCTCCTTGTATTTCACACCATTTTTCCTGTTGTCGCCACGAATCGGCCGCCCGGCCCCCAAGGACTCGAATCGGCCATACGGTCCAGCGGCCGCCACCAGCCCAAGTTCCTGAGGCCGTTGCTTGCCCACACCACTCGTCAAAGCCGTGGCTCACCACAGCAATTCCTTCCGTTCGACAGGTATAAAGTCGGCCCAACTCCTTTCCGGTTCCATCATTGTTAGCCCCACGACGCGGCATTGCGGTGGTTCCACGCGTTGACGTATCTTCAGTGTCTCTCGGCTCGGCGAGTCGACCGGCTTTCAGTCAAAATGGACTTCAACAGCGTGCTCCAGGGCGTCCTGCCTACCTTTGTAGCCAACGCCAGCCATGGCAGCAACTCTTCAGCGGACAACGGGCTTCCCGATGGCCTACTCGACACGCTGTCCCCCCTCTTGGGCATGAGCTTACAGCTCAACCCCTTGATGAGGCTGTTCATGATTCTTTACAATATGGTTGGCAGCCACCTAGGCATCGACCCAACCTACATCATCACCATGGCTGGTTTTCTTTGGGCCGGGAACAAAGTCTGGGACCAGCTGTACGCGACCTTCTACGGGCTGGCTCGCCAGTACTTCATGGCGAACATCGAGGTTAGCAACTCGGACGATATCTACTACCACCTGATGAAGTGGCTCGCTGCCCAGCCCAAGATGGTCGATTCCCGCTCCCTCACCGCCGAGACGGCCTCCAAGGGTGCCTGGGAAGAAGAAGACGAGTCTGAGCTCCTGACAGCACGCGTGTCCCCGGACGGCTCCGACATCTTCCTCAACTTCTCGAACCAGGAGGCCAAAGCTGCTCCTCGCTTTACCCCCGCCATGGGCGTCCACAGCTTCTGGTTTCGGGGACGATATTTCAAGCTGCACAGGAAGCAGGAGTCGCTGTTTGATCCGTCCGCCGGCTTCAGCGGCATGCCCCAGTACAAGGACAAGGAGACGCTGGTGCTCTCGTGCTTCGGCCGTTCCCCGGAACCGATCAAGCAGCTTCTTCAACACGCCAAGGAGCAGTACTATCTCGACCACCAAGCCAAGACCATCGTCAGGCGCCCAGCGCCCCAGGCCATCCGCCGGTTCAGCCATCGACACTCGTGGCAGCAAGTCGCTAACCGCCCCGTCCGCCCCATGAAGACCGTGGTTCTCGACGACGAGCAAAAAATTAGGATTCTCTCCGACATGAACGAATATCTCCACCCGGCCACGCCACGGTGGTACGCGAACCGCGGCATCCCTCTTCGCCGGGGCTACCTGTTCCACGGCCCGCCAGGCACCGGCAAGACGTCGCTGTCGTTTGCCCTTGCGGGCGTATTCGGCCTCGACATCTATGTCATTTCGCTGCTGGATCCGACCTTGACCGAGGAAGACCTCTTGGCTCTCTTCACCTCGCTTCCACGGCGCTGTGTAGTGCTTCTCGAGGATATCGACTCGGCCGGTCTCAAACGGACCGACGACCCAGAGCCTTCGGCCACCTCTTCTTCCTCCTCCTCCGACGAGAAGAACTCCAAAGAGCAGGAGGACGTCGATAGCAAGGACAAGGACAAAAAATCTCCCAAGAAGACGCGACATAAGAGCAAGAAAGACTGGAAAGTCTCGGACCTTGCCCGCGAGCTCAAGCGTCATGGCAACATCGACTCGATCGACAAGAAGGGCATCTCGCTGTCGGGCCTGCTCAACGCGATCGACGGCGTCGCCTCCCACGAAGGCCGCGTGCTCATCATGACGACCAACAAGCCCGAGAGCCTCGACGAGGCGCTCATCCGACCAGGGCGTGTCGACCTGCAGGTAGCCTTCACCAACGCCACCCAACAGCAGGCGCGCGAGCTCTTCATCAGGATGTACGAGCCCGACAGCAGCAGGGCGCCCCTCCCCTCCTCCCCTCCCGCACCTCTCACGCCCTTCTCGGAACCGCCTCCCACCCCTTTTTCTCTGTTGTCCGAGAAGGACGGCAACCTCACCGACGTCTCGGGCGCCACCGAGGTCGGCGACGACGACGCTATCCCTCCCATCCGCACCACCACCACTACCCATAACCCAGACAAGGGCCTCGTCAAGAAGCCTGCCCCGCTCAAACTCGGCAGCACCCTCAACAGCATCACCGACGAGGAGAACGAGAAATTAGAAGACAAGCTGCACCCGGCCGAGCTGTCGCACATCGCCACACAGTTCGCGGCAAAGATCCCACCGGGCCAGTTCTCGCCGGCCGAATTGCAGGGGTTCCTGCTCAAGCGTAAGAAGACGCCGCGGCGGGCGCTCGACGAGGTCGAGGGATGGGTTGCGGGCATGTTGGTGCTTAAGGCGAGTCGCACTCGGGTTCTGGCTGTTCAGTAAATCTGTCCTTGGATCTCTTTTCCCTTGTCTCCTTCCCCTTGGTCAGTTGGCCCCAACCAAGCTCTGTTGAGTTGGTGACTTCTCTCTTGGGTTAGGAAGAAAGCAACCATCCAGCTTTGGGCTTGGGTGAGAATGGGAAGGTAGGGGATGGTAAATGCTGGATCTTCTCTTGGTTATCTGGTAGGCTTGGACGTCTGTCCCATGGCTGGGCTACTTGGACTTCAGACTGCATGTGGGTTCCTTTGGCTGGGGTGGCTTGGAAGGGTGGAAGGAGGGATGTGCTGGCTGGGTTTTTGCGAGGCGTGTTTTCTACTTGGCCGGATACAAGGAGTGGTACTTGACTTTTTAGGGAGCGGGACAGAGAGATGAATACTACCGAGGGAGTGGCAGCGGTGAGACTGTATGTTACCCTAGACTTGGACAACGAATAAACCACGCGTTCGAGGGTGTTCAAGCGTCATTCCCGTTCAAGTACAGCGACGAAGCAAGCTATCAAATTCTGTTCAGCCCTTCAAGGTAGGTCGAGTAACCGACACCGACTAATCATAGTAGCCGTTGCCATACTGCTGCACATCGCCCTGATCCTCCTCCCACGGCTGCGGGGACTCCTCGCCCACTTCATCGTGAAGTTCCTCTTCACCGAACCCTTTTACGTCGTCGTCCTCTTCACGGCCATACTCGGCCTCCTCTTCGTCTTCATCCTCCATATCATCTTGGTCGTCTTCGTCAGAATACCCGCCTTCCTCATACTCCTCCTCCTCTTCTTCCACCTCGTCCACCTCATCACGATCCTGCAACGACGGCCGTTTCCTCGGAGTAAGCTCCTCTTGCTCACCCTCCTCAATCTCGTCCTCTTCTTCATCCTCGCTGCCTTCCTCATCCATATCCTCAAGGATTTCCTGGAATGCGCGTTCCTCCCCTTGTTCTTGTTCCCTTCCCTCTTCTTCCTCATCTGCTCCCAAACCGGCAGCGCCGGCAATCTTCCCGGCGCCATCTGCGAACTTCTCACCAGCACCCCCCTCCGCGGCCGCTGCCCCTGGAGCGCGAGCAGCCGCCTCGTCACCTGCCTTCTGTTCATGCGCATTTTGCGTAAGCAGCTTGATCATCTTGGCTGCCTCGCGTTCTTCGGCCTCCTTCACCGGGATCCGCACGCGACAGTGCATCCTCCTTTTGCGGCCGAGTCCTTCCACGACTTCGCGCTTGGACGTCTTGGATTTGCCCGGCCGCGGCCTAGACTTGCCGCCGCGCAACTGGTCGTACTCGGCGTCCGTCAGCTGCAGATCCGGCAGGCTGATGCCAATGCTAGTCCCCTGCTGCGCGGCGGCGGCGGCGCCGCCGCCGTCACCGCCGTCGTGCGACGCGCCCTTGTTGGCCACCTCCAGAGCGGCGCTGAAATCCCTGTCGGTCAGCGTGCGGTTGAACCGGATGGCGACCATCTTGCACTTCATGATGGCCTTGGCCACGGACCACAGCACGCGGTGGTAGAAGCCGCTGACCTCAACGTCGCAGTCGGCTCGGACCTCGGCATCGGCGAATAGCCTCGCCAGCAGCGGGTCCGTGATGTCGCACACCTGCCAGACCTTGCCGTCAGTGCTGAACGACTGGCCGTCAAAGACGTGCGTGTGCAGCAGCGCGCTGTCGCCGCTGCTGCCGAGGTCCTGCCAGGCCTTGCCAAAGTTAGACACGCCGATCTCCCTGCGGCGCACGGCCTGCCAGGAGCGGCCGACGCTGCCGATGCGCGACTTGTGCAGCTTGAAGATGAGCGTTTGGTAGACGCGGTACTTCGGGTCGGAGCGCGGGTCGAGGCCGTACTTGACGAGGGCGTCGCGCCAGGGTCCGCCCTTGAACTGGTAGCCGGCGTACTGCAGGCAGTGGCGCACGAGCCCGCCGTTCTTGGGCAGCTCGGCAAACTTTGCGCCCAGCCGGTTCCACATGCTGCGGCGCGTCCAGATGGGTCGCTCTTCCATGGCCACGCGCATCTCGGTGATGATGGCTGCCACCTGCGGGTCTGACATGTCGGGTTGCCGGCGGGGGCCCGCGGGCACGGGGTACTCGTCGTGGGCGATGAAGTAGCCGGCTGCGGGGACGCGCGAGGTGACGTTGACGACCCGCGCCCATTCCTGGTCTTCGGCTTCCGACCCGGAGATGTCGGAAGGACCGGGGCTGACCTCCTTGGTGTGGGGGTTCTGCGCATAGTTGTAGCCGAATGGGAGGCTGATGGGGGTGAAATAGGGGGGAGGTATCAGGTCGATGTTGGGCCCAGAGTCAATGCCTGGTTGGAGGGAAAATTCCTTCAGCTTTGCAACGTCGCCGGGGAGGACCTTCTCGACGAATTTTTTCATGAACTTGGATTCTCCCAGGGCGTACTGGAAATCAGCGAGGCCTACACAAAACGGGTCAGTCCTCTCCGCTCTGGGGATCAATGGGTTAGATACCTCTATAGCGATGGGTGTTGTTGATGACACCGATCGGCTCGACCGTGTACTTCCCGATGTTGTCCTGAAGCTTGCGCCGAATTACTCGCGGAGTGTCGAGTCTATCCCGCGAAAGGACCTCAGGGCAAACGACCGAGTCTCCTCCGGCAGGAGCAGGTTGCTCAATCCTCCCCTCCCACGGACCGTCGGTGCCTCGTTTGCGTTTCCTCCCAGTGCGCTTTGGGACTGTGACTTTCAAGACAACATTGTGGGTTAACGCATTGTGAGATGTCAGTGGCCTTGCTGTTGGGTTGTCGTAGCGCAGATACAGCGGCACTGAGATCTGCGGGCTAGCTGAATCGAGGATCTGGGTACATGTCAATTTATCTATCCATCTTCATTCACCATGAGGAACAACAGCTGGACATACTGCGTGGAAAGCATTGTGCTGCCCGAGCGTCTTGATTCCCTTGTCGAGGTTCTTGATGATCAAAGGATGCTCCAGCGCACCCAGCCTCCGAGAAGGGATTGAATATTTGGGCGCTGCGTCGGCCTCGTCATTTTGGGTTGGCGAGGCCATGATGAATGTATGGTTTCCAGTCGTTGCTGGACAAAGGACTGGGCCGCGGTTGTAGTGAATATTCCCTGCTCATAAGAGCGGAAGATCAAGCACTCCTTGGCTTGTGGCGGTCAAACAATTCAACCCAAGCTTAGAGTTGAAATCTGGACGCGTTTAAGATTAATACAAGAAAACGTGGTCCTCTGAAAAAAAAAGAAAAAAAGAAAAAGAAAATCCGAGAGCGGTTGCCCTATTCTTGAGAAAGATGAATGCCGGCTCTGCTCTCATGGATGTGTATCAAAAGCAGAAACAGGATGTAAATACGGATACAGATACAAGAACCTGAACCGGGGCAAGCTGGAATTGCTGCGTTCACCCGTAACGAACCGTTGTAAGTACTTTAACGTACTCCGTACAGTGTCACATTGAACCTTTGCATTCAACCCAGCTGCTCTTGCCCATACGGAGTAGAGATTTGTGCACACTCGCTCCACTGATGCTGAGACGGGACATTAGAATTTCCCCTATGAAACCCAAATGGTCATCTTAAACGATGTCTTCAGGTCCAGCCCAATTGCACACTACACTTAACACCACCTACCATCTCAGCCTTATTCTCGATCCAAGACAGTGCGAGAACGAACCTCACACGATATTCAGCCTGCTCCGACTTCCCGAGCGGGCCCTTCTCTGTCCCGTCTCCCTAAACGTAACATCAGAACCCGCTCTAACCTAAACTGAAGCTCAACAACGAGTCGCTCCAGACTCAAAAGTTCTTTGCTCGCACGATTCTCGAATCAGATGTGCACCGAGATAAGGTAGTTTCGCAGCCATTTATTTCCACTGCCCGGCTCTCGAGCGGGCCAGCGGCATTGTTGCGGTCGACCCGGTCCCGCTATCAGACCTGAGAACCCGCCGGGACCCGCGTCTTTGAGGAGAGAGCCCCGCAAAAACACCCTACCGTCAGAACGTCAGCTCGAAGCCCCAGGCCACTCTCCATCTCTCAAACGCTGGCAAGGGCAGCACCAACCCAGCGATTCAGAGTGCGTTTCCTGGACAACACCAACACTGGGACTTGGATTCTAACGGCCTTTAGTGCTCTCCTAGGCTTTTGAAACACAGGCGTCAACGCGCTACCTCGCACCGAAATCCAATTGCCGCCATCGCTTCCCCAACCTCAGACCTGCCGTGCTTGCCCAGCCCTAGGTAGGCAAGCATCGACTCGGCACAACACTGCTGATCCTCCCAACTGCGCCGCTCTGACCACTTCATTGGCGCACACCCGTGCCTCGAATACGTCGTCACAACCCTCCGTTGCCTTTCCTAGGCTGGTGACCAGCACCGTAACTTGTCACAACTAGTCGTCAGCACCATACCACAGTTCAGCCGTGTCGCACAGTGGGGATTGCTTTGAATGAGCGCTCGCAGCGAGCACTCAGCTCGACGCCTTCCTGGTATCTGAACAAACCACCCCTCGACAGTGTGCTTCGGTTCGCAGAAGGGTCGAGCTGGGCGCCTCTCGTCGCCCCACGGAAGAGAAGCTGTTGTCTTCAAAGATGAAGCGTTTCGGCGCCAGAGTCGTAAGTCGCGCTGGATCGTCGCCTCAGACCGCATTGCTGACGCTGTTTGGCACAGCTTTCTCGGGGCAAGGACTCGAGCAAGTCTTCCAAAAAGAATAAGGATTCCAAGGATGGGACCGCGTCGCCGAATGCTTCGGCAAGGGATTCCAACCAGTCCCCCGTCGTGACCCCATCTTCCTCTACCTCGACCTTGAACGACATTCGCAACAAGCCACTGCCTCCCAACAGTGCCGCCCATGCCGATCACGCCGCGCTCGCTGCTCAGGCCCAGCTGGGCAGCACTGGCGTGAGCCCTAGTGTACCGGACAGATTTGGTGGTGGCGCTGCTGGGCAGCCCCAGGGCGCTAACGGCGGCAGCACGCCTGCTAGACATGGGGCCCTACCTCCCACCGTTATCATCAGCCCAAGCGCTCCGGTAAGCTTTAGACCATGGTGCCAAGCCCGTTTGTGGACCGTACTGACGAGACATACTTCCGACAGCACGTACCGCCCCCCGGTGCCCCTGAGACGATGCCCCACGATCTTGCCCCGCCGAAGGCCGGCCAAAAGTCCCTGATGTTCGACCGCTTGCACCAGACGCCCAAGGACGTCCTAGAGGGCCCCAAGACGCCTAGGCGGCAACACTCATCACGGTTCGATATTTCCGCCCACCGGGAGTTGGAAAAGCTTCCCGGATTTCACGAGGTACCCCCCGGACGTCGGGAAGACCTCTTTATGAAGAAGATTGAGCAGTGCAATGTCATCTTCGACTTCAATGACGCCAGCGCCGACATGAAGTCCAAGGAAATCAAGCGACTGGCCCTCCATGAGCTCCTCGATTACGTCGCCAACAATCGGCAGGTCATCACCGAGCCCATGTACCCGGTCGTTGTTGGCATGTTCGCCAAGAACCTGTTCCGTCCGATCCCGCCGCCGATGAACCCCCAAGGCGAGGCGTTCGACCCGGAAGAGGACGAACCTGTCTTGGAAGTCGCTTGGCCTCATATCCAGGTTGTGTACGAGTTCTTCCTCCGATTCATCGAGAGCCAAGACTTCAACACGAACATCGCCAAAGCCTACATCGACCACAGCTTTGTTCTTCAGCTCCTTGAACTGTTCGATTCCGAGGACCCCCGCGAGAGGGACTTTTTGAAGACGACCCTGCACCGGATATATGGCAAATTCCTCAACCTCCGATCCTTCATCCGCCGCTCCATCAACAATGTCTTCTTCCAGTTCACCTACGAAACTGAGCGGTTCAACGGCATTGCCGAGCTGCTAGAGATCCTGGGCTCCATCATTAACGGGTTTGCCCTACCTCTTAAAGAGGAACACAAGTTGTTCCTGACAAGGGTCCTGATCCCTCTGCACAAGGTGAAAAGTTTGAGCATGTACCATCCTCAACTCGCATACTGCATCGTGCAGTTCCTTGAGAAGGATGCTTCTCTGACAGAAGAGGTATGTTACTGCATTTGGCCCTGCCGGCAGGATCGGCTTACACTGACGCGCAATGCAGGTCGTGCTTGGCCTCCTGCGATATTGGCCCAAGGTCAATAGCACGAAAGAGGTCATGTTTCTCAACGAGGTCGAAGACATTTTTGAGGTTATGGATCCCGCCGAGTTTGCCAAAGTCCAAGAGCCTTTGTTCCACCAGCTCGCAAAATCCGTGGCGAGTCCGCACTTCCAGGTCGCCGAGAGGGCACTCTACTTCTGGAACAACGAGTATTTCTGCAACCTGGTCAGCGACAATGTTGAAATCATCCTGCCCATCATGTTTGCCCCTCTCTACGAGAACTCCAAGGGCCACTGGAACAGGTCATTGGTTGCACCCTGGTCTTGCATTTGATTCCGTGGCTAACGGCACAATAGGACAATTCACGGCATGGTTTACAACGCCATGAAATTGTTCATGGAGATCAACCCCCAGCTCTTCGACGATTGCTCACACGAGTACACGGAGCAGCAAAATAGCGCTGCGACGAGAGAAGCTCTCCGCCAAAGGAAATGGGCCGCTATCCAGGATCAGGCCAACCGGAGGAAAGCCGTCAACGGCTCGGCTGCGTCCGCCGGGCCACCGCCGTCACGGATGGCCCCGAGCACGCTGCCGCGCGTCGACGAGATGCAAACGGCCGAGGATAACCAGATGAGGCTCGACTCGCTTAAGCTGCAAGACGTCGACCGCAGGGATCATCATCGACCCGGGATGCACGACAGACAAAACTCGGTTGGCTCGGCGCGGGGTCAACGGTGATCTGGAAGCTGCCCTCAAAGTTTCCTGTCTTCTCGGGTTACATGTCACTTGTATGGCACGCCCAAGGGCCTAGAACCTCCAACAACGCCGGTGCGCAGTATTATCCGCGCGTCTCCCCTGCAGATTTGCGGCGTTTCAGCTGTCGCAATACAGCTTTCGATGTAGTTCTAGGCGTCTGGCGTTAAAAAGAGGCGCGAGCAACAGTATCAGAACCATCAACCAACCCGGGTCACCAGCATTGAAAATCCCGCTCTCTCTGTCTTGGCTTCGTCGGCCTGTTTTGGCGTTGGCGTCCCCCGGTCTCGCGTTACCTCTCCCCCAATTCTGTACAAGCAGAAGCGAGCAATCGACTGCCGTTATTCCGGGAATTCTGCCCAAGTTTGGCTTATTGTCGCTTTTTCCTCGAGTCCGTGGTGGGTGCTAGAGATGGTATACAGGGGCGCGCAGGGCTGGATGGAGACTTGGGATGCAATCACCCACCGGATGGATGGAAAGCGGGATCTTTTTCAGAGAGGTTGAAAAGGCGGTTGGTTGTTTGGTGTGAGGAGAGAGACAGCACCGGACTGATCGGACTGTATCTCACGGGGACCAGGGGTTAAGCGCTTCCGAGTGCTCAAGCGGACACAACACAATGGCCCCCCCGACACAGTACCTGTGGCCTTGGTTTACCCTCATCTCGGCATATCTTTAACTTTTCACTTCTACATACCTATTCACTTCGTCGTTTTATCTTGTTGCTTTTCCTTTGTCCACTCTATTGTTCTTTTCTCCTCACCAGAGTCCCCATTTACCTCTTCTATAGCGGGTCCTTAGCAATGAATGGCTAGTTTTGTCGTGGTACCCTGGTGTTTGGTCGTCTTGCTCTGGTAGGGTAAGGTGGTCGCTGATTCTCTCCGGGCCTGCAGGCCCGGTCTCTTGTCGTATCCTATCGACCAAGGGAGATCGCAAAAAAAAAACGAGGGAGCTAAGGGGGAGAGTACGCAGGGGAATGGAGGGTGCTCTCTGAATGCGGAGTTCAGTGCAGGTTTAGTCTCTGGGATCTCATGTACGTTCGGGTCTTGGCTAACTACCCGGATTTGGTTGATAGACTGGGATTCTTTTGCATACAGTCAACCTTCTTCCTCTTCATATGCTGCCTATGCCCTGAACGCTTCGTAAAGGCTGCTACATGATTGCTTTTGATCCAATGAGCAACGCGGAGTGGCGGCCTGCCAAACGGGGATGCGAACCGGTCCAGCCTCTCTGGTCAGCGGGCCATACATATACCCGCCTTCATCGCTTCCGAGTTCGTTACCGCCACCCACCGCGCCCATACCCACCCCTTCCCTGATGCCCTACCCGATACTGCCCCTGAGGATAGAAACCATCATGATTCCCCACCGGTGGCCCTGGCGGTGGAACCGGAGGCCATCCGCCCGGAAAAGGAGGCGGCGGTACCGCATTCCCAGGTGGGACAAAGAAGTTTGGCGACTGCTGGCCAACCATTGGTGGCGGAGGTATCGAGGGTGGAGCAGGCGGCCAAGGTGCCTGGTAAGTCGGCGGCGGCGGTGGAGGCGGAACTGGGAAGCCGAGGCCAAAGCCCTGTTGAGAGGGGATGGGAGGTGGTATCGGGTACGTTGCCATTGATGGCGGCGGCGGCGGCGGTGGATGTTGGTTCCAGGTGCCGGAAGGTGCCGGCATCTGGGGTACATATCCGTTCCTTGATGGTGGAGGTGGCTCCTGTGAACGAAGGGGGGATCCAGGCCGGCTCCAGGATCGGCTTCTGGAACGTATGCCGAAGTCTGGGCTTTGTGGCTGGCATTTGCCTTTTTCGTTGACATTGGGCCTCCGATATCGGTAGCCCCTGCTGCGAGACCTAGATCGGGACTGTGACCGCCGACCCGACGGCGAACGGGACCGACTTCGTGACCGCTGGTAGCTGCGGCTCCGATGCCTGTCTGGGCTGCGTCGACCACTGGGAGACCGACTTCGACTGCGGCCGCGACTTCGACTTGGCGGGGACCCGGACATTCTTTGTCGCTTGAAGTCAGGACGTTCTGAGCTCCGGCTCGAAACGTCGCTACGGTCTCGCGGTCGGCTGCGCGATCGGCTATCCGAGCGGGTGTATGAGGTTGATCGTGTCCGGCCTCGGTCGCCATCGCTGCGGCCGTTACGTCCGATGCGAACTCGTCTCCTCCGCTTCATCTTCTCGCAGAACGCACGGGACCATCCGTAGTAGGTATCTCCATCAATGATGTCACCGGTAAGCTCGTCGATTTCAACACGTTCACCCAGCCTGCCAACATTCGGTGGAGGTTCGTCGAGATTGACTTCTTTGGAATAAATCCTTTCAACATCCACCAGTAGGCTCTTGACAGCCTCTACCAGACTCTTGTCGGCCGGGCCTTGTGCCAGAACTAGCGGTTTAATCATGGCGGGGTTTATCGGACGGGTCGAGTTTGGCTCCAGAACTGGCATCCAGTTTCCCGCGGGAAGGTCGTACCACGGTGTGGATGGATCGCCATGCATTGCCGGCATAACCCAAGGCGCGGATTTCGCTGCCTTGGCCACGGCGCTGGCCGAGCTGTCCCCGTCATCGGTTGATTGGCCCCCGCCGCCGGCGGTTGGGCCTTCCTCAACCGCTGCCCGGAGCTGCTGGATGACAGTGCGTGCAAAGTATCCGTTCTCTTCCCAAAGCCCGATCAGGTTTTGGATCTTTCGGATATGTTTGGGACAGTTGTTGAAGGATGCGGCGCTCCTGACCAAGGCCGAAATGGTTGGCTCTAGCTTGAGGGCGAAGCCGTCATCGCGGTTGCGGTGCTTGACGTGGTAGAGGATGTCGTTCAAGATGTACAAAACATGCAGGCGACGGCGCTTTGCAGAGGGCACGCGACCCGCCTTGGAGTCCAGCGCAGTAGCATCCTTCTCGCCGCCGATCGACTTGGAGAGAGCGACCAGGTACTTGCAGAACGGGGCGATCCGGGAGGACGAGGGAACCAGGTTGCTGAGAGCCCATTGCTTGCATCTCTGGCGTGCGGCTTAGCCGATGGATTCACTCAACGGGTAAAAAGCGACACGGATGAAGCGTGTTCTCAAACCTGAACATTGGACGGCGAGCACTCGGTGATGGTTGCGTTGACGAGGCCAAGCATAGATTCGATGTCGTCGCGCGAACACGGCCGCGGATCAGCGCGGAACAGAGCTCCTGAGAGCGCCGTCTTAGCGACGATCAGCTCTGCAGACGCCATGACTACTGGTGCCAAGAGCGGCGATGCAGAGCAATGTTGTTGTAACGTTGTCGCAGAGACACACTTGTTGATTCCTTCTCGCTGGGCGAGCCTGAAGCAATTCCAAACCGGCTTGAACGAAATGCCATGCCGTCAAGAAGCCCGAGCTTGCAGCTTCCACAATGGCAAAACCGAGGCCCACCATTTTTCCGGGCCCAAATTGTCAGGTATTTACCAAATTGTATGTACGTAAAATACGTTAGCGGTACTCCGTACGGATACGGATGCGTCAATCAAAAATGTTCTTTCCTTCCGTCACTCTATTATACACGTCATACAGAATCATTTATTTGTTTCTCCAGCTACCGAGAGTTTATTGCATTGGTAGTGAAGAGGAACTCACGGCCATGAGGGGACACCGTCTTGGACGGGGCCAACTTCTGAGGGCCAGCGGGAAGCGCCGACGCGACAGGATGACCAGTATCGCAATGCGGCTTCGCCTCCATAATACAAGACTAGAATAGCAAGACGTACAACGTCCTCCTGTGAACGTGCCCATGTACGGGGTCTCCCCATCGCCACTTAAGAAAACCGGTCTCCTTTCGGACTCCTGAACGGGGCTGCTGCTTCGTACTTGCTCTTCTCGACCACCCTCTGTCCCTCGGTAGCTGGTGCGTGTCGTGTCGGAGCTGGGTCGTTGCTAGATTCCTGGCTCGGCGAGCCCGCCGGGTCTAACCTCGCCGGGCCGCCGTTCGCTATCCCCGTCTCGGAGCCACCCATGGTCGCTGAGGAGAGCGGCCGGGTAGGGACGTTCTGGGAGTATTCGAGCGACTCAACCATGGCCTTCTTCTTGCGCTGCTCCTCTAGCCTGGACTGGCGGTCGGCATTGATGCTCTGCTTCGCGAAGTAGTATGCCGCGCCGCCGGCTGGAGGTTGGGGTGACGTCAGTCAGTTGCCGTAGTCATCTTGCGGCTTCCCTGAGGATGCTGTTGCCATACCGACACATAATGAGCCCCAGCCCAGCCTATACCAGATGTTCCATTAGCCTCGGGCCTAGAGGTGGCGCAATCATTTGGTGTTGTTGCTCACCAAAACGACCTCACCTGCAGGAACGGAGTCAGTGTCATTGCGAGCTGGTTTTGGGGAAACGGTCAAAAGGGTGACGTACGGTATTCATTTCGTCCAATAATTTGTAGCTTCGCTCGTAAAAAGCTATTGGTATGAAATCGGTAGGACTACGGACTTGGGTGAGGTATTGGTGCTTGTGAAGAGAATGAGTTGCTTGTCGGAATGGCCTGATGCAATGCAATCGATAAGATATCGGCCTGTTGGTGGCCATATCAACAAGCATGAGCTTAAGCGCCAAACAACGTTAGCGTCTGGCAGCCCGCCGCGGCCACACTTGGATGAACATTGGTATGATTCGGATACAGCGCACTGTACCTCTGTATTGTACCGCGAATAACGTTATCTCCCTGGAGGCTACCGATAATTCAGAAATGTGGAAAATTCCATATGACTCGATCAAGTACCGTCCTTTTACTTAAGATTTCAGGACTTAACCTCATTTCTATGACTTTGAGCTTGTGATTGCTTTTTAAAAGCTGCCCTACACGTTTCGTTGTTTTCCTACAGATGCACTGGAGTCTGCTGTAGTACAGTGGGACTAGTAATTTGTCAGAGCCCACGGAAAGAGGAAGTCAGCTAAGAATACGGATGTCGCTACCAAAAATATTGGCTCACCGCCTTCAATGCCAAGATCACCCAAGAGTCAACTTGCCCCTATAAGCCACTGTAATCCACTGTAAGCCGAAAAATAAACAGGCGCGTTTTCGATCACAATTTAGAAGGAATGAAGCTAGTCAACACTCAGCCCGGGAGCCAAAACAACATCTTGACGGCGGTTCTCTGACCTCCCCTCTGCGTATTCGTTCCCGCCTTTCAACCGAATGACCTCCTGGATATGATGCGGGATCTCTCAATCCAACGTTGTATCCTCCACTGCTCTAAATTATCCCACGCCTGCTTCCATACTATCTCTGCTTGGCTCTTGCTCTTTGGAGCTCCCTTCTTTGTTGTCACCAGCTTTAGATACGGCCAACACGGCTCGATCATATTAAGATCAGGCGAGTTAGGGCACCAAATAAGTCTTGATACTTCAGCTGTTGAGAAGACTGTAGCTTGTGCGTAGTGGGCGTGAGAAGGTGCGAGGTCTTCCTGAACAAGAGCATCTGGACCACACTGCTTGGCGTATGGAATAAGCTTCTTCATCAGAATCTCCTTTTGGTACCGATACCAATCAACGCCGGAGCCTTCTCGTCGTGTAAGCTTGCCGTGCTTCGCATCCCACCTCCACTGAGGAGCTCGCCCGCGTTGATTCCGTAGCTTCAAGCGCCTCATGCCAGTCTCTAGCTCCCATTGCTCGCGGAGGATAGGTTCCAGCTTCAGATTCAGCCCCTCAAGGTCCTTCTCCGCTGCCTTCCTCTCTTGCGCAGTCTCTGGGTGCCAGATGTGACATGGCCCCTTTGAATCGTATGAGAAACAACCCCAGAACTGGAACTCGGTGTATCCCTTCCATCGCTCGCGAATGCAAGAATTGACGAACTTCTCCTCAGGGGTCCTCCAAACGCGGTAGCCACCACGCCGGTGATTCAAGACAACAGATGTCTCGTCGGACCAGATAACTCGCTTCCAATCTTCAAGAGTCCAGTGCTCATAGCGGAGACAGAACTCAAAGCGATCCCTCTTCATTCTCTCAGTCAGACCAGGCTTGCGCGTTGGCTTCGTCTTCTTCATTCCAGCAGCACGCAAGATGCGCCAGACTGTCATTGGGGAGATGGTGTTCCCTAGCTGGGCCGAGATATAAGCGCATGTCATCTCGCGGCCAAAGCGGCTTTTGCGGACCTTTTTGAGAACCGTATCTTTATCTTCGCTTTGCTTCGAGGGACGGCCGGTCTTTGGAGCATCGCGGACATGTTCGTCAAGGATCACCGGAGGACAGCCTTTCGGATCAAAGCCACGTTCGAGAGCCCTATCAGCGATGCTGTTAATAGTCCGCGCCTTCAGGCCTGTAATAGCTTCAATATCCTTGTTATCAAGCTGAACAATCAGCTTAAGAGTAAGCGCTTGCGCGCGTGTAGCAATATCGTGATAGACCATTGTAAAAGTGCGTGCAAAACAAGGTGTGTTGTGGTTCAAGGTCAGAAAATGAGGGGCAATACAACAGTGGTTGTAGTGGGTTACTGGCTGAATGCCATGATTCTGCCGGGCAGAAAGATACACGGCGGTGAGCCAATTCTTTTGGTAGCGGCATCCTTACAGGTATCTTGCCTGATCGAATTTGTGGCACAAATGCGCATGACATACACGTAAGTGCTCGAGCTCGTCGTTCTACCGGTTCCCGTCCATTCCAGATTGCTTTGGTTTGAGGGGTGCGGAGTAACCGTACCTGGAAAGTACATACCCCATACTTCTCGGCCCGCCAACCGTGCCTCAAACTATCACCAAATTTGTTGCTGAAACGGATGCACATCGTCATTTGCCCTGACCAAGCCCTGGCGCATCCACTTGCAGCGTCAGTCGCACCAACGCGCCCCCTGGGAATATCGTGTGAGAGGCGCGGCATTGGCCTCGCATCAGTTTGGGTAATCTTGAAACAAGACAAGCCATAACCTCCACGGTCGAGTGTCCACTCTCCATCTGATTGCCCCGCCACCAGCAAATGCGCAGTCCCGCAACGCGCGTACACTCGTTTTCTGTGGCAGAGGGCAGCGCCGATCTAAACTCGTCTCCGGATGCGCGCCATCTCATGACAAAAGGAGCTCCCTGGCCGAGGGTTGACGGGCCACTCGATCATCAATAACGGGGGAGCCTGCTGCGCTCAGCCCGCCGCAACTGCCATGGATCCTCTGTTGAACGATGGGCCCGATGGGTCGTCCCTTGTGAGCAATCTCAGGAGCAGATGGCGTGCGAATGAGAAGTGGTTTGGGAGGCTAACTGTGTATCACTGTGATAGAGGCCCGTCTCGTCGTTGTTGGCCAAGTTCGAGAACCTGAATAAGACCGACAGCCATCCCCAACCCGGCTCTTCCTCACGGACGGCATCCCCCATCCCGCCAGCGCCAGCGCCGGTACCAAAGCCTGAGCGGCTGCGTGAACGAGATGCGAGCCCGTCGTCAGGGCGCGGGCCGCCGCCCGTCCCGCCAGCGCGCCCAAAGGACAGACCGAACGTCTCCAACATCAGCGCTCCCGCGACCAACATCGGCTTCCCTACCTCTCCCACGCGCCCTCTCCCTCCGCCCATCAGTCCGCGCCCCGCCCATCCTCCGTCCCTCACAGTCGATCCACCTCATTCGCCGCCAAAGAAGGGCCCTGGCTTGCCTACCGGCGACCGGCCTTCCTTTGTGAATGCAAATTCCTTGGTCAGCCCCTTGTCTCCGGCGACAGAGACCAGCCAGTTCAAAATTCCGAGCCGCCCTCGTTCGCCGCAGGAGTCCCGTACATCACCTCGTCTTGCGCCCTCGAAGCCCCCATCCCCGCCTCCGCCAAGACGGTCTGTAGAGCTTAGGCGGGAAAGAGACGCTAAAGATGGTGGCAGGCCCATCCCACCGCCGGTGAACCGGGCAGACAAACCGCTGATAGGGGCCGCTCGCTTTTCCCTGTTCTCGAAGCCTAGCCAGCCCGTCAATGTGCCCAACAACGCCAGCGACAAGATCTCACCCTTCAACAGTCCGCCTAGCAGTAGCGGGACGACGGATGAGGATGTGCCCCCTTCTTTGCCAACCCGGCCCACCACGCAGAGGGACTGGATACCGAGGTCAAACGCCTTTCAGGCGGCTCCTGAACCGCTCGAATCACCGTTCAACCAGCGTTCAGTGAATGGAAGAAGACTTGGAAGAGAGGGTGCCAATGGTATAGCAGCGGAACCGCCCACGGGCGAGCAGCCGCCAGCGCTTCCGGCAAGACCGCAAAGCATGATAGACTCAGGGCGCGCTATGCAGGTGACTTCAGCACCACCTCCGCGACCACCTCGACCGGTACTGAACACGAACTACGCTCATGAAATCGGCGCAGCTGGTCCAGCGGCTCAGAAGAGGGTCGCCTCAACGCCCACCACACACACTCCACTTGCTATTCCAAGGCTCAGTGGTAGATCCATGACTTTCGATGTGGATCGGATGCCGAGTAGGAGCGTCAGTGATTTCCGTGGGTCAGCTGCACCCTCTACCCCCACGGAGCCGCGAGCCTCGGATGCGCAGTCGAGGGGCGACGTCTCTGCGGCAGCCACCACGGCCTACCCAGACACCTCACGAACAAATCGCAGCAAGCCATACATTGCGAAAGGCGTGCACGAAATCGCCACTAACTATGACAGCCGCCTCTTTGACGTCTGCGGTAGTTATATTTGTACGACCGGGGCCTACACACGAGCATGGAGCGTGCAAGACGGCGAGCTGGTGATGAGCCTGGCCATGGGTGAAGGCCTGAAAGGGACAGCCGTGCTGTTCAAACCCGGGGAGAACGTCGATGAAGAAGGCAAGCGGGTCTGGATAGGGAACAACAATGGCGAATTGCTAGAGGCCGATGTGCCGTCACAAAGCATCGTGAACCAAAAACCCAACGCCCATGGGCGGTACGAAATCATCAAAATATACCGACATTACAACGAGGTGTGGACGCTGGACGAGAGCGGCGCCCTCCATGTCTGGGGTCCCGGCGACAAGGGTGTTCCGAACCTGTCGTTGGGTCCTGCCCAAACCTTCCGCTTACCCCGAGGACATACCTTCTCGATAGTTGTGGGCGACGAGCTGTGGCACGCGACAGGCAAAGAAATACGGGTATTTTTACCGACGCTTGATGGGCGGACGCAGTTTCAAGTCCTGATACGACCGCTCACTCAAGACAGCGCTGGAGAAGTAACGTCGGGTACCATGCTCGCGTCAGAACCAAACAAGGTTTTCTTTGGACACAGCGACGGTAAAGTGAGCATCTACTCGAGGAAAGATTACTCGTGCCTGGGGGTGATGAACATCAGCCAGTACAAGATCAATTCGCTGGCTGGCGTGGGCCGGCGCATGTGGGCTGGGTTCAATACGGGCAAAATGTCGGTATTTGACATGGAGCCGACGCCGTGGGCTCTCAAGAAGGACTGGCAGGCTCACAAGAACCCAGTCGTCAAGATTGTTGCCGACCATTCCAGCTTCTATAAGCTGGATAGGTGCCAGGTGGTGTCGCTGGGCGCAGATAACATGCTGCGGATTTGGGACGGGCTTCTCCAGGACGACTGGCTCGAGAGTGAGATGAAGCTCAAAGACTTCCAGTACTGCACCTTTGATGAAATCAAGGCCCTGATCGTGACGTGGAACGCGGGTGCCTCGACACCCTATAGCCTGCGTTACTCCGAGTCGGACGCCACGTTTATCCGGGATCTGTTGCAGAGCAGCGACTCGCCAGATATCATTGTCTTTGGGTTCCAAGAGCTTGTGGACCTCGAAGACAAGACGGCCACAGCTAGTGAGTCCAGTCTGTTAACCCTCGAATTCCTTCTCTCACGTTCTAACGCTTGGCAGAACGCTTCCTCACTAAGAAACCCAAGAAGAAGGAGGGCTCGGACCAAGAACGCATGAGCCACCAGTATCGCGATTGGCGCGACTTCCTAGCCCAGAGCCTGGACGACCACATGTCAAGCGGCGGCCTGTACCACATCCTACACACGGCGCCGCTCGTCGGCCTCTTCACGTGCATTTTCGTCAAAGCCGACCTCCGCGAGCGCGTCAGCAATGTCAGCAGCGCCGAGGTCAAGCGCGGCATGGGCGGGTTGCACGGCAACAAGGGCGCCATTGTGGTGCGCTTCATGCTGGACGACACGTCGCTCTGCTTCGTCAACTGCCACCTCGCAGCGGGCCAGACGTCAGCCAACGCGCGGCACAACGACATCGCCGCCATCCTGGAAGCGCCGCTCCTCCCGCCGCAGCGCGATCCGGCCGTGCGCATCGACAGCTTTGTCGGCGGCGGCGACGGGTCCATGATCCTGGACCACGAACTCTGCCTGCTCAATGGCGACCTCAACTACCGCATCGACACCATGAGCCGCGACACGGTCGTGGCGGCGGTCAAGGCCGGCAATCTGGCCAAGCTCCTCGAGCGCGACCAGCTGCTCGTGGCGCGACGCCGTAACCCGGCGTTCCGCCTGCGGGCATTCGAGGAGCAGCCGATCTCGTTCGCGCCGACGTACAAGTACGACGTGGGCACGGACAACTACGACACGAGCGAGAAGAGGCGCAGCCCGGCGTGGTGCGACCGGCTGCTGTACCGGTGCGGGAGCGGCCGGGGCCGGATCGAGCAGTTGGATTACCGGCGGCACGAGGTGCGCGTGTCGGACCACCGGCCTGTTAGTGGGCGGTTTCGGTTCAAGGTCAAGAGGATTGACCCCAAGAAGAGGGCGGTCGCGTGGATGGAGTGCCAGCAGCGGTGGGAGGACCTGAGAGCGAGGGAGGCCGAGGCCGAGAAGTGAGTTCTTCCGCCTGGCCTTACAGCCACATGTTCATTTACAAATCTGCTGTATCATTTGTGATGACGATGACTGACTGTCTGTGACAGGATGTTTTACTTGACCAAGGTAATTGGCTATGACAAGTCGACGGCGCAGAGTTTGATTAGTGAGCGGGCCTTGAGAAGGGTCCATCGGAGTCCCAGTCGGCACAGGGAATGATTGGAACGGAAACACCGCTTGATGAATGAATGTAAGGTATGGATTTTGGTGTTTCGCCCTGGAGTGGGCCAGTTTAGAGATACATACCCCCTGGAGTTGGGTTGGGAATGGGTGATAGAGGGGCTGGAATGTATTGACATGGAGAGCGACGGAGCGTTTGGCCGCCCTCGATCTGTGCGGATGTCTACAAGATGAGTCTCTGGCTCCGTTCAATGAACAACCCTTGAAATATATGTGGATTGTGAATACGATGCAGCGTCTTGGTCTCAGGCGTAGACAATTCAGTTTCCCCAAAGCTTGATAGATGCCTACCTTGCCTTAGTGTTCCTTTCCTACCTTACTGTATGAGGGCCGGAGCTCAAAGCATGATGTCATTATCACCTAGGTACCGGCCCGAGTCCGAGCCGAATCATCGATTATCAAACCTCGCATCAGCTGAGGTTGGTTGGCTGAGAACTGCAACCGACCGTAACCGGACTCGTTCCTCAAAACAGCGACAAATGGCAATTCCAAGTGTAAGAGCATGACAACCACGTGTGACATGAACCCCTCAAAAGCGGTTCCTGATTAATAATTGACAAGTCTAGAAAAGATCATATACCGAGTACATGACACCTTACTGTGCAAGCACCTTAGATCCTGAAGCGTCGTCCACATTCTTACGACGGCTTACGTCCCGAGTTTGAATGCGCCATCTCATACGAGCTACACCAGGTCTGGGGACCATCACCATCGCCAGGCTGCTTCACAAGTATCCTCCCGAAAGAATGGCCTCCGCCGCAGATCTCCCGTCCAGGATGCACGTCACCCCTGACAACACGGGGGCTCTAGCACATCAAACAGACCGACGAGGCAGCCAAGAAGGCTTCTGAACTGCTTCAGGAGGACATGGAAGTTCGTGCTGCCTCCTTATCCCCATGCTTCCCAACTCCTACTAACCACTTCCGGGGGTTTTCACTCCCACAGAAACATCACGTCGTTTTTAAACCTCGAAGGTTTCCATAATCACGTACCCCCGTCTTTCCTCACCCCGAATCACAGCCGTACCTGACACGCCTCTTACACAGATCCCACACCACATCCTAGCCCTCTACGGCACAGGCGCCCCGGCCCCAGCCCTCCAGGCCGCCTATGCCCATAACGAAGGCTACCAACGCCCTGCACTCCCTCCCCACACCACCAACCAAGCAGCAGCTCCGACAGTCGCCTTCTACCCCTGGCCAGCCGCCGCGAAGCCTTACCTCGGCAACGAAGAGTACTACCCGGATCTCCTGCGCTTCTTCCAGTCCGAGATCAAGGCCCTCGGCTCGTGGCAGGCGGCCGTGGGCCCCTATCTCCTTTGCTCGTCCAAGAATGAAGAAGACGACGACGAACTGCTGGTGCGCCTCTTCGCCGGCTTCCTGCACCCGCTCATCCAGCTCATGTACGGCGTCGAATGGGGCCAGGAGGCCATCGTCGCCGAGGCGCTGGCGCAGGCGGCTGTGCACAGCGGGGATATTGGTGGGTTTTTGAAGGAGGCGGAGAGGCGGGCTGTTACTACAACTACTTTAACTAATAGTGGTAGCAGAGGTCCCTCCGTGATGGAGTTGATGGACGAGGCGAGGAGGAGCGAGCGGCTGAGGGCTGCTGCGCGGAACGAGGATGCCAACAAGATCCGCGATGGGGTGCTTGTGCGCGCCAAGGAGGACATGATTGCGCTTGCGGCGAGGGTGCGGGTCAGGCCGGACGAGGTGGAGGAGAGGACGGCCGAGATGTTCAACGCGGCGTTGTTTGTTGCGGCTGCTGCGGCGTTGGTGAAGGAAGGGAAGCAGCCCAAGTTTGACTTCTTTCTGATGTAAGTTTGTGTGTGTCTGGATGAGATGGGTGAGTGTGGTATGGGTGTGTCCAGGGGAGGAGACTGACTGTTGACAGGCACCATGTAAATGCGAGCTCCATCTTCGTCACGCTCAACGCCCAGGACTGGATCCCTGCTGAGACGAAGGCCCGGTTGCTGGAATGGAAAATTCGGATGGATCTGCTGCAGTATGCTGCGCGTGGAGTGTCAGAGTTGTCGCAGGAGAAGCTTGCCGGTTACCAGCCGAAGAAGCCCGATGTTGGGGGTTCACTTGCCGGTAAGACGGTCTCATGCCACCGTTCGAGAATAGATAGTGATGATTTCGGCAGAGATCATTGCCCACCTGCATACCTTCCCCGATGACGGACATGCCATCAAGCTGGGCCGGGCGACGGTTGTGTGCCACAACATCTGCAAAGCGTACGAACAGGAGGGTGGTGAAAACTGGCTCAAGGTAAAGGGGAACGATACGTGGAAGAGAGTTTGCCATTTGATTGTAGACTCGGTTGAACCGCCGGGGCTACACTGGGTGCGCAGTTGTGGGTTTGACGAGGCTTGGAAGGTATGTCTGCCGGGTGAGCGGATTGACGAGGAGTGCACAGGCTGACTGGTGGCAGGATGTCCCCAATCTCTAGGCCGGGAGGCTGAACCTGGATCAACATGCTGATGGATGGAAGTGGACTCAAGACCATGCATGGTGTTAACCTGTATTCCCAGACGCCTTTCCGCGCCTCCTACCTATTCTAGCCCTATCCACTCGTCTTCGCTCACAGCGTCTTCCTGCATGATGTCGTGTATGGTCACCTCCTTGGACGGCGGCAATGTTTTCATGGCAGCGCCATCCACGGCGCCAGCTTCACCGCCAACCGGCTTGTCCCTCGCTTGGCCAAGCAGGTAGTCCACCATGTAGACATTCTCGTCAGCCAGCCGCCTGATCTCATCCTTCATCTTGGCCACGGCTCGCGCCACAATCCGGAGCTCCACGTCCACCTTGCCTCGGTTGGCCGTTAGCCACGCGCCGTGCTTGTCCACTAGCGCCTTGATCCAAAGCAGGCAGAACTCGACGTGCGGCGACTGCTCCGTCTGGGCGGCCACGTAACGCAGGAGCCGTGCCACATACACTGTCGGAAAGTGCTCGACAACCAGGCCAATGTCCGTGTACGGAATCGCCTGGAAGACGCGTTGAATTAGCCCGGCCTCGTTCAAGCGAAACGCCATGACGAGCGCCTTGAGGTAGTCACTGTCCTGCTCGAGCACAGCGAGCGTTGAGGCGGGCGTGATCTCCATGTTGAGATCGAACGGATCAAACTGGACGATGCTGTCGAGGCTGTAGATCAACAAGCCTTCCGTGGACGCTGCGCAGAAGGAGGTGCCGCTTGGCGAAAATGCCACGCCTGTTACCCTCACCTCCGGCATCTTCCTTCTGGCCGAAGGGTCGCCGCGCTTGGAGCCAGGCAAAGATCTGTCTATCCTGTCCTCCAAGTCCGAGGCTTCGCCTTGCTCGTCAAGGAGCCCAGACGGCCCTGCCTCGGTGAGCAGCTTGCTGTTGAGGAACTCCTGAGTGCCCGAGAGCGACAGGTTTACGCTCACGGTGAACTTCCTGAGAAGCACCATGGTGGTGACCGAGTACAGGCAGATGTACTTGCTGTTTCCGCCCGCCAGGAGGCAAGTCCCGTCCATGCTGTAGCGGATGGTATTGAAGCTCTTGGTTCCAGCCACGTTCGCAGCTGCCCTTCGGTCCGTGATCCTCCGTCCTCCTGAAACATCGCGACGGCCGTCCACCCCCGAGACCTGTTGAGCTTCCGAGACAGACCAGAAAGACAACTGGCCATCCAACGTCGAGATGGCTATCTGCAACGAGTCAGGTCTGAAAGCAATATCCAGAACATCGGACTGCAGCTGCAGAGGCTCGCTGGTCTGTGTCCTGTTGAAGATGGACCATATCCTTGCCGTCCTGTCCCAGCTGCCACTCACCAAAAGGCCGCCGTTCGGGGCAAAGGCAAGCGACGAGACCGGGCCCTCGTGGCCCGAAAGCCGGTCAAGGAGCTGGCCCGTTTGGACAGACCAAATGTGAATATCAAAGGAGTCAATCGATCCTGCAGCGACAACTTCTCCACTGGGGTCAACCGCCATACAGGAGAATGACAACCTCTCGGGGGCGGTGAATGTCCTGAAGTTCCGAAACCTGATTAGATCCCAGGCTCTGATAGAACCGTCCAGACTCGCCGTGAAGAGGACGTTGCCCTTCTTCGCGAACTCACACGCCGTTACACCGCTGGTATGCTCGGTAAATGTTACGATGCAGAAACCTGATTCGATGTCCCAGACCTTGATCTTGCCGTCATCTGCGGTCGTGACGATGCGCTGGCCGTCAGGCGAGTAGACGAGGGCATTCATCGAGTCGTAGTGCCCTTGCTGCTTCAGGATGTACGACTCGGACTGCCATTCCCACACCAGCAGCTGACCCAGTTTGGAAGCGCCAAACGCCAGCCACTCTCCGCTCTTGTTGATGGTAACAAAGTCGATCTCGTTCTGTGAGATGCTGAGGGTGTGAATCATGTTGAAGTCGGGCATTTCGTACAGGCCGAAAATACCGTTCGAAAAACCAGCGACAAGCAGGTTCGATTCGGGATGGAAGGCTGCACATCGGACGGTCGCGGCGTTTTGCATAAAGTAGTGCCGGTTGACGATCCGCCACTGCATGTCCGCCTCGTCCACCATCTCATCCTCTTCCTGACCGGGTTTCACGGTGTATTGCCAATCAAAGACCGCGCCATCCTTGCTGACGGTGTAGATTGTTTCTTGGTCCTTGGAGAACCAAGCGCCCACCACTCCCTGCCTGTGGCCTGACAGGACGGTGGGCGTGAAGCCCTCCTCCGGGTTGAGACTCCATATCCTGGCCGTCAGGTCCTTCGAGGCGCTGAGGAAGAACCTCGAGTCGCTCGACCACTCGATATGCCGGACATCGTCAAAGTGTTGTGTGTGGGTGTGGTGGCGCACGAAGGGCGCAAACTCGAGGTCGCCTTCGGCGTTGGAATCTGGCGTCGAGGGAACGTGCCAAACCTCAATTTTCCTTCCCAACCCAACCACAAAATGCCGGCCCGATGGTGAAAATGAAAGCGCTGTCACATGCGATTTGAAGGAAAAGTGATAGAGTACAACGCGACGCGGAACGTGCGTCAGGACGGCCTGGCCATCTTCGTCGATCGACAGGAGGAGGTTGCCGTGGGGGTTCAGGCCTATCCTCGCGATGTTCTTCCGGTGAGCGAACGGGAGGGTGTAAGACTTGTTGCTGATCTCACAGTTAGCGCATCATGTAGTCAAGCGGGACAACATCCACTCTATAGAGGTGTCTTGCAAATGGCAATGGTATACGTACTCGACGAGGTTGAAGACAGTAACTCGGTTGCCGACAGGCGAGTACAAATGGGTGCCGTCAGGGCTGAACAGAAGGTTGCCCCTACAGTAAACCGTCCCAAGTAGGTTGGAAAACTTGAAATCTGTCTTCATGGTCGCCGACAGTCCATTTCTTACCCGAGATAAAGGCGTTGTAGCACGACGCCAATCACCAAACACGGGACGTCGACATCGCGCTCGACTTTTTAGCGGGGCCGGCAAATTCCTTCTGCCGCCCTCCGCGCTAACCTATGGCTGACTCCACTAATTACTGTGTACGACCCTGGTCCCACATCATTTGACGCTTTGGGAAAAGTGGAAACCTAAGTAAGGGGAAGTTTAGCGGTTCAGGCCGCAGGTGATCCGTGCACGACAGCTGGTCTGGAAATTTCACGGCTCAAAACCCCTGAGAGCACAAGCTCCGCTCCCCATTCCGTACCGCTCAACACAACACATCATCCACGACACCGCCCTTCCCACTCCTGCGACGTCCCTCCTCAATTGCACTCGCTGCTCTTTTTGGCAGTACATTTTCGATACCCTCATCCGTTCTACTTCGTTTTAATCAGTACTTAGCTCGAGATGGCTCCAGCCACAGCCGAGAGCGCGTCGCCGATTGGCATTGCCAACCTGCCCAACCAGCGGCATAAGATTGTGGCTAAGAGGGGGGCCGCATTCACGATCATGGTAAGAAGATCGTGTCGATTTGACTCCGATATGTGTTCTGACCGTCTGCTGCTAGGTTGCTGGCGAGTCCGGGCTGGGCAAGACCACCTTCATCAACACGCTCTTCTCCACCACCATCAAGAACTACGCCGACCACAAGCGCCGGCACCAGAAGCAGATCGACAAGACGGTGGAGATTGAGATTACCAAGGCTGAGCTAGAGGAGAAGTTTTTCAAGGGTGCGAATCAGCAGTGCGTACCAGATGGTCATAATGGACTCTGCGCTGACCGGCAGCTAGTTCGCCTGACTGTTATCGACACCCCCGGCTTCGGCGACTATGTCAACAACCGCGACTCGTGGATGCCCATCATCGAGTTCCTCGACGACCAGCATGAGTCGTACATGCTTCAGGAGCAGCAGCCGCGCCGCCAGGACAAGATCGACCTTCGTGTGCACGCCTGCCTGTACTTCATCCGCCCCACCGGTCATACCCTGAAGCCCCTCGACATTGAGGTCATGAAGCGTCTGTGCTCGCGTGTGAACCTCATCCCAGTGATTGCCAAGGCCGACACCCTCAGCCCCGCGGACCTGGCCAAGTTCAAGTCGAGGGTGAGCACGATCCACCCCGCTCCTGAGCCTCTCGGACTGTCATGCTAATATACCGCTATTAGATCCGTGCCGTTATCGAGGCGCAGAACATTAAGATTTATCAGCCCCCGATTGAGGAGGATGACGAGGCTGCCGCCCAGCACGCCCGCAGTCTGATGGCCGCCATGCCTTTCGCCGTCATTGGCTCGGAGAAGGATGTCAAGACAAACGACGGACGCATCGTCAAGGGCCGGCAATACTCGTGGGGTGTGGCCGAGGTTGAGAACGAGGATCACTGCGACTTCAAGAAGCTGAGGTCGATCCTGATCCGCACCCACATGCTGGACCTGATCCACACGACCGAGGAGCTCCATTATGAGGCGTACCGCGCGCAGCAGATGGAGACGCGCAAGTTCGGCGAGGCGCGCCCCAGAAAGCTCGACAACCCCAAGTTCAAGGAGGAGGAGGAAGCGCTGCGCAAGCGCTTCACGGAGCAGGTCAAGATCGAGGAGCAGCGTTTCCGGCAATGGGAGCAGAAACTTATTGCCGAGCGCGACCGACTCAACAAGGACCTCGAGCAGACGCACGCCCAGATCAAGCAGCTCGAGTCGGAGCTGGAGCAGCTCCAAGGCAGCGCTGTTCGCAGCCACGGACGTCGCTAGGGTCACAACACCGTGGCTCCAAGATATCGACGTGCCGCGGCTTAGGCCTCGTCATTATCCGAGTCTCCCCAGCCATTTTCTGTTCAGTCCACCAAGGGTCTGGCATCGGGATGTAAATCTGAGAGCTGTGGCTTATTGTGGAGCAAACAGAAGAGGTTAACACACGGTGTTGTGGGCCTTGGTCGTTTTCTTTTTGTGGCTTATTCTCTTTATACTACCCTCTCACGTTATTCGTTAATCAAACGGGAAAAGGTGTGCAGATTCTCTGGGGTTAGAGGAACCTGGAACTAGGACCCAGGCCTTCAGGTTGTCGTCCTCGACGGACTCAGCCTTCCTCTAGCCGGGGCGTTTTCCGGGACCTCCCCTTTTATTCCGACTTAGGAACGATGTAATTTAGATGCCCCTTTCATGATACCAGATAATGCGAAAGGGTGCCTGTCTCGAAGATTGTTTCACTGTTGACACTGACATTTGAAACGCAGGTTCATTGTTCTTTCGTAAATTGACCGCTGTATGTGTATAGAAGATACTATGTCCTCCGTGCTCCGTACAGGAAACCGAAACGCCAGCCCACCTACTGACCAGGACGGACAAGAAGTGAAACCAACTAGACATCCCTGGTCCTTTGCTACACGGCATCCATACTCGCCCTAGTCGTCAATTGTTCGTTCTTGTTCCCAAGTTTGGATATCTGTAGAAACGCGTCCACCCCGTAACCCTCGAGGCTATGCAACGCAAGACTCCCCGCCCAGTACTCGGCGTACACCCTGCTCAGGGGCAGGCCCATGCCCAGCCGCAGGTTGGGCGGCCGGCTCGACAGCGAGGCGAGTGAGCTGTTGACGTCCTTGCTTATCTCACCGCCTGCCGCAGCGCCGCGGCTGCTGAAATGTGTATCTGCGTGTGTGTGTGAATGGCCGTGCCCGTCGACCTGCCACTCCTGCATCGTGGCGGCCATCTTGGGCACCTTGCCCAGGTTGGCGAGGATCATGTCGCTCGCGGGGCCCTTGCTGAACGACCATAGATAGGGCAGGTTCTGCCGGGGGATGCCGCCGCCCTGGTCCGAGATGCGGATGATGACGTGCTGGTTGCTCTCGCAGATGGTGACTTCGATCGGCGGCGGTGGCGGCAGCGGGGCGGCGGTGTTGCTGTTGTTGTTGTTTTGCTTGCGCCGCTGATGCTTCTCGACGACGGCCTGTACCGAGTTGCGCAGCAGCTCGCCGATGATGTACTCGAGGTGGCTGAGGATGTATGGGAAGTTGGCGTCCAGGTGGCCGTCGATGCGGATCTCGGGGAGGGCAACGTCGGGCCCGTAGGCGCGCTGCAGAATCTCGCGCACCGCGTGGCCGCAGCGCGATACGACATCCTTTGCGACGCACTTGAGAAAGACCTGGCCTATGAACTCGGACTCGGAGAGCTTCGCGCCGGGGGAGAACCAGGGCGCATGGAAGGCATCGGTTAGGGCGAGGTGCTGCTCGGCGATGACACGGCGGGAGATGCGCTGTTGGCGAAGGATGTCAGCGAATGGGTCAAACATAGCGGACGTAGCCGAGGATAACGGACTGATCGAAGATTGGTGTTCATGAACTTGTCTAGCTCGGCTGGGTCCATTAGGCCGCTGCTTTCGAGAATGCCCATTGCCAGCTTGGGAATAACCGTCAGATGCGCCTTTAGCATGGAACGTATTGTTTTGCAGAAGCGATCATTGTCTTCAAGCGTTTTGATATCCTTCACTTTTCGGAATGTGTCGAAGGCAGTGTAGTACAGGTCGTAGACCTCGTTAATGTGTGAATTTGTGACAACCACATATGGCAGCTGCTGCATGTCGCGGATCCGGTGGGCAATCCTAAGCGCATTTCAGTGAACGAGTTGGTCATACTAGGGGGTACTTGGAGTAGAACCTACCTCGTGGGCAACTCAGTCCGTACATAGTTGGCCGAGCTGATCAGCCGCGACTCGGTCAGCGATCGGCCAAACACCATCAGCTGGCGCAGACTTATGGGCCGAGCTTCCTTTGCGACCCATCTGATGCAAACAGCAGTTAGCACGCCCTTACTGGGCATACCAGAGAGTCATGACAGGCGGGGTTCTCATACTCGTCCAGGACAGACATCATACGCCATTTCGGGCTGTGGGTGTGCGAAAACCGCAGCATCGACATCACGGATCGATATGGAAGGAGGGAACGCGCTACGATGCGCAGTTGGCGTGGCCTGCTGATCAACCGGGCGAGTGCCGTGGCATTGTGCACCGAGAAGCACGGCATGCCGTCGCTGCCATTCGTGGAAGCGATAAAGTGGTATGAGTGGTCAGGGACGGCGTTTGGGTTTCGTCGATGACTGGGAGATGGAGTGTTTGAAGGTGAGGATTGGCGATGGTGAGCGAGGTGGCATTGGTAAAGAGAATGACACTTTATAACGAGACCACCCAGTGTGACTCAGGGATTGGGAGGATAGCTACGCTGGGCACGTACCCTAATGCGCCGATGCCCATGGTGCAACACGCTCGTGTGAGTGTTGGATGAGGTCTGCGATATCGCATCGAAACGCAGCTTAGGTCATTGGACATTGGCTCAGGTTAAGCTACCCCACATGTTGCTGCAGAGGGATGTGGACTCAGATAGTGCGGATTTTCCTGTTACACCGTATTCGCACCCAGCTACGTTGTGATTTGATACCCTTCATGCGTGATCTCAACTGACGGAAATTGGCCTCAGAAACATTACTGAGCTGTCCAACTTATTGACAAAAGTCCTCGGCCTTCGTATTTTTGATTTTGGAATCGGAGTCTTCCTGTGGAAGGTGAGTTGGAACCATTGAATGGATTTGCTTCCAGCACTCGACCCTCGTTGCTGCACCGTGTATGTACACATTTCTTGGCTTGTCTTCAGTCCCAGGCTACTCCACACTTTAGTCACAAGCTTCCATGTTGTGAACAATTCAGACACCTCAGGACGGAGTTCCAACAATCAGCATCGTGTATTACTCAGTATATACAGGCTCGAATGATCATTGATTCTGCACGCTTAGAGATGCACAGCTACTGCCGCCTTTCAGATGTGATCAGCTCTCGCTTCGGCCTTCAATGTTGCCTTGGCCTTGCGTTACTACACGTGTAGTATGTTGGAACTCTCGGCGCACCCCACGTCATTGGAGGGGCTCACATGGCAGTGAAGTTGTCTCGGGGACAATCTGTTAAAACGATACTCTCCCCGCTCTTGGGCTGTGGTCTAATTCAGCGGACAAAGACGTACCGCGCTAACCAGTCGAGTTTTGAGGTACAAAGGACGCCAGACGACCGAATCGCCCGGGATGTGTACCAAATGGAAAGCCCAGAAAGCTGGAGCCGTGCGTGCTTGTGCTGCGCCCACTTCCATTTGCAACACCAGACAGACAGAGCTGGTGGTTCCAGTTCTCTTTACACATAACGCCCGGGCCCCTCTTACATAGACTTACTTGGTTTGGCCGCCCTCCCCAGCGCCTTAGACAGATTGTGTCTTGTTGCTGCTCTCTGGTAGAGGGCCCTGAGACCAACCCAGGCCTCTCTGTACCACCTAACACTCCCACTTCATCTTTTTTTTGCTACTGAAATCCGGTTTCCCGGCAGCAGCCCCGGCGCCCTTTCTGCGTGCGCAGTTCCTCGAGGTGACTTAATCCGCCATCGCCGGCCTGTGCCTTCCTCACAACTCGACCCTTCCAAGATGGTGAGTGCTCTGCTGGAGGATTTGCAATCGGCCCACCACTTTTCCGCTCTGCCTCCATTCCACTGCAGTCTTCATTCTCAAAATCTTTCCTCCCTGGTTCCGTCCTCTTTGACACCTCCTGCCAACGCTTGCACTCGCCACACATCCCCTCCACCATACCGCAAACATGGGCGATCATATGCCGCCAGCCGGCGCCCTCGCTGACCTGACCATTCAGGACGACAATCAGAACCTCGAGGCCGCGTCACCTAATGCCATGGCGATAGATGCGCCCCAGGATCACTCCAATGGAGCCGAATCCGACGGCGTCGTCGTTCCCACCCCCGAAGAGCCAATGGAGAGTGACACCCTTCTCGCAAGCGACTGTATGTTGTCCGAATGCCCCCCTCTTCCCGACACCCGCACGCGCTGACCCGCCCCAGATGAGGCCATGAAAGAGCATGTGCTTCAGCCGCTGATAGAAGAGCCCAAGATCCTCGAGGATCAGGTCCACACATGGTCGGTTGAGGGATGGCGGACGTTGAAAAAGAAGGAGCATGGCCCTATCTTCCACGCGGGCGGCTACCCATGGTACGCGACGAATCTCTGCCCGAATACCTACCGTCAACAGTAGAAACTAATTCCGTGCTCAGGCGGATCCTACTCTTCCCGTTCGGCAACAATGTCCTCGATCAGTGCTCCATCTACCTCGAACATGGCTTCGACGCCAACAATGTCCCCGAAGACTGGAGCTGCTGCGTACAGTTCGCGCTCGTCCTGTGGAATAAGAACAACCCCAGCATCTTCTACCAGCATTCCGCCCACCACCGGTTCACAAAGGAGGAGAGCGACTGGGGTTTCACCCGATTTCTTGAGACGCGCAAGATGTTTAACACGGTGTGGGAACATGGGGACCGGCCGCTGGTGGAGAACGACTGCGCCAACATCAGCGCATATGTTCGGGTCGTCGAGGACGAGACTGGCGTGCTGTGGCACAACTTCAACAACTACGATTCCAAAAAGGAGACGGGCTACGTTGGTCTCAAGAATCAAGGCGCCACTTGCTACCTCAACTCGCTCCTCCAGTCATTATACTTCACAAATGCCTTCCGCAAGGTACTGGCGGCTGTCCTGCCAACACGCCTTGTGCTCAGCTAACTTGCAATAGGCCATTTACAGTATTCCCACGGAACACGACGAAAACATGAGCAACAGTGCTTACACGTTGCAAAGGCTGTTCTACCAATTGCAGACCTCCAACACGGCCGTGGGCACAGCCGAGCTCACGAAGTCCTTCGGCTGGGAGACGCGCCACATTTTCGAGCAGCAGGACGTGCAGGAACTCTCACGAAAACTCATCGACCGCATGGAGAAGAAAATGAAGGGCACTGCGTTCGAGAAGGCGTTGCCACAAATGTTCAGCGGCAAGATCAAGACGTACATCTCTTGCATCAACGTCCCGTACGAGTCGAGCCGGATCGAAGATTTCTGGGACGTCCAACTGAATGTTAATGGGAACGAGAATCTGCTGGACAGTTTCCGGGACTACATCCAGGTGGAGAAGCTCGATGGTGAGAATCAATACTTTGCTGGCGACGAGTACAAGTTGCAAGACGCCAACAAGGGCGTCATTTTTCAGAGCTTCCCGGACGTCCTGCACCTGCAGCTGAAGCGATTCGAGTACGACATACAACGCGACGCCATGATGAAGATCAACGACAGGCACGAGTTTCCAGAGGAGTTTGACGCCTCGCCTTACCTGGACAAGGATGCTGACAGATCGGAGCCGTGGGAATACCAGCTGCACGGCGTCCTGGTACATAGCGGCGACCTCAATGCGGGCCATTACTACGCCTTTATAAAGCCCAACAAGGACGGCTGGTGGTACAAGTATGACGATGACAAAGTCACCAAGGCCACCAAGCGAGAAGTTCTGGAGGAAAACTTTGGCGGTCCTTTCAAGCTGCCCAATGGCCAGCTGCGGCCTCTTGGTAACAAGAAGGGGCCGCTGATGAGGCCCAACAGCGCGTATATGCTGGTGTACATCCGCAAGTCGAGGCTCGACAAGATTCTTTGTCCAGTCACAGAGGAAGACACTCCTGCGCATCTCCGTAAGTTCCACAGGCCCTGCATTTCTCGGGCGCTCCTGGATGTTGATTCTGTTACAGGGAGGCGATTTGAGGAAGAGTACGCCGCTCGAGAGGCTCGACGCAAGGAGAGGGAAGAGCAGCATCTCTATCTGGGAGTGAAAGCCATCACAGAAGCGACTTTCCAGCAACACGGCAGTACCGACCTTGCCGACTTCGATGCGACGCCCGATCAGGATCCGGCAGCGCCACGGTTCTACCGCGTCCTCCGCACTGCCAAGATGCAAGAAGTGGTCAACACAATTGCGGCCGATCTTGAGCAAGACCCCCGACGTGTCAGGCTTTGGCTCATGGTCAACCGCCAGAACAAGACGATCCGTCCGGATCAACCAATCATGGACCTTCAGCCAACCGTGGAGAAAACGTACAACAATGCTGCGGCGCACAGGGACCATGTTCTCCGCGTGTGGGTTGAAGTTGCCGAGCAGGTCAAGGCCGATGGCGCGCCTGTTTGGCCGACGTATGGGGGACTAACGAACGGGGTCGTCATCAAGAACGACCTTATTCTTCTCTTCTTGAAGTGGTTTGACGCCGAGTCACAAGCGCTGAAGGGTGTCGGCCACGTTTATATCAGCAAAGAAAAGAAGGTGGAGGAGCTGGTCCCCATCATCATGAAGAAGATGGGTTGGGACAAGCTATCAAGTGATGAAAAGATCCAGCTCTGGGAGGTAAGAACAGTCAATTGCCTTTTCCCCTCGCAGCCGGTTGCTAAACTTTTGCAGGAGATCAAACCCAACATGATTGAGACCCTAAAAGGGAAGCAGTCCCTCAAGGCGGCAGAACTCCAGGATGGAGATATCGTTTGCTTCCAGCGGCTTCATGATCGCAAGTCGAGGTTGGGGTTGACGGAGAAGGGTGACAAGCAATCCTCTGAGGAGGCGTAAGTTCAATAGAGGGCCGAATCTGCCACGACGAGCGCCGCCGCTGACACTTGACTTAGCCAATCCTTGGACCGATGCGAAGACGCGAAGGAATACTACGACTTCCTTCTCCATAAGCGGCTGGTTATGTTCCGCGCTCACCCTCAGAGATGCGACGGCGACGAGTACCCGCCATTTGAGATGATCCTGAACTCCAAGCTGAGCTACGACGGGCTATCGCAGAAGATTGGCGAGAAGCTCGGAGTTGAGCCGACGCATCTGCGGTTCTACACCGTCAATGCCAGTTCGAACAACCCGAGGGCAGCGGTCAAGCGGGGCCAGAACCAGACTCTTGCGACGATTCTCAACCCGGCGGGCTATGGCCAACTGAGCATGAACCAGCGAAACGACGCGCTGTTCTTTGAGGTGCTCGACATGAGCCTGGCCGAGCTGGATACCAAGAAGAGCATCAAGCTCATTCTCCTCAGCGAGGGCATCACGAAAGAGGTGAGTGACTTTTAATTTAAAGTGTAGCGCAGCGAATTGACTTATCTTTCCTTTTCAGGAGCAGTACGATGTCCTGGTCCCCAAGAACGGCCAAGTGGAGGATCTTATCGACTGCCTGATCAAAAAGGCAAAGATCCCCAGCGAGCAAGAGGCAGGTCGGATGCGGATCTACGAAATCAGCAACCACAAGTTCTTCCGGGAGCTCGAGCGCAACTACCCCGTCATCAGCATTAACGAGTACACGACGGTGATCGCCGAGCGGATACCGCCCGAGGACGCCGAGGTGACTGACCCGACACACTTCATCTCGGTGTTCCAGTTCCACGGCGAACCCAGCCGAGCGCACGGCATCCCGTTCCGGTTTCTTCTGAAGGAAGGGGAGAAATTCTCCGAGACCAAGAAGCGGCTCGAGAAGCGGACGGGGCTCAAGGGCAAGAGCTTTGAGAAGATCAAGTTTGCCGTGGTCCGCAGGTCGCAAATGTCAAAGCCGCACTACTTGACAGATGGTAAGGCCCAATCACTCTCTGTAACACGAGATGACCTGTCAGGATCTAACTCTGGTGTGGCAGACAATATTCTCTGGGACGTGGCGGGGAGCACAGACGATAGCCTCGGCATGGACCACCCTGACCGGACGAGATCGGTGCGGAACGGCGCCGGAGATCTTTTCCTCAAGGGCTAAATTGGACGTGAACATCCGCGAGAGTGTGTGTGCGTTGTTCTTTTGGAAGCAGGCAAGGAATGAAGGAGGCAGGCAGACAAAGCAATCAGCTCCCGCATCGGTGTATATCGTTCAGTTATGTCATGGCGCCCCGGGCCACGGGTTGGTTGTTTAGCCAAAACTGGTTACTTATACGGGACCCTTGGTATACCGTTGTTTTGACAGTCTTCCGGTTTTATTGATTTCGTTTCGTGTTGTCATCGTATCAATGTGTGGGAGGGAACAGGGGCGGATGGTTGACGAGATAAACTACACGAGGATGGCATTGGGTGGGACGATGGAAATTGGTGGTTGTAGGTACGATTACTTATCCTTTATCAGGGAGATCTTGGGAGAGTAAATGGGACAGGGAAATGGTTTGAGCAAGATAGGTCCCCATCACCTCAGTCTGGACCGACTCAGGGTACTCTGTGACCAAGTCAAAAACGAACCAGATGACAAATCCCGTCCTTGACAGTTGTCTGTAATTGTAAGATACTGACACACGAATACTATCTTGTAATCACTGTGTATGGTCGCCACCGCAGGGCTGTAACTTACCGCCATCATCCTGCCCCACTCCGCGGCAGAGATCCGATAAGAACTTTCGCTGATAAACTCTCTTCGATAAACTTACTGCGATCTCGCGATCTATGCCACGACACGACGACAAAGCCAGCTGCTGCCGCGTAACGAAATCCCGTTCCACCTCGCCGTACACAATCTCCGCGACACGATACATTAGCCGAATTTCCGGCACCAACGATCGCTTCTCAAGATTCAGAGACAAGAACCACTCCGTACAACACCATGAACTTCCCCGGCGGCGGCGGTGGTATCCCCGGCATCCCCTCGGCGGGCGCGGGTGCCTCACCACCGGGGTCCGACCCGAATGATCCCAATGTGAAATGGGTATGTCCTCCTGTTCGGCTTCCTACCGACCCGGTTTGGGGAATTGGAACAAAAAGGAGATATGTGCTAACAGACCGGTTTTGACTGGGACCAGCTCACGAACGCCATGGAATCGTGCTACGCCAAGACGGTCATGAGCGGCGTCGCCGGTTTTGCGCTGGGCGGGGTCTTCGGCATGTTCATGGCCTCCATGGCCTACGACACACCCTACCACGTCCCCGGCGCGCCGGCTGCTGCTGCTGTTGGAGGAGGAGGCACGGCGCCTCGCGTCGTCCCTGGCGTCCCGGGGTCTGCCGCCGCCTCCGTCGAGCTCTCGTCGCTGCCGCTCCGGAAACAACTCGCGCACGGGTTCAAGGATATGGGAACACGCTCGTGGAGTACAGCCAAGAATTTTGGCGCTGTTGGGGCGCTGTTTAGTGGGATTGAGTGTGGGATCGAGGGGCTGAGAGCCAAGAATGATATGGGCAATGGCGTGGCGGCCGGGTGTTTGACCGGCGCGATATTAGCCCGCAATGGAGGGCCGCAGGCGGCCGCGGTCGGGTGTGCCGGCTTCGCGGCGTTTAGTGCGGCTATCGATGCGTGGATGCGGATGCCGAAGGATGAGGATTAAGGCTGAGTGAGCTCTGGCCGGCAGGAGGGGTGGTGTACTGATATGGGTTGTCGGTTCTGTTTTGGCTGTTTGTTGAGAGCGTAGAAAGGGCTGGGTTTTGTTGTCCATGGTTCTGGCGTTGGGGGACCATTTGCATAGATACTGGGCTAAGGGTTGTTCACTTGGAGCGGGGTGTAGGCGAGTTGGCGGCTGTTCATCACCCTCGAAGGACGCCCAAGATCTACACTCGGTTGTTCAGAGTTGGACAGAAGATACAGGAGTGATTCCTACTAAACATCTATGAAGCGCCGCGAAAGGAGTTCGATTCAAGTGTCGAATATCAAGCAAGCGTCGGCTGTTACCGACATCGGCCACTACAATTAAAAGCTGCATGTAATTTCATCTAACGAGAAGGCTTCCCTTGTCCTATCCTTGCAGCGCCCTATAGACCTGAAAAGCCCCAAACTCCCAGTAAGCGTTGGTGAAAGCCGAAGGGTTGTTGGCGACGAGATCGGTACAGTTCGAAGGGCCTGCTGTTGTCAGTCTCAGCTCAACCACAAGAAAAAGGGGTAAGCAACCACCTACACCCGGACGAGGCCCATACCGCCTCGGTGAAATAGCCGCACAGGTCAATATTGACAATGATGCTCTGATTCCGAAAATGGCTTCCCAGATCACAGCTCGTCGAGGGGAAGTCGGCCAGCGGCGGGCCCCAGGTACTCGGATCAGGAGCTGGGCCCGTAGACGCCGGCAGCGCTGTCAGGCCATTCTGCCCGTTCCGGGGGAATATCCACGATCGTATCCCCTCGTTCCGCCACTCCAGCGCCACAATACCTCCGCCGGCGGCGTTGAACTCAGGCCCGTAGGTGGCCGGGGCCCCCGTCACGGTGCAGCCCGTGTTGGAGTTGGTCGCGTTGTGGCAGTCCTCTTGCCCGGCGGTGCCGCTCATCTCGCGGCGGACGTCGGACATGGTGCAGCCGTCGGTCGTGTGCAGCGCGACCAGATTGCCGTTCAAAGCTTGGTTGACAGCCTCCATGATGTCGATCTCGCCGTTGGTTGGCCAGTTGTTGGGGCTGCACTGTCGTTAGGTCTCTCGCATTCTGTATCCAGTTTATGACGCAGGCGAGGGTAGTGGAAGAAAACGGAGGACAGACTCTGTCAGCCAGAGGGCCGGCCAAGTGCCGCACCCGTAGGGGGTGTGTTTGACGTCAAAGAGAAACAGCCCGGGGCCGTATTGGGCTTTGGACTCGAGCCGGACGGAGAAGCGGCCGGTTGAGGCGTCGGGTTCGGAGCCTGGTCCAACTGTAGTGTCGACCTTGACTATAGCCGTGGTTTGCGTTGCGTTGGTGAGGTTCTGAGGAGGTAATCAGGTGTGGCACTAGTAAGGGGGCGTCGGGACAACCACTTACATAAGTCCTAGCGTAATCTGGGTCGACATAATGGATGAAGCCCCCGGCTGGAGAGTCATCAGCCTCCTGAAAAGCATACCGGCAGAGGAGAAGCAGCAGTACCAGGGTCGTAATCGTGAAAGTAGTCGAACTTGTCAAAGAAGGATGTCCCCGAGTCTGTCCAGGTAGCCTCAGCCTTCTACCTCTGAGCAGTGAACATCCCCTGGCCACCTCAGATATTCCACTCACAAGTGTCAATCAGCGTGTAATTGAGCTTCGAATAATCGGGATATGAGTTTCCGCTGTTTCTCGCCGTCGTGCCAACAACAGCACCGACAACAACCGCCACAACCACAATGATGGCCGTCACAGCGATGATCCATATCCTCCGCGACCAGCCCCGCGGATCCCATGGCGACCTGAACGACGACCAGTACTCCGTCTCTCGAGTCGACACCACCGGATCGTTATGCTTCATCTTCTAATGCAAAAGAGTCGATCCGATTATGTGTAAGGTAGAGATAGAGATGGGATAACGGAGATGCAGGTCTTATGTCAGTCGGGGGAAGCCCAGGATAAAACATCAGAACCAAAAGGGTCACCCTGGAGTAAAAAGATGGGGTATATCATCCGATTCGCTTCCACCAAACACACTCGCCTCCATCATGTAATTAACGCAGATGCTGCTCAGAAATCAAGAACAATAACCCAGTTGTCATGCATCCTGCATCCTCAAGCTCGTATTTCCGCCTCAACCCCAAGACGAAAGGTCTTTGGGATACGGATAGAGACCCCTTCGATTCCATCGCATATACAGAGTACGACTTACAATCCCACGGTAGCGACGCGTCGGCCAACAAGCCGTGCTGCGCCACGGCCGGCCTTATCAGGATAAAGACACTCGTGCCATGCAGCACACCCATAGACGCGGTTCCGGGAATTCAACACAAGAATCCTGCAAATTCAGTACTACCCAGCATTTGAGACACTGACCGACCAACGGACCGAAAGCGGCAAGGGGGATGGGGGCCGGATCGCCGTGTGTACATTCCCCAATGAGTCAAGGGCTGACGCGGTCTCGGCTCGTTCGGCAGTGGTCGCTGGCGGAGAGAGTTTTGGGGCACTAACTGTCTCCATTGAAGTGAGCATCAAGTATCGCAGACACGGTCACAAACAGTCGAGAGCGTTTGAGTAATGCAGAAAATTCCATCTGTCTTGACCAAACGCCTGGCATTCTTCTTCCGCACAGACAGCAGGCGCAAGGAGATAGTGTTAACCCATGACTCCATATGATATACAGCTCACCACACCTCCACCCACTCATCACTCATCATCATCATCCACCCGACTCCTCTTGGACTGCCTCGTGTCGTCCTCCTGCACCAGCCCATACCCGCGTTTCGACGACGAGGCGGCCGCCGTCGTCCCCTGCTGCACCTCCGACAAAAACTTGTCCACATTAAAGGGGTCCGCCTCTTCCTTCTCAAACTGCACAGGCCCTTCCCTGACCTCAGCCTCGCCCGTCCCCTTAAACGTCCCCCGTCCCAGAGCCTCCCCAAACCTAGCCCCCTTCTGAATCCTCGCCATCTCCCTGTCCCCGGCCGCCTCGTCGTCGTCGTCCTCGAGGCTCGCCCTCGGCCGGTAGATGCTGCTGATGGCGTCCTGCGCCGCAAACAGCGGCTTGTCGTAGGGATTATCTTCGTTGAACCCGCTGGCGAACCCGCTCGACTGGTTGAACAGGCGCGAGTCGTACATGCCTTCGGACGACTGCGTGGGCTTGGCCAGGCCGAGGGCTATCTTCTCCGAGATGTCGCGATCCATCTCGCGCGCGAGCACCTGAGCGCGCCGCTCGTGGCCCATGCGCGACTGCCGCAGCTTGCGCTCCTCCTCGCGGAGCTTTTCCCGGCGGGCCGCCCGCCGCTCGCGCTCCGACTCGTCCGTCTCGGTTCCGGATCCGGAGCCGCTGCTGCTGTAGGAGCCGGAGCGGGACCGCGTCGACCGTCGCCTGCTGCCGCCGCCGGCCTTCTCGGCTCGTGCTTGTTGGGCGAGCTGCCGGAGGTGTTCCTCCTTTTGCAGGCGTTCCTTCTCTGCTAGTCGCTGCTGCATCATGGCTCGCTGACGGACCTCTTCTCTGGCGTGCCGGTCTGCCATGAAGAGGGCTTCCGAGAACTGGGCGAATTTGTCGTTGATCTGGACGTCTTGCAGTCCGCGGCCGTCGGCCGCTACTCGCTTGTCGAGAGGGATTGTGAAACCCTTTGGATTCTTCCACATCGACACAGGTGGTGCTATGAGTTGTGAGCATATAGCTTTGGCTGTGGTCTTAGATCAGCACGACTTACGAATGCGCCACGCTTCCTGGTCTTCGGCTGTAAGTTTTCTCGGCGGGGAGTGCATGACTGGTGGTGGAGGGGTCGGCGGTCCCCTCGGGATCTTCTTGTGCTTGAACTTGGGTGGCTCCATCGGGTCTGTAACGCGTTAGCTGAGCACTTCCACCACGACAGAGAAAGAGACACGACATACCTCTTTGCCTCTCCACAATCTTCATGATCCGCTCCTGTTTCTTGGACCTATCCCCCATCTGATCCGACGGCGTATACCTAACAAACGTCGGGTCCCTCCTCCCGCCCACATTCACATTCTTGGGCTTCTGCGCCGCCAGCGCGCCGCTGACCAACGTAGCCAAGGCATTCTTGGTCCGCTCGGCCGTCTCCTCCACCTGTTCCTTGCTGGGCCGCGACAAGTCGAGGTCGCCCGCTTCGGCGCGCTGCCGTAGGGGGATCAGGTCCTTGAACGAGGCGTGAATGATGCGGTCGCTACTGTGACCTTGCCGTGCAATGGCGCTGTAGTCGACCTTTCCCTCGGCGTCGACCTGCAGGACCAGCGCGTTCGACTTGGAGGATTTATCGTCCTTGCCCCACGGGTACTGCGCGACGGGAATCTCGGGGAACGCGCCGCCATCGCCAAAATCCTCCGGGGCGCGCGGGCGCCAGCCTGCTCGATTGAGGTACGGGGGAGGGCCGCTTCTCTGCGCAACGTGACTGTGAGCTTCGCTGTTACGGAGAGTGTGGAGGATGGATTCACCGACTTTCAGGACAATCTGAGTCTCATCGATTTGGTCGGCGGCGACGATCCGAGGGCCTCGTTGCTGCACTCGCTGTTCTTCATATTCGGAACTGTTTTGCGGCTTTGGGAGAACCCGCGCGAGGCCTGTCGCTATCGAGGCCATGGCTGCCGACTTGGTTGCGGGAACAAGCAGTTCGACTTGGAGATGACGGTTTCGCAGTTGAAGGCCTTGGCTGGAAAAGCTGTGTAATCAACCGTCAGTGGCTGGATTCGCTGGACTGACCGTGGCGCGAAAGCTTGGCGGAGCTTATCAGCTTATCATTTTTCCCCAGCTGGCATTGGCTCGATTGCCAAGTGCCAGCCCCTGAACTCGCTCGCCCAAGAGATGGAAGCTGAGGGAGGTTCTTCTGATGAACACTGAGGTACTGTCATGGTTCGGAGCTGGGCATATCGTCCATTTACTGCACCTGTGGCATGATTTGTATAGAATATGTGCTTTAGTCTCACATTCGTAAACAACACAACAGAACGCTTCTTGGGAACCATCCGTCGTTAAACCATTGAGCCAGCCTTGTGGTACATACATAACCTAACCTTCTTCATGCAGGCAAGACACGCCCAACTCATAGAAACATGTCCATAAAAGCCAAGGAGCTCCATTTTATTGCATACCAATGCAGAGAACAGTTTATACGTAGCCCTTCCTGGCCCCCTGGAAAAAGAACCTGACAATAAACACCTGCAGAGCACCCATGCAGATAACCAGCAAGATTTGGATCAAGCTGAAGTTGATGATCCTCTTCTCGGTGCTACGGACGGTGCTGAAGTTGCGGTTCTCGCGGGTGCGGAAGTATTTCTGGTTGCGCGTGATGGTCGACAGCTGGCCCGAGATCTTGAAGAGCGACTCCTCGAGGGTGGACGTCTGCTCGGGGGCGACGCCTTGCTTCGCGGGGAGGGATACGCGGGCCTCGTTCTCAACCTATAGCATCATCAGTCAGTCTGGGCCAGCTGGGACTGAAAGCTACGAAGGGCTGGGCTGACCGAGATTTCAAAGTCGACAAATTTCTCGGTGTAGGTGCTCATCTCGTTGTTGAAGCAGAACTTGTAGTCGCCGGGCTCCCTCGCCGTAAAGACGAAGTCGCCTTGCCGCTCCTTCTCCCCTTCCATGATGAATCTCCCGTTCGGTCCTGTCACCTTGTAGTTGATGTCGAAGGAACCACCAGATTGAACCTGTAGAGGAACTGTAAGCATGGAGTCCGCCGTCAAGCTTCGCAGGAGTCGCCGTCGTCATCGGCCTGAGTGTATGGACGTACGGCGAAGTAGAATGCAACCTTCTCGTCATTGCGGGTCGTGGCAGTGTAGAAGCAAGCCTCCTCGTTCGCGTTGATCTTGTATGTCAATGCCGTTGCCGTCGCCTGGACGGCCAGCAGGGCCCAAAGGCCGCCTGAAAGTAGCGGCAGCTGCATCGTGCGTTGGGCCGGGAAATCTTTCTGAAGATGCGAGTGTCACGGCACTCAGGTCTTCGGGGACAACTCAGCAGTCGCAGTCGCAGTCGCGCCGCTGGCCATCAAAAGACACGGAGCCAATGTTGAAATGCCAAGCTGGATCCAGGGACCCACCGTACCCAGTAAATTCTGTACGGAACAACCCGAACCCGGCCCCTTTGGGTTGTCCACTACACGTGTAGTACTGGCGCGGCCCGAGCTTCTTCGACAAGAGTTCAAGGTTTGGAGTTTGTGTGGGCAAACGTGCACCGACTGTGGAGTCCACCCGGGTCTGTTTCCGGTTTGTGACATCAGTGACTTGCAAGCTGCGTGGTTGTGCTGGTTGCGTCAAGAGCTGTTGGGCTGGCTCTATAACATGTTCCTCCTTATGTCTCAGGCGGCAGTGAAAGAAAACAATCTGATTTCTTCAAATATTACCCATTAACTGCTGTTAAGTGTCACTTTCGCAGTTCCCCCTCGGTAGCTGCGCGCTTGTGTCTCGGATCGATCTCAACAACGTCACGATCCATCCATCTGAGTGACAGCTGGTTGGAAACGATTACAATATTGACGCGCGATATTTATTATACTTTATTTTTTTACGAGCTGAAGTGTTGTAATCGTCTCTATGGCGATCACGCAGACCAAGGTCGCAACCGCGGCCTCTCTGGGGCTGCGGGCGCTGGCTTACATCTTCCTGCGATGGGTGAGTCTACCAGTCGAAACATGTACAGCTGAACCAACTGATTACATCGAAACTCTAGGCGCTAGTTCCTGTGAGTTATAATGGAATGCACATTAACACCCCCTACTGACCCCTATGAGGTTGCTCCGGCCATCATTTTTACCCTCTTCGCCATTTATGTTCCTGCCTTCGTCTCTGGCTACCGGAACGAGCCTAAATACGAGCTCGTGGACGAGGTCGATGTGGTCGTTACAGAGACCACATTGGAAGATGAGAATGCTTCCGGAAACGAAAGCGAACGGACGGCCAACGGTGACAGGGAGGTTGTCGCGGAGGACGTCACTATCAAGGAGACCATTTCCGTTGAGGACAGGGCGCTCAAGCCCTGGCAGACATTGCTGAGTGGTGCACCAAATCCACGGAGCTTGGCTCTGTCGCTTGCCACGCTGCTGCTCAATGGGCTTTTGGTTGGCATGGTTGCCGACCGTCTCTTCCGCGAGCGCTCCTACACTGGCGATGACCTCTCCTTCGTTAGAGTCGGATACGTGTCGGATAACGAGGCAAAGCTTTTAATTCGGGAGCCCGACCAATCTAATATGCCGGTCAGCGTTGAAGTTCACGTCAAGGACCCTCAGCCTCCATTTGACAACCCTCTGTGGCAGAACGTTGGAGGTGTAAGGTGGACAAGCAACGAAACGGACTACACTGCAGTTGTGTCGATTCCTCTGCGGCACTCCAAGAAGCGGACCTACGAATGGCGCACCTCAAACAACCATTCCGGCGAGTTCACTGCCCCTCCGCCTGTCGGACATGCCGAGGAGACGAACTATGGTCCCTTCACCTTCGTCTCTACCTCCTGCATCGTCCCTCGTCTTCCATACAGCCCCTTCGCCCATCCGCTCTCTATTCCTGGATTCAAGCACCTCGCCAAGGTACTCCCATCTCTCAACGCGCAATTCATGCTTTTCCTCGGCGACTTCATCTACGCCGACGTACCGCGCTACTGGGACAAGACGGCCACTTACTACCGGCAGAAGTACCGGCAGATTTACGCCTCTCCCGACTGGCCGGCTGTCGGCCAAAACCTCAGCTGGATTCACGTGCTGGATGACCACGAGATTGCCAACGACTGGTCGGCCAACTCAACGGGCGTCTATGCCAGCGCTCTCGACCCGTTCCACCACTACCAAGCCGCCGCCAATCCTCCCCCGGCCCGCAAGGCCGGCGCTTTCACCGCGCGCTCCCCGAACATCACCTACTTTGAGTTTACCCAGGGCCCGGCGGCCTTCTTCCTCCTCGACACGCGCTCCTTTCGCTCCAACAACCGCCTCCCCGCTGACGACGCCAACAAGACCATGCTGGGCCCGCACCAGCTCGCCGACTTCCTGGCGTGGCTGCACAGGCCCGAGCCCAAGGGCGTCAAGTGGAAGATTGTCGCCTCGTCGGTGCCCTTTACCAAGAACTGGCCCGTCAACACGCAGGACACGTGGGGCGGGTTCCTCGCCGAGCGGCGCAAGGTGCTAGAGGCCATGTGGGACGTCGCCAGCCGCGGGGTCGGCGTGGTGGTGCTGAGCGGCGATCGGCACGAGTTTGCGGCGACCAAGTTCCCGCCGCCGCCGGCTGAGGAAGAGGGTGGAAGGTGGCACGAGAGCGCGACCGTGTGGGAGTTTTCGGCCAGTCCATTGAGTCAATTCTTCTCACCTTTCCCGACGTACAGGCAGAGGGATCGCGAGGATGTTATGGTGAAGTGAGTAACTTTTTCTCCTCCCCTGTTCATGTTTACTGTGTTGACTAGTTCCTGCAGGTACATTCACAAGGGTAACTCCAAGTTCGGCGCCATCACCATTGAGAACCTGGAGGGCGGTGACCAAAGCAGTCTGAAATATAGGCTGTATGTCGACGGAGAAGAGGTGTGGAACACCATGATCTTATCCCCGCCTCCGCCTGCGGGTGGTCAGTCCGGCGGTTCCTTCTGGAATCGGCTCAAGCTCGGTGCATAAACGATTGGGAAGGCCGTGTGTAAGACTGCGAAAGACAAGTGGGTAGGGGAAGCTAGGATCTTTTTAAATTTGAGTTTAGATTTGAATTTAATCGGGAAGGGAATGGGGATGTAATTTCAGAGTTCGATGGGTTCAATCTGGCTTCTCTTCAACGACTACGCAGAGCTGTAAGTCAGTTCGCAATGTTCGGAATGTCACTGCCCTGGTCATGAAGCGCGCCTAGAATCCCAACACCCGTAGCTGTATCTGAACACTCAATGGAACGAGGAATGGTACGGCTGATGCGAACTACGATGGCGCAACCGATCACGGCAAGAAAAAGGAAGATGCTGCGGTACATCGCGCGACAAGCGGCAGGTCAGCTCAGCAAGAGCGAGGCTTGGGCAGCCGACTACGGTTCGGGTAGAATCCTATTCCGTGAGCACCAGCCACTGCTTTATGTAGCCGGTCCAGATTCCCAAAAAATCATTTTAACGACCACCGTCAAGTGGCCTAACGGTCAATGGCGGTGGTCACCGGCTTAGGTTGGGGTTTTCTCGGTCTCGTACCGAGGGTCACCAGTTCGACTCCAAGCCCCCGCGCTCCCTCGCCGTTGCGCTCCGCGAAGTAAACCTCTCCGAGGGTTCCGTAGCCGGCTACTTCTCTTCGACCGACGGAGGGAGCTAGCCGGTGAGCCTTTTCTTTTTGGAAGAATGCAAGTCTGGTGATGTTATCCGTCTCAAAGTGACAGGAACAGGAGCAGTCGTAGGCCAAGGGCACCTCTATGGGTGTTCAAATCCAATGTGGTAACTGCTGTGTAGGTGGGAGTAGCTGAGCTGACATGTCGCTCGAGATGTCTCGACACCATCACATATCTGCAATCGACGTCTCTCCACCGCCCTGCCAGAATATCCCCCTCATGATGCAACATTCCTCGCGCTGTCCCGGAAAACGCACATGCAGGCATAACGCGCTATGGTGTGCGGAGGTAAGTTGGCTGGGACTGAGATGGCGTCGGAGAAGTGCGGCTTTTGCCGCTAAACTCACACCCCAGAACTACCATTTTGGGAAGAGAGACTCATTGCTTCAAAGGTTTGCAATGTATATGGGCGTAAGGCACGGCAGGTATCATGAGCGAAGTGAGGGAGCGTTCCAAGTTGGGATGCAGATATCTGCCACCCACCCCTGAAGGCCTACAGAACGTTGCGACGTCGTTCATAATAACTCGGGTCAAGCTCGACGCTCGGCCCTTGTATTGTACTTGTACATCAACACTCACCGGCGTGAGAAAGATGTGAATGCTCAAGAGCAGCTTCTTTCAAACGGATTCAGTATGACCCCCACATCGTCTCTTCGCTATCAACCTGTTTCGAATCCAACTGTCTCCTTAAGGTTTCTTTCAGCACGTCGCACTCAAGCGGCTTCCGAACTTATAGCAATACGGAGTATAGCACAGCCTTGCAGAGAGAGCCAGACTGGCACCTTGAATGTCGATCCAAAAAGACCTACAACCCTTCCAAACACTGCTACGTTGTCGGCAGAGCCCCGAGTGGTGGTCATGAACCATCCGCATGTCGACAGTTACTCCAACCAGCGAAAGTCGGGCAAGGTCCCTAAGCGTCTCGGGGCCTTTGTCTGCTTTAGTCTTCGGAAATGATGGTCATCCATTGTACGGTACTGATGTAGCGATGCTTAATGAAAACCTGGTCTGGCTGAGGTGACAATGAGGCCGGTGAGGACGAAGGCTGGGGTCAGTGTTTGGATTTGTATGTGTCTCAACTGGCTGAAGGCCATGGACTTTGGTCCCAAGCCCAGTTTCAACCTAACCCTTAGAGATTTACGGCATTCTCTGTTACACTCTCAGGGTTCTGTTTTCTCAACGTGGTTTCTCAGGTCTGTACCCCCGGACCCGCTGTTGGCTTCACATATAGCGCGTGTCACAATTCAAGCAGCGATGCTTTTGAAGAGTTACCGAGGTTCATATCAAGAGGCAAAGGAGGGTAATAATACCCCATATGTGGAGCTTTGAATTTCCCAGGTCTTGGCATGCAGCTATGGCGGTTAACTTCGGATATCTCCAAGTTCATCGAAGCTGCATGTAAATCTGACCTGCGACGGTTTACTACCGGACGACGCAGACGAACGACTACATGCTCTTTTCTTTTCTTTTTTCTTTTTGTTTCGAACCTGGCACCCAAAAGGACTGACCGACAGGATGAGGCTTGTGCGAGCTCTCCGCCCAACCCTCATTTGGCGCGAGGTTCTACCAAGGTGAGTAGTCTCTAGAACGCGTCTCAAGTCGAATTGTCTACAATTGCACGAAGAGAAGACTCTTAAGAAGCTGATTATGGATATATTCTCCAACACAGACTACCCACCAATCAACCACTGGCAAGATTCCGGTCATTTAACTGGAAACGACATTACAGCGATGGCCCAGCCGAAGCAGCACCGGCACCCGAGAACAACTACTGGATAACCGTGCATCCCGATGGCCTCGAAGCGAGACCGGTTACGAAATCGGGTCACCCGCCGCGTGCAGGAAAGTTGTGAGTCTTACGCCTGGAAGGTATCCTTCGTTCAATGTCAGGCTAGCTGACTCTGCAGTTTGAACCTATGGCTCCGGTGAGTCGCCCGTAATTGGACCCGAATCAGCATGGGCCATGATTCTTAACATGGACGAGTGTCATAGAGACAACTGCCGCTGCGCCCTGTGTGTGAATCGGGATACCATGCAGCGTACATTTGATACGTTCAGCGTATGTCTACAACCATCGAGGGAAGCCGCTTGTCATCTTTGATACTGGACCCTTGCTTACGCCATGGCAGATCCCGCAAGACATCCACATTACCGAGGCAACAACGGATCGGAGTCATGTCTACGTGAAATGTTCGTATCACTCCGAGATTCTCTTGATGTTTGTGCTAATCATTTGCAGGGTCGGATGGACACAAGAGCAGCTACCCCTGGCAGTTTCTCCGCTGGTCCAAGCATTCGCCGGCCGCACGCGCGAAAGACGTCCGGCGGGCTCTCTGGGGCGCCGAGATTGGGAAACACCCTCCGTCCATTAAATATGCCGAAGTCATGGACTCGGACGCTGGAGTCGCTCGGTTGACCAGGAACATCGTCAGTGGACCTGCCTCTTCTCCTGCCATGCGCAAAGTCTAAGTCCGTCCCACAGAGAGAAGTTGGCTTCTCCTTTGTCATCAACACCCCTTATGACGACCCGAACGACACGAAAAGACTCCTCGAGCGTATCGCATTCATCCGGCAGACTCACTACGGCGGCTTCTACGACTTCAAACCCGACCTCGCCATGGCCGACACGGCCTACACCAACCTGGCACTGGCACCCCACACAGACACCACCTACTTCACCGAGCCGGCCGGGCTGCAGGCCTTCCACCTCCTGTCGCACGAAGCCGCCGAGGGCGAAGACGGCGCAAGCGGGGGCGAGTCGCTGCTCGTGGACGGGTTCAAGGCGGCCAGGATCCTAGCGAAACAGGACTTTGCCGCGGCCAACGTCCTGTCCAAGGTCGGAATCCCGTGGCACGCGAGCGGAAACGAGGGCATCACCATCGGCCCGGACAAGCTGTACCCCGTGCTCGAGTTCCACCAGGGCAGGCTGCACAGGATCCGGTGGAACAATGACGACAGGGGCGTCGTGCCCCTTGGCGACATCCCGACCGAGGCTTGGTATGACGCTGCTCGAAAATGGGACCAGCTTCTAAAGAGCGAGGATCTGCAGTACCGGTTCCAGTTGAAGCCCGGCACTGTCGTGAGTAAGTGGAGATGAACTGGTTTTGGCTTTGTTCTTAACCCCGAGATCCGGGGCGCTGACGGTGACGGCATAGTCTTTGATAACTGGCGTGTGCTCCATGGTCGGAACAGCTTCACGGGTATTAGGCGGATGTGTGGAGGATATAGTAAGTGGTCTCCCCAGTGCGGGCTCTTCGTCCGTTTGCAGGCTCAGCGGCTGACCAACCATGCAGTCAACCGGGACGACTTTGTCTCTCGCTTTAGAAACACGAATTGGGGGCGACAACGTAGCCTCGAATGGGTACTGCGGTAGAGAGATGCTGTCGCTGACAGACCAATTCCTTCTCCGCGAGGGTTCGATTAGGTATCAATCGGGTAGCAGAGGCGGCGGATCTCTAACGGCAAGGCAAATCAGGCGCCGTTCAACAACCTCGAGCTGCAGCAACTAGCGTTTGACCAAGCCTCTTTCGTGGACGAGCACCGTGATCCCCGTCTTACGGAGCCCTTTTAGGTCATTCCGCAGGAGTCTTACTCCACTGCCCCGCCACAATAGTTGTCGACGTCGCCGCGAGGACGACAACAGCAGTATCTCGCGCTCTAAAAGGGACACAGTCAAACCCACAGAAGTATGTCTTTTCTGTCGATTCAGGTGAGAAACTCAAGAGGAGGAGCCAACCTCATCAATCAAACCAGCCGATAGTTTCCACGCCGCCGGGTCCGAGACGGGTTCGATCCAGGATCCATCGGCCCCACTGATGCGCCTATCATGCATGCACCGGGATATCTTGGCCTTCTTTTATGGTCTTCGGGCACCCTGACAATAATGCCCCTCACTTCAGCAGAGATGAGCGTCAAGAACCCGGTTATGGCGCTTGTCTGGCTGCTTCGAGAACCGCATGTTTCGTCAGAGTCGACAAGCTGACAAGGTGGCTGGGCGATCCGGACCCACTCGCCCGGCGCCGGTCACCGCCGGATGCTCTGGTTTCCTTTGCGATGGATGTCTACAATCGACGTTTGGCTCTCCCTTTCTGATTTTCTGATAGAACGTTCGTCTCAACTGCTTTGATTTTTGTCCGTTATTGTCAAGGTGTATCTCACTTTCGTTGCTCACAATCTTCCGAGTGTACATAATCCCATCAAAGCCTCCCTTGCTCATACCGAGCTCTAAAGACCCTCTCTTCCTGTCCCGTGTTTTCCAGCTAGATTTTACTCCATACGGTCAACATGGCGGATATGAAAGACGGGAAGTTTGCGCACGACACCACGGTGGCTCCCCAGGCCAACCGCGTCTTCCCCCTCTTTTCGCTCAAGGGCAAGACGGCCATCGTCTCAGGTGCCAACTCCGGCATCGGTCTGGCCGTCGCCCAAGCCCTCGCCGAGGCGGGCGCCAACGTCGCCATCTGGCACCTCCAGAGCAAAGACGAAGCGGAAAAAGCCGCCTCAGAAATCGAGAAGGAATACAGCGTCAGGTGTAAGCCCACTTACTCACCTCCCGAATCTACACGCCCAGCTCACAGCCCTTTCCCGAGCACACAGGCAAGGCCTACCACGTAAACGTCAGGTCGTACGACGAAGTCTCCTCGGCAATCGACGCCATTGTCACCGAGTTTAACGGTCGCCTCGACGTCTTTGTCGCCAACGCGGGCATCCCCTGGACAAAGGGTCCCATGCTCGACGGACCCGTCCAAGCGTACTCAGACGTGATCAGGACCAACCTGGACGGCGTCTACTTTTGCGCGCGCGCGGCCGGCCTGCACTTTCGTCGGCAGAAGCAGGAGGGCACGACCGTACACGGCGCGCCGCTCGAGCCGCGGTTCACAACGGGTAGCTTCATCGCCACGGCCAGCATGAGCGGGCACATCGTCAACGTGCCACAGCTGCAGGCGGCGTACAACGCGAGCAAGGCGGCCGTGGTGCATCTGTGCAGGAGTCTGGCCGTCGAGTGGGTGGGCTTTGCGCGGGCTAACTCGGTCAGCCCCGGGTACATCAACACCAGCATTTCGGAGTTTTGCGACCCAGAGACGAAGAGGGTTTGGAAGGATAAGATCCCTATGGGGTGCGTTTTCCGTCTTCTTCTTTTGAATTGCCGATCCCGCATCTTTCTGGCTGATCGAATGCTGATTTTCGCTGTGATAGTCGCGAGGGCGAGGTGATCGAGCTCAAGGGAGCATATCTCTATCTAGCGTCGGATGCGTCGTCGTATACCACCGGGACGGATGTCGCAGTGGACGGCGGCTACTGTGCGCCATGATTTGCTGTGTCACTCGGGTCCTTATCTCTTCAATCTCTCATAGACCGGAAGCGAAATAGAGCAAAGACTGTTAGAGATTTCAATACCTTGACGAACGTGAAACTCAGAAGCAGATGGTCCTTGACCCTAACCCTGCGGATAACATTCACACCACCCATTATGATCAAGTTACCGTAAAGATGCGTGGTCCTAAATTAAGCGAAACCAAAATTGTACTTTAGCTGGTAGGTTTTGCCAACAAGGCGTGTTCTGTACACGTGAGTGAGAACGCAACCCGGAAAATGACTTGGGGAGACTTCAGATGAACCTGAGCGTCGAGTGTCGCTCCTTTCTTCCACGTGCTACTGTAATCTTGCCCCGGCTTGGTAAGGCATACGTATTTCGTACGTGACCCTGAAACTTTCGAGACCCCGCTCACCCCACCCTGACCCTGGGCAGCTTTCTGGAGCTCATACCGTCCAGACGGGACTTCCATTCTTGCCTCCTGAGTCTCGGCCGCCCAACCCTCAGCCCTATCTGCCCCTTGGTCCTGCCAATTTATCAACTTCTCGCACCGGTGAACCCTCCGCGCGGATCTGCTTCTCTGGGCGACATCATCGCCTTCAAGAAGAAATTTGGGCGACGCAGACCGTGAAACAAACAATTTCGCTCGCTGCTGGACACAGCGGAAGCCTTTCGTTCACCAGACCAACCATCCAACAAACCAACGAGCCAACCTTGCCGACCGACCTGTAGCCGCCCGCCGGAGGATTCTTGCCTGCCTCGCCTGCCGCTGCTCTTCCTCGTCGCGACAGCTGCGCCCACGCCAACATGGACACCGATGACTCCAACATCATGGCCTCACACGATGAGCGCCGGGCCAAGGACCAGCAGGTCGACAATGCCATCCGAGCGATACAGCAAAAGAAGCCGCTGCCCGAGATCGACTTTACCATCCACACCATGGAGGACGGGACCCAGGTCAGCACCATGGAACGGGTTGTCAAAGGTATGTCCTGCCGCAGCACGGGACTCTTCGCCGTGAGATGCACCACCTGCATCAGACTGACCCAGTCCGCTTTTCGTAGACGTGCAAGCACCTGCCATGTACAAGCCCACCGACGAGCAGTTCTTCGAGGACGAGTCTCACCAGAAGCCTAATATCCAGTTCCTCAAACAGCACTTCTACCGCGAGGGCCGCCTGACCGAGGAGCAAGCGCTATGGATCATTAAGAAGGGTACAGAGCTCTTGCGCGCCGAGCCTAACCTGCTCGAGATGGATGCCCCGATCACAGTGTGCGGCGACGTCCACGGCCAGTACTACGACTTGATGAAGTTGTTCGAGGTCGGCGGCGACCCGGCCGAAACAAGGTACCTCTTCCTCGGCGACTATGTCGACCGGGGCTACTTCAGCATCGAGTGCGTGCTCTACCTGTGGGCTCTTAAGATACACTATCCCAAAACCCTCTGGCTGCTTCGGGGTAACCACGAGTGCCGTCACTTGACCGACTACTTCACCTTTAAGCTGGAGTGCAAGCACAAGTACTCGGAAGCCATCTATGAGGCCTGCATGGAGTCGTTCTGTTGCCTGCCGCTGGCGGCGGTCATGAACAAGCAGTTCTTGTGTATCCACGGTGGGCTCAGTCCGGAGCTGCACACTCTCGATGACCTGCGAAACGTTTGTTTCCCCCGGTACCACCAGGTTCTGGAATATCAGCTTACCCTTTGCAGATTGACCGCTTCAGGGAACCACCAACCCAAGGGTTGATGTGCGACATTCTCTGGGCTGATCCCCTGGAAGATTTTGGCCAGGAGAAGACGACCGATTTCTTCTTGCACAACCATGTCCGCGGGTGTTCGTATTTCTTCTCGTACCCGGCGGCTTGCCACTTCCTCGAGAAGAACAATCTGCTGTCCATTATCCGCGCCCACGAGGCCCAAGATGCTGGGTACCGCATGTACCGTAAGACGCGTACCACGGGGTTCCCCAGTGTTATGACCATCTTCTCGGCCCCCAACTACCTGGACGTTTACAACAACAAGGCGGCCGTCCTCAAGTACGAGAACAACGTTATGAATATCCGCCAATTCAACTGCACCCCACACCCCTACTGGCTCCCCAACTTTATGGACGTCTTCACATGGTCCTTGCCGTTCGTCGGCGAGAAGATCACCGACATGCTGATCGCCATCCTCAGCACGTGCTCGGAAGAGGAGCTCAGGGAGGATTCGTCGGCCACGTCCCCCGGCCCGGTCTCCCCCACCCTGCCCTCTGCCTCGAGCGCGGGCAGCCAGGACCCCGACTCGATTGAGTACAAGCGGCGGGCCATCAAGAACAAGATCCTCGCCATCGGCCGGCTGTCGCGCGTGTTTCAGGTGCTGCGCGAGGAGTCGGAACGGGTCACGGAGCTCAAGACGGTATCGGGCGGCCGCCTGCCTGCCGGTACGCTCATGCTCGGCGCCGAGGGCATCAAGAACGCCATCAGCACCTTTGAGGACGCGCGCAAGGTGGACCTGCAGAACGAGCGGCTGCCGCCCAGCCATGAGGAGGTGCAGAAGCAGCAGGACGAGGAGCGCGCACAGGCGTTTGAGAGGGCTGCCCGCGAGGCGGAGCAGGACAAGAAGTTGCAGACGCTGTCGAGGCGGTTGAGCACGTGAGTTTCGACCATATCCTCTCGGTTCCATCATCTCTGGTTACTGACATGATTCTCTTAGTGATCGAAAACGGTAATTGCCAGTGCCATATTCCGGAACGCGGGTTTGGTGGCAGTATGATTGACTGTTCAAGGAAGGACGCTCACATGGTGGCTGTTCCCTACGGTGGGCGCTTGTTGAGGAGGGAGCGACAAAACGCAAGAAATACCTCACTTGGGTTTTGCCATGCTTTGAATAAGTAGCAGCGCGAGACAGATATCAGTCCTGAGATCGGGCTAGCAAGGAAAACAGATGCTGGATGCTGAGCGAGATTTGACCTCCCCTGTTTGGTTTTGTTTCTGTCTTTTATTCTCGTTTGGCACTATCAGTATCTTCTTTGGACCGACACCCTTCTTTTTCCCTGTCGTGTTTCTGTTAATGTCGTCGCAAAGCAATCTTGGAGGTTGCCGGATGTGGCAGGACTTTGCTGGTCTCGTGTATAACAACGTGAAGCCTGAAAACTTGCTATATGATACAGGCCTACTATCGACATCTTTGACTCGAATTGGCCGGGATAGCAGGTTTCTCTTACGAACGTAATTCAGCTTGGTCAACAAAATCTAGTTATGAGAGCACGAGACTATCGTCTGTCCCGCTCTTCAAGTGAACATCTCACAGCGACGCCTCAGCTCGTCCATAGTCAGACGGCGAAGGGGAACTTCAGAAATAACCCACATATCCACAGGACAAGGAGCTGAGGCGCCCAAGAAGCTCCACATCCATCTCCTGAACGAAGGGGTTGGTTATGGTAGCCTCTGGGACGAGTGGGCCTTCACGTCGGCAGAGGCTGGCCAAGAGCTGATGATGTGACCTCTTCTCGGAAGGGAAACCCAACGAGTCCCAAGCAGGTGGATAGATGAGCTCCCCTCGACCGTCTCAAGCAGACCATTGCCCTGTTAAGGGGAAAGTCAACAGCAGTGGACTCGGACCTAATATAACATGTGGAGGGCGGGCTGACTGGGGCCTGCGTCGGTGTTGTTCGTCAGGGCGGCTGGGGAGCCGTAAGCTAACATAGGACGCTTGTATCAATGCCAATCTCGGGAGGTGTCGCAACCGGAGGGCTGCGAGAAAGGTAGCCAAGTCAACCTCTGGCTTTCCGGCTTTTCCTACCAGGTGCCACACGCCGGGTGAAGAGCATTAAAGGGGCGGGAAGAGCAGGCGCTAGTAAAGCAAAAGCAAGACAAACGGGCACAGCGCTCCGTGGTACGTGGAGCGCAAGCGCTAGGCTCACTCGTCCTGGTCGAACAGCAAGCTGCGAGACACCATATGCCCCTTTTTCACAGGGCTCAGCAAGCAAACGTATGGCTATTGGGCGCGGTCCTCGGCAGTACGTGGTCGACGGTTCGTGAAAAGGTATAAGTCCCTGTCTGGCTCACGTCGAGGTTAGGGTGAAGTTTGTCCGACAAAGACTTCAAACTGTTCACAAGCCCCTCTCGGTAATGGCGATTGGTATAGCTTCCTTGTCATTTTGGTATGCCCGTCCTCAAGACCCCTGGTATCACGGACCGAAAAGAGACGGATCGCCTCATCCTGAACCAAGCAAGAATAATTCTCGAACCGGGGAGTGGACATGGAGCCCAAGATGGCCGGGAACTCCCCGGAAGATGTGAAGAAACATCCCATTCCCTAATGCAATGTGGGGTGTGTTTTTCATCACCCCATGGACCCAACCAGGACTCCGGAATCTAGCACTCATAGCTGACGTCGTCTGACCGTCCGATCCGCTGCCATTGGGTTCACAATCCGGGTTTCCTTCGTAACCGAAAATGACAATCGCTAGCCTTTGATGTAACCGTAACCGCGTCCGACTTAAGCAACGAGCTCAACGACACCACCAGCCTCTGTGATCTTGCGCTCAGCCTCCGAGCTGACGTACCGCGCCCGGACGACGACGGGAATCTCGGGAAGACGGCCTAAGCAGCATGTCAGTAACTCTGATTCCTCCTGCTTACAGTTTCCCCACAACATATCGGTTCCTTACCCTTGCCGAGGAGCTTGGCGTAGCCGTGAGACAGAAGGTCGATAACGGGAGCAGAGTCGGTCTTTTGGCCGCTGATGTACTGTTCCCGGGTCTCGGCGGGCACGAGAGACCAGCTGCAGAATCTTAGTAAACGTTCAGCCTGGCCGGTTCCGCGCAACGTACAGCTTCTCGATGTTGATAGTGGGCGCCCAGTAGTGGTTGCGGAGAAGGTGGAAGTCTATCCAGGTAATTAGCTCCGGAAGTCCTGTCGACGAGGTGAGTATTGCTCGGGTACGTACGCCTCATGCCGACCTTTCCGAAGTAACCCGGGTGGTCTGATAGATGTTGTTAGCCGGTGTCAACGTCACTCGTCGGGCAAGATCTGAAGCATGTCGCGAGAGCCGGAACTCGTCCTAAGGCCCTCCCAACACGCCAAAGATGCAGCCCGGTTGTGTCTGCGTACACTTATCGAGGTTGGTGCGGTGGTGATGCTTTTCGTCGAGTTAGTCCACGTCCATACGGGTTTTGGGATCGCAAATCGTCGTACCTGGCCACCAGCCATACCACGACCACCGGGGTGCTTCCTGTGCTTGCCGACACGACTGGATGATGATTTCGTTAATATGGATTCGACTGTATTGATTGATTCGTCGCAACATACCCCTTACCGGCGGACACCTGGGGAAGCACAAGTCAGCATTTCCATCATGCATGAGCGGCGGGACGGGGAGCATACATGGCCGCGGTGCTTTCTTGTCTTGGAGAACCGGGTAGGCTGCGAGAATCAGCACTTCATTCTGCATCGAGTGATAGCATTGCATACCATGGTGGCTGCTGGGTAGTGTCGATGAAGCCTCTCAATTCCTCGACGGTGATGCTCTCGCAAGTCTGCTTTTTGGGGTCCCGCCGAGCGGAAGTTTAGGGCTGGGTAAATTTTGGTGGGCACAGAAAGAATGCTTAGGTAATCCGAGATTTAGCCGCGGCTGGAAACCTTGAGCACGGACCTCTCGCGTACAGGGTTACGGTACGCAAAGCTCTCGTAATCCCCGATGTCTTGTGGAGTTCCCTTTCACTATCAGCGAGGCTGCCATTGTTCAGAGCTCATCACTGGCGACTCATCGTCAGCTCTTCTCGAGCTCAAATGCGCCTTCGGCCTGTTTACAATTTCCAAAGAAACGAATCCCATTGCAGGAAGAAGCGAACAAACAACTGAGAGCCCTCTGGTTCTTGCCGAGCATTCGACCTTGCACTACGGATGCTACTTCCTCAGAGGACCTGCACGACCAGGTCGAGCAGGTCGAAGAAGGCCTCTCTGCCGCCTTCAACCTTCTCCAGGCCCAAGCCCAGGAGGAGTGTCCTCTTTTCGTCAGGGTCGCGCATAGTTAGATGACTTGCAATCTGGCTCGCATAGAGATGGCCCAATGTTTCTCGTTCTTCGCTGCCGACGCCAACGAGAGTCTTCGGAGTAAGATGGGTCGAGGGAAGAGCGCTCAGACCGGCCCCTGGCAAGGCCATATCCACTGTTGCTGACGAGGGTGCAGAAAGCGGCACTTGAATCTTAAGAAATCGAGTTAGCGGCGAATCTCCAAGTTACATATCTGAACTCACCCACTGGGCAAGTCGTCCACCCTGCGAGACGGTGATCATGATTTTGTCTGAGAAACTGAGGGACTCAATCTCGGTGGGAACGCCGTTGACTGTTCCAACCGTTCTCTTGGACGGGGCCGGGAAAGGCTCATTCCGAGGCAAGTCCCCATCCATCGTAGACTGAGCTTTCGAAAAAGGAAAATGCAGTCTGGACTGTTGTACACACAATCAAGAGCTTGATCGGAAACTGGTGTTGAGTCCAAGATCGAGCAAACAGTGTTTCGACAGCGAACACACTGTAATATCAACTGTACTGCCGCCCCACCTTGCAAGTTGACTGATTAGAATTCTGCCGGGCGGACAAGATTTTCGGGCAACAAGCTTCAAGACCGCTTCGAGATGCCACCTGGACGATTTTGAAATTACCTTTGGAGGACGGACCGACACATCAGCGGGCCTAATCAACGCAGGAAAGGAACACGATAGCCGTGTTGATTTCGGTGTGATCTGACACATCCTGCGTCTCCGAGGTCCTGGCTCAGCCCTTAGTTGGGGTACACTAAAGTGCTGAGAGTTTTCCTTGCGCCATGCCCTTGGGCACTCTCCCAAGAAGTATCACTACTACCGCCTGGAGTGTACTCTCACCATCATAATGCCGCCAAAGAAATTTGTTCCACGGCAGCGCAAGCGCAAGGTTCTTGACAGACAAAGGGCGCAAGAACGAGCTACTCACGATGTCGGCGCAGACAGCAACGTGCTCGAGATCACGCCCGCTCAACAGGCTGAGGCTGAGCAGAAGAGAGCCCAGCTTCGTGAAGATCTGAGGCCTCAGGGTGTCAAAGTCAGCAGCAAGAAGGCCAGGCGCCTCGAAAAGTACATTGAGAACAAACTCAAGAAGGACGAAAACCGGGAGCTGCTTGCCAAGCTAGCCGCCAACAAGATCGATACCTCTCTGTTCTCCAGCAGCAAAACCCTCGGTCGGGCGAAGGAGACAAAGAGGGAAGCATTGAGACGCGCGCTCAGGGAACAGAATGCCGGCATCGCGCTGGACAAGTCGGGGGCGAGTCTGCTCTATCAACGCCGAAAGGTTTTAGATGGAGAGCTACCGATGGATGAGGCGCCGAGCAACTCGGAAGCGGAAGCGGAAGCGGAAGATGGAGAGGATAATCAGATCGATCAGAGAGACGCTACCTCAACCCAACCCCAGCAAATATTGGCTCCGGTATCAGCACAGCCAAGCTCCATAGCAGTCGGGGCTGGCTTAAAGCGGCCACTTGAAGTGGACGAGTCTGGCCGCCCGAAACTCGCCAAACGGCAGAAAAGAGGAGGCGTTAAGACAAAGTACTCGATAGAAGCCCCTGCTGTCTACGAAGAGTCAGCCTCGGATGACTGGAATGGCTTTAGCTCTGGAAGCGAGGGCCCGTCGGTCGGTGGTTTTATGCAGGGATCGGACGATGGTGTATCCAGTAGCGAGGGCAGCGACGGCAGTGAGGATGAGGATGCCGATGGAAGTAGCTCGGATGACGAAATGGAGAGGTCCGACGGAGACATCGAGTCGGAGGAAGATGGCGATGAATTGGCCAAGCAGAACCGCCAGCAGAGATCGTCCGCTTTCAAGGCTTGGGCGCACCAGCAACGAAACGAAGCGCTAGGATACAAGCCGGTCGACTCCATCGTTTTGGACATACCCAAACCGGCAAACTTCACCCCCAGGCCGGTTGAAGAAGAGCCGCTGCCGATAGAACTGCAGCCAACGACGAACAATACGAGAAAGGCATACACCGTCGGGGTGACGAGGGATCCCGACATCCAGGAGGCTCGCTACAAACTACCCGTCGTTGCCGAGGAGCAGAAGATTATGGAAGCCATTCACAACAACAATGTTGTTGTCATATGCGGCGCCACCGGTTCTGGTAAAACTACACAGGTGCCGCAGTTTCTCTTCGAAGCCGGCTACGGCGCGCCGGACGGTCCGACTCCAGGCATGATTGGCGTAACACAGCCGAGGCGAGTGGCAGCAGTCAGTATGTCGAAGCGCGTGGCTCAGGAGTTGGGAGATCATTCGGACGTTGTCGCCTACCAGATCCGGTTCGAGGGTACCGTAGACCCCAAAACCGCAATCAAATTCATGACGGACGGCGTCCTCCTTCGAGAGGTCGCCCAGGACTTTGCTCTCCGCAAGTACTCGGCCATCATCATCGATGAGGCCCACGAGCGGAGCGTCAATACCGACATCCTGATTGCCATTCTCAGCAGAGTGGTCAAGCTCAGGGCGGAACTGGTCAAGGAGGACTCCTCGATCAAGCCATTGAAAATCATCATCATGTCTGCGACACTTAGGGTCGAGGAATTTACACAAAACACAAGACTCTTCAAGACGCCCCCACGCGTCATTGAAGTCGAGGGCCGCCAGCATGAGGTGACGATACACTTCGCTCGAAAAACACGGTCTGATTACGTTGAAGACGCCTTCCGAAAAATTAGCCGAGGCCATCGGAAGCTGCCACCAGGCGGTATGCTTGTCTTCCTCACCGGCCAGGGAGAAATTTCCCAACTGAGGAAGAAACTCAAGGGTGCGTTCGGCGGGATGACCGTTGCGGAAGGGCCAAGGGTCTGCATCTCCGGGAGTGAAGCTCCGATTGAGGTTGAAGACATCGACTTCGGCGAGGCCGACGACCGGAATGCCCATGATGAGTACGACGAGGTCGAGTTTGCCTCGGATGAAGAGGAGGAAGAAAAGGAGTTTGAGCTCGAGGACGAGGAATCTGGGACCGGGCCGCGGCGGATGCATATTTTGCCGCTGTACTCTCTGCTCCCTACAAGAGAGCAGTTGAAGGTCTTTGAGCCGCCGCCTGAAGGTTCCCGGTTAGTCATCCTCGCGACAAACGTAGCTGAGACCAGTTTGACCATCCCCGGCATCCGATACGTCTTCGATTGCGGAAGGTCGAAGGAGCGGAAGTATGATCCGGTGAGCGGTGTCCAGAGCTTCGAAATTGACTGGATCAGCAAGGCGAGCGCAAAGCAGAGAGCTGGCCGTGCCGGTCGTACCGGCCCAGGTCACTGCTGGAGGTTATACTCATCGGCAGTTTACGAGAGAGACTTCCCCGAGTTCTCGGCCCCAGAGCTGCTTCGTATGCCAATCGAAGGAGTGGTGCTGCAACTCAAGTCCATGAACCTCCAACACGTCGTCAACTTTCCCTTCCCTACCCCGCCGGACCGTTGGAGTATCATCAAGGCCGAAAAGCTTCTCACCTCCCTCTCGGCGATATCACCGAGCGGACAGATTACGCCAGTTGGGACGAGCATGTCCATCTTCCCTTTGGCGCCTCGTTTTGCACGGATTCTGCTGGTCGGACATCTCCATGACTGCCTACCCTACACCATCGCCATGATTGCCGGGCTATCTGCGGGCGAGATCTTTGTGCCGGAGAACCAAGCTATCCCGGCGGCTGCCGAGCAGACCGAGGAGTTTCGCACCAACGAGGAGGTGATCGCTGAGGACAAGCGGGCAAGGATACGCAAGGCATTTAACGCAGTCCACAAGAACTTCTGCTCGCTCGACGACAAGTCCGACGCCATGAAGATCCTTCAAGTGGTCGGTGAGTTTGCCCACGAGCCCACCGAGGCGTGGTGCGAGAGCCACTTTGTCCGCTTCAAAGTCCTCAAGGAGATTTTGCAGCTCCAATCCCAGCTGGCCAACCTCGTCAAGACCAACATGGCAGGCTTCGCCAACTTCAAAATGCCCGAGAAACTCCCCCGGCCCTCGGCGCTACAAGTCCAAGCGCTCAAGCAGATGGTCGCCGCAGGCTTCGTCGACCAAGTCGCCATCCGTGCCGACAAGGCGCCCAACCCGCCCGAGATGTACCGCAAGCCGCGCCGCGCCATCGACGTGCCCTACCTCCCGCTGATGCCGCTCGAAGGCAACCAGATCTCGTCAGCCGACCCCGCCGACAAGCTGGTGTTCATCCACCCGTCGTCGCCGCTCGCGCACCTGAGCGTCGACGAGTGCCCGGAGTACGTCGTGTACGCGCACCTCCAGCGCGCGGGCAATATTCTAGACGTCGGGGAGGACGGCGCCAAGAAGAAGCCCAAGACGAGGATGCATGCGCTCACGGACTTGACGGGCGCGCAGCTGGCGAATATCGCCAAGGGGACCCCGCTGATCACGTATGGCAAGCCTGTCAAGGAGGTGCAGGGGTCGGACGACGGCAAGACGAGGGAGGTGTGGGTGGTGCCGTATATGAGGGCTGAGACGGGCGGTGGGCTGGGGTGGTATGTCTTTCTTCTCTAGAGTTCTACCCCCTCTTTCTACGTCAAAAGAAGTATCGCTGACATTGTTGACTAGGCCACTACCGATGCGGAAAATCAAGCAGAAGAGGGTGCTTGGGAAGGGATGGGTTGTGGAGTGATGGTAATACGGCAGTGGTTGGAGTTATTCTTCAGTCCGCCCTCCTAGCCGTGTTTTGTCGACCCGAAGGTACGTGTCTTTGGTCTGCCAATACCCTTCCTCATTCATTACTGCCCGTTATGATGATCTCTCGTAAGAGGCTGTTGATGAATTCTTGATGATTATAAACTATCACCTACATTGTTCTACTTCTGAACCGGCATTGAAAATTGCCATATTCCCTCTTCAAGTTCGCATTGTTGAGAGAGCAGTTGACTGACCTGTCTTCAGGCACCTCGGCTAATTGCCCACTTGACTGGATTAGATGTATCTATCGCAAGGAATTTCGACAGTTACAAAGCAAACTCGTTCAGGTAGATGAGAGTTGTGCATAGTGATGCGGTTAAGAGCCCAACATCACACAATGCACCAAATCTGTCCGTTATATATCCAAATTGCTGACCCCTTAAACGCCATGTGCTAGCAGATATTCCGGGGTATCATTGATGATTCGAAAAGGACACAAACACAACCACAACGTCTATCAATACCAACCCCATCCCATCCAGGCAGCCATTCAACAGCTGCCCTTTTCATTTTTCAGGAACGCCCGCCACCAGTCCCCTAGCCCTCCCCTAGCCCTCCTCCATTTCGCGCGTAGTTGAACTGCGTATAAGAACACCAAGCACGGGCCTACTGCGGCGTCACAGCGGCCTTACTGCCCTTTCTCTTCCTCGCCTTCTGCATGTTCCCGCCCCCCGGCGTTTTGGGGCTCTTGGTCTCCTTGCCCGTCGGCTTGCCCGTCGGGGCCAGCGGGTTCTCTGCCCCTCCCAACTTGGTGTTGATAATCGGCAGGGCCGGGATCAGCGAGGCCTTCTTGGCGTTGGCGGCGGCTGAAGCAGACAGGTTGACGCCCTTGCGGCCGGTCGAGGCTAGCTGGAACTCGCCTGGCTTGCCGGTGATGGGGTTCTCATTCAGGTTGTGCGAGCCGAACTGGTGGTGGATTCCCAGGGCTTCTTCGAGGAGGCGGGAGCTCGGCAGGGTGGTGGTTGGGGCGGGTCTGCTGGTGCCCGTAGTGTTTTCTGGGAGCGGGGTTGCTTCGCGCTGCTTGGTGGTGGCTGTGGAGTATGTCGCGGTGGGGGGTTGATAGGTTCGGCCGAGAGCGGGTGACCAGGATTGAACGCCTGCAGAGGTGGGTAGGATATTGGCTATTGAGGAGGAGATGGAAGCCTGTTGCAGGAAGGGGATTAGCGTGCTGCTATGACGGTGACAAGGGAGGAGGGTGGGAGCGAACAAGTCTCGAGCTGATGATGTCCGCTAGGTTAGGCGCCATGTAGATGTTTTCCCCGACGACGAAGTATGTCGCATGCACAATGATCTCATCTTGGGGCTGTCGCTTGCGCCGGGTCTGCTTGTTGATAACCCACACGCCGGTCCCTGCTCCAGGCCCTGTCTCGGCGGGTTCCTGAGCAACAATGAATTCGAGCCCCGACATGGTCTTGAGGCGGCCTTCGAAGAGCTCGCGGGTCGCCAGGTATTGTGTCATGTTGGGATTGTTCAGCCCCTGCTGAAACAGGACTTCATTGTTGGACGTCCTGTCGAAGAATGGTGACTGAGCGAAGTAGTAGAGCACACTGTTGCTGTGTATGCCCATCTCGAAGTCGGGCGGCGCGCGCCATTGAATCTCGTCCAGCGGCGGACCCGCGTTCGGTGCTGGGTTCGCGGCCATTATTGATCGTGTAGCTTTAAGTTGTCGAGTAACGCGTCGTTGCAGGCTATTATGCCCGGCCCAAAAGTCCTCGTGATTGTGTCTGTCGGGCGGTGATTTGTGCAGAGACGTAGCTGGAATTGGTGCAAGCCTTGAGAAACCAGGAGCAATTGAAGGCCCCTGTTAATGTTTCGGCCCCACATCGTGGGGATGGTGGGGCCGTTGTGCAACTGAGCATGCAATCTTATTATGGGTTATGTTAGGCAACTTGATACTGAGACTGCCATCAACTTCGCCTCGAATTCATCAATTCACGACGCAGGTTATATCCAATATACTAAATATCACCCTTTGTTGGGCTTTTCTATACTACTCAACGCTAAGCGCTACTATGGACCTACTCTCGACCGTCCGCAAAACGGGTTCTCGCGGCGGTGTCAACTTCAGCTGGGATGATGTTGCGACATCTCAGTACCGCGAGAACTACTTGGGCCACAGTCTAAAAGCGCCCGTGGGGCGCTGGGCTAAAGGGCGCGACTTGAATTGGTACGCCAAGGCAGAGCCAACCGCGGCGGATTTAAACGAGACAGAGGAAGAGAAACAAGCCCGTGAGCGCCGAGAGGAGATCCGCAAGATCAAAGAAGCCGAGGAAGAAGCCATAGCTCGGGCACTGGGCCTGCCCATTAAACCCCGCGACGCGTCAGGAGCCAATGCTATGCCAGTGGAAGGGTCAAAGGTGCCGAACCGCGACACCGAAGACGACAGGAACTCGAAAGAGACTAGGGGGTCAGAATCACGAAGAGGCCGACACAAGGAATCGGATCGGCACAAAGACCAAGATCGCAGGCACAGGAGGAGGCAAAGGAGCAGAGACCGCGACACAGATAGGTATCGGCATCGGGATCGCAGTCGGAGTCGGAGTAGGCAGCGGAGGCGGGGCGACCGAGATGATGATGGGAATGACATAGACCAGAGAAGGAGGAGCCGCAGCCCTGTCCATGGCTGCAGTCGACGAGGAGGGGAGCGAGAGGATGATCGAGAACGCAGCCGCAGCCGCAAATACGGACACGAGCGGAGGGCCAACGAGAGTCGCAGCCGGAGCCGGAACACAGATTCACGGCCTGAGAACCATGATAGGCGGCGAAACAGGAGCAGGAATAGGTATTATGAGCGGGACATATAGGGGTAGTCGGGGCAAGCAGTACGATCTTGCGTGCTAAGTTATATTCGTCAACGTGTGCAAGTGTATGTCAAGGTTGAGAGTGCCACATGCATGCTAAATCAAAAATCTCGGATGCGACTACTCCCGACTCGCTTGCAGCATGGCGCCTACATGTTGTAAGCTAGACAGAGGCGCAGGTACGGATATTCCACCATACAGCCTTGTTTGTGGGTTCTGATCCCCACGGCAGACATCTGTTGTCGCTGCCACTCAGCAGCCCCGCCCATCTGAGTAACATCATGGGCGATAAGATAAGTCAACATTAACGAAGAGTAAGGCTGACAGTGTTGCAGCTCGCCAACGTCACAACTGCAGCCTTCTAACCCTCAGGGTTCTACGCCAGGCTCGACCTTTCCGAAACACTTCCGCCTTCGTTCCTCTTTATGATTCCTCTCATTTCAGACCCTTTCGAGTTTCTCTACTAAACGACCTCTATTCGCAACCGCCGATCGATCCCATCTCCCAGATTTGACCATCGAACCCTTTCCCCGACCCGTCTTCCAGAACATCCCACGCATACCGAGCTCACCATCGTGTCCGCCACTAGTCATTATGGATTACGCGCGTCTTCGCGCTGCCGCCATGAGCGGTGAGGACGAGGAAGCGGTAACAGTCGACACCCGCGCGCTTATCGACAAGGTGCTTGCACGATACTCAGGAGAGTGGACGACGCTTCGAGAGCTCATCCAGAACGCCGCCGACGCGCAGGCGACAACAGTTAAAGTCAAGTTCGAAACCACACCATCGACACAAACTCCCCTTCCGACGACCGTCAATCAGTCAGAGCTCATTAAACATGTCATATCCCATCATACCTTGCGGTCACTCCACGTGAGCAACAACGGACAGCCGTTCACTTCAACCGACTGGGGAAGGTTGAAGAAGATCGCCGAGGGGAATCCAGACGAGACGAAGATCGGTGCGTTTGGTGTGGGCTTCTACAGCGTCTTCGCCGACTGCGAGGAGCCCTTCGTCAGTTCCGGAAACGAGGCCATGGCTTTCTATTGGAAAGGGAACGCCCTGTTTACAAGGTACAACGATATTTTCTTGGGTGTATGGACTGTTTATACCCATTCATGCTTGTCTCATAGCTCCCGAGACAGCGCATTCGCTCCCAAAACCTCCACGGACATTCAAAAGAGGAAATATCACGGCTAACATTTTTGGTACAGGAAGGCCACTCTCCCACCAGGGCAAGGGAGCCCCGACACAACGTTCGTGCTCGACTATAGGAGCACTTCTACACCGCTACCAAACCTGCTCTCCGTGAGCCAGTTCCTGGCTACCAGCTTGACCTTTGTCGCCCTGCAGAGCATCGAGTTCTGGATCGATGACTGGAAGATTTTGAGTCTACAAAAGAAGTCCTCGCCCAGCCTGAGCCTAGATATTCCGCGAGACTTGGAAACTAGGACCAAGGATGGTCTTATGAAGCTTGCTGCGGCAGACCGTACCAGCACGCAAATAGACGCCACCTTCATGAACGTCATCGGCTGGAAACCCCAGTCGACAACATCGGCCACCAAGTCTAGCGAGTCCTACTATTCTTCGGAGCTGCCTTCCTTGAAGAACTTCTTCTCGCGGCTCACATCGGGCTCGTCGCAATCTGGACCTCGAGCCAAAGCGGCGAAGGAAGAGAAGGCCATCCAAGAAGCAATCGCGGAGGATCTTACGGCGACGTCAACTTCGGTCCATTTTCTTCGGGTGACTTCAGCCCAGATAGCCACCCGCGTCTCATCTTCCTTCGCTGCCGAATTGGAGCGGGCAACCAAGAAGCCCCCTCCAAAAACCACCAAAATCTCCATCCTCACATCGTCGTATGACGAGACAGTCGCTTCAGAGGAGGCCTCGTTGAGCCAGGTGCTGAAAGTTGCGGACGTATTCGCCTCAGTCCTACCTAGCAAAAAGCCGGGAGGCCGCATCTTTATTGGTTTCCCGACCACGCAGACCACTGGTGCCGGAATGCACGTCTCTGCCCCCTCGGTTATCCCGACGGTTGAGCGTGAAGCCATTGATCTCAACGCTCGCTGGGTGCGCTCCTGGAACATGGAGTTGCTGCGCGCAGCGGGCATCATGTCCCGGCTTGCATTTGCACACGAAATGGCAGGTCTGAACGACAAGCTCAGGAGGTTGTCCGAGGCCTGCGGGAAGAAAGGACAGGCCGTCTCGCCGGTTGAGGTGCAGAAATGCATTCCCGAGGCCTTGCACATCTTGAAGACCTATACCTTTTTGGATTCGACTCCGAATGGGAATGTGGCGCAAATTATCGAGGAGGCGTTCTGGACGGCCTACAAACGCGCATCCATTGAGGTTTTCTCCTCTAAGGGCGTTCTCCAGTCAACGAAAGTCCGCACCTCGTCCGATGAGATAGCCAAGTTCGTTGGAGGTATTCCCGTGGTTTTGAGGGAGATGAGCGAGGATCCCTTCATCAAGCGGTTGATTGATTTTGGCTTGATCAAAGACATCACGGTGGATGACATCTGCCAAGGTACGTCAACTTCGTGCTCCTTTTGTCCCTTTCGAGAGTGTCTCGGGAGTCCACGGGAGTCACCTTGTTCCCAAAGCAGCATTTTTGCTCCCGAATTACCCCAGAGTCACGCCTAATAGCCAAGAACTGACTGATTTTGTCGGACAGAACTCGGGGCGAAGGCATTAGACAAGGACCAGCTGAACCATTTTCTTCAGTGGATCACGAAAGGGGCTTTCGACGGAGAGCTTGACCGCCCAGGCGTCCAGCGACTTTTGGATGTTGCCGTAGCTACCATCTCTGACACTGATGGCGGTGGTTCGGGCGATATCATCGCGCTAGGGGCGGTCAAAAACTATCTCAATAACAAGATTCCAGCAACGCTCCCGATACCGCCCACTACTCTGTCCATTGCATTTACCGCGAACATTCCGGAGGCCCGGCTGCAAGCTCTTGGCTGGGAGCCTTTGACTATCGTTCCGTGGCTCAGATTCCTGATTGAATCAGGCCCCAGCAAGGCTGACGAGCAGAATCTTACAAAGTCGGACAAGTTTGCCCACCAGGTCTTGACTGTTCTCTCCAAAAATTGGGACAATCTGAGCCCAAGCTCCAAAAGCTCGGTTGTGTCGGCATTACAGAACATCACAGTTATGCCCACCAAGGCGGGCATGAGGAAGCCTGGCGAATCCTTTTTTCCGTCTGTCAAATTGTTTGACGACCTACCGATCGTTGAGGGTAATTTGAAGGAGAGATTCCTGTCCGCTCTCGGTGTTAGGAAGACTGTCGACCTCGAGACCATCTTCACCCGGTTATTGAGTCCGTCTCCCGCGGCCGGCGATGGTGCGCATGCCAAATGGAGCCATATGGAGTTGATTAAGTACCTCACCTCGGTCAAAGACGACATACCCGCTGCCGACATGAAGAAGCTTCGGGAATCGCCCCTTTGTCCCGCAGAGGCCGGTCCGCGCGGGATGGAGCCTACGAAGGGCACCACACGATTGTACAGGATTTCTGAGCTCTACGAGCCCAAAGACTCTCTGCGGGCATTGGGACTCCTAATCCTCCAATGGCCAGGTCCGCCGGGTAGTTTCAGAACTACCAGCGCAGAGGCTCGCTTCCTCTATGGTCTCGGACTGCGACCATACCCATCTGTTCCAGAGCTGGTGAATATGATGGCTTCTCCAGATGACAACCTTCGGACACAGGCCATGTCATACTTCGTTGCCAACCACCATCTCAACGGGTACGCGTCCTACGACTTGTCGACCACTGACCAATGCATTCTGCCCATTGAAGGCAAAGAAAAGCAGCTAGTTCGCCCATCGGCCTGCTACACGAATGAGAGAGCAGCCGTTCTTGGATACAACATACTCAGGAGAGATTTACACCAGCATGCTCTCAAGTTTGGTGTTGCTCGCGATCCTCCCATAACGGGATGTGTGGAGAGGCTCATTGCGAAGCCACCCCAAGATCGCGGCATGGCGATTACCCTATTTCAGTACCTGAGTACTCGTATTGGAGACTTGGGACACAACAGTCTGGTCAAGCTGAGAGATGCCGCGATTGTCCCAGTGCTGAGGGAGAAGGGTGGCGACCATGTGGCCCACATCCGGCCGTCTCAATGTTACCTGGGAAGTTCCTCGACGTACAAGGACATATTTGACTTTGTCGACTTTGGCGCCGATGCGAACACGTTCCTCTTCAAGTGCGGTGCCAAGAGCGAGCCCACCAAGCACGAGATCGCCCAGATGGCCTGCAGTGAGCCGGCTCGGTTGTTGAGTACCCTCCAGAGTCCGGAGAAGTACCTGAACCTGCTCAAGTCCGTTTTTGAGGACTGGGGCTTGCTGAAAAGGGACAAGGAGCTGCTCAAGAAAATGACAACATCCAGCTGGCTGCTGGGCTTCCGCGAACTGTCGTCGTCCAGCATGGGCAAGGATTCGGACTCCCTCGATGACGAGAACCCTATTAAACATTATCAACTCGCTGCCGCTGAGGAAATTGTGATCCTTGACGATTACATAAGCTACCGTTTGTTCAAGGAAGCCCTGCTATGTGCTCCCGAGGACGACACTCTCGAGGCCTTCTACTCTTTGCTTGGGTCCAGGGGTTTGGGCAGCAAGGTCAAAGAGGATTTGCAGGTGGGCCCCCGCACAAGGAATCAAGACGGCGCCGAGTGGCTGCGGAAGCATGTCCTCGAGCGCTCGAAGCTGTTCCTGCACGAATACTCCAAGGACAAGCGGGACGCCATTAAGCACGACACAAGATGGCTCGAGAAGAACTTGCAAGTGTTGTCGGTCTCGTCGCTAAGCCTGCGGCGGTCGCTCAGGGGCCACGCCAAGTCTCACCAGGAGAAGCGATCTGCGGCTAGTTCCAGTACCGCGAACGGGTGGACACTGTATGTCGCCGCCGCCGAGGGCAAACCCGATATGTACCAAGTCGGCCAAGCCATTTGCCAGCTCTTACTGAACCGCCCCAACCAACACGCCTACTTCTTCTTTGAGCCCTTCCTGAAGCTCGGCCTGCTTGACCTACGAGCCCGTGGGTACAACGTAGATCGGATTCTCAGAGCTAAGGCGGCTGAAGCCCGTCTGGCCGAGGAGGAGCGGCGCAAGGCTCTCGAAGCAGAGCAAAGGGCGATCCAAGAACGCGAGAAGGAATGGACGACGCAGATTCAGAGGCAGGACCCCGTGACCCCAGAGCGAGTCCGCGACCGCATGCCAGGAAGCTTTGACGAATCCCCCGACCATGCAATTCCGGCCTTGCCTCCGAGACGGGGCGGCGGGCTCTTGTCAACCCTTTCCAGGCGCTTGGGTTTCGACACAGGCGATGACCACTCTCAGTCCGCCTCTGACTCTCATTCCGAACTCAACAAGTTCCTCCTCCCTCCCCAATCCCAAATCAAACCCCCTCAGCCAGGCGGTAAAGACGACGACGGCCGCGTCACGTCGCCAGCCACGATCCACCAAAACCTCCTCAACGCCATCAAATCAACCCGGCCGCACGACTCGTCCACCCTATTTGCCCCGCCGCAGCAGACCGAGGTCAAGGAACAGAGAACCTACTGCGACAGCGCGCCGGCGCAAAACATCGTCTTTGCGGCCGAAGCGCCCCGCGGCATGCGCGTGTTCCTGGCCAAGGACGTGCTGGTTGCCAACCACGCGGCGTTCATCTCGTCCCGCGTGGACAGCATCGCGCGGTTTGAGGAGCTGCTAAGGGATGTCGGGCAAGTGTATGGCCTCGGCGAGCGGGCGCTGCACATCTTCTATGACGAGAAGGGCGGCACGATTGCGTTCAATAGCAATGGGAGTTTGTTTTGCAATCTGCGGTTCTGGGAACAGCTGCATTATGGGCGGATTCAGCAAGGGACGGGTGGCGGACAGGCGAGGGTTGAGGCCACGACGTGGTGGTGGGTTGTTGTGGCTCATGAGCTCGCGCATAACCTTGTTGGACCACATGGAGCGCAGCATAGCTATTATACGTGAGTACTATGCTTTACTAACACTCCTGTGCTGTTTAGTTTAGGCTAACCGAAAAGCAGGGAGTCATTTGTCCAGCAGTACTTCCCCAAAATGATGGCCAAGGCGGCGGGATGGATGACGGCGACGGCACCCGCTGCTACTGCTGGTGCTGGGTCCGACGGGAGCGTTCGGCCCGATGAGCTGCCGCCGCCGTATAGCTTGTGACTAGCCGGGCAGATTTGGGGCTAAGTTCGGGAGCTGTTGGGAATGGAAGAACACTTGGGTGGGGGAGCATTGTGTGTCAGGTGCTATGTACGGGTTTATTGGTCTTTCACATTGTGCCACGTTATCGAGCTTGGGTTTCGCCGAATTGCTTTGCATACTTGGGGATAGAGAGTATATACGGGAGACTGGGGACACAAAGCATTGTTAGATAGGGGCGCAATTGGGCGGATTTCTACACACGAACACAAGGATAGGGTACGTGTACGTTATGGGTCGATAGATATGCCAATGCAATGCTTCTCTTCCCTTAGGCTGGCCGGGTCCAGCGGACTTGTGGTCTTGCTCGGGATTTCTTGACGGGTCTGGTTAGATGCGGATTCAATGCCTAAGAATAGAGTAGTTAACTAACTGGGAAACAAGCTCTTATTTGCTCCGCCTCTACAACGAGCCCTATATACTTATATAGACTTAAATGCTAAGTAGTAACGCTATAGAATTAATTAGCTGCGTGTTTAGAGCTAGGCTACTTTACCTAGATTATATGATTTGCGAGGTAAGTACTGGAGCAATAACTTATCTATTCCTTTAATAGGACTACTTACCCTTAACTATCTATTAAGAGAAGTCTCACTCTAACCGACGGGCAAGGAGGAAAGAAGACTGCAGGGAGCATTGTCCGCGGCCTGCGGCAGGATATACCGAAGGCTCAACCAAAAACGGACAACAGGGGCCGACCGCGAGTCTTCGAGCCGCAGGAGCCCACGTAGAACAAGCCGCCTACACAATTGCAGTCTGGACGGGAGGGACTGCCGACACGAAAAAGGTAACAGAGGAGGTCTGGAGAGAGGTGGCACAATGAACGAGATGGTGGGCGACGGCGAGGCCGGCAGACGACTCGACCATCAGCAGGAGACCCTATTCCAAGACAAGACCCTACAGAGACACGATGGCCTAAGCAGAGCCAAAAGTCCACTGTTGGTCCAGATTCTAACCGGGGCCATAGGCCTTCAGGGCTTCCTGTTCAAACGGAGAGTTCAGGGGTTCTGACGCCTGACTGCGAATGTGGAGAGGGGCGAGAGACGGTCGGACACCTGGTGACGGGGTGCTTGGCCCCACCGTTAGCTCGAAGATGGGAGAGAGCCTGTAACGGCACGGCTGGTCGGGTCGGCAACGCCCGGCGACAGGTGCCAGTTGTTACAGCTTCATAGTGCAGCCAGTGATCAATCTGTTGGACTGAATCATTTGTACCCTTTTCTAGGAATATGGCGCAACGGTATGGCTGCACGTTGTGTGCCGCTACACTCTTCTCCTTTCTCTCTTCGCTAATCCTTTTACATAATTATACCTAGGCTTCCATCCCCCGCCCTTGAAGAGATTCACCCGTCTTCCTCCTCCGGGTTTCTTTCCTGAACCTATCGAGTTTCCTCCTCTGAATCCTCAGCTGCGTGCTGTCACGGCCTTCATTTTCATCTTCCGGCGTGTAAACCAAGATGCCAGCAAATGCAAGCAACTCCCAGCGTCCAGCCTTTTTGGCTCAGCTTGTATGGGATTGCATCCGGACGACTCCCCTTTATGGCAAGCTCACGATCCATGATACGAATTCCCTCCCTTCAGGTCCGTCTTGTGTGCCATCGGCAGCGCGTCTCCTAGGTATCTTCCCGTCAGGGATTTTACAGGTCTTGGCCTTATCTTCGCCTCCGGATCACTTCGACTGGTTGGACTCCGTTCTAAATCTGGATCCAGTTACGTGTAAGCTGGACAAGTCCTCAGGACCGTCTGGGCAGTCTAGGGGATGTTCCTGGTGAAGCCCTCTCGTCAGCCTCTCTTTTACGATGGAAGCGCCAATTATTTCCGTTACGGGACGTAGTCAGGTAGGCACGCCTGCAGACGCACTTCAGGAAGTAATCAGTTCGCACACTGGTCCAAAAAGCATACAGCAACGGCTTCGCACAGAGCGAATTGGCCTCCTATGCTACGCGGCTTCTCCACTCGTCCCCTTAGTTGGGTCCGTAGTCAGAAAGAACAGAGCTATTTTCTTTCAGGTTGAGGCTGCTCTCGGGTTTGCGCTTGGAGCGAGTCATCACGCCCACAACGACGACCCTTTTATCGAGCTCTTCCCTGAAATTCTTAGCTACGACTATCGCGGCCCCTCATTCTCGTGAACTCGGCCTACAAATCGAAGTATGTCAGCAAATGTATGTATCTGTCCTTTTACCTTTATTTTTTTCCCGCTTTCTTTTCAATCTCCTTTTTACTTTCCTTTCCATTTCAATATCTCTCTCTATTTGCCTTTTCCTACATTCTCTCTTTGATGTTTCTTCCTGTCGTACTTCTTAACTTTTCTTTTTATTTTCCTTACCTTACTTATTATCCGTACCTATTTTACTACGGTGCTATACTTGATCCTCTTTTCCTATTTCTTGTCGACTTTATAGGGCTGGGAATAAACTGTCATGATGTTGGTTGGCTGCATTGATACTGGTGGATGTTACAACTGATAACAATGAGCTAATCTTCTGATCTCTATCCAGTCCTTGAAGGGACATAAGATCCAGAGGAACTTGGGTTCCAATGTGTTCCTCTCAACAGCCACCCACACGCTTGCCTGAGTTGCCTCATCCGGAACACTTCCAGACGAGGTCTCGCAGCCCTGGAGCTGACTGCAGCTGCACCACAACCTTACCCCGCCTTCCCGCAGCGGGGCCAGACCAGGGTATCGATTGCCGAGCCATCACCGAGATACAACCGTGTCACGTCAAGCAAAGAACAAGTACCGAAAATGCCTGGTCATTGAGCAGAGTGCAACTGCAGATGGGGAAAATGGCAATTCGTCGGCGGTTTTGGCTTCCCGCATGAGGGGAACCCGGAAAGGTGTCGACTTGTCCGTCAACTGAATGCTGCGTAGATCGAGTTGAAGCCGTTGGAACCTGCCACAGAAGGGAGCCGTCAGGGCCGGGTCTACGCAGACCTCTGGCATGATAGAGCACTCAATCGACTCTGCCGGTTAAACCTGTTGCCATAATCGATGGTCTGCTGAGCAACGTCGAGCCACGGTTTTTGAATGGACCAAATTGAGGATGAATGCGTAGTTGCATACCACCTCGCACTGTTCATGGCGACGTCGCACTCTGCACTGCTGCACTGCTGCAGTCGCTGTGTCCCGCGTCAACACCGGTAATGAGCAATCAACAGTAGGAGACATGGCAAACTGCAGGACACAAAGATTTCCACGAGCCAATGAAAAGTAGAACTTGTCGATCAATGGTAGGCGAGGCAACACAACGGCTGCACGAATCGAACCGGCCCCTTGCCCGGCCACCCCTGACCGGTTCGGCATCTCACGACGTCGGTCTGTCTGACGACTCTCCGAATCACCTCCCGGGTAGAGTTGAATGCCGGACATGAGCATCGGGTGCCACAAACAGGAAGCCGAAAGGAGGGCAGAGAGGGGAATGGAGGACATAAATATTCCCGGGTCTGCTGTCATCCGATGTCTGATCTCTTCGACTTCGCGTTCCTCTTTCCATATCCCTGTGTTGCAGACGTCACCTATTCCGTCCCGGCCAATACGCACTGCAACGTCCTTGTTTGTTCCGTTACAACCGATAAGAAGGCGTCCCCTCTCTCGCCGCAGCGAACTACTCCAACTTCAACTTCCGATATCCATCACAACCACAATCAATCAGTCACAATGGTACTTATTGCTCGCTCCGCATCCCTCTTTTCATTCCGATCCTCATCTCTTTTCAACTCTGTCTCGCGCACTCGCCCCTGGCGGGCTGCTCTTCATACTCATGCCCCGGCCCCGGGTCTCCTGGGGAGGGTCAACTCCAATGCGTCGAAATTCGGACCATTGACATCTCAACGTCTGCTAACCATGGGGCGGGAAAAGGTTAAAGTTCTGGCTGTTCTGTACGACGGGCGCGAGCATGCTCAGCAGGTAAGAACCACACTCTACTCTCTTTGCCCCCACCCGCCGTGCGTGCCGCTCGTGTGCCGTTGTAGCCAAAGGAGTCGTCTGCCGTTACACTAGGATTGCGGGGTATCGCGGAGCTCCTTGCGTCACACCCTTGCATCGGAACGGGGTTGCAGGCTTGCTTCGGAGTCTTCGGGAAAGTGGAGAAGGAATCGGTAGCCAGACCCGTCTTGGCGGATCCTTCGGCAACGGCACCCGGCGCTGTGGAGCAATGGATCCGTGACTCCCAGCTAACTTGGCATGGCAGGTGCCCGGGCTGCTTGGAACGACCGAGAATGAGCTTGGCCTCCGCAAGTGGCTCGAGGACCAGGGCCACACCCTGGTGACCACGTCGGATAAGGAGGGCGAGAACTCGACCTTCGACCGGGAACTGGTCGACGCCGAGGTCATCATCACCACTCCGTGAGCCCTCCCTGCTTCGGTAACCCAGCTTCACTCAGAAAGGACACCATATTAACACAAAACCAGCTTCCACCCCGGGTACCTTACCGCCGAGCGCCTGGCCAAGGCCAAGAAGCTTAAGCTGGCCATCACGGCCGGCATCGGCTCAGACCACGTCGACCTCGATGCAGCCAACAAGACCAACGGCGGCATCACCGTGGCCGAAGTGACAGGTTCCAACGTGGTTTCGGTCGCCGAGCATGTCGTCATGACCATCCTCATCCTGGTGCGCAATTTTGTGCCCGCGCACGAGCAGATCGAGGCCGGCCGCTGGGACGTGGCCGAGGCCGCCAAGAACGAGTTCGACCTCGAGGGCAAGGTGGTCGGCACCGTCGCCGTCGGCCGCATCGGCGAGCGCGTTCTGCGCCGCCTCAAGGCCTTCGACTGCAAGGAGCTGCTCTACTACGACTACCAGCCGCTGTCCCCAGAAAAGGAGAAGGAAATCGGCTGCCGCCGCGTTGACGACCTCGAGGAGATGCTCGCGCAGTGCGACGTGGTCACCATCAACTGCCCGCTGCACGAGAAGACGCGGGGACTATTCAACAAGAACCTGATCGCCAAGATGAAGCCCGGCAGCTGGCTGGTCAATACGGCGCGTGGCGCCATTGTCGTGAAGGAGGACGTCGCCGAGGCGCTCCGGACGGGCCACCTGCGCGGCTATGGTGGCGACGTGTGGTTCCCGCAGCCCGCGCCCGCCGACCACCCGCTGCGCACCGCAAAGAACCCCTTTGGCGGCGGCAACGCCATGGTGCCGCACATGTCGGGCACCTCGCTCGATGCCCAGAAGCGCTACGCCGAGGGCACCAAGCGCATCCTCGAGAGCTACCTGAGTGGGAAGCTCGACTACCGCCCGGAGGACCTGATTGTGCACAATGGCGACTATGCCACCAAGGCGTACGGTCAGCGGCAGATTACTGGACGCTCTTAGTTGAATCCTTAACCAAAGGATGCAGGCTTCGGACATGCGAGCTTTATTTATTTTTTGAGCGAAACCAACTGTACATAATTCCCACCACATGTCTAAAAGTGTGGTGTGATGGGATCTGCTTATGAGTTATGAATGAACAACTGTTTAAAGTCCAACCTTCTGTGGCACCAGTGCGATACCGTCCTCGGCGATGCTTAAGAGTATATGACCAATCTATCTATGGTGGTGGGTATTATGATTCGCCGACGCTGTATCGTGTCGCGTCTGTATGTATGTACTGCCTTATACAACACTTGGAACCGGCAGGCTATGCCAACCCCTTCATCTCTATGTCATGTTTCGTCACCTCCTCTTCCAGAACTTCCACCACGGACTCCTCTCTCCGCGCCCCCCAAGCTCCCTTTTCATCGGCACCCCTCTCCTCCCCTGGCCTCTCACCCTCCAGAAATACACCGGCACGCCGGCCACGACAAACGCGACGACGATGAGAGTCTGCACCGGCTGCGCGAACACGGCCCTGCTCAGCAAGAACAGGCTTACGCAGCAGAAGATGATGGGCGTCGTGATCCACGTGCGGTAGGGGCGCTCCAGGTGGGGTTCGCGCACCCTGAGCACGATAAGGCCCAGCACCGTGAAGAAGTAGAAGGTGTAGCCCGCCACGCCATAAAACGTGATGAGCGTGCCAAACTCGCCCACGACGATGTACCCTGTCGTGAGCAGCGCATTGAGAACGAGCGCGGGGATGGGCGTGAAGAAGAGGCCCGTGTCTTCGTCGCCGACAAGAGATGCGAGCTTCTTTTTGAGCCAGGAGCGGGTTCGCAGGGTAGAGGAAAGCTCAGGAGTCGGTGGTATCCCCGTGCCGGTGCCGAGCCGGCCGAAGAGCGAGGGGATGTAACCTTCTTTCCCCGCGACGTAGACCAGGCGGCTGCTCGTGAAGGTGGAGCTGTTGAGCGCGCCAAAGCACGAGGCGCTGACTATGAGGGCCAGGATGAGCGAGCCGACTGGCCCGAATACCTTGGCGCCGAACATGACGGCGACCGTGTTGGACGAGTTGATGGTCTCAAGCGGGAGGACGAGGAAGTAGGCGATGTTGGCCAGGAGGTAGCTCAATATGACGAGTGGCATGGCGGTGTGGATCACCCGCGGCAGGTCCCGGCTGGGGTTGCGGAACTCGCCTACCACGTAGTTTGTCTGGAAAGTTTGTCAGTCCGCTTGTTGAAGTTGGTGGGTAGCGGGAGGTAAGCTCACGTTATCCCATCCATCAAACGCCCACAACCCAGCATACAACGCCACCGCCCATGCCGACGCATCCGTCTTGGTCCCCTCAAACCATGCATGATCTTTCCAGTCCCGATTCGCCGTGCCCGTAGACGAATACCCTGTGACGGCCACCACGATGCCAATAACCGTAACGCCGAGCAATGCAACAAACTTGAGAAACATGAGAACGTCGTTCATGCGCGTTCCCAACCGCGTCGAGACGCAGTTCATAAAGGTAACCAACGCCAACCCCGCCAACGCGACTGACTTGTTGATCCAGACATTGACCGTCTCCGCCTCGGCGCCAATCGCCGCCCGCACCAGATACTCCCCCATGATGATTGCAATGATCGCCGCGCTCCCGGGTTTCAGCACCAGCACGGCAACCCAGGTAAACAGAAACCCGGCCCACTCCCCAAAGATCTTGGACAAGTACACCTGCGGCCCGCCATTGAGCGGGATCGCGCCGCCGAGCTCGGCATAGCTCGCCGCTCCCGTCCATGCCAGGACCCCGGCCACCACCCACACAATCAGCGCCGCGCCGGGGGACCCGGCGTTCGAGTTGACCTGGCTCGGCGACGAGAAGATGCCCGACCCGATGATCAGCCCGACGATGAGCGATAGCCCGTTGAGGTAAGTCAGCGTCTTGTGCTTCTCCAGCGATCCGCCTCCCAGCCCTACCGCACCGATACCACTACCCCCACCGCTGGCGCTGCCTGAAAGACCCGCTGATGTCGGCGCGCCTAAAGGAGTGTAGCCCCCCGACCCGACCCCGGCTGTGCTGGATAAGGGGAAGAGGTTGGAAGCAAAGTCGAAGGTGGAGGATACGGAGATGGAGCGGCCGTGGTACTCTGGTCGACTACGGCTGGTGGTGGCTGCGGGGTTGGATGAGTCTAGAGGATCGTCACGCTCGAGCGAGGCGCGCCGTGAGGAGGAGATGCTCGGACGGGAGGACGTGTCGTCGGTGGTCGCGGCGCCCGGGCTGGAGGAGGCGAGCGATGCTAGCTCCAGCGAGTCCCGCGCGGTCAAGGGGAGGTTGGAGTAGAGGGGAGGCATGGCCGGTTGAAATTGCGGTCCTCGAGGAGGACCGGGGTTGAGGGTTGTAGACGCCGAGTCGGGGGGGGTTATGGTATTTGGTCTGATGTTGTCGGCGAGGGGATCATAACGGCGCTCCCGATGTATCGAATCGGGAGAGCGCCGCTGAGCAAATGGGAGGCAGGAGGAACAACGGTGTGATTGGGTTGAAGTTGAAACCGGATATTTGAGTCTAGGCTTTTCTCTGGTTCAAATTGGAACGACACTGACAACCATGAGTCTCGCGCGTTTGGTATAGAGCTGTACAGCGTCTAAATTAAAAGTCTAGGTGTCAAGTACGGCGAGTCGAAGCAAAATGACCAGAGAGAGATCTGTCGAGTTTGAATTGATGCATGATTGACGCCTAGAAAGGGGGCAGCAGGTGCCAAGGGACAATGACTGATGCAACAAGACTTGAGGCCTGTGCGTAGGACCCACTTCGCTTGTCGATTGCCGTCTTGGCACGAGTTCAGAGATGCAACCCTGATCGAATCCAGATCTGGGTTCTCAGAGAAGGGATGAAAGTAAAATAATAACAGTATGTAGGGTAGAAACCTTGCACCAACAAGGGAGAACTATGCCCGATTGACAAGCCAGGTGCGGGTTTATAGCCGGGGAGCTAATTGTGTTGGTACACAGTTGTCACTACAGTACAGAAGGGTTCTGAGTGAAGGAGTAGCGGTGATTTTGGAAACCAACTTCTCACGTCTTTCTCGAGTAGGTACCTTACCCAAAGTTCAGTCTTTGAATACTGCTCACCCCAGGATAAACATTGCATGATGATGTCTTGAGCTTCATATGCACTGACGTCAACTCAGACATCGTAGTTTGGTGATTCCCTTCCCCAAGAACCCTCAGCAACAAAGACACTTTCAGACGTGCAGGTTGGACATTGCTCCGTCAAGTTTAAACAACGTGATTGAATGTTTAATAGATATGTTAGTTAGGCGTGCAGAAGTCGATGCTGTCGGCGCTGCTGGCCTGCTCCATCTTCAATGTGGTGCACGAGCCAATCGTTCCAGAGTCCCCACTTTTATTTTTGGTAGCTTTCCTAAGCTCCATGGAGCTTCCGTCTTTTCTCTGGTGAGAATCACGAACAATGCCACCATGAGACATTGACGCCAAAGCCTTTCTTGATGCCAGCACTGATAATGTAAAGCAAATTATAATGTCGTTGAGCTACATCAGGTCGATAGGCCGCTCCATCCCGCATCTGAACTCGGCCGCTTCAAGATGTCTTCTGTCTCGCCGTTTTGCTTGTTCCACTCCATGCTCCGGTCCGTGGACCGCGGTTCGAAGCCTCAGCGCCACAGCTCGGTTGTATGCTGATGCGAAGCTCCATCTTCCCGCCCTCGACTCCAAGTGGCGACAGAGATGGGCTGCACTGCCAGAGTCTACCCACCAATGCACCGATGCAGCCAAAGGCAAATACGTCCTGCCCATGTTCCCGTATCCATCAGGGTACCTGCATCTGGGCCACCTCCGTGTCTACACCATCGCCGATGTTGTCGCCAGATTCCACTCTCTCCAAGGCAGCAATGTCCTGCTTCCCATGGGCTGGGATGCATTTGGACTCCCGGCCGAGAACGCCGCCATCGAGCGGGGCATCAACCCGGCCACATGGACGAGAGCGAACATCGCATCGATGAAGGAACAGCTCGCCATGATGAACGGATCCTGGAATTGGTCCTGCGAGCTGGCAACCTGCGACCCAAGCTTCTATAAGCACACTCAAAAAATCTTCCTCCTGCTTCAGGAGAAGGGGTTGGCCTACCAGGCCGAAGCCGAGGTGAACTACGACCCGGTCGACAAGACGGTGCTGGCAAATGAGCAGGTCGACGCCAACGGGTTCTCGTGGCGGTCCGGTGCGAAGGTGGAGAAGAGGAAACTCAAGCAGTGGTTCCTCCGCATTTCTGAGTTTCGGGAATCACTGCTCCAGGACCTGGAGGTGTTGGCGAAGAACGATGCCTGGCCCGAGAGGGTGCTGGCGATGCAGAAGAACTGGCTGGGCAAGTCGACTGGCGCCACCATCAAGTTCCCGCTTTTGGCATTCGACCACGACGTGCACGCCGCCATCGAGGTCTTTACTAGCCGGCCGGATACCCTGTTTGGGGTCCAGTATCTGGCTCTTGCGTCCACTCACCCGGTTGTTGCCAAGTTGGCTGAAAAGGACCCAGAACTGCAGGCATTCCTGGATACGCTCCCTGGACTGCCACCCGACTCCAGAGTGGGGTACATGTTGCCTCACATCCGGGCCGTCAACCCTTTGGCGTACCATGAAAAAACGCCCGAGGCCACGAAAAAGTCCATCCCTGTGTACGTAGCGCCGTATGTCATTGGCGATTATGGCGAGGGGGCAGTGATGGGGGTTCCTGGGCATGACGTACGTGATCATGCCTTCTGGAAAACGCACCACTACGATGAGCCGGTTCGGTTTGTGCTGGCGGCTTCCGAGGATGAGTCGACCACAGCATTGCAGAACCACCCGTTTGTCGACCATGGCATCATGACCGAGCACAGCGGCCTCTTCAAAGGCAAGTCGTCCAAGGAGACCGGCGAGATGCTGGTCGCTATGTTGGAACAGGCGGGCCTAGCGCAGCCAGTTGAGAAATGGCGTCTCAGAGACTGGCTGATCAGCCGTCAGCGATACTGGGGAACCCCCATCCCCATCGTGCACTGCGACTCGTGCGGGGCCGTTCCGGTCCCGGATGAGCAGCTTCCGGTTCTGCTCCCCGAAGTGGACGAACATTGGGCCGGCAAAAAGACGGGCAACCCTCTGGAGATGCTCGAGGAGTGGGTGAACACGTCTTGCCCGAAGTGCAGCGGTCCTGCTAAGCGGGACACGGACACTATGGACACGTTCGTGGATTCCAGCTGGTACTACATGCGCTTCGTCGACGCGCACAACGAGGACGCGCCGTTTTCTGCCGAGAGGGTGAAGTCGCTGCCGGTCGACCTTTACATCGGAGGCATTGAACATGCTATTCTGCACTTGCTCTATGCCCGGTTCATCTACAAATTCCTCATGACGTCTCGCCTTGTGCCCGAGAACGGGGAAGCCAAGGACAAGACGTTCGAGCCTTTCCAACGGCTCATCACCCAGGGTATGGTGCACGGCAGGACATATGTCGACCCGTCAACCGGCAAGTTCCTCAGGCGCGACGAAGTTGACCTGTCCGACCCCTCTAGTCCAAAGGTCGTCGATACAGGCGAGACCGCCACAGTCACATACGAAAAGATGTCCAAATCCAAACACAACGGCGTCGATCCCACTGACGTCATCGCACAACACGGAGCGGACGCGACACGGGCACACATGCTGTTCCAGGCGCCTGTCAGCGAGATCCTGGACTGGGACGGCGACAAGATTGTCGGCGTGACCCGCTGGCTGGGTCGGGTGCATGAGATGGTGCGGAAGCTGGGCACGGCCTCGGCAGATGCAAACATTCCCACCGCGAAAACATACTTTGAGGACAAGGCGAGCAAACTCCAGTCCATGAGTGTGGATGAGTTGGCGCAGTGGGACGCTGATGTGGCTGTCTGGCTCGATGTACAAAGGACGATTGCCTCGGTCACGGCGTCGTACGAGAAGGTCTACCCTCTGAACACGGTCGTGTCGGACCTCATGATATTGGCGAATGCCATCCAGGAGAAGGCCGCGGTGCTAAGCGAGGGCGTTCTGAGGCAGGCCGTGTCGGCGCTCGTGCGGATGATGGCGCCTATTACCCCTGCTTTTTCGGAAGAGTGCTGGAGCATCTTGGGGCTTCAACCCGAGGGCAGGTCGATGTTCGCGGGCGAAGGCAAGGTGTCGTTTCCTGTGGTGGACGGCACGCTGGAGTTGGAGATGCTGCAGCCGCGGAAGCAGACGTGTGCGGTGCAGGTGAATGGCAAGCTGAGGGCTGTTGTCGAGATTTCCAAACCGAACGGGCTGGCTGGCGATGAGCTTCAGGACTGGATCGTTGGTGAGATTCTCAAGACGGACGAGGGAAGCAGTAAACTGATCAACGGGACATTCGACGTCAGGCAGGCTAAGAAGGTGATTGTCATCAGGGATGGCAAGCTTGTAAACTTTGTATTATGATCTGTGTGTAGGATAGCCAGGTGTTAAGAGTGAACTTGTTGTAGAGTACCTGTATGCCTATCTACCCTTTGAACATGATCAATGCCATTGACTCTCGTATCTTACAGTGTGATGGCCATTCACTCCTGTTAAACTCGCGACAAGTAAACCGCCCTACCTCTTCCCTCCCCTTGCACGACCACCTCCCTCCCGGCAACCTCAACCCTCTCCCCCTTGTCACCAGCCGACGGCTCGTCTCGCCACACCTCCACCAGATTGTACTCTTCTTGACTCTTATGCCCACCATCATTATTCCTACTCGTCGCCGCAGTACTGTTCTCAAGGACCAGCCTCACAACCCTCAAAGCCTGCTCCCACCCGCCCACCTCCACCAGCACCCTTTTTGGCTTGAGGACGCTGGCAATCTCCAGGATGCGTGCGTAAAAGACGTCTTCGGGACGGCAGTTATATCTATCGTGACGGTACCTGTGAATGGGGCTGAGTCCCTCCTGTTGTTGGGGAACGAGTGCGAGGCGCGGCTCGTGGTTGCGGACTGCTCTGGCTGTGGCGGAGTTGAAGTCGCGGGGGGAGATGTAGGGAGGGTTGGACACGAGGAGATCTGGTATTTTTGTTGGTGGTTCGGTATTTTGATCTTGTGTGCCTGTGCCTGTGCCTGTGGGTGTGGGGGTGTGTATTTGGGGGTTGAGGAAGTGTTGGAGGTGGGTGATGAGGGAGGGAGAAAAGATGTCGAACTGGGAGAAGGTGAGGTTGTATGGGCAGGAGGAGGAGGAGGCATGTGGGAAGCGGTTGAGGGCAGGGGTGTTGTGAGTAAGATTTGCACGGGCGAGACGGATTGCGGCGGGGGAGATGTCGACTCCGTGGAGGAAGATGGGGGTTGGGGCGCGGAGGGGGATGAGGAGGGAGTGAAGGAGGAGGAGAGGGATGCAACCTGTGCCGGTGCAGAGGTCTAGGATTGAGAGGGAAGTGGGTGGTGGGGAAGACTGGGAGAGCAGCGAGGCGAGGTGGAGGGTGTAGGCCTCTGTTTCGGGTCTATCAGCAGTTTTGTGAGCGAAAATACACTGAGATAAAAGGGCGACGCTAGGTAGGTTTTGTTGGCGCACCTCGGAATGAGTACCCCTGGCCGGCACTTGATCTCGATATCACCAAACGGTTGCGTCCCGAGGACATATTGCAGCGGGATGCCCCGGCCACGTTTTTCGGCGAGCTGCCAGACCCGAAGTTCATCAGGGATGGGTGACTTGGTGTCTCGGACATACTCGCGGATCCAGCGCAGCTCGTTGGCGGCCGACTCCAGGTCTCGACAAGCCGGTAGGAGCTTGGCGGCCATGGGGGATATCTCCCGCCTGGCACGCCAGAAGAGGGAGGGGCGCAACCGGGGCATTATTTTTTGTCTCCTGAAGTGTGAGCGGGTGTTCAGCTCATAGATGGGAAGAGAGACGAACAGTGGGATGAAGTGAATTTGCTATCCAAATATGCCTGCTACTACAGTTCTATCGAGTTACGCCGATGTCTACAAGTATAGGCTCATTTTGTTGTCCGTCCCTTGGTGATCATGTAGAATCATGCTCTTCTTCACTTCAGGTCCTTTCCAGCTTGCATCCAGGTTCAGGAGCTTGTGCAGAAAAACAAACACATTAGCTTAGCGAGGCTGTGCCCCGACATTGCATATCTGCTGCAGCCTCGGATTTAGTTTCTCCATCGACGTCAATCGCCGACCGAACCCTGATTCAGAGATTCAAGTACGCATTACTGCCTGGGTTTCCGCACCCTCAACTGCGCTTCAACATGTGCCCAAGACTGCGTCCGTATCCCCGCCCGCCATGACAATGCACCGGTTGTTGGCGCGAGCATGCACTAGAGCTGCATTCTCGACGCCAAACAGATCATTCGCAGCCAAGGCTTCCCCGCCCTTCCCGACGACACCAGTATGCCCGGCCCCGAGCTGCCCATGCGCCCCGACGCCAGACCTCCCAGAAGACCTCCCCATAGACCACCGCGCGCCCCTCAACGGCCTCATCTCTAACTACGCCCAGCATGTGCTGGTCTGCACCGGCAAGGACGACTGGCCGTCGCGCATAGAAGAGGATAACAGCGGTGACAATCTGGCAGCCGACCTGCGCGAGCTGGTTGGCCCCAAGGGCAAATTCAACGATGTACTACCTCATTCACCGATACCCTACCTTCCTGCACTGCTCAACATCATTACTAACACATTGGTCGCTGTCAGCCCTTCCACAACATCTCCGTCCTAAATTCCTCCTTCCCCTCCTCCCCTCCGCCGAAACGACGCCCCGAACTGCAGACCAGTTCCGTCTACATCCTCCCGCACTTCAAGTACGTGCCCTTTCTGCCGCGCGTCTCCTTCGACAGCGCCGAGGCGCTGGTGAAGGGGTATTTGCAACCCGACACCCTGCATCCGATGCACGACGGCCTGTCGCCGATTCACAGGGACAGGCTGCTGCGTCAACCGGCGTACCAGAGTTTGCTGTGGGGGGTGCGTGATGTGAAAGAAGTGGTGGTGCTCATATGCGGGCATGGCGGACGGGATCGGAGGTGTGGAATTTATGGGCCAGTGTTGAGGGCCGAGTTTGAGAAGAGGTTGCCTGAGCGAGGGGTGGAGGTGTCGAAGGGGCCTGTGGAAGTTGAAGGGGAGGAGGGCGCTGCTGCTGCTGTGGAAGGGGCGGCGTCCGGGAGGGAGTATGCGGCGAGGGTGGGGTTGATTAGCCATATTGGCGGGCACAAGTTTGCGGGAAATGTCATCGTCTATATGCCGCCAACCCTGAGGACAGAGGACGGCCTGGCGCATCCTTTGGCGGGGCATGGCATCTGGTACGGCAGAGTTGAGCCGAAGCATGTCGAGGGTATCGTGGGGGAGACCATCTTGAAGGGGAGGGTTATTAAGGAGCTGTTCAGAGGGGGGATCAAGCAGGATGGACAGATCCTGAGGTTGTGAAACTAGAATCGTATAGACTCCATACAATACTCATTGAGCAATCACTCAGCGTCCTGCAGAACGACGAGTTGCCACGGTGAGACTCCGTCCCGTAGTGTCTTTTGGACTTGCCATTGGCGGGGCCATATTGTTTAGGTGCATATTGAAATCCCTCTCCGTACATGTCAGAAACGCAACGCATGCATCAAACTGCATGAAATTGCATCCTCATGGTTGCTTTTTGGTTGAGCGCAAGCACCAGGGAGGGGAGAATTCGAAATGAGGCAAACATATGTTCATTTACACAGTCGTATACCGACTATACCAGCAACTAGATATGGAATCCTGAACTTCGTGCGAAACGCCTCATCAAGAACCTCATCTCACGCAACTTCACCCTTCCGCAGCCATCTCACACTCCAACGGGAGGTCGCTCACCGCAGTTTTCACATCACCATCCCTAATAACCGCCGACCGCCCCCAATCAAAATAAGCAAACCGCAATCCCAGCCCGATACCGACACCCGAACTTACCGGCCTAAACCTCAAGAGCCACCCGCTTTCTTGGCTGCCGCATGGGCAAGGGCCGAATCGGTCGTTTCAGGATCTGGGATTGACAACACCCACCAGAACCGACAACAACAACAACAACCACCACCACCCGTCAACGGGGACGGAAAAGAAGGACGGAACTCATGGCTGAACCCAGCGCACGCGCCAAAACCCCGGAAACCAAGATGGCCCTTCGCGGCATTACTGATTTTCGCTGCCGTCGTCGCCCTCGCTGACGATGCGATCCTCTCCGCCCAATCGCCCCCGAAGCCACTCAACCAAGACACCTTTGTCCCCTTCACCATTATCTCGCGCGAGCAAGTCTCGCCTACCGCGTTTCTCCTCACCCTCGGGCCTGCTCCACCCAGATCTCCCGGGTTCGTTTGGAAAATCATGGGCCGCATAAAGGGTGGTAGCGAGGATGCGAATGACAGTGTGGATGTCATCAAACGGGCATGGGAGCACGGCCTGTGGTCGGTCGAGGTAAAACAGCCTGAGTTGCAGGTCGCGCGGGATTACACGCCCTTGCCGTCGTCGCCTTCTCTCGTAGGAGAGGCGGGGCCAGTTGAGGGGAATGGGAGGTTGAGGTTGTATATTCGGCGGATGGAGAAGGGTGAGGTGTCCGGGTATCTGGCCAGGTTGAAGGTGGGGGATACGGTGGAGTTGAGAGGGCCGAGGCTGGCTTTTGATGTGAGGCGGAGGGTGGGGGTGGGTGATGACGGGGATGGGGTCATGAGGAAGGAGGAAAAGGGGAAGAAAAAGGTCATCTTCTTTGCTGGCGGCACGGGTATTGCGCCCGCTTTGCAGGCCGCCAGGGCGCTGCTTGACCACCCAGCGGTGGAGATGGAGGTTGTGTGGGCCAACAGGCGGAGGGAGGATTGTGTCGGCTGTGACGGCGGGGAGAAGAAGGGCCCGGTGGTTGCGATGATGGAGGAGCTCCGAACGCGATACGGGGAGAGGTTCAGGTATTCTTGTACTCTGGACGAGGAGGGCTCGTTTATCGACGCCAAGACCGTCACACAGCTAGCACAAGTGTCAGGGCCGGCGCCGGCGCTGCGCCAGTCAACCTGGGGATTGTGGTCATCAACTGGAGGCCGGAACAGCACAGGAGTCGCTGCTCCCAGCTCTGCCGTCAACACCGACGACTGTTCATATCACTCGGCCAAGAAGCTGGTAGTCTCGGATGATAAGGACACTCCGGCGGGCGCAGACGGCCAGCGATGCCAGTGCAAAGACGGCGAAGGCAATCCGGTCAAAGGCGGGAAAAACCTGCTCATGTTCTCAGGGCCGGACGGCTTCATGGCGCATTATGTTGGCGCCAAGGTATGGGCCGGCGGGAAGGAGCTGCAGGGGCCAGTCAAGGGCGCTGTGGGCGACTTGAAGCGGAAATACCCAAGTTTTGGAGAGGACTGGCTGGTCTTGAAGATGTAATGGTTGAATACTGTGAGTTAGACTATACAAAAGGTGCACGGCCATGTCCAGAGGTTATTAATCGAAGGCAAGTAAGTTCATGTCCAGATAGAGGTTGTCAGTTCTCACCAGATCCCGTGAGAGAATTCGGGCCATGTTCACGGAATTAGAGACGTTGGCTCCAAAGCTAATATCAATTCAATGCTGATCTCTGCACTAACCAACGCCATCCCATGCTCCCTTTGCCATCCAACCCTCAAATCCCCTGTACCTTCCTGTACGACGGCGGCTTCATGGTCCTTTGAATAACCTTGGCCGCGTACGTGGGGATCAATGACATCGCCCCAATAGCAGCAACCCGCCAGTAGAACCCCCTGTCCCTCGTTAGCTAAACGCTCAAACTTCCTTGACCAACAGGACGGGGATATACTCACACAGTCAACAAGAAAGCCAGGTCAAAATACTCTCCCAGAAACGGAATCGACCCAACAAACATAAGAAACGTCCCCACAATCGACACTACCATGACCCAATGCCACGTCGTGATCTCGATGGCCACCATCAGCAGCTCGTTGAGCACCAGCACCGTGTAGCTGACGGCCACCATGCGCGGGCCATCCACTTCGGTAAGCAGCTGTGACAGGCCCTGGATGAGGCAGCCCTGGTAGACCGAGACAAACACCCAGACGAAAAAAGTGCGGTACGACAGCGACCGGCCCGAAGTCAGCTCTTTGTACAACTCCGGGTACAGGTTGGCCAGGTTCTCGTCGACGTCCTTGTCGAGCACTAGCGACAGGACGGGCATGGCCGTGTAGACTGTTGCATAGCCCACCATAAGCCAGTCCTGCACGTTTCCCACGTGTTAGTATGCTGTATACGGGAAAAGGGGGAAATGGTAGCAATGGAGGAATGGAGTGACAAACCTTGTACAGGCCCTCGGGCTCGAAGTTGAGCGCGATGCTGTACATGGTCTGGCAAACAGCAATGATCAGACCGCGGTGGATGACAAACTGGGCCAGTTTGGCGCTGCGCTTGTAGCTGTTGCGGCCGTGCCAGACGAGCAGCTTGGTGAGGTGGTGGAACTGCTCGATGGAAAAGTCGGCGGCGAGACTGGCCTGGCGGCCTTCCTTGCCCACGATGCCCACGCCGACGTCGGCTGCCTGGATCATGGAGACATCGTTTCCGCCGTCGCCGATGCAGCACACGCGCTTCTTGGTGTACTCCTTGATGAGCTTGGCCACTTCGGCTTTTTGTGTCGGCGAGCACCGACAGGCGACGACGGTCGGAAGGAGGACGGCAACCGAGATGAACTCGGTGCGGTAGTGCGTCAGGTACATGCCCAGACTCTCGCCATCGATGAGCAGGCAGGAGTCGGTCTTGCTGCGGAGCAGGTCCAAGTTCTCTTGAGCGGCGTCTTTCCGACGCAGCTTGGCGACTGTGTGGATGTACTGGCCTCTCGCGACAAGCTTGGAGCTAACCGCTACGCAGCGCGCCGTCTCCACCTTGTCACCAGTCAGCATCCAGATCTTGATGCCAGCGTTGCGAAGCAGCTCAAGCGACGGCTTGACGTCTTTCTGGAGTTTGTCCTCGACGCCAGTGACGCCAAGCAGCTCCAGGTCGTGCTCGAGATAGCGAGACACGACGGCCTGCATCCCCGCTTCGCGGCCGCTGATGGCCAGCGAGGCCTCCTGATACTTGGCCGAAAAGTCCTGGTACTCGGCTGCGGAGAGCCGCTTTCTCCCAACGACTAGTGTCCGGAGCCCCTCTCTCGCCATGTTTGCCGTCTCTTCATCTAGCCAGTCATTCGCCGCCACGATGGAGCCCATGACGGTGTCGGCACCTTTCTGGTAGAACCAAATCTCTCCGGAGCCGAGGCTCGGAACCCCAGGCTTCCGCTTCTCATAGAACTGCACAATGATGCCCATGCGCTTGCCTTCCGAGGTGAAAGGGAATATGTCCAGGATGCGTACCTTGACGACGGTCCTGCCTGTCCCGGTGGCCTCAAGGACAATGCTCTTACGGTCGCGGGACGCCAGGCGCAGACCGACCGACTCGGTCCAGCGGACAATGGCAATCTCGTCGGGCGAGCTGGCCTGGTATGAATTCACCATTCGGCCGTCCTCATCTTCTTCGGTGGTTGGTGTGACGTTGTGGCAGAGGGCGAGGGCAAGGACGACATCCCGGACACGAGAACCAATTTCACGCCGTGTCCTTGTGGCGCCAACATTTGCGGCCGATGACAGTGATGTAGAGGGAGAAACGAGGGCTTGGCGGTCGGAAGAAGTGAGATGGAAGCCATGCCTCACGTAGGTTGAGACTTCATCCATGGCGTCGTTGGCGTAGGATACGGTGCCGACGTGGATCTTTCTCATCTCCATTTCGTTCTGCGTCAAAGTCCCCGTCTTGTCGCTAAGAAGGTACTCAATCCGCCCCAGGTCCTCTGGGATGGTGCTGGTCCTGACAACAGCGCCAGGAATGCCCGGGTCTCTTTGGATAAACCAAGAGTAGACACTCTTTCCCATGTCGAGGTTCACCCTCAGACTGATGGGCACAATCGTCGAGAAAAGGACCAAGAACCTCATGATTTTGACGTACCATATGCTTCCTTTGGTGTTACTGAACCCTTCCAGCGCAACGAGGATGATGGAGAGCGTAAGTGTAAGGAAGCACAAGATCTTGGTAAGTGAGTTAATCTCGTATTCCAGGAGACCGGTCTTGGAACGAGACGGGGACGTCGACAGCGCAGAACGCGTTTGCGGCCCGGTGTAGACAATGACGGCCAAGGTAATGGCATGCGAGGCGATGACGGTATTTGCCCAGGCCGTGTTGTCAATCGAAAGGGGTGCTGCCTTCACGCTGTTATCCTCGTCTTGAGAGAAGGCCGCAGTGCTCATGGCATCTTGCCGCGAGGGCAGAAGCTCCAGGGTGCCGATGAATTCGTTCACCTTCTTGTCCGGCTTGCCCCCTGTGACCCTTAGATGGACCAACTCTTCATCAGCCAGGTTCTGCGACAAGGGTGACGCTAGCCGTAGCTTCCAATCGGTCTCGCCATCTAATTGATCAGTCCTGATAAATGTCTCTCCGTTCGAGCCTCCTTCGGCCGCCTCTCGGACGTCCTCAGTAAGACCTCGGGTACTCGAGCTTCCTCCCGCGTCAGCCGCATGATCCAGGAGCAACGACTCCTCCTGACGTGGGCCTTCCGCGTCGTGTTTCTGCACGGCTGGATCATTTGATAGACACTTGAGAATAACAACATCCGAGGGCACACGGTGTCCTTTACTGAGTTTGAGGACGTCGCCAACCTTGAGATCCCGCGCCTTTTTGCTGACTTCAGAAACAGTCGTCCACGCCCGAGATTTTCGGGATCCGAAACCCTCAATTTGCTCCTCCTCCTCTTGGATGTCCGAAAGTCGGTCCCCTTCTGGAACATAACGCTTGGGTCCTTTCGGGGTATGAGAAGACTTCATTTTCCTCGTCGACCGGGCGCCCCCCGTCTTTCCCGGCTCATCAAATTGCAGGACGGTATATTCTTCCGAATTCGCCTCATTGTCCCTCCTCCGCCTCTCTATATCGTCATAAGCCTCCTTGCCCAGCGTGATGACCAGGACAAATGCTAGCGGAGCAATGTATGTTGACAGATAGCCGATTCGTATTGGGGGAATAGCCTGAGAAAGCGCGACCAGGAGGAAGTACATGTTGAAAAAGAAGGAGAACTCGTTGTAGAGCGTAAGAGGCAGGAAGCTCCATGCCGTGTACTTCGCGTTCGACACGATATTCGGCGGGAAGCGTGTGGATTGAGAGGAGCCAACAGCCACCAGTCTGGACGACGAGGGGTCGTCCTCCTCCTTGAGGACCTCCTCGTCTTGGTTGCCACGATCCGCGGCAGCGCCCGACATGAATTCGGGGAGCCTCAGGACGACCCTGCGAAGGGTCTCGCTGGCAAGCGACCCGCGCCGTCTGTTGGGGTTCCGGGCATGCCCGCTGAGCAGCGGCGCATCATCCCCACCGGCGGCGCTGGCGTCTGAGTACCGCCGATCTCCGCCGTCTTCATCTCTTAGTAAAGCTTCGGCGTCATCGTAGCCGCCACCATGGCTCTGACCCAGTTCACCATATCCATTGCGTTTAGCACCACGTCGTAGCCCGCCCATTCGAAGGGTACGCAGAGCGATCCTGGGGCCTCGTTGGTGAGTGGTGTCGCGTGCCTGGCCGCTCAGCCCTTTCCTCCCTGTGTGTTCCGTTCCGAGGTCGAGCTGAGGGTCCAGCTCTTCGAGGTCGATCTCGAGATCGGATTCGGAGTCCTCAGCCGGAGAGTCTGGCGGCTTCGCGGGCGGATACGAGGTTGAAGGAGGCATCCCGCGTCGGCCCAAGGCCCTAGAAGACACGGCCCCGGCCGCAAGCGGTAAGTCCCTGGCAAACTTCCTGCGCAGGAGGACTTGTCTCTACGTCAGTCCTGAATTCCTACTCCTGCTCTGCCTTGCCGACTACTTGTAGGTGTCGGGGATCACGGTGCGCGCATCTTTCGACCTAAGAGGAGCCAGGGAGGTGTATTGGCTGGTCTTTTGGCGGATCAAGAGGGAGAATGGGTTTGCCAGTTTGACCAACTGCTCGCAGAATGAAACTTCGGGTCTGGACCCAAGTTGCACTTTGAAGGCGCGGTTTGGGCGGCATTCAGTGTTGAACTGTTTTGGAATTGAACGACTTAGATGTCGATTTTGCAACTGGCCAACGATTACGACGACACACCTCAGGTTGCGCATTACTTCTGAAGGTTGCAGGAAGCCACCTGACAGGGGCCATTGTCCAACTGACATGCATTAGCACGCAGCATCCTCTATCTGCTAAGCCAATGAGCTGCAAAGGTGAGTACTGTCTTAACAGATATCACACCCGATAAGGGTAGCTCCGCTAAGACAGCTTGCTGCGGCCTCTTCCGCCGACCGCTGAGGCCAGCGTTGCCCTTTCGTCTGTAATCCGCATCGCATGTGCAGCGCCGTTTCCCGAGTCCCGGTTTAGGCGATCCCGTCATCGCCTTTGCCAGTTCTTGCCAACTTTACCTTTTTCCGATCAGTTGTCGAGGCACACTGTCCAGGCTCGCATTCGCCCAAGCCAAGTAAAGATGCCGCTCTGGTAGATCTTTCTTGTTAGCAATCTGGTTGCTTCTGTATAATAAGTATGCATTATCCGTATCTTTCTCCCTTTTTTCATATCGGGGATCTGACAGGGGTTTGTCGACGCGACCCTGTCGTGTCTTGCTCAAGGACCCCTGACCCGACCAAGTTTTGCTGCTAATCCTCGAGTTTGCCGTCTTTAGTATTTCTGTCTCCTTTCCATTACTCTAGCGCAGTCGCGCATCTACCCTGCACCTTTGCGTGCCGCCACTCAGTTCACCATGGTGTCGGAAGCGCCGAATTCGTCCTGGCATCCTGCGATGATGCCAAATTCGACCGCCGACCTCCCTCGCGATCGACCACACAACGTCGTACCCAGCCCTGTGCAAGAGACCGTTGTCGCAGAGGACAGCGTACAACCATCGACTGGCGCTTGGTTTCAGCATGACGACGCCGACGATGAGTGGCTGGCAGACAACAGCAATGCGCCAGATCCGCCCACCAAGACAGCCGAACAGGCAGCCTTAGCTGAGTCTGTCCAGGATTCCCGACCGGACGAATCGAGCGCGCCGAACAAGCACTTCAGCACAATGTCCTTCACACGGACTGTGCCGCATGAAGTGAATTGGAACGACGATGATGAGGTCGAGTGGACCTTGCCCAAAACTGCCACCGACCCCTTCAAGTTCATGCCCGAAAGCAACCGTACAAACTCGTTCCCCCCTGTGTCTGTCCAGAACGATGCCGACGAGACACGGCACGAGCTGGAGCAGCCCATTTCTTTCAACCAGGCTGAGGATATGATTCGCGAAATCGAGGAGGAGGAGAGCCGGGAGGAGGGGATACTTCCGGAGGCCTCTACCGCGGTGTTGCAAGCTGGTGCTGGTGCCCAAGAAACGTGGAATGCTGGCTCAGACGCTACGGTCGAAGACACCCTCGACGCTCGCTTTGAGGAAGGGGTTCCGCTGGTCTCATCGGCCAAGCAGGATGCGGCACAGCAAGGATCACTCAGGGAAGGGGATGATATTTTTACCGAGCCCGCAACCGGGGAAGAGGACGATTTCTTCCGCAATGTCCGCCACGATGAGAGCAACCAGGTTGAGGATGATGGCTTTCAACCGGCCCCGCTCGAACGGAAGTCTACTATGGATGTGCTTCAATCCTTGGACATGGGCCCCATTGGTGCCAGCTTTGTCCCCTTGGAAGCCACCGCTGAGGAATTGGAGACAGAGTCGGAGACACCCCAGCCCCAAAAAACGATTGAGCCGCCCACCCAAGGCCCAGAAAACACACGGGATTTGCCAAAAGCGGAGGAGGGGGAAGCTCTGGATTCCAAATGGAAGGCAATACTTGGTGATGACGACGACGAGGGTTTCCTTCCAGATGAGGAGAGTGAGACAAACCAGCTGGATCCGACCGCATTCCTTGGCAGCGATGATGAGGGTCTGCTCGAAGACTCAGATGCTGAACAGCCGGAGCCAGCTAAACCCGCTGCTTCAGCTGAATATGTGCCGGCAGTGAATGGACAGTATGCGCCGCAGCATCAGATTCCAGCAGCTATCGCACCTCCTACGAATCCCTACCTGCCGACTGCATCGCCCGTGGTCGCAGCGAATTCCTACTTTCCAGCTGCACCAGCGCCGGCAGCCCAACCTCCTGTCGCTTCCCCTTACGCCGTTCCGTCGACAGCGCCGCCAGCGCAGTACGTGTATGGCGCTCCCTCACCACTCCAGGAAAAGAACAAGGCCCAGAGCTTCGTGAACAAAGCCAAGGGGGGATACACGTCTCCGTTCGATCTCCCAATGGAAGTCGTCAAGGTCCCCAAGAGACGGACCAGCGCTCAGCCGCTCCAGGGTCCGGTGTCGGGGCCGAGCTCGCCTGCCACCGTACCGCCACCACCAAGGAGCACGAGCATGTACTCTCACCCCCCGCCCCCGAGCAGTATGCCGGGGACTGGCGTTGCGCGCCCGGGATCAAGTCATTCCTCGCACGCTCCCCCGAGCGCAAACAAGTCACCATCCCATGAGAAATTTTTTGAAGAGCTTCCTATCGCCACCAAGCCACGGCCGGCATCTCGGCAAAGCCAGAAGAGCATGCCATCGCCGTCGCAGCCAAGCCCATACGGCCCTCCGCCATCGTCTGCTCCACCATCTGCGACCTCAAACCCGGGTCCTTTTCCGAGACCGCTTGCTCCGAGCAGGTCTGAAGCAGGTATCCCAGAGTTAGTTGCCCCGCCTCTTGTCAACCCTTACGCCTCGTTGAGCTCAGCCCCAGGCCTTCAGCCTGCGGTGGCTCCCGTCGCTTCTACTCGTTATTCCCCCGCACTTCCTGGCGCACCACATGCGCCTGGTCCGGTTCCGGCCATAGCCTCGAGCCGATATTCTCCGGCTCCACCTGCGTCACGGCCACCCAGCAGCGGTTATGTGCCTGTCCCAGCGACTCCGGGCCCCCCCATCCTGCCTCATCAGCCCCGTACCTCCAGCCCGCTTGCCCACTTTGAGCTTAACCATGAGAGGACGAGAGCTCATGCGCCAGTGAGTAATCCGGAGGGTGCCCTGGCCGAAAGACGAAGCAGTAGCTCGCTCCATGAATTCCGACTTCAGAGGATACCGTCCTTGCCCCCAACAAAGGAGGTTGAGGAAGAAGAGCCTCCCGCGCAGGCTAGAGCATCTCCCGGAGTCTCAGCGCCGCCTCAACCAGCGTCACCGCCCGTTTCCAGATATGCACCACCGCCCCAGGCACGGCAGACACCCCCGCCGTCGGCGATTTCTGGGCAGACGATGCTATCACCCCCCAAACGTGCCATGTCTAGCCACAGTCCCGTGGCGCCGCCATACGACTCTGCCCCGCCGGCTCGCTCTCAGACCCAGTCTCCCGGCGCGCTTTATGGTAACCGAGGCAGCAAGTCTGCCGAGCCAATCCCTCGTCCGTCTTCAGTGAACGACCCCACGTCCCCCCGCGGCACCGCGTATGCTCCTGCTGCTATTGTTCCGACTCTTGCCCCTGCGGCGCCTGTTGCTGCTCCTGGCCGTCCCAGAGGTGCCTCTCTGAATCTCGACGTAATCCCTCCGACAGATGGGCGAGAACACGACCCCCTCCAAAGATGGCGAGGTGCACCACTCATCTCCTGGGGCGTCGGAGGGACCGTTGCCACAATGTTCCCGAAGGAGGTCCCTCGGTACGGCATGAACCAGAGCATTCCTACCGTCGTTCGCAGTCCGGGTGAGGTCAGGATTCAGAACGTCAAGGACATTATTCCCTTCGAGGAGCGGCTTGCCAAGTTTCCAGGCCCGCTGAAGGGCAAGTCAAAGAAGAAGGAGACTATCGCCTGGTTGACCGCCGGCATTGAGAGCTTAGAACAGGGCTTGCCGACCAACCTCTCCGTCCAACCCTACCTGTCCCACGAAGACAAGCGAGCTGTAGAGCGGGTTCTTCTGTGGAAGATACTTCGCGTTTTCGTCGAGCATGATGGTGTGCTTGAAGGGAATCCTGCTGTCGAGAAGGCTGTTCGGAGTATCCTCTCCCCGGAGCTCGAAGGGTTGGACCACTCAGCACCCTACCTGAACGGCGGTGCTCCCCTCGGCTTTGCAGATCTGACGGCGACAGGGCTTCAATCTGACGGGGTCAGCTCCTCAACAATCGAGCAGATTCGCCGCCATCTCCTCAGCGGCGAGTGCGAGAAGGCCATCTGGGCTGCAGCGGATCAGCGACTGTGGGGCCACGCACTTTTGCTTTCCAACGCCCTCGCACCCAATCTGTACAAGCAGGTCGCGCAAGAATTCATCAAGAAGGAGGTCAACTTCTCTGGCCACGGCAACGAATCCCTCGCGGCATTGTACGGGGTCCTCTCCGGGAATCACGAGGAGAGTGTTGATGAGCTTGTGCCGAGTCATGCTCGCGCTGGCTTCCAGCTGGTGGCCACAAACACGGCAGCTGGAGCTTCGAAAGACGCTATGGAAGGCCTCGACAAGTGGCGGGAGACGCTCAGTCTCATCCTCAGCAACAGGAGCATCGATGACGTTCGGGCGATCAACTCGCTCGGTGTCCTGCTCTCCGGCTATGGAAGAGCAGAGGCCGCCCATATCTGCTTCATGTTTGCGCGAAGCTACACGGTCTTTGGTGGGCTTGATGACCCCGCCTCCCATTTCGTGCTTGTTGGCTCGGACCACAAGAAGCAGGCTGAGCAGTTCGCCAAGGAGATCGAACCGCTCCTGTTGAGTGAGGTTTACGAATATGGCCAGATCCTGGCGGGAAGTTCAACCATACCGGTTTCGAACCCGCACTTGGCGGCCTACAAGCTGCAGCATGCGCTTGCTCTGGCCGAGTACGGCTTTCGGGACAAGGCCCTGCAGTATTGTGACGCGATCGCAGCAGCCATCACGGCGCAGACCAAGAGGTCTCCGTACCACCATCCTATCCTGGAAATGGCTGTTGAGGATCTCATGAGGCGCCTAAAGCAGGCTCCCAGGGAGGAGTCCAGTTCTTGGATCCCCAAGCCGAGCATGAACAAAGTATCTGACACGGTGTGGAGCAAATTCAACAAGTTCGTCTCGGGCGACGACGAGGCCTCAGGTCAAGGATCTCCAGTAGAGGGAGAATCCGGCCCGTTCGCGCGTGTCGCGGGAGGCACACCGACCATCAGCCGGTCGCCTTCGCTCGCCAATCTGGAGACGTTTGGCGCTGCCGTTCCGAACTACGGCATGCCCGCTCCTATGTCCAACGGCCCCGTGCCGGTTTCGGCGCCGCCGACTAGGGCTGCCTCTCGCTATGCGCCGGGAGCGCCCCCGCCTGCAGGCTCTGGTAGCAGACCCTCAACCTCAGCGTATGCTCCCCGATCATCGCTGGAGCGGACATCGGGCGAGTTGAGCCGAGGCTCCTTCGAGCTGCCCAGACGGTCCCTGGAGATGCCATCGGGACGCACAGGAAATCACAGCCCGGTCAGAAGCGGTTCTCCCGCCGCACTCTACACGCCATATGGTAGCGAATCCAACGTTCCGCAACAATCGCCGTACCGCCCAACTGCCCAATCTGCACCGCCCCATGCGCCCGCAAGTGCCCCCCCTCAGGCCCTTGGCTATCCTGGCGCCGCTGTGAATGGAGAGCCCTCTGCCCACGAAGCTGAGCCTTCTCCCCAGACATCGAGCTACCAACCTCCATCGTACGGATATGAGCCTCCTTCATCCACTCCGTACGAAGCGCCTGCCGAGGAGAAAAGCGATGCATCAGATGGAAGTCCTAACGGCGGATCTTACGAGCCGCCTTCCTACCAGCCATATGGGTACGAACCGCCGTCCTACGAGCCTGAGTCGCAGCCTGCCGACCAGGATGGTGATTCCAATGAGGAGGCGAAGCCGAAGCCCAAGAAGAAGGGCATCATGTATGACGACGACGACGATAATTTCCCCCTTCCCAGGCCTGCCGAGAAGTCTAAGGAGGAAAAGGACCGGGAGAATGCGGAGATGTTCCGCAAGGCTGCCGAGGAAGACGGTAAGCACAACAGCTCGTTAAAGACATTATTGGTGCATGCTAACACAGCTCAGCCAAACGCGCCGAAGCAGCCAAGCAAGCCAAGAAGGGCTGGGGCCTCACCTCGTTGTTCTTCGGCGGCGGCGGCACAAAGAAGGAGGCCGCCGCCTCTCAGGATTCCGGCCCCAAGAAGCCCATCCGCGCTAAGCTCGGTGAGGCGAACTCGTTTTACTACGATCCCGAGCTTAAGCGCTGGGTCAACAAGAATGCCGGACCCGAAGAGGCGGCCAAAAAGGCCACGCCTCCCCCGCCCAAGGCCACCCCGCGCTCCGTCAGCTCCAGCCCGGGCCTGCCGCCACAGTCGGCAAGCGTCCCACCCTCGGGCCCGCCCCGATCTATGAGCGCGAGCCTCGGCCCGCCCATGTCCTCGTCTGATACCAACCTGCCTTCGTCCAACATCAGTGGTGGTGGTGGTGGTGGTGGTGTGCCGCCGCCGCCGGCGGGGCCGGTCTCGATGCTCAGGTCTGTTTCCAACACCAGCTCGGCTAGTGCCCCGCAGTTGGGTCAGGGGCCGGCGAGACCGCCGACGAGTCTGAGCAACTCGAGTAGCATTGACGATTTGCTGGGGGCGGTGGGGCCGAGGAAGGCTGGGGCCAAGAAGGTTAAGAAGGGGGCGAGGTATGTCGATGTTATGGGGAAGTCTTAGTTTTCTCTTTCGTTGAAAGGGAGCTAGGGCGTTGTGCATGAGGTTGCGGTGTTGGGGAGGGTGGATGGAATGGGAGTATGGAGAGGATGGTGGGGATTCGGGTTGTATAATTTCTATGGTATTATGTGTAAGGAGTTCATGTCGCCGGCGCTGTCTTCCTAACCGAACGGGAGGCCTGTCTTGGCTTGGTTGTGCTGATGTTGAAATTCTGGAACGAAGATGAGGTTAAGCTGTATTTTTTTAGCGTACACACGATTCAATGGACGAGGCAACACGATTGCATGGGTTGAGTGTACAGGATATCTAACTCGCATGTAACGTAGACTCGGGGCATACCACGATTCTTGTGCAGCTATCAAGGGATTGCGCTTATGTTTAGATTCAAAATCACAGATACTCGGGAAGGCCGTGCCCCGGGAGGATCCAAGCCAGAATGAAATGAGAAAATACGATGGAACGTTCTGTCGAATAAACTCAACAAGCAGAGAGCAGGGCACTTCTCTGTAATAAGGATCTCTAAGCAACTGGGTATTCCCGCAACGCCATGATGCCTCCTTGTCCGTCCTATGATCCATTCAAACTCCAGCAAGCAACGAAGTCCTACTCCGTATATGGCGCTGAATCGCACTCCATGAAATCATGGAATCGGTGCGACCAATGTACACAGCAGCACCCCATGCTTCTACTCCCACCAGTCTAAGTGCTATAACTCGAAACATAATACGTTACCACGTCCTCCGCGCCGACATCGTCCACATGCGGCACGTACACGTACAGGATCAGGGCGTGGTCGTCCGCAAAGCACGCAATCACGCGGCCCTCGAGCCGCCCCACGCTCAGCACCCTGCTCCAGTCCTTGCCGTCAACGCGGACGGTGGCCCACTTGTCCGGGCCGGCCTCCTTGAATTTTGTGGATGGGTGCTCCTCCAGCGGCATCGCCAGCTGCGACGGGTCCAGCTCCGGGTTCTCGAGCCCATTCCATACCGACGTGATGTCGAGCGTCTCGGTAGTCAGGCGCAGGCGTAGAGAGCCGTGCATGTTGGCGGAGAGGGTCAGTTTGGGGTTCTGGTTCCCTCTAGAGGCGCTAGCGGACGTGGAGGAAGAGGAGGAGGCCACGGCCAGCTTGGTGAAGCGGTCGGAGATGGCTTTTAGCTGCAGGAGGGGCGGCAGCTGGATGTGCACGTCGGGCTCGCGGACTTTGGGCTGCATGATGGTCTCGACGGTGTCTGGGTGCAGCACCCGCACGGGTATGTCCTGGGTGATGATCTTTTCGCGCTCGCGTTTCATGGTCAGCTCGAGGGATTCCTGCGGGAAAAGGTCAGGGTTGTCGGCGAACGGGTCCGGATCGCGGTTTTGTCGCGCACTGCCGGGGAATGCGCCGCCGAAACCGCGGGCGTCCTGGGCGCCGTCTTTGGTCATCGTGTGGATTGTCATGGATAACATGGGGATGCCATCCCGTTTGGTGAGGCGCAGGTTGGCATAGCTGCTGCCGACGGCGGATTTGAGGGCACGTTGGAGGGGACCCAGGGGGAGCTCGAGGTTGATGGTATTGTTCGGTTCCGCGGATTGGATGTGGTAGTTGTCGAAGATTAGGTCAACCGAGAGAGAGCTAGTACCGTCAGCCTGGATGCCTGCTTGCAACGGATATGTTAAAACCGTACGCCCAGACTTGCGACCCTGTGTCGGGTATGACGGTGAAGCGAGCCGTTTCATCGTCGAGGCGCACCCACGCGATCTTCTCGAGCGAGTTGAGTGCGGCGGCGAGCTCTAGGGCACAACATGTCAGTCGACATCGGTGCAAAAGCTCAATTGGTGCAGCTCACTTGAGAAGGTCCTCACATTCTTGAGGTCCGTCTTGAAGCGCATCTTGTCGGTCCACCTAAGTATGTCATGTTAAGGTCCCGTAAGTTGATCTTGGCAGAGTTCGAGATGGTGAGATGTGCCCAGAAGTGCCGCCAGACCCCATTATTGTGGATCTTACTGATGCTGCTTGGGCCCCTAGTGATACCATGGTTGCACGAGAGCTGAACGCACTGGGCAGAGGAAACATACCCCACGGAGTCAGAATAATGTGTATGCGGGGTGATCTCCTATCAGTCAAGCCCCCACTTCTCCACTTTCATGCATCTTTGCCGAGTGCCTGTGGATCTGTCGGTTGCCTTCGGACCACCTGAGGCAATGCCTCGCTTGTTAACGCTGTATGTTGCGCATTTACTGATCGTCAAAACCAGCTACGTTTAGTGCTGTTCAACGTGTCGGCAAGGTCACCATAAGGGTAGCTGGCATTCTTAGACGATGTTCCGGGACCTGGTGGTTTTCGTGAGGTAGGGTATTGTACGATACTCTCCCCTCGTCCCGGAACACTTCCACCTAACCTGGAATGTACTGCGGAGTAAGGCCAGTAGCTTAGCCCCCCAAGGCGCAAACGGGCGGTCCAGGCGTCGGGTGACCAAGGCCTGGTCAGCCTTCCACGCTACGTTGCCTTACCTGAAGCATTTGCCTGGTGGTAATTGGGCAGGCCTCCCAAGCAACCTCTCAAGCCTAGGACGGGGATTCGATGTTGCGACACCGAACCCAGCACTTGCATGACCAGCCAGCTCATGACTCCATCCGGCCTGATTACGAGCTACCTCCCGTCAAGCCATTATCACGCCTGCAAGGCGCCTCGCTGAACAGTCCGCAGGACTCGAGGATACTTTCTTTTGCACCTCTTTCTGACATTCCATTCTGTGTTCTCACTTCCTGCAATCTATTCCACTAACACACACACGGTCCGCTCAACCAAACAGGCCGTGGCTGCTAACCCCGCTGCCTTCCATCGCCCTTCAGGAGTCCATGTCCGACAGCAGTCGACCTGCTGCTTGCCGGCCTGGACTTCGCCCTGACAGTCTCCCAAGTCCCCCCGTTACTACCATCGCAGCAAAGCATCTCGCCCCTTTCACATCCACGGCATCTGTTGCTCTCAGCATGGGTCGAACAATTCATGACGAGCCTGAAGTCAAGCATCACACAGCCGCTTCCCCGGCAACACATGCGTCGGCAATTTACGTCGAAGACAGGACATGTCCCATCTGCCAGGAGCCCATCGGCATCCGCAACCCAGACGGCATCATAGAGGGCTGGAGCGAGCTGCCTTGCGGCCACCGCTTCGGGAGCTACTGCATTAAGCGGTACCTCGGCATCGCCGCCGACGACCACCCGCTGTGTCCCGTCTGCCGACAGATGGCGTACCACGATGTCTGCGGCCACCCCGTGCTCCCGTTTGTTGTGGAATCTTGCTACACACACCACGATCTGGTTAAAGACTCGACGACCGCGGGGACGCTGCGCACGACGCCGATGAGAGAGGAGGAGCTGATGACGGTGGCATGCCACTATTGCAAGACGATAGATGAGCAAAGCAGGGAGCACATCGCCAACAACAATAAAAAGTCAGGACCTCTTTCCACATTCAAAAAGATCCCTTTCCGCTGGCTGCGGTGTTTGGTTCCCCCCGTCTTGAGAAGGAGCTCCGTCCAGAGAGAGAGTCTGACACGTGAGAGCTCTAGGAGTGGCCACGACCAACGCCTTAGCCGTCAGGAAGCGCGCACCAGAAGAAGAATCCCGCCGAACAGTGGCCCCTGGCAAGGGCCATGGCTGGATGTGCAAACTCGAGACGTGGAGTGGGAGAAGTGGTGGAAAGACCAGGTTCCTCGAGGGGCCTGAGTTGTGCTGCAAGGGGTTGGGGTGGGGGGGTTGGCTAGGAATCTATTGGCACGCATACCAAGTACTTGCCATTTGCAGAGATGTCGGATCTGTTGGAAATCCCAACTCTTCGCTGCTCTGCTAGTGCTCTGTCTTCGATTTGGACCACATCTACTCGCGGGAGATTATAAGCGCTAGCACGGGCAGGAATAGGTACATACCAGGAATCATAGCTGAATTTGCATGTGATGACCCAGGAGGTTTAAAACCGGAGCTCCTAAGGTCTTTGCCGTGTGTAGACGTAAGCGTCTTCGGCCAGCACCCTGGTGCCTTGAGCTAAACATTAATATAATGTTTTGTAAATTCAGAAGATGGCAAATATCGTCCCCGTTTCCTAATCGACCCACTGGTAGTGTCAAATGTTTCAATATATTTTGAGCTGTCTTTGTCGTTGGACTCAAAACCTCACCCCCTGTCTACAGTGACAATGCGCTAAGAGCAGTGCCCCACTTGTCCTCTTGGCGGAATCGCCAAATCGCCCAAGGCAAGGCTCCGAAGTTTCCAAACATCCAAAGACCAAGCAAATTGCTTCGACAGCGGCATCGACTGCTCAGTGCATAATCATGGAGCCAACGGGAGCCCAGTTGACGGCGCTTGTTCGCAAGCGAACAGACACAGAGTTGATGCCGCCGCCTCCACCAGCAAAACGCATTCAACGGCCGAAGCGCGTGCTCGACGAGGACAGCTACACCGAGGCCCTCTCGCACATCATCGCCCGTGACTTCTTCCCGGGCCTTCTCGAGAGCGAGACACAACAGGAGTATCTCGACGCCCTAGAGTCCAAAGACGAAGAATGGATCGCAAGCGCAAGCCGCCGACTCCGACAGGTCATGACGCCCGGTCGCCGGAGAAACCTCGCAACGCCACTCCGCCAGACTACAGCCGCCGCAGGCCGCACCCCCCTCAACTTCGTCGGTGACACGCCCGCCTCGGCCATATCCTCTGCCACAGCCGCATCGACCAAGCAGCAACATGAAATAGACACCAACCTGTCGCTAGCCGCTTTCCAGTCAAAGTACACGTCGGAGGACAACGAGTCCTTCTACAGGCTTCTCGACAAGCAAAACCGAAAGCGCGTCGAGAAATACGCATGGCTCTGGACGGGCAACAAGCTTCCCTCGAAGCAACAGCTAAAACAAAAAGAAGTCGAAGCCCGGCTCCTCGCCCAGCGCGGCGCAGGTGCCCTGCTCGACGACGGGTTGGGGCCCCGCGACAGGCTCGCAGTGCGCGACAAGGACTCCGCGGACCGGCCCGCCGTGCCGGACCATTGGAACGGAGCCAAGCCCAACAACGAGCTGATGTTTGTGCCGGACGGGGTGGACGGCAAGCTGGAGACGGTCGCGGAGCGGGCGCAGGCCGAGAGCAGGGCGGGCCAGAAGAGGATCGTGTACGAGAACACGCGGGTGCCGCGGCCTGCGAGGGAGGAGGAGGTTGCTCCTTCGGAAGGAGGAGGTGGCGAGGGCAGGTTTAGCACCAGAGCCGGGTCACCTTCGCTGTCTGAAATTCGCAACGCCATTGCGGGAAACAGGAGGGCGTGCGATGCCGAGACGAGCGTTACTGGTGGCGGCGGGGAGACGCCGAGGGTGAATGGGTATGCGTTTGTGGATGAGGAGGAGCCCGAGCCGGAGCCGACGCGGCGGACGAGGGAGAAGATGCCGCTGATTGATCTCGGGCCGGGGGACGCGACGCCAAATCCGTTTCAGTTTCAGGAGCAGAGGAAGCGGGAGGTGCTGCATCATCGGATGGTGGAGACGATCTCGCAGTCGAAGCGGATGTCGGCGAGGTTGGGCGTTACGGGCAGGGTGGACCGCACGCCTGTGCCCAAGTTTCCGAGCAGCCCGAGAGTTTCGGGTAGTATGTTGACGCCTGCTGCGCAGAGGTTGTGGGGGAAGATTGGGAGTTCTGAAGGGAGGGGCGCCGATTCTCCGTTTAGTGATTCGGTCAAGTTTACCCCAAGCCCCACGCCCCGAGGCAAGGGCTTTGGGTTAAAAAACATGGCGACGTAGAGGAATGGATTCACAAGGTTGGGAGGGATGGCATATTGCATTCACGATACCCGGAGTTGGCGGTAGACAGCGTCTTGGACATTGGATAGCCAGTCTGTTAGCATGAATCATGACTTAGATTACAGAGGAGTCTCCCGGGTAATCATTGTACTCCTGTTGCTGACATGACCGACAACTGTGAATGCGACGTCCGAGCCAAGGGGACCTTGATGAAACCACACGGGAGATCAGCCCTACCCAGACCCGCCAGTTCGGGTCGCTCCCGGCGCTAGCAAGGGCGCCCTGCCGCGGTGGTCGTGCTTGACAGGGGCCCTAAATACACGCGAAAATTTGCGGCTCTCTCGGCTCCGGTCAGCGCATCCACCTGAAATCAACCCAGAACCACTCATACACCACTGTTTCGCCATGAGATGGAAACGCCACGGTGACGACAAGAACGATTCATATTTCTTTCACCCCTGCTGTTCGGTGATATAGGAGTCGGCGAGGGACTCAAAAAAAGAGTCGGGATGCGCCTCGCAGACCTGCTCGTTGACCTCGCCGCCCTCGCGAGTGCCTCGCGCTCCGTGGCCAGCAGGCATATTGCGCTGAGGGTGAGACAAATTGAGAGGTATAGCAAGGGGTCGAGTGTGGTGGGGAGGGTCTTGAGAGGTCAGCGACAGCAGCATCCACAGCCGCAGGAAACACGACCGCCGGGGGAGGATAGCGGGACGGTGGTAAAGGAGGAGCAGTCACACCAACGGGAAACGGAGGGAGGCGTGGAGCGGGAGGGCGAACCGCGGCGGCTTCGGGAACATGAAGCGTCGGTTAAGGCCTCGGTTGGGGAGACGGATGTCCGTGTTCGAGAGTCCGAGGTTGAGCTCAGGGCGCGCAACGGACAGTTTGGTGCGGTACAAAAGCCTCAAGAGACGGGCGAGAAGAAACCCGGCTTCGTGCCGGCTCCGTGGGCGGATGGTGGCATTGCGGTTTTGAAGCAGGGATTCACCCCTCCGAAGCAACCGCCACAGATTCGGAGGGAGCCGATGATAGGGGTGCCTGGCGTCGACCTCAGCCTCTTTCGGACAAGAGCGGGCTCGAGGATTCTGGAGGCACTGAATGAGGTTGAGGAGAAGGAAGAGTCATCGCAGTCGTTCGTTGCTCCGATTAGCGGGAAGGGCGAGGCGATTGCCGAGCAAGCAGCGAAGCAAGCAGAAGTATCACAAGGCACCGAGACGAAATCTGAAACGACAGCGACACCTGAAACGTTGAACTCGAAATCTGCGCTCTCCTCAGCAACAGAGGAAGTCGCAGAGAGGGGTTTGGAAGTGGAGACGACCACGGGGAGAAATGAACAGGTTTCTGCGCCAGAATCCGAACCTGAGGCTGCAGCTGCTTCACTCAAGCAAGCCACCAAGGAGAAGGCCATCGAGCCTCAAGATGCTGGCGCCCTTGCAGAAACGAATACCGAAACACCTGCTAACCCAGCTCCGAATACCGCCGAAAAGAAAGCAACCATCTCACAAGAAGACGCAAGCATAATCGCCGATATAACGAACACGACACCCATAGCGTCTGCCGCACCTGGATATCAGCTCCGCGAGTCCGCTGTACCCTCCTCAAGGCTCGGCCGACTCTGGAATTATGGTGGTCTAGCAGCGGGCATGTTTGCTGGCGCAATAGGCGAGGGCCTCAGCCGCGCAGTCGGGGGTGGTGGATCGGGCTCGGTGATGCTCAGCGCGGCCAACATGGAACGGCTCGTGGCCAAGCTCTCTCGGATGCGAGGCGCCGCACTCAAGCTCGGCCAGATGATGAGCTTCCAGGACGCCAAGATGCTCCCGGTCCCCATCCAGGAGGTCCTCCAGCGAGTGCAGGACCGCGCCGACTACATGCCAGGCTGGCAGCGAGACCGCGTCTTGGCCGCCAACCTCGGCGAGAACTGGCGTGAGCTCTTCGACGACTTCGAGGACAAGCCCATTGCGGCCGCATCCATCGGCCAAGTCCACCGCGCAACCCTCAAGTCGAGCGGCGCCCGCGTCGCTGTCAAGATTCAGTTCCCCGGCGTGGCCGACTCCATCAACTCGGACCTGGACAACCTCGCCATCCTCCTCGCCGCCACCAAGCTTCTCCCCAAAGGCCTCTACCTCAACAAAACCATCGACAACGCCCGCACCGAGCTGGCCTGGGAATGCGACTACACCCGCGAGGCCGAGTGCGCCGAACGCTACCGCCAGCTCCTGACCACCTCCTCCGACCCCTCAGGAGCTGAACACGACACCGTCTTCTCGGTCCCGCGCATCTACCCCGAAGCGTGCGGCAAGCACGTCCTCACCATGGAATTTATGCACGGCACGGCCGTCACGCGCATCGCCTCCTTCACGCAGGCCCAGCGCGACTGGATCGGTACGCAGATCCTGCGCCTCTGCCTGCGCGAGATTACCGAGTTCCGCTTCATGCAGACGGACCCCAACTGGACAAACTTTTTGTACAACGCCGCGACAGGCAAGCTCGAGCTGCTCGACTTTGGCGCCTCGCGCGAGTACCCGGACGACTTCATCACGCGCTACGTGGCGCTGCTCGAGGCCGCCTCGCAATCCGACAGGGAGGGCGTCCGCCGGCTGAGCGAGGAGCTAGGCTACCTGACGGGCCACGAGAGCAGGGCCATGCTGGACGCCCACATCACCAGCGTGCTGACGCTAGCGGAGCCCTTCCTGCGCAGCGCGCCTAAGGTCTATGATTTTAGGGATCAGACTATTACTGAGCGGGTGAAGGCGCAGATTCCCGTCATGATCCACGAGCGGCTGGCTCCGCCTCCGGAGGAGACGTATAGTCTCCATCGGAAGCTCAGTGGCGCGTTCTTGCTATGTGCGAGGCTGGGGAGTAGAGTAAAGTGTAGGGAGTTGTTCGAAGAGGCGTTGGCTAAGACGGGCTATGTGAAGAGTCCTTAACGGGGCGTGGTCTATTGTATTCTAGTGTATCCCCTCCACAGACTTGTATAATAAGCTCGACCGGTCTTTCGACCGAGGCCGTGTACTCAACAAGGGAGCAAGCAGCAAGTACTACTCAGTGGACACCAAGCCCCAATGTATATCTCATTAGACTGTATCCAGACGAGCCTTTTGGGGAAAGTATCTGCCTGGGTATTCTTGAATCAGGAAAAACGAGCAAGTCTTCATCAAGTCGCAATCGTGTTGAAAACCGCCAACCGTCAAATCTGGTCTAAAATCACCCAGTCAGCAAGCCACCAGTTTACCAACCGGATTTGAGAGCAACTCACCTAGCGTCATCAAACTCATGCTATCCGTATTTTCAACCATCTTTTGGAACTCCTCAAAGCTGATCTTGCCGTCGTTGTCCAGGTCTGCCTCCATGATGGTTTTGTCGACAATCTGCTGCAGCTGCTGATCTTTGAGGTTGTTACCCACCATCATCTTCAGCACGATAAACAGCTCCCCGTTGCTGATGTAACCATCCCGGTCGATATCGTACACCTTGAAGGCGAACCGCAGTTTCTGCTCCTTGTTGCCCTTGCTGCTGAAGGCGCTCAGCCCGGAGACGAACTCTTGAAAATCGACGTCGCCGCCGCCGTCTTCGTCGAAAATAGCGATCATCCTGCATGCACCCGTTAGTACACGAGTGCTGAACAGGTTGATGTCGGCAAGGATACGGACCTTGTAGCGAGCGGGTTGGACGATATTTGCGGCAAGCTCAGAAACTCTTCGCGCTCGATCGTGCCGGAGTTGTCCTGCAAAACATCGTCAGCTTTGGAACCCCCCGCACACATTCCCGGCAAGGCAGCAAAACGCACTTTGTCCAACTTCATGAACCGCTTCCGTAGCCTGTCCACCTCTTCCCTGTCGACTATCCCGCCAAACCAAAACGCCGGTCAGTCCACACCCTATAGATATTGGAGCAGCAAATGAGAGAGCCCGTACAATTCGACCCCTGGACAATATTGTCCAGCACAGCACTGGTCGTGTTGCCCATCTTGGCAGCTTTGGCAAACGAGGCGCTTTGGTATCTCGAGCCCCTTGAAATACGTCGACCGGTTCGCCGGGTTCGATATGTATCCGTCCAAAAAGCAACCCGGCGTCGCAAACGAAGGCAACGGATCAGCTGGTGTCGGGTTGGATATCTCAAGCGATTCGAATTCTGTTTCGTGGCTGGCAGAGACTTGCTCTGCTGGGCTACTCGGTCAGGGTGGGCTTCCTGTTCCGTCGTCGGGGAATGCTGCGGCCCTGCGAATACTAGTTTGTTGGTCGTGGGACTAGAAAATGACCCGCTGCGAGCGATGAGTCCAGGGGGTCTCGAGTTGGTGGTGATATTGATAAGGCTGGATTTCCACCAACAGAAAAGAGTGGGGATTCCAGATGGCGGGGTAATCAAGGCCCAGGCTCCCAGGCGCCACACTGCTTTGCACTAGCCACACACTTTCAGGCTGGAACCAGCTGTGTCGCTGCCAAGGCAGCCATGACGGAGGAGAAGGCACGTGCGCGGCCCCCAGGAACCCTGCACCGCAGTCCACCAGATGGAAATTGGCAGCCACGATGGAGATGCAGATGCGGAAGGTTGCGTCACAGAGAAATGCAGATAGCATTTGGGACATTTCTGAGGACTCTTGCTGACATTGTAAACAAATTGCAGAGCTATCTTGCCGGTTTCGGCGGGTTGCCAGCAGGGAAAAGAAATGCCAATGACCTGTTACGCCTCTAGCAAATTACTGGGCCAAGGCATGTTAGTTGCGAGCAAGGGTGTGTGGGGCGCCCCCTTTCAGAACCGGAACACGCCGCCAAAATCGAGCAGTTTCTGCCAGTGCGTCCGCACCTCCAACGTCAGTCCATCGTGTGAACAAAATTTGGTCATCAAAATATCAACAACAACGCCGGTTTTGCATCAAAAAAGTCGACAGTCCGGTTTCGCATGGCACCTTGAATGAGGGAAACAATTTTCTCCCGGGGTTTCCCGAGGCTTTCTGCCCAACTTACCTCCCCTAGCAGCCATGGCGACCCGCAAGGTCCGATACAAGAAACTGAGCGTGAAAACGCCCTTATCCGTGCTCAGAGAGGATCAGATCGATCCCACAGAGTATGAACAACTCACAAACGAAGCCCAAATCGCGACCGGAGTCGAACAGGCCGAGGAAAATGTGAGTCAATACCGCCATATGACCGCGTCGGTCACGTGCCGGCGCACGTGCCACATCTTTCATACAAATGCATCGAGGTGAGGTTTGATACTGACCATGACTCTCCAGGAATACCATCTTCAGGCTGTCCTGAAGAGCGCGGGAGTCGCGATAGATCAGGAAATCCCCGTGCCGCCACCCCAGGAGAGCGCACTCAACTATGACCAGCTCTATGCCCGTCCGTTCGCCAAGACATCATCATACATCCGCTTCTCACAAACCGTGGAAGAATCCATAGGATGCATGTATGATATGACCGAGGAGGATGATGCCTTCCTCAAGTCGTACAATCAGAAGCGAGCGGCGTCGGCTCAGCTTCCCGAGGATGACTTTGAGAGGATCATGGAGGTGTTTGAAGACACCTCCTATATCAAAGCCCCCTTCGCCTCGATAGACCAGACCATAGTTTCGTACGATGACATGCTCCAGGGCCTGCAGGAACTGGAGAAGTCCAAGATCATGCCTCAAGCCAAGGAGGTCTATGAGTACTGGAAATCGCGGCGGCAAGCACTGAACAACCAGCCACTCCACCCGACGCTCAAGTTCGAGAAGCATCAAGAGAGTGATGAGGCTGATCCGTACGTCTGCTTTCGGCGCCGTGAAGTCCGCCAGACCCGCAAGACACGAGCTAGGGACGTGCAGAGCGCCGACAAGCTCAAACGCTTGCGAAAAGAGCTTGAGGAAGGCCGGCAGCTGGTCCTCGCCGCCCACAATCGCGAGCTTCTGAAGGCCGAGATTCTCAAGGCGGATCGTGCCATCTTCGAGGTGAGAACACAACTCAAGGAGCACAAGGTCCGTCTGGGCATCAAGACCGACGACGAAGACCTCATCAACCAGAAGGTCAGTCCACCATTGCCCGTCTGCCGCATCTCTTTTGGCACTGACACTTCACAGCCGCAAAAGAGGAAGGCCGCCGAGATTTCGCTTGTGCAGCGGGCGCCACCGCCAACGCAAATTCGCATCGCCGTCCGGTCCGATGGACGGCCGCCTGCCGAGGCGGACCTCGCGCTCCTTTGTGATCGTTTGGCCGAGAAGGAGAATGAGCTGCGGGCCGACATAGAGAAGAAAGTGCAGAGCCACAATGAGTGGAATCGGAACCACTTGGACCTCACAAGAGGTCCCCTGTCGCCGGTTCATGGGCCCCGGCGGGACCATAGCTTCAGGCCGGCCAAGACGCAGTATTTGATGACGCCACCAGCTAGTGCATCGTCGGCGTCTTTGGATGAGCCAACACCAATGGACCTTGACAAGCCGCAGGATCCGCAGCCTCTCCTCACGTTTCGCGGCGTGGCGCGGGATGAAGAGTCAAGGAAGAATCCACCGGCATATCGGCGTCGGATCGGCCGGCTCAACCGATTGTGGATTGACCGTCGAGGGATGGCCAGCCCCCCACGCGACGTCAGCGCTGAGGTGCTGGATCGTTGGAAGTATGACCAGTCGTCTGATGACGAGGAGGAGCCACCCGTGTACGAGGTCGATCCCTTTGACACGAGTGCTCTGAGGTTCCGCGCGTCCATTCCTCTGCCGCCATGGATGGGGAGTCGAGTAGCGGTGGCGAATGCTCGGGCGCCGCTCCCACCTCCTCAACCACCACAGCAACCGCAACAGCCCCAACAATCAGTGCTGCAGCCACAACCGCTACCACAAGCTCAAACAACAGCTTGACGGCCGTTGGATACGGTTAGATGCCGTGTGTCTGTTCCCCGCCTTCCGTACACAAGCGGCTGAGCGATTGGCGAGAACAGCGCAACTCTTGCTCTGTATACCCACTCAACACTTCGATGATTGCATTTCAGCGATGGGCCTGGTAGAAGAAGAATTTGGCCTGGCGAGGCGTTCTGGTGTCCGGGTTTCGTGTAGATGATATTATCAGGCAGACCAAGCCATGTATATGTGTAATGTGCAAATGACGACATGGCGTGCTGTGGACATCGCTCATAGGCCCCTGAGAATCCTAGCCAAACAGCGTTTCGTGGCGTGTCTCGCATTCCAAATTCGCTGTGCCGTAGTGGCCCTTGTCGGCTGCAAGGTCACTATGGATGAAAGGACATGTCAAAGACTTCGAGGTTGCGGTAATGGCCTGAAGCGGCGAGCAGGATGCCGAGTAAAGCGTTGCGGTGATTTTGCGTTGACATAGACGGCCCGGGTGTATGGTGCATCTGCTCGCTCAACTGAAAAGCGGGAATGCCGACCCACCTCTCAGCTGTCCCGAGACCAACGTCCGAATACAGGGAGAAGAGGAGGCGCCGATAGTAGCTCGCCGAGCCCGTCCTGTGGCGCCGTCATGAGGGCGCTGAGAAGTGACGGAGGCTATCAGAACCGCCTGAGCTCTGCGAGACCAAGGCGCTTGGTTGCTCCATGTTGGTGAGATGGCTGTGCAAAGTTTTGGTCTCCTGACGCGAGTCCAGTCGGCAGCATTTACCACGGGAGCAGGACCTTCACCAAAGGCTTCCGGCGCAACACTCCCCAACAGGCCCCAAGTCCTGAGTCCAGGAATGAGTGTTCGGGTCAGCGCTATGCCCCTTTGTCATCCTCGCGTGCTCCGTACGCATTGCCGCTGGAGGTACCGAGGTTGACCGGGCAAACCCTCGGAGTCCCGAAGTCTTCTAGGAAAGCGAAAGGCGATGACGTAGACTGGTAACTGGCGAGGCCAGTTCTTACCCTGGTCGAGACTCTGTTCCCTGAGATATCACAGCCTGTCAGTCAGCAATTTGCAAGCACCGGAACAAAATCCTCCGCTGTCAAGGGCGGCGATGGTAGACGATATACCGACACTCTCAGGCTGGGAGATAGGACATACCTCTAGAGTACCAAGAAGAGAGCAGGTAAGCCCTCCCGTTACGCTTCGTCTCTGCAATCCCTCGACTCAAATCCGGGCAACGTGGGAGGAGGAGCCGGCGATTGTGTCAGCGGCATAAGCCAGCTGAACCTCGAGGACATGGTTCGAGGTATTGAGTTCTCTAATGGCAGTATAAGAGAGTTAGAGAACGGCAGGGCGTGAGGATGCTTGTATCCTTGATCCCCTGTTGGTGAGAAGGATTGGATGCTGAGAGGAAGGTCAAGAATTATATAGCAGCCCCAGGTATTTCTCGGTGCAGTGGGGTGAAGTGCCGGCAGCAAGTCACCGGCTCCATCAACCTGTGGGGCCCTACGTTCTTGTGGGCCGAACGTCAATCACTTGACGCACAGGCCACATCAGGTAGCTGGACCCCTCGTGCCCCGCTGACGAATTATCAAGCTACAATGTAAGGTACCTTATCCGAGTACGGATTACTTATGACAAACACGCTTGTGTCCTGGAACGCCAACAACCGAAGTTCTATAAAAGAGTATCAATAGACACACCGGACAAAGTTCATAACAACTTGACTGTGACAAACTCTCGGACGAACGTCGACACCTCCCGAAATCACACCCCCTTCTCTGCACGAAAATCCCGGTTTCTACATTCCCACCCCACCATGGACATCGCCAAAAAGAAGCGCCGCATCGCCCTCGGCTGCGAAGGCTCAGCCAACAAGCTGGGCATCGGCGTCATCCTGCACGAAGGCGACCTCTTGTCCCCGTCGACGTGCACCTCGCGCGTGCTCTCCAACGTCCGGCACACCTTCGTCTCACCGCCGGGCACCGGCTTCTTGCCCAAGGACACGGCGCACCACCACCGCGCCTTCTTCGTGCGCGTGGCCAAGCAAGCGCTCGTCGACGCGGGCGTCTCGGTCGCCGACATCGACTGCATCTGCTACACCCGGGGCCCTGGCATGGGGGCGCCGCTGACGTCGGTGGCCGTGGCGGCGCGCACGCTGGCGCTGCTGTGGGGCAAGGAGCTGGTCGGCGTGAACCACTGCGTCGGGCACATCGAGATGGGGCGGGCGATCACGGGGGCCGAGCACCCGGTGGTGCTGTACGTTTCTGGGGGCAACACGCAGGTGATTGCGTACGCGGAGCAGCGGTACCGCATCTTTGGCGAGACGCTCGACATTGCTGTAGGTAACTGTCTTGACCGGTTCGCGCGGGCACTGGCCATCAGCAATGATCCGGCGCCGGGGTATAATATTGAGCAGCTGGCAAAGCAAGGAGGGAGGGTGCTGCTGGACCTGCCGTATGCGGTTAAGGGAATGGACTGCTCGTTTAGCGGCATCCTAACGAGAGCAGAGGAGCTGGCCGCGCAGATGAAGGTTGGTGGGAAGACTCCTGAAGGGGAGCCGTTTACGGCCGCGGACCTGTGCTTCAGTCTGCAGGAGACGGTGTTTGCAATGCTGGTGGAGATCACGGAGCGGGCAATGGCACATGTGGGCAGCAACCAGGTGCTGATTGTTGGCGGGGTGGGGTGCAATGAGCGGCTGCAGGAGATGATGGGTGCTATGGCGGCAGACCGCGGCGGAAGCGTCTATGCGACGGATGAGCGGTTCTGCATAGACAATGGCATTATGATTGCCCATGCAGGCTTGTTGGCCTACGAAACGGGATTCAGGACCCCGATTGAGGGAAGCTCATGTACACAACGGTTTAGGACCGATGAGGTGTTTGTCAAATGGAGGAGGTAATGCACCTCTGATTGACAGATCATGACTTCACTCCGTGGCTATACTCCGTACGCGACGGATACTGCTGCCACTGGCACCTGGCGCTCCCTCATCAGCTCCGGAACCCCAGGAAAGCCGAATGCAGCACTGCTCAATACTCGTCAAAACCCAGAGACTCATACGCCTGCCGAATTACCTAACAAAACATCCATCTGGAGCCGCGGACATTGCCAATACTCCTCAACTTGTTGACGCCACGCTCCAAACGAGCGCTGAGCGACGTTAAGCAGCTCAAATGCCCTCTGCCGTCGTTGGTTTGTACATAATGGTGGTCACATACTACAAACGAGTCAGCCTGGTAACGAGATATCGAAAGTCAGTCTACGCTAACTTACCTTGCTCTTGTATCTCGTTGTCGCCGAGACTGCTAATACATTGTTCTTGATACTGCTAGTAGCGAGATGGTTAAGAACAGTGTGGTTCGGCTGCGACAGAACGCTGTTGTCATCCTTCCTCAGGCTGGCCGCATTCAAGATGGGTTTGCTCAGGAACCCAGGTAGAGCAGGCGGGTTCTGCAGTTTCTCGGTTGCCAGGACAGCGTTATGGTATATGGGAGAATCCTCCGGTTGGTCCAGGTCGAGGAGATACCTCGGAATCTTCTGCGCGAACTGGCTGGCTGGTGGAACCTCCCTAAAACTGGGAACGTGCAGGCTTTCCTCTTCGGCTGGCGCCGCGTCCGCCTGCGGTTGCTGTTGGGCATGCTTGCCTTCTGAGGTTCCGTCCGCGTCGGCCGATGCAGGTTGGAGATCGTCGGGGTTGACCTCAATATAGTTGACCAAGTTATTGCCAAAATCGACCGTTGTGGGATAATCAGGGGTCGTCTGCATTTGGCCGTCGACTAGGAAGCGGATATGGTGTGTCCCTGGGAGGATGTTGATCGTAGTCGCAAAGACGCCGGGCTGGCCCTCGCTGGATTTGACACGTCAGGGTCAGCAGTCATGGCAAGGAAAAGTAACTTCTGCGTCCCTTTCGGCAATACTCACACTGGATGTAGCCGTGTTTTGCGATTCCAGTTGAAGATAGTGCCCGTCACGTAGACCTTGTCGCCGCCGTGGCGCCATTCCAACCTGGTCGGCACTGTTGGCCTGGTCTTGTCTACCAGCAATTCCTCGGTGTCCTCCTCCTCCAGCACTGAATTGTCGCTCAGGTTTGAAGTCGGGTGGGCCAAGCCGGCTGCATCCAGACCCTCGACATCGTCGATAGGTGCGCCGGCATCCGCAGGGGCGATGATGGGCGAGCCCGGCGTGTGCACCTCCTCCTCGATGGGAAGCGGCAGACGCGGAGGGCGGGTCAGGTATGAGACATCTTGCAGGCTGCTGTGCGGCATGGCGGCGGATTCGCAGCCGTCGTCGGAACGCGGGGATCGCGGGGATGAGGACGGAATGTGCGAGTTGGGCACAGCTACGGGCTTGGCAGGTGCATGGCAGGGGTCTTGCTTGCCCTGCTTGACCTCGACGTGCTTCGCGGAGCTCGTGGAGCTAGCGGCGGTGGTGGACGAGGAAGCGGTCGAGTAGCCCGAAGCGGCGCCGAGGTGTCGAGGCTGCAGCGGCTTCGGCCGGCTGGCAGCGCTGCTGCTGCTGCTACTCGACGGCGGTTGGACAGCGGTGCCCTGCGCCTGAGTGAGCGAGGGTTCTGGCGGGGCTGCAACCCGCTGAATCTGCAACGGGATGGAGTGCTTGTTGTCGCGCCTCACCGACTGATCATGCTGCGATTGTGTTTGTGAGGAGGAGGACTGGCTCGCGGGTTTGGACGTGGAGGGGCTGTTGCCCATTCTTCATTTACTCGGTTGGCTGCCGAGTTTCTTATACGTTAACAAAGCGGGATAGAAGCAAAGGCACTGAAGATGATGGTGACGCAGTTCCACGTCGCTCAGTTCATTTTGTTGGGGTTGTTCGGACGGTGGTGGAATCAAATTTTGGACGCTCTGACGGACCAGCAATTGGGTTATCTGTATGCAGCCTGTCTTCAGTCCGGCGCACGGCTTGGAAGGAGAAGGAAGGGATGGAAAGAATGTATGCGGCCCGAGTTTCGATGAACAGAGGTGAGTGCAGTGCCAGGATCAACTGATAAGTGAGAGTGCTTGCCCCACTTCGGCTTGTGTAACTTACTGAATGTTAAGCTCCGTACTGTATGGATACATTGACCATGCATGTACCCTTGCAGATAAGGAAGCGGCAAACGTTCGTTCAACCTCATAAAGACCGCCCTGGTCTCAAGTGAAAGGCAACCCTGCAATCCTCACATGCAACAGATCAGCTTCAACACTCAGTAACACTCTGTTGTTCGTCACTTTCGGGCAACTTTCCCGTCACATTCGCTATTTCATCGCCCGACAAACAAAGCTAAGATGTCAGAAAACTACGTCGCGCCAGCCCAGCAGCGCTACCTGCGCGCCTGCATGGTCTGCTCGATCGTCATGACCTACGCCGTAAGTAAGCCATTGATGGCCCTTCCATTCTCCAACTTCACCCAATCACACTGACGCCGTTCACCAGCGCTTCCGCGACGAAGGCTGCCCCAACTGCGAGGAGTTCCTCCACCTGCAAGGGTCGCCCGACCAGATCGACAGCTGCACGTCGCAGGTCTTTGAAGGGCTCATCACGCTGGCCGACCCGTCCAAGTCATGGGTGGCAAAGTGGCAGCGGCTGGACGGGTACGTGCGGGGCGTCTACGCGACAAAGGTATCGGGCCAGCTGCCGGACGACGTACGGACCTCGATCGAGGAGGAGTACAGGATTACATACATCCCGTAAGTTCGCCCTGCCAAGGTGTGTGTTTCTTGGCCGAAGCAAAGAGGTTTAACTGACAAAATCCCGAAGACGTGATGGCAGCGCGACCGAGGCGGATTAGTGGTCACTGGGTAATTATGGTGAAGGAAGGATTCAGCATCAGGCGACGGAGTTAGGCGTTGGCTACCAAGGAGTGAATTTTCCTTTTCTGCCCTATCTGCCATGGTCTATCAATGTTATCATTGCATCGTGTTCCCAAACTCCTGGTATCATGCTCCCGAAATGACACATGTCCGAACGCCAAATATGCTATACAAGATGTTCCACGTCCCCTGGGCCAGACACACATGCTAGAATCGCGGCTTCTTGTTGGGAGGCCCGCCGCCCGCCTCGCGCGCTCTTTTCCGCTCCAATTCCTCCTTCATGATCCGTTCGGCTTCGCTCATCTTCTTGGGTTGAGCAGCCATGATCTTCTTCGGAGCGCCAGCAAAGGCGTTCTTGAACACGTTCTTTGGTTGCGGTTTGGCTCCGAACTTCAGTGACACGGGCTTCGCTGCTGCCATCGTCTCAGCCAATTTGGTGTCCTCCTCCTTCTTGGCCTCCCCATTGCTTATACAGTCCACCGCTTCCGAAACCTCGCCTTCCCCCCTCGCACCTGTCCCCGATTTTGGCGTGGTACTGTTCGCTACTGATTTTGCCCCAAAACTGAGCTTGATTTTCTCACCCTCTTCCCGTTTCAAGACCTTTGCCTCTTCTTCCGCTTCTCCACTCAACGCGACCCCCCTCGCCTCGGCATCCCTCTGAGCCCGCTTAATCTGCTCCTTCAGAATCATCAGCTCCCTCTCCTCGTCCCCCTTATCCTGCATCTCCTTCCTCCTCACTGCCTCCCGCCGCTTCATGGCCTCGGGCGAGTCGTCGATCCACGCGATGAAGATGCCGTCCTCCTTCTCCTCGGCCCTCACGATCCCCTCCCGCGCAATGTGCTTGACAAAGTCGGTCAGCGAATGCCACCGTGTGGCGTTGAGGTGGACGTGGTCCCGGCGCGCGATGACCTCCTGGTAGAACTTGTTGGCGTGTATGCTCTTCTCGCCGTGCGCCGTCTTGAGGAGCGAGATGAATTCGTGCAGGAACTGCTTGCTGTACTCCTCCTGGACGCTCTTGAAGTTCTGGCCGGCCTCGAGCGCACGCCGCATGTGGCTTTCGGACTGGCAGTGCATCTTGAAGGCGTTCTCGTCGCGGCATGCCTTCTCGCAAATCTGGCAGTACCAGCGCAGGCGCGTCAGGCCCTTTTGCTTCATCTTGTTGGAGAGGTACTTGGTCGAACCGGGTTCGGCCTTGCCCATGGTGGCGGCGGGTGGACTCGCTACGCGAGGTCGAGCGGAAAATGGGTGGGATTGGGGGCTGAGCCCGTTATGAGAATCCGGACTGCGACGCGACAGAGGTTAAGATCGTTGTTTCGGAGGTTTAGAATGAAATACTCGTCTTTGCGTTGGGTGTAGGGAAGTTGGAGGCGAGTGGAATTGCAATTGCAATGCCAGGAACGATAAGATTAATCTTCAAAACCCTAACCCTTGCTTCGAGTTCAACAGTCGATATCACCCGGTTTTTTTCTACGAGCCAGCCTTTGATTTGTTTATTAGTCAGTTTGGCAACTGGCTTTGCCCATCCCTATTAAAAGAACCCAAGAATCAAATATGAGAGTAAAGAGAGCTTGAGTATATAGGAGAGAAGGCAAAAAGGAAAATACAGAAGTAGCAATAAATTACCGAGGATGGGCTTGTAGGTACTCTTTTTCAAGACGGTCGAAACAAAGTTGCCAGCCTATCTATTCAGAGACGCCTACTCCAGTCGATGGAAACTACTATGTACAGCGAAGACCGAAAAGTAGAAAATCTTCCATCCACATGCATCAGAGATGTGTCGTGACCACAGTATCTCCCCTCGCCTGCTTGTAGAACAAAATGTCTAGGTGACGTGAACCCCCGGGCTCAGACTCTATGCACCCTCAGTATAACTCAACCATCGTGATATTTGGCCAGCCTTGCAGCTTGGGCTGGGAAGGCTGGCTCGACTACATGCACTCGACCCCTATTCGAGGAAGGTAAAGAGGCTCGTATGCAGGATGTTCATAGCCCTCTCGGCATCACGAGCATCAATGACGCACGAGATGTTGATCTCACTGGCACCTAAGCATTGCGTTAGCAAATCGGCATTTACATAGACCCGTGGAAACCACGAAAACGTACCCTGAGAGATCATCTCCAGATTGATGCGGTGCTCCCCCAGCGTCGAAAACATGCGGCCGGCAATGCCGACCATGTTCTTCATCTCGGCACCCACCAGACTGAGGATGCTCATGTCGTGCAGCACGCTGACCTCACCGCACTCGGCGCGGAGCATCTCGACCGCCTGGTCAAAGTTGCCGAATTCGGAGGTGGCCGTGTGGACCGCGATCGAGACGTGCACCTCACTGGTGGAGATGAGATCGACCGAGATGCGCTGCTGGTTGAGGATGGAGAAGACGCGAGCCAGGAACATGTGGGCTATCGACCGCTTGTTGGAGTGGATGTTAATGATGGAGATTTTGTCCTTGACGGTGACGGCCGTAGGGCGCTTGGGCTTCTTCCGCAACGACGGATCTGAGGGCTGCCTGGGCCTTTGAATGCGCTGGTCTGCCGCCAGAAGAGGGTCCGGCTTCACAATGGTGCCTTCGCCACGGGCGTTATTGACGTTCTTGATCCGGATCGGGATAGGGGGTACTGCCTTGATGACCTGATCCATGGTCAGATGGTGGATGACTTCGGAGCCGTAGAAAGTCAGTTCCGAGGCCTCGGCGGGGGTGATAAACGGGATGAGTCGCGCTGTCGGCACTTTTGTAGGGTCGGCCGTGAAAATGCCATCCACCTCCTTCCATATCTGGAGCTCTTCGGCCTTGAGGCCTACCGCCACCAGAGATGCGCACAAATCTGTGTAGCCGCGCCCAATGTCGCCGTCCAACAGACCACCGGGAACGTTGCCAAAGAAGCCCGTCACCACGGGGACCCTATCCTCACAACCCATGATTTTCTTGGTAATGATACTGGCAGCAAGCTTGTAGAAGGCAGAGTCGAGCCGGCCGGAGCTGTCATTATGTATGATGTCGGCCAAGTCAATGTACTCAGCATCCACCCCCTTTTTTCCACAACTGAGTCAGCGCTGGCGACCCTATCGACAAGAGTCTTTAGGCAACTTACCCTGTCTTTAAGGAGGCATGTCATGAAGCGGCAACTCAACTTCTCACCGAAACTGACAACTCTGTCCTTGGCACGAGAATTGATTTCCAGATTGAAGCGCTTAGCTGCCTCTAGATAATCAATCAAGTGCTGGCACTCCATCTCCGTGTCGGCCTTGAGGAGGGCGCTGACTTGGGGATCACGGATAAAGGCGTCTGCGGCGGCAACATGATCTGCGCAGATCTCCTGAACAATGTGCCTAGCCTCGCCCAACAGATCCTCCTGCGCGTCATGGTCACTGGTGGCGGCAGCTATTGAGCGTAGCTTTTTGTATACCTCCAGCAGCCTGCAAGAGAGCGCACGTTGTCAGCCATCCCGCAAAGCATTGACTAATAGGAGAGGTGTGTATCACACCCGGACCGCTGCATGTGTGGGGGAGTGCATGAGGGCAAGGGCATGATCCAGAACCAGATCAAACAGCACAACACCAAACTCACCTGCTCGTGGTCCCTGTTGCCTTCTTTCCGGTACTCCGGGCTGAGCACACGACGACCAGCCGGTTATCTTCGACATATGCTCTTTCCCGTTTTGTCAGCCCAGAGCCCCCGAATAATGGGAAAACGAAGCCATACCTGACGATATCCTCAGCGATCTTGTCGGGAAACTTGCCCACGCTTGTTCCTCCAAACTTCTGCACAATCCAGCCGCGGGAGTCAGGGTTCTTCAACAGGGCCCGGGCCATGTCGGGATTCTTTACCGCCAACGGTGGGCTCATTGACTTAGAGTGAGGGTGATGAGGTGTCTGGTGACCTGCCACAATCGTGCAGCAAAGAATTGAAGTGTCGAGACGGGATGATATGACCCAATGGCTCTCACAAAACGAGATGGTGCCTGTTGTTTCTGGTGTTGTTGATGTCGAAGTCAGGGGAACCGTGGAGGGCAACTCCAGAGGGTGTAGTGGGGGAGGGGCTGCTTTTCAAGACCCGCCGCAACCGCAATCACCCAAAGAACCAAAGAATCACCCAAAGAGGACTCGGTCGAGGAAACAGGTGATGTTCCTCTTAGGGAAAGGGAGCCAAGCGGTGGCCCTGCGGCGTAGGCTGGAAAGAGCGTATTCTCAAGTGAGTGTGTGGGCAGTGTGAAAGCCACTGAGATGATGAAACCCCAAAAATGGGGGGTTGTTGCGTGGGAGAGAAAGGACAGGTACCGGCAATTCCACAATCCACAGACAAGCCTTCGAAAGAACGATTCGAAGGTGACGATACAACAGGCACAAAGGCAAAAAGGAAGTCTAGCAATGCCACCGAGTTCGCCAGCCTCCTTAAGGTACGAGTCACCCAATGCCCAAACGCCTAATTCGGAGGCAAGGTTTTCCACATTGCTCATCGACCGCACCCAGCTAGGTTACATGTGGGGCCTGCCTGCATGGTGGGGTTGACTGCCATGAGGACGCCACGGTGGAGACGGACCTCATGAACGGAGTAGGGATGCGACTTCCAGGTATTTCAGGGCCAGCTCACTGGAACGCAGTGGGATTTGGATAATGACAGCAATATCATATAAATCTGTTGATAGTCTTGACATATTCTTGTACTAGAAGCGGCAAGGCGCGAAGGGAAAGCATGCAGCCTCTTCTGACCTTCGCAATGACTCAAGGGCGCGAGCTTCCTGGCCCGTGCAACCCCGGCATTGAACTCTGAGGTTGATCTCGAAACGGGCAAGGGCAGGGGTCGAGAGCAGCAGCCGAAACCGCGCTTCGAGTTCAACTTGCCCGATGGCCTGGTCACACCGATATGGATCTTCAGGTCAGCAGCAGCCTAGCATTTAAGCCTGAGCTTGGGACATACCTGAACATTTTGTGAAGATCAAGTCATTTCAATTAGTCTCTTTTCATTTCTCTTTCTTCTCTCCCAGTTGTTGGCAGATCATCCCTCACTCAAACCCTGTCAGCCATGGCGCACTCACCGAACCCCCCTGGCAACATCCCAACGCCTCGCAGACGAATGCGGGATGTCATCGCGTGCCTCATATGCCTGGTACGTGCTACGTGCGGGAGGGCCATCGCCAAGCCATGTGTTCAGCCCGGCCCGAGTGGTTGAGTGGAAGGCTGCCGCCCGCTATTCCAAACAGATCACCGAGGTCGCGTGAGCAGTTCCCTTCTGCACCTTGACATAGTTCTGTGACCCCCGCGTTTCCCCCAGACTGTCCCTTACCTAAGGTGTCTAATTCTGACCCAAAACATTGGTCTACCGTAGGTTGCAGGTGCGTGGGCTCGGAAGTACTCGGCGACTCCAGGAGGTACTTTGAATTCGAGCACACCACGGCAACCACCGTCATGGTCAGGGTTGATGATTCTTCGAACGGCCATTTTCTTTCCTAAGTATACAACGCTGCGGGTTTCGTCGACTTATCCGCCCTCAAGTCTCTCCCTTCGTATACCCGATAGTAGCTGTGAAAAATCCCTGGACCGTGTGGCCAGGTATCTGGCGGTATGTATACTAAGCCACCCTTTCTTCCTTTCGCCAAGTTCGAGTGGAGATGCCAGAAATCTTCGAATAAATGACTTGTACAAGAAGTTCGACAAAATACCAACCAACTCCCCCTTTCCATACGCCAGTGATGCAGCTCTATCGGCATGAATGAGCCCCAAAAACATGCGAGCCCTCATCTCGGACCAAAGCCCGAGCACCTCGTTGGCCCAGATACCAAGTAGTATGTTGTAGTCCCGGTGTATCCCGTTCGAGATCGCTCATTCCACGAGCACGTCCCAAGAGGAGATACCCTCACTCCCTTGCCGACCAAGGGGAACTAATTCCGGGTCGGCTGCTCTGGTTGTTTGCTAGTTCCTCTTATTCTTCTCCTCCTTATCCACCTCCAAGTCATCCTCCTCTTCCTCCTGTACCAACTCCTCCTCAATCTCTTCCGTCTCCGTGATCTTCGGGCCCGCGCTCGGAAGCTTGCGCTCCACCGCCACATCCCCGCCATTCATCTGCCACTCCATGAGCTTGCTGAACGCGCTGTTCTTATCCGCGCTCAGCGCCGCGTAGCTGCCGACCTCGGCGACGGTGCCCTCGCTCGAGAGCACGATAATTTGGTCGGACCGCTTGATGGTCGAGAGGCGGTGGGCGATGGAGATGGTGGTGCTGCGGCCCTTGAGCAGCTCGGCCAGCGCCGAGTTGACGAGCGTTTCGGACTCCGCGTCGAGCGCCGACGTCGCCTCGTCCAGGAGCAAGATGTCCGGGTCCTTGAGCAGCGCCCGCGCGATGGCGATGCGCTGCTTCTGCCCGCCCGACAGTTGCGCGCCCCGAGCGCCGACTTGCGTCTCGAGCCCGTCGGGGAAGTCGCTGATGAAGCCGCAGTTGGCCTTTTTGGCCGCCGCGATGATCTCGGCCCGCGTCGCCGTGGGTTTGCCGTAGGCTATGTTCTCGGCGATGGTCCCAGAGAAGAGGACGGGCTCCTGCGCAACCATGCCGATGCGCCGGCGGAGGGATTTGACGTTCATCTTGGAGATGTCGATGCCGTTGATGGTGATGCTCCCGCTGGTCGGATTGTAGAAGCGGAGCAGCAGAGATGCCACGGTCGACTTGCCGCCCCCTGACGGACCGACTATGCAGACGTTGCTACCAGTCGGGATTTCAAAGTCGAGGCCGTTGAAGATGTTAACGGCCGGTCTCGTGGGGTAGGCAAACGTAACGTTGGAGAATTTGATGGGGCCGTGTGCTGACGTGACTTTCATGCCCACGGTCTGGTGAATAGTTGGTTGGCGGTCCTGAAGTTCGAAGAGACGGCTGGCGGCTCCGACGCCCTTCATGAGCTCCGAGTAGAACCCGCTCAGCCCAAAGAGACTGGATCCTGCAAACACCGTGTACATCATGAAGGACGTCAGGTCTCCGAGGGACATGACTCCCGACCGTACCAGATTTCCTCCCACAATCAACATGGCCAGGATCGTCATGTTACCTGCCCAGCTGGTCGAGGCGAAGAAGGTACCCGAGATCAACGATTCCTTCTTGCCCAGGGCAAAAATCTTCTTGACCTGCTTGCTGTAGCGGCCGATCTCCTGAACCTCGCCGGCGAAAGCCTGGCTCGTCTTGACGTTCCCGAGTCGCTCTTCGGCAATCTTGACCATGGTGCCCAAATTCTTCTGTATCTGGCGGCTCAGCTGGCGAATGCTGCGCCCGTACAAGACTGCGCCGATGGCAATGGGAGGGACCATGACGAAGATTACGGACGTCAGCTTGGGGCTCATCCAGGCCATCATGACGAACCCAGCGGCGCCGCTGACGAGCGACCGGAGACCGTCCGACATGTTCTGGGTGATGCTCTTGCCGACAATAACGGTGTCAGAGCTCAGTCGCGAGATCAGGTCGCCGACCCGATTCGCGTCGAAGAACTCGGCGTCTTGCACGTACGTGCGGCGGTACAGCTGGGTCCGCAGCCGCGCCACCACGCGCTCGCCCACGATGCGCAGCAAAATTATCCTCCCAAAGTTGGCACAGGCACCGAGGGTGAGTACCGCGGCGAGGCCGTAAAAGAACTGGCGCAGCGTCAGACCGAAGATCTGGACCTCGTCGATGGGGCCCTTGGTGGAGAGGTCCATGATCCTGCCGACCGAGAAAGGAATCGACATGGTGACGGCGGAGGAGATGAGCAGGAGCACAAACGCCGCACCCAGCCACCTGACCTCGGGCCGCGCGATTTTGACGAGCCGCCACACTTCGGCCAAGCCTGGCTTGCCAGCCGCGCCAACGCCTTCCTTAGAGAGCCGCGCGCTCATGTTGACGTGGGCAGCTTTTGCCGCTTTCTCGCTCCGCTGGAATCCGTGGGCCTTCAGATGCTGATCCGCCGCCTCATCCTTCGCCTCCAGCGCGCCTGTCTCCTCTTCGTTGCCGCCTGCCACCTCCTTCGACTCCTTCTTCTGCTCGAGCACCGGCCGCGTCATCGAGAGGTGTCGGAGCGCGGTGGCTGGGGAACCCCATTGGGGCTGTCCTAGCCACTGCCGGGAACTGAGGGAGATGCGGGGGGCGTGATCGATCGGTGTTGTGGACGCAGGCGTCCAAAGTGTCGTGGGGGCCTTCCAGCCCCGGGGCCTGGAGGAGAATGGGCGAATTGCCGACGGGAAGAACGGGGAGGCAGCCGTCGCCGCTGCCGAGGCGGTGCAAGCGAGGCCAGGGCCAGCGACGATACCAACGCCGAGGGTGCGCTGGGGCAGCAGTGCGGCGCGACGGAGGGCCGCAGCTGCTGCTCCCGGAACCATGGTGATTTTGCACACTTTTTGTCGCGCTGTCGCAAGATCGGACGATTTTGTTCCTTGCTATTTCGGGACGTCTGATAGTCGCAAGGCTGTCATGTCGCACTTGCGAAGGTCAATGGCGGTTGTTGAAAGACACATGCCCACGCTGTTTAACATATGTCATCGGAAAGCACAGAAACAAGCGGAGCAAGCGTATGAGAGAAAAACCGCCGGACCGATCTTGGAGTTTGGTCGGAGGCCCGGTCAAAGCGGATCCCAGGCTCAGCAATTTCTGGGCGAATTGGAATTTCGTCATGCCGCAATCGCCGAGCTGCACCCCTGCTGTGGCCGATCCAGCGGCTTTCCACAGCAGCTTTCCAGGTTGGCTTGTGATGCGGCTGCTCCTCAGCACCTCCGGCTTGGCAGACTGCAGACCGAACCCCTGATGCACCAGTCTCCCAAAACATTATCAGAAAGGGACTTCCAGGAGGTGCCCCGTTCGAAAGGCTGGAATTCACAAGCACTAGAACCCCAATCAACTACCCTCAATCCAAAGACCTGTCAACGCACTTGGTTATGAAGGTTGCTGGACAAAGCCATTTTCGCCTGGGTCCCGCCTCAACGACACGTGAATGCACATCCATCAGCGCTGAAAAGAACTGACATGAACCAAAGACATTCGAAACAGAACAGAAAACGGATGGGCCCAAACCCAGGCGCCAAAACAGCCCTAAATGCAAAACTTCTCATCGTCTCAACATTTCTGGGAGCTCAAAATCGAAGCCGCTACCCCTGACTGTCCTTCCTCAGCATCTCCTTGACGTCGGCATCAATTCCATCATCGCCACCCAGGTCAGGAAACTCGTCCGAGGTCTCAATCTTGCGCTTCTTGTTCCCGTTCAGCGGCACGGCCTGATATTGCGAAGCAAGGTTTGAGAGCATCTCCAGATCCGGGGCGGCAGTGGGAAATGCAGGCTGGGCATTCGCAGCTGCCGGTGCGCCGTGAAATGGGACAGATTGCACTTGGCCGTTCTGAGCCTGCAGGCCACTCGATGAATGGTCGTAAGAGTCCTGGATGTGGTCCTGGACATGAGGCGGCGTGAGAGCTTCGATTTGTGGGCGGTCAGGCTCAGGAACAGGGCTCATGGAGACACGACCAGGAAGCGGCTGCTCCTCGCCTGCCGCAGAGAGACCACCAATGATGGCCATCTCGACTGCCTGCCTCTTCTGCTCGATCTCGGTTCGACGGCCGCTCAATTCCATCATTCGCTTCTCGTCGACATCAAGGGCTTCGCGATTGGTCGCAAGGATCTTCTCCAATCCCTTGATCAGATCCTTGCGTGCTCGGATGCACTGCGTGACAGCCCCTTCGGCATTCGCCAAGGTTTTGAGGAGCCCACTGAGCCGTGCTGCCTGAACAGGGAGGGCCGCACTGGTTGTCGCCGGATCAGCGAGCTTCTCGTAGTCGACATTGGCTGCGTTGAGCGAGTTCTTCAACGGTTGGAGCGCCTTAGAAACGGCCTGCTGTGGCGCAACCAAGGGAATGAGTTCCGGAGGGATCGGTGGTCCCGAGGCGCTGAACGCGTGACCGCCAAACCCGCCGACATTCGCTGCAGGACGGGTCTTGTCGATTTCTGCCAAATGGACTTAGTTGAGCGTGTCCAGAAACTGTGAAAGAAATGTGAGTGCCAAATATGCTCACCTGCCAACCTCGCATCTAGATCCTGAAGTACTTCCTTCCCAAAGATGCTCCTCTCCTTCCATACATCGACGACCCTTCGCAACTTTGCTTGGACATCGACTGGAGCACCTTTGTATGCCACCGCCGTGGCATCCGCAATGAAGGGCGAAAATGCATTCAAGAAATCTTCCTTGTGCCGGGCCTTGGACTGTTGCGTGACTTCTGTTGAACGGTCAGCGGTTTGGCGCATATGTGCTTCCACAAACAGTTACTCACCATTGGCAAGGTAGATCATGTTCAGCCGCTTAGAGCTGGGGAGATCCTTCAATTTGGTCAGCCACAGGTGGACTGTCTGGGATGCATGCCGCCTGCACATCGTGGTGGTTAGCTACAGACAAACAAATGAACACTTAATGATAGAGCTTCTTACCGGTGGAACATAATCCATTGCGCAGTGGTGGCAATACTCTCATGGCTTTCGTTCAGCGCCGACAGCTTCGAGAGCACTGCATCATCCGTATAGGCCATGGCGGATAGGATAAGGTGGGCGCCCAGTAACCACAGTGCAGCTGGAAGTGTCCGGGACAACAGAACCGTATACTGATGGTAAATGGGCGACCGGTAGGAAGAGAATGGCTGGCTGGGATGCGGTGTTTGGCGTGTGCTTTATGCAGCGATCTCCAAACGAAGCTCACTCAAAGTTACGATCTCGGAATGGTTTTTTTGTTTGTTGACAGAGCACAGCTGACCCAGCCCCGGTCGACTTCTCTGGCAAACTTTATGTTCGCAGCAAGATCGGCCAACGTGAACAAAATCAATCCAGTACCTCAGAAAGTCTTTTCGCTTTTAGAATGCCAACTTGGTGTAAACTACTGAGCAGTGCGCAGGACAGCGTGATGTGTGTGGGAAGCGGGAGGTGGAAGAGCTGTAGTGTACGGAGGTGGGAAGCTGGGTTGGAGCTCTCCACCTGCATCCGAGACAACGTTTTAGTCCTAGCCGAAGCTGATAGATGAATGCGACATCGCGAACACCCCGGTATTGCAATATCTTATCCTCCGGAGCCAGCGCAACACAGCAACCTCGCGCAAGCACCTCAGGGCACCTTTCAAAATCTTGAGACCACCGCATCAACACACCTGATCAGCCACTTTTTCGCAAAAGGATTTCAAGTCTCGAGCCATAGTTGATTTTCCGGTTGTCAACATGGCTGACCGATTCCCCTCGTTGGAGGAGTTCGACTCGGGTGGTAAGTTGAGCGGTGCCTCTACCAAATCATGGCATTGTTTCTGACCCGGTGTATAGCCCACACCGATGTTCGGGACACATCGGACGTACCGTCGGCGAGCAACTTCTTGGAGCGGGAGAAGGCGATTCTTGGGGACGACGCCAACCAGTTTGCGACAGTCGAGGATGCTGGCTTCGACGATGGGACCGATGATCTGCTAGGAGGCGGCGGTGTCAGTTCCCCGGGCGGCAACGTTGCATTTGAGAGCCAGTTTCCCGACATTACCAGCCAAAATGAGGTATGGTCATCTGCGCTACTAGCAGCTCACGACTGCATCTAACCTTGCCCAAACTGCAGGCCGTCGCGCCCGGCGGAACCATCACAGGACCCTCGATCTCATACAACTCCGGATACCAAGCCTACACCGAGGAGGAGGAGGAGCCCGAGGTGATCAAGGCGTGTCGCGAAAGGCGGGACGCCCAGCTTGCGAAGCGGGCAGAGCAATTCGCCCAGCAGCGGGCAGAGACGATCCGGGAAGCCCAGCAAAACATCGACGACTTCTACGAGAACTACAACAACAAAAAGGAGAAGATGATTGCTCAGACCCGCAAGGAGGCCGAGGAGTTCCTCGCCAAGCGAGAGGACACCACATCGGGCGGCACGAGTTGGGAGCGCATCTCGAAGCTGGTCGACGTTAGCGGAAAGGGCGCGAAGGGCGGTGCGGCTGGCTCAGGCAAGGAGCGCTTCCGCGAGCTGCTGATGAGCCTACGTAAGGACGAGAAGGCGCCTGGGGCTGAGGGGTATTAGAGGTACCGGACATGCAATTATGGGATAGAGGAACAAGTCTGCAGCCTTTCGGAACCGGCACCATCGAGGCCCGGCATCGTCTAGGCCCTCAACGGTGGCAATGATAATCAGTGAAACCGCACGTGATGTACTTTTAGAAAGAGAACGTCGATCTGCAGTGACAGGGACTTCGGAGTGGCAGTGGAGGCGTCGGAGAAAACGAGGGACCACGGTTTATGCATCTCTGACTTCCTTCATTCGTCCATAGAAAACATTCGAGACAAACCCTGTGTTGTTCTTCCTCTTGTAATCAGCCCCAGGGAACCCCGTTTCCCGCTCTAGTCCGTTCCGTGCAATACACATACAAGACCCGCCCTCTATAACCCCTCCTAATCGCAGCGACGCACCTTAGTCGCTGAACCAGGTGTTCTTGCCGAAGATCCTGCGGCCCATGGCGTACATGGTAGCTGAATACATCACACCTGCAGTCAGCAAATCCATTATTACCATGAAAGGGCTTGTCGATGCCATACCAGCGGTGGTGCCCCACAGGAGGATGTTGTAAGGAGTCAGCAGCATACGGCTGCGAGGGTTCTGTGTTTCAGCGCATGGCCATTCTGTCAGCCAGCTGTCCTGTTGCCCTCCAGGTACTCCCTCTCCCTCTGCGTTTGCCCGCCCCTCGCATCCACTGCTCCATCCATCCACCCCAATCCCGGCCTCCCCCCGTTCGCCGACCGGCATGGAAGGTACTCACGATCCTCCAGATGCGCGTGTGCGCATTGTAGGCATGCTGGTAAGCCCGCTGATACTCGGGGACCTTGTTCTTCGCGTCGACGAGACTATGTTGGCGAGAGTAAATGCCCGTCAGCGATTTGTTCTGAATCGTACGACTGCGCGGTAATTCATTCCCCCAGCTTCCGGTGACATTGCGAATTTGCAGTTGCCCGTTGTCTCTACGGCTGGCAACGCTGGCCGTCGGGATTGGCTGCTTACCCCATTTTGAGAGAGTGGAGTTGGTGTGTGGTCCGAGATGGTGCTGGTGATGGGCAAAGACCGAGCTGGGTGGTGATGTGTGTTGCTTGCTGGTGAGCTCGGAAGTTGGCGCTGCATGACGAGTGGGCCGAAACTGGATGGTCAATGCTCAGGGTTGGCGAACGTTGGATGAGCCAGGGTTTTGTGTGCGACTGATGAGCCAACAACAGAAGAACAGAAGGGTGTTTTAAAGCATTTACCTCAAGGAATAATGAAGACGTAATGGTTTGAGGTGCATTTGATGCTGTACACATGAACATTGCACCGTGTTCTCAATGCCCACCCTAGCATCCGCCCACCACATCACAAAGAAATTGCTGATGTCCAAAGCTCCTGCAGGCAATTCCATATCTCTCACCGAAGATTCAATGGTTTGCAAAGAGACCGAAACACATCCCCCACCGTCCATCTTGAGAACCCGAGGGTATGACACCTAGCGCCAAGTCCCCTCTCTATGAATACCTTATTTCTTATACACGAGCGCAATCACAAGATAAAGCGCTCAAATCCTCACTTGGCAAGACTGTAGATTCCATTTCCCTAACTCTCTCTTCCCGAGCTCTCGTCGACCGCAGGCCGGTGCTTCTTCGGTTTGATGACGAGTAATATTATCATGGCGGCAATGATCAGCAGCAGAAGGAATATAATCTTCCTCTTCGTCGTCTTCTTCTGATACCCCTCGGCTGTTTTAATCTCCTTTTCGGCTTCCTTCACATCGATGGCCATGCGTTCCACGTTGTAGTCGATACGGTCAAGCATGGTCCCTTGATCGATGACCATGGTCTGCAGATCCCGGAAGAGGTCTGCGAGTTCAATGATGCCCTGGGCGATCTCCTCGATCTCCCGTTCGCGTTGGGATATCGCGACGTCATTGGACTGTAGGAGCTTCTGGTGGGTTGGTGCCTGAAGCGCTGACTGCGAATAAGTTCGGTCCGCGTCGGATTCGAGAAGCGACGGATCGGTGTAGCCTCCCCCGGCTAGCGGAGTAGAGCCACGTTCTACTGGACTGGCTAATCCGGCCATACCTCTTAGCTCTGCAAGATAATGTCAGCGTTCTGCCCCAGAGCATTGGATCGCAGGTCGTCCTACTCTTGAGATATGCGCTCTGCTTCTTGCGGAACCCAGCGCTTGCCTCCTGAATCCTCGCGGCGAGGTTGACCTTGATGTTTTTTGCCATGGTCTCTTCCGCACGGCTCATCTGGCCGTTCGCCTTGCCCTCCCGTACCATCTGCTCGATGCGTTGAATGCACCGACGGCAATCGTGAAACCCACGGGTGATCTCCTGCGTCAACCGTTCTATCTCTCCCTCCTCGGCCTTCTTCGTCTCCTCGTCGTTGAATCCCGGCAAGACATGCTTCTGGTGCAGTCGTTCCAGTTTCTGGCTCTTGCTCGCGATGTCGGCTAGCAACTCCGTCACCTCGTCCGACACGTCGGCCCAGCGCGGGGGCAGGAGGTCCATTTCGATCACCGCATCGCCGTCATCCACATCATAGGCACCGGAGGACAGGAGTCCCCGCCTGTCCTCGTCCGCCGCAAACAGCACCCCCGTGCTCGCCCCGGCGCCGCCGAAGCGGTCGCCCGCGTTGGATCGTCCATACCGGTTGCGCTGGGTCGGGTGGTGGGCGTAGGATTGCCGGTACGAGATGTAGCTGTCGGCAGAGTCAGCCCGTCTATCCAATGCTCTATTGTCGGTCAGCGCCCATACAGATTCGTCCGGTCTCGCCACATGGCGGACGCCGGAAGGGGATGAAGATCCCCTCACTCCGCCCGAAAGCTCGCGAATGAGAATTGAGCCGTCTTGTAAGTTGCTGGCAAAGACTGGGCCAAGCGGCATCACATCGTAGCTTGTTATTGAGAATGCGCCAGCTGTCTGCTTAGCTCCGGGCGCTGCGGGACACTGGGTTTCAGCTGGATGGAAGATGATGACGAAGCAGGACAGCATTGCCAGTCGAAGGACATGAGGACAAAGCCGCCGCCAGCTGCGAGGCGCCTGGCAGCTGCTTGAAGCTGTGGGGCGTCAATGCGTGAGCCAATTGAATGCTTGGACTCCTGGCTGGGATCAGTGTGCCAGCGGGGAGCCAGGAGCATGCGAAGATGTTCGAGAGTGCGAGAGACGGGACCCTGCAAAGAGCCGCCAGCCCAGGCCCTCTTTTTGGGAGGAGGGCGCCCCGCATCCCTTTCTTGAAATCTCCAGGTTGCGTCTCGTCTCTAAAACACCACGACACAGGTCCCGCAACACCGCTGCCCAAACCATAGCTCTGAACTTCTGCGAAGATCTGCAGCACGACTGCGACTAAGACCTTTCATTCTTTACCTACCCGCACGATCAACCGATCAAAATGGTTAGTCTTGAACTTTGCGATTCTGCTGAGCTATCTCAGCCCCTCGCCGGGACACAGTCGGGCTGCATATATCCATCGTCATTGCACGACGAGCTGACAATGCTTTCAACAACAGGCGGACTCCCTTACTGAAGAGCAGGTCTCTGAGTTTAAGGAGGCCTTCTCTCTCTTCGTAAGTATTGGACTTTCCCGCTATTGCTGAATTCCCCGGCGCGTGCTAACCTCATGATAGGACAAGGACGGTGACGGTCAGTACTCCCAACTTCCGAGCTTCGACCCCCGCACGCCTTAAATTCCCCTTGTACCCGCGACCAGACCCCGGGGGCTCTTAAAGCCCGTAATGCGCAACATGGTATAACGGAGAAATGCTAAAGACGTCATCAGGACAAATCACAACCAAAGAGTTGGGCACCGTTATGCGCTCCCTCGGCCAAAACCCCTCCGAGTCGGAGCTGCAGGACATGATCAACGAGGTGGACGCTGACAACAATGGCACCATTGATTTCCCAGGTACGGACAACGTTCCAACGGGCGGCGACAGGTTGCTGACAGCCACCAGAGTTTCTCACAATGATGGCGAGGAAGATGAAGGACACTGATTCGGAGGAGGAGATTCGCGAAGCATTCAAGGTACCATTTCCTTGCAGATGCCAAATTCCGGACTGATTTAACAACCGTGACTCAGGTCTTCGACCGCGACAACAACGGTTTCATCTCGGCTGCCGAGCTGCGGCACGTCATGACCTCGATCGGTGAGAAGCTTACCGATGACGAGGTCGACGAGATGATCCGCGAGGCCGACCAGGATGGTGATGGGCGTATTGACTGTGGGTCGCCTCATCAGATATCAGACATCAACGTCAATTGCTAACGGTTTTCAGATAACGAGTTCGTCCAGCTTATGATGCAGAAGTAGTAAAGGCCCATCTCCGTCAACCCGGTACCGATGCCGGCTACGAGTCTGGGTCCTCTCTCTTTCGGATTTGACTTTCTACAATTATTCTGGATGGAACCCGGGTGGCTTCTAGCAGCTTGGCGCGGAGGGTTTGATATTTCGCGGATGGAATCCGATTCACGTTTCCACATGCTTGGAGCCGTCCCTTCTCTCAGCCGGGGTCAAGCACTGGCAGATACTAAGGAACGTGACAACAGCAAGCCGCGTTGCCTTCCCTTTTAGCTTGGATGATAATGAAAGCCGTGTCTGCAGAGAGCTATATTCCAGAGGCCGTTATTCGCTCACGACCGGCATCTGCACTTCTGGCAATACACCCGCCAATTCTCCCCGCAGACCATTTTCCAGGTTAGTCGTGGCATCGTTCGTCTCCCAACCATTCAAGTACGTTAGCGGGACGTCACTTCCCGCCCGACCTGTCCTGGCGGCCCAGCCCTATGGAACCCGTGGTGTCAGCCATGCAGGTGGATTGTGGCAGTGCTGGATTAGCGGCACCTTCGCCGCGCATCAACTGCCATTTCGATCTCTGGTACCTTCTCCCCCTTCCTGCGTGTGCGGCGGGATGATTTACCTTCAGCCCTATAAGGATTACGAGCGCTTGGCTGCAGGCCAAGATGGTCGTAAGTATGTAACTTTGCCAGGGCTGAGCTGATGCATCGCAAATGCATGTACTCTGCCTCACCTTCAAATGCACAGCAACACACCGGAAGAATGAAGGTCTGAATAGCACAACAGGACGGCTAGGGTTAGACCGATGTAACACTGAAATGTATGCGCATTTCTTTGCCCATCTAGGTGTCTGAACACCCAGCTATAGGTAAGTCCTATATGTTGGGTACTAGGTTGACTGTGACTTACAGTCAATGCATGAATGCGACGTACTTTCCCTCTGCCAGTGTTAAAGACATCCAAGGTGCCTCCTCCCGAGGACACTTGGCTAGCATGGATGGCGCCAATCCCACGATCCAGGCCATCACGTCGGGCCTTATCAAGGCGGTTCCAGAATTCAGGGACTCAAGAGTCCTCCGGCGCCGACTAGTTGTGGTTTCGGGCATCATTGCCAGTAGAAAACGCTACCAGCAAAAGGGGCTGAGGCGCAGTCGAGCAGGCCCCTGATCGTTGAAGGGCGCCATCGCCGACTCCATTGTGGTGAGCCGCCTTTGTAAGTACGGACTACTTGGAGGCTCCTCTACAATGCTCTTCAAAGAAACTTCAAATGCATCACCGCGTATATATCATCTGGCATCGAATCTCTCCCCGCTGTTTGCTTTCCATCTCACCTGCTGTGTCTTGGCCTCCGCCGCCACGACGACCTGGGTCCAAGCCTCCCGTGATGGCTAAGATCAAGAGCTGTAGGACAATGCCCGGCGTGCCGACGTTGCGCAAGACTGGAACTCGAGAAGTTCGCACCTGGTTGACGGAATAGCGGTGCTGAGGGAAGGAACATGTCATGGACTGCAGCCCTCAGAGGGGAACGCACAAAATCCTATAGACGCCCCCTCGTTTGCCGTCCCTTCTTCGAGAAACCCCGTGTTTTCTGGGCAGGGATAATATGGACGAGCCCAAAGAGAGTGGTTGTACTGAGCCGCCTGGAGTCAACCTAGCATCGCTGCGTGCTGGAGCAGCACCAGAGAAAAGCATTTGATCAAGCTAAAGATCTTCATGAGCGTAGACAATCAACGGTGTCAGCGTCTCGGTATCTCGAGACTCACAAGATAAAGTCTGTTTGAGGTGCCTTAAGTTGGCTTCGTAGAAGGTTGAATGCTTCCCAGTTATGAAGTTGAGATTCGACTCCCCGATTAGGTAAAGGCGAAAGAGAAGCAGCGACTCCACTTCAAGCCCCATCTCTTGTTGCTGCCTCAGGCACCTATTTTACCGCCAGTTGGAGCCAGCTGCCGAGCTGAGGAAGGACGGCGGTGCCACATCGCAAGCCATCTCTGGGGGTTCGTGATGCGGGTAGAGCTCAACGACTGAAACAAATCATCTACCGCATATTCCCGCCGCGGCCGTCCTCAAAAACTGGACATACCTCGCCTTTAGGCCCCCTTGCGGGCCCTGAACCATTCCGATCATGAGCTCCCGTGAGTGTCATGGCCGCCGACTCCCTCTCCAGGGAATGGCAACAATGGAAGCGACTCAGCTAGCAGCTAACCGCTTTTTTCACGCCTCACAGTCAAACAGTTCATTCGCAACGTGCGCGCTGCTAAGACCATTGCGGATGAGAGGGCCGTCATCCAGAAGGAGAGTGCAGCCATCCGGGCGAGTTTCAGGGAGGAGAGCGCAGACCACGGCGTCAGGTACTTATGGGCGGGCAGAACCACTCGGGGATGTCCGGCATGCTGATGGACTGCTTCGCAGGCGGAACAACGTGGCAAAACTCCTCTACCTCTTCACCCTCGGCGAGCGAACCCATTTCGGTCAAATCGAGTGTCTGAAGCTTCTTGCCTCGCCCCGCTTCGCCGACAAGCGGTTGGGACACTTGGCGACCAGCTTGCTGCTTGACGAGAACCAGGAAGTCCTGACGCTGGTTACAAACTCTCTCAAAAAGTGCGTGCGCATTACTTGTGGTGCGCCGGACGCACATGAATATGGGCAACTTACTGATGTCGTGTTGGCTAGTGACCTGTCACACTCGAACCAATATGTCGTCGGCCTCGCCCTTTGCACCCTGGGCAACATCGCCTCCGTCGAGATGTCCAGAGACCTGTTCACCGAGATCGAAAATTTGATATCCACGGCGAACCCCTACATCCGACGGAAAGCAGCCCTTTGCGCCATGCGCATATGCAGAAAGGTCCCAGACTTGCAGGAACACTTCATCGAGAAGGCGACCCAATTGCTATCAGACAGGAACCACGGGGTGCTTCTCTGCGGCCTCACTTTGGTCACCAGTCTCTGCGAGGCCGACGAGGCCGAAGGTGGAGAGGAAGGCATCGTGGATAAGTTCAAGCAGTTTGTGCCCGTGCTTGTGAGGACGCTGAAGGGGTTGGCCTCCTCGGGCTACGCGCCGGAGCACGATGTCACTGGCATCACAGACCCCTTTTTGCAGGTCAAGCTTCTACGGTTGCTTCGAGTCCTGGCCCGCGGCGATGCTCAGGTTACCGAGCAGATCAACGACATCCTGGCCCAGGTCGCCACCAACACCGACTCTTCCAAGAACGTCGGAAACTCGATTCTTTACGAAGCGGTGCGGACCATCCTTGATATTGAGGCGGACTCGGGCCTGCGCGTGTTGGGTGTCAACATTCTGGGCAAATTCCTGACCAACAAGGACAACAACATCCGCTATGTTGCGCTAAACACGCTCGTCAAGGTGGTGGCCATCGACACCAACGCCGTTCAAAGACACCGAAATACGATTTTGGAGTGTTTGAGGGATCCCGATATTAGCATCAGGAGGAGAGCCCTGGATTTGAGTTTTACTCTTATCAACGAGAGCAACGTCCGCGTACTGATCCGCGAGCTGCTGGCTTTCCTCGAGGTGGCCGATAACGAGTTCAAGCCGACCATGACCACTCAGATCGGCGTTGCCGCTGACCGGTATGCTCCCAACAAGCGGTGGCACTTCGATACCATGCTGCGAGTCGTCACACTGGCGGGCAACTACGTCAAGGAGCCGATCCTCTCGTCCTTTGTCCGTCTCATTGCCACCACCCCTGAACTACAAACCTACGCGGTACAGAAGCTGTACGCAAACCTCAAGAAAGATATCACTCAGGAAAGCTTGACGCAGGCAGGCGCATGGTGCATCGGCGAGTATGGTGAAGCACTTCTCAGGGGCGGCCAGTACGAGGAGGAGGAGCTCGTCCAGGAGATCAAGGAGTACGAGGTTGTCGACTTGTTTTCTACCATCCTGAATAGCAGCTACGCCACCCAGGTTACCACCGAGTACCTCATTACAGCCCTGGTGAAGCTTACAACCAGGTTATCCGACGCTGCTCAGATCGAGCGAATCCGCCGCATCCTACAGAACCACCAGACAAGTCTGGATGTCGAAGTTCAGCAACGCGCTGTCGAGTTTAGCAATCTGTTTTCATTCGACCAGATCCGGCGAGGCGTGTTGGAGAAGATGCCGCCGCCCCAAATCAAGGAGGAGTCACGTGTCCTGGGTGAGGCGGCCAGAAAGACGATCAAGGCGGCTAACAGGAAATCCAAGGTCATGAAGCCAAAGGAGGAGGATCTGCTCTTCGACCTCATGGGCGACAGCAGCGCTCCCACGCCAGCGCCGGTCAACGGCAGCGGGAATGCGGATCTGCTTGCCGATATACTCGGCGGTACGACCTCGCCCCCTCCCACCGCCTCTCCTCCTGCTCAATCCAACGTCGCCTCCATCATGGACTTGTTCTCCCAGGGTCCCGTCTCTACGCCATCTCCCGCCCAAAGTGCCGCGGCACGGCCTCCCCCGAGCGCCGATCTCTTCGCAACTACAGCCTCGCCTCCTCCACAGGCAGCAGCAGCTGCCGCATCCGTGCCAGCAGGCCACCCGTGTTACGATAACAATGGTCTCAACATCATCATCCAGACACAGCGGAATGCCGAGGGCACGATCCAGGCCACGGCCCGGTTCAGGAACACGGGGGCCGGCGGTCCGCTGTCAGGTGTCGGGCTGCAGGCGGCTGTGCCAAAGACGCAGAAGCTGCAGCTGTTGAGCATCTCGTCGAGCGAGATTGGAGTGGGCGCCGAGGCGACACAGATGATGAGGGTTGCCGGTTGCAGAGGGGTAAGTTACTCTTGGTTTTTCTTCTTTCTCCCCCCTCAGCAACGCCGTCTCGGAGTGTGTGTCCTGTTTTGTATGCTGACTTTGTTGTTGTTGTAGCCTCTGCGGTTGCGGCTGAGGATAGGATACTCGCATCCTACGGCGGGACAGGTCATGGACGTGGTCAATTGGACGGAACCGTCTTGATAGTAGGGTGTTGGTTAGTCTTGGGAAGGGGAAGGTGGTTTGAGTTGGACGGTGTAACGCACGAGACTTTGGGAGCAACGTGGTTCTTCAAAAGTCAATATACCTCGGTATACCGCTTAGAGTGTTTCTATGATAGCGGTGATGGCGCTCTGCTTGGGGGCTTAGTCTCCCTGTCGTAAATGAAATAAACCGCGAGTGAATGCTGGAAAGGCCGTCTTGTCTATTGCGGAAGTGCTTTGTGTGACAGTCAGAAATACGGACGACATAGTAGGCTACTGGTAGTACCGAAAAGTACCATTCATCGTGAAATTCGGCTCCGGGCTGCTTCCTCGTAAGGTGTTATTTACGCATTTCGGCGTCCGAGCCGAGTTTGGTTCAGCAAGTCCAAGACACCGAGAAGTGGGGCTGTCTGCTTTAACCCCTTCCCCCTTCTCATAGCCTTTCCGTTGGTGCACGAGCGTCTCGAAAGGTTTCCAACTTCAACGGCGTTGGGGATTTTTTCATTCTCATGACTGGAACTACCACCACAAAGGCAACCGGAACAACCCCTAGTTCAGAGTTGGCAATTGTATTGCAGCCTTCGATAGCGCATTCGACTGAATAGCAGAAAGACAAACGCACTGAAATCTGCGCTTGGCAAGCAGACTCTCCACACCTCACCATGTCATCGGTCAAGCGAAAAGTCCCGCCATCCAGTCTATTGCAGCGGAGGGTCAGACCAAGATATGAACCAGAGCCTGAATCGGACATTGAGGATGACGCGAGCGAGTCACCCAGTGAAGAGGGTGCTGGGCCCTCGGCCTCAGATAATGAGGAGGACGAGGAGCTGAGTGATGATGAGTCGGGCAGTGGCAGCGGACGGGTAAGTCTCAGGCACCTCCCTGGCTTTAGTCATGCAATTAGATACTAAGGACAGGACAGGATGACTCAAAATCAGCATCAGGTTCTTCGGAGGAGGAGGAGGGTGATGATGAGGATGACGACACGCCGCACATCGATGCCTCCCAACTGTCGTTCGGCGCCCTGGCCAAAGCCCAAGCAGCCGTGGGCTCCTCATCATCCAAGCGCCAAGGCGACGACAAAGCCAAAGACAAAGAAGACGAGGGATACGGCCACCCAACCAAGCCCACCTTCAAGAAGCCCGAGAAACGAAGTAGTAAACACGCCCCAGTGGAAATGACGGCCAAAAAGCCCGTCTCCCGCAAGCGCGACTTCTTGACGGTCACAGCCGAGACTAAGAAGCCCCAGCCGCGCGACCCGCGCTTCATACCCCTCGGCCCGGGCGCCGGCGCGACCTCTACCACGGGCGGCGGCAGCAAGATTGACGAAATCAAGGCGCGCAAGGCGTATGCCTTTCTGGAGGAGTACCGCGAGTCTGAGATGCAGCAGGTGCGGGAGGCCATCAAGAAGACCAAGGACGCGGCGCAGAAGGAGAAGCTGCAGCGGGCGCTGATGGCGATGGAGAGCCGCAAGAAGGCGCAGGAGCGCAAGGACCGCGAGCGGGCCGTGCTCGAGGAGCACCGCAAGAAGGAGAAGGAGCTCGTGCGGCAGGGCAAGACGCCCTTCTACCTCAAGCGGTCGGAGCAGAAGAAGAGGGCGCTCGTTGAGCAGTTCCAGGGCATGAAGAAGAAGCAGGTGGACAAGGCGATTGAGAGGAGGCGGAAGAAGACTGCGGCCAAGGAGAAGAAGCTGCTGCCGCTGGCTCGGAGGGGCCACGAGGATAGGTAATGAGGGGAGGTACTCGGAAAGCCGATTTTCTCTCTAGGCGCGCTTATCCACAGGCCTACCGTGCGTGTAGCGTTCTCCTCGTCAACAACGAGCACTCGTGGTTCCTCCAGTGACTCTGACGTCTCCAAGGTGCACTTCTCGCAACATTCCAACTATACCTGTGTCAGAAACCCTTGCTCCATTTAACGCGATGACTCTGTTTTAGCCTCATCGGCTATTGGCAGATGTCAGCTCCATGTCTACATGTCGATGGCTGAGCATATGGAGGATATATCATACTGCCACTCTCGGTCGAAGCACGGACACATGTGAAGATGGACTTGTGGTAGGCCACTGAGTTACCGCTTTGCTGGTCGTTGCGGGTAGTGCTGGAGTACCAAGCAGGTTTAGCTTCTGTCAAGCATCTTGAACAGCGGTCAAAGAACAGAAGAGGCGTGCTACGTATTGGAATCAAGAAGAGAACTGTGCTCGCTCTGCAGGCCGTGCGCGGCTTCGCAGCCCAGCGGCTGATTCCAGTTGGCTCACGGTTCTACCACTGCACCATAGACGAGTTTGAGTGCTTTGATGTGTTGTTGAGAGGTGTCCCGAATGGTAGAGCTCCAGAAGGACCCCTTCCGTTGCCAGTCCCCAGTCCTTTTAAGTTCTACAAGACTACTCGGGCAATCAACTGCCCACCGAGTCATTCAAAAACCCAACTGGAAGAGTCCCTTAACCCTGTTGTGTTCGTTGAGCAAGTACACGGCAACAACCACGGCGACCATACGTCGGGACACAGCTCTGTGTCTTGGACGTTTGCAGAGAGTTTGAGCTTTGAGACATACATCTTGTCTCCGAGAAACAAGCTTTAAGTTTGCACAAGTCAGCCCTGAAGTGTTTGAAACCGTACTCTGGAAGCCCCGAGCTTGAATGCAGAGAGCACAGGCACCCGCGTGCTCGGTGTTGCTCCAGTCGATGTACCTCGACTCGTCTGTTTATTGAAAGCGTTAGTTGAGAGGATGACTTTCACATAGCTTACATTATTTTGGCCTGCACTAACAGCCTGGGTGGAGCGGTACTTGCGAGTGATCATGCTGCCTGGACAAAGGACAAACGTGCCATTGCTCCTTCCCAGGACTCGGATCTAGAGCGCTTCCATTCTGAGTCGATCATGTTCCCAAGCTGGAAGAACTCTCCCGTCCTTCTTCCACAGTTCAGTTTCAGAAACTTTGAAAGGCTTGGACTGACGGCCGGGGCAGTAAACACCAGGTACACAATTTTCTGTCGTTTGCTCACACTTACCAATCCACTCCCACGCAAACGGCCGAGTTGGTCCATCGACTTCACTGTGTCCTCGCCGCGTGCCTATTAGCTTACGCGAGAACCCTGGAAGGGCTTGAAGCCTTAGGGGTCTCCCGAAGCCACCTGCAACCGTCCTGAATCGGCAAAGCCCCGCGGTCTTTCTTGCGCTGACAAGTTGGCAGGCCAGTAACGCTGTAAGTACTGATATCTCTCTCTACCTTACTTAGGGAGACCTGATGTGTGCAACAGAACTTTGGTCAGCCGCCTCGGCGATTCGGCTCTCGTGCCGGGGGGCCAGGAGGTCGCCAGTGGAGGTTCTTGATGCTGTGTTGAGATCGACGATGCGGCGACTGCTGATCGGTTCCCAGTTCGTCTTTTTTGGAATTGGTGAACTCCGGCAGGCCAGCAGGATGCACGACAGGGGGTGGTTGTTGAACCCCTGTTTTCGCGGCTGTCGAATCGAAATCGGGTGAAGCGCAGTACCTGACCCATGGCGCCGGGTCTCGTTTCTGCCGAGGGGAGTGACAGCCGATCGATCCATCCTACCTCCTCCGTATTATCCGCGCCGGCGGAGGTTCTCAGCAAAATAGTGGTTCGGGCAAGTATTTGTAGCAGCACCTTCGTAATTTGACGTGCACAAAATATCCAAGCTTTGGCAAATGAGCTCGTTGTACAAGGACATGCGTCCGCCCGAAGAGGAACCGTAACCGAGATGTAAATCAGGGTTTTGGTACGGATCTACGGACGTACATACATGTATATCCGTAGTCGCCGGATGGGCGCCCCTCCCAGGGTAACATGGTCGTCGATCAGCCATGATCAAAATGAGAATCCACCGTTGAAGCGCCTTGCGGGTAACAGCCATTCCGACTCCGTACAGTGCATGTTGCTGCTTCGATTTTGTCTCATCAGTTGTTGAATAAATGGACTCGAGACTGAGTACCTGACGCTTCTTTCTCTCTGCCGTGATATCTTTGTCTCGCACGGCCGGGGAATCTGTGCTGTGTCGGGTCCGCCTCCGGAAGTAACGGTAACGGCCGACCTGTCTTGTACCTTCTCTCTATGCTGATTGGCCTGCCGAGGAAGTGATCTCATCTCGCGTTTGACAAGATCTGAGTTCAATCCATGGCTTGCAGCGGGGCAAGCCTCGTCACATCCGATCCTGCAAGCAATGCTCGAACTGGGATGATACGGAGTACTACGTCGCCATCGCCCTACCAAGTGGCCGAGACATTTGCCTGGGGCCGTTGAGTTCCTGCGCATGATGCAGTGCGGGGAGCGGGCTCAGTGCAACGGCGGTGATGGGCAATGCATCATCCTTTCCTTTTGTCCTCGGCTGCGCCCCTCGAAAAATTGAGGTCGCCGAGGCCAGTTTTTGATGGGCCGAATCGACAATTTGCCAGGGTCTCAAAGGAAGGCGAACGCCAAAGTCGAACTCTAATTGGCTCCGAGTGATTACATGGCGTGTCCCGACAGTCCGTTAGCGCGAATCGTCTCCCCCCGGTTCAGCCTCGTGATTGGCTACAGCTGGTTTGAGTGCCGACTCGAGAAACAAAACGGCTTGCCCTATTCGGCACCCATCATCAACGATATCCTGAACGCAAGCGCAGAGAAAGTGATGGAAATGGCGTGTCTGAAAACTCTCCGAGTACAGCGTCAACGCCTCAGAGCATTGGATAACACCGTCTACTCAGGCTGCTCATTTGGATGCATATGGACTTTTGTTTTGCTTGAGAACTCGGCTGGTCAGGGGTAAGAGAATCGGCTGCGACATCAGTTCGGCATGAGTCTGCGGCTCGTTGGTAACCCGGAGGGAGTTAGTTTTGTTCGATGGCTCGTGCCAAAACCTCTATGCATATTGCATATGCTTGTGGCCTGTGTTGGACAAAAGAAACCGGTATATAGAAGTGGTAAAGCACAACCGCCGGGCGAAGCAGTTAGACCAGCCAACTTTTTCCCCCATTTTGCTTTTCCGAACCAAAATCATGCTGTGTAGCCATATCCATTCTTGTCACTCCTTAACACCCTCCCTCATGTACAACATGGTACAATCATGCTCGTGTCATTTTCCCAGCCCCGCTGAGTTCTTCCAACAGCCGCCAATTGCGATGCCCGTGTAGTGAATGCCGACGTCGTCCGTCCCTTAGGTCCCCTGTTCCAACTGGGAAAAAGAAAGCAGGCGACCAAGAACTCCAAAACCAGCAGCGGAAAATCACCAGCCGTCCTGAGACAAGTGACTTCCCCGAGGATGTCCCCAACTCCGATCATCGGGAACGCCATATAACAACCTTCTATTCCCCTTGGTGGTAGACCCGAAGCCCAAAGTAGAAAAGCCTTCTCCGCAAGGAAACGACCGAGTGAGCAGCAGAATGCACGGTAAACGCTGCCTGTCCAGTGGACTCCCGGCACCTGGCGGACTCCCCAATAATAGTCGAGGTACTATGGAAACACAAGCCCGCTGGAGCACACGGTGCGCTGGACGTTGACAAACTGTCGAAATGAAAATAAAGCATGAGTAATACAGCCCCGGAAGGGGTAGGCAACAGGACGAACGACACCCGAGAGCCAAGCCAGGGTCGACCGGCCGCTCAGGAACTCACTGTAATTGTGTGGCTCAGCGGCGATTGTTGCTAGAACTCCCCTCGCCGCCGCCACCGGACGCGCTGGAAGGGCTGTAAAGGTCCAAACACTCGCCCAAAACTAGCATTGGATAGTCAGCAAATGCGCGCCCATGCGCCGCAGGCGCGAGGTGGACAAGGGAGCAAAGGGAGACGCACTCTCCACGATCTGTTCTTCCCACACGCCATACTGGTAATCCACAAGCCCGTGCCGCTCGATGCTGTCGCACATCCTGACCAACTCGTCGCCCATCTTTTGCAAGCCTTCTTGAGGGACCAGGCTCTGAGGGCGCTGCAAGGGCTGTCCCGCCTCCATCATCTCTTTCTGTTTCTGAAGCAGGGCGAGCCAGGCATGGTTGAAGTCATTCCACATCTTGATTCGCTCGTCGTGTAGTTGCTGGTTATCAGAAGTGAAGCCTAGCGGTGGAGAGAAAGAGACCCCGTCAGCCATGGTCCTATCGTTGGGCCTGAGATAAACAAGCACATGTTCGTTCAAACATACCTAGCTCCACAACATGCGACAAGAGCCAATCCGAGAGTCTCAGGAGGGACTCGCCGGCCGTCGCTAGCACGCCACCCCGGATGTTTCGAAAACACTCCCTCAACGCCGCCATGTAGTTGTTGAACCCTTCCTCGAGACCCGGAGCGGGGTACTCTGCATCCATCCTCACGTCGGCGGCGGGCGTTGTTTGCGAAGCCATCCCTCCAATGGCAGCCATGCTCCCGGCGGAATAGCCATGCAAGCCGGGCTGCTGATATACCTGTGGCGTGCTGGGAGATGCTGTCTGGGCCTGCAGGCCGGGTCCGGCCGCCGCCGCATTGGTTGGCTCGCTTGGAAAGTAAGGGGTCGTGACATCCGTCGCCAACATCGGCAGTCCTGCAGCCTGCCGCGATGGATACTGCTGGCTCGTATCGTACACGGCAGCGCTCTGTGGCCCGCCCGTCTGCTGAACGTTGTACATCATGGCCGGTGTGTACGAGCCGCCATAGCTTTGGGCCGCCTGCCGCGAGTCCGGCTGCCCGTAATCGGCTGTGGATTGGTGGTAGCCCATCGCACCTTGCGCCATCGCCGTCGCTGGGTAACCCGTTGGCGATGTATCCTGATAGTACCCGCTGTAGCCAGTCCCGCCACCCATTCCCCTAGTCCCGGATGGTGTTGTGCCGAGGGGCGCCGGCGCCCTAAACCTCTCTCCTTGGGTTCCCGGGAACGGCCGCCGTTGCTGCGATTGCTCATGCAACGGGTGGTGAGGCCGCGAACTGGGAGGTGGGTAGGTGGGCGGTTCATTCTGCCTCCTTTGGCCCCTGTTGTCGTCCATCCCTCAAAGTCCGAAGCCCGACTCCGCGAGCGAAGTCGCCCTGGCGAACCAATCCTCCTCTCTATCTATGACTGGATCGAATTTTCGACGCAGGAACCGGACTGGGCGGCGATCTTGATATAGAATCGGCAAACCCCCTGAAGATTCTTGACGTCGCGAAACGGCAGCGAATGCCGGCGCGCCCAGTGCTTGCGAAATTGGGGTTTAAATAAGAGTCACTGCAACCGACCCAAACACCGAATGCGAAAACGAGGCCGATTCGAAATGCTCCAGACACGTCGAACTGTTCGTGTTCCAAGTATCACACCGATGAGTCGTTATAGCCGAGCGCCGCGATGTCGCACGTATGGGCTTCAAGCGACCTGGTTTGTTGCGTGCTGTCCTCAAAGATGATGGCTGATACAAGCTGCCGATGGATTCGACCGAGCCTCGAGTCAAAGACACCTTGTTGCCTCGCGAGTCAAAAGTGGGGATGACGAAACTCGACCAAGGCTGGAAGTGACTGGGAAGTGCTTGTTCCCGACTATTAGGGTTGTGTGCAGAGACGGCGCAGAGACGGGAGACTGGGAAACCCTGAATCCAGAGCTCGACAGAGGATTGGAGAGGCGTTGGACCCTCGCACGGATCTTCGGCGATGGACAAACAGGCAGATGTCGTAGTTAAGTGTTCGGAAGGATTCCAAAAGCCGCGCAGTGGTAGTTATTCGGTTTGCCCTTTAGGGATTTGCCAGCATTCTTCGGCTGCGTACCAGTCCCTATTCGCGAAAAGGGTAGCCAGTGCTGGGCGTTTGCCTGCTTGGAGCCGGCGGTAGAAGAGTTTTTGGTGACGGATAGCTCAAGACAGGGGACCGTCGTCTTGTAGAGCGGGCTGGGAACCTGGTTCGTCACTTATACTGGGGATAAAGCGTGTGCTCTCTGCGCAGTCGTCAGCAGCTATATCTGACCGAGTATACAGCTCCGCTGCAACGACGTTCCTCTTGTTCGCGCGGCCAGGTTGGAAAGGAGGATTGAAGAGAAGTGGCCCGCTGCTAAGGACGACGCAGTCCAAGCCTGGACAAGGACCGAAACTGCAGCGAGAGACGAGAGCAACTTGACGATGGCGTGGAGGAAGAATATTTCGCTGGTGGCCGGTGTCGTTTAAGTCTTCTACCAATGCGGAATGGTACCTTGATCAGTTTCGGGGCCGATTTGTTGAACTCGTCGAGGACATTGGCGCCGCCCCGCACAACCGAGCTCCTAGCGTCGCAGACACGTCTTGATGAGCGGACCCGGTTGATGAGCAGTGACTGTTGCTTGGCTCAGACATGGGAGGTGTGTATCGAACGGGTGATTCGGCGTGCCAGTCGAATCCGCCGAGAGATTCACAGCGACACCACCCCACCTTTCGAGAACAACAAGGAAGGCACCTTGCGCCCACTCGACTGGAAGGGTCGTGCGGATCGGCAACGGGAAGCTTGCCAAGCCGAAATGTCTCGCAGCCGGCGCAGAGCCCGAGGAAGTGTCCGTTGAAGCGCGGGGTTAAGTCGTGACCGACGGGTAGGTTTTGAGTTATCAGACCTTGTCTGAGTGAGATCCGGGAATATCGCTGTGAAAAGCGGATCAAGCGGAAGGTGGATGAGAAGTGTAAGATCGCTAGCCAAGTGGCCCGGGCTACCGGATACAGGCGATGTGTTGCCGGAAGGAGTCTGTTTGCGGATAGCTTCCAAGCCAGCCCGGTGCCTGCTCTGCACTGTCTACCTTATCCCAAAGATGCTGGGCTGGGTGTCTCGACGAGCTCAGTGAGAACGTTGGACGACCACCTCAAGCGTGTGGCCCAGCTGGCGGATATGGTGCTATGGCCTTCCGACTCAGACGCACAGGTTTCGCAAGGTAGCCGCACGGTGTCCACGTTTCGCCGTTGCACATATAAATCTTGTTGAAATTACTGTTATTGTGTGTGTCTGAGGGTTTTTTATCCATGTCCATGCGACTGACCTAGGAATGCGCGGTTGGTTGCAGGCCCGCCTGATCGGGATGCACTCCGATGTGCGTGGCTCGTGGCAGGAGCAGGGCCGATGCCAATCTTGAGATCATGGACAAGGGTTCGAGGCATGAAGAGACATGGGCCCATTTTCTGGGGACGGCCATCGCCGAGAGAGGAGAGAGGCAGCCACCGGGGCGGAAGGCACAGCCAGGCAAAACCGGGCCTCGCTAGTGTGATTCCTGTGAGAGGTTTGGAGGAGCTAAGGAGCTCAAGAAAGGTCTAAATCGAACAAGCGAGCCAGGAGCACATGGCATGCAGGGTCCGGTAGACAACGAATCCCGTGAACAAAGAAAGCAGCAGGCAGACCAAACCTGACCTCTCCGGGTCCTCCTAAGCAATGTGACAGGGTCCAGGCTGTTGCCATCTGCGTCAACAGACATCCATTGGGACCCAGCTGTTATTTGTCGGACCCTTCCTGTTGCTTGCAATGCTCAATTCCACGCAGTCACCTCACTACACCTACCCCTTGCACGTAAGGTCACCAAGCCTGAGGTAGGTATGGAAGGTACTGGTACTTTGCACACTATGGGTTCTCGGTTCAGTCGGTCGCGTCGTGCTGCTTCTCGTATCTCTGCGAACCTGAGACCATTGATTCATGGAGTTGTGGTGTTGCCATGTCTGGCAGCGCTGCTTATGGCGTCCGCCCACTTGCCTCCCTTCCAGTCTATGCTATACCTTTGGCCAAAAGGAGGAAACCCAGCTGAGAGGCCGTGACAAAAGGAAAAGCAAAAGGACCTTACGGCTCTGTACACAGCTGAGGCAGCAATCTTTCAGTCGAGCAACTAAACCGAGACCAATTCTCGAGCCACTCCAAAGCCCTTGACAGTACCTAATGCAGGTACAGGTCCTTCGTCGCCAAGTCCAATACAAGGAAGAGCCGGATGCCCCTGGCTGCTCTCTCATGGCGACGTCAGAATGAGGTGAAAATGTGCGGCAAAGATCCAATCAAGAATTCGGAAGGGGCCCGTCGAATCGTTTGAGCGGCGAAATTTCTTGCAGAATTCTAGAAAGCTTTACCGCCGGCGCTTTGGTTGGCCGAGGTACTCGTACAAAGGGCAACAATGATTCTGGTTGGCAGAGCTTCGTCAATGAAGGACGTCGCTCAATGAACCCAGATCCTTGCCCATGACAAGGATGGGCATGGACTGTCGTCAAGTCAGAGTCGTTGAATGTGCATTGCAGATCCTGTCTGTGCGCAGGTGGGTCCAGTCTCAGAAGCCTGGAGGGCAACCAAGCAAATCTGCTTCTGGAACCTTTTCCATTTGCCGAACAACTTTGTTCTTCTTAGACATCGGGCCCTCGACCGAACCAGGGTCCCGATCCCGTCGCATGAGGATCACATTAGCCGGCAGCCATTCGAGCCATCCCATCTTCGTCAAATCTCAGACTCGCCGCTCACCATTGATCCCTGTTGGTGCGGATATGCTCTAGATCTAACCCGATCCCTCTACAAGACACCATACTTTAGCTGGCCGTGTTATGGGATTGCAGAGACCGTTCTCCCTCGCGCGCGGAGCATGGTCTCGACGCTTGACCGACGTCTTTGACGTGGCTTGGCGTAACGGATCAAATCTTCAATACCGGGGTCATTTCGTAGAAGCCCAGGCCCAATCGCATCACGTTCAGCTACACTAGCGGGACAAACCCGACATTGGAAGGGACATGGTAACTTATAAACGGCAGTGCTGCACTGCTGCAGGTCTGCAGTTCACGTGTTGCCCAGTTAGGGTAAATCGACCGGCCATATTCGGAGATCTCAGTCTCAGAAAAGCGACCGTTATTAACATTTGTCGATCGTCTGATGTGAGGCTAACGGTGTCGTTTTGGCATTGTCGGCCAAGTCGGAGTTCCACGGCCGACCTGTGGAGTGCGACAGAGATGGTGACTGTCCACGGAGACAAGCTGCGTGTCAGGCTGGTCAACGCGGCGGCCAGCGTACAGCGAAGATCTAATCGTTTTAGCTGCCAAATCTCCAGGAAAGAGGAGAACCAACCTTGTAGCTGCCGATATATTGGTAGAGATAAATCTACTTCCACTCCGAACCGCTAGCCGGCGCAATGCCATAACAGCAAACCTCGCTCGGGTAGGCATACACGGCCTATCGCTTCCAGATGGTCGCTCTGCGATGACACGTCTCATTAATGCAGAGTCGTACCCAGAATCCCCAGACCAGATGTGTAGCCGGGCGCCGAAGGACTGCCCAGCTCATGCTTCTGGCAATGGAGAGTCTAACATCATGGTGCCGCTTACCGCTCTGATTCATGTCTTGGAAGGGAGTCCTTTGCATTCCCGCCCGTGAGAGCTAGTTGCGGGCACAGAACGAGTCCGCGGGCCTTGAGCTCGTCGACGAAGGCGTTGGTATCGCAGCATAAACAGTGTCGTGTTCCTCGCCCATATTTCGTACTGCATATGCAGAGTTCCCGGATCCTCGTTGTCAACGGCGGCTCTGACAGCACACCTTCCCACCCACTCTGACCATCTGAGACCGTTTTCAAGCAGCCTGGCCTAGGCGTTCAATGCCGCATTGACCCGCCTCGAACCCTTTCTGTCGAGAAGCGAGGACAAGTCGGGGTCAACTCGGTGACGGATGTGGACCTTGAAAAAAAAAAGCAAGCTCGATGCCTTGTATTGTACAATCATTTGTGATTCGGTTGTTACAGAAACAGTGCTGACAACAAGGAAAACATGGACAGTAACCATCTCTAGGGGGACCTGCTAGGGAGACCAGGTCCATGCAAACCCAAAAGCGCACAGCGGCCCGCTTGGCCAGAACTATCTCTTGACCCATGTAGGTCCCTTTCTGGCCTTGACACGCCCATGCTTCTTCCTCTCCACTCTCCTTGGGTCGCGGGTGACACAGCCGGCTGCAAATGATGGTTAGCAGGGTCCTCAATGCGTCGAACAGACACCCCAAAACAGCTGGTTGCTCACCTTTCCTCAACGCAGGCTTCAGAGCAGGCTCGTGGGCTATCAGAGCCTTCGCAATCGCCAGGGTGAGCGCTTCCGCCTGACCGGTGGTGCCGCCCCCCTCAACTCGTGCCCACACATTGTACTTGTCAATGCGATCCGTCGCATGCAGAGCCCAAACCGCGCTTTCCCTGTCATGCACCCGGCCAAAATAATCCGCCAGCGTCTTTCCGTTGACCAGAACCTGGCCGTCGCCCTCAACAACAAATGCCCTAGCCGTTGAAGACTTGCGCTTGCCAACTCCTAGCGCTCGCCCAAACTTGTCGATGGGTATCGGAGCAGGGCGATTGAGGAACCCCTGCACGTCTCGCTTGAAGTCCTCGAGCGCTTCCTTCACGATATCCGGTTTCAGGTCGGGGTGGATTTGATGCAACCTCTTGAGGATCGCGAGGCAGTTGACGTAGTCGGTTGCCTTCACCGGCTCGCCGATCGACCGCCTAAGATCTGGCAGGCTCTTCCAAACAACCTGCTCCGCGTCGGCCGGTGGAACCACGGGAAGATTGCTGTAGGTCCTGGCCAGCTTGTCGAGGGCGAGATAGCGGTCGTTGAAGGTCGGCGTACGCGAAAAATACGACGCGGACACGGGGACCGCGCGGGCATGTTGGGCGATCCGGTAGCGCTTAGCCAGTTGTTTGATGTCGATCTCTTCGGCGGCAGTGATGGAGAGGCTCGTCTCGGCCGGGGCCGGCTCGGTGGACAGGCGTCTCGAGCCGCCGTTCAGCCGTAGGGACCAGAATTGCTGTTCGAGCGGTGGCGGCCTCTTGCCATTGAGTGTCCTGGTGACGCCACGAAGGGCAGAGGTAAACCCTTGTCTTGAAGAAGCCATTATCTCGCACGGGCGTCACCCGTCGTCATTCTCGCGGTCGCGTAGGAGAGTCGTCGGCCGGGATCAGTTTTGGCTGTGGCGGAACAATCCGCAGCAATTTTTCCAGACCCTCAAAGGGGAGGAGCTCGAGCCGGATTGCGGCCCGGTCGCGGGCCTCAGCCTCGCAGTCCATTTAGGAATGGGCTGGCGTTGGAGCTTGACAACAGTAACCCCACCTCAACTACCCCGCCACATAAATTTTCTGAAATCACCTTTCCCGCCCATTGGCAGCTTCCTTTGCCCGACACCCTCCCTCACGAACCATTCCAGTTTTCCTCCCAGATCGGTATTGCATCGCAAGCAAATATGGCGTTCGGAAAGCTCTACACCTACGCGGTATGTTATGGGGTCCTCAAGATGTGCGCACTTTGTGGGCTTCGCTGACTTGTTGGGATTCAGAACAACTCCCGCTCCACGGCTATCCGCGCCGTTGCGAAGGCCAACGGCCTCGAGCTCACGGAGGTCGAGGTTGATACCAAGAATCCGTCCGAGGAATTCGTCAAGGCCAACCCCATTCACAAGGTCCCGACGTTCGTCGGCGCCGATGGCTTCGTCCTCACCGAGTCCATTGCCATCGCGGTCTACGGTACGTTGCGTCATCTCACTTTGATGTGCTGCCCAATGCCCCGCTCTCGCCATGCCATCTTGGCTCCCATGTTGCCTCGCCCACACGACAATGATGACCGAGACATTTCAGTAACAGTTATCCCTATCTGAAAACAACGGTGTTGACTTAGTTCTAACTTCTGACTGTCTGCCTTTTTTGCCTGGATTGTTACTGCATGTGCGTTTGTGAGCTCGGTGCTGACAATTAGACAGTCACCTCCCAGAACGAGAAGACCACCCTACTCGGCAAGACCAAGCAGGAGTAAGCTCAGATGTCTGACTTTTGAAGTGCCTTCTTGCTAACAGTGCCGGTAGCTATGCCTCCATCCTGAGATGGATGTCCTTCTTCAACAGCGAGGTGCTGCCCAAGCTCGGCAGCTGGTTCAGCCCTCTCCTTGGCAAGGAACCCTACAACAAGAAGTCCGTCGAGGACGCGCAGAAGGCCACTCTTAGGGCCATTTCGGTCGTCGAGGCTCACCTCCGCGACAACACCTACCTCGTGGGTGAGCGTATCACCCTCGCTGACCTTTTCGCCACCGGCCTCATTGCCCGCGGCTTTGAGTTCTTCTTCGACAAGGAGTGGCGCCAGAAGAACCCTAATGTCTCGCGCTGGTACGAGACCGTCTACAACCAGCCCATCTACTCGGCTGTTACCCCCGAGTTTGCTCTTCTTGATACCCCCAAGTTGACCAATGTCCCCCCCAAGAAGCCTGAGCAGCCCAAGAAGGAGGCTCCCAAGCCGGCTGCCAAGCCCGCGGCCGAGGAGGAGGAGCCGGTGGAGGCTCCCAAGCCCAAGCACCCTCTCGAGGCCCTTCCTAAGGCTTCCATTCCGCTCGATGAGTGGAAGCGCCAATACTCCAACAAGGACACCCCCGAGGCCCTCAAGTGGTTCTGGGAAAATATGAACTTCGACGAGTACTCGCTCTGGAAGGTTGGGTACAAGTACAACGATGAGCTCACCATGACTTTCATGTCCAACAACCTCATCGGTGGCTTCAACAACCGCCTGGAGGCATCCCGCAAGTACCTCTTCGGCTGCGCGTCCGTCTATGGCCAGAACAATGACTCGGTCATCGAGGGCGCGTTCGTCATCCGCGGCCAGGACTACCTGCCCGTCTTTGACGTCGCTCCCGACTATGAGAGCTACGAGTTCACCAAGCTCGACCCTACCAAGTCCGAGGATCGTGAGTTCGTCGAGGCTCAGTGGTCTTGGGATAGGCCCACCACTGTCAACGGCAAGGAGTACAAGCATGCCGCCGGCAAGGTCTTCAAATGAGTTAAAAAAAAAACATCAGGAGCATCACGGGCCGGCAGCGGCGGTGTGCTAGACTATGGGATATGACTGATGATCGGGAATGTACGGGGGATCGGGACGGGTTCGGATCCGCTGGTGGTTTATTGTGCTTTGTTAGCTATCACCGGCAGTCAAGTCGAGCATGAATTGAGCCGACAAAATAGACACTAGGTACCGCATCTGCGGGGCCTCTTGCTGAATGAGAATCAATGTCCCTCCTTGGTGTACCTAACGCCCAACAAAATCCATCGGAGACTGGTCCTTGTCCTCAATGCCAGGGGTAATCGGGTGTCTCTACACAACTCCAAACTTATAACAACAGTGTTGAACTTGTAACCCAAAAAATGCTCTCTCCATCTCTCTTTTCTCCCGCCCCTAATTCTTCTCCTGAATAACAGCCACCGGCTGTCTACCGCGCATCGTGAAGGGCTTGACTCTGATGTAGGTGCTGACGTCTGTGTACATGGCCAGGGCGTCGAGATAGTCCTCGACCAGCGGCAGCACCTGCGGATTCTCCTTCAGGTCGCCCGCGAACTCGGGCAGCGTGACGGCATTGTGCGGCTCGCTGCGCGCCTTCTCGGCGCTGTCGTCGATCAGCACCGTGTTGCCCTGGTCCCAGACGGCGCCCTGCGCCGCCTGCGGGTGCGAACCGCCCACCACGGGGTCCTCCCACAGCCGCGTCAACCGCTTGTAGCACTGCGTCCGCCGGTTGTAGTCGTCGGCGCTCAGGCCGAACCGGTCGCGACCCCAAACCGCGACGACGCGCGACAGGTACTCGGCGGGCAGGAGCTGCTCGCACATGCGCCTGACATTTTCGGGGCGCGCCGACGACCAGATGACGACGTGGTGCTTGTCTATGCAGCGCTGGAGGAAGGTCTTGGCGAGGGGCCGCTCGACGAAGCTGAAGGCGTTGCGCTTGTGCGGGCGGTAGAGGAGGGTGCCGTTGAGGTCAATGACGACGAGAATCGGTTTGGGCTTGTCCAGGCGGCAGGGGACGAAGGAGGCGCAGCGGAGGTATTCGTCCGTGGGGTTCGGGATGCCGCCTGACGCGGCGGACGGGGCCGAGATGGCGTCCCGCTCGTTGGAGGTGGGTTCGCGCCGGTGGTTGCTGGGATTTACTGCGGAGGGCGGGGCAGGTCTTTTGGTGGCCTTGGCCTTGTTGGTGTTGGGGTTCGTGTTGACGCCGGTAGTGGCAAGGTTGGGAACCTGGGAGGGGTGGTTAGGACGCAATGGCCGGATCGGAAGGGAGGTTGAGATGGGTGCCCCGGCGTTGAGGGCATTGTTCTGCCGAACCGGTCTGGTGGCGCCAAAGGGGCCAACGGCCTGGTTATTCATGGGAAAGGCCAGCGGCCGATCTTCTGGAAACGTCCATGTTGGCGCAGGCGGAGGTCGAGGCGGTTTTGGAGAGGTGGCTGCTCGCCGTCGTCGGTTACGCGACGGCCTGTACTCTCTGTCGTTCGCATCATCACGCCAATTCCCGCCATCAATCTGCCGATTCTGCTGGCTGGTCCGAGGTGGACCGAAGGGGGACGCTGGTCGATAGAAATCGCCCTGGCCACGGCTTCGGCCCTCGTTCTGTCGACGATTTGGGCTGACTTGAGGAAAAGGGTCCCGAGAGGCTGGCTGAGCGGACGTCCCTTGGCCACCAGGGTCTCTCCCATCATTCTGCGGGCGAAACTGGCTAGCCTGAGAGAAGGCGGGCTGAGGCATGGGCTGGGTGAAGGGTGCGCCACCTCGGCCTCTGCCGTTAATCTGCTGACGCTGCCGGTTTGTTTGGGAGAAAGGATGTTGGGATGTCGCCTGATTCCAACTAGGATTGAAGTTGAAAGGCGGGTTGGATGGCATGCCAAAGAACGGGTTGAAACCCCGCGGCATTGGAGGAGCGTACCCTCCCTGCCCGTGTTGGCTCCAACCCCAGGGTTGAGTTGGGTCCATGGTCGCTGGCTGTATAAAAGAAGTGACCCTAGAGAACGGGTTACTTTCAACGGAGGATATCCTATTCAGAAGAATGTCTAGCTTCACCCAGCTCAGACAAGACCCTCCCTCTCCAGAAAGCGCTAACACTGGTCAATGATTAGTGACTGATACAACAGAAGGAGGACTGCTTGCGTGTACTACCTCACTGTATCTGTGATTGCTGTCCTTCTGGGAGAACCCGGAAACTGAGGCCGAATGGTGACCCCTTGTGAACAGCTATGACTGAGTCTCTTGGATAATCGACAGGCTGCCCAGGTTGGGTTTTGATGGTATTAAGTATGAAGGTACGCGCCGGACATTGTTTAGCGTGATGAGCTGGTTGTATAATAAGAGATGATATCAGTGACTTCTTGGATGGAGCAACAAGGTGCGGTGAAAAGAGAGGCGAAAGGGCGGTTTGTCGTTTTCTCATTTCAGAAGAGTTTGTTGCAAAGGCTGTGGTGCCTGATTTGCCTCCTGCTTTGGACCAACCGCGGTTCGACAAGATTTTATGTGCATCGATCAAACGGACCACAGTTTCAAGCTTTTTTTCTGCTGGAATCTGGCGGTTCATCTGAACATGTCCCGTCTCATCACACATGAGAAAGGAAGGGGGGCTTGGGTTGGAATCAAATGAAATTCTGCCCACGTGACAGCGCCTGCCCCTCGCCATATATAACCCTGATTTTGACCTTGAGCCCTGATATTTTCCTCTTGACCAGCGTTTTTAACGCATTTCTGCCCAACGCACTTCAGCACCCGTCAGGTCATTCATCTCGAATGAGGTACACAGCAAGCCGGTCAGAGTTGGGTCCTGAGCCCTCCAAACGAACGAGTACTTGGTTACCGATACACGGTAAGCACAGGCCGTCATGTGGATTTGAGACTAAATCACCATCAAGAAATCCTATTTTTCATTGCTCCTGGCAAGGCAAGCCCGGTCAGATTGTCGAATGAAACAAGAAATATCGCTCAATTATTCGTATAAGGTTCGAAACCGAAGAATATGCCACCAGCGCCCAGAAACGCCTCCGTCATGCAGCAGATATCCTCCGAAATACCGTCATACAGTCTCACTGTCTCTCTCTGTTCTCCAGCCGCGGTCGCGATTTACTTGGCATAGAACCAATACCTATCGCTTTCTCATCAGCACATGTTCTCTGATTTGGTCAAACACCCCGTCCAAAGAAAAGATGGCACTTACTGCGTAGAATACTGCACCTCGAAACTGGCGGGCATGCCCTCACACGTCGCCGGCGCGCTCCCGCCGACCGTCGTGAGGCGGTACACCTCCTGCAGCCCGCCGGTGGCGCCCTGCTTGGCGCTCAGCTTGAGCCAGGGCACAGCGGCCTCGCCCTGCAGGCCCCGCGGCGCGTCTTGGGGCGCGGGCGCGCTGCCGGCCTTGCCGCAGGGGATCTCGCCGAGCTTCCAGGCGGACGAGACGTCGAGGTTGAAGAAGGGAGTCGTCGAGTCGGTGAAGAAGTGCACACCGCTGCGGGCGAGGTTGGAAGGCGAGAGCTTCTGGAGCGTCTCGCTCTGCGCCAGGTCAAAGTAGAGCGCCGCGCGGGTCAGCGCCGCGGCGAGTTCCGGGCTCGTCGCTACAGCGCACGAGGCGTTGAAGAGGGTTGCTACGGCACCGTTGGCTTTGGGGGCTTCTCCGGGAGTGGTGGGGTTGCAGGTGTAGTTCTGGGTGCCGCGGCCGATGGCGATGTGTTTGAGCGTGAGGCCCTCGGACGGTGCCGGCATGCTGGAGGCGCCTGGGAGGCTTGTTAGTTTGATGGCTTGACAGAGGGTCAAGAAGGCGAGGGCCATGTTTACCAGCTGGGAGAGAAACACCCGAAAGGTCGCACACCGGTGGGCCTGCCCGTGACCGACTCTCTTGGACTTTGGACGCCAACAGGTTGAAGTACTCGGAGACGCCCTCGATCTTGTCGACCGCGGTGATTCTGGGATAAGCAGGCGCACCCCATACGGAGGCTGCTAACGCCGAGACGAAGAGCAGTGAGGCGTGCATTGTGTTGTGATTATGTCTTGTCGTTCGTGGGAGGTATATTTGGTGATCGCTGATCGTAGATTGGTAGATGGTATTGGTATCGAGAAACCCAGCAAGAAACCCAACAGACCCAGAGCAAGATCAGAGAACGAGGAAACAAGGAAAAGCTAGGAAAAGGAAAAGAGAAGCCGATCCGGGAGGGATCCGGGGAAGTCGGCCGCGTGGTATATACTAGTGGAGTTGTGGTACAGAGAACAAGATGAGCACCTTAAACCAGAGAGAGGCGGGATGGCTGTTATACAAGGCTCCGACGCCCAGCCGCCTCACCTGCTCCCCGGGAAACAGTCGTCCCGTCAAAGGCCTGCTCTCCCACGGCCGAATGCACATGCTCGCTAGTCCGGCGGGCAGCCGCCGAAGGAACAGCAATGGCGGCGGGAAGCGGTCCCTGTCTGGGGGACGCTGCGATCTGACTGGCTGCTCGATTTGGCAGTCGACGTTGGAGGGGTGTCCCTGTCCATCTGACCCAGGGCAAGCGCCGTTCTCCAAGGGCCTTTCTTTTCGGTGCACACCCTCCCCATCTGAGGTGTGCTAAATGTTGATGAATGGCGCTTCATACGCATAGAGTTGACACTACAAACTTTTGAGTTTTGAACTGTCTCTGTATGGTATCACGACTTTGAGACTTGGGGATCATGGCCCAAGCAACCTGAAGGTAGGACAAGTTCAAAACTTGGAGGATGGACTCATGTTGGGGACTCGATAGGCTGAGACTATCAGAGGAAGCGGTTAGATACAGACTTGTGGCACTATGCCGCTGCAATTGTAGTGAGACGCGGACGCAGAGATGCTGACTTCGGAACGACACCCTGATCCTCCATGGCAACGTCAATGCCCTTATTCTTTGTGTCCTGTTGTTTAGGTCAAACAGATGCGCTTGTTTAGCCTGTAGATCTCCCAGCGGCCTGGGTCAGTCAACCACATCAGCATGAGGAAACAGACTTTGACAGCATCATCGTGAGTGATAACCACTGATGAGTGTGGGGTGGATATATCAGCTTGCAGAAGAAGATGGGATGAGATGGGTTAATTTCCTTGCTTTTGGCAGAATTTAGCCCACAAACTACCGTGTCTTGATTGGTTAGGTCTATTTTTGCCCACATTCTTTGCCGCCCCCAACCATCGTGTTTGCAGCGTCTTAACCGCCCGCTGTTAGTCGAATGTTGATCTCGCCAGATTGCAGATCCAGATCGCGTTCTGCAACCCACTCTTGCACGAGGCGGTGATGGTCGTAGAAGCTTCCTCGGCTTCCTTCAAGAAACAAGCTGCCGGCAGCGGAACTGTCAGCATCCGCTGCTTTTCTGAGACCTGCGAAAATTGAATGAAGCAACCTAATTTCCTTTCAGGTCGTTCATCAGCATCAGTTAGTGAGTGCGCTTGACCTTGCCAGCTGCGCTGCCGGAAGAAGCCGTCCATTTGTTTACAGGGCTTGCACTTCTGAACATCAAAAGGCCCCACCTAACCTTAGCCGCGGACAAACAAAGCTTGGCCTCTTGGCAGCGCACAGGGTCAAATCCCCATCGAACCTCCGAGCTGCTGAACGACTCCATGCCCATTTCCCATGTGGCAACCCTACCGGCCAACGAGCCAGCTGGGTCCGACGGTTAGGCGCTGGCCACCCGCTGCGGCCTGGCCTCTCTGCTTGCCTACCTATCCTGCGGTTGTGTCTGGTTCTTGGTTCCACTCCCACACCTCTTGTGGGCGCCTGGGACGGTGAGGGCGACACGCAACACTACGTCAGCGCTGGCTTGCCTCGACCTGACGGTTCGAAAGGTATGTACGGTCAATATTACTTAACACCCCTAGGGCACAGCGGTGTAGGAATATAATAATATTACTTAACACCGTGGCCGCCGAGAGCGTTGCATCTATGGGTCTGGGCGGCACTCAGACTCCTGTTAAGTTAGAGAATCAAGATACTGTTCTTGTTGACAATCACCGGAGAGCGCTACTGGGACCCCTGGTCCGTTTCTCGCCTTCAACTCTTCATAAAGTTAACACCACCTCGTAGCTCAAGGACTTGTGGTTCCACGCGGGTAGACCCGGGGCAGAGTTGTAATGATTAATAAGACTGGAATCACTGCATATTCTACTAGTCAGATGGAAATATGACTTCTGCAAACCTGAACTTGCCGATCCATAGCTAAGCTCTTCTTCTTTACCAAGTATCCTTCAACCAAGCCTCAGAGGTTGTCCTAATTCCCTTCTCTGCCAACAACTTCATAACCCCAAAAGGCATGAAATGCGATGTACATGGCAGTCGCCGGATACGGACAAAACATGGGATCAAAAATGAACTCCAGCCCAGCCAATCCCCGGACCCATCTCAGCAGCCGCCCACCGACACGGCTGGTCGCCTCCGCTCGACCACACTTCGTCCCGCAATTGCAGGATGGCTCCAGTCCGGTGAGCCACTCACATGCCTCCATGGTCAAATATACCCGTTCACGCACCCATGCCCATCTCCCAGGACCCGCGCTCACGTCACGCACAACCACATGTAACCCTCCCTCTAGGAACACGACACCTCTCACCACAAATATTAGACCTGCCCTGTTTCAACCCACCCTATCCCAGCTCCACAACGCCCTTACGCTCACCCACTCAACCCATCCTTCTCCCCGACCCGCGCAGCATGCGCAGCCATAGCCGCCGCCGCCCCGCCGGCCAGAATGTGCCGGTCCGCCTCGGCGGCGGCCATCGAGTACAGCGAGAAGAAGACCAAGAGGTGCAGCGCGACACAGTACGCGGCAAACAGATTCCTGCTGGTCCGCGTGGCCAGCACCATGCGCGTGACCGTGTAGACCACGCGCTCAGGCAGGCTCATGCGCTTGTACGCGCGGGCCGACTCACGGCCGCGAAAGGCGGCAAAGGGCGACAGGTTGGACTCGTACGCCTTGCGGTAGCGGTCTAGGGACGGTATGCCGCCGCCGGCGGCGGTGGCGGTGGTCGGGGAGGTGATGGAGACGGAGGAGGGGTTGGGGTTGGCGGCGAAGGCGGACGAGGACGACGTCGTGGCTGCGGTCCCGCCGGCGGCGCGGTTGTAAGTGGATACGTAGCGCGTCTTTTCGTAGAGGTTGAGGTTGTCACGCTGTAAGGCGGCGATCTCTTGCCGGAGCTGGGACACGGTGCGGTGCGTTTCCGAGAGCTCCTGCTCCAGCTGGGCGTTGCGCTTCTTGAAGCGGTCCCGCTGGGCTGTGATCATGGGCAGGATGCCCGAGCCCCCGCCCATCGGCCTGTCGTCGGCTAGGTCGCGAGGGTTGAAGCCGCTGATGATGGACGAGGTAGGGGATGTTCGCCCTCCCTTGCGACCGGGCGCTATGGACGGCGCGTAACGGCTTACGTAGGTGCCTGCGACGGAAGCGCCTGAGGGAAAGGGGTTGGGAGCCTCGGCTTGGATGGTCGAAAGCTCGTTTTCGAGCTTCTCGTTGAGGTTCTGCGATTTCTCAAGCTCGGCGTTTGTTCGAGATAGTTCTTCTTGCAAGTTCTGCAGTCTGCTCTGCAGGTCTTGACGTGACACGCGCAAGATGGTGAGCTCGTCGCTGAGCTTCTTGTTGCGGGAGAGGAGTAGCTGCTCGAGTGTGTCCCCCTTGCCCGCGGCTCCAGCTCCGTCCTGGTCGTCGGCGGCATCACGCCTTTCGTCATCTTCTCCCGCCGCAAACTCGATGCTCTTGAGGACATCGAGTTCCTGTTTGACTTCGTCGTAATCGCTCCACTTTTGCACCTTCGATTTGAGGCTGTCCCTTTCCTTCCTGAGCAGCCCAACCTCTCTTTCTAGCCCACGGAGTTTAGCATCCCAATCCCTTTTCAGACTCTCCTTTTCTACCCTTGCCGCGTCAAGTTTTCGGATGAGAGACGAGTTCTCTGACCTCACCCGCATATAGCCGGGGTCATCCTCCAGGTTTATCGAGGGCTGAGTCGGCACTTGTGACTTGGCTTGTGCCAGCTCAAGGCGTAACTGTTCGTTGCGGGCCTCCATCTCTGCGAGCCGTGCACTGGTGCGTTCCAGGTCAGAGTGCACCATCTCCAGCTCGGCGCTGGTGACATGCCCTCGGCTTTCCTCTGCATCGTCTGACTTTCCCAACCTCTGATTAACCTCGTAACTAGCCTTGATTTCGTTGAGCAGGCGATCTTGGTTCTCAATCTTGTCCGCCAGCGCCTTTTCCTTGGCTGACCAGTTGCCCTTATTTTCCTCGAGCACGGCGGTCCATGATGCCTCCACCTCCTTGACCCTGCTCTCGAGGTTCTCCTCCAGCTTCTTCCTCGTGTCCCGTTCGGTCTGTAGCCGAGACTCGGTATCCTCGAGCTGACTCGTCAGACGGGACACGTTCTCCTGCAGGTGTTGGTTCTCTTCAGTGAGCTTGGGCAGTGTGTCCTCCGAGAGGAGCATCGAATCTACCGAAGCCTCGAGTAGCGGATACGGATCTGGCGCCTCAGACAGCGATGTGTATGCGTGTAAGAAGGCCGAGTTGACCGACTTGGAGTGGTTCGTCAGGAGGTCAATGAAGGTTTGGTAGGCTGTGACTGGTCAGCGGGATGCGCTTGGTTCTGATGGTTTGGCTCAGAGTAATACCCTTGAGCAACCCCTTGATTTCTGTAAGCTTGCTTGCATCATCGAATTTGCGGAAGTCTTTGGTTTTTTGCGCTAGGTCCTTCCGCTGCACCGTCGAATCTCGCTGAAAGGCCACGATTTCGGATGCGGTGTTGTCGAGGCTCGAAACGAGCGCCGTAAAGTCGAGATCTAGGCGACGAGGGTGTCAGAAGAAAAGCCCAACTATCCAAATGCTAGTGAGGAATGGCTCACTCCTCCATTGTGAGATGGCGTTTTGAAACTTGTTGGCTGTTCCTGCGCCGGCACTTTCTGAGCTGATTCTCTCGGCCATTGCGTCGTTGATGCTCAAGCGCTCCGGGGGGATGCTACCGGGGACGGCAATTGGCCCAGGGGTGTGGTGTGAATGTCATCAACCTCGTTGGTGTTGGATGTATTAATTGTGATAGGTTTTTGAGGTTTCGGCAACGTTGAAAGGCCCGCGAGCCGACACGAAGCTGTCAAGGTGGCCGCACCAACAGCGCCAAGACGCGTCCCCTGGCCCTTTCAAGCTGCAGCTTGCCCCCATGCTGCGGTCCGGCTGAGTGGGGCAGGTTCATCAGCCTAGACCGCGGGGTGCAGGGGCCAACAACCAAAGCAGCTGCGCTGCCCTGCGCTGCAGTGTCGTGGAGCTTCCAGGTCCTTGACCTTCCATTACCATAACACGGTGCCGGATTCTCCTCTCCCAACGGCCGTGGACGACGGGACAAACAACAGACGCGCCCGCCATTAGGTTCCCTTAATCGGCCCCGGCGCCGCATCTTCCGGTGATCCACAATCTGCGGCCAGGCGACAATGGTTCGGGATGCGCCATGGCATCCGACCCTCAGAGGAAGCACGGCAGGGCAGCGGCAGCAGCAGGAGTAGCAGCAATCCCCGGAGCCCGACCCTATGCATTGCGCCCGCTGCTTCATGACGTGCCCCTCTCTGCAGACGGCAACAACGAGGATGTCAAGATAAACTGCGTCGATTACTATGGTATGCGCGCGTAGGCACAATCCTGGCTGGGAAGCACGCTGACCATGATCCTTAGATGGGAACCTCTACGTCGGCACCAGCGCATCTGAGCTCCTCCACTTCTTCCGCATCCCTCCCGATCCCAGCGACCCTAGCGCACCGGCTACCTTTATTCTCGCGTCACGATTACCTCCAGTGTATTCCGAGCCCGCCGGCGGCGTCAACGGTTCGCGCCCGGGTGTGCAGCAGATACTCCTCCTCCCACGAGTCGCTAAGGCCTGCGTTTTGTGCAATTGGACCGTCACCTTCTACTCTCTGCCCGAGCTGAGCCCCGTATTTGGTGCCACGCAGGTCAGAAACTGCAACTGGATAGGCGGAGTGGACTTGAATGACGGGAGCAATGGAGGAAACGAGAGGTCAGCTGCCGTGACGATCCTCCTGTCACTAAACCGCCGGATACAGGTGGTCAGGATAGGGGAAGAAGATGCTCGGGTGCTCAGGGTACGTCTACTGCTGGCGCCATTCTACGGGACAGCAATCTGATTTGCGTGCAGAAAATCGACTTTGCGGGGAGCACTCTCTCAGTGCGCAGGGACTCGATCGCTTGTGTCGCCGACTCGAGAAATTACGCCCTGCTAGACGTCGACCGCCAGCTCAAGATCCCATTGATGAGCATATCATCCCTGGACGACTCGCAACCTGATGGCGCTTTTGGTCAAACCCAGAACCTTGCCACTGCCCCGGACAGCGGGCTGTCTAGGAGTGCTTCGTCTGCGACAGCCCGCACACCAGCTAACTCCCATGGTCATTCTAGGAGCACCAGCTTAGGAGACTTCATTTCGGGTATGCGGCGGAACGAGCGACGGTCGGGAGATGCCGAGGAACCCGTCTTCCAAGACTCCGACGCACCGCCACCTTCACGGAGCCCAGCGCCAGCAGACAAGCCGTTGCCGGCCCCTCCACCACCGAACTCTACAGACCTTTTGGCCGCTCAGGCAGCTTTACCTCCGCGGACAGCAACACCGCCAATACGGACGACGCCGTCCCCAAAGCCTGGCTCCGTCTTTTTGAAACCACATATCGTATCCCCTACTGCAGAAGAGTTCCTCATTGTCACTGGAACCGGTCCCCTTGACCGGGGCATCGGCATGTTTGTGAACCTTGACGGAGACCCCACGCGCCCTACTCTCGAGTTTGCCAGATACCCCCGTGAAATTGCGGTTGACGGAGGCTCAGCAGACCTATCCTCCTCGGTCCCATCGCTGGGTGCTAGGGAGGAAGGATATGTTCTTGCGTCAATGACCAAGGAGTTTGAAGATGGTTTGCACCATGGCCTGGAGATCCAGCGCTTTGACGTGAATGTAGGCGAGGACGAGCCGGAAAAGTGGTGGCTCGAGATCAACGACGACGAGCCAAAGCAGCCGACAGCGAGCACCCCGATAGGCATCCGGCCGTTGCTACAGAGTGAAGAGATGCTTTTTGAGGATGTTGTCGAGCGACTCTGCCAGAGGCGGTTCTTGCCCTTCAAGGGGCAGCCTGAGACCCCGACTACGTCCCTGAAAAACAGCGATTCCCGGACTGCGCTGTCGCTACAGCGGCTCTCTCAGGAAAGAGAGTTGTTCGACAGGGATCCCGAGTCCGAAGACGAGCAACTACCCCCAAGTTGGGAAGCCACGAGAATCAAAGAGGGCGAAGACTTTGTTCGACGCTTAGCGAAGACGTCTTCGCGCTTGGCTGTCTGGGCTGGAAACAAGATCTGGTGGGCCGTCCGAAACCCATTACTGACGCAACTGGATCATGCTCTAGAGTTGGCTGCTGCCAACAATCAGCATACGAGCTTGAGCAGCGTTGAGACGAGGCAGCAGCTCCTTTCGCTACTAGACGCGATCAAGGATCGCGAAGCCACAACAGAACTCGAGTTCATGACACTGGGTTACATCAAGCAGAAAGCGAGCGTCATGCTCCTGGCGACTTTCCTGGGCTCGCCAGAACCACCCTTCACCGACAGGGAAACGAAAGCGATGGAGGATAACCTGGTCGGCGGGGACTTGGACGCTAGAGTCGTCCTATCTCTGATACCCGCCCTCCGTAACGAAATCGTCGTGAATCGAAGAGGCATATGGATCTATGGGGGTATCAAGAGCATCGTTGAGCGCCACATCGGAGCGGAAACAAATGGAACCCCGGCACAAGGAATCGGCTCCTTGGCTTCCAATGTTCTCCAGTTCCTGAGGCGTTTTCTGTCCGCATGGAGAAAGAAAAAGGGATTCGGCAGTATACCAGACGAGGTGTTTCGGACAGTGGATGCCTCCTTACTGCTGGTGCTGCTGGAACTGGACCAGAGCACGCCCATCGCTCAAACCGGCAAACCCGGCTCAGTCCGAAAAGAGCTGTACGACCTCGTTGATCACGGCGTCGACTGCTTCGACAGAGCAGTCGACCTGCTCGAGTCATACCGCCGTCTCTTCGTTCTCAGCCGGCTGTACCAACATCGCAAGATGGCAGCAGACGTGCTCGCAACGTGGCGACGCATCATTGAAGGGGAAGAAGACAGGGGCGGCGAACTCGGCGACGGCGAGCAACGCCTGAGGAGTTACCTCTCCAACATCAGCAACCAGGCGCTAGTGCAGGAATATGGCATGTGGCTGGCCAGTCGCAACCCCAAGCTAGGTGTCCAGGTTTTCACCGACGAGAAGGGCAAGGCCCCCAAATTCCAACACACCCAAGTTGTCGCCCTCCTCAGGGAGGAGGCACCTGACGCGGTCAAGTACTACCTCGAGCATCTCGTTTTCGGTAAAGGCAGCACAGCCTACGTCAATGAGCTCATTACGTACTACCTCGACATTGTCATCAGCAACCTCCAGACCTCTCCCGCTTCCCGTGACAACATCGCCGCCTCCTACGACACCTACCGTGCTCTTCGACCACCCAAGCCAACCTATCTCCACTTCCTCGCCGACAAGGCCCCCCCCAACGACGAAGTATGGCAAAGCCGCCTCCGGCTCCTCCAACTCCTCGGCGGCGGGCACGACTACGACGCCGCCGCCATCCGCAAGCGGATCGACGACTCCCTCGCCGCCCTCACACCATCACCACCCCAACCCGACGGTACCTCAGTCACCACCAACGGCACCACCACCGCCTCGCCAGAAGCCTCCCTCCTCGTACCCGAATCTATCATCCTCGCTTCCCGCGCCCGGCACCACGCCACGGCCCTGCGCCTGCTCGTCCACCGCCTCGGCGACTACGACACGGCGGTGTCGTATTGCATCCGCGGCGCCGCGGCGCTCACGCCCCCGCAAAACACACGCCGCCACCGCCGCGACAGCGACAGCGACCTGCCGCCGACGTGGGAGGAGCAAACGGGCCTCTTCTGCGCGCTGTTGGGCGAGTTCCTCGCGCTGCGGGACGAGGCCGAGAGGGTCGAGCAGACGGGCGCGCTGCTCGAGCGGTTCGGGCCGTGGTTCGACGTTGTCGAGGTGCTCGAGCTGGTGCCGGAGGGGTGGGGCGTCGAGGTGGTGAGCGGGTTCCTTGTGGCGGCGCTGCGGAGGCTGGTCTGTGAGCGGCGTGAGGCCATGGTGGAGAGGGCGCTGAGCGGGGCGGAGAATTTAAGGATTGGGTTTGAGTTTGTTGTCAAGGTTGAGGGGAGGGGCGGGGTTGTTGAGGGGGAGTAGTAGGGCTGGTATCTGTTCCATGTTGGGGGCAAGGGTTAGATGTGTTCCCTGAGGTGGTGGGAAACCAGGGCACTTTGTTACATACCTACATATCACTTGGACGGCGGGTAGCGGTTTAATGGATTCTAGGATATATAATATGTCTCAATGATTCATCGTTTTCACCTCGTGGATCGAGAGAGGCCCAACCCCGATGAAGTCACGCTTCCTCTTGGTACCGGCAGGTCAACGCTCAACCCGCGTGAGCGAGACCGGTCCCTCGTTAGGAAAGCCCGAGTGATGATGGAACGCTTCATGAAACCACTGGCTCCGTCGTTCATCTGCAAGGCTTCACTGGTCACGGATCAAATGAGGAAGTTCGTGTCTGTCCGGGGTCGCGGATACCACGGAGACTTCGTGAGCGGGACGGTGCCTGAAGGTCAGGGGCAATGATGCAGTGTAAGCTGGGAAAGGCTCGACTAATACGTATGCTTCACAAAGCCGACTATGCTTCAGGGGTACGGATAGATAAGGGGCTATGCAACGATCACACAGATCTTACAGGTCAATTGCCGGCCGGTGGAGGATGGTGACAAAAGGCAATGACACGGAGTTACGATCCAGCCCTGGTTTGTTCGTTAGCGTGGTACATGGCAGGCCGAGTCAGAAAAAGAAGGAAGAAGAGAACTAAATAGTTAAGTATCAAGAAAGAACTTAAAGTGTCACGGGATTCCCCGTTCCTGTTCTCATGGCTATGTCATATGCTTGGGGTTATGCATACGTCATGGGGTCTGATCATACGTCTATGGTCATGCTTACGCATAGGCCTCTGCTCCAGTACGTAAGGTCTGGTTGCACGCCCATTCCTGTCATCTAGCTCTTGCTCTTGTTGTAGCAATATCGATCTTGTATGTGCGAGCTGACCAGACCTTGGGTGGTGCCCGTCACAGTATATTGCTACCCTCTTCTGCAAGAAGGGTCTTGCTTTTGCTCTTGCTCTTGTTCTTGGACCTGTCTTGCATACGGATACGAATTCTTGCTCCTGCATACGTTATGGACCCCGGTACCAACCAGCATCTTACAGAAAGGGTGGCAGCCTTGGAAAATCAGGTCGCCGTTCTTCAACAACAACTCGTGGGACGTCCCAAAGCCCGTCTCCCAGATCCTGAAAAGCTCAGCGGAGCAACGAGATACGATACTTGGCTTCCGCTGATCAAGGCCAAGCTCCGGATCGACGCCGACGCCATCGGTACTGATGAGGCACAATTCTTCTACCTCTACGGACACCCTAAAAAAAAATAAACGAAGACTGATAGTTAACTAACGTTAGTTAGTTCGTTACGTATTTTTTGTGAAAACATCTAACTGTTACCAGTTACAGGAGAGAAAGAGAAGAATAAAAAAGAATAAAATAAATTGAATTAATTAAGGAAAGGAAAAGGGGGAAAAAAAGAGTAAAACAGAATTAGAAGAGAAAGAAAAAGTAAGAAAAAGTCTCGGAGAAAGAAGAGAAGTGAAGATCTGATAGTTTTGTCTTATGTTATCTCCTTCCTAAGTTCTGCGCTAACAAACAATCCAGGGTCGAATTGTATGTGCCTGGTTTTCATAAACTTCGCTAGTCCGGAGGAAGAGGAAGGGGTACTGTACGCGGATGCGGCCTTCAGATGCAAGCCCATTGTTGTTGTTGCGAATGGATATCTACCCCTGGACCGCAACTCTCGGATTGTAACCTCGGAAAGCAGCAAACCAGGTTTCGCTTCCTGGCTTTGCCGCACAACAAAGAGGGTAAGGTAGCAATGGCGTTCCGGCATAGATATTGTCATTTGTGAAGCGAGGGCGGCAGAACCACAGTCACGGGAAGATGGCTGGACAAGCTGTTGGCGCCACCCACTGTAACCTCATTGCCATAGTAATTATGGGTTGAGCGCAGCAACCACGGAACCCAAGTGAGTGTTGCTGGATGGTCGGACAAGTCGCCTGCGTCATCCTACACGTGTAGAGCTGTAATCGCACTGGGACCTTGGGTGTTTGATGCATTGATAAGCTGCTGACATGTTCGGTCTTCTGGGTGAGGGGTCAGAGCGCGCACGCACCCACGTTTCTTCCCCAAAATATAGTATTGTGTATGGAGATCCCAGAAGAGGTTCTTTGGGCGCAATGAATGCAACAACGGCTCGGAAGATTTGTCTGCGCTTGCGACGGGATTCGGGAGTCTGTGAGACGCGGTTCGGAAAAGCAGGCCGCAGATGAGATCTCGTGGCTTGCAGAGTCGAGGTGAATAACGTAAGGCGGGGCTCAAGCAAAACGGTTGAAAACGGTAAGAGGTTCAGAGCTGAGAGGTGGAGACGCTTGGCCTCACCTTGGCTCGCGTCGAGGTGTGGAAGCGACCTCGGAGATAGAGCCTGAACTGTCGACTTGCAGCAATAACTTCGCCAAGGCGTCTCGAACCTCGTTGCCAAGTGGTTTTGAACTTTGAAGGATTCGCGGCCGATGGAGCTGGCCAGGTGGAGGGAAAGGACGTCGCATCTTGGGAGGAGACAACCCCAGATTTCCCCAGACAGACTCCACGAGTCAAGGAAGCCAAGCGTCGTTCAGATGGGGATTCGAGGGCCCTCCAGGCTCCGCAAGCCAAAAACGGGCAAAATGAAGGGACAGCTTGGTTCTTGAACCGGCTGACGACAGAAATCAAGGTAATCGGTTGTGCTAGCGCACCTTTACAAGAGGTAGTTTGTCCTTGGATAGGCTTTGGATTTGCGCAGCTGAGGCCAATGCTAGTGGATGCGAAAGGGGTAATAAAGGGGCAATCGCTTGCTGTCCCTCTCGGATTGAGTGTTGTGATTCGGTAGAGAACTCAGACCGGTCTGGGCCCGCTGGTGGGGTTCAAAGGAAACTCCACGAAATGAGAACCGGTGGGAACAAGATGGCACTTGAGCATGGTACCGCCAAATGACACACCAGATCTGTTTAGGGGTACTAACTGCTTCGGAGCGTTATCTCTTCACATGCAAGACTGCAGATTGAACCACAAGTTGCCGAGCGAACTAACTCATCCATTCCGAGCCAATATGAATGCGGGCGAAAAACCGAAGAAGTCTCGCATGTCACCCTCCTTGACGAGCTAAAGAGCCAACAACAAAGTTGCGGATATTTGCCAACCAGGAAGTGACACCGGATGCCTGGTGGCCGAGCAGAGACGAGACAGCAAAGTCCCGCCAGAGAATTCGAACTGCACACGCAACCGATCCGCCTCGTGGCAGCCACCCGACGCCTGCCGCAATTGTGACAGCTCGCTTGTCGTGATGATGCTTGCCAAAATGCGGGGTTAACACCGTCGCAGCCCTAAAAAAAGCAAAAGCGAAGGAAAAAACCATTTCCATTATTGACATGGGAAGGTAGATATAACCAGGCCGGGCGTAGTGAATGTCTCGAAGGGGTCGCCGGTCGACATTCCCGCCCCTTGACCCTGAACCTTAAACAATGGGGTCGAGAACATTTCAGGCACAGCCACCAGTTCACGTGGGATGATTCAGGAACGAATGCACGAATAAGTTCCAATCGGATTTTTGCACGAGTCCGACAGTCAATGGCATTGTCGTCTGTAATCTAGCTAACAGCGTCCTCGATGGATGACCCTGGAAGAAAAATCTTTTGACATCGACCGGCCAAGAGTGTGCTTGTCCCAGCTTTTGCTCGTTTCCGAATCCAGTCACCCCCTCGTGGGGCACGCAGCCACACCCTCAGTGAAAGAAGAAAGATTAACAGGTAAACGTAGATAGGAAAGATGAACTGAAAAGAAAGGGTATAGTGCGTATCAGATTGCCTCCCTGTTTGCCGTTGCCGTGGTCTCCCGAAGAAAAAGGAAATAACTAATGTCCCGCCTGCTAAGCCTCAGCTCAACTCCATTTAAAATACAAGCATTAGTAGTAACTAAGTGTGTAACGAAAGGCACTGCCCATCCATGATTAAGGGTAGTAGTCAGATTGCGTAGAGGTAGTCGATGTTGAACAAAATAAACAAAGCAAAGAGGGAATTACACCTCCATCTTGCCGCCCGTTGGCGTAGCCGCCCCCGTGGTCGGGCTCCCGCTCGACCCCGGCCGGCTCGCCGCCAGCTCCGTCATGGACTCGGTCTCGTACGTCTTGGAGTCGCTGGCCTTCCTCCCGTTCTTGCCGCTCTCCATCATCTGGAACGTCGACCGGTGCAGGTGCATGCCCACGCCTCCGCCGGGCATCAACTCGTGCGGATCCGGCAGTCCCCTCCTGCCCCGCCGCCCCCTCCGGCCCGACGCCCCGCACCACGCCCGGATGTCTTCCCACAGCATCTTGCACGCGCCCCACGACGTCACCACGTAGATGATGGCGTTCCAGAAGCCCTGGAGCGGCAGCACAAAGGACGACATGTACTCGAGCGCGAGCGACGCTTGGCCCGAGTGCACGACGCTGTAGACGCGGTTGGCGCTCGATGGTATCCAGGTGACGAGCATGGCGGTAAAGAAGAGGATCGCGCACTTGGTGTATGACCACGTGGCGTTGTTGGCCTCGTAGGCGGCGCGCCGGCGGAGCGGGTTGGCGTTGGCCGCGTTGCCGGTGCTGCTGGTCAGGGTGGTGGTGCCCGTGGCGATGGTGGTCGTCTTGTTCTGCACCGTGGCGCTGGTGGCGTGGCTGGTGACTCGAGTGAGTCCGGCGGCGTGAGGTTGGGCTTCGACTGTCATGGTGGTGCCTTGTGCTAGGCCGTCCGGCTCGTCAAAGGGTTCGCGATGTCTGTTGGACGAGATGGTGACCGAGTAGGCTGCTTTGGCTGGTTTCGGAGGCGGGAGGGTCTCTGAATTTCGGCGTCCACCGCCTCCTAGGGGTGCCAGATCGATAGCGCCGGGCTTGTCGATGACTTCGGTCGTGACAAAGACTTCGGTGGTTTTAGTTGAGCTGAAAAGGTCTTCAGGCGGCGCTGGGAACTCGGCGGCGTCGTGGCGAGTGGTGCTGATGCTGAACTCCTTCAGCTGCCTGTGCTTCTTGTAGATGTCACGCCCGGCTCTTATATAGATGAAAAACGTAACGAGTATAACGATCCTACGCCAGTCAGCTTTCGTGTCCCTTTGAATACCAGAGGCAGGCTTACCAGACAGGCCCGTAGAAGATAGCAATGCGGAAGACGTCCCACTTGGGGGCGATCCAGCACCACAGCGTTGCGTTCCCGTACATGCGCCCCTTTTCAGGCGTTGAGATAAAGATGAGGACCAAGGCGACGATGAAGGGGATGCCGTAGCACAGCAAGAGGTAGGGCACCTCCATCCGCCTGAGTCGCTGTGCGTCGAACTTGAAGTAGAAGGTGAGGTACACGTTCACGGCCATGGCCAATGTCCAGAAAGCGTCAGCGGGCATGAACCTGGGACCGTGTCAGCCACAACTCTCAGCCTGATCCCACCGGGATAAGAGGAGAGAGCGAACATCTGGATAAGGAAGGCCTGGAACTGGCAGCCTGCTGAATCGATATTGTTTATGAAGGTCCGCGCAATCAGCGTGGCCACGTTGGTCAGCAAATTACCGAAACTCGCATAGAAAACGAGACGGTTGATGGGCTTGTGGAAGGCCTTGGAGAGCGAGAACGTGGCGATGACCAACATGGACCCCAGAAGTGAGAAGACAGAGCAGGTGCGTTCGATGATGGTGAAGACGTCCACCGGCGAGTCGGCAAGACCTGGGTCTCCTTGGCCCACCATGCTGGCGTTGCGGCGTCAGACGACGCGAGACGGATACTGTCAAGTGCCGGATATATCGAGGGCCCGCCCCGAATAACTAGCGAGCCGGAGGGCGAGGCGCGAGAGGGACGTCGTGGTCACAGTTCTGCGGGTTGGTTCAATCTCGTCTTGACAGGACAGACAAGGAACTAAGAAGGGCGGTAACGAAGCCCTTTGCTGGCTTGTCTTTCGAGCGTCGAGGCTTGGGGAGGTGAGACGTTTCGTGACTGGGGCTGGTTCCAGCACTCTGGTCACGACCCAAGCAGCGGAATCTCGGGCGGCATGGTGGACGAGGGAGATGGCGGATTCAAGTATTGGGCCGAGAGAGGGAGGAGTAACGAACGGCAAGCAGGGCCGCAGAAGAGTGACCAGCGATACCCGAAGGAAGCTAATGTTGGCTAAGGATATAGCACGGCCATCGTCGTTCCAGGGTCCCAGGGTTTGGCTGTCTGAAATGGGCCAAACCGACATGCCATTCGAGCATCACATGGATCTTATGCGGAACCACGCAAAACTTACCCCTGGGCGACCGTGGCGACCTTGCCCAAACGGTGTCTAGGGGCGTGCAGGATACAATGCAGCATTGAGCTCACACTAACCAGAGAGGGAATACTTTTCCGTTTGCCTAAGCTAGACTTTCGAAAGAGGCAGGCTGATCAGGCACACCTTGGCAACGACAAAAATGCGGCCGCATTCAAAGGGCCGTCAGTGAGATTCTGATTCACTGTGCTCGTGAAGCTAGATGGCAGCGACGATCAGGAGCGACGCCGGCCATGCCCTGTGGAGAGGTGCTCGGAGATTGAAGTTGCGGACAAGGCTGTCGTTTGCGCTGATCGCGGGGTTGAAGCGTTGAGTTGGTGGCAACTCTGCAACTCGACCCCATTTCTCCAGAAACATCCAGGTGACCCTGTTGGACCATGCGAGTCAGACTTGGCAGAACAGCACGCTCTGAACCCTGTCGCATTCATTTCGACGGAGGCGCCCTGTTAGGGTCGAGAGTGTCCGAGGCAAGGCGATGCAGGAGTCGCATAAACCAACAGCAGGATTAGGCCGTTCGTAGGCTACTGATGAGAGGTACACTCCGATTCTCTTTCATTGAAAACGTGGAATCGCCGAGCCCATTGCTTCTGAGATCGCGGCTGTTTCGCTTGCTCGGATTTTTGCTTTGATCCGGCGTCTCGGAGAAGGCAGGCGGGCCGCTGTAACGCCGTGAGAGGGCCATGTCCAGTGCCTGGCCGTCAGCTCGTAAATACCACAGCGGAAGGGTCTGGAAATATAGCGCGCTCATTCACTTGTTGCGATGTGGTTTCTTACTCAACGCCGCTGTTCCATATGCTGTCATTCTGAAGGCGGCGTGCGGTGCTTGCAGGACTCAGAAAGCAAGAGCAAAGTTGAGCAGTTCGGGAACCGGCAGGAGTCGCAAAACCACGTGGAGACGCCCCACATGCGCGACCCTTAACGGATACAGGTACGAGCTGCTGCCGTTTTTGTCCGTTTTCAACCGTTTGCTGCTCTTCAATCCACCTGCTGCACACTCAGCACGCAACGCTGAAACCAGGCTCATCCTCAATTGGAAGTGCTAATCGCCATTTTGCGACACCACTAGCGCTCATAGTATGCACCTTTACGCATCGCGGTAGTTATCTGGACTTGCAGTTTGACCAGATCCTTGGACGGCGATCGATTGTAGTCGCGTGTCCATCAATAAATCAGCAACTCCCTTCTCTGCACGACGCTTGAACTTGTTTCAACGCAGATTCATCAGCTCTTTGGACGCAGGACTTGGAAATAAAAGCCAGTCGGCGGAGACAAAATATCATGGCACAAGCTCGTCAGCAGCCGGCTTCCTTCTCGCCATCGGTGACACAACATCGACATCAACACGGCCCCCTCTGATGACGTTGGTGGCGAGTCATGACACACAAGGGTGCTGTTAGTGTTGAGGATTCGAGTTCGCGTCCAACTCACAGATGGTCAAGATCGCCAGAAGGATTGCCAGCTTTCGCACCCCCCGTTGCACCTGCTCAGCGAACCGGATCTCTTGCCAAGAAGAAGCCGCTTCAGGTAGTTTTAGCGCACCACACCAGTCGATCTTTTGTGTACTTAAGCTCTACACGTAGTCACGGTAGTTGCCAACTATGAAAGTGCCGGCGATCTCGGCAGCACAAACCGAGTTCGGGAATTTGCTTCGAGCTGCCTATAACGCTCCTATCAGCCCCGGCTCAGACTATGATCTACAATGGTTTTCGCATGGGGTACTGTCCAGATCCCAAAACCAGAGGCCATCGAGTCTGCGGGTAATGAAGTCTGCAGTACAATCCAACCCTGGCTTGTTTCTTAGTGCGGGACCACGACGGGGTTCTGGTCTGGGAACTCGAAACTCAACAGCGCAGCAACATATTTTGATGCAGAAAACTCACTTATGTAGGGATTATCTTGACATTCTCTACCATTCATTGCATTTTTCAGGACCAAAAACGGGCTTTTGACTGTTGAGTTGAGTGTCTGTAATTTTTGGACAGGGGCGCCGGTCTTGGGTCTCGCGCTAACTCGGAAGCAAACCAGGGTTGGATTGTAAACACGAAGGTTCTTGCCTTATCAATCGGTTACGGGGAGACCACACCACAGTGCTGCTTGAAACGTCCACCAAATGTGCGATATACACAGTTGACGGTTCACTTCAGCTGCCCTTGACCCCTTTTCGAGGCTTTGCGGCGAGAAAATTTGAACACAAACGAATACAACACAGAGCGAGCATCACTGCCACCTTCGGCCAGCCCTACGACATGTGGTGTCAAGCTATGGAGACTTCTCAATTGGATGGGTCCACATTACCAATGATGGCTCTCCACCAAGCCCCGCCTCCTCCGCAGTCTTGGCCAAGACTTGTGGAGATAACGGGTCATTGGCTGGCAGCTCATCCTGGAACTCCATGCCGTGGACCCCACCGGGCCGAGTTCAGGCTTGCGAAAAACAAGCCGCTGCGGAAGTGATCTGCCATCAGGTCCAGCGGAGTCGGAAACCCATGGACAATTTCTAAGATTGACCCGGTCTCGCCAGTCTGTCCTGAAAAACGCGGATAAGTCACCCTGCAGGATTTGTTTCAACAGCCATGCGGGACGTCTCATCGCACCGGCGGTCTGCAAGCAAATGTTCGGTACTGAGCGGACATCACAACCACTTCAAGAATGCCGAGACCAGTGAAAACTGCCAAAGAGGAGGGACGTGCGCGGCGCCCGGCGTAAGCTACAGAGGTCCACCCACATCAGGAACCGGGTTTGATGGCGCTGCCAGATGCCCCGAGACCCTAGCCTTCGCCAAACGCTCGCAAGCCATCAAACCAACCCGGAAGTGCACGTCAAGATCGTGGCAACGCTTCCAACTGGTGAATTGGGTCTGCCACCGCAGAACCTCCGTAAGTATAGCGACTATCAACAGCGCTAATTTGACTGACGGATTACTAGAGTACGGCACTACTCCAGGCTTGACACCAGAACACTGGGTGGTCTCTCTGGGAAACTGCCAAGGGACCTAGATGTCGCTATCCCTAATTCTCTCGGCCTTGGGCCCCATTTCCAGTATGCCACGCGGGACCATGGAGCGTTGAAAAGGATGGTTTATGCAGTGACAGTGAGCTCGGACTCCTCCTTTTCCGTGCGTGAACCAAATCCATCCAGGTTTGTGACCCTCTTCATCACACCGCGGCTTCTGTCACCAACCACTTACTGTGGGTGAGCCTGCTTGCACCCTTTCCGGCAGAGGGGCAATGATATACCGTTCATGCACTGTAAATCCTTCCCGTCAATAACACCTGACCCCAAACCACGGTCTTCTTTGAATGGCTTCTGCTCGGTGAAGGTTGCTCCTTTGGATGTAAGTGTTCAACCCGCTTGACTGGCCACAATCCTAAGAGACGGTAAGGCCTCGTCTCTATCTTGGCGTGATGAAACCGCTAACTGCATCAATGTGCTGGAAGTTTGGACTTCCAACCAAGAGTTTCTCAGCTTAGCCCCCCATACCGGGCCAGGCCAGCCGAGGGATGGGAGGACAAGCCAGCAGGCTGTTGGGGATCCAGTCGCCTAGACATATCTCCTGTCACGGGAGGGATCGAAGTGGACAACAGAGTCCCCCCGTCTCTTGTCACGGCTTCAAGACAGCATCAGTCGGCTCATCCAAACTCAGGGGAGCACGGTGAATCTGAATGCAGGGTTTTTCTCATTGCCGAGAATCTCAATGTTGACAACTGCCCCAAGTCAACAAAGCCAGGCTGCTTCTATGACGGGGTCAGCATGCACACATCTCAGGAGCAGTGCAACCCAGGACTCATTGTTTCTCGGAGCTCTTCTGTGGTCTAACAAGTGGGTATGAGCCTTCATCATGCGTTCCTGGCATATGCATACACTAATTTTCCGTGTGCGAAACCTTCAACTGAAGCTTAACCCTTAAAACGCCTGGTATGTCACCGCCTCCTCCACAGTTAAACGCCGCCTCCTTCTAATACCCAGCTGTTGACGCATGATGCGCCCTGCGACGAACCTCGGTGTGTAGACAGGGCAAGCCCCGGCATTACTGCCACTGTTCTTGCCGTAAGTGTGTCCACATAACCTCCAACTCCTCCCCAAGTCCTCTTGCCTATGATTCCAATCGGTATCTCTTCTCATCTGCGATTCACGTCCCCTGATAAATCCCCAATCAGAGTATAAAGGTAAGAAACGGGTCCTTGAAAAACGGAGCAAGAAGTGTTGGAAGCTAGATGGCTACCCTCATGGAGCGGTCGCCCTTTCTAATAGTCCCCTCTTTCTTTGGCTGACTGGCCTGAGGGCCAGACTCGCTGGTCTTACTTGTCGACGAGTCTGGGGAAGCTCTGTTGTCTCCTTGCCCGTCTTTTTTTCCTTCCAGGGTAGCTTCCCGTGTCCGCACAGTCTCCGCCTGCATGGTGGACGAGTGAAGTGGCCCCTCCTGGTCTTGTCTATCGAGTATATCGGTGGTGGGACGCAAAACCGGCGTGCCTGTAGAAGGGGTGCAGTTCCATTCATCGGGCGCTTTCCAGTCGCTCGGATCGTCCGCCAAGAACCGGATCGGTGAAGGGTTCGGCGGCATGAGGGCAGTCCTCTTTGTTGACTGCCGAGTTGGCGTCACCGGGATGGGTCGGTGGATGTTGGGCGGAAGGAGAACGCTGCCTCTCCGGACCGTCCCGCTGGGACCCGGCCTTGGAAGCTGCCGGGCAGGTCCATGCAAAGCCGTACACCAGTCGTCGATGACCTCGGATGCCGATATCTCGATGCCACGAGATGACTGCGGGCGGGAAGTTTGAGGTAACGTGGGTGTTGTGGGTGTCGTCGGGCTCGCAATGACCTTGGTGCCAACTCCGGCGCGAGAACGAGGAGACGGCTTACTTATGCCTTCTTGATAGGTTGTCGTGACAGTCCTCGCAACGAAGGAGCCGTCATCATCAAGCACCTGAAGGAGCCTTGTGCCTGTGGCTGCCTCGCTGGTCGCAGCCCCTCGTTGAAGTTCCAGGGTCGGAATCGTCAACTGTGTCATCTTAGAAAGAATAGACCCTGGCCCTGAAGTCAGTATGTGTGATTTTGAAGAGGAAATCTAGCGTAAATCAGATACCTTTTGACGATCGGTCCGGGGACCCAGGCCAGGTATGGTCTTTCTGGTCCGCGGCACTCTTGCCATCAACAAAAGATTGAGCATCGGAGCGCTCATCTGTTGGCTTCACCGACGCGTTGTCTGTGGTTTCTGTTGTAGAGCTTCTTCCAGCTCGCGGAAAGCGAAGAGAACCTCGCTTCAAGTTCCGATCCGACTTGTTCGACACGGACTTTGGTGTGGTTGGCTCCTGTTGTTTGCTCTTGGTCGAAGAATCGTTGGTCTTCTTCCTTCCAATGCTTCCAAAGAAGCTCCGGTGTTTGTGGTTTGACGAGGTTGAGGTCCGAGTCGATTTGGGTCGATGGCCGCTATTGGCATCCTCCTTCTCCCTCAATTGGCGTTCGGCATCCTTCCTAGCCCGCCTCTGGCCGACCCGCTCACAGTCGTAGTCGGCCCAGTCGACTTCAAACATCTCGTTCAAGTAGCTCAAAAGAAGGTTCTATGATGCAATGCTCGTTTGATGAGCGAAGGTAATAACGGAAAGTCGCATCTGACGGGTTTCGAGGGGGCTCAGTTTCTTCTCCGGAGCTTGACAGCCGAGGTGGATTGCGAGAGGCGATTGTATCAGGCCGTGGAATGACAATACCCGTTATGCTGCTGCGGTTTTAGGTCAAATGATTAAGTAAAAGGAGGAGTTGTGAGGCGAACAGCTCGAGAAGCTGGCTAAATGCGCACCAGCGCACTTTCAACCCGGTGATCAGCGTTGAGAAGAACCGGCCAGAATGAGGCTTAAGAGCCGTGATGTAAAAGCCAATCTCACAGATTTGGCGAGACAAACGACGCAAGCCGTGAATAGCTGGTAGCAGTTTCCAGGTTGACCAGGTAGAGTGTAAGACCTTTGACGAACACTGAAAGTGAGACACCTGCGTGGCACTGGTAGTGCACTAGCGCTCATTCTGGCGTGGCGATTTTTCTCCTTTCCATTCCGGACACTGCAAACACACATGGCGTTGAGTTGAGGCTACAACCGGGAAGCCGAAAGAAGATCAGCAGCGTGGTTTCTTGTCAATTCCCATGGAGGTTCTTTCCCTTCGTCCCCCTCGAGCCGACCGCCGGGCCGAGCCAGAAGGAAGGATACCTTAGGAAGGCACGACTGTAAAAGTCTATTCTCTCACTGGACCTCCATGACGGAATGAATGCAAGAGGCCTCTGCACCATGTTTGCGAAACCTGGAGCTGCTGTGGGGATGTCTCGGCCGTTAGGGAGCCTGCAATTATTCTGCGTGGCTCCATACCCAGGTCTTTGAATTAGGGGGGTTCCTAAAAGTCTCGTGGCAAAGCGAAGCATGTCAGTCAACTTGAGTTATTCGTGGATGCGTTTTTGTCTTGAATTCTATGCATTTGGAGAGCCATATTTTGAACCCTCTAGATTACCTCTTGTGACCGGAGTTGTTCCACGTAGGACTTCACGACACGGAAGGCATATAACCAGCAGCGAAAATTAGTAACTCCACACAAGGCTGGTACTAACTCCCTAGTATATCACCAGTAGCTAATAAAGTAGAGCCGTATGTCCGCTTCCGATCATTGCAACGGTCTTGCAGAAGGCTTTTCGCGCCGCGGTATGTGGGACACCGATTGGTGGGAATAGGTGGAGGTATGGTATCAGAAGCCGGCCACCGACCGACTACTGAAGAATCAGAGGGTCAGACATGTATGAGGTTATTGACTTCACCTTGATGAATCCATGGACCGTCAATGGTTGTAGCCAAAGACTCCAGTGAGATTAAGCCAGGCAAGACGGTCCTCCCAAAGCCAACAGGCAGCGATGAAGGCTGAGTGCTGTCGCCTCAGAGTTCAAACAACAAGCTTGAGAATTCTGGTATCCTTGGTATATATCTTAATTGGAGCTGACCTACCGGGTGCTTCCCCAAAATGTTTTTCTTCAACCGGAGGCATCTCATTGTTTCTTTCGCTCTTTCAGTCCACGTGGAGTAAGGGTGTGCTGCTCTTTGAATTTGCTATTGAAAGAGAGATACCTTGGTTATGATCACTGAGCTGCCGCCCGCTCAACGGCAGTGATACATGTCCACTTGTCAATTCAGTTATACTTCCTGACCATTGTTGTCCTCCACGTTGCTAGCAGCCTGGACTCTTGGACTGCCGTCGTTGGTGGGCCCTCAGGGTTAGGGTTATGCCTGCTGTTCCTGGCTCTGCCAAGATCGTGACGTGCAGAACTCCATTGCCCTGGTGACTTGAGTGACCCCACGGGGCCGCTCGGCCCGCAGTACCCCTGCCAAGAATCGGGATGAGAGACGGCCCCCAAATACGGTAAATGATCAACTCAACACAACTTCATCTCGAAGATGAACACCATCAAGTCAGTTAGTTAAAAGACTATGCTAGAGCATTTACCATCGGAGGCTTGCGCTAACCCCGCAATCTGATCCAGCTTCTTACTGACCTTCCAGAACTTGGCCTTCGGTCAGGCACAGTCTTGACCGAGCTTCAATCTGGAACGCTGCATCCGACGCACGTTGTGAAGAACCGATCGGAACATATCTGCATCGCGGATGGCAACGGAAAAATACCATGCAGGGGAGCACGACATACTCCGAGAAGGAGAGCGTGGGATAGCATCCGATGAAACCCACGGAAGGGATCTCACCTCTGACCTCAGGTAAGGTGCGGTCCTTGGGCCACAAAATGCCCGATGGTTTCAAGAGGTAAGTTGTCCACTGGCACTTCCAGCTTGCAGCCTGATGGCTTGTGGTGTACCGCAAGCATCGAGGGGCCCAGGTCGTTGCCTCTGGTGCCTTAGATTACTGGTCTTGCTGTCCCACATCTACCTAACCATGATGGCACTTTGAACCCGAAAGTTTTACGGATTGTCCTGCCTGAAGGCCAAGTGGAGGCAAGAATAGTCCCCTTCTCAACGACAAGGGTCTCTGTTTGACTGGCAGGAATGCTTGTAAATGTATATCATGTCGTCTTGTTACCTACGGTTTGTCGTTTTCTCTCTGCTTTTGCTCATTGTTCCGTCCTTGTGTCACCGGTCTAGGACAGGCGACACGGCAGCACAGCCAGTGCTACCACTGCTCAAACTCCTGACCGGATTCCCAAAGATCAGGCGGAGAGTGATGGGCTAAGTCAGTACTTTGGGATCTCCCCAGTAAAATTTACAAGGTAACCTCCAACCTAGTTGTGAAGGCTCTCTGTCATGGCTGCACCTGATGAAAATAACAAGGTACCGCCCTGTTGGCTGCCGATACTTGGGATACTCGCCAGGCGATATGCTAATACTGCGAGCCCTTGTTGCCTCAGCCCTGGCCCGATCTTGGACGTTCTCATTCAAGTCGTAAAGGGCACCATGTGAGGCTGGAAATGGTTGTGTCACCGCAATCACATCAAGTGAGAAAAACGACCCCGCCGTCGGCGTATACTCAAGGTTCGTTTCTGAGCATTAGATAATGCGATGGACTTTGATTGCCTTAGGGTTTACATTAAATCTTTTCACACTTTCCCCACTCTAAAACTGACCTGGTGAGCGTGTTCTCTCAATATTCAGTGCTATCGCTGTCATTGCGATGCGGTGAATCGGGCTGTCTGCTGGAATCGTGCCTTCCGTCTCAACTTCCGGCCGCCTCACACGAAAAATCTCTTCTGTCACTCATGATTGTGCCCCAGATTCATCGAGTTCCTGAGAATATCCTCCTGTTTTGCCTCCCACACATATTCTGACCTCGAACCGTTTCCGCCTGCGCTGTCAGGATTGTGCGGTTCACTCTCCGTCCAACCGACCCTCAGCCAGCCGACAACAATTTGTCGTTGAGTTCGACTTTATTTCGGAGAACCATCATATCTCTGGTCTCTTTCCTATCCAGATATTCGACGCAATAGCAGCTTCAGCACATGGGCAAGGAAGTTTCAGCGGTCCCTTCATCGTCATGATCCGAAACATCGCCATTAGACTTGGGAGGCATACCCCGACTTTGTAAGTCGACGCTCATCCGTTCCTACTTGTGTTTCGGCAAATATCCTTGTTGCCTCTGTCGCTTGCCGCTCATCGTTTCAGAGATGCCTGAGTCGGCTAGTCTTCCCTGGACCAGAGCAAGCTGGGATTCTTGATGCAGTGCGACAACTCTCTCTTCCTCCTCTCCTCTGCAGTCAAACCGAGCAGAACAGCGTCTGAACGAACTACTGATTTATCAGACACCGATTGTTCACTATTAACTCCCAGAAACCGCTCCCACAGCACACCATGCTTCCTCAGTGATTCATTTCCTGTACCTCCAATGCTGAAACTTGCTAACCTACGCAGTGACGAAATTGAGATGCGTCCTGTGGATTCTGTTCTCGACACAGGGCAGGAGACACATATTGATCGCCGAAACTGGTTCCAAAGAAAGAGAGATCGGATCTCCAACCTCATTCACCGCATGGACAGCCATGTGGCCAAGTCGCCTGTTGGCAGATTGTTCCGACTGAGAGGGAGTGGGCATGTAAGAAACCACCTCTCAATGCTCTTCAGGGAAGATCACGAAGCTTACAGTCACACTATCGCAGCCCAAGGAGATTCACGATGCTTGTCTGTCAACCGAGATTCGAGCCGGGATTACGACCTTCACTACAATGGCATATGTTATTGCTGTTAATGTACGGCTGCGTGTCTACAGCCAGCCACCATTATTGTTCAGTTCAGCTGACCATGTCTAGGCCTTCATCCTCGCCGAATCTGGTTATGATTGCCACTGCGCAAAACCGCATGACGTGCAAGGCAACTGTGCCAACATGGCCGAATGGACCAGATGCTACAACGGTTGGTTTGGCACCTAAAGCTTTGTGTGATGAAGCCATTGACATGGAATCGCCAGATGTGAAGCTCGACCTCATCACTGCCACCTGTGCGGTGGCCGCCTTCTCCAGCATCTTCTTCGGCCTTATGACCAATCTCCCTGTTGCCTTCGGGTAAGCATACCTCGCACGCCGTTGATGGAAATAACAGCAGCTGACAACACTTGCAGTCCTGGCATGGGTCTTAACGCCTACTTCACCTACCAAGTCGTCGGCGTCAAAGGCACAGGTCCGGTTGACTTCCGCGTGGCTCTCACTGCTGTCTTCATGGAGGGCTGGATCTTCATGTTCCTGGCCCTAACGGGCATGCGACACTGGCTGGTCAAGATCATTCCGGGCACCATCAAGATTGCAAGTGGTGTGGGAATCGGCATGTTCCTCACTCTCATTGGCATGACGTACACGTCTGGCATCGGCATCATCACAGGTGGTGTCCATACGCCGCTCGCCATAGGAGGCTGTCCAAAGGAAGACCTCCATCATGCTACTGGAGAATGCACCACGCGGATTATGACGAGCCCAAAGGTTTGTCTCCGAAACTGTCCAAGGCGCCGACCTGTAAAACTAACACGCTGCTTAAGATGTGGGTAGGCATCATTTGTGGTGGTCTACTCACCACCTTTTTGATGGCCTTCCGTGTCAAAGGCGCCATCATCATTGGAATTGCTCTCGTATCCATCCTTTCATGGCCGTGAGTCTTCCTCCTATTTCCACTCTTGCACACAGAAACTCATGCCCTCCAGACGCAACACCCCCCTGACCTACTTTCCTGACACCCCCGATGGCAATCAACGGTTTGACTACTTCTCCAAGGTTTTCAACTTCCATCCGATCCGTCACACCCTGGCACAGCAACAGTGGGATCTTTCTGGAAGAACGGGCGGAAACTTTGCTATGGCTCTCTTCACGTTCCTCTATGTCGACATCATTGATTGCACAGCAACCCTGTACTCGATGGCCCGTTTCTGTTCCAGATCGCGCAAGGAGGAAAAAGATTTTCCACGGTCGACCATCGCCTTTTGCATTGATGGCTTTTGCGTCTCGATGGGCGCGTTGTTTGGGATGTCCCCGGTTACCGCTTTCATTGAGAGCAGTGCTGGCATCGCCGAAGGGGGTCGCACGGGCCTGACGTCTGTAGTCACTGGGTTTTGTTTCCTGGTCTCGCTATTTTTTGCTCCGCTGTTTGCATCCATTCCGCCGTGGGCCACGGGGAGTACACTCATTCTGGTGAGCCCCTCTACCATTTCCTGGTGGATCTCTTGAGGCTGACATCGCTCACAGGTCGGTTGTATGATGATTCGGCAGGTCACAAAGATCAACTGGGCTTACATTGGAGATGCGATACCGTCGTTTGTCACGTTGGTGTTCATCCCCTTCAGCTATAGCTGTGCCTATGGCCTCATCGCGTGAGTCCCCCTGTGAACTTCCCGCTCGAGTTTCCATCTGCTGATGGGCTTTGAATAGCGGTTTATTCACCTACACTGTCATCAACTGCGCCATCTGGGTCGTTGTCAAAGTCTCAGGAGAGAGGATCATCCCTCAGCACTACGATCTGAAGGAATACTGGTCTTGGCGGCCGCCCGGCGACAAGCCGTGGATTGTTCGAGCCGTGTTAGGGTTCATATACTGGGCCAAACACCGAAAAGATTGCAGCGCTTCGTTCTCTCTGAGCTCGGTTGATGATGGCCTGGGTGCTGAGCAGTACCGGCCTGACAGGGCATTGAAGGGCGCGGCCGATGTCCACGATATCCCTAGAGTGGCAACGCCAGAGCCTTTCCGCCAGGTGTACTGAGCTTGCAACTCTGGGCACATGATGCCGGGGAGAAGCTGGAGATTCAAAATGAGTAACATATGATCCAGCTGATTGCGGACCTGGGCACTGATGGAGTGGATGGAGGATCCCTGTGTGTATCTCGAGCTTTCTGCTCATAGGTAGCGTGTATCTATTGCTGTCCAGTGCTACTGTACTAGCATAGTCCTGGATGGGGAAGTTCAACAACAGTGCAGCTTCGAGAAAAAGAGCCTGCCGGTGCTCTTCGGTTTTACTCGAGGAAGCAACAGCTGAGTGAGGAAGGGAGCTAAAGAAGAGAGAGACAAGAGCTGAATTTGTGGAAATAGGAGGTAGTGACGGAGGTGATGGTGATCTTAGAAAGGAGTGAAGGCCTCCAAAAAGCATATCAAAGTAGATAGTTGTTGGCTTAACACAGTTATGAAAGACAAGATAGGAGCAAGTCTGTGAGACAGTGCTTGCGAGCCCTTCCTGTTGACGTTGTTACGGGTTACAGTCGAGTGGGCACTCACAGCACAGCTGAACTGCGGGACGAGGCCCAAGCTCCCAGAGCATTCTTATCTTATCGTTACAGGCTTCCAACAATGCATCATGTGTCTCAATTTGGACAGTTCCCAAGTCCATGTTGCGAACTCGAGGCAAAGTCAGTTCCCAATTATTCAAATCGGGACAATCGCATGAAACAATCAACTTCTGACGTGTGGTTCTCAGGATCCCGATTCAGATCGAATCCGCGCTTTTCAATATCGTCAGAGCGGCATTGAGATTCTCGGAATCCACCACGCACCGGTTCTCAGGCAAGCAAGCGCCCTAGCGGTCAGAGACAGCAAGATGAGTGGCGGGTGGAACACCAGTTAGTGCCCCAAGATGATCATGACGGACCTGAGACGCTGACCGATGAATCGTAGTTGAATCCGATGCGGTACGTAGCTCCCACAGCGTGGCCTCAAGCGCGAGAAGTTACGGCGAAGACCACGATAAAGCCGAGGAGCTGACAACGTGAAAAAGGGCGTCTTCACCTACCTGCTCGACAACCTCGGCGTGAAAGACGTCCAATTCGAGGAGCTCCTGTCGCTCGACCCAGATGCCCTCGCCCAGCTTCACCCCGTGTACGGTGTCATCTTCCTCTTCAAGTTCCCCACCGACACCCCTTACCGCGCGGGCGACAAGCCTCTCGATGGCACATTCGACCAAGATGCCGCCGAACGCCTCTTCTTCGCCGCGCAAACCATCCAAAACGCCTGTGGCACGCAGGCCCTGCTAAGCGTCCTCCTCAACAAGATCCCCGACTCCTCCTCCTCCTTTGCCTCGCCAGACGAAAACACCATTGACATTGGGCCCGCGCTAACCGAGTTCCGCGAGTTCACCATGGCCTTGCCGCCCGAGTACCGCGGCGAGGCGCTCTCCAACAGCGAGCTGATCCGCGACGTGCACAACAGTTTTGCCAAGTCGTCGCCCTTCATCGACGAGACGCAACGGCAGCCCGACGAGGGGGACGACGCGTTCCACTTCATCGCCTACAGCGCCATCGACGGCACGCTGTACGAGCTTGACGGCCTGCAGCCGGCGCCCATCAGCCACGGCGCCTGCAGCCGCGACGAGTTCCCCGCCAAGGTCATGGACGTGCTGCAGCGGCGCATCGCGCGGTACGACGCGGCCGAGATCCGGTTCAACCTGCTGGCCATGGTGCGCGACCTACGGGTGCGGGCCCGCGAACTCGGCGACTTTGAGCTACTGGCCCGCGAGGAGCAGAAGCGGCGCGACTGGCAGTTTGAGAACGCGCTGAGGAGGCACAACTTCGTGGGCTTTGCGGGCGAGGTGCTCAAGGGCGTCGTCGCGGCCAAGCTGAAGGAGGGGGACGGGGCGTATGAGAAGTGGATCGACCAAGGGAAGCAGAAGATGCTCAAAAGGAGAGAGGAGCGCAAGAAGGGCGCCGGTGGCGGTGGAGGAGAGGATGTTGACATGGCAGGGTAGATGTGCGAGCATTACGCGGATGTGGCAACGGCGCTCCGTCATATACTTTTACGAGACAGTACCTTGAGCTTGCGATCTGAAAGCCTGAGCGAATTGTCATGTTGCATAGGCTGAAATTCTTGTCTTGACGGGGTTCGCATTCAAGAGACCGCTCCCTGTCAATAATTGCGGCATCGCCGACGATCCTCCAAGCATGACTTCTTTTTGCGCCGATTCTCTCACGCCATTGATTGTAGGGAGGATACACTTGGGCCAGAGCAAACGATTGACCAGCACAAGCTTCTGGGTAACCGGTATGACATATCTTCCACTATCATCGAAGCGGTGCGGTATGGCGGCATTCCTGTCAAAGCAATGAATTTCGCTTTAGCGCCAATGTATCCCGCCCAGCTCCGGATGCACCATTATGGCCCTCAATGATTCTTTATTGAGTGTTCGTGACCGACCCCTTTTTGTGGAATCGTGCCTTGACCCGAAAAAATGCCATGCTCGCGTACACCGTTCCGGAAGAAAGTCAAGCCCAGTCAGAAAGATCCCTCATGTCCCCACTCAACTCGAAGCCCCCACCTAAGCAGCGGTGATAGCCCGGCGGACGCGGACACCGCGCTGCCTCGAGCTAAGGTGCGACTCGTCACGGACGACCGCCTCCGACTTCTGGACGGCCTCGTCGGCCTCGGTGAGGATGAGCTCGATGTGGCAGGGGTTCGACATGTAGGGGTTAATCTGCGCAGCGGTTAGTTTCCCGTCGTTATCTGTACAACGAATGTTCGAGTCCCGGAGAACGTACGCGGCCGTGGGCGCGGTATGTCCGGCGGCGCTGCTTGGGAGCCTGGTTGACCTGAATGTGCTTGACAATCAGGTTGCCAGTGTCGAGGCCCTTGGCGTCGGCGTTGGCCTCGGCGTTCTTGAGGAGACCCAGGAGGAACTGGGCGGACTTAACGGGCCAGCGGGCGCGAGAAACACCAAACTGCTTGCCTATTTCCCACAACCATCAGCGTTATTCCTCAATGCCATTTCGAAACCCTTCAACTGTTCGCCCGGGCCGCTAGTCGCTTCGTTGTCGCGATTTCCGGCCCGATACCCATCCGATTGTAGCTTCAAAACAGAACTTTGATCTCGAATCGTACCTTGGGCGGTACGGCCGATAGAGCCGCAGTAGCGCCTCATCGGGACGGCCTCCTTCTTCTCAATGACGTTCTCGAGGAAGGTCTGGGCGCGCTGGAGCTTCCAGCCGTTGATGGCCTGGGCGGTCTCGCGGGTGTTCTTGAAGGACACCCGGAGGTACGACCCGCGGGAGCGAGCCGACTTCGCCGGGGCAATCTCAGTCCTGGAGTACCGAACCTAGAAATCACCAAAACTCCGGTCAGCCCAATCCCGGGGATAGCACTGATCGTGTTCCTAATCGCTCCAACATCCTTTCTCCCAGCACCCCGCAAAGCAGAAATCCCCCCAATCATTGGTTTTCGAAATGTTCGTGAACGTTTCGGATCCGCAAGGGCTACTGACCATCTTGACTGTTTGTCGATGTGAGGGACGGAATCGACCGAGTTTGGTGTTCTTGAATGATGGTCGTTCCAAATTTTGGCGCCAAATGCGATTTTCGCGATTAGGGCTCTGTGGGCCTAGGTTGATTGGCTTGTGCGGTTAGATGTCCTGCCTGAGGCAACAATGCGGGACAAATCAATGTGCCTTGCGGTCCGGGGCGCTGCTAAGGCAAGTAACTCGAATGCACCGAAATTACGCGGGATTTCGGATAAGATTAGAAACATTAAAAACTGACCACTCAGATCGCCGAAGTAACTTAACCTTGAGCCCCACCAAGACCAAGGCTTAGTGCGTACCCGCTTTTTCCTTTGAAGTTTGGGAAATTTTGCATCGAGCTTCTCGACGACTTTGACAAGGCCGCCCATTTCGCATCCATTGTGTCTCAAGGGGCAGTTTGCACACAACACCATACTCGGCGCCACCGAGTACATCTAGACTCGGATCGACGTCCCCTTCCGGATAGAATAAATCTTTACAATGGGCTTCGACCGTGGTGGCAGAGGCGGCCCCAGAGGCGGCGGCAGAGGAGGCAGTTTCCGCGGTGGTGATCGTGGTGGTCGCGGCGGAGCGAGAGGCGGCCGTGGTGGTGGTAAGTTGCTTTGCTCTCTTGAATTATGGCCTTGCATGACGCTCTCGATACATTGCGTGTGCCAGCGCCCTATCCCTGCCACAAACTCCTTCACCCCGCGTACTCGAGACGGGATAGGCGGCTAACTAAATTGTCGTAGGCCCTGGCGGTCGTGGTGGCCCTGCTGGCCGTGGACGCGGCGGTCCTGGGGGTCGCGGTCGGGGAGCGTACGTCGATTCGTCAGCGACATTCTGATTCTCATGTGACGCTAATGTGCGGACACAGTCCTCGTGGCGGCCGTGGTGGCAAGCCCGGCGGCGCAAAGGGCGGCAAGAAAGTTATCGTCGAGCCCCATCGTCATAAGGGCGTGTTCGTCGCGCGTGGTGGAAAGGAAGATTTGCTGGCTACCGCTAACCTGGTTCCTGGTGAATCCGTCTACGGCGAGAAGAGGATCTCGGTCGAGAACGCTGCCAAGAGTGAGGATGCTGTTGCCACAAAGACCGAGTACCGCGTAAGTGGCATAACACTCGATACTGGAGGATTGGCCGCAATGGGACCTCCTCACCTTCTCTGCTATTCTTGAGCTAACCTCCGTTTTGCAGATTTGGAATCCTTTGTCTGTCCATCCGGTTTCGAACCCGATTTCCCACGCGCTAACTTGAAGCAGCCGGAGTAAGCTTGCCGCCGGTATCCTTGGTGGTTTGGAGACGATATACATGAAGCCCGGTTCCAAGGTGCTGTACCTCGGTGCTGCCTCGGGTACCTCAGTGTCGCACGTTGCCGATATTGTCGGGCCAACTGGCGCTGTCTACGTATGTGTCGCTGTCGCACCTGTGTGGTGGCGCCCGTCGTGCTCTAACAAGATGCGTTCAGGCTGTCGAGTTCTCGCATCGTTCCGGCAGGGATCTCATCAACATGGCGGTACGTTCATACCAAGTCCACAATGTGTGATCCGACAAGATGCTGACTGCTTCACAGACACGCCGCACCAATGTTATCCCGTAAGCACATTGGCCTAGGTGCCGCTGAGGGAGCACCATGGCTCACATTACAGCAGGATTGTCGAAGACGCCCGCAAACCGATGGCTTACCGGATGCTGCTCCCGATGGTTGATGTCATCTTCGCCGATGTTGCCCAGCCCGATCAAGCCAGAATTGTTGGTATCAACGCGAGGCTGTTCTTGAAGCAGGGTGGAGGCCTTCTCATCTCTATCAAGGCTAGTTGCATTGACAGCACTGGTGAGTACATCGCGGCTGTGATCATACCAGGCGCTTGCTTACGTTGTCACAGCACCCCCTGAGCAGGTATTTGCCAGCGAAGTCCAGAAACTCCGCGAAGACAAGTTCTTCCCGAAGGAGCAGCTTACTCTCGGTGAGTCGAGCTTTATATCGTGAGAGTACGATGAACGCGTACACTGATGTCGTATGCAGAGCCGTACGAGCGTGACCACGCAATGGTGTCTTGCGTCTACCTGCAGAAGGAGTTCGAGGCTAATTGAGAGGTCTCTCGGTGTGCCTCTTTGACTTCTCTTCGGGGCGTTTTCACATTGGTTAATGTTCAACAGGAGGGATGGCTTGTTTGAGTCTGGGCGGCGAATGGCGTTCGGGGCTTGATTCTCAGCATGTGTGTGACTAGAGCAACAGGATGTGCATTGACATCTTCGCGGAACCAGTTACTTCTCCCCGCGAGTTTTCCTGTCTGCGTCGCGGTCCGTGGTCTGATGGGAGGATTAGAGCATTTGGTCCACTCCAAGACCTACGATTTGGAGGCATGCTGTGTACGACCCTTGCCGACGAGAGACCAAGGTCGGTTGTCGAGTTGTCGATGACGTTATGAAAACATGAGCCTCAGCGAACCGAGCCGAGATGTTGATGGAGGTTCTTCAACAGCAGCTCAACATTTCCACAGCGTCTGCCTGTTTCTTGTGTTGGCCCATATCCAGGACGAGAGCTGGAGCTAGAGAGATCGAAATGTGCAGTGCTCAGCGCACATCAACTTCTATGTCCTATTGTTGACCGGGGAGCGGGCATCCGAATGGACTCGAAGTCTGCGTGTCTGGCACCTGGACTGCCCCTGTTGCGATGGGTTTGTAGTAGGGTTCTGCTGGCACTCCCCTTAGCAGTACTGCCCCGTCCTTCTTACTGCATATGTCTCTTTCTGCGTGCCTCTGTCAGAAAGATGACACATGTTGTTTCAACCAGGACACAAAGGGGCATCTCTCTTAAAAGCCGGCATCCCCAGAATAGATAATTGAAGAAACAAGAGGCACTGATGCGCTGGAGTGAGCGGTTAACTACCCAATCCCAATCTGGACCTGGAGGATTTAGATGGTTTAGGATGACGGCGTATACAGCGGTAGGAGGTGGCGTTTGCTTGGTGTCGGACGGCGCTTCGACGGCCAGATGCGCTTGAGCGTCTGCTAGCCTTCCTCAAGCAACACGCCCTTCACAGGCTACCTCTATTATACATGAATGGATGGGTGTGAGACGTGCTGTGAATACCTCAGCTGGGTAAATAACTATTCTCATCCCAAAGCATTGACCGTGATGATTCATGAGGCAAACATCCAGCAATTACTTGAACCAAGATCTCTTCAACTCTAGCAGTGGATTCTCAAAGGTACGCCATCGTCCTCATTCTGCAAACGACAACCGGACTCTGCTCTGGTTCGGAACTTGGAAGCAAGCAACCTCAGATTAAGTTCAATAATGACCAATTGTCGTGTCATCGGTTAGGACTTTTTGACTTGGAGATTGTACGTGTAAATGGTCGGCGACCAGCCTGCAGCATTCATCTCGGATGCCAACTTCCCCGGCATGGCACGAAACCCCTGCCTGGCCCGTCGCGTCTCATTGGGCTGCAGCCAGTCACATCCCATCCAAGAAACCAAGGGTTCCCGCCAGGAACGCAAACTGGGCAGGGGAAGAAAAGGCATTTACCGCGAGCCTTGCATCAATCTGGCGACTTTGTTGTTTGTCTCCTTGCTGGCCTTGTTGTGACATTTGTTGCTTGTTTGGGCGAGTGGCAGGGTGGGGGATGATGCATGCGAAGGCGAGCGCATTGGTCCAAGTTCCTTGACCGGCCGGTTCATACACCGCCAGTGCAGGGGCGGCCGTCGAGTGACGAAGGCTAACGTTGTCGGTGGTCTAGACCGCTGGGGATTGGGAGAAAGTCTGTGGACTTTGTGCAGAGTCCCAAGCCACCACGCTCTGCCGAGTGCTGGAGAAGCCACCACCATCCATGTGGCAGGCTTGACGAGAACTGATCAATGGCTTAACGTTATCTCGGGCGCTACAGCGTAGCGTAATGAGGTTGTACCTATGAGGGATTTCTTCCGAGTCATCAGTGTGGATGGCTCGTTTTTGTCTTTCAAACACCCATGAAGAAGGCTCGGTGTCCAAAGCTACCTGCAGTCGATGTAACTTCGACTGGGACCACGCTGAGAGAAAGCCCTGTGGTAGCGAGCCAGGAAGATAAGCAAACGGAGGAATCCACGGAGGTGATGCTATTGGACGCGGTCAGCACACAGCACAGCGGACCCAAGCCAACTCTGGTGGCTGAGTACCAGCAGACCGCTGACCAGATCCTCGGGACCGGCAGCTTTGCTGAGATTGCAGCGCCTTTGTCGACAGTTTCTTTCCTGATAGAACCGTACCGCAGTGTGCAGATACCCAGATACGGTACTCTACACGTGTACATGTATGTCAGTCCAAGTCATGCAGGCGTTTGACCGCCTTGCCTGCTACTTGTTCCCAGGAGGCGGGGAGCCTCTTGGTGCAGGTTTCTCGAATGGCACCCGATGTATAGTCTCGTGCGGGTGATGATGTAACAGATTGAGGTGCTCCCCATTTCGATCAGCCAATTTCCCGTCAATGCTACGCAAAAGATGTCTGAAGTGGTTCCCCCGAACGGTTTGGGAGGCAGTCTGGCGGGCATGTCACGCTGAGTCGATGGCCATGGGTCGATTGCGGACGGAACCTGTATACTGTGCACACAGGTAGTGTCAAGTTTCGCTGTAGTAGATGACTTTCATGATCATAACCGGGGACGTTGGGAAAGAGTTTCGCGACCCATGGCGGCGGGCAATCCCGATTCCCGAACCATTCTGCTGGGACGGCCCCAAGAGTTCAGCAGTTTACGACCTGCCTCTTCCGGACAGCTCCCGACCCCCTGAAGTCGTGGTGGCGTCGCAAGGTGTGTTTTTAGGTAGATTCGATTTCCGATCCTCGGGACCGCCATGTGGAAATGCATGCGACCTCATGTTTTCATGTCGTCAAAATGCGAGCAGTCCAAACAAGCGACATCAGCATAGCGGAGGTTTGCTGGTTAACGAGTTTTTCGATAGTGACCATGGTGTTTAACGAGTTGTGGATTGCCGAGACAGTTTGCAGAGTTGCACCTGCTGGAAATTTCACAGTCAATGTTGCAAACTTATTATTGGCTTCTCCACCCTAGTACCTCCTCGGCAGCTTGAGAAGTGTTGGGGCCAGGTTGACGGCGGAAGCGAGGACTGCAAACCGGACCAACTGGTGATTCCTGACTCCGTATGTCGGGACGTTGATTTCACAATGGATGTAATCACGCGAATTACTGAGTGTGTGAGAACTCTGCGCTTCCTGCGACACCAAAACTACCGTCACAAGGGGAGTGAACTGCGGAGCCACTAAGCAATAAGCGGACAGCTGAGATATGCGCGGGGTCATGTGCTTGTGTTGGTTTAAAAGGTGGTCTAGTTGTCAAGTCCCGAATATTATCGGTACCTACGGTAGCGATGTAGATACCTTATGACTGTGGTGCTGAGAAGAGACGCGGACAATGGTCTGGGCCCAGCCTGGACACCGAAAGGGAAGGGAGACTGACTTCCCGGGGCCCAGGGACGTGGGTTCAATGAGCTTAATCGGCCGGGGCGCCGCACTAGCGCTGGGGCTTGCTCGATCCGAAACCCGCAAGCCTTGTGAGGTGGTCTGATTTGCCTGGCCAGGCGTCCATGGCCCCAAGTTCCCGTCCCTGGCAGCCAGGGGTACGGCGGGCAACGCCAGCCCAACGTCGGGTCCGAGCCTCGACCGCTCTTTACCGTTGCAACGCGGGGAAGGACGGGAGTGGCAAAGCAATTGAGATGCCATGGACTGCGTGTCTCGATAGGCTGCGAGAGCGAGCAGCGACAGGAACATGGTTGCCTCTTGGGCAACGGGCTGATAAACTTATCCATAACCCATCCAATCCCGTTGCAGCTGTGACATGCTTCTGTTTGTGTTGAGTATGTGAATGTATGAGGACAAGCCACATGGTTGCTGCCGCGGCACCATCCCACACCTCGTCAGCAAGACCTCTCTGCTGTGTTTGTGGAAATGGGAGCAGATGTTTTCGGCTTCAAATGCCTGGGTTTGTAGGGATATCTGCCTCTGTTTGAAAGGCTGAAAAGGGTTAGGGTACGCTCGTGCAGATTGTTCGCTGTTGATTTGTTGCCTCCGTAGGACCCCCAAGCATGTCGCTTGTTCCTTCCATTTCCGGTAAAGACTGATTCACATCCCGAAGCCAAGACCTTGGATCTCCTGTGCCAGACGGGACTCCGGTTCGTTGCCCCGCGGGTTTTCTGGCTTTTCTGGCGCTGCTGAAGCATCCGTCACAACACGAAAACAAGAGCCGCAGAAAAGCGTTTCCCACGTCAAATTGGTTGTTGCCGATTTGAGAGATGTCACACGCAACAACGCAGGGACTCTCGTACCACACTCATCAGACCGAGGCCTTCTTGGAACCCGTCCTCGATATAGCACGCATGAACTCCCATAGTACAGACAGATATACACTAACTTTCCGAACGCCCATTTGACCGATCTGAAGCCTCTTTCGTTGGTGACGATTTTGTTTCTGGAGTTGTCAAGGTTACCAGCGTCTTGGCATGCCGGGTGGATTGTAAACACTGCATACAAGTGTAAGGTAGGTACGAGGAGGTCTTCGCCGGAAGGGATCGGCGTTCGCACGTTTCGGGGGAGGCCGCCTTGGTGTCCTGTCCTGAGATGTCGAGGCCTTCGCCGAGGCCCGCAGCAAGCATGTTGGACGGTCATGGGTGAGCCGAGTGCTTCCTTTGAAGGCTCATTTCATACCACATCGGAATCAGGCATTTCTGGCAGAGCCGCATGCAAGGTCACACGGTAAGCAGAATTGCTCTCCCATCGCACTGATTGCCCGAAAGGGAAAAGACCCTGTAAAGTTGGCCACAGGCATGTGTGCAGTTTGACATTGCCAAGGATATCAAACCGTATTTTAAACCCCCCCTACTTGTGATTTCTGGAGGTTCAAGAAGGGCGACGAATGGGCTCACCAGCCCTACCGCGCTCGATGGATGTATACTTATCTATGCCGTAAGCTCCTCGACTTCGGGAGTTTTAGAGAAGATTTGACAGTGATGAGGTTACAGAATGGCAGTCTGTTCCAATCTTATCTCCAACCTCATCATTGCAAACGTGTCTGCCGAAACGACAGCGTTGTTGAATCTTGGTCGAGCCGCCTCCCATTGCGCCCACCAATCTTCCATGTTTTGACGAAACACATGGGTTTGCGGCACAATTGTGTGGTCCCGCAGCCCCTGCCCCTCGATAATCGCGCAGGTCATTGCTTCCTCGCCTGCGGATTCCATCCGACCGTTAAGATTTGTTCATTGCCCGCCACTTTTCTGGTTGGCGGCTTGCTTGTTGGGCACTCACGCCCCTTTCTTTCGCATGCCGCGGGTCCTATCGCGTCCAATCATGAGTTACACGCTCAAGCGCATAATGATATGACGGGACGTGTACGGATCCGTACCATGCCGTAAAAAGGGGGTTGCCGCGCTGGCCTTGCCCGGCGAGACGCTCTGTTCATCGAGGATACTGCTGGATGGAAACTGACACACTCCTTCTCCAGGGGCTAATCAATTCAGGCTGCGTTCGAGGCATGGACGATTCAGGGTAAAACTTATGTATCCGATGGTACTGGGTCCAGTCGCACCCGTCACTGCCCGCAGAGGTGGCGGAGCCTTCAGCAAGAGCCGACGATTAACCCAAGCAGGGACAAGCATAACTGCCACACGTGTGCGGTAGTGAGCGGCGGCGCTGGTGATGACACCCGTTTGGCGGCTGGCCCACACGCAAATCACGCCGCCGGAAACCCCATAGGGCTGAGCACCGTGGACAATCTACCCAAGGTCTCGATGGTCTGACTGGCCGTCACACCGCCGGGGGCGGGGGGCTCCGTTCTGCTCAACCCTGATGTTAGGGCATCGAGGCTAATAACTTAACGGCTGCGAGTCCGGAAATCGTCCAGGATGGGTGGACGCGTGTACTGTTAGGTTTGTTCCGCCCGGCGGTTGGCTGACCATCACCAACCATGGAGTACCGGTCGATTGGTAACGGGCGATGGCTGGCTGGGCAAAGTGGCTCCGAAGCTTGGCGTGGAAATTTAGTGTCCCCCTAATAGGTTGTTTCCGGAGAAGATTTCAAGGTCTACGGATAGTCTGGATTGGACTGATGCAGATAATGACTTTGGAGTTTGCCGAACTCTGTGATCACTGAACTTCGTACAGACTGGAGTAGGGCAGAGGAGAAGGTCGAGACACGGAACCTAAATTCCGGGGCCTTCGCAATCGGCAACGCATCCGGCCAAGAAATGGCTCTTCCCAGCCAGCAGGAGCCCGATAAAAAAGTGGATGTGAGGGCCAAACTTCCCTCATGGTTGACGTCCCTTCGTTGTCACGTCGCCTGGCCCCTCGTTCTCCCGCCCAATGACATTGCAAGCCGGGTCTTCGCACACAACATGGGTCCTCGGCACTCGGGGACATCACCCATGGCACAAATCGGCGACCACCTGCGGAAAATGTACACACGCGTACAACAACATTCAACTATTCATTATTTCGCTTGTGGTCGCGGATGGCTGCATGGCTCCCGCATCAGCGTCGGTGTGTACCACAGCAGAGAGGATGAGAGGAATTTTCAGGGAGCACGGCCGCTAAATACTCGATCCCAGAAGACTGGGTCAATTCATATGGCCCGTTCCTTGGCGTTGTGCTGCCAGCACCGCTTGCAGGGCTGTCGGCTTACTCCGTCGTGCTTTGACCGCAAAGCTATGGAGTACCAGTGAATGATCAGTATTCGGAAGTAATAGCACCAGGTACGTATAGGACGAGTATGGTGCGAAATCCATTATCAGGATCTCCTACAACAAGAAAGACAGAACTAGATACCGAACATTATGCACCCGTGACGTGCCGCTACCCATTGGTGTTGCCGTGTTGCACCGCCCCTACCCAGGGGCTGTTGTTCTTTTTTTGGATTTTACCTCTTTCCCTTCCCACAGCATCGAGGGGGTCGAAGCCAATGAGGACCCGTGAGCGAGAGAGCCGTCCCACCTAGCGTAAAGAAGCCACTGAGACGAGGCTCAGCCACACTAGTCTCGATCTGGTGCCATTCATCGCGAGCCGGCTTGGCGCATGCCGATCATGATGCTAGCCCTGGCCGGGAACTTGTGCTCGCTTCTCAAACTGCACAGGCTCATTTTTTCGACACCATCACAGCGGAGCAGAATACCATCAACTCAACAGAGAGGAGTTGGCAATAGCTACGTTATCCTGATTATGTTGGCAGGATTTTAGAATTTAGCGACATTAGATACCATGCCGTCCTTTGTTTGTCTCTCGTTTTTGAATCTCAAGACGACCCATCGCTGAATCTGAACAGCTGATGAGAGTGCCCAGCTTATCGGAGACACAGCGCCGCTGTCCCGCCGGCCCCGACGGCAGGGCCGGGGCCACAGCAGGAGACCACCGGGCACACCTGCCGGGACGGGACGAAAGTCTGTGCCACCGGGGAATCACACCGGACTAGTCCGTCCCATGTGCGGTTCTCGGTCGTTGCAACGTGTAACTTGAAACCGACACCTCATGAATGCGGATCATCAAACCACAACAAGCGCTGTACGAATTCCGGGCCTTGATCAGCTCGGAGATGTGCTACAGTACACATCTGCTTCCCGATTATTGACCGCCGCTCGTAATTCAAGTCACAGGGCTTCTGCGTATCAGAACCGAATGCCAAATTGTCAAACACACTGGCCGGTTTATCACAACCAGGCTTCTGGCTAACAAGGGTCTCCGGTTGTTGGTCACGCTTCCGCCCCACAGCACTCCGCGGTCATTAAAAATTGTGCGAAGTGGACAGTGCCACAAATCCCACGTGTCGAAGGGCCCGTTTTCCATTTCATTGCTGTACACTAGGGATACCTCCGTACTAACACGGCCTCGTCGCAAAACGACTGGACGAGATACGATCTGCAAAAGCGGACCACCAACTGTTCGTAGCAGCGTTTGCTTTCTACATTACCTTCCAAAGTTCGTCATTTGCGTCTCCGGTATTGATTTACACCGGCGGCCAACTTCGCCAAACTTCGGGTGCACACCCGGAGAGTTGGCGAAGACAAGACCACAAGCCACAATTCCCCCACCGTTTCAGTTTTCCACTGTCGGGAAGGGGAGGGTTGTCCCGATGCGGCCAGGGATAAGGCTGTGCACCTGCAGGCATGATCACCCCGATACCTGGCTCCTGGCTGCCATTGGCCTCTGTGGCATGTGCCCAAACCCGCCATTTTTCAATTGATTGATGAAAAATGACGGGCACGCCAGGAACCGGGCGCGGGCGGGCGGCAGCGTCAACCATCACCCAACAAGCCGGGAATGCGCAGCAGCAAGCGACTACCGCGCGTGATGTCGATATAAAAATATCTTCGGGGCATCTGGCATGCCATGATGCAACCAAGATACAGACACGCAAGGCCCTGCGACTCTGCAGAGCCTCCGCAATATCCCACTGCGGCTCTCCACCACGGCTTGCTTTGTCCGAAACAAGTTGGAGACGGCTCTCGTAGGTCCTACCCAGGCGGCATGCTTGATGCCCGCGATTTCCAGTGAGGCATCGCAGGCGCCAGGCGCGAGTCACCAACCAGTTCGGTCTCGGCCCAGTCGCCACTATGCGGGGAGACTGAGACGGAAGCGGGGAGGAAGAGGGGGACAGGTCAGACCCAAAGCGGCACACGGCAGAAACCATGCCTTCGTTGAAGGCATACCCAGCACTCACCACGCTAGCAGGTTTGTCACATCTTCTTATCACGAGCAAGTTATGCCCTCGGTCTCGCGTACATTATAAGGAGAACAAGTTTGGCATGACGATGCTGCAGTGCCTCTAAGAGGTTGGCTGCATCGGGAAATCGATGCTTGGCTGCTGCGGCCCTCCCGGTCGCGTCTGGTGAGTGGGCTCTCCAATGTCGGGGACAGAAGAAGCAAAAGTCAATAACGCAAAGGGACTCTCGGTGTGGGTTCCCTGGAAAATCTTTCGTCTCGCTGTCTCCCACGAGCCGGAACACCCTATTACTCCGTACGCTTACACACCTGCTCATCAAGAAGCTCAGAAGAAGCCGCGGATAACTAACTAGCGGTCTGGGACCGGCTCACAACGACACATTTGGCCTGGCGTGGTCTCGGGACTGCTGCCAATAATTGACTACCGCAGGGCCCGCCATAACAATTGATATAATGTGTGGGGGGGAATAAGTAACCGACCAGGACGAGCGTGACTGTGTCCGCCGGCGGTCGAGCGCGCGGGAAGGGGATGGGCTGCGGGCTGGCCCTTCAATGGACCGCGGGCGCCGAATTCGATGCTCACCTTTGGTTTCTCGCGTCAGGATCATCCACACTTCATCATCAGCACAGGACAAAGAGTCAGGTTACTGTACAGTACATACATACGGTACAGAGAGGTCCAAATTGTCTCGTCTTCCCGCGGACGCGGCCCAGGCACAAGCCTCGAGAGCGTCTCCGCTCACTCGCTTACCCCTGTCACCCATCCACACCAACCATAGGCCCGAACGGCGGGTGGTGGGCGCAGGACTTGCAGGGCCTTTCGTTTTGCAGGAGGGCGCCCATGTACCAATGTACTCTTAGAGGTATCTTGGGTCACATCCACCCCCCCTGCCCGCCAGAGCCCTGAGCGACCCAGCCCCATGCCACCCAACAAGTCCCAGCACCCCTGTACCTCATCCTGCCCCTGTCCAACCCGTCCTGGACCCGCCCATGCAATGTGTGGACTGAGCCTCGCCCTACCACGGGCCACTACTGGGGACAGCGAGATCGTCCTCCACCAGGCTGGCCGGCAAGATGGCCGGGGATATATAGAAACCTCACCCCCCAAGCTGGTCCCTTCTTCTCAACATCTCGCCCTGTATCAGTCGTCACCAACAACGAGGCCCTGTGCATATGCCCTACGCCCAAGACGCAGCAACACTGGGGACTTGACAAGAAGGTTTTCGACTTCCAACACCACGTGGACGATACCAAGCATTTCATCCTTGGACGCCACTGCCTTTGACGACGACAGGAGGCTCAGCACAGGACAGGAAGAACAGCGAGGACAAGACCGTCTCCACTTACACGGCCCTTCAGTTTCGGCCCGCAAAAGAGCGACCTCTCCGGCAATCGCACGGCACTGCGCTCAACGAACAGCGACGACAGAGTCTAACCCTGCTGGGATGCGTATGTGGAAAGGTCAGTTGTCAGCGGGCCGATGGGTTGTCTTTGCGGCCGTGACTGACACGCGTTCCCTCAGCCTGAGGTAGCGGCTTTCTTGCATCTTCCAACAGAGCGCCAACGAGGCCGCCCCTCCTTATCCACACAAGCTTGCTCCCCCCTGTTCATGGCCACCCTCGGCCAGCACGATAGCAAGGACCACAACATGACCTACCCAGAGCCGCCTCATTACCCCACAACCACCATGGACCTTGGTCTTCCGCCCGAGCCATATAGTGCCTATTCGCGGTCATCTCACGACTACCCGACGACGATGGGATATGATAACGGAGCCGTGTACTCGGAGGCACCCTACATGTACAGCAGCGGGAGGGCCTCGCCAGGCATGTGCCCAGACGACAACGACGTTGCGCGCGGACCGGCTTCAGATTTCAGCGTCGCGAGCGCATCGTCGTCCAACATGGGCTCACCACTGTCGAGTCACGGCCAGATGGCGCCGATCCACGAGTGGGCCACCGGGCCCAACGGACTTGGCGTAACCCCGGGCATCGTCGACCAGAGCGACTATTTCCCCGGCGACTACTCCATCACGCCCGGGGGTATCGACCCCTTCCAGCCTTCCTACGATTTCGCGCCCGCCAAACCGCCAGGATTTGTTGGTGAGTTATCACAGATCCCTAGGTCTCATATTTCTTCTGGACGCGCTCATCGCGCCTCCCTTTCCTCTTGTCTCTCTTCCGATTCCGGTTCGACGATTGTTCCCCTCAACAAACAACCGAGTCCTGGCCTGGCTCTCGACACCCGCCTGGCCCAGCAGGCCTCGATGGCTGCATCCCTGGCATCTTCTTCTTCTTCAGCCGCCTCTTCAGGTCTTCTTTTGACGCCGCCGAGCACTTCTGCTTCCTCGCTCTCTTGTTTTCGCGCAGCCTGGAGCAGCCCGCCCGTGGGCGGCGGCTCACCAGCTCGCCCCAGCACCCCCAGCACCCGTCTCGCTACTCCTTTCTTTTCTCAATCCAGCGGCCATTTCGTTCCTCCTCTCGAGACTTGTTGGTTTCCTCTGTCGCGATGCAAACTTGTACCACACAGCCGCGTTACTGACAAAGACCCCGCCCACGCAGATCCCTCAATGATACATCCAGAGAGCATGAGGCCCATGGCCATGCCGTATGAGTCTTCTTACCCGCCGCCGCCCAACCCTGGATTCTCTACTTCGCCAGCACTCTCGGTTTCACCGTCGCCGCAGCTCAGGAACGGCAGCACCTCTCCCTTTATGCCACATCACAACAACTACCAGCCATACTCACCATTCCAGCCGCCCCTCAACCAGCAAAGGCGCCCCTCGTATCCAGCTACCACCCCCGGCGAGCAGCCGTATAGCGGCGATGAGTCGAGGGAAAAGCAGCGCTGTCCGCACCCGGACTGCGGCAAAGCGTTCAAGGACCTCAAGGCGCATATGCTCACACACCAGACCGAAAGACCTGAGAAGTGCCCCATAACAACATGCGAATATCATATCAAAGGCTTCGCAAGAAAGTGAGTCGAATCTCGTCGCTTCCCAGCTATGGCTCGAGTATCTAACACATTCCCCTGAAAGGTATGACAAGAATCGCCATACTCTCACACATTACAAGGGCACCATGGTGTGCGGCTTCTGCCCGGGGTCCGGATCCGCGGCGGAGAAGTCATTCAACCGCGCCGACGTGTTCAAGAGGCACCTGACTGCGGTACATGGGGTTGAGCAAACACCGCCCAACAGCCGGAAGAAGGCCTCGGGAGGTAGCAGCAACGGCAATGCGAAGCTCACCGGGTACGCGCCCGACGCGACAGGCAAGTGCTCGACTTGCTCGCAGACCTTCGGCAACGCACAAGACTTCTACGAGCATCTGGACGACTGCGTGCTCCGCATCGTGCAGCAGGAGGACCCTGCCGAGGCGATCAACGCGCAGCGGCTGGCCGAGGTCGAGAACGACAGGGAAGTACACAACACGCTCGAGAAAAACCACCTGCCGACCACAACCGTGGTTACAACCACCGAGGATGCGGAGGACGAGGACGAGAACATGGACGACGACGAGTTCGACGATGAGTCCAAGGGCGGTCGGAGCGGCAAAGCCTTGGTCGCGTCTCCCACCAAGCGGGCAAAAGGGGGCAACAACCCGCCGAACGGCGTCCAAAAATCACGGGGCCTCACCCACTCCCGCGGAGGCGTTCCTCTCCATACCAAAAGCCGGAGCCGCAAGAACCGGCGCGACTACCCTTCGTCATGGGGCTTCGACAAGGGCCAAATGACCATGAAGAAGCGGGTGTTGGCCGTCTTTGACGGGCCGCGGCGTCTGGCCAAGGACGACATGATGCTGTCAACCGAGCAAGAAGTCCGCATCAAGCTCCAGGACGGCAAGTCCTACATCACCGACCTCGACATGCAGACGCTCAAACGCGCCGAGGGCTTCCTCAACGCTACCGACGAGGAGAAGGGCCCGTGGATCTCGGATGATCCGACCGATGAGCAACTCAAGCAGATGCTCGGGTATAGTGCGACTTCCCAGGCGGCTGCCGCAGCCGCGTAATTCAGCTGGCGAAGCCGGCTGGCTCTCGAACTGATGATACCCTCCCCAACCTCCTCACCTGTCATTATATAATACATACCACCCACCCTGTACTTTTATTCTCCTCTCCTTTTACCTTCCGGCGAACCACACTGGAAACGGGCTGGATTGCATCATGAATCAAACACATCAACGGCCAACTAATCATGAGCGAATTGCGGCGTGAAGAGCGGACTTGGAACTGGGAACATGTGGCGCGAGGTTTCCTTCACCTATTTCTCTAAACCTCTCTACTTGGTTTTCTCGCCTTGAGATTCTGTCGGGGTTAAGGAAAGGAAAAGGGGATGGATCTAATGAGTGAATGACACACAAACGGATCTGGTTTGGGCGGGCCGGGACGATGAATACAGCCAAGGCACGGGCGAAGGAAATGGAACGGAATAACTATTTCTTTTCCATCGTTTATTTCCTTGTGACTACTATATATTTTCTCCGCAACTTTCTTACCACTTGCTTGATACGGGCAGTGGGATCGATACCCTGTCTCATCACATTCTTCAGGCCTGTTGGTTCTTGTCTGTTGTATCCGGTGATGAAGGCGCTTGGGCGCGTGGTGATGAGGATTGAATACATTGTCGAGTGTTGGTGGTCGCTTAGGAATAATAATACAGCCAGCGTTCCCGTACCTCTTGCTGAACTCCTTTGTCCGCTGCCTAATAGCTTGAGTAGTGCTCACTAGCAGTAGACGGGACCATGCAAGATCCACATTTATCTTCCCCGCCATTGCTGAATTTCTGCGAGCTTCTGCGGAGTCGGACAAATCCCGACCGGCCAGACAACAAATCCTGGGCGCTTTGACAACCCGATCTCAGAGTGTGGACGGGGCGCGTGTTGGCATTTTGAAGCGACTAGGCGGTGGACGCTGAAGTAAATAAGGGCCTGTTTGGGTATTTCACTCACCTGGAGCTTGTGAAGTGGCATGTACCTTACCTACACATTCCGTTTCGTTCTGTCTTCTTGTTCTTCTCACCCCATCCCAGAAAAGGGGGGGGGGGGCGCTGCTCTCATAACGGTCCTTCAACCGCCTCTCACCAGAACCAATGAATGCCCTAATAGCCCGGCTTTCCCTCACCGGGCAGGAAGCCAACGACCCCGAGGACTTTTTCGCCGCCTCCCTCGGCGTCATCTTCCCGGACGACGTCACCAACCAGCACGGCGACGCCGACCACGGCCTGCTCTACACGTCGCCGCACCTCCCGCGCGGTATCCCGCTGGCCCTGGCCGAGGTCAAATCAGAGGACGACCGCCGCCTGTTCAGCCACTACCTGTGGAACGCTTCGCTCCTCTTGGCAGAGCTGATCGAGGCGGGCACGCTGGGGTTGACGACGACGCCGACGACGCCGCGTGACAAAGGGATAGCGCCGCCTGTCGGGGAGTTTGATGTCTCTGGTCTGAAGACGATCGAGTTGGGCGCCGGCACGGCGCTGCCGTCCATCATGGCCGGTTTGCTCGGTACGAAGCGTGTGGTGGTGACGGATTATCCCAGTCTACCGGTACTGCAGACCCTAAAAGCGAATGTCATGTCGGCTGTACAGCCCAAATTCGCTCCCGCGGAGAGGTTTGCGGTGGAGGAGGTGGTGGTAGAAGGGCATGGTTGGGGCGAGCTCGACACGCCTCTGGCGCAGGGGAATAGGCATGCATTCGACCGGGTTATTGCTGCGGACTGCTTGTGGATGCCGTGGCAGCATGGGAATCTTCGGCGGTCTATCGCTTGGTTTCTCGGGAAAGGGGAGAAAGCGCGGGCCTGGGTCGTTGGCGGGTTCCATACTGGGCGGGACAAGGTGGCTGCTTTCTTCGAGAAGGAAGCGCTCGCGGAGGTCGGACTCGAGGTAGAGCATCTGTGGGAGCGTGACTGTGACGGACAGGATCGAGATTGGGTGGGGGATCGGGGCATCGAGGACGTGAGCGAGCGGAAACGGTGGCTGGGTGTCGGGGTGCTTAAGAGGATACGGAAATCTGTGGAGGGCGAGGAGAGGCTGTGATGGAGTCTTTATACCCAGAAGCTGATTGTTCAGCTCGAACCAATTCGGCAAAGCGTCTTTGACTTAGAGCATCAGCTGAAGTTAGCGAGTTGAGCAGGCCTGGCTCTGGTTTCCACGCCCCTTTCAACCACCGTATCCGTTATCTGCGTGGTAGGGAGTAACCAACCCGAAAATCCATTGCCATACTGACCTGCCAGGTGCCCTCAACATCCTCTAACCGTCACTCCGAAACTGAGGTTCGTCCTCTGCTTTCCTCTCGAACATCACGGCTGACATGTTCGGCTTTATGCTCCGGCGTAATTGATCCAGCTTGCGGGGTCACCCTAGCTGGATCGGGCAACGCATTGGTCGTGGCGATCGCGATTCTCGTATCCCGCGACGGTATCCCGTACAGTGTACAGGGCAACTCAATTCCATGCTGATAGTTGGTTGGGATAAACCAATTATGCAGCAGCCAACCACTACAATACCTCCAACCGAATCCTGCGGGAGCGCTGGCGTCCAGGATCCTCATTCCGGCCGCCTGGCATAGTTCAAGGACGACATGACGCACCGCCCTGACCTGCTCGACCGTGGCACCGCCATTGAGGGCACCCTTCAGATACCTTATCAAATGGGGGTTCACATCCTGGGGGATCAGACCGGCATTCATAACAAACAAAGTCTCGGCTGAGCTGAGGACAGTCGCGTTACTCGGGATGTAGCCGTACATCAGGCGCGCCAGCAGGCCCAGGTCCTCGGTACCGGAGGGGTCTATGTGGCCCATGACTGGCCTAGTGATTTTGCTATATATAGCTTCAAAGAAGCTCCGGCCGCGTAGCATGATCTGCGGCACGGGGATGTCTTAGTCGGCCCGCCGGCCGTTTGTAGGAGGGGGGGGGGGGGGGAGCCTCTGGGTCGTCCAGCAGCTCTTCAGGTGTCACCTTCTTCAGCTCGAGCAAGCTGTTAATTGTCTGGCAAGGAACCAATTGAGGACGTCCGCCCTTTGAGAGCTCATGGTGAAGCTCATCCAAAGGGAAGATCAACCGGTGCCCTTGGAACACCGCTGACTGCAGCGGCCTTGATCAGGCCTCGCGGATGCGGCGTGAAGCCCGCAGCTTCTCGTCCTGGCTCGGTACAGTGTCCCCAGGGCCGTCCCACAGGGCGTGCTAATAGACTTTTGAGACTTCATCTGGTCGGTTTGAATGCGAGAGCGTGTGATTGATGCGATTAAATACCACGTGTGCGCTGGCAGGTGAGGGGTGTTTGCGAATGGAGGACAGGAGAGACGGCGTAATGATGGCGGGGAGTAGAGTCATGGCCAGACTGAGAGGATGGATCACTTTTGAAAGCGAAACGACAGGCATTCTCTCTGAAGCTGTTGATGAAGTCTGACATTTGTCTGTTGTCATTAATGGAATCTGGACCCGTGCACCGCCACCTTTCATTTTGGATTTGTTAGCATTCGAGGCATTGAAGACGTTGAAGTGTGGCTGACAGCCCCACAAGCTGCGTCAATCTTGGCTATCCATAACGTGGCAACAACCGAGACAAGCCATCGTCTTACCTCAGTAATAAACGTTCCTTGAACCTGCATCCAACCTTGCGACAACCTACTTGTCGCTTTTTTTGACACAATGGACACCTGAATCCTTCATCGCCAAATTCCTGGATTTCTGGCCCACCTCTTTCTACATTTCCCCCACAGCCCGCTGATGAATATGCGGCTCGCGTGGTACGCAGGGGTAAGTGTTCCGCTGTTGCGTCCTTGCAGCTATCAGCTTTCATTTGGAGCATAATGACAGTTATCGGCAACCACCCTTCACCGCGCTGAAAGCTAACATGGCTTCTTTAGACATCGACGGCCCTGGCGGCCGCCGTTGTTGCGTCTGCGTTCCACCAGCGCGCCAATTTCTACTCTGCCATGGTGCATCTCGCACAGAGCAGCTTGTCTCTAATGGTCCGTTTGTCCATTCCCGCGCCTTCCGACTGGTCGCTGACCATTGCCATTGATTCTCACAGGCTTTGGCCAACCTTGTCCTCGTTGCCTACGGCTCATTCATGTACGGCCTCCAGCGCCTATGCTTCGGGCCACTTCGCCCTACCGAAATCGAACAGCTTTACGAGAAGGCCTGGTTCGCCATTACGGAGACATGCCTGGCCATGACCATCTTCCGCGACGAAATCGGCGCTTTCTTCGTGGTCATGTTCACAGCTCTGGTCACGGGCAAGGTCTGGGGCTGGATAGGGGACGGCCGTGTCGAGGTGCTCGAGCAGCAGCCGCCGGCCAACCCCCTTCTCTTCCACACGCGCCTCGGCCTCTCGCTCCTCGTCAGCATCGTCTACGATATTCTGTTTCTGCGATATGCCGTCATCACCGTCGTCGAAGACGCCCGGCCCACCATGATGCTCATGTTCCTTTTCGAGTTCGCTGTCCTGACCGTCTCTTCGCTCCATACCGCCTCCCGATACATCATTTCGCTGGTGGAGCAGCACGCGATCAAGACGCAGACACGGCAGCGCCTAGAGGATAGGCGGCGCCGCATCAGGGAACAAAGGGCCGAGATTATGAGGCGGAGAACAACCGAAGGGGCGGCAATCAGCCACGACCATGAACTGCCGAACGAGAACGATGTGGATGAGATGGACATTGAGGTACCCGGCTGGGAAGCAAAGGGCCAGTGGATCCTATCGCTGGACTTGTTTGCGGGTGAGATGGCGCTGGATTGCTGCTCGTGTGAATATATGGGCTAACGTGAGTTTCAGATTTCATCAAGCTCGGCATATACACAGCGTTCTTCTTCGTCCTACTGACCTTCTACGGCCTCCCTATTCATATAATGAGAGATTGGTTCATAACCACGAGGTCGTTTATCAAGAGACTCCATGCTCTCATCCGCTACCGGCAAGCTCTCAAGCACATGGAGCAATATCCAGACGCCACCGCTGAAGAGCTTGGCCGGGAGGATACGTGCATCATCTGCAGAGAGGAGATGCGGCCCTGGGATCCTGCCGATACCACGCAAGTGGAGCGAACTCGTGCGAAGAAGCTTCCTTGTGGCCATATCCTGCACTTTGGTTGCCTTAAAAGCTGGCTGGAGCGGCAGCAAGTATGCCCGACCTGCCGCCGCCCGGTTGCCAGGGACGGACAGCAGCCCGCAGCGGCTAACGGCCCCGCTGTGGTGCTGAGACTGGGGCTTGGCTTTCCTGCCGGTCAAAACCGACAAGCGCAGCCGCCGGCCAACGGCCAAGCAGCTCCTGGCGGTGGCCAGCCGGCCCAAAGAGGGGCAGCGGACGATCAGGCGAATAATCATCAGAATCGAAATATTAGGATGTTCAACCTTGGACCCCTGCGGCTCGGCTTCGCTCAAGGCGGCCTCGACGAGATGCGAGAGATGGCGGAACGAATGCGGCCTGCCCCAGATGTTGCAAACCCACCCGCACCAACGCCCACAGTCCCGACCCCGCAGGAACCCAACAATGACACGGGCCCCGACCTCGATCAGATTCGTGGCCAGCTCCTGACGCTCGGCCAACAAGTTCGGCAAGAAATGGCCAATCTGCACAATGCGGCACATGAAATACATATCATGAGTTTATTAATGAATGAGCTTACTCGTCTCCGTCAGCTACAGCAGCAACCGGAAGGCCAGCAGCATGCAACACAACCCATCGCCTCAAGCGTGGCGCATGGCGTGCATGCACCTTTCCCTCATCCACAGCAGGGATTGATGCATCCCTACACGCATTTACCATTACAGGGACAGTTTCCCATCCCGTCAGGCCAGCACTTCATGTCGCCAAGATCTCCATCCGCCGTCACCAGGCATGTCGGTGGTGGGTATGGAACAGCGATTCCGGCTGGCAGTCCCGATTTGCCAGCAGGGGTGGTCATTCCCCCGGGATGGTCGTTGCTGCCCCTCCAGCGAGTAGACGGCGAAGCACAACCTCCTGACTCAACAACAGGACACAGTTCGCACGGGCCCGCCCAGGACACACTACGGTCGGTCTTAGCACACCACCCCCGGTCTCGCGGGGCCAGCCCAGCGCGTGGCAGTAGCCTTTCTGCGCATCTTGGAAGGACGACGGTATCAACAAGCAATGCAGAGGCGACCCGCACACCAGGAACACAAGGTGCGCCTATTATGGACACAGCGATGCCTAGGCAACCGCCTGTCACAGCGCCCGTTCCTCGAGCACCGAGTTGGGGAGGTCCATCACCGCTCTTTCGGGCCGAACGAACAACGGTGCCCTTTGGGTGGCAAGTTGAGCTTCCCCAGGCACCACTCGGCGAATCTGGAGAGCGCAGTAGCAGCCCCGGGGCAACAGCGGCAACCACGGAGGTGAATGGAGTTGGGCCAGGAGACGGGGCCAGCGCGCCGCAGGCAGGAGACGGGGCCAGCGCGCCGCAGGCAGGAGATGGCGTCGTAAACGGCAGTGGTAGCGATAGGGTGCCAAGGGCGGCGACGGTCGAGGAAGCACCAGATGAAGAAGAATAGCTCTAGCTAGCCGTACATTCTGTTTCTTTCTAGAAGTCTGAGAAAGCATTGGACCTTTGTCATCCAAGCACAGCAGTTAGCTGTTCGCTCGTTGGATTTAAAGTTTCCGTTACAGAGACGTAACTTCCATACCATGGGATCCAAGCTGGCACGAACGTGCGTCGCCGTGTTATTGCACGTGTTCCACGTTCTTTCCATCCGAAAGCGCGAGGTTGATTCGGTAGTGCAATTTTAGAAGTTCGGCCCAACATGCGGTTCAGTTTCTGACGTCAAGAGGCAGGAGCCACCACCTTCAGCTTATCACAGCCAGCAGGGCAGGTGGGTAGGCAAGACCCGTTCTCGATTACGCAAGCCATATTCCGATTTTCTTCATCTCTTGGAGTCTGTTCTTGGGACACGAGCGGACATTATCGCCACAGCTTCTTAGCCATCTGCATTAGTCTACAGGATCGCGTGCTCCATCACTATTCCTCACCTATATCCATGACTCGAAGCGTCTCAATTACCCATCCATACTGAATAGCACCTGACAAACGCCGAGGGACTTCAGCGTCGAGCTGCCATGTCCTCTTCAAACAACAGCAGCTTTCGCCGTTCCAGGCCGTGGAATAGCCGTCAACTATCATCTCCCTCGGGCCTCCTCAGCAGGCGTCAGCAAGGCACGGATGAGGACCCAGATGACCAGGATGGAGACCGGAACGAAGTCAAAGGAAAAGAGAATCAACAGCAGCCGAGCCAGCGTCGCAGCGGACGATTCCCCTCCCCGAGCTCGCCTCTCGCGCGAAACCCGGTGCACATCCCGGCTCGAGAAGAAGAAGTTGAGCCGAGTGGCATCTCACCCGCGGTGGCAGTCAGGGACAGTGGCCCTGGCAGCTTGAGAGGAGACCGTGCCACGACCCGTCGCAAGACCGAGGAGACGTCGAAAGGATAGAGCCCTTTGACTCGGCATGGGGAGGGCGACGTTACTGGTGGAGGGCATGGTTTTGCTGGTGGTTCCGGTAGTCAAGTCCCTGCAGGCATCGAACATCGCGCAGGGAACGGCGGTGGCAAGATAAGAAGGAAGAACATCAGCAGCAAGGCCGACGGCAAGGACAACAATCGTTTCGTTGACGGCAACAAACCCGCTGACAGCGAAGCCGACGACGACGAGAAGAAGACCAGCGACCATACCAATGAGGACAACAAGCGCTGTTCCAACGACAACAATAGCATTGATAACGAAGATGACAAAGCCAGAACCGCCAGGGCGAACGAAGCAGCCAGAATCATGTGTGCTTCTTGTCAGATTGGAACCAAATTTGCTGAGGCGAAGGGCGAGAAGACGAGAGCCGACGAGAAGAAGACGCGCTGGGAGAAGCACAGGACATGGACGGCAGGCAACGGTCGAATTGGTGGCAAAAAGCAGGATCTAGAGACGGAGTGCAAGATGACCTCTCAAGAGTTCATCGATATCGTTGATCCCTACCCGCACCTGTACCGAAAGGATGGAAAAGTACCGAGCAATCTGCAGGTGTATGCGGCTGAGACGACTGGGGATGACGGGCAGGGGAACAGGGGAGGAGAAAGGTCGGAAAGTGAAGGGAAGGGAGGGGGCCAAGAGTCGGGAGGTGGTAAGGATAAGAAAGGTTGCCGGTACAGGAATTTGGCCAGAAGAAGCTTTCAGTCACTTCGACTGAGAGTTCGTCGGGCAGGGAGCGGCAGCAAGGCGCTTCCGGGTGGAGGGGGTGATGGCCCGAGATCGCCGGGTGAGTTCTATAGTCGGCCGGTCTACGGGAACAAGTCATCTCTCGATAACCCAGCAGTAAGTGGAAGTCGGGCTCCAGCCGCGACGCAGTTGCAGAACAGGAGCGAGATTGCCCCCTGGGAAGAGCTTGATAGCCATCCTGCTGCTGGCTTCGATTTACCGCAAGACGGCACGCTGATGGGCGGGGCGGTACAGGAAGACGATCCCAGAGACAAGGGCAAGGGCAAAGCTATGAACGTGGACTACGGGTACTTAGGGTATGGTCCGCCCGCCAAGGCAAAACCATCACAGAGGCAGGAGACGCCGGTGCGGCCGGTTGCCTCCGCCTTCGCTTCACAAGGCCTCCGCTCCCAAACACCCGGGCTCTTCCATCGCCCCCGGCCAGCGTCCCGGACTCCGTTCGAACTCGACCCCAACGAGGGATTCAACCAACGCCTTCGATCCAACGATTCGGCAAGTAACTCTCCGGAGCCAAACACAAGGAGCACAGAAGCAAATGTAAGATCCAACCCCACCGCCCCACAGACACAACCTGGGGGCCAAGGACAAGAGGAGAACCCTACTGGAGAGGCCGATGTGGGTAATCTTGATGGGAGAGACGAGCGGGGGAGGAAGCGTGCTCGTCTGAAGGAGGTTGTTCGGCGGATACTTGGACGGAGACAGAACGACAAACCATCTTGAACTCGGACGTGCATTGAGGGCTTATTGTGTATCCTAGTCACTCAGGTTGACTCCTTTGTTTTCAAATGAGTTCTACTGGTATGACCTTGCCATTGTATACATAGGAGACCGCTCAGCATCACTTTGCTGCAATAGCGGCGACTGTTATGGAGACGAACAGTGCTTGGGTACACATTATTTGGTTCAGGGGTTGTGTCGTAAACACTGCATTGCCCTGGCAACCGCTCAGTATGTTTGAGCTTAGCATAGAGGGAAGCAACAATAAACGTTGTGTATTCGATTTTCAAACGCCTTCTGAAAACACCATTGGCTTGAGCACACGCCGAAATCAAAAGGCAACATTTTCTGTGCTGCAGCCTCGCCCCTGAAGTCAGCGCAAAGCGACACTGGCTGTCATGATACATCACACAGCTTATTGAGTAACATGATCAAGAGCCAACATGGACGGATCAAAGACAGTGTTTGTCTTACCTGGCGATATCTCTCCCGGTCGAACGCGCCACCTCGTTCATACCCAACGGCATTGGGTTTGCCCGTTGTTGGGATGCGCTTGCCGTCGCACGAGCATACATTTTCGTCTAGGCCTCGAATTCCATTTTCTGTGCCACAACATGTGCATTGCATGAGGTAGGATTTGTGTAACTATCTTGTCGCCTTGTCGGCGCCCCGAAAGACGGTGAACATACACTGCTGGTACCCGTCTCCTGCAAGCAACACTTCCAACACAGCCTTCCTGCATAAGAATGAGCGCAACGCAAAGGGCAGGCACAGATTTGCGGTGAAGATGAGACAAGCAATGGAAATAGGCACTGCAGCGGGAGACCAACGGATCTGGCCGGCGAGCAGTTTGGAGCACTGGCTTCGCCCACATCCTTCACTGTGAACATTGCGGGCACTGGCGAGGAAACGTCGTTCCTCCTCTGATTGGAAATGAAGATTCCTTTACATGGGGTAAGTTCATACATACAGGCACAGAAAGAATGAACAAACAGAACAGGGTAAAGTTCAGGGGGAGCCCGTCTTAATGTGTATCCCGTTACCATCTGTAATTCAGAATAGCATCAGAGTAACGAAGTGTATCACCAAGAACTCCCAAGACAACCCCATTTCCAGCCCAACTCCCTGGTATCCCAAAGAAAGACTGAACTGCTCGACGTATATATGGAAACCCAGCTTGAGTGACTGCACAATACCAGCTATCGCCATGGACTTGTAGCCAATAAAGCCCCTGGTCCCAGCAGAGCAACAACCAAACATCAGCTCAAACTATACTCGACCTCCTGTCCCTGGATATCTCTGTTTTCTCCCCTGCCCAGTGCAGCCCCGACTCAGATCAATGAAAAATAAGCTTCCGCAAAATTCAAACCCGCTAATGCATTCTCCAGCAGCGTCGCTAGCTTCAAGCAAAGACTCCAACCAAGAAGAGATAAGCAAAACTTGAAGAGAAGAAGGAAGGAATAACAAAAGAAACCAAAGTTGAGCCAAGAAGAAAGAGTATGCGTATCGCAACGTGAGTTCCCAGAGCTGCACGACGGCCCTTGCCGACCCTCTCGGTGATGGGTGGACAATGATGGCTCCCAGCTTACCGGCCGCAGAGGCGATGCCGTAGCATGTGCCGCGGAACTCGGTCAGGAACGACTCGGCGGCCAGGAGAAAGGTCACAGTGAAAAATCACCCCAAGCTCCTCACCGACCTCGCTTTCCCCTTGACAACCCCCGGACTCACCGCCTCCCCATCATCACTCCTGACCCGCCCTTCATCCTCGATCACAGAATTCACCTTTCCCCCAAAACTCCCCCCACCACCATCACCCATCCACCGCCCCAACTCCACCCCGCCGTCGGGATACGGATACCTCGGCGAGACGGCGCCGTCAAAAACCCCCACCTCGACGTTCGCCGCTTCGTCTAGACGCCAATAAAACAACACATCCTCCTGCCACCGGCGCAGGTTGACCACCCTGAACTCGGCCTCGCACACGGCCAGCAGGAGCTCGGCCTCGAGCGGGGTGGTCCGCAGCCGGTGGATTAGCCACTGGTTGATGTAGTCGGGCGTATTGTCGGCCTTTGTCATGAGCGTGCTTATACCCAGCTCCTTCATGCACTCAGCGCGCCGCAGCGCGCTGGCCGGGTCGTCCTTGGGTAATTTCAGCGCCTGCTCCAGTGCCTGCAAAGGGGTTTGCAGGGAGAGCACGTGGGATGGGTTGGAGAGGAGGATGGGGAAGCGGGGATGGGCGAGCGATGGGGTGGTGTTGTTCGCAGCTGGTGGGGTCCGCGGGGGTGGTTCGATGGCCATGTTACCGTCTTGTGGCAGGGGGGACCAGTCCGGGGAATCAGAAAAGATGGCTAATTCTTCGTGATATGATGCGTGCTTGCGCATTACCCCTTTTTTGAGACACAGGGCGCGGAGGTGCGACAGGTTTTCGGTGGCGAAGTCGAGTTCTTTGCGGGCGCGTTTCGACCTGAGCTCGTAGTCGCGGAGGAAGTCGAGATCGTCTTCGGTGATGGTGATGCCGAAGCGGGCCTCAAATTCCGCCGCGTCGGTGGGAACTTTCTCTAGGGAGGATCGAAGGGAGTGGAGGTCCGCCTCACTGATCTGGTTGCCTTGGTTCTCCCGTACACGCTTGCGATGCAGCTCAATCTCCAGATCGTAGAGAATCCTTTCCCGGTGCATCTCAATGTCCTCGACGTATTCCTTAGCGAGCTGGTGGTCACCGGCGGCTTCCAGCAGCTCCTCGTAGAAGGGGTGGATATCCTCAGGGAGATCGCCAGATATGCCCAGAAGGGTGACTGGAGACGGTGGTGCTGGCTCGATGTCATTATTCAAATTCTCTCCTTGCTTCTTCACTTCCACGATCCCAGGTGCTTTCATCGTGGGTGGTGGTGGCGGCAACTGAACCACAGGACCAGGGATCACCCGGCTGGGCGGCAAGCCGGACAGCTCGAGCTCTAGCAGCTCGAGTTCCGATTCCTCGGTATCCATCTTCGCCTCCATGGTCTCGTAAAGGGATTCGGCCGTGTAGTATTCATCTCGGACAGCCTGCATGTCCCGAAGCTTTTCTTCAAGCACGTCCATGGCGATGACGGCGACCCGGCTCTTGGACGTCAGGTGGGCCCTGAAGATTTGCATAACGCCATTGTCCAAGTCGTCTTTTCGGCGCCTGAGGTCCCGCAGCTCCTTCCGTTTCCGGGACATCTCGTGCCTCAACTGCCAGATGCTCCGCTGCTTGTCCTGGAACTCTTGCTGGAGCTCATAGCGCCGGGTGCTTCGGCCGGGCATGCTCTTGGTTGCTCCATCATCTGAGCCCTCGTACTCGAACTCGGAATATGCCGAGTCGGCTTCACGAGCATTGCGGGCGGGAGGCCGCAAGGGTCTCGGTCGCACACCCCCTGGCCCAACAGGCGGGTGCCACGGCGGAGGCGGTAGAAAGCGAGGGTTGCCGCGTGGAGGGAGTGGCTGTGGTGGCGGGACGGAAACGAAGCGTCTCAGGGGCGCGGGAGGTGAATGGGAGTTGTCGGAAGTTGCGTCAGAATCATCCGTCGACCAAGTGTCTGAGTGATCTTTGGATGGGACGGTGGAATCGAGGGTGTCCTTGCGATTATAAAGGCGTCCCGGCGTGGTGCGAAACTCGCCCGCTTCGCGGAAGGGGTCGTGGTGCCACGCTGTTGGCGCGGCGGTCTGCCCAACATCACGAGTGGTAATGTCGGGCCGGTCCAGGCACAGCCGGATGGTAAGGGGCGGAGAGGTCGGTCTGGGAACGGGGCGGGTTGGGGTCATGCATGCGACCGGGCCATGGTCGGATCCGTTCGTGTGGATCGATGGGCGAGGAGAGGTCGGCAGTGGCTTAGGGATGGTCGCGGATGCCATGCGGATTCAGGCAACGCGTCCACACTCGGGCAGCTCTCCCGACAGCCTGTGCCATCGAGAGCCGCGCGAGAGCGTGACGGGAGCTGCACGTGCGCATGCGAAGATGGGCCGGCTGCGGGCGGAAGGAAAAGGCGAGTCTTTGCGTTGCGCTGGCTATGTCGTGGTATTCGGCGCGCTCCTTACTCTCTCGCTCTGTCGCTGTCGGGGGCTCAGCTGGGGAAACATGGAAGGAACGTGCGACGTTTCAATGGTACAAAACCAATTGGCGCCTCAAATCCCAGGGTTAAGGTAGGGCAGCCGTGGTTAAATCGCGGGGGCCAGTTCGGCTTGAAAACTGCACTTTTTCAATGATGTGTCGAATGAGCGTGTAATTGGCACGACATCCTTCCACCCCAGCGTCGAGGGGGCATCTTTTGTGTCGTGGAATTAGGGACGGGCACAACTTGGAAGTATCAAGTTGAGGGTGTTGTCGTCGTGGAGGACGCTACGAACCCTGGGTGGACCAGGTACGATGGGTTAGGTGACTTTGGACTGCTTTCCAGTCTTCACCGACACGAAGTTAACCTTTCCGGGTATCCCTCAACTGACCTGATGCAGAGCCGCATCGTAGTTGTACCCGAGGTGCTTCTCAACATAGTATTTATCTTGCAAATGTCATCATTCCAGGATCATCGGTATCTGTACCCTTACCTACCTGGTTCCTCGGTTCCTTCGACTCGAGTTGAGAGCCAAGTTCACACAATCCGGTGGGTGGGTTGATACCCCTGCAAGATGTCAGGTTTCCACTTTCCCCGGAGAAAGTCGAGTGCGGCCGCAAGCTGTCTATCCGTTTGCACATCGTCCCCACAGTCTCCAGTCACCGACCCATCGATGCGATGCGATGGCGGTGGGGCCGAAGGGGAAGTGGAATTCCCTGCACTTGGCTAATTCGGGGAAGTGGCATTGGGCGTGTGGCCGTCTTGAACGGCCCGCGACGGCAAGTGCTCCGCTAGCCGCTGCTTCCTGTTCGCCCGTCAGTTTCCAGTCTCCACCCGAGTGTCGCAGCCCTGGAGCCTAATGCAGCCCCTCCTCCTTTGTCTCGCTCCCGTCTTCCACTAACGTTAACATGTAACTCTATCACGCAGGACGGCGGGCATTGGGTCTAACCCGCAGCTTGTGTGCGGGCTTGAGGGTGCCGCTATTTCACGAGAGCCGACCACAACCATCAGAACGCTGCCGAGATGGGACCAACCGGGGCTGCCAAGCTGCCCTTAGGGTGTCCTCGAGCCTCGTCGACATCGGGCCGGCCAAGATAAGAAGCTTCAGGGCAGCCTGTTCGGAAAGGACAGAGATCCAGGTCCAGCTCATGGTCTTCCCCGCTGCTCTCCGCGACGTCGGCACAGGACCCATCCTTTTCTAGTGTCCCTCGGCTCCCCCACTGTTCCTCATCTTGGCTTTTCCCACCACGCCGTCCTGCTTGCGCCATTCAGCCGGGGAACACACACAGTACTGCGCCCGCCGCTCGGTTGGTGTGCGAATGAGGGGCCGGACCGTGTGTCACGAGCTACCTCACGCCAATCACAGCTGCATTTAATATATCGCCAGCAGTGCCAGCAACGAGCTTGAGAATCCGCAAGCTGCGTTCGCTGGCGGCTACATATCAACTTAAACCAGTGCGGGCCAGCTCGTACGACGTACCAAGTGCCAGGTGTTGTCGTTGCGGCTCTGCGAACCAACCGGAGCTGCAACGCCTTATCAAGGAAGTCGGTCTCTGGGAACCCACCGACTCGCAACCTCGCTATTCGGCCGCGTTTCTAGACCTCGGATCTTGCTCCGCTCTTCGTGAGAACGCTGCTTGCTGCACACAAGACGAGACCCGTCTCGCCGATAACCATACCGCCGGCTCACTGAGGCAGTTGGCGCTGCTTAGCTCACGCTACCTAGAATTGCTTCTTGCTGTCTTTGATGTCGCCGCCTCGGTCCTTCCAGGGCCCTCTGCCACAGAACATACTCGTACTTTAGCCCTCAGGAGAGTCCGCTGGTTACCATGAGTTCTAGATGGGGTGAATGGACCCAGTGGGCATGGGATGCCGAACAAGCCCGCTGGTGGAGGGCCAGACAGGACATCCATGGTATGAAGCCTTCCGTCGCATCTTCTCAGAACTTACTCGGTATTCACAAAGTTGTTTGCGTAGGGAACGTTGAGTACGACTTCGGGGCGCCACGCGGAAACGTCGACGACCTCGCCGATTCACTTAACAATGTGAACCTTGAGGACGACCAAGGCGGATCCTACCCTCACGACGGTGCCTATATTTATGACTCCGCCGGAATCCATGCTGGAGGCTCTGCCGTCGCAGGCGTGTATGCCACGTCCTCCGCGTCTTATGCACAGGCTCAGGGTGCTTTCGGCGGCAAAGGCAAGTCAAAGGCCAAGTCGAAAAGTCAGAAGGACGCACCCAAGGACAACCTGAACAAACACCCCTCCAAAAAACGGTCTAAGCCTGCCGCCAAGAACGAATTAGAACGCTCGGCAGGTCAACATGACGGCCCGGATCCGTTCTACCGAAGGACTGGTGCCGCGTCCGGCTCCGACTACTTGTCTGCTGCGTCTACCACTACTTTCACTGACCAGCAGCCTTATTCCGATTCAGCATACGGATCGTCACCGCATGACCCGTCTTTTACGTCCGGCCTCTCACAGAGCCCTGGCCTAGACCAATATCATGATCAAGGTATGAAATGCGTTGGTTTCCTCGCTTATGTCTTGTGCCACTAACTGGGCAGCAGCGCCGACGGTGGGGTCCAGTGCCGAAGTCGATACTGCGAATCCAGAACGACGCACGCGTCGTGGGCGTCTTTCCGACCATGGGACCGCATATCCGACATCCTCGGTCGCCGAGGATTCGCCAACGGAGAATCAGGGGTCCGACTACTACTCCACGGCCTCTCACGACCCTCGCCCCCATGATATCTTCAGCGAGCAGCTCCGCGGTGCGGCATCGCATGCAGATCCCTACATGACCGGCTTCCTCGACGCATCGTATTCTCGAGGAGAGTCGTCCGCTATGGCGACCGCAGCTCACAGTTATCCATACGCTACGCAGGAGGACGACACCCACGAGGCCGACGGTGGCCGAGAGACACCAAGGGCACTCCACGCACAAGCCGCGGCGCCAGCTGTAGATGATGGCTACTCGTACCCGGCAAGCATGTCCGGGACTCAGGATTTGCAGCAGCAAATAGGCGCGCCTGACGGCGCATTGTACGTTGTTGAGCATTCTTCGAAATTCCGACCCGGTACGGTAAGCAACATCTGCAATTCTTTCAGTGTCCTGGCGTCTCTCTAACAGGCTCCGTGGCACAGGTCTTCAAGATCTTGTGGTGCGAGCCTCTTGGTGCTGGGGCCCCCAGAAGTGAAGCGCCAACAAACCACGTCAGATATCAACAGGACGGAAGAACCTTTTACCAGGGTTTTCGACGATTCATTGTGGTGGCAAACGATGAAGGCCATTGCACCTGCGTGTAAGTAGACTTCCGTTTGGCAAAAAGTTTTTCACCTTGACTGACCTCACTGTAGGCCCATCCTGACATATGAACGTCAGGGGTGCAACAAAAAGGGAGTCAAGCCTGCGAAGCACGGGATCATCTACCAGGCTGGAAAGAATCCTCGGATGCTTCCTGGAGAACCCCAGCTGGGATTTGATCCCGTTCGAGTCGTTCTGACCGAAAGGACGGAAACACTCTCGAGAGAATCCCGTGTCAACTACGCCAAGCTCACCACCGTGGAGCACAACTTCCCCGTGTATATCATTGGCTCCGTTGATCCGGCGGATTTCGAGCACATCGTCATCCGGGCGGTCGATCACTGCTGGAACAGAAAGAAGCGGCACAACTGACCAGCCGCTCAACGACCCGACTGTCGTGTTGACTGCTGGCGTCGTCGAGACGCCATCGCCGCGCGACATGCTTAACGTTTTTTGATCTTTGATAGGGCCGCTGGCCTGCATCAGCTGAAGACCGGCTGATATTGTTTGAACTTATACGTTGATGGCTGGGACACGTCGTCCTCACGTCGCCAGAACCCACGTCTGGTCCCCTTCGCGGCAAACGGGAGTGCGGGCATGATGTGCTTGTGGTCAGGCTATAAGTAGCTGCGCTTCACTCAGAACCTGGTCTCTGTTCTTTCGTTCGCCGATACAAGACTGGCTCTGCTTATGTTTCCTCGGCTCAGAATCGTACCGAGAGATATCCTGTTTTCCATTTGTTTCCGTTCCACATCTTTTCATCCTCAGGTCTATCTAACGAAACATACGACCGTCTATGATATATGCATTAATGACATTTCTCACTCTCAGGCGGTCTTTTATCACACAAATCGCAGTGGGACAGGACCATATCCAATCATATGTATATTCACCAAGCAGAGCAGCAAGCAACCACAGAATGCGCACCACAAGCTGTGCTCGTCCAGACCGGCCATTGTATTGCAGCGTCCGGGGGCTACGCTGTGTCCCGCACCAGTTGAACCCTGCACCAGGGATTTCGAGCGTACTTTCGCAGTCAGACAGCAATCGGTTTCCTGATCCTTTCGAGGATCCCGAGATCTTTTCCCCCTGGTGCGATTTCTATCGCCCACGTCACACCGCTCCCGATAGTCCCTCTCCCACTTAGCCTCTGTCACTGTATAGATGGGACTTTGCCCAGCGTATACCCTCACGCTCGTTGGTCTCCCGTACTGCTGCAAGGTAGAAAAGCGCACTTGGTGCATCGTATGGGCTGTGGGCTGAGGAGGCTAGCAAGTCATATTGGTCCAGGATTGAACGTGCCAGGGCGCATGTGGTCCTCAATTTGCCAACGCTTCAAGCCTGATCTAGCCACCGAAACTATCAAGCCACGACTTTTCTTGTCGCACCATCATTTGTTCATCTTCTGCCGTATAGACCATGCTCAGTCGTAGGTGATCTCCGCTCCGGTTTTTGTTATGGAAAATGCATAAAGAGTTTCTTTCAAAGGCCATTTGCAACCTTGTGCGGAAAGGGGCTTGACCGGATGTCTCGAAAATAGAACACAGAGCTTGTTGGAACCCAATGCTGCGACAGCAAACGCCGAAAGGCGCAGACCCCACGCTTCCGCCATGAATATTCTTTATCAGATCATCAACACTATGGCACTGTCCAGGGGTTTGGAACCGGCCAAGCGAATTGAGTGGGGCTGATTGATAATTTTGATTGATTAGATATCTCGGCGTCATACAGTGTTCATATTCTGGTCGGAAACAGTGCCTTGTCATGTGGCTTCTGATGAACAGGCAATCGCCGAGTTCGGAGTTTTGCAATCGAGGAACTAAGCTTCGCTTGAAAGAGACCATGAGAATCGAGCACTGCAATGACTGCGTCTCCGATACTCGTTATTCCTGTGTACGCCCAAAGGATTGGGGAAGTGGGCGGGCGCTATGAGCCCAGACTCGGCTTTGAAGACGAGTGGCGAGCGTCTACCCGAACTTGAGTGGTCTGATGCTCAACCTTGCCTACCTACTCAAAGTGATTGCTTTTGCTCATCATGAACGGACGGTGATGTAGCTTGCCGACTCCTTTACTATACCTACCCCGTAACACTACGGTACGTAGCCATTGACGTTAACGAGCAACTCGTGCCCAATGTAGTCTAGGGGTGATAATGTCGAGCTGAGCTGAGGCTGAAAATGGGTGAATGGTGCTTTTGATTGATGAATCTTAGTTCAGAATCTCAGAGATCACCTAATTATTTATAATACTGGCAATCGAAACCCAATCAAACCTGCAGCGAACTCGAACGGCTTTTGCCGTATTCCGCGGGACGACATGGCCGGTCGGAGAAGCACGGTTGTCTCACCTTATCCAAACGAGCCATTGGCAAATTGGGACAATCAGCGGAAATCTGCCGCACTGTCCAGGCCACCCGGCTTTGCCCCCAAAAGCACACTAGAACCCTGAGCAAAGTTGCAAAACCAAAACGACGGCGGCACTTGCGTGTGGACGCAGCAGGTACATGTATCGAGGATACCAGCCTCCCGACTCGGCAATCATCCTCAACTCTTTGTTCCCATCTTCCACAAATTCTGTGCCCGGATACCTTGTTCCCTCACCGCACGAGAAACCCACTTCTACCTGGCCCACACCAGCCGTGAACCCACCCACTCGCGGTCTCGATTGAGCCGAAATATTCAACCTTTGGTCATGTGGACAGACTGCCTATGACTTTAACCCAGTTCTTCCATCACCGCGCCCCCTTGCCTTGCTTTAACTCGGTCTTCACTTCACTCCTCCGTCTCCGGCAACCAGTAGTTTACGCGCGCCCCAGGACAATGGCAACGCAGATTGACCGGCTCCTTGCCGAGCATGCGGCCGCGAGCATCCCCGAGGAACCTCGCCCCGGCCCGTCGGCCACACCATCGCTCACATACTCGGATTCATCTGATGAAATCGAATTGGAAGAGCCCCGCCAGCCTGAGCCCCTCCGGCGACGACGCGCATCCACGCGATTGATCGCTCAGAGCCCGGCTGATGTGCAGCGCATCACGGGCGAGACCACGACACAATTGATCCGTCGGTGCTGCGGAGGCGGCTGCTGCCTCGGTCTCGGGCGGCCGAAGAAGGACAACCTCGAGGTGGAAGAGGTCGAGTTCCCCGACAATGACGCATACCGATCGCTGTGTCTCAAGATTGACCAAATACCCGCCACGCTGACTGGCGTCTGCGATTTGCCTGAGCAGACGGCCTTCCTGCAACCGCTCCGGCGGCCTTCCAATGTGTCGTCCCCGACGGACTCGGGCGTCTCCCTGGGCGCGGATGGCATAACGTCGGCCGTGAGCGATGTCGAGAAGACGTTACACAAAGTGGCACTCGAAGACCTCGACACACGGATACAGCCGCCATCATTCGTTCAGCCGCATCCCCCGCACCATGTCTTCCCCGCGCGCATCCACAGTACGCGCGAGCTGACCCGGCCGGGCGCCGAGAAGCGCACCTTCCACTTTGACCTCGACGTTACAAACTACCCCGAAGGCGAGGGCATTGACTTCAAGGTTGGCGGTGCGATTGGTGTATCTGCACCAAATGAGGAACAAACGGTCGAGGAGGTCCTCGATCTCCTCTTGGTGCCCCGCTTCCTTCGCGACAAGCCGGTGCTGCTGCGGACAACTAAGGGAAGATGGCCTACCGTCTGGGGCGACGACCAGGCCCGCGAGCTTGTCAGTACGCGGCGAGACCTGCTGACCTGGTGCTCCGATATTCAGTCCTATCCGCCGACAAAGCAGATCCTCCGCGTGCTCGCCGAGCACGCCATTGACGCAAACGAGCGGAAGATACTCTTTTTCCTGTGCTCGGCTGAAGGACAAGGCGTCTTCTGCGACTTCCGTACCGGGCCACATGTCTCGCTCGTCCAGCTTTTGCATGCATTCCCGAGTGCCAAGCCGCCCCTCGACCTCCTGCTTTCTGTCTTGCAGCCCCTGATGCCCCGCTTCTACTCGCTCTCCAACGACCCGCACGAGTCGTTCCTGAGGCACGATGGCAAGCAACACCGCCTGATCGAGATTGCCGTCACGGTTCACGAAACTGCCGACTGGCGTACTGGGTCCCGGACGGGCGTTGGCTCGGGCTTCTTTCAGCGCCAAGCGCTCAAGTTCATTGAAGCCCAGAAGCAGGGCGAGCAGCACCCAGAGTTCTACATTCCCATGTTCAAAGGTCTGATGGCCAACCCTTTGGCCAAGGAGTTTGTTTCGGACGGCCCCATGCTGTTGATCGGCGCGGGCGTCGGCATCGCGCCTTTCCGCGGCTTCGTCCAGCGCCGCCTCAAGACGGCCAATTGCGCCAACAAGGTTTGGGTGCTGCAGGGCATCCGGGACTCGCTTGTTGACGAGCTGTACAGCGGCGAGTGGGGCGTGCACGAGGACGAGGTCAAGAAGGTGGTGCAGAGCCGTCGGGGCGAGGGCCGCTACGTCCAGGAGGAGGTCAAGGCCCAGGCCGACCTCGTCTGGTACATAATCAATTCGGTCGACGGTCGCGTCTTTGTCTGCGGCAGTAGCAAGGGCATGGGAGAGGGCGTGGAGCGGGCGCTCGTTGAAGTGGCCATGGAGAAGGGGAACCTCGAGCGAGACGAGGCGCAGAATTTCTGGAATTTGAAGAAAGAGGCTGGACAGTACATTGCTGAGACTTGGTGATTGCTATATCCTTTCTCGTGGCATTTATATTTTTGATTTCCGGGCACTCGAACGCTCATGATCAAGGACAGGGACCCGGCGGCGGATCGGCAAGATAAAGGAGAGGGCGTTTCGGCGCATGCATTCCACAGCGGAGCTTTGGTGTTCTGAATTTATACTGTTGGCTCAGGCCGTCTAGCTAGAGGAGGCGAAATCTGCGGCATGCTTTGTACATCACTGGCTTTAGATTGTTGTGTTTCGTTTTGGTCACGGTCCAGTTTCTCTGTCGCGAGGTGTGGATTGGGACTTTGCTCATATTTGGCGGCGTATATAGTAAATATCATGATTACTCTCGAAATATCAGCACTCAGTTTCTTGACTGATGACCTGACTTGGCCATTGAGGCACTGCTATCAGGGAGATAACCTGGAACATGTGGCTCTTCTCGAGCCCATCGGAAAATCCTATTCTCCTCCTTTCACATTCGATGCTCTACGAATACTACTCGGCGACTTTCTGGTTGTATACCGTGGTCTCAGGAGAAGGAACGGCTTGAAAAGGATGAGCGATCACTCTCGATGGGAAATACATTTTTAATTCTCGACGATACCGCGATGTTTAGCCCTCACCCATATTGCAGTCCTCGACTTTGGCGATCCCGCGCGGTTTCTCTTTCTGCCAATTGTGTGGGTCCGGGGCGGGACTACCTATTATGGACTCGGACCCTCCAGCAAGAGATTAGCGAATACCGAAAGGTCGTGGCTTATGTAAAATTGAGAATCATGGTCGCCACGCCGCGAATGACGAGGATCTTTGCACTTCCTGTCTTTTCTAATCATTCCAAATGCATTCCCAACAAGCCAACAGCGCTTCCCTGATCTGGTCGCCGATTGTACTGTAAGATTACCAGGCAGGCGGCTCAGTGCTACTCCACATTTACCTTACTCAACTTGATGCGAATGCTTACATACTGTGGTACGAAAGGTATGGGCTTCCGCATTAGTCTCGCGCGCGGCCTGATGCAATTTCACCAGTCATGGCAGCAACAGTTGTGGCCTCCTTCGCCGGCGGAAGGTCAACTCCATGCAACCTCGGTGGGGTATCCAGGGGCAGAAAGACTCCGATGGAATCGCGCGCGGGTTCCTTCGTGTTGCGGCAAACTGCCGGGGCAGGGCTCGTGAATCATGTCTTGGTAAAAGTCATCAGGGACTGCCACTGTAGTAGTGAGTGTAGCGATCATGTCGAAACTTGGGTGCTCAAATCGGTATATAAACCCGTCTCTCCTCCATACTCCTATCTCCTGCCCCGTCCTCATCACAAGCCTCATCAGCTACTCAACGACACTCACAACAGACACAACAACCAGTTCCCCGGCGCCTAAACTTATATGCAACGAGTCCTCCCCTCTGTCTCTCGCGCCATCCGCAAATCGACCATCCGACCATTTACCACAGCCACGGCGACCAACACCACCGCCAGCAAAATGGGTAGCCTCGCAACCAGCAACAACACCGACCTCTTTCTCGACCTCGTCAAGGCCCGCCGCACCTTCTACCCACTGAACAAGAAGCTCACCATCCCCACCTCTCGGATTGAGACCATCGTCTCCGAGGCGCTACAGCACGTACCTTCGTCGTTCAACTCGCAGTCCAACCGGGCCGTCATCCTCTTCGGTGCCGAGCATGACAAGCTTTGGGACATCACCAGGGACATCCTGAAAGCCATCGTGCCCGTGGAGCAATGGCAGTCTACGGCCGACAAGATGGCCATGTTCAAGGCCGGCGCCGGCACGATCCTCTTCTTTGAGGACGAGGTCCCCATCAAGGAGCTGCAGAAGAACTGGCCGGCTTATGCAGACAAGTAAGCTTGGAACCCCCTGCCTACACCTGTTGATTATAAAGATGATGAGGAAGAATAAACGTTTTGCTGACATGTCGACAACAAAAGGTTTCCAACCTTCGCTGCACACAGCACCGGCATGCTGCAGTTTGCCGTGTGGACTGCCCTCGAGTCCGAGGGGCTCGGCGCCAACCTGCAGCACTACAGCCCGCTGATTGATGCCAGGGTTGCCGAAGAGTGGAAGATCCCCTCTACCTGGCAGTTGACGGCTCAGATGGTCTTTGGCGGGAGGAGTGTCCCCGACGCAGGCGAGAAGAAGTTTGGCCCGCTGGAGGAGAAGTTCAAGGTCTTCGGTGCTTGAGTGGAGGCGCTCAAGGAGGAGTTCGGGTTAGCATTGCCGGGAGTTGAGCATTCCGTTGAAGTCTGTTTTTGCATTTGATATCCCAACGCTGGTCATAGAGCAGTCCTCTTATCACTAGATCAGATTCTGAAACCCGTCCCTGAAAACTTCCTGGTCGTTAAACTCCTTTGTTTTCGGTATCCCAGCCACAACTACAAGATTGATTGCCACTCCTACATTACAACATTACCCATATGTACTCTGGTGTATACGTAATGTCACAGCCCCCTTTTCAAGGAGATCAAACATCGACATATCCTAGCGCTTGCCCGACTTTAACCCTCTGCCCCTTTGCCACAGCCCACTGCCACCCGGCCGTATGCTTCCCGCTCTCATCCTGCTCCCCAGCCGGCGCCTCAAACACAAGCACAATAGTGCTGCCCAACTGGAAGCCGCCCATCTCCTCGCCGCGCCTGAGAGCATGGCCCCGGAGCACCGGGCTAGCAGCCTCGTATGTCGCCTCAGAGTAGCCAAGGTAAGGCTCTCCCCTCTTCGCCGCCTCATCCGCGGCCCTATCCGCCTCGGTATCCGTTGTCAGGCTGTTTGTCCTCAACTCCTTGTCAAAGTTGATTTTGATGGCCCCGACATTGGTGGCGCCGACAGGCACGTAACTGAAGAAGCCCCAACGCCAGCGGCCCAGCAATACGACGCGCTCGTTCAGCGTGAACAGGCCGGGCAGCGTGCGCTGTAAGTAGGGGGACACGCTGTACAGCTCACCGGCGAAGTGGCGGCGCCGCTCGACGACCCAGTTAGTGGGCGAATGGAACCGGTGGTAATCCCCGGGCGCGAGGTAGATGACGGCGTAATGAAGCGTGTGCCGGCTTCCCGGCGAAAGGTAGTCGAGCCAAGACCTCTCACCGAGGGCGAGTTCAGCCCGGACCTCGGACACGCTGGCCGAGTCAGGAGTGACGGATTCGTCTTTGGGGCTGCCTTTACTCTTCTTTTTGGAGCCAGAGAAGAGGTCGGGGAGGGTGTAGGAGATTCCGTTTACGCGGGCGAATTCCTCGTCTCTTGCAACGAGCTTTTCGTCGCCATCCGGTTCACGCTGGTTCGTTTTGGGGAGTTTATCGAGCGAGGTCTGGCTCGAGATGCTCGGAGTCGGGCTGTTTTGGCCGAGCAGCGCGTCGATGGTGTAGGTCATGCCCTTCACCTGCTCGATGTCACCGCCTTTGATCTGTCCAAACTGCAGGAGGCGACCGTCGGCCGGTGAGAGAAGGGCGTTGGGATTCGGATCAAGCGGCCGCACGCCAGGCTTCAGGGTGCGATAGAAGAAGGAGGCCAAATTCGGGAACTTGCGGAGATCGGTCTCCTCAATCTCATCCAGGTTGACACCGAAAATGATGGCGTACAGCCGAAACCCGGGGACACGAAGGAAGGTCGGCAGAGTCAGCTCGTTGAACTTGCCCCATAGCCGAGACATGGCCTTCAGGGGCAACGTGGACATGATCCGCACCTGCCTATGCGCTTGTTAACTCCAACAGCAAGGCATAGCGGGGCCCGGGTGTCCTTACCAAGGGCCATCTGGTCGCACCCGAGGCCGTCTCTTCGGACGCTCGTCAAGATCGCCATCTTCGGCCTTCTTCTCCTGCTCTCTGGTATATACCTTGTAGAACTGCACCAGCCCCAGGAACCCAACGCCGAGACCGACGGGGATGGGATACCAGCGGATCCTCGAGTCCTGCACCTTGGAGTCGGCCCTTGGCCTGTGCGACTGCTGCGAAAAGGGTCGTCGGCCGCGGGTGTGCTGGGTTGGCTGCGATCGTCGAGACGCAGTGCTAAAGGGGCTGGAGGTCGGGCGGAAGCCGCAGGCGTGACAAGTCGAGCGCCGGGCAATTGTCGAACGAGCCAACCCGACAGTGGTCGAGACCAGGCCAGTCTGGAACGACGCCATTGTGTCTTCGTTTTAACAAAATGTGGCCTTGTACAAGAATCGAGGGAGCAAGAATGGCGCGGTTGTTTGACGAACCTGCATCGCTGGGCCCGCCTTCGCAACTTTGAGGTTGCGGAGGTCAGGCGATCGCGCTTGTTATTCAACGCTGCTGGGCTATCGAGGCAGGGACTTGGCTGCACCGGGAAAGCTCAAGCTGCAACTCTTATGACGCACGCGTGCACTCGGGACGAAGAACTGCAGCCAGTGAAGGAACGGCCTTTCCCACAGGCCCGACATTTTGGGACGGATCGCCTTTTGTAGCGGAGGTTGTGGGTACTTGACGACGGTCAATCTCGCCAAATCCCACATAAAATGCGGCATTGAGGATTGCGACCGGGGTGTGGATTATCAAATTTTGTGTCTCGCATGTGATGACGCAGGTGGGGCAAGTAGCTATACCTTGCACTACTTCGACAGTGCTCCGGGGAATGACAGCGTGGAAGTTGAAGTTGCTGATGCCCTAATTCAGGGTCTGCAGAACTCGGGGTAGAGGGACTCGGACAGGAAACAACAGGATCACAGTGAAAACCTTTTTCAGGGCGAGGAATTGGTGTTCGCTTTGCGACAACCTCAGCGCTGGATTGCACGGTTTGCAAGGGCTACCCCCTCTTTCCCTTCTTTCAGGTTCTTTACAACATCCCGGAAACCCGTGGATGCCTGGCATGCCGTGATCACCACCAACGGTTTGACGACCGATCCGACCGCCATCCGCTTGACTAAAATCGCCATCAGCATCGCGCACTCGAGTTGACACAGCAGCATACATTCCTGCCACTGCCATTGAAGCCGAGTCAGACAGGATGGCGGACGATCGATCAAATTCCGCCTCGACGGCTTCGCAAGGGGGCGCGCCGCTGGTGGTCAACCTCCAGATCGTGTCGCCCACCGTCGGTGTTGGGAACCTCAGATTTCCCGATATCCCGGCTACTACAACATTGCAGCAGCTCAAGGAAAAGATACGGAATTCTCTGTCATGGCGACCTGCCGATGACCACCAACGCCTGATACACCGGGGCCGGCTTCTGGCACGCGACACCGATACGCTGCAAGATGTGTTTGGCGAGGAAGCGGTAGGGTTCTCCCTTTGCGAGACGAGCTGGAACTCTGACAGGATGCTGACTACTGGCTATGTCGTAGATTCGGGCAAACGAGCAACAAACGATCCATCTGGTGATCAGGGACACCGGCGATATCCCTCCGCTCAGCAATCCGGTGTCGAATCCACAACCCCATGCTCATCATCATCCTCACCCTGCACTCCGCAATGCTTCCATGCCGCGTCCGGGCTCAGCGCCGCACGCCGCACCGCACGTCACCACACACCTCCAACACCACCGCCAGCAACAGGACATGCTCCAGCGACTTGCTCAATTGCACCAACGAGAGGCGAATTATCGCCAGCTATTGGAAGAGGCACAGTATCGCCAATCATTGGTCCAACAACAGAATAACCGCGCCGCCATGGCTCACCAGGCGCCTCATGAGGGTGCAAACAACTCTCAGGGAAACGTGGTGGAACCTGCCGGAGGGAGGAATAATACTTTCGGCCGGGGTCCCTTGGGCCAGTCTCACCAAACCGTCACACATGAAGGCACCGGGCCAGATGGGCAGCGATACAGTTTCAGGATCACCATGAACGAAGTCGTGGTACCTTCGAGCACCGTTCCCCGTCCTCCAGTAGGGCCGGGCCAGACCCCGGACCCTGTTGGGCAGAGGCCGCTTTCGGCAGCCGGTGTCCGCAACATAATGCACGGAACCGACGCGACTCGGGCCGCTCAGGCCATGGCCAGCGCCATGCAGCGGAATGCGTCGGGCGTGCATCCGGCCAACATGGCGGCCGAGCTCGCGAATTTCAACTTCAACAGTCCCGTCCAGCCAATTCAACCGGGTGTTACAACCCCGATATTTCCGGGACTGTCCAGAAATGCCAGCCGGGCGGCCACTCCCGACACCTCGGCCAGGTCTGTCAGTCAGGGCAGCAGCGTTGGGGCCAGAAGCCTGCATGTACCGAGCCAAACGTCGGCAAACCAAGGCCATCCTGAGGTCTATATCCTCTCGTCCCCTACTGGTCCCCGGGGCCTGCTCATCAACAGCGCTTCCGAGATGTATACGACCCCTGTCCCCAGAGCCATGCCTGTAATGCCTAATTTTTATCGGCCCTTGACCCCATCCTTGATACCTGGTGAGACCCTGCGACCCGAGATGCAGATCCAGCAGGGACAAGCGCACATAATGATTACCGGCCAAGGCCCAGCACCAGCTCATACACAGCCGTATCGACCTCACTCGCCCCTAGTCCAGCAACAACCGCTGCCTCAAGTGCCCAACAACGAGCAGCCTCCAGCCATCCGCCGTCGACCGGTAGCTGCTCCAGCTGCCGTCGCTGCGCCGGCAGTGGTGCAACCGGCGGCACAGCTCAACCATCCGGGAAACCCCGGCGTTGCACCGCTGATCGCGGCAGTATGGCCGCATGTCTGGCTGATCGTCCGACTGGCTCTGTTTGCCTGGTGGTTCTCGTACAGCGACCCGTCATGGGAGCGCTGGCTATCCCTGGTGGTGGCCTTCGTTGTGGTGTTTGCAATCAACACGGGCATTTTCAACGGAATGGTTAACAATGCTTTCCATCCGGTAAGGGAACAGCTGGAGGGAATGATTCCGTTCGCGGACCCAGACCGCCAGCACCAGCAGCAGAACCAGCCGGCAGCAGGCGTCAACCAGAATGGCGAGGCTGGGGCGAACCCGGACCCGGCGCAAGCCGCAGCTAGGTTGCTCGCTCAGCGGAGAATCCAAAACGGCACCTGGCTTAGGGATCAGATGAGGCGGATCGAAAGAGCAGGCATTTTATTCTTGGCGAGTTTTGCTCCCGGCGTGGCCGAGAGGCACATTCAGCAGCTCGAGGAGCGAGAGCGGGCGGAGCGGAGGGCCGCCGAGGAGGCAAGGGCGGTGGCAGCAGCAGCCCTCTCGCAACAACAGGCCGAACAAGCGGTCGCCGAGAGCCAGGAAAGTCGCGAGACACAGCGCGATGAGGTGTTGGATGGGACTGCCGCGCCGCAGCAGCCCCAGGCGCCTGAGGGTCTACCGCAAGCCGGCTTTGGTCCCGGGGTAGGAGCATTTGGCTGAAGAGGGCGTCGGGGGTCCCTAAGATGTGTGTGTGATGTCTCAATACCTGTGCGGGGATTTCTTTGCAAGCGCAAGCAGTTAGGTGAGGGCGGCTGGACTGGAGTATGAGGTGGCATATTGTATGTATTCTGTGATGACGTTTGTTATTGTTGGACATTCCTGCGGCAAGCGGTTGTACTCCGTACTTGTGAAAACAACCCTCGAAGAACAGGTCAGAGCGGCGACATAATGAGGAAGAATCTCCCGGACTTGGAAATGTAGGGATCAACTACCTGTCAGCCACCTCTACAGCGTTGGCTTTACTCATGCTTGTTCGGACTCATCGATAAGGAATCTGACAGGTACATAGGAAACAAGGTATACGTGATACTTCGTACGTCCAGACGTATACCTCCGTATGAGTTGAGCCATGGATATGCCAAATGAAGCTAGCGCCATGAACCTTCCGAGGTTGTTTCGGAGGTCAACTGACAGCCGAAGCGGGGCCGTGACGCCAACGCTGTGGTTCGCCGGATCGGCGTGGACCGAGGCAACCCAGGGTTCCCCACAAATAGGTGGGCGGCGGCATCTTAATAAAGATCAAGGGGGAAGGAGCTTGGAGAGCTGCCCTCACTCAGCAAGCTGTCCGTGGTCTTGTAGCTCTTTGGAATCCCAAGCACTCCGGTTCCACCCCCAGACCTCAACCCAATTCGTCATCTGCATACAATCGACCAGCTGAGCAAAGCCAGCAGGCACCATGGTTGAAGCACAGCTCCACGATTTCCCATCCCTCTTCTCCTTGGAAGGCAAGGTTGCCGTCGTAACAGGTGGTTCCCGCGGCCTAGGCCTCAGTGCCGCGTCCGCGTAAGCAACTTGTCAACCCATGATTCTCTTTACGTTCCATGCTTTAACCCAGAGCTCACTGACAAACAACGTCTCCAGCCTCCTCCAAGCGGGCGCTTCCAAAGTTTTCATCTCGTCCCGCAAAGCCGCGGCCTGCGATGCCGCCTGCAAGGCGCTCAACGCGCTGCCCAACCTGCGGCCCGGCGCTCAGGCCATCTCGGTGCCGGCCGATGGCGCCACGCTCGAAGGGGTCAAGCACCTGCTGGCGCAGGTCTCGGCGCAGACGGATCACGTCGACATCCTGCTGGCCAACGCGGGCGCGACGTGGGGTGAGAAGTTCGACACGCACCCAGACTCGGCTTTCGCCAAGGTCATGGACCTCAACGTGCGGGGCGTTTTCAACCTGATCCGCGAGTTCGCGCCGCTGCTGCAGAAGAGGGCGAGCGTCGAGGACCCGAGCAGGGTGGTCATCACGTCGAGCGTGGCCGGGTTGGGCGTTGGCACGCTGGGCAAGCAGGGCACGTACGGGTACAGCGCGTCGAAGGCGGCCGTGCTTCACTTGGGGAGGAATCTCGCCGTGGAATTGGGCCCGAGGGGAATTACGGTGAATAGCATCTGCCCGGGATTTTTCCCGAGCAAGATGAGCAATGGACTGTTGGACATGGCTGGCGGTGCGGAGAAGTTGGCCAAGGCGAATCCAATGAGGAGGTTGGGGAGAGGGGAGGACATTGCTGGGGCGGTGGTCTTTCTGACGAGCCGGGCTGGGGCGCATGTTAATGGGGCGGCGATTGAGATTGACGGCGGCGCGTTGTGGCAGAAGGGTGAGCTACATCTCAAGTTGTAGAGGGCGGGCTAGGGTGCCAATGAAGCCGGGATGGATGCTTAGCTGTCATGACATACCCAATCGAGAGAGCGCGGGCGTAGCTACGGGTGTTGATGGCTAAACATTACCGATCTATGCTGTGGCTGCCGTGTTTGGCTTGCGAGCTACCCAGGCGCTTGCCCTGTACGTCGTCTGCAGCATTGACTCGGTGTCATGGATGTACGGGGCTTCGATGCCCGTCTCTCGCGAGACGATTTCGAACCCGACCTGCGCCACCAGCGCCATCACCTCGTCATCCGTCAACTCAAAATTACCTGGGTCGGCGATGCCCGACGTGTCGTGGCTGGCAGCGCCCTCGCCTTCCTCGTGCTCATGCTCGTCTCTGTCCCACACGCGGCCTTCGAAATGCCACAACAGCGGCCCAACATTGACCAAGATACCGCCAGGCTTCAGACAGTGGAAGATGGTGTCCAGGTACCGTATGAGATTGGGCGCCGTGTCGAGAAAAAAGACGGTTGCTACCACGTCGTAGGCTGCTGCCCTGTCCTCCTGAGCGTACAGGCACAAGAAGTCGGCGGCGCTCATGCTCATTGCACCGATAGGTCGTGTCTGCTCCGCTTGTGTGAGCTCGGTCGCGCAATGGATATCGGGAACGGCATAGCCGCGCAGGTGGTTGGCCCGGGATTTGTGATTCGAAAACGTGTGGATCCAAGGGTGGATGGTATGCTGCCCGGCGCGTTGGCAGCAGTTCAAAATGTAGGAGGAAGCCAGCAGTTGGTGGTACGATATCTCGTTACCCTCCGTCTCGCACCCTCTCATGCACAGCTCGAAGACGAGACGGCCGAGGCCGGCACCGGGAACGAGGACTTTGAGCTGGGCTTGATCCGGTCCCCTGGCTTCTTGTTCGGCGGCAATGGCGCGCATCACAGGACCGAAACACGCCTCCCGCTCACGGGCACCGTCGGCAGACCAATCGCGGTAGAACTGGCGGATGGTGCTGCGGGCCTTGTCAAGGTCATTAGGTTTTGCTGAGCCGCTCCATTGCGGAGGCAGTTTCAGTCCGCCGTCCTCAGATAGGACGCCAACATGGAACATCTCAAGGCCCGTTTTGAAGATTATTCGGGCGAGCTCTGCATTGGACTCGATGGCGTCGTCTATCTTGTCCAGCGTGTCGAGATAGTTGAAGGGAGGCGCTGCGAGCCTCTGCCAGTGGGCCTGGGGCAACGCGTAGAAGGCCTGCCTACGGACGTGCGTACATTGGAAATGGGCAACTTTGGCATACTGTCTGTAATGGAAGATTAGCGTCTGAGGAAGCATTGGGCCATCATTGCTGAGTTAGGCTCTAGCCATCAAAGAGAACTGGAGGGGGAGAGGTAGTAATAGGCTATCTGAAGGTGACCATGACGCAAAGAAATCAAACTTTTGCTCACTGATAAGAGTCTAATGCGCGGTATATGACCTGAAGCTCTTCCGGATCATCAATTCCATTCTCGATGCCGCTCCACGGTGTTTCCTCCTCCATTTCGACTTCGTAGTTGCGTGTTCTGAAACAAAGACAAAACTGGAGGCCCCGGGAATTCACAAGGACGGGCAGTCAACGGAAGGAGCGGAGCCGGAAGCCGGCGGTTGCCTGCGTCGGAGAGAAATGGGATTTGACGCCCTGCCACCTTCTATGCGTGTGTCTAGTGCTGAATCAAAACAGGTAACACAAATAGTAGACGCGTCTGCTATCGATGGGCAGAGAGCGAGAGCATTTGTGGGAAGATGTCCATTGTCTGTTGCTCTGCGGCAAGACAGTACCTGATGCAGACGTGTATCCGTGAATTGACAAGATTTGCATGAAGCTAAGGTTAGATGTTCAGGAAGTCAATCCATAGATTCTTACTGGGATAGATACACGTGGTTAAAGAACATGAGATCTGATATACAAACTGATGATAGACAGCGAGGGAAGTGAAACCTTAAAAGAAACGAAGGATTGGGAAGTGTGATGAGTGAGGGTGGAAGGGTCATCAGCTCTAGCCCTAACCCTTGTTCTTCGTAGATTCGGTCTTTCGGTCGCCAATACAAAGTACAGCTCAACCCTGTGCTTACCACAGTAGCTCCCTAGATACTCTCTTACCTCTCAACTTGGCCCTGACAACTGCAACCATTAACAAGGGTTTAGTATCAGCACGCAGTTGCCGGCGGTCAAACTCAGGGAGATGGAAGCGCCAATTCAACTATCATTCCCCCTCCCGCGGTCACTGGACACTCGCGTCTACCTCCATCTGACAATCAAGTCCAAGGCCATTCTTCTCTTTCTGACGACCGGATCCATGGAGGAAGCAACCTCCCCAACTCCATTGGGGTCGTTTGTTTATGCCCTGCCTGATGTATGTCTACTTCTCTACCCATGTTTCTCAACGCCAGCTACTGACTCTGACCCAGAAATACAACCCAAGCCAGCCTTTGGCAACACCACTTTGCACGGTGGAGCCGACACTTGAGTTCACAACGCGGCTGGCCAAGGTGTTGGCGAGGAAGACGCTGCGCCCGACATACGTCGCCAACTCGATAAGCTTGGCCAGCACTGGTTTGGGCGGCACCGTGGAGGAGGAAATGGACGCGTTCAAAAAGGTCGTCGAGGTCACTCTAGCGCAACTGCAGCCCGCCATTACGTCCACGCAGCCGCCCTCTGATGGAATCCGTCCGGAATAACTACCGTTTGATACTGAGAGTCTTCCACTGCGACCACGTCAATGGTCACAATGCCAACCGGTAGCGGGTTGCGCCGTCGCTCCGACTATCTCGACATGGATCTCTTCTCATAACCAAACCACAGCCGCCACGATATCCTAGACCAGTAACATTGGAATTGCTGGGGCTCACTGCATGTAGCCCCTGGCGCCGGCACACGGCGTCTGTTTCTGACACATTGACTGTTCAGGCACGCTAATGAAAGTGGAACATCGACCCCCAACGAAGGTGCAACCCAAGCGGCGTTCTGGTAATTGGCTTAAGTCTTTTGTCGTTTTCCAAACGCAGACGAACAGGGTGCAGTGAGAGAAAGTATTCAATCTGTTTCATGTCCTTAGGTACTCGCTGTCGTGCGGGATTTGTTGACGTGAGCCACCCACAAGATGTCGAGGGCACAGCATGTGGTGAGAGAACGAGAAATCCGTCAATTGGCTGACGAGTGAGGACGCAGCGCTGGGAAGGGACGTTGGTAGAGGGCCAGAAACTGCGGGCTCTACGTTTCTGTAGATATAACGTATCATGACAGGGTGTCTGTCTCTTCGGGAGAAGCCATCGAGACTACGGATAACATAAGCGCACTCAGAGAGGGAAAAGTTGAAGCGGCTGTCCAGTCAAGCTGACTGGGTCCCACTTTAACCCTAATGTCACCTTGCCCGCCAAAGTCTTGCGCCCCGCGGCGCAAATTCAGGGAATTGTTACGGCGTACGGTTACGGGACAGACCAACACGGTTTGAAACACCCCACATTTGCAACCTTGAATCCCTCTGCCACCATGAACTGCAGTTTGACCCAAGCAGTTCTGCAAGGAACCTGACACCCACAGCAGGAGAGCTCAAAAGTCCAAGTTCAAGGTACGTCAATCTCTGATCCCTCGCGGCCTGCGTAAGCGGCCGGCGACATGCACCTTGTTCCGCGCTTAACCTGCATCTTTTCTTGTGCAACAGCAATGGCCCAACCAACAACCCCCTTGACTCGACTTGCATGCAAAAGGCTAACTTCTGCTTCACCCCACTTTGCGCAGACCAAGAGAATGCCATCAACACCATCCTTCAGCCCATAGACCAACCCCCCGAGAAGACCGTGATTCTCCTCCCCACGACCAAGTCAGTCTGACCATCGACACTGACGTCTTGGTCTTCATCTGCACTCAATATATTTTTTTTGCCCAGGGCTTGGGGCACCCGCCAACTCCCAAGAGCTCGAGAAGCAGCCCGGACCACACCTAGCCCCGCCCCACGATACTCTACGACGCTTTTTTCGCCCATGGATTGGCAGCCCAACCCAGAGTCCCTGCGGACTCTTGCAGCATGTCTGAAGGATTCTCTGAGTGGCTTTGACAAGGCCGCGCAGAAACAGGCCGAAGTTGTGAGTTATCGTGGGCCTCTAGGACTGCGCGTTGGCAGGAGAGCTGACCAAACTCTTTCGCGCAGATGCTCGCCCAAGCAAAAGCGAGCCCGGATCTCAACAGTTACCTGGCCTACATCTTTTCAAGTGCTGGGCCACCCGCTGGTCTGGCGCAATCCCCTAATGACTGGCACCTGGTCCGCTCAGCCGCCGCCGTCATGCTGAAGAACAACGTCAAGTCAAACTACAAGCAGATCCCCGAAACAAGCATTGCCCTGATCAAGCTTGCAGTCCCCATGGGCATCCAGGACAGCAACTCCCAGATTCGCAGTTATGCCGGCAACATTGCGACCGAGATGATCCAACGGGGCGGCCTCTACAGCTGGCCTGAGCTGCTGCAGGAGTTATTGAAGCTGCTCGGCAACGAGTCGGGCCAGGTGTCCAACGAGGCCCAAGAGGGCGCCATGGCGGCCATGGCCAAGATCTGCGAAGACAACACGAAGTTGCTGGAGCGGGAGCACAATGGCCAGCGGCCCCTCAACGTCCTTCTTCCCAAGTTCATCCAGGC